AGCGGAAGCTACTGGCACATCTGACTAGTCATGAATGTCGTATGCTCGTACACGTGCGATTCCTGTTTGATTAAAAGGCCTCACTAAAAAAAAAAAGAACTGCCAAAAGTGTCGCCACTGCCTGTCAACCTGTGCAACAATAATCATGTCAGATGTACTTAGCTTTCGCTGCTACGCCACTGCATGCAGTCGCACTTGGCTTATTGTTGCGCATCGAATTCCAGCATCTCATTTCCAATCTCTTTTACTTGGTTATTATTAAGTTCATAACTGACCCTGTGGATACTTTCCAATATGGCATCATGTACTAGGATGTGAGGGCCTATCAGCTTGCAAACCAGATAGTTTGGAGTATCCGTACTCCGCACGTGTATGGGTAAACCGGGGTCGCAATACCTCACGAAATCTCAAAGCCGATATTTTGGGCAATCTCATGCCGAAATACTCCGACGGCCCTTGCAACAAAAAGAAGGCTTCGCTGGACCTGGCCATAGTTTGTAGAAGCGCACCACCAGGTCTCAGGATAGTGTCGCGCGACGAAAGATTGATTGGCTGCCTTCTTCAAAAGTCTTGCAACACGCAGACAAAGATCAGCCTACACTGATAGACTACCACCTACCACGCAGAAAGAAGAAAGTTACTAGGACACCCATTCCACTTGATGGTGGGGTCCCATGGACCTGTCAAAGAAGGTCCAGATGGCCAATAGAAGGAACTAAGCGAGGGAGATCGTCAGCCAAGACGCCTCCACCGCCTCCAGCGACGACGTGGTCCTGCAGCCCTGGGGACATGCCAGCTGGGACACGAACAAGGTGGTGAGGGGCTGCGGGTTTCCGTGGGCCTGGAGCTTTTTTTTCAGGGGAGTCTGAGTTCCTTGCCGACTATGATCTGTAGCTGGACCAACCGAAGCTTCGCAGATTTTGGTTGGGTCGTGGTAGGTAGGGGGACCCGTGTTTCATGTTAGATTTTGCATTGTCTAAAGATACGGCTGCGGATCTGTAGCATGAAAATGGGCTTGCGGCACTGGGGGCCTGCACGTTGCTCTGTTTCTGCCGGCAGGGGCGATCCAAAAAAAGAAGGTAATAAGAACATGATGAGCAGTGGCTGTGTTTCTAGTCGGTTGGCGATGTAGCTGCTTCCTCTGCCCTGTTTCAACCGTTTGGCCACGTCAGTGATATGCATGCCAGCGACAGCCAAATTTGACTGGGAATAATACCAAAATTCTGATCGCGCCATGCACCTCTGGACCCTGACATGGCAGCGCTTCGCGGGGTAGCAGCGACACTAGCAACATTCCACGGGGTTGTCTCGTTGACAGAAGCCAGACAAACGGCGTGGCTCTGACGGCCGACATGTCAAATCAGGATCGATGTGTGTCGCGGAAGCTGGAGTTGACAGCTGGGTCGTGTGGCAGGTAATATCGAACCGTGTCACGCATGGCATCGAGCTGCGCAGCCTTGGGCTTTGGCTTGGCCGGGGTGTCTTTGTTGAGCCAGCTGTTCCGAGAAGCAGTTGTCATGCGTGGATGCCCGGTGGGTCGAAACTTGTCAACCATGCACCCAGCCAGGTTTCTGGAGGCGGGAGGCGAGGAGGGTCGTAAAGTCCCAGCCAGACATACCTGCCTTTTCTCTCGATTTTACTTGATTCTTCCTCGAGCCGCTAGTACAGTTCTGTTATGACGTGCATGAGGGAGGTAGCTTGTCGCAGGTGATGGCTGAGGAGTGGACCGCTAATATCCCCAAACGAAGGTACGCGCGCTCCAGTAGGAAGTTTATTCTTCTGGCTCCCCTCAAGGTGCCATACCTTGGATTTGCGAGTAGGAAGCAAGTATTTAGCGCCAGACACCATGATCGGCGAATTGGACCTGGGGGAGAGGCTCAATTTTCAACTGCGCACGCCGTGAAACAAGGCGAGGCCGATGGGCAATATAAGTCGGCAGATACGGTCCAAGCCCGCTACTGTCCCGACAAACCGTACAAGTCGGCCTCAGCCGTATCACGTCGTGTGCCACCCAGCGTATGATATCCGTGCTGAAATGTGCTACACGGGCCAAAGCTGTGCCACCTGGGCTCTGAGGCGGGCTTTCGGCCCTCGCCCAGCGTTAGATATACTGGCCCAATGACAGCACCAACGAGGAAACCGTTGACCGCTATACTAAGAAACAGGTGGCTTGCAAATAAGCACGCCGCCTCTGACAAGTCTTTGCATCTATACCAGGTCGTGCAACATGGTCAGCTTATTGCAACACAAGTGGCTTTTGCCTGCCAGTCCACGGTGCCACAGCCAGAAAAGGAGAGTCGGCTCGGGGAGCCAAATCAAGGCGTCAGGGACACAAAAACACGACCTGCTGACCAGTCAACGCACGATTGGGCGAAAGACTATAATCGGGAAGCTGAGCGGGTAGTTGTGTTCATTGGTTCGTTCCGAGACCGGAGCAGTTGGCGCTTAGAACGTAAAAAGCAACTGAAAACCGGGCAAGAAGGATGCTACATATTATTAGAAAAAGAGCATGTTTAAACTTGCGCAAGGACATTGGCGATCATTATAGTTGTCAGTGTTAGATGCAAGTGCTTCCTCCACTCTACAAGCAGAAGATCGAGAAGTCTGTCGGTCCACATTATGGTGGGCACATGGACCCTAATAATACATAGAGGACTTCTTTGTAAAGCACACGGCGTCAATGACTGCCTCTGGCAATAGTAGAATGAATATCGAGTTTGTTTTCTCTTGACGTCTCCAGAAGCTGTCCGCAGTCAGTATCTGTAGATTGAGTTGCCTCGGTTTTGAAATGACACATGGCATTCTGTTGGCAAGTTCTTTAGCAAGGAACAAGGAAGGGAGGCAGCCCATGAATAGGGTTTGGGCACGGCGATGTCAACAGCTTGCGCATCGCGACCGACCAGCACTTAGCGCAAGGCCAAGTGGGTTGGCTCTTGTAAATGTAAGTGTCTGGGTGCTCAGTTTACCGATTGCCACTAGAAGCTGTGTTGAGGCCATTTGTTTCTTTGTCGAGGCAAAGCACGCACTAGGTCACTCTGCGAAGCTGAGAGAGCGTTTAAAGACCGTCATCACTTTGCACAAGAAGCCCCCGGCTGCGCAGTATCCGCGCACAGTTCTCGTATCACGGGTTCCCAGGACACACCCGTAAGAAGAGAGGAACTTGTGTCCGTACGAGCGTGCGAGTTGCTGCGAAAACTGCAGCCGGTTGTCGTTTCTTTTCTCATATAGCCGAAACGGCATGCTTGTACAAATCTGGGCAACAAGGCGAGCGGGAGCGTACATGGAAAGCGTTGCGTGCTGCGGTGCGTCATGAGGCACGAGAAGACCAAGAGTGAAAATGGTGGTGAAAATTGCGCTTTTCTGGTACGACGGCATCGAGGCTGGGATGACGCGCTTGTGGCATGCGCAAGGTGGACAAGGAAGAAGCAGAAACTCGGGTTCGTGTATCTGTACGCACGCACGAACCACGTCTGCAACGGAATCTATTTTACCCCAGGCGATTCGTATAGGAGCTGTCAGGACCAAGGGGGTCGGTGAGGTTCAGTTTTGAGTTTCGACAGCGGCCAACATTTGCAGCCGACGCGTTATTGCTCCCTATTTTCTGAACTTGTTCCTGTTGTAGGTAGCTTCGCTGATTTACAGCCTCTCCGTGATTCACTGATTCCCTTTCTTTATCATTTAATTGCATAGTCTGGCCGGTACTCCCTGCGCTTTCATTGTTTGTTGTGTAGGTAGGCAACAGGAACTAACAGCCAGATACAAGAATCGCTTTGTTAGGCACGCTCTCGCTAATTTGCAGCATCTTCGTGATTCACTGGTTCCCTTTCATTCATCAGTAATAATTGCCTAGTCCGGCCATGGGTAATCCGTGCGCTCCATTGTCTGGTTCGTCGGGCTCGTCCTCCATCTCTGATCGTCCCCCCCTCCTGCTTGGCCGTACCGCTCGCTATGTATGTACGAGAACGAGAGTTCTCGCTCTGCACACACCCTGCCGTGTCGCAGGGCCAGCGCTTCTACGGTGGCCCTGTGGAGGGCCCGCCCGCCTTGAGGTCGGCACACACCCGGGCTTTTGCTTGGTCGGCGACCCATGCCTGGGGAGACCTGCACCGGGATACCAGGGCGGCAAGACACGCCCCCCCCCTCCCCCAAAGAACAACAGGATTGTGTGCGTTTTTGCTGGGGACAACGTCGGTCGAGGGATGGGGGACGACAGGTGCTGGAGTCGGCCAACAGCACGCAACACCCCCTCCCAGTTGCCACCCCCCAACGAGCCCTTTCAGCGCCGAACCCACTGTTCGGTCGCCAGTACAGCGCTGTTAACCGCTATCCTGTGCTTCACTACAGCGCGCGCCAGTCCTGTCCCTCCCCACTGAAAGACCACTGTAGGACCACGGTAGCACCGCTGCGTTACGCTGGTCCCTTGCCTGCCCTGCCCAGACCTGTCTATTTAATATACAAAAGACCTGGCCTGCGCCCATCATCACGTTCCATCTCGATATGCTCTTCACGCCCACTGCCTTTGACCGTCTCCTCATTTAGTTTTACCTATACGCCCTCGCTCTTGGCCTTGCCGTTATTCAACCTACCTACCTACCTCTGGTCCAGCTGGTCACCGCTCTCGTAGCCACCGTTTGCTCTACGGACGGGCGTCACTCCTGCGTTTGCTTCGCGGCTGCAACTTGGCCGCTCCCGGCACTCTCACAGCTTGGTTTGACTCTTCGTCTCCCAAGCTACCGGGCCCCGATACTACCACTTCCAAATCATTGATTTAATTACATGTATCTTATGCTTGGTACCCGTCAGAGGTAGGCATCCGACACGACTCTTGCAGTCACCGCAGCTGCTCTCGCCACTCCTACTCACCCCTTTGCCTCGCCAGTCCTCCTTGACAGGTATCTTGGCTTTGTAGTACTTGCATTTGCCTGGTCATGGCCCAGAGCTCACCACGGCATCAAGCTCAAATTTCACGACCAATTCAATATTCTAGCACAGCTGCCAACATGGCAATGATTGCTGTCCCTCCTCCTCCCAGCTCGGCCTTTCCAAGGGACCGCTGGGATGCCCGCCCATCCGACTATTCACTGCCACGAGACGACTCCAGATCCGTGGCTCTTCCCTCTATCCGACAGGTAAGAATTTCCAGGCCATCCAAGCTGGTAGAGTGCTGGAAACTAACACAACTTTTCAGGCAATTCCAGAACTCCAACTAGCCACAAATCCGGAACGCCAAAGTCGTCCAAACTCACATCACACCCCTCCAGGCTGGACAAACCCGGGCTATCCAGGCTCTTCAGACTACATCCACTCGCCAAGCAGCAAGAGAAGACGCATCTCTCACGAGCTGGAGAGCGAATCTCTCCGCTCCTACCAGGTTCCTCGCCTCTACCCCAGTCCCGAGCGTCCTGTTTCCAGCCACGTCTCGCCTATTTCTCAACGCCCGCCCACAGCCGACGACATCTGGAGGAGCCAGGCGCCTGCTCACTACAGACCTTCCATGTCTGCCTCCCCCGAGTTTGCGCACCGAGAGCACCGTCCATCCATTCACACCTTGCCACCACCGCCTGGTTTGGAGCGCGGCCGCGAAGCGCAGTACGCCGAAGACTACGCTTCACGCCAAAGATTGGAAGCGCATTCCGCTGGTCTTCCGCACAGAAGCCCAGTGTTCGCCTCTCGGCATGGCGACCGTGGTAACAGATACCACGCTGCACCGACCCCCTCCACACGTGGTGAAGAGCGTTCACCATTTGCCCCTTCCCGCTACAGCATGCATGATGGCGGTCGTTACAACGATGTGGGCATGATGGCAATTGGCGGAGACACCAAGCAGCGAAAGCGTCGTGGTAACCTCCCGAAGGAGACTACTGATAAGCTACGCTCTTGGTTTGTTGCTCACTTGCAACATCCGTACCCAACCGAGGACGAGAAGCAGGATCTGATGCGCCAGACGGGCCTACAAATGAGTATGCTCTGCATTGTAGCTACATTTCTGATGTACCAGACTAACAAAAACTCTAGACCAAATCTCGAACTGGTTCATTAATGCCCGCCGAAGACAGCTCCCTGCCATGATCAGCAACGCACGTGCCGAAACTGATGCTATGCACGGCCGTGGTGGTGTTGATGTTGCCTCGATCAGCAGCCCAGATGGTGATGCGGCCGGACTTGACCGCGAGAGCACATACGATGCCAGCCCACGCATGCGGGGCGTCGGTGGCCTCAAGCGAGACTAAACCGCTGCAGACGCACGAAGAGCGTTTGCAGGTTAAAAGAAGGCCCCGGTTATCGGAGTGTGTTGTCGTCACTTGATGCAACCATCCACCGCGGGATTTATTTCGTTTTATTGGGGGTAGATTTACTCAATTTATGAGAAAACGGGGTATATATTGTTCTGGCGCTTTACCCATCTACAAATGCGTATCATCGGAATTCGCATGGAGTATATTGGAAACGGTTACATGACTCTGCGGAGAATTGGGATAACGGGAAACATGGCATTTGAACCACGCTTGGCAGCTCAATCGGCTTGCGGACACAAGCACAGGATACCCTTTGATTTTGGACGAAGACGGCACAAGCCGCAATTGAAACGGATGCATGACAATGGATACACTAATACAATACAACACCTTGATATCTGCTGAGTTTCTGCCCCTTCTGCATGAGAGTAGTTCCGAATATTGCACGATACTGCGAACCAACCAACCACAACAACGCCAACAAAACGTTTTAAACAGAGTTTATCAACCAACTCATCCATGACGGAGAAAGAGGGTCTGACAGACGCATGTCAGTCTACGCAGGGTCCCCGTACGTTTGCGACCAAACTCTACAAGGTCATTGAAACGAATATCGCGAGGGACTATACACTTGCTTATAAGGCTCCTTATTACATTCAATAGTCTCTCTCAAAGGTTCCCTATATGTTTGTCTAGTCTCTCACCCTTCGCCTTCGCAGGCATTAACTACAGTCCTCGGGCCGAACGCCACTTACTCGCACATACAAGACCGTCGACACGGCAAGTGGGTGTCGGGCAGGGCAAAGGAACGTGCACCCGGTCTCCTTTAATTCCCCTTTTGTCTGTTCACTTGCAAGCTTCAGGATGTGTAGATTGAAACACGCATGGCGCCTTCTTTTTTTTTTTTTTTCTGGACCACTTGGACTGGGCAGGTGGCCGCGAGTCGTGGGCGGCCAGCCGTGCGCACCAGCAAACCTTAAATAGACAAATCCTCCTGACGCTTCTGATTACTCTTCTCATATTATCAGATGCGATTTCGATCTGGAACTTTTGCTGCCTTGTTTCTACTTTGCTCATCCCTTGCTTCCCCTCCTGGTGGGACCGTTTTCTGGGTTATTTATGGCTAGGAGTCAAGGCCAAGCTTTGCCCTTGATGCAGCCTGTCAAACGTGGTGGTTGGTGTGGTGTGCGATGTCCGCTTTGCGCCCAAACATCTTCAGGCTTCCCGCAACGTTCGACCGCGAAGCCACATCAAGCCATGGCAAATCCCGCAGGCCTAGTAGACGCCGCCTATCACATCTCACCACTGCGCCGTGGCCGAGTCTTCGCCGCTGTAGCTTCGGCGGCCCCGAGTAGGAATCCAATGTATTTTGCTGGCTCCGGGTATTCTCTGCCGGGTATTCTCTGCAGCCCAGGTGCGGAATGGGCAACGGGTGATGCCGTTTTCTGACATACTACCTAGATGACTTGTCAAGACGCGAGAGCATGGATATGCCCTGTTTCATCAACGGGCGCGCGCAGTTCGTTTGTGGGGGTCGGTCATCCCAGCTCTCTTACACCCCCTCCCCCTCTCTCTTGCATTCACTGTCCATGCTGCTCCCAAGGCTGCCCGCTATCGGTGATACAGTACATGCTCTCATCATGGATGAATGGAGCCCAACTATCGGTCCCAGTACGTGGCACCAGACTGCATGGCAGGTGCATCACGTTGACAACCGGGCTCCCCGCCGCCTGCCCCCTCTGGCTCGGACATTGCACCACGGGGCTGGGACAAAAAGGCTGAGAGGGTAGGGGTATATGCGGCCTTTACGCTGACGGATTGGAAGCGATACTCGGGGCTACGAAAGACGATTCAAACGGGTAAGAACGCGACAGTACGGATAACAATACACAGTATATGTGGAATGGACGTGCAAGTTCCGCCGACAGCCATTGACACGATGTTGTCTCAGTTTCCGCTACGGCCTGCCTTGATTGTCATCCTGGGTATTCCCTGACCCTTGTTTGCTGCTGCCGATTGACAACCGGGTTCCTCCATGGGCCACGGCGGACGACCCTGGCCAGCAGCGCCGTCAACTATGTAGAGTTTACCAGGGAGTCGGGGGGGATTTGTATTCGGCAACGACTTCTGCGCAAGTACGGCGCAGAAACGCCCTTTATCCCTGTTGTTTATTGGCACCAATAGCCTGATTGGCCTTCCAAAAAAATTTAGCGTTGCGAGTCGACAGGGCTTCGACTGCATCACCCGTCTTGGCTCGCTTGGAGCGGACCGTTGACAGGGAGGGTACACGTGGGACATGTCAAGAAGTGTCAAGACGAGCTGCGCGCGTAGTTGGAAGAAAAAGGCCGTGGACGTACCGCCAAGATGGTGACTGAGCACGCATTTGTTGTGGCACTCTGCTATAACAAATTCTCCGGGACTGTCAACTGGCTCCGCCCCATAGGCTGTGCTGGCAGCATGCAATGCGCATACATGGTTGGAGATGGCTTCACAGCCGAGAACAGGGTCTTTATCACCGATGGCATCAGGTCGGCTATCGGCAACTGCGCTGCTGGCAGATGCTGGTTGGTGCTTTTTTGGGTCGCTTCGGGTGCGGCTGAGGTCTGGCCCTGGAAAGCTCGGAAACAGTCACTGGGAAATGGTAAAAAAAAAGACCCTTGTCGGTCGAGTCCTGTGGACATGAATGATGCGAAGTGGTGGTCCAGCTGCCGTGCTTTCTGCCGTCCGACGGCGGCCGTGCGGCCTCACTGCCTCAGCCGCAAGGGCAAAGGCTATCTAACAAGGTGGTAGATGCTTCTTCTCTACGGATGTATAGATCACGAATACACATACTTGCTTCTTCCAGCATCTCATTCTCGTCTCAGCACTCTGTAGCCAGAAAGACGTTGCTCTCCAAATCGCCGTCAGTCTCGCTCGTTGTGCAGTGACCACGAAGGAAGTCACTGGAAAGAAACCCCGACTGGGGGGGGGGGGGCTTTCAGGTTATCATGTGACAGCAACTGGCGAAACCGAAAACGTTCAGCTGTATTTGTATATTTATTGGAGCAAATTAACTCTACCAATACAGTAGAGTTGTACTGAAAAGCGATGGAGACTTATTCGTATGGACTGCTTTATTTGACATGTGTTCCCCCCTCCCGATAGGCAGGTTCCGGGACATCTTGACAGGTTCTTTGTTCTTTCTTGTCCTCTTCACACCCAGGCGTGGTGGCAAGTTCTGGCAGGCCCCGTAAGGCGAGAGAGGGCCGCCTAAAAAGAAATCCCCGGTGAAAGCTTCAAGTCAAAGCCCCTCGACCACGCGCCAGGGAAGCCTTGACGACTCATTTGGACCCCAAGGAAAGAAAGTTAAAGCTGATAATTATGGGGCAAGTCGCACGGAGTCCCTTTTTGACGTGTTGCGGAGAAGAAGCCCCCACAGCGAAGTGTCTTTCTTTGGGGTCTGGAAAGTTTCCGGGAATTGCGAAGTTGAGATTGGTACTCCGTACAGCTCGAGCGTTTCTCGGTTGCATGCCTGTGGCCTGCAGGCGAGCTTGTCTTGCAAGCCCGTTTAGATTACACGTCTGTGGCCTGGCATTGAATACGGTCCTAAATCGACGGGTTTTCAGGCGAGCTAATGACTTGGCTTTTCAGGTTGATGAAGAGTTAGCGGCCGTGCGGTGAGGGGGGGACGGGATCTGCGCGCAATTCGCTGGCGATATCATCAGAATGTCCCGCGCCGTTTACGAATAAGCCGATAGAGGGTGACTGGTCTGATTAGGATCGAACCAAATTTCCATCAAGGAATAAGCCGATTGAAGGGTGTATGTAACTGGCTTGATTGGACTGGAACCTCAACTGGACGACCATTGGACGGGGGCGGCCTCTCAGCTTTGGTTTTCTTATGCCATGATTCCTTGGCACGTGCGTGAAAGCGGGAAGAAGAAACCGGTTCCGATGCTGCAGGTTGCCTACGGATAGCCTAACCGCCGCCCCGTGTCAACTGACGGGGCGCTCGGACTTGATGGTTTCGCAAGACTGATTGGCCCCAGCTACGAAGGGGGGGGCTGTAATAAAGGACAAGTCCCTCCAACCCTCAGGGGAGAAACGCGAGAAAGCTACAACAAGGTCGTGGAAATGAGGGAGCTCCGTCATGGCGGCGCTGGTAGACCTCGCGCATGGACCGACATGGTGATGGCGCGATGGGCTTGAAGCTTACTAGGAATTAGGCTTTGGGGATGCGAATTTGCACATCCAAGCGAGTCGACACCCGTTCCCGAAAACTCGGGACTGTGGCGTCGGGGTAAGAAAGGTACAGAGCGGCTACGAATCCATCTTTTTTGTCTGTGTATTTCGTAGGTTTGTGTCGACGTTTCACCTCGAGCTCCACTAGTGACAGTGCCGAGGGGGGCAGGGCAGGGCCATTCATGGCACAGGCCTCCTACTTGGAAATATGTAATCGTACAAATTAGTTACTAGCTGCATTGACTGCGCAATGGGGGGCGGGTGGTACGCCGTGCCAACAACCTGCCCGCTTGTATGTAGGTAGGCTGTCATCCTGTCTCTCGGACGCAACTCCATGAGTCGTTTTGTCAATCGCACCACCTGACGTGTCAAGGATCCATGCCATCTACCTTCGTCTCCGCCCTTGTCAATTTCAGAGGTTCCGCGGCGTGTCCTTGCCCCCCCCACGTTAACAATGTATCAAGTAACTAGTTATTTAGCGACCAGCCATTGTCGTAAGGTCTGGGCCGGTATGCGGGAGTCGCAGGGTGGGGGCCATCACGATTCCTAGAGATTGGGCATTAACTAGTTGCTTGATGCTGAAATGAATGCATCGCAGACCCTGTAACATTCACTCGACGTCTGTTGTTCCAAGGTGCGGAAGTTCCGTTCTTCCGAATACCTTCCTGTTGGAGACGGCTCAAACAGCAGGGTTGTGACATGCTGTGAGACAATGGCGGGCCTTTCCCAATTTTCCCTTTTAATAAGTGATGTCTCAATTGAGTGCTATACGTCCATTTTTAGGTTAAGAAACGATTCACCAGCGCATGGTTAGCGATTTTCTGCTCTGTAGGAATCGCATGTCCAGTGGCTTCGCGTCTCGCCCAGCACCTCCACAGGGAGCTCAAGCCCACCCAGGTTGGATCCTTCTGACATCCACAGTTGCTCATTGCCACCGGGCTAGGTATGTCTCTTAGTCCAGACACCAAAATCCCTCCAAATGTGTGATGCTCATACTGTAACTAGATATAAGGGAAAGAAGATGATTTTTGAAGAATCCTCGTGTGCTCTGGCGAGTTGGCCGACAGCTTTCGGCTCTTGTCAACTAAGTCCGAGCCGGATAAGGGATAAGGCTGACGCAACCAAAAACGACGCTTAATAATCGGCCGACGTCACTAGGCGGCACTTGACATTTAGCGCTTCACGAATGATGACTCCGGGTTTGAAGATGACCTTGAAAATTCGACCTCTGCGCGGCGTCTCTGTCAATACGGCCGCCATTTACGTGAAAAAGTCGAACATGGGTCTTCATGCCACTGGGATACGCACCGCTTTCAGTTAATCGGAGCCTGCCGTAGCCGGTTTGCCTGCCCATTCCAGACCGCGCGTCGTTCACCATCGCGACGGACCGATATGGCGGGAAATACTGCTTCCGATGTGCCCGAGGCCGATGCGGCCGCAGATCTGGAGCCTCTCTCGTGTGTGTCTTGTCGTTCCAAGAAGCTCAAGTGCGACCGCAGCAAGCCGTCGTGTGCACGATGCGTCAAGGCCAATGGCGAATGCCTATATCCGGAATCGCGTCGAAAACCAACTTTTAAGCGCAAGAATGTCAAGGAACTGGAAGCCCGCCTAGGTACACTCATTGCGGGAGCATTAATTCTGCTTTAAACTAAAGAAACCTAAAATGCTGACACTCAAGTAGCTCAGGTTGAGGGCATGTTAAAAGACATCAATGGAAAGGAGCCTAGCCAGGGCTCTACTGAGGATCTCGAGCCATCTGATGGCGGGTTTGCCAATTTCAGTCTTGATCCTACAGATCGTTTACCAAGCTTGGCGCCAGACGTCGCTGCAAACCCCTTCTTGGAAGCAGGCGCTGGCAGCCACAATGGAGACCATCAGAAAGAGTCGCAACTCATCGGCCTTGGCATGACCGAGGCGTTGCCTCCTTTTGAGGTCATGGAAGACCTGTAAGTGTGGCCGCCTGTCTTTGTTCCGAAATATTCTCAACGGCGATTGCAGGCACAAGATATTCTTCGCTACGGCCTATCACATGGCCCCGGTCGTGCATTCAGGGAGGTACTTGAGCGCCTTCTACGGCGACCCTTTACGCCGCCCAGCCATGTGCCTTCAAAACGCAATCTGGGCACTGGCGTCTCTTGGCCACTCAAAATACGATGCCCATGCCGACATATTTTATCGCCGCGCACGGCATTACATCCATGCAGACGAGATGAGAGTAGGTCTGGGCAGTTGGCTCATCGCAATCATGTCACTGACGCGGGGACACAGGACGATGGCGAGCATTTCATGACTCTGAATCATGCACAGACGTGGGTCATTCTCTCGACATTCGAGGCCAAAAAGATGCTCTTCACCCGAGCGTCCATGAGCTGTTCAAGTTCAGTGCGCATATGCCAGATGATGGGCCTCGACCGGCTGGACGGTGGCATCGATGATCTGCCTCCTGCTTTGGGGCCTGCGCGGTCTTGGATTGAGCGGGAGGAGAGGCGGCGCGTTTTCTGGGGCGCTTTTGTGATTGACTGCCATGCCTCGATATCGACAGGTTGGCCCTACCTCATCAATGCAGAAGATGTAAGTGATTCCCCCGCCCCGGCATTGTCAAGAATTCTTGGACGATGTGCTAATCGGCGAAAACTAGATCATGACACGACTTCCTGCCTCTGAACCCGCTTTTGCTTCTGGGGAGGAAGAGCAGACAGCCTATCTGCACGAAGTGTTTGAAGGCGCTTCGTACGCAGGATTTGCTGGCACTATTGTTACCTGCCAATTGTTCAAGTCGATACTGCGGCACGTCCACCGACCAAAACCGGACGACAATCCAGAAGATATGGCGCACGGCGGCTTCTGGAAGCGGCATCGGGAACTCGACAACCAACTGTCCAGCGTCTTCATGTTCCTGCCGGAACGGTTTCAGCTGCCGGCCAACACCCAAGACCCAGGTGCCATCCATGTCAACCTCAATCTTCACGCCTCCATCATCTGCCTGCATCACGCGGCACTGGAGCTTGCAGAGAGACATGGGCATCCCCGGGCCATCATCGATGAGAGCATACGCCGCTTGAAAACTTCGGCGGAAGAGGTCGTCAACATTGTCAAAATGACGGCTCACAGAACAGGCATATTTGTAAGTGTCCCCCGCTGCCAGCTGTGGCCCCAAGTACGCGCTGACCCCCGTCGCAGAAGAGCCCAATGTCGGCCATTGCCATGTACTGCGCGACGACCGTCTATGTCTACATGGCAAAAGCCGACCCATCCCATGACATGAGCCCGGTTGATGTGTCCAACCTCGAAGTCATTATCCACTCCATGGAAGCCATCGGTCGCAGCCACCAAATCACCATGTCCCTTTTACAGCAAGCATGCCACGACATTGACGCCAACGGCCTCGCGTACAAAATCCGGTTCCCGGCCCTGGCCAAGTACCGCATGTCGGGCATGCGCGGGGTGGCGAGCATCCCGCTCTTTGTGCGGAGCTCCGTCTCGCGCAACTCTGAAATCATGCCCGTCCTCCCCGGACGCCTGCCGCTCGAGAACCCAAAGGGCCAGCGGCTCGACGTCGTGCCGCGCAGCGCCGAGGCAATGGCAAAGAAGCTCACCGGCGTCGATTGCTACCAGGCCATGATTGGGCCCGCGAGTCGCAACGTGTCCCGCGGCCCGCACCCGCCGACGGTGGTTGACGTGACCGAGACCGCGACGCACGCCAGTAAGCGAAAACGAACGTCGGACAGTCCGTTTCCGCGCGACGGGCACGGCAGCAGCATCTTGGCGCACCCGGCGCCGGAAGCGAACCCGTGGAAAAGCGGACACAATGGCTTCGGCAGCAACGTCTTTGCCCTCCCCGATCGCTCCTCGCCGTCGAATACGTCGGGAGGCGCGGCCACCAGCAGCAGCAGCCACGAGTCCCCGGCCGGCGGCGGCGGCGGCGTGGGCACGAGCACCGTCTTTGGCTTGGGCAACACGCCGGCGGAGAACCGCATCGATCTCCGCGCGTTTCAGGAGCGCATGGTTAACTCCATGTGGTCCGGCCAGGACGAAATATTCGCGGCGCAAATGACCAATTCGCTGATTGACACGGGCGGGTTCCCTGGTGGCGCCAGCATGCCCTGGGATTTTCTCACCGACGAGTTGCCGCCGTGGAATGGGCCATGACGTATATCAACGGCCCATGTGATGACAGGAGCACACTCTACAGTTATGATCAGGCATTCTCCTCTTTTTTACAATCCATTGGGTGGTTGTCGGGCGGGTGGCGGTGTTGCATTACCAGGGTGGGATGCCTCTTCACTCATTGATTTGAACTGGATGGCATTTCACTGATTTGCTACAAAATTTATGTATCATATATAATGACGGTGTTATGGTGGCTGGATCTAAAAAGAAAACTCTCCTTTGCTTGAATATGACAACTCCATGTCTGGAAGCTACCATCTTGTGTCCGCCCGTAACCGCTTCGTTTCGCATTATTCAAGTAGCGGTAGGCAAGTACATTGGCCCATCCCTTCTATATACTTTGCTTGCGCGTTGGGCTGGACTCGACATTCTTATGTAGACGAGCGAAATGCGGCAAATGATGTTGATGCTCTAGTGTATAATAAGTTTAAAATCTATACAATTATAACTCTACTTTTTTTGGATATACAAAAAAGCATTCTAGGATATCTCCTAGACCCAACTAGATCAATGCAAAAACGCCGACGCGATGCTGTAAATGCTCAACACACACATGTTGTCTAAAAGACGCGAAAAGCGCCCACAATGAGCATTGCAAATAAAGTAACCGCCAAGCACTGTCTCTCGAGTAGGACAGAAGAGGCCGCGAGGCTCGCAACAGGAAGTCCGGATTTCGCAGCCACAGGGTTGGGAGCCGCCGTTGCGTCTGGAAGCTGATTTGTGCCTGGACTGATTTCCACAACGTCAGAGCCCGACGGCTCGGCATTAAAGTTGCTCTGAGCCAAAGCCACTTCATGATTGGCCATGTCGTAGACAACGTACGCGCTGCGTAGAAACGTGTCACCAAGAACAATTGCTCCTCGGCCAGACGGAAATATGCCAAAAAGGCAAGCGTTGGTGCCGTCTTGCAGCCTAGGTTGCACTCCATTGGCAGTGATGATTGGCAACACAAGCTCTCGTAGTAAAACGGAGATGGATGCTGGCTTGCTGAAGTGGAATTCTATGCTCTCGTCACTGAGTCCCCTGTCACAAGAAATAACCGCCAGTTGCGATTTCTCAAGCCACGTTGCGTTGACTGCTTGGAAGACTGCGTTCGCCAGGTCGTTGGGCAGGTATGTCAGGGATGATCCTGTATCAAGCAGCACAGCCAGTGCCATGTCAGTTGCGATGGACTTGGAGCCGGCATCTAGCCCTGTCATGGTGATGAAGAACTCGCGGTAGCTCGACCCGACTTTTTGCACGGGGACAGTCACCAGGCTGCCCTGATATTGCGATTTGTCGACGCCTCCAAATAGTAGACTTCCCGTCGTCGAGTTTATGTTATCAAGCCAAATGCTATAAGCGTTGGCGCCAACGTGCTTGTCCGCAAACAATCTCGCGGGGAGGTTGTTGTATGGCTGATGCCCGAATCGGGCGGATTGTATCTCGTTTTCAGGGTACCCGATTCCCAGAATGCCCTGTTGGCTGCTGCTCGTGTATCCAACTCCAAATTGAAAGTCATCGATGCCAATGTTCCCAAATCGAAACGTGTCGGTAACATAGTCGCCATGTGCACTAGATCCGTCCACGTAAGATATATTGAACTGGCTGTTCAAGTATCCATACGTCGAGGATGAGTTGCAATTGTAGGTTCCTGATTCGGTGCAAGCTTGATCTGATGACCTGCATAATGATGAACTTGCTGTATTTACCCAAAGATCACTACTGCCTGTATCGAGATGGAGACGCAAGTTTTGAGGTGGAGTGCCGAGTGATGCATTGAGGAAATACAGAGTTTGCTATAATCTGGTCATTAGAAGTGCTGATATGCAGTAGATTTGTCAAACTAACCAGATTATTGACATCTTCTTGAACGGTTCCTTCGCGCCTCATGATTCGTTGCCTGTCATGCAGAACGGGATCCTGGATGTTGCTCCGGTGAAGAGATAGCTGAACGACACGAGAATCGCCTTCTCGGCGACCTTTTGTGACTTGTCCATTTGACAGCCATTGTAAAAGACAGAATATGGTCGCCAATATAGCTTGACAGCGCATCTTTGGTCACAGTGCTTTAGCCGGACGCTGCAGCCGGCGTGCACCTCCCCACAGACCAAAGTTCGCAATGCGGTGCCAAGGCTATATCAGGAGCCTTTTTTGCGGTACTTGATTCACTTTATATGGTTAAAGTGGCTCGAAATGGCCTATGCAGCCAATTTTTTTGGAACTGGAATACCGGTGCGGTGGTTGTAGAGTCAACACGTGCGTGTGGCGGCGGCGGTAAGCTGCTCGGGACAGCCGGCTGAGAAGAAAGAATATTTGATTAACAGCTTGAATGTTGCCAATTAAACAAAGATGAATGGTGTATTATCCAAGAAGAAAATAATCCAAGAAGAAATGGAGGAAGAGAACGCTCCCGTTATATTATCTGATTGGTTGTAGGCGTGGTGGTGTTGACGTGAGGACGGGCTGTGGAGACGTCACGAAGAAGACGTCACAGGGTAATTCGGCCGTGAAGCGTAGGTTCTCTCAGGAAGGAGTATGAGGGTAGGTTTTTTTCTTCTTCTTTTGATGGCGATGGTAGGTCAGGCTATGCCCATTAAGAGCCTAAAAAGGTAGAAAGTTCTGTGCAGGAGCAAAGCAGGCAAAATTGAGCTCTCAGCTTGTGTTGGGGAGGTCGCATCCGGGGCCGCCAATGCCGTCCTCATGGACTGATGCAATGGTGGGTGTGATAGGATGCCGATATAGCCAGAGGCCAGAATGGCTGAAATCCGTCCTCCCTCTTCTGACGAGGCAAGGGGCGGTCCGGCTGCCAAGGATGTTCCCAGAAGACTCCTTTTCAGGAAACAGGCCTGGAGCCGCGCGCTGTTGGTGTACCTGAGAACACCGGATGCTGCGGGACTAGTGTCGGGACGAAACCAAGCCTCTGACGTGTGGCCGGGCCGACGTCTGGGGTTAGTTTCGTAGTTGTGAGATGCCTAGTTTCGCAGTTGCGAGTAATGGTCAGTGCCACCCGACGCGCAATCGTAACCAGCCTTCAGGACAACTTGAATACTCTAGCCGCTTACTTGTCAATTCAGTACGGCAAAACTCCATCCATGGCGTGGTGGGGAGCTACCCTACATCAGGTTGCTCTTCTGCCGTGTTGGCTGCGTTGCTAGCATTCCGTAACCGGTAATAATACTCTAAAGAACTGTACTGGTAGTACATTATCCCATTTATGATGCTTTTGTCGATGCAGATCTTTATTTTTCTTCTTATCTCGCCGCATTGTCTACCTCAGCGGATGTGCAGCTAGTTTCGATTGCATATCGAATTTGCTTGGCTCGCTTATTAAGACGCATAAAAAAAAAAGGCCAAGATGCACATATGTACCACCCTGACCCGAATCGGTGCGCGCCGCCACTCAGCCTGACAGCCGTTACAAGGGCCAAAAAACGTAAAGCATAACGACAAAAAGTAATGCAGATAGCAGCAAAAAACAGCAGCTGGTGTTCGCTGGTAGTCACCAATCCAACCACTAATCTGCCAGTCAGTAACTAGTTAGCTTGACTTCAGCGGAACGGGAAGTCTTCACGCTATGATTTTTCTTTTTAATAGCCATGAGCCGATGTTTCTCCGCCCCGCCTGCAATTATCCTGCACATAGCTAGTACATTGCCATGCAAATCTAAAGCTGTAATTCCATCAACTTGGACAACTTTCCATCCTGCCTTTGTAAGAGCGTTTTCGGGCTACCCGCCTCCACCAGGCTGCCCTGCTCCATGACGACCATGACGTCCGAATCCAAAATGGTGTGTAGGTGATGCGCCACGACGATCTTGGTGTACGCCTCGAAATCTTCCTTCAGCACTCTTTGTACTGCTTCTTCTACGTCGGCATCCAAATTGCTCGTCGCCTCATCGAGGAGGAGGATGCCCTCCTCGCTTTTCTTGGAGAGAATGAGCCGTGCTAGGCTAAGGAGAAGTTGTTCACCGCGGGACAACTCGTCGGCTTTGACTTCGTGGTCAAACCCGCCTAGTCGTTCGACAAGATGCGCAAGACCGACGCGCTCCAATGCGGTGGATAGGGCTTCATCGGTTGCGTTGCATTCGGGGTCAATATTGACTCGGAGGCTAGCTGGGATAATCAGGGGATCTTGTGTGGCGACTAGGAGCCGTTCGCGAATGACTTGGCGAGGTAATGTGGTAATGTCTATACCGTCGATGACGATGGTGCCAGAGTGGATTTCTACTAGGCGAAGCATTGCGCTTATGATGGAGCTTTTGCCGCTTCCTGTGCGCCCGCAAATCCCAACAGTCTGTCCTGGCTCGATTGTGAGGCTGAAATCCCGGACGCCAGACGAGCTGTCTTCGTAGAATGCGCTCAAGTTGTTGAACTGGATTGCACCATTCGCTGGCCATTGCGCAGTGGCTACGACACACTCCTCCGCCCTGTCTTCTGGCTGCACAGCTGCTTCAAAGCCCTTGAGACGCGCAATAGAACCTAGCGAGGTTTCGAGCATGGTCCAACCGCCGAGGAAGTTCGAGAGGGAGGCACTGAAAGACAGAACGTTGTTGAGCGAAACACCGAGAAGACCGGGGCTTGTTGATCCGCGGATACCAACAGCTAAGCCGACGACGAGAACTGCTTCAGCGGCCACAATTAGATCGAGTACGAGGTTAAGCCATCTCTGAATGCAGTAGAGGAGGTAGCATGGTCGCTGGGACTGGTCGAGTAGCTCAACGTTGACGTCCCGGAATGCCTGCGCCCAAGCGAATATGCGGATAGTCATTAGTCCAGATGCAGTCTCCGCAAAGTGGGTGTACAGAGGACTCTTCGCTTCGAGGTCGAGTATACGAAGCTGTCGAGACGTACGAAGGTAAACCTTTTGCAAAGCCCAGATGGCAAACACAAGAAGCGGAATGGTGGCAGCCATGTATGAGGAGCCGGTTGCGACGAGGCCTGCAGCCAGCAACGCGGAAAAGAGGTTTGTGACGCTCACGAGAACGCCAATGGCCAGCTGTCCTTCGATAATGGTCATGTCCTGCGTGAACCTGTTCAAGATGACGCCGCTGTCTGTGCTGGTAAAAAGGGCCTGCGGGGCATGCATGACAGTTCGTACGAGAATGGCGTGGAACTTGCGAGCCGTCGAAGGGGATATCTTGACGATAATTGCCCAAACATACGCCCCCATGGAGAATGAGTTGAGGAATGCAAGGCCAATGAACACGCCGATGTGTAAGCCAATCCGCGCACCGCCTGCCTCTGTCCACCACTTCAGCCAGATCTGAGAAAAGCCGGAGCTGAAGACGTTAACGGCAGCGGAGAATAGAAAGAAAAGCCCGGGAAACCAGTGTATATGGCGAGAATAGTATTTATAGACCGCCAAGTCGTCTGTTGACCTGCTCAGATCGTCGATTTGTTGTGCTCGCTTGAGCTTAGAGACATCGGCCTGGGCCGGTGGTACAATGACTGGAGTAACGGACGCCTCACTGGCGTGCTTGAGCTGAAGGGCCTCGGCCTCTTGGCTCGACGTTTCCTCGACGGTCCCATTGGCCAAAACAAGAACTTTATCTGCGTACTTGAGAAAGTTTGCGGTGGACGTAGCCAAGAGAGTTGTGGTCCTGCTGTCTCGGAGGAAGCCGCCCTCGCCAAAGAGTGCCATGCATACCTTTCTCTGCGTCGCCCAGTCTAAGGCGGCGAAGACGTCATCCAAAATAAGCATCTTAGCGCCGGAGTATAGAGCGCGAGCGAGGCTCACACGGTGTCGCTGACCGCCACTGAGGCACGACCCGTTCGAGCCAAGCTCAGTATGGTCGCCGTTTTCAAACTGGCTAATATCTTGATCCAAGTCGCAGATACGCAAGCATCTTTTGTATCTAGCTTCATCGTATGGGTTGGCGGCAGTACTGGGGCCGAGAATGGCAGCTTTGAGAGTAGTGTTGGGCAGCCAGGGGCTCTGAGAGCAGTATGCGATGCGACTGTCGGATATAGTCATGGATCCGCCTTGTTCAATGGGTAGTTCGCCTAGGATAGATTTGAGTAGGCTTGATTTCCCTGCGCCAACTGATCCAGCGAGAATAGTTAATGATGCATGCGGGACGGACAAGTTCATATTTGTGAGGATTGGATCGGCTCGTGGTGCTGGTCGGAGAGTGACGTTCTCAAATTGGATGGCATTCGCCGAAGATGGGACTCGATTTTCAATCTGGGTAAGGTCTTTTAATTTGATACCACCATCGATCGCTGACTGCGCATCAGACGAAGACGATGCTTCAAGTGAGCGCTGATCACCCTTCGGTTTGGTGAGTAAGAAAGCCTGAATGCGGTCAAAACATCCAATGGTTGATGCTGTGGACGGGATGGCGCTGACGAGCTTCGCAGTAGGGTTTGTCAAGAGGTGGATGATGGCTAAACTTGAGAAGGCCGTGACGGCATCTAGAGTCTCGTCTCCGCGAGCAAGGGCCTGACCAGCGTAGATGGCAAACGTCAATGCCGGTGTGAGGGCCCACGGCAGGTTCTGGACGACATTTTGCCAGAGAATGCTCCATCGAAACGCCGCCATGCGAAGCGTCTCGTCGATGCGATACTGCTGAAGCATGGACTCAATAACGTCGCGCAATCCGAGCATCTTGATGTTTCTCATGCCTGCCAAGATAGAAGATGTGAACGACACGCGGGCCTGGACGGCGTTGACCCAAATCTTTTGTTTGTTGCCAATGGTCTTGGTTACCAGGGCACCTCCTAAGAAGGCGAAGATAACGAGAACAATAGGCACGACAGAGACCCAGCCGAGCTGAAGCGACAGCAGCGTAATTCCAATGATGACTTCAATAGTCTGTGACCAAACCTCATTTACTTCAGGTAAAGCAGCGGCAATGCGGTCTAAATCTGTGCTCATAAGCGTAAGGGTGGCAGACTTGTTGCCGTCGCCGTCGGCGAGACACAAGAGATGATCGTAGATGCAGCACTCAGCACCACCGCGAAACATGATTATGAAGCGGTGCATTGCCTGGTTATGATGCAGCTTGCATACTGCCAATCCGAGGTAAATCAGAGCGGTAGCCCCGATTAGGCTATATCCAACCGATGTGCTCTCTTCAGTAGCAGGCTCCCCGAGAAGCGTCAAGGTGCGTTGAATGAGAAATACTTGGGCAAAGGTGAAACCAATGTCAAGAATTCGCGGGAATGCAGCCAAAGCAAGCTGTTTCCCGAAGGCTCGAAATACGGTGTATACGAATTCCAAACGCCGTTCTGGTCTCTGTCTCGTTATCCACGCATTCTGGAACTTGCGGCTGAGATGCGCCCCGGCCAAGTCAGGATCTAGGCGAGGGAGATGGTCGACGGAGAGCTCTGATCGAAGACCCGTGACGAAGAGGCCATTTAACCAGAACTGGAAACTTCGGCTAATGATGCCCGCGGTAGCCTCGGGTGGCAGCTCGTGGTATTCCGGTTTCAAGACGCATCGCTTGGATCGAACTTCGAAGACGAGGAGGACTAATTTGCTGGCAAGCCGACTGGCAAACATGGTTGCGATTGGGATGCTGAAGCCAACCAGCCAGAGAGTGCGAGCCTGAGCAAGATCCAGCAGAATCGTGAAAGCGAGATATGCACTGAGGATGGTGGATGGCCTAACGGCTCGACGATCCTCCATGTGGGCAAGCACGGGGAGGACAGCAGCTGCAATCAGGTCTACCGAGGAAGAAGCAATGCCCAATTCGGCATGCTGTGGTCCAATGCGTGTCCAGAGAACAAGAAGAGTCATTTGAATGGCGGCAAAGACAAAAGCGACGACCTGGTGACCATGATCAGAAATAAGCCGTCACATTCAGTGACTGGTCTTTTCACGTACCAGCTTCGCTCTTGGGGCGAGGCTATCCACGGTCCTGATTGGCTGTCGAGAGAGATATAACACCCTCAACATCGCAGTGATGAGGAAGATGGCTGCCGGAATGAGCCCGAAGATGGCCTGCTCCGCAGCGAGCGTGAAGTCGAGACTTCTGCCATCGCAATCTTGGATGGCAACGACTTTGAAGCCATTGTAGCAGGCAGCCATGCTGTTGAAGTCGGGATTGGGTTTCGTTCTTGCGTGCGCGCGTGAGCGTGGCCGCGTGCAAAAGAAAGGAGGCTCCAGTGCTAATTCTAAGAGTCAGGCTGGGCAGGACCCTTAACACCAAACATGAGCAAATTTGACAAGGAGAAATAGAAAAAGAAAGAATGCAACAATTACTCAATCTCATAAATAATCAGTGACATATTTTGCGAATCTATCCATTCGCAAACACCAACATTGGTTCTCTCGCAGCATTTACTTCCACCGCGCTTCTGGCCTTTGACCGGTCGAGTCATTCGCCGCACGATCTCCCCGCCCCTAGCCTGATTTACAAATCAATTTCGTGGAGCCCTGTATTGCTGAACCTATTTCCTACGTATGGAGCCAGAGGGCTGGATTTTGCAATGTAGAATTTGAATCTTGTCATGTAGCCAGCCACACAACGGCTATGTACCCCTTGACAGAACTTCTCAGCGGCGGTCGAGCGGCAGCTCGGTCGCCGGGAGTACGGCGGACCGCTGCTCGTCCGTGACAAAGTCACATTCGCGGAAGGCCATAAACTCGGAGATGGTGACGGTGTCGTAGCATTCTGGGGTCTGCCACGTGAAGCTGAGCTTGTCGAAGACTCTTAGCGCTTCAACAGGTACCTGTTATCGCTTGTGGCGCAGGGTCACTAACACGGGCTACGGGACTACCCGGGGCTACATGGACTACAGCGGACTGACCTTCCGGACGCCCGCAGTCAAAAGAACCAAGCATTTTAAATCAGATATTTACGGCAGTTTCCAAGAATGCGTCAACTACATGCTCCGATGACTTCTTTTCCTGACATTAGAATAGTCGGAAGCCTTCAAGCAGCACAGCAACAAGCCCTCTGATTAGTCAAGGGCTGGGCTAGACCCACTTCATCCAGGCACACAACCTTGGCGATGGCGTCCTTCCACAAACACTTTCACATCACAAACAACATCAGAAGACAAGAACAACACAAGTTATCATTCTATCTTTACTACCGCGATACGTACCGTAACTGGGTACCAAAAAGAATACTATTCCCTACATGTCAAGCGTGACGACCGTTTGGGTGGCAGAGCCTAAGAAAGGGCTCAATTGCACCGTTTTACACAGGTGTTGGCTCACAACCCTGGTTTTTACTCAATGAGCCTTGTTATTATTATCCATCATATTACAACAGCTCTGATTTTTATCACCATGTTTGGTAGCCCAACTCATGCCCCGGCAGTCACGCATGGGTGGCGCCAAACTATTTGATTTTGTTTCAGCCCAGCTTGAGGCGACAGGTTCAGCCCAGCTGCGGCTGAAAAGACCCTCATGCATGACCGCCGTTTAAAACTGCATTGTGCCCATGCCGCGTGCGCCAAGAGAAAGTCATCTTGCATCGAGCAGATCCCGCCGGCTGCCATGGCTCAGAATACTCGTGTCCGCCAAGCTGCCACCTCTCTCGTCACGCAGTTCCCAGCAAACGGGCGCATTCCTTTCAAGCAGATCCTGCAGGCGACCTGGGTGGCCACGGTCGCTCTCATTCTCGGCATAGGCTTTGTTTTGGGCGTCGTCTTCTCCTCCGACGGAAAGCCCACCAGTGGCAGCACATGGTATCAGCACACGCCCACATTCGTCTCCTTGGGCGCCGTCGTGCTTCGAGGCTCGGTCGCCGCTCTGCTCGGTATCGCGCTGTACCAGAACCTCTGGCAGAATGTGGCCACGCAGGCCCCGACCAAGAAGGACGGGCTGGTCGAGACAGGCGCAGAGGGCATTCCGGTCAAGACAGTCGAGTCTCTGCACTTGGCTTCGCGGCTGGCCGTCGGCATGCTGGCACATCCATCGCTGAAAGCAGGCTGGGTGATTGGGGTCCTGGGGCTCGGCGTAGCCTCTGCTGTCCAGCCCGTTCTGCAGTCCGCCATTGCCGTCCGACAGCAGAAACAGACTGTTCCCACAAGCTTGTCATTATACCACCCCCAGTTTAATGGATCGCTCGCCCAGAGCGATTCTGCCGCGATGTATGCATCAGGCCCAACAACCATCACGACCAGATCGTCCATCGCAGCTCTGATGGGAGAGAACAGCGGACTTCGGTACACGGACGCCAATGTTACAGGAGTGGCACATTTCGGGCCCGTCAACTACCTTGATGTTACTTGCAACATTTCAGCTACGCCGGGAACCGAATCTAACCTGGCAGGCTGGGATGTGTACAACTTTACCTACCGATATCCAGACTCAGCCTACATGAATCAGTTTCAAAACATATCCGACAGCTTGTACAACGGAGTCGTAATTTACACGGCCGGGCTATCGAGGGTAGAGGTGCAAGCCGTCCTGTTCAACAACACGCACTACCTGGCGCACCAATGTATGGTCCAACCTGCCATTGGGAGCTGCACGACTCATCTTGCGGCTGGCATTGGCATTATGGGAAACCTGAGCTGCTCGAGGGACCGGTTTATCAACCTCGACAGCGATCTCAACAAGACCTTGTCATACTACGGACCGGCTGGCGCGGTGGTCGCTCTCACCGGCGCGTTTTTAAACGCCTTTGTCGGGAAAGCATTGCCCGACATACACAACAGACTGAATCCTGGAAAATCCTTGTTTGTGGCCGCAGCGTTGGTTTCGGATACGAATTCAAAGTTTGTTATGCCGTCCAACCTCGTGTCGCATATGCAGCGCGTGCTCTGGGTCACGCCTTTGCTCGCGAGAACCGGCACCATACAGCAAGCAGCACCAAATGTGACAATGTCTGTCTCCGATGAGCGAAACATCATCATCTACGAAATCGACAAGCTGCGAGTTCTCGTGACGGTCGCTGTCCTCATCATCATCAGCCTCGGATGTTTGGTCTACGTATCTCTCCCCTGTAGTGCGGCTTGCGGGCGTCTCGCAAGAGACAGCTTGGTCCATTCGCTCACAGTCGCGGGCCCATACGGCCCCGCCATAAAAAATGCGTGCTTGGCTTCTCTGGACAATGTACTGCACGCGGCGGGCGACGAGAAGCTCAAATTTGGTGTGCTTATAGAGGCGACGGACCTGGCGAGCGGACATGTTGGCTTCGCAGAGCAGCCTCCTCTACCAGGGTCCCACGATAGTAGACCGCTGACCAATGTGGGAAGGCCAGTGCCAGGAAAGTGGTATGGGGGTCAGGGTAGCTTGTGAAGAAAGGGCCTGGAGTTAGATGTAGACACTAATTACTAATTTACCAGAACTAGACTCTGGCGCTTAGATGATCGTCGAGGGCTGTGTCGAGCACAGTAGAGCCATGTCAACTTATTCATGTCTAGGTCGCAGTGACATATCGTAGAGCTAATACAACGATTCATGTAGGACAACCAAGGGTAGCATGCATTAACCGTGAATGCAGAACGAAGAAAGATCAAATTGGTATAAGTATTCATCTCTAGCAATGCCGTTTCCATATCTCCAGCACACGAAGAAAAACATCCCCTGATGTGACAATTGAAGCTGCTTGATCCCAGAGCAGTCCACCACTCACAACAGAGCACTTTCAAGCCCTTGCTCCAGCCTCTTTTGCCGTCTCTGCTCTTTTTTGGCGGCTATCGTTGCCTGTAAATTCTCCTTGTTGAATTCTTCGAGCTCTTCTGCCGTTCGCGCGTGTGTCACCGTCGGATCAAAAATGGACTCGACGTTCCAGGCTCCTCCGTACACCTCGCACAGCGCACCATCCATGTTGGCCACGAACTGCTCCAGCGCATCAAAGCTCGGCATAGTCACAAAGGCGGTTATGGAACCGTCATGGCAACAGCTTCCGACAGCCGTCGGGTTGTGTCCTGCGAATAGCTTCATAATATCGCTTGCTTCCACTTTGCCAGACAGCGATGATGGACGACCGCCGCACAAGGTGAGTTTGGCGGTAAAGGGAAATAACTCGGTCGGCTGGGGTGGTCCGTTTTTAAACAGCTTCCCGGTGCCCCTGTACTGCATATGCTGCTTAGCAGGGGACCATTTCCGACGCCATGTAAACGTCATGGGCAGCACCTCTTGCTCAGCACCTCGCAATGACAGACTCGCGAGTACTGCGGCAATGCGCACGGTATCCTTGCCTGCGCTGTGTTTCTTCCACACGGAGCCTACATCGGTACTGACACTTCCGAAACCAAGAGCCGTCAGTGAGTCGCGCAAACTCGGAGCCTTGTCAAGCTGGGCTGCTTCTTTGACCAGTTCTTGCAAATCAACCCAAGAGGTGAAGCAGTCCGCGATCTTAGGGTACGAAGCAGACAACGAGCGAAGCTCAAATGAAAGATCAAACCCGACCAGCACCAGTGGCGGCGCTGTCAGGGACCCCTTGGCTTTGGGGATGGCGGCCAGCTTCGCTCGAAATGACATCAGGACTTCCACCAACGTATTTTCGAGGTCTTTTGGCTGCACCATTTTGCTGTTTTGTTCCAGGAAGCGTTCTCGTTTGCCCTGCTCCCTGCCGCAAATTTTGATCGAGTAGGTCTCGATTTCGAGATGTCCTCGAAGCTCTTCCATCGTTTTTGGAGGCTGGTTGACCTTGGACAAGTCAAAGGGGAATATCAAAGATAATCCAACCTCGGCAACATCGAGGCTCTTCGGTCCCCATGGCTCTGCATCTATGGCCACAAAACCCACCTGTGAGGTTTGGATGGTACCCAGGTCCGAGATGTTGCTTCGCCACAGGGTTGACCAATGTTTCGTTTTCAAGGTGCCTGGATTCTGTGAATAGCGCATCTTGCCTTTTTGACATAGTTATACATGAGCGTCGCCGTGGAATCATGGATCAGGTAAAAAAAGTACGGGATATTTAAAGTCAAGTTTAATGGCCCCAGTTGCTAGGTTTGATGGCCCTGGGCTAAGTTTGATGGCTACGCGGCTAAGTTTGACGGCGCTGCATTATCCTAAGACCACGGCTAACGAGGTTGAATTGCAAACTGTAAATCCCATGCCGCCTCTATCTCGAAGATAGGGTTTTTGTGGGAAGATTGGCAGGCGAAGGCACCAGACAGCATTCATGAATGACGCTGGCACCGCATAGACTAGAACATCAACCTTCACAGAACTTCCCCACGTGATTTATGCGAAATCCGGACAGCTAATGCTCGCAAAGGAAAATTTCGGCGGTGGCAATAACGCCAGCCGAGTCTCCGTTATAAAAGCAGTCGAGTGGTCGGTCAGCGTAGCGCACAACCAGAAAACACTATGAGGCGACACGTGCAGCAGGAACGACGATACACTCGTCAAGAACAACTTGTCACCCCGTTATAAAATGGCCTAGTTCCTGAAGAAGATGCTATCCTTCTGCTTATCCATAATGCGTAGTTCATGACAATTTTTACTCCCCAATTGACACCACCCGTGTTGCCGCGACCACGTGAACCGAGGGCAAGGAATACGAGACCACACGGCTAAGCACTTGTCAGGCGGTATATCCACAGCAGGAGAAACATTATGTGCTTTCGAAGCTACTGCCTTGTTCAAGATGGTGGATCCAGATTGCAAATATGGCGACGGCCCGGCGGATCCGGGAGCATGTCTTGAGCAACGACATCGTGCCCTACCCGTTCTCGCCCCGCGGGCCCAAATAATGACGTCTCCCCCCCGCAACTCGAGCTGAATGCCGAGCTATTTGTGGCGACAAGATGGGCTTCAAGACCTCGTATCTGGAGGAACCCCATTGTCATGGCGTGTGGGGATGGTTTTTCCGTCCACAGCGGGCGCGATCGACGAAGGCAACGCCTTGACTATACGACGGAGAAATAGACAATGTGGATCGCCAAGCCGAGTCGTACCGTATGAAAAGTCGCAGCTGAATATATATTCCTGGTCATAAGCAGCCCAAGGTGTTCGCAGGAGACGCTAGTGAGATCGCGGCGTCGGCACCTCGCGATGCTGGTGCCCCGTCACGGACCTGACGCCACCGTTGTGGTCTGCATGCTTATTTCGTATGTGATGTCATTTTGGTAATGCCTACCTTGATCGGAGTATACACAGTTAACGGAGGAATAGAGGACCCTGTCCATTGATGGCCGAGGCGGACCACGGGGATAAATAGGAGTTGTCTCGCAACCTTGTCTCACCCAAACGACTCTCACAATTTGCATCAGTTCAATCGTAACTCAATCGTCACCATGAAGCTTTCCATCATCGCCTCCATCGTCTCCAGCGCCGGGATTGTTGCTGCCGCTGCTGTTGCGGCTCCGTCTTCTGCCACCTGCGTTGCCTATGATGGTACGTACTTGCACCGGTCTCTCATTAAATGCTAATCGTAACGCTTCTGCAGGCATTTGCTTCCTGAACGGCATAGACTACGGCGCCTGCTGTGACGACGGCATCTGCGCCGGCTCCCGCTGCCGTGACCCCAAGACCCTGATCCCGGCGGAGCCCACGGCCACCCCTGAGCCTACCTGTGTTCCCTACAACGGTATGCATACCAAGTAGTCTGCGTTTGATGAGTTCTAATCGTCGCATGCAGGCATATGTTTCCTGAACGGCATAGACTACGGCGCTTGCTGCGACGACGGCATCTGCGCCGGCTCCCGCTGCCGCGACCCCAAGACCTTGACTCCAGTTGAGCCCACGCCCACTGCTGAGCCTAGCTGCGTCCCCTACGACGGTATGTATTTTCACATAACATTTTTGACTTGATGGGTGCTAACGGTCTGTGTGAATAGGCGTCTGCTTCCAGGGTGGCATAGACTATGGCGCCTGCTGCGACGACGGTATCTGCGCTGGCAGCCGCTGCCGCGACCCCAAGACTCTCGGCGCCGAACCTACGGCGCAAGCCGATTCTTGAGCATTCTGTGTGACGGGTAGACGGACTTTGTAAAATAAATTCAATATAAAGCTGCGCAGTATTGAAGCCATATTCAAGTGCAGCTAGAGGCACAAGAGGCCGCCGCCGCCAATCATCCTTGTGACGCTTGACTGCACGTCACCGAAGCGGGCGACGCCGCACGTCTCACTCTCTAAGTGATTAATGATGCCCGCCAGCGTCGTGAAGTCGCGGCAGCCCGGGCTAGGGCAATGATACAGCGACTGCTGGTCTACTCCGTGTAAGTCGGTACGTCCCTAGTTCAAGAACGCGCAAGATTTGACTCACGAGCTGCAGAATTCAGATGCTGGTTCAAGGCAGGCAGAGTTTTAAAGTCGCGGGTGCAGAGGTAGCAGTCGTAGGCGTAGCCGTTCCAGGTGCGATCCGAGGCTTCGTACTTGGCGTCGCCGTCCCACTCAAGCAGCTTCTTGGAGATGGTGCCGTTGGGATCCTTGCTGCGCACGTAGCGGTAGATGGATTCGCGGTTGGTGGTCGTCTTGGGGCACGCATTCATCTCGAGGTGGTGCGCGAGGCCGGTGGCGGTGGTCAGGCTCTTTTTGCAAAAGGGGCAGGTGACGCTGCCGCCTCTGTGGCGGCTCGAGTTGAGGTGCTGGGCGTGTCATGTCATGTTAGAGGTTGTATTCATGTTCCTCCAAGCATATATCCCATGTTGTAGCTTCTAGCAAAACCGTAGAGCGGTGATGACGAGCTCTGGTTCGCTCTGCGTCGAGCTCGCAGCGGATTTGGATACTCACCATACGCAAGTTATTATAATTCTGAAAGGTGCGGCTGCAATCGGAACAGTGATTGTGACAACTATACTCGTGCGCCTGGCAGTCTTCCTTGTCGGCAAAGGTGTCGTAGCACAGGTCACACTCGACCGGCCAGTGCCCCTTGGCGTCCATGTGCTGTTCCATGGCTCGCTCGCTGCCGAATTCCTTCCCGCAGGCGTTACATTCGTAGCACCCGTACATTTTTACAAGCTGGCTGGGTATGAAGCTCCTTTTTTTTTATTCGAGTTGCAAGAATTGACAAGTTGACGGTAATTGGAACGCTTTCAGGGGCTGTAATTGCGATGCCATCACGTTACGGATTGATGTGCATCACGTGATGGATGTTTCGGGAGCCTGCCATTCCCAAGAGGCCATGGCTACGAAATCCAAGCTCGGCGGATCGGATCGGATACACATGTCAGTGAAAAGAGACGATGGCGTCTACGACTCAATCGGCAATCTTGTGAACGAGCGTACGCGCAGCGCTTGTGGGGAACTCTGCTATTTTAGTAATGCGTGGTGACACAAGCGCTGCATGAAAAGCGCAAGAAATGTGTGGATGAACAGATGAGTTGCTGATTGACACGAATCGGTGGGTGGCTTGTAGCTGGCAGGCTGAGTCAAGGCGGTTGAGCGCGCCCAAAGTTGGACACCAAGTATACTTGTGCTACAGTTTTCCAACGACATGCAAACTGAGGCATACACCTGTGCTACCAAACTATACGTAACTAACGTAAAGTAGGCCTTTTTGGTCCCCCATAATCATTTCCGTCGCTGAAACAGGCCATGGCGGCTTGGAAAGGCCCGGGACTTTGCATCTCGCGGGGGTTTGCTGATCTTCGTCGGTAGTCTGCGCCGATGTCGCCGTGACCAGTTGCCTTTTTTGTACGTACACGTTTCTGACAAGCTTCCTGATTGCTAGGCAGTTTTTAAGACTACATTTTTGTAGATTTCAAGCGAGTTGCGTATGGTGGTAAGGCGACATGGAATCACATCCAGCCGCAGTCCTCCGCTTCACTCCCAACACAAGACAAACGGAACAAACCTCGAAAAATAAAATAAAAATCTCCAGTATGCATCAAATTGACTACAAGCCGAGCTCTTGAATCGAAATATGTACGCCTGTTGCACTGGCACTGCATTAGATTCGCTATGGCGCATGTCTCGCCGGCGTCTCAAGATCGGGAGCCCCGGCGCTGAGACGAAACAGGGCGCAGGTCTAGGCACCCAAAACCAGAGCGACCCTGAACTTGACAAGGCTGACTTCTTTCCTACCCGCGTTTAAAGCAATGATGTGAAATGTGAGGTTTTTTTTTATCTTTGCATGATTATATCGCGGCACCATGCTGCTTCTGCCTTAAGGTTTGACGGGCGCCACGTCAGCAACACCTCCCTCATGCGGCGGTGATGCCAAGAAGAGGGATCCGCGACGGCTCGAGTCGAACTTTCACGCAGGATTAATCACCGGATCTAGCGAGTCTCCCGACTTACTTGTGTCGTTCATTTTTGACGTAGAACGATATGATTTCTCCGCCGCTGAAATCGAAAGCCCTTGGTATTAGTGCGAGCGCCACCGTGCTTGGCCTTCTAGCTCGCTTGTCAGCAGGCAGCGAGATGAAGCAAATATCTCAGCTGTGGCATTTATGAATTCCTCTAATTGGGTTTGACCCTGTCTGTACAAGTGGCCTGGATGGGCGGCCTCACCTGCGGCACGCTGCCCAGGATCGGTGGGCTTTTTAGGCAGACACATTTCCGTCCAGTCGTCCACCATCCTGGCCCCATGTAAATGCATCCTAACGGCGCCTGGCTGTGGCCGATTAATTCGGCTGCCTACCAGATGCGACTCCGTTTCTCTCAGCCTCAAATTGTATGAACTGAACGGACGGGTACCCTCTCCGGCCCTGGTACACGATGGCTCTCACGGGCATATATAAGCTTGCCAGGTGCCAGCACATCAGCAATTCAAGCCCACATCCCACCTCAACATCGCTCTAGTTTGTTAAATGCAAAACTCAATCATGGATTACGAAATCATCGCGAGCATGGACCGCTGGTAAGTCGACAGCAAGACATATCTAGCAAGCCACCTGGGTCTGAACTATCTAACTGTCGCCTCAACCAGCCCTTCCTACGCTGTAAGTAAATCTGCCGCCGGGTAAATAATGCACCAGCGCAGCTAACAATGACTCCAAGAGCTTCTTTGGCGCCATGGGCTGTGCATTTGCCATCGTGCTCTCAACATTCGGCGCGGCCTACGGCACGGCCAAGCCCGCCGCCGGCATCTTCTCCTCTGGCATCCTTCGTCCTGAGCGTCTCGTGCCCAACACGTAAGTCTTTTCACCGTCGCTATCGTAACCGTCTCTGAATCATATTCTTGTACTGTACAAATTGCTAAGATAGTGATAGGCTTTGTGCCGTCATGGCTCAGATCTTGTCCATCTACGGGCTGGTCTGTTGCGTCGTCATGATTCCCAGCATCAATGAGAAAATGGCCCTGCACACGGCCTTCTTGCAGCTTGGCGGCGGCATCGCCGTTGGTCTTTGTGCGCTGGCTGCCGGCTTTTCCATTGGCATTGTCGGCGACGCTGGAGGTAAGCCTGTTTATACATTTCCCACTACGAATCTTGTCATGGACCGCTGACAGAGCTTCAAAGTCCGCGCCAGCTCCCAGCAGCCCCGTCTATACATGGGAATGGTCCTGATCCTCATTTTCTCTGAAGTCTTGGGTCTCTATGGGTTTGTCATTTCGCTCTTGATGATCACCAAGTCAAAGTCCGATGTTACCAAATGCCTGTATTAGTTCCATGAGAAGGGAAGAGAGCGACCTGCATAATGAATTCCTATTTTGGCTATAAATAATGTGTCTCATTTGAATTGGAAGTAAATCTCTCTAGTGTTGTACACGTTGAAGAGTCTTTCAACCGCCAGCGCTTCATAAATGGTATATTAATCCTCGCACGATAGGCGCACTATCATACTACCCACTCGTTCGTTTCTCCCTCTGCAACGAAAGGCTCGTCGATCTGCTTGATTGCAAAATCACTACACAGAATGCTACAGAGCCGCATTAGTTCGAAATATTCCCCCACACTAGGGGGCGGGACTTACCATGCCGAGGCGACCAGAGAGTCCAATTCTGCTACAACAGCGTCTCTCTTTGCGCCGCTCACAAGACCTCTGTGGATTTGCAGTTGCAGCTCTTTGATCCGCCCGGACTTCCCCACGCCAGCCTGCTCCAGAACCTTGCGGCCCATGCAGTCAGAGTGGAAAGCATGCTGACAGGGAAAGACGAAGAACTGCCTGCTGAGCAGCGGCAGGCCACACACGTAGCACTTTTCGCCAGGTTCTACAATGGCGTAGCGGTGATCCAGTGCCGCAATGTCCATCTTGATATTGGCTGCCGTCTGTGATGATTCGTCCATTTCCTTTTTGAGATCATCAATGTTTCGGCTGTAGTCCTCCAGCGCCTCGCAAATCTCCTCTCGGAAGTCGTCAATCACCACAAAGTCGGGAAAGAAGGGGATCAGGTCTTCGATTTTGAGCAGCTCACAGCGCCGCAGAAATTCAATTGCAGACTTGATACCGTCTGACTGGGAGATGACCTTGCGGGCGACGGCAAGCCACAATCGCTTTCGGAGCTGGGGATTTGTGATCGGCCGATCTGCAATAACGGCAGCTAGCTCTACTTCATTGTGCGAAAGAGCCAAGTCTACTGCCTGAAGATACTGGCCCATGCTGGTGTAGATGTGGACGCAGGAAAGCGTGCGATGGTGCTGAATGCATTGGCGCAGAGCAAAATCGGGGTCGTAGCGCGGCTCATCACCCTGTGCCTGAAAATATGAAAGTAGGCCAGACTCATCCTTGGACGGGTTAGAAGCGTATATAGATATAAGGGTGTTATGGATAGCGGAGTCTTTCGAGTTGAGCTGGTGAATAGCGTAGTTCAGGTACCGAATTGCTTGGTTTTTCGCGTTCACTTCATTTGGGTTCGAGCGGCTATACTCCAGGAGTGCAGGTATCAAGCTTCTTGGTTTGAGATCTGCATGGCGCATCAGGATTTCAACAGTCTCCTGCGGGGCATGTGTCATCAGAACGGTGCTGTAACGGTAAAAGGCTTCTGGGTCTGTCTGCTTCTTCAAAACATCCAGAACCTTGGGCCAGGTCTCCCGGAGTACCCAGTACGAGAGTACATATTCGTAGTCGTTGACCGAGTTGGCATAGAATAATAGCTCTTCTTCCCGTCCATGGCTGCTGATGATGTCATAAACTGTCTTCTTGTCCAAATCGTTCTTGGAGCGTACGACGAAATCTTGGAATTGTTTTTGCACACTTTGAAGGAGCTTTTGAGATTCACTAGTGTTTAATGACTCGGACAATTCTGCTCGCGTCCCGATGGTGTCGTCTAGCGAGTTGAGCTTGGCCATGAAAATCTCAATGAGCCAGCTGGCAATCATCATTCTTTGCATGATCGCGGTGCGCTTTGTGGAAGCCAGTTTTGTAAGAAGGAAACTGCGCAGTGCATCATGCTGGTTGTTGTCAATCATTCGAAGGGCCACATCTTCGAAAGGCTTGTTGCTGTTTCCGTACAGTGCGGCTGCCTCTTTCCAGTTTCCTTTTTTGGCCATGTGGTCGCCGTATGCTGCTGCAACAGTTTCTTTCTGGTCCTGACCACGTGCTTGTTGGAGCGCCGCTTCAAAGTGTTGCGAGTCCATCAGAATCTGCCAGATATTGCGGTCTTCGTCGTTGGGGACGATTTCAAAGACCTCTTGGCCTGTAAAGAGCCAGAAGGTATACTTTTGCATATCAACCGCGAATCCAATCGCTTTTTGACCGCTCTTCAGAACGTCATGCTCGGATATCGTTTGACCTGTAAGACGGTTGATGGTCACAACTCGACCTCCAAGCAAGCAGATGATATGCCACTGGGTCAAGGCCATGGCATCGATGTTGTCCGGCCCGGCCTTCTTTTTTCCTGACGCATCCGAGATAATCTGGGAGCGGGAAAGCGACTTCGATTCCGCAAAAACTTTGGAACCCAGCGTCTGCTCTGCTGGCGACTGCAGCAGCGTTCCGTGGAAGATGCCTTGCGACGACAGCCAAGCATACGCCTTGTCTTGCTGCCTGTCTTGGTATGGCTCAGTCTCTTTTGCATCAGGTGAGATAGCTAAGGACGAGAGTGCGGCCGCTGAGGTACGCGAGATTTCATGAATAATGGGGTGCTCTGACTCAAAGAGCCGCGAGTATACGGAGCCACTGCCATCATTGCCAGTTCCCGTCTTTCCAACAAGATGAAACAGCCGACTCTGTGTAGCAATAATGACTCTGCGAAAGTCCGATCGTCCGTCCAGAGTATCGACCCAAAGGCCGGTGATGGGTCCGTCTGGGAGCTTGTGGAGGCTTTTAAGGTGTTTGACTTCCTTCTTGTAGAATTCGTTGGACACTTCGAGGAAAGTTTCGTAAATGTTTCCGTCGGATGCGCCTATAAGAATCTCGCGGGTGGAAGCGGTGGGTAGAGCAGGGTTCCATGCCACGCTTTCGATCGGGACGCCGCGGAGTCTTCCTAATGGCCGAGGTTGCCGCGACTGCGAGTGCAAATAGTAGTTTTCGCCGAGGGATGTACAAATAATTAGATGTGACGCGGTGGGGTCAAGGAACATGCGGCAGATCACTCCAACTTCGGATGTCTTCTTTGGGAGGTCGATGTCTGCTCAGGAACAGGTTAGAATCCGATGAGGAGAGCGCAACGCAATGGGTCGAAATAACGTACCATCAATATCCTCTGGCCTGTTGAGGTCTATACGCAAGATCCGTCCGTTGGACAGCGCCAGGATCATAACATCGTTAGCGACTTGAGCAGCGACAAAGTCGGCCGTTACTGAGAAGCCCAGTTGCGCCGCTTCCACGGTGAAGATGGGCAGATCATGGCCGTTGGCCCCCAGCTGGTTGGCTGGGTTGAACCCATCAATAAGATCGAGAGCCATGGCTAGTGTCGCATCCGCATAATTGAAACGGTGAGGCCTTGGTCGACAATTGTTACAGCGACAGCTTCCGCGGTTGACGTATGCGCGATCCGAAGCTTGTAGCTCCAACGTTATGACGCCTACCTTACCCCAGCTGCCTCGTGAAACCCCACTGTGTGGAGTTGCGTGGACTTTATAATACCTAATTAGCCAACCCTACAGCATATCAAGCGTCGGTCGCGTGGCCAAATGGCAAGGCGTCTGGCTACGAACCAGAAGATTGTGGGTTCGATCCCCACCGTGACCTTTCTTTTTGCCTTTCCGGCGAACTGCGATTTTTTATGGTCCAACCTTTAGACTATCTATTAGTCCTCAATAAGAAGTTTATTTTTCTATCAATCACCGGTCGCGTGGCCAAATGGCAAGGCGTCTGGCTACGAACCAGAAGATTGTGGGTTCGATCCCCACCGTGACCTATTCTTTTGGCAGTTCAAGCCGTTGACTCGAAGAGTTCATGTGAAGCTTGAGGTTTTCTTTTGCTGTTGTGGGTAATTGGTCAAGTATATTGTATCTTTTGCTCAACTTGGAGACCCTCTGTGCACCTCGTGTGCTAGGTCTGTATCACTAATAAGTCCCTGTAGCTTGTCTGCAGCCGCTTGCTGTCAGTCCATAAATAGTGCATCGCCGAGTCTCGGAAGAGGGGAGGGAGGGGCACAGAAACTGAGAAGTACCACCACACCGGCCTTGAGACTGCCGACTCCTAGAAATAAATCACATATGTCGCCCTCCGACCGCAAGCCGATAGCGGCATATTTAGGGCCTACCGCATCCTATTCTCAGCAGGTATGGATTTTATACCCCGCCTCCAAACCCGTTGTATGTAGTGCTAATTCCTGCACGCGACACAGGCCGCCTTGCAAGCCTTTTCGGAGGATGTATGGTATTTGAAGCCTGTTACCACCATTGACGGTAGGTACGAGGTCAATCTGGGGCTACAGTGTACATGTGGTATAAGAATTGCTACCAACATATACTAGATGTCTGCGATGAGACTCAGGATAAGCACGCTCTTCTTGGTGTCGTGCCCATTGAAAACTCGACCAATGGCTCTGTCGTCTTTACGCTAGACGACCTGGCGGATAGAGACGGGCGTTACAAGGACATATACGTCAACGGCGAGGTTTATGTCGACGTTCATCATCAATTACTAGGCCACAAGAACGCGAATGCCACGAGGCCTTCTGGCCAAGGCGCAAGCGGCGCATCAACGCCAACGGCAGCAGACCCGACGCCGTCCAAGCCCAAGAGCAAGCCATTGGAGAACCTTGACCACATCAAGAAGCTATACTCGCACCCGCAAGCTTTTGGTCAATGTACCAAGTTTATCTCAACTTATCTCAAGAATGCGGAAAAGTTTGAAGTTAGCTCAACCAGCAAAGCCGCCGAGCTGGTGGCGGCCGACACGAGCGGCACGTCGGCCGCCATCTCCAGCAAGCTGGCCGGGGATTTTTACACGCTCGACACTCTGGCAGCGTCCATCGAGGACCGCGACGACAACACGACGCGCTTCCTCGTCATCGGCACGCAGCCCACGCTACCCGTAGACTACCCGCTGCGGCAGGATCCAGCGCAGCGGACGGGCACCAAGTCGCTCGTGACATTTACGGTGCCGCACAAGTGCCCGGGTGCGCTCGCGGACATTCTGGGCTGCTTCCGGGAGTTTCAGCTGGACCTGACGAGCATCAATAGCCGGCCGAGCTTGCTAGGCCCATTTCAGTACATCATCTTTGTGGAGTTTGAGGGACATAGGCTGGATGACACGGACGGGCGGGTGAAGAGCGCACTGGAAAAGATTGCGACGATGGCCCAAAAGTTTAGGTGGTTGGGTAGCTGGTACACGTACAGATAAGGCGAGGATGGATGGCTGTCGCGAAAAATTGCTTGGTAAGAAAAAAAAAGCGAAAAAAGCGTGATGGTGGCCGGGATTGGATGTGGGACAAGGCGTTTGCAGGGCAGACGCGTCAATCAATTAACGAGGCTCAAATGACGTCCAACTACGATTGAACCGGCGTGCGTAATGTGCAAACTTGTCGGATTATGGCAAATCGCGATGCGGTGGTGGGCATGTTCCGCAATGAAACTGAACTGGGAGAGGAGCCGAAATTGAGGCTGGGCTGTGATACACAAGAAGCAGCTCAATCCTTCAATAATCTCATCAAAATATTGTCAAGCGGGCATAAATCGGAAAGGATCCAGGTAGTTATCATAGGCGTTACAGGAGCCAAATTCTGGATTGTCGTGTCGTGTTCCCGATGACGCAGCCAAGATGCAGTTCACTGTGTAGGGTAACATCGCACTCGATAGTGCTGGGCAAAAGGCCCGGTCTCTCTGTTGACAGGGCCGAAGCCAGCGTTAAGGATGGAGGTGGCGCAATCCCAGACAATCTGAACTCATGCGATTGAGCAATGGAAGTAGTGCTTATTATTACCCATGGCTGAAGGACGAGGCGCTGGGAAGAGCAGCCACTGACGTCGCCCCATTTGAAAGGGTGGCCAAGTAAGTACGGTTGGCTGCCGATCAAGACCGTTGAACGTGGACTTGTGGATGGAGAACTAGGTACCCCTTCGACCAGTTAATACATACTAGTTGCTTAGAGAAGCAAAACGCGTAGAGGTCGGAGAAGCCCGTGTTTGTGGTTAGTGTATCTCGCGTTGTTCCGTGGAAGGCTGAGACTGTATGAGGTGGTGATGACTATATCGATATGGGGACACATACTATTTGTGCCGGGTACACGTGGCTGGTATTAGTTAGATTACGAACTCTGTCCTGGTATTGGTCCTCCATAATATTTTATCAAAGTACGATGAATAGTTAGCTCCATCCATGTGGGCGATTCCCAGTATTACCATAGACCATGGTGAGTGGGGCGGCAGAGGCAAGAGCCGCAATGCCAACAATGCCTGCGGCGCAGAGCAGGTCGTGGAAAGGCACGTAAGATGGGAAAATCCGGGAAGAGTGCACGTGTTTTGCCCGAGCTTGCAGTCGATATGTTGGACTACTAGCATGGTGGAAACGAAACAAGCCGTCGCGGGACCTAGTTACAGCGACCCCCAAGGAACTCGCAGCCTTGAAATTGGTGAAGACCTCAAAGCCCCCCCACAGGTGAGAGGCGACGGCCCGCCCGCGAATGGATACAGGTATCGATGGGCGACAAGCGGCCTATCACGACGATGGTATGGGCACACGGGGGTTCCGCTTAGATGGTCACTGCTAATTGCAAGTGTCAAGCCTCAGAGGGGCAAAGGGGAACTTGGGCATCAAAGAAGCGTAGCATGGTTTTGGAGAGCGGGCGGTTGGCAGAATTGGAGGGAAAAAAAAAGGTTAAACAGGCTCGCTCTGGGCACAATATTTCTGATCAGGCTCTCGATGCGGCGCTTTGGGGGGGCGACGCCGGCCACTGACGGGCTACTAAGGTCAGTGGGCGCGCTAGACCAGAAGCCTGATTGGGTTGCCACACGGCTCATCAACAGCCCGCCGCCAAGATACAGCACATTACCACGCGGACATGCCAACAATATGTACGCCTCATCAGAACAGCACAAGCCTGTAGCCCAGATGATGCTCCAATGTGACCCTCTAGGAATTAATGAGCTTTCAGCCATTGAGGCCCCAAGTCAATGGTTTTCTTTGTTGCTCGGGGCACATGTTCGTTTCCAGCTTCGTTAGTGCGCCCCCGCCCAGCAGCCCGCACCCAAGGTCGTGGACTGCGGCGCGATCTTCTTGGCTGGGCTAGAAACGGCCAATCCCATTTATCATTTGCCTGCCCCAACTTCCTTGAAATACGGCCGGCTCCCCCGCCGCGCCGCATCGTCGACCTGTCTCGTGTCCTAGTTATTGCCGCCTTTTTTTGAGTCCAGCTTTGTGAACTATTCAGGTGTTTATTGGCTCCCTCCTTCGTTTTCGTGGCTCGTACCTTGTCATCGCTGCCAATCGAAACCCGATGCAGATGCTTGGTCGCTCCAGTCTCGAGTGAAATCCGGAAGTCACCCTCGCGCCTCGGCCGACTTTTCAACAAATTTAACCCTCTGCACGCATTCTTGGACAATCACCGTATTTCCCTTTGAATCGCGCATATACCGCGACCCTCGACTTTGCATTCTTATGTGCTTGCGACGCTCTTCTATTATACTTCCTAGCAAAGTGTCCTGGTGGCTCGACCATCCGTCCCCCTAGTACCTGGCACCGTTCAACCCTCCACGTGGATCCAACTTCGGTACCTAGGCGTGAAACTCTCGATCAGGAGACTCCTACGGCGATTCGGTCTGCGCCGCCTCGAACCTCATATAAAAAAGACTTGCGACGTTGCGAACATCCAACATGGCGCAGCTTCCACCATACAAGCACACTGCCGGTCTGGACAAGAAACTTGTCAGTCCCGAAGATGGCCACCTCTCCTCTGACGAGCTTGGTTCCGTCCACAGCGGCGAGGATATCCTCGGCCTGCAAGATATGGACCCGGCGCTGAATATGAAGATGCATCTCGTCAACAATGTAAGTCGCTCTTTGCCCTGTTGCACACCGTTGTGGACTGAGACGCCAAAGAGCTCCGCGGTGTCTGTGGGGCGCGCGGTAGACAAACTACAATGCGACGCAAAAGACCAAGACCGAATTGTTGAAACTGACCTCTCAAATAGGCAATTGACGAAATCGGATGGACCAATTACCATTTAAAGCTCTTCTTCCTCAATGGCTTCGGCTACTGCGTCGATTCCATGATTCTGCTTTTCCAGTCCGTCATCGCAGGACCTGCCTATAAAGAATTCGGCTCTCACGGCTACAAGAATGCTCTGACAATCGCCGTCTACTCCGGCATGTTTACCGGTGCTATCTTCTGGGGCTTCAGCGCCGACGTCATTGGTCGCAAGTACGCTTTCAACATCTCCCTCTTCATCTGCTCCGTCGCCTGCATCGTCGCCGGCGCCATGCCCAGCTGGGCCAGCCTGGCCTTCCTCATCGCCCTTCTCGGCTTCGGCGGTGGCGGCAACCTGGTCATGGACACGACCGTTTTCCTCGAGTACCTCCCCGGCGACAAGCAGTGGCTTGTCACCTTCATGGCCGCCTGGTGGGGCTTCGGCCAGGCCATCTGTGGCTTCATCGCTTGGGGCTTCCTCGTCCCGGCTCAGTGGAATTGCCTCGACGACGGTCCCTGCCGCAAGGCCGACAACTGGGGCTGGCGGTATGCCATGTTCACCGGCGGCGCGCTCGTCTTTGTCATGTCTGTCCTGCGAATCTTTGTCATCCGCCTCAAAGAGACCCCCAAATACCTCCTCGGCGCCGGCGAAGACGCCCTTCTGGTTAAAAACATCCAGGCCATGGCCAAAAAGTACAACCGCCCCTGCTCGCTCACTCTCCAGAGGCTCGAGGCGTGTGGATCTATTCGCTCTTCTCATAGCAAGAACAAATTTTCCCTTGGGGAGACTTTTGTTCATTTTCGTGGCCTGTTCTGCACCAAGAAAATTGGACTTTCCACAAGCCTGATCTGGTTTTCTTGGATGCTGATCGGCCTCGCCTATCCTCTGTTCTATGTTTTCCTACCGTAAGTATATTTCCCCAGTAATTTGCACATGAGAGATATGCTAACTTGGCTACAGTGCCTACCTCAAGAGTCGAAGCGGCGAGTTCCAGCGATCCGTCTTTGAGACCTGGCGCAACTATGCCCTGACCAACGTTTGCGGCATCCCCGGTCCTATTATTGCCGGTCTCATGTGCAACACGCGTATTTTCGGCCGCAAGTATACCATGGTCGTCGGATCACTGCTGACAATGACCTTCTTCTTTGCATACACGGCCGTCAAGACCTCTACCCAGGACCTTGCATTCTCCTGCATCATTGCCTGCGTTCTCAACATCTACTACGGCACGCTCTATGCTTATACTCCAGAGGTTCTCCCCAGCGCGCACCGTGGTACTGGCAACGGTATTGCGGTTGCGCTCAACCGTATCATGGGTATCATTTCCGCGGTCATTGGCACCGTGGCCGATACGTCAACTTCAGCACCTCTCTATGTCTGCGCTGGCATTTTCATTGTTACGGCGGTTGTTTCTGCTAGTTTCCCATTCGAGCCTTATGGAAAGAGAAGCTCGTAGTCGTAAACTCCGAGCCGGCGTTTGGTGCTTTTCATTCATGGCTGTATGCATACGATACCTCGGGAGAATCTTGGAGTTTGGGAAATGAGTACCTTGGTACTGTAGATATAGGAATAATCCACATAAAAAGTAGCATTTGAACCATTATTTCTGAAACGAGATGACAGATGGAAAAAGAAAACTGTGATTTACTAGACTATTTTTGTGTGCATATTGTGTCGATGTCGTTGTGCCTTCGGGGTTAGCTGACTAATAAAGGGGATAGTTATACTGCAAGTGGCGACGACCTCAGCCATCAACGGCTTACTCCTACAACCTCATCTAGCGCTGGCGTTGTACGCAATGACCATCGTGCCAGAGAGTCAAACCACTATAGACGAAATAGTGGCGAAAATATGAGTCTCGCTACAGGACGCAATGTGCAGCAAGTTTGCCGCCAATGTCAGCTACGAACACGCTCCAAGGTTTTGTGTGTGGCGTTATACTCATCTCAGCGCAGTGACAGCACAACTCCAGAAAGCTCAGCCGGCAATTTCAAGTCGAGCGAAAATAAGCAAAAAAACTCAAAAGGAACAACCGATGAAAACGAGTTGGGTCCGTTGGCCCGTCGCCTGCAAGAGGCCACGGAAGAGGCGCTCTACACTGGTGGTAGAGCCGGGCGGCAAGCAGTGCAAGATGCTGGATTTTCCGAAGAGCTGAAAGAAAGGCTCATGAGTAAGATTACGGATGCCAAGTTCGAGAATGACTTTGCTGGAGCGCTTGCTGAAGCTGGAATCACATCCAAAGGCCAGAAATCGCATGTCAGCTCCTTTGGCGCGCGGCACGCTTGGGCAGGGGAAGAACGGACCGAGGATGCAGTGTTACGGATGTTGGACGACGCAAAGAAGCCACTGAAACCGGATTTACGGGGGAACCCCATTGACACGCGGCTGAAGCGCGCACCAGTATTGAGCCCTGGCCAGAGAGCAGCCTCGGCACGGGATAAGGCATCGGCGTACTCGGGACTCGGGATGAAGGAAGGCCAGGGGCTCAGCGACAAGGAGAAAGACGAGATGAAGAAGCAGTTTCGAGAACGGTTCCAACCTGAGGGCCGGATTGGACCTGTCGCTATTTCTGCCGTTGCCTCCATGGCCAACGAGCGCATCGAAAATGCCATTGCCCGCGGCCAGTTCAGGAATATACCGCGGGGCGTGGGGGTCGAGACCGACTCGAGTGCGAGTAGTAATCCGTATGTCGACACCACGGAATATCTCATGAATCGGTTGATTCAGCGCCAGGCCTTGGTGCCTCCGTGGATCGAGAAGCAGCAGGAGCTGGTGCGCGAGGCCAACAGTTTCCGCGCGCGGCTGCGTAGCGACTGGAAACGCCACGCGGCGAGGCTCATCTCGTCCGAGGGCGGGTCCCTGCAGGAGCAGATCCAGCGGGCTGAGCGGTACGCGGCGGCGGAGAAGCTGCACAATCCGCGCCAGCGCGCCTCAGACCAAATCGCCGTGTCGTCGGCCGTGACAGACGACCCCGTCATGTCCAAGCAGCTCGAGCAGGTCGAGGAGCTCGAGGAGGTGGCCACCCAGGCCCTGGAGAGGGATATTGTGGCTGCTGGGCGGCCGTCGACGGCGGATTTTGGGCAGCTCCCACCCCCGTTTCGCGACCCGGCGTGGGAGGCGGCCGAGGAGAAGTACATGACGCTGGCGGTGGAGCGGCTCAACGACCTGGCGCGCAGCTACAACATCTTGGCGCCGGACCTGGCCAAAAAGCCGTACTTTTCGCTGGCGAGGGAGCGGGCGGTGTGCTACGCGACGGTGGCGCCGTTACTGGCTGGCGAGATTAAAAACAGGACGGCGAGGGTGCCGGCGTCACGGCTGGGCGGCGGCGGAGGGCAGGCTGCGAGCGGCGGCGGCGACTCGGGTAGTTTGGCGGGCAAGGGGGATGCAAAGGTTCATGTGGAGGGCAATGAGAAGGCGTTTGGGCTGAAGGAGTGGTGGAGGGACTTTTGGAAGAAGTAGTCGGAGGGACGTGAGTTGTGTGATAGTCAAGTCAAGGATGCAATAATACCACCCCAGCACAATGGATACCCATGAGCACCCGGCAAGCATGCCGACAGATGCTACGTCGTCATAGGCCAAGCCTTTCTGTCAAATACCGAGTGACGCCACAGTCTTGCAGAATCCGGGGCCGGCCCAGGGCACAGTATTTCATGGGCTCTCGGCTATTGACCCAATGATGGCGATTGCATTGTCAAGCTTGATGAAAGCCAACATGTGAATGGAGCAATACGGGAGTGAGTGAGGCAAGGGAAGAAAAGCCACAATACGGGAGTGTAGCCGCAAGACTTCCACTTCTAGAACAGCGGGTGGATCGAGGCGTTATTGTCTGAGCCCAGATCTCGGCGAGGACTTCTTGAATGAGCTGAAAAGGGTAAGCTGCGGCGGGGAGGGTCTTCTTTGGGAAAGAAATGAGGCTAGCGCCGGCGGCTTGGTACTCGACTAGGAGATTTTGAAGAGTGAACCTTGCTCCACCTTGGTGAAGGCTGGAAAAACGACGTTTTGCCTTGTCGCAGCCAGCAACCAGAGAGCGACACTGGGGTGCATGCTTGTTTCTAATCCGAATTACCCCAGACGGAAGCTAAATCCAAATTGGAGCCATTTGACCTCCTTCCTGGTCTTTTTGCGGGTGAGATCCCGGGGTAGACGTCGACGACGGCCTCACCTGTTGCTGCTGCTTGTTGCCCTCTCCCACTCGCGGGCCTACCTTTCTAGGCTGCTCCGGCCACTACTTAGGTACTAGAGCTGGACGGTGAAAATTTTGCTTCTGCGGCACCACTAAAATAAATTTACAGCGCCGCCCTGGCCGGGATACAATGACCTTGCAGTGCAGTGCGTAACATTTCCTCTTTCTTCTCTAGCACTAAAAGACTTTCCCGTGACAATTCCGGGCTGGATTAGGCCGTAACAGCGACTACGTACCCAGTTTATGTTGTTTGGCCAATACCGTCGTCACTTGCTCCTGTTGGAAGAGGCCGAAACGGCAATTGAAAACATTGAAGCTCGTGTGCGAGTTGACGATTGCAAGATGGCTTGTGCATGGTGGCGCACCGCCACGTTTGGGGGTTGTTTTTTTTCGGAAACAGCAAAGCAGCCCCTGCCAGCTTGTTGAGCTGGCCGACTGTTGGCTTTCATATGTAAAAGTATTGAGTATTTCAGTAGATTATTGTTAGATGTTCCCATCCCACAATACATTTATCACTCAAAGTTAGCTAGACTCTCTTCTCGCATAGCTCCGTTGCAAGAACCCGGAAGCAATTCAGGTAGTGCCGCTGTACATAGTGGCATGGTTCCCCCACATTGTTAAGTTAGGTAGGTCACCCCCCTTGTCAAGCCGCTAATAAGCCCTCGCCGCTTTCAAAGCAGAGGACGGCTGAGATTTCCTCTTGTGCCATTGGCGATCTCTTCCTTTCCTCCTCCAAATACTCCAAAAGCCGCCGAGCGTGCATAGCGGAGAAAGATATCCTCGCCTGGACGTCACTCCTGTGTGCGCTTGTTCCCCCGCCTCTCGTCTGCCCATCCTTGCCAAGAGACCTGGCATATAAAAAGCCCGCCTGTGGAACCTCCCGTTGGCTCTCGTAGTCTTTTGGCATCACGGCCTCTCGACTCACCCCCTTCTTCCCCTTCTCCCCTTCTCTTCTTCTCCGAGAATAATCTCTCACCCCTTTTCTTTGTGCTCTTCGAAGACACCCACCCACCTCCCTGGTGACGATCTGTTGGCTGCATACCTACACGCCATGGGTTCTGAAAAGGACGTCGACGTGCAACCCGTTGAAGACGTCGCGGCTGAGACTGCCCGCGAAGTCGCTATGAACAAGGAGGCCAACAATGTAAACAGCCGCGTCATTGAGGGCGCGCGTGCCGCTGCTGAGAAGGAGCGCAACATGACCCTCATGCAGGGCCTGCGCCTGTACCCGAAGGCCGTTGCTTGGAGCGTCCTCATCTCGACGTGCATCGTTATGGAAGGCTACGATATTACTCTGGTCAACAATTTCTGTGAGTAGCCGACCGCATATGTAAGCAAATAGCCAACACTTGTGCTAACCGTTCGTCTTTAGATGCCTTTCCCCAGTTTAACAGAAAGTATGGTGAGCTCACCGACACGGGCACATACGAGGTTCCGGCCCGTTGGCAGGCTGGCCTGAGCAATGTAAGTGCCGAATCTCCAAAAGTGATAATATTTCTCCTTCTAAAAGTCTAACCCGAACATCAATAGGGTGCCCAAGTTGGAGAAATCATTGGCCTCTTCATTAACGGCTTCGTCTCTGAGCGTTTCGGCTACCGCTGGACCGTCATCGGCTGTCTCGGCCTCGTCGCCGCCTTTACCACCATCTTCTTCACCGCGCAAAACGTCCAGATGCTTCTCGTGGCCGAGATTCTCTGCGGCATCCCATGGGGTATTTTTCAGACGCTGACCATTACCTACGCTTCCGAGGTGTGTCCTGTCGCGCTGCGCGGCTATCTGACCACCTATGTCAACTTTTGCTGGGGCCTCGGCCAGGAGATTGGCATCGGCGTCATCTTCTCCATGCTGAAGCGTGAAGACGAGTGGGCGTACCGCATCCCGTACGCCCTTCAGTGGATGTGGCCACTACCCCTCATGATTGGCATCTACTTTGCGCCCGAATCTCCCTGGTGGCTTGTCCGTCGCGGCAAGATGGAGGAGGCGAAGCACTCTTTGTTACGGTTGACGAGCAAGAATGAAGAGACCCAGTTTGACCCCGACGAGACGATTGCCATGATGGTGCACACGACGGCACTAGAGGAGAAGATGACGGCTGGCGCATCCTACTGGGACTGCTTCAAGGGATCCGACCTGCGCCGCACCGAAATTGTCTGCATGGTCTGGGCGATTCAGAATCTCAGCGGCAACTCCTTCTCCAACTATTCGACCTACTTTTTGAAGCAGGCGGGCTTGTCGGAGCATGATTCGTACTCGTTTGCTCTCGGCCAGTATGCCATCAATATGGTTGGCGTATTTGGTGCATGGGGTCTGATGACGATGGGGGTTGGCCGTCGTTCTCTGTACCTGTACGGTCTCTGCGGCCTGTGCAGCATGCTCTGCGTCCTAGGATTTCTTGGACTCGTACCCGAGGCCCAACGCAGAGAGGGCGCGTTGGCGACGGGCGCCATCATGGTCGTGTGGGCTCTCTTTTACCAGCTCACCGTCGGAACTGTGTGCTACTCGTTGGTGGGCGAGCTGTCTTCGCGCCGTCTCCAGATCAAGACGGTCGTTCTCGGCAGAAACCTATAGTAAGTCAAGACAAATCGGTAACATGAAGAAACGCACATCTAACCCGAGACTGTAGCAATATTGTGGGCATCATCAACAACGTCATCACGCCGTATATGCTCAACCCGACAGCGTGGAACTGGAAAAACTATGCCGGCTTCTTCTGGGGCGGCATCTGCTTCCTGTGCATCATCTACGTCTACTTTCGCCTGCCGGAGCCGCGCGGCCGCACTTTTGCTGAACTTGACGTGCTGTTTGAAAAGGGCATCAGCGCACGCAATTTTGCATCGACCGAGGTAGACGTGTTTCACGAGAATGTTGAGCAGAACGTAATGAATGCGTATGAGGAGGTGGATCGTCCTAACAAAGGACAGTTCGTTTGAGCGTGCTCTTTTGGGATATTTGAGAAATGAGCGGATAATGTCAGGCTTTGAACTTGATGAATTGATTAACTATGTGGCATAATAGCATGTAAATATAACGATTTGATATTGCTTAGTTTTGGCCTTTTTGGAACTGCAACATTGCGATTTAGCACTCTTTACAGGGTTGTGCTGATGAGTCGTGACCGACATGCCGCGAGCTCCGAGCATCACCGTGAGCTCTCCGACGACCCGCAACGGCGCTGGGAGGTAACGGGGGCCTCGTAGTTTGACCATTTGAACTGTTTTGTTTCGTTTCCTCCAACTGTTTCGGCTAGAAATACCATTAGCATAAAAATTAAGCATCCGCACAAGACCACATCTAGACAAGGGGATTATCCATCTCGCATAATCTCTGCCCGTGTCGTAATATCTGCCCTTGGCTGTCAGTAAGAAAAAGCGGTGCCTGCTGTCAGCCAACTGGAGCCACTCTCTCTCTACTGGTAACTAGGACGACCTGGTTGTTCTGGAGCTCGCACGAGGGAGCGGTATTTTACAGCTCAATTGGAGTAATGGAGTCGCTGGTTAGCTACCTACATACATACCTATCCGTGTACTCCGAATCGGAGTATCTAGGGAAAAGATAGAGTCATTTGTGTGCTGTCTTGTTGTTCGATTACTCTACCTAGTTGCCAGGGGCCCTTGCACGGGCCGGTTAAAACAGCTCACGCCATCATCCTCAGTAACTCATCCCGAGCAGGTCCGACCCACCCCCGATATTTGGGCTACATGCCCAGCTGCAGCCCTTTTTTTCTTGAGCCCTTTGCTTTTCTGCCCTGCTGGCATCTGACGGACTCCATTCGCGCTCACCAAAACGCCCAAGAAAGCATTGCCCACTAACTAGCCCCCCCCTTCGACCACCCCCATCTCATCTCTTGGAGCATAATCGGATCTTGCGTTTCTTTCTCTCCGTCTCTACACTTCTTCTTCTTCGCTTGCGGTTACACTGCCCTCCCACAATACACCATGATGTCTACTCTTCGTATCGCCGGCCGTCAGGCTACCCAGCGCACGACCCTTGCTGTCGCTGCTGGTCGCGCTGCCGCCTCGACCTGGGCCAACGTCCCTCAGGGCCCTCCTGTGAGTGAATTGAACACGTGTGACGTTTTGCGATTCCATTGAAGCTAATCTGGGCCTGTCTACCCGCAGGATGTGAGTAGTATTCCTGTTTGCGCCGCTCGGCGACAACGTCCCGCTCGGCTCAACGGTTGCGTGGGTTTGTTTGTCATGTACTAACCGTCTGTTTGTTGCTGGCGCTTTCAGGCAATTCTCGGTACGTTGCCTGCGGCACGCTGCTCGCATCACTCTCAATCGCTAATTCAAATGGTTTGCAGGTATCACTGAAGCTTTCAAAGCCGACAGCTTCGACAAGAAGATCAACCTCGGTTCGTCTTCCCATTCCCGACAACCCACCACTCAACCCGCGATGAGCAACCGCACGCTAACATGTCACCCTCCCCCGTCGCAGGTGTCGGCGCTTACCGCGATGACAAGGGAAAACCCTACGTCCTACCCTCTGTCCGCGCGGCCGAGCAAAAGGTCATTGACGAGAAGCTGAACAAGGAGTACGCCGGCATCACCGGTGTCCCCGAGCTCCCTCCCCTGGCCGCCAAGCTTGCCTACGGCGAGAACTCATCCGCCCTCGACCGCCTGGCCATCACCCAGTCCATCTCAGGCACCGGTGCCCTGCGCATCGGCGCCGACTTCCTCGCCCGCTTCTACCCCGGCGAGAAGAAGATCTACATCCCCCAGCCGTCGTGGGCCAACCATAAGGCCGTCTTCACCGACGCTGGCCTCAAGGTCGAGCAGTACCGCTACTACAACAAGGATACCATCGGTCTCGACTTTGAGGGCATGGTTGCCGATATCAAGGCCGCCCCCAATGGCAGCGTCTTCCTCTTCCACGCCTGCGCCCACAACCCCACCGGCGTCGACCCCACGCAGGAGCAGTGGAAGCAGCTCTCTCAGATCACCAAGGACCACGGCCATTTTGCCTTCTTCGACATGGCCTACCAGGGCTTCGCCAGCGGTAACATTGACCAGGACGCCTTTGCCGTCCGCTACTTTGTCGAGCAGGGCCACAACGTCGCCCTCTGCCAGTCGTTTGCCAAGAACATGGTGAGTAGCTCTTTGGTTGCCAGGCAATCTTGTGTGTACTAACGGTGTTTTCAGGGTCTCTATGGTGAGCGTGTCGGTGCTTTCTCCATTGTCTGCGAAGACGCCGCCGAGAAGAAGCGCGTCGACTCGCAGCTCAAGATCATCATCCGTCCCATCTACTCCAACCCCCCCATCCACGGCGCCCGCATCGCCTCCACAATCCTCGGCGACCCCAAGCTGCGCGAGCAGTGGCTCGCCGAGCTCAAGGGCATGGCCGACCGCATCATCTCCATGCGCGCTCTGCTCAAGGATAACCTTGAGAAGCTCGGCTCCAAGCACGACTGGTCGCACATCACCTCCCAGATTGGCATGTTCGCTTACACCGGCCTCACTGCCGATGAGATGACCAAGCTCGCCCAGGAGTTCTCCGTCTACGCTACCAAGGATGGCCGCATCTCCGTCGCCGGCATCACCAGCGACAACGTCGGCCGCCTTGCCGAGGCCATCTTCAAGGTCAAGGGTTAAACGGATTACATATGGAAGGTTTCGTTGATATTTAATGAGTGGGTGTGGTAGTTTCTTCCGCAGGGGGGGAAACAACAAGAATAAAGAAGGGGGAAAGATTCATATGAATCTACAGTTCATGTGCCTCTTTTCACCGAGGCCTGTTTCGGCTTTACGCTTATGGTAGCAAATGTACTTGTACTCTAGATATATAGACCGAACAAAGAACCATCAACTTATTTGGGAAAATGGACAGGCAGTGGACGGGCAGTGCTTGTATTTACCACATGGTTACTATTGCGTATGTAGGCGCTTCAAGTCCAATGTCACCTCGTCCACTTGCCGCCCAATCTCTTCGTGTGCCTTTGCCATTTCCCGCATCGTCTTTTCCTTTGCGCTGCCACCACCGTCGTCGGCGTCGACACCATACTCCTTAAGTTCGCGCTGCAGGTTGCGCACCCGTTCCGCACCGCGAATCTTGGCGTCACGTAGGTGCGCACCGTACGTGCGCAGCGCCGACACGACCTCGGGCGAGTAGACCTGCGCGTGCAGGCCCACGAGCGTCTGCGCGGCCTCGGCCTCAGCCCTCTGCGCGAGCAGCGCCACCTCGGCGGCGCGCAGCTCGAGCGACTGCGCGACGGGCCCGTGCTTGACCTCGAGGCAGCGGACGAGGCGCGCGCGCATCTCGGCGTGCATGTGCAGGAGCTGCGTCAGCGCGGACACGGCGCGCAGGCGGCCGGCGAGTAGGTGGGTGTGCGCGGCCGCCAGCTGGTCCCTCAGCGAGGTGTAGTCATGTTCGAGCGCGGGGATGTGCCGCTGTACGGTGGACGGGCTGCTGAGCGGGTGCGTAAGCTGTGTCAGGGCCAGGGCCGCGGCGTGTAAGTTAGCGGACACGAGGGCCGCGAGCGGAGGGGCGAGGACCGGCATGTCTGACAGAGGCGCGCTGGTGAGTAGGAGAGCGGCGACATCGGGGGAGACGGAGCTCGGGGTGTGGAGGAGTGGTGGGAGGACGAGGAGGAGGTCGAGAAGGGACGAGTCGGCAAGTTTCGAGTCGCGGGCGGTGTAGGAATCGCTCGGGGCTCGTGTTCCCGGCGCGCGGGGCTGATCGGCCGGAGAAGCCGCCGCAATGGCTCGTGCAAGGAGATGCTGGTTTGCGGCTCTCATACGATGCTGGTCTGCTTGCTGCAAGGGACAAGCACAGGTTAGTAAAGAGGCGTGGGCTTGGCTGGTGCTGGGAAGTCGGCGGGATTGTACCTGTCGAATGGCCTCGTTTTCTTTTGATTCCTTACTTCGTCTCGATGTGCCATCAGGGGTTAGAATGGATGTAGTGAGAGTTTTGTACAATCTGGCAAAGTCGGGATTGTTGTCGAGAACACGATCGTCCACTGGCGGAAACATGGCTGGGACTGTAGATGATGAGCAATGGCAAAGGGGTATCGAATGCGCAAGAGCAACAATTCAAACGCAATGAATAGAAATCGAAGACGCTGGACAGAAAATAAAAGAAAGCTCGAAGCTCCCGAGAGAGCCTCAGCAGAAATGGGTTGCAATCCTCAGCTTCACGACAATTATGTCAATATACCATGGGAATACAAGTACAAGTACCCCTCTACCGCCTGGCGCCCCCCTCTTCAGGAGCCAGGAAATACAGTGGAGTCGAGAACTTGTCGCAGGGTGGCCAGCAGAAAGTGAGCGCCCCGGATCATTGAGTTAGCGCTTCCGAAGGGGCCAAAATTGTTCTCGAGTGACGGCCACCTCACACAAGACACCTGCATCGGCGAGGGGCGAATCGAAGCAGCTGCGTCGGCTCCCACTGTACAATTACCCGATCAATCGATTGTTTGCGATGAGATTGCACCGAACAATAGCGATTTAAACACCGTTGACAACCTGAAATCGTACCTTGGGGAAACGAGCGTTGGCAGCTGTTACACCTCCCGTTTTCGCCGACCATGGCTTTCCGACTCTCCGCGACGAGGTCAATCCTCTCGCAGGCGAGTCAATGCCCCCTCGCACGCCGACCGACGATAAGTCCTCTCCTCACACACGCCGCCACCATCATCGCCGCCCCCAGGAGCCGCGCCTTCTCGACCACCCCCGTCGCGCAGACCAAGACGGTCAAGGCGCACCGGCTTCCGTCGGACCTGATCCCGCCGTACCCGTACGGTGAGCGGCGCCTCTACAAGCAATCGAACCGGGGCCTGTACGGTAGCGCGCGGATTCGGTACGGCAACATTGTCGCGGGCCGGGGTAACCGGACGCGGCGAACCTGGCGGCCCAACGTGCACGTCAAGGCCTTCTACGTGGCAGCGCTCGGCGCGCGCATCAAGACACGCCTGACGCTGCGTGTGCTCAAGACGATTCGCCGCGAGGGCGGCCTCGAAAACTACCTGCTCAAGAGCAAGCCGGCGCGCATCAAGGAGCTCGGCCCCGGCGGCTGGAACATGCGCTGGCTGCTGATGCAGAGCCAGGCCGTGCAGCGGCGCTTCAACGAGGAGCGAGTCGCGCTGGGGATGCCGCCAAAGGAGGTTGAGGACCGCGATGACATGATTCGCTTCGCGCTCGACTATGCCACACCGGGACCGCTGAGCGCGCGCAGCAAGGAGACGCTTGAGGCGCTTCGCGAGGCGTTCCACCGCGCCCTCATCTTGGGGGACGAGGACTTCGCTGGCCTCGAGGGCGTCGAGGAGCTGTCGGATGAGGAGGAGGCGAGGCTGCTTCAGCAGCTCGATGAGACGGATGCGGCCGAGGCTGCGCAGGTGGAGGCCGAGGCTGCGCAGAAGCAGCCGCAGCTGTAGAGGAAGAGGAGAGGAAGGAACTGAGGGTAGTCGGTCGTTCCTTGTGTTTCAAGTAGTGGCGGGGGGTCGTCGCCCACGTGTATTCTATAGCACCATTTAACTCTCAATGTACAATCTAAGTCTTTGCTTGCATTGGTGGGTATTTGTAAGTCGTCGTCTATTAACCTATTTTAACGCCTATGTATTTCTATGCGGCAGACAGCTCGTCCGCCAGAAAAGTATCTCCTTGCCCTATGTGATGCGCCAGTGGATTCCCTGAGCAAATAAAGAACTTGATGTCATGCTTCTACTCGAAACGAAGGTCCCAGCCAATTTTTGGACCAAGCTTGGGCAGCTCCTCTGCAACACTTTGAACATCCTTGTCACCACGACCGCTCAGGCAAATGACAATGTCCTCGCCCTTCTTCATCGTCTTAGCCAGCTCGATACCGCCGTAGATGCCGTGCGCAGACTCCAGGGCCGGGATGATGCCCTCCAGCTGACTGCACAGGCGAAAGCCAATCAGGGCCTGGGCATCATCGGCAGCGATGAACTCGGCACGGCCGCTGTCCTTCCAGGAGCTCAGCTCGGGACCGACGCCGGGGTAGTCGAGACCGGCGGAGATGGAGTGCGTCTCGGAGATTTGACCATGCTCGTCTTGCACTACATAGGTGCGAACACCGTGCAAAACGCCTTTGCTGCCGGCGCTAAGAGGAGCGCCGTGTCTGCCCGTGCCAATGCCCTCGCCACCGGCCTCGACGCCGAGAATCCTGACGCTGGGGTCATTGGAGAAGGGGTAGAACATGCCCGCGGCATTGGAGCCGCCACCGACACAGGCAACAACAGCGTCAGGAAGCTTACCGCGCTTCTCCATCATCTGCTGCTTGGTTTCCTCGCCGATCACAGACTGTAGGGTGCGCACAATGGTCGGGAAGGGGTGGGGACCAATGGCGGAGCCAATGATGTAGTGAGTAGTGTCGAGTTCGACAACCCAGGCGCGGAGCGCCTCGTTGACGGCATCACGGAGAGTCTGGCTGCCAGCTGTGACAGGGACAACCTTGGCACCCAGAAGTCTCATACGGAAAACGTTGAGAGCTTGGCGGCGGACATCCTCCTAAACTACACGTCAGTAACAATATTCGCACAAGGTGGACTCAAAGAGGTCGACTTACAGCACCCATATACACTGTGCACTCCATGCCAAACTTGGCGCAGATAGTGGCAGTGGCAACACCGTGCTGGCCAGCACCAGTCTCGGCGATGATTTTGGTCTTTCCCAGGCGCTTGGCGAGGAGAAGCTGGCCAATGGCATTGTTGATCTTGTGACTGCCAGTGTGGTTCAAGTCTTCACGCTTTAGCCAAATATTAGCGCCGCCGGCATGCTCGGTCAATCGGCTGGCTAGGTACAGCTTGGACTGACGACCCATGTAGTCGTAGTAGGAGCGAATCTCATCCCAGAAGACGGGATCGTCCTTGATCTTGTCGAAGCCATCTTCGAGCTGGGACAGGCAGTCCATCAAGCTCTCGGGGACAAACTGACCACCAAATTCACCGAAGCGGTCGGGGATCTTGGCGTGCATGGCGGCGAGTTGAGCCACCAGTTCCTTATCCTTCTCAGGTGTGATGGTAGCCTCTGCCAGAGTGGCCTCGCTGTTTTGGATATCCTGGGCAGCGACACTGCTTGCGTCGGCAGAAACCTGCTCGGCAGAGCGCCCGCAGAGCTCAGAGCAAAAGCTTTGGACGCTGTCGCAAATCTGGCCGGACGGAGCATTGCCAATGGTAGTAATTATTTGACTGCCAACGACTACGCCGTCTGCAACCGAGGCGACGCTCTGGAAGTGCTCAGGAGTGCTGACACCAAAGCCGACAGCTGCGGGCTTATTGCCACTGTAGTTCTTGACGCGGCTGAGGAGCTCCGGGATGTTGGCGCTGAGGGTGCCAGTCGCTCCCGTAACGCCCTGTCTTGAGACGACATAGATGAAGGAGTCGGCGAGCTGGCAGAGGATCTTCATGCGGGCATCCGAGGTAGCGGGAGCGATGAGGGGAACGTAGGAGAGCCCGCCCTTGGTGCAAAGCTTGCGGAAGGAGACGGCCTCCTCGGGAGGCAGATCGACGACGATGAAACCATTGACACCAGCCGACTTGCAGTCGGCCAAGAGACGCTCCTCGCCGTAGTTGAGGAGAGGGTTGTAGTATCCCATGATGATAACGGGAACAATCAGGCCTTTGCTGCGGGCATCGCGAATAATATCGAGCGTCGACGAAATCGTGAGATTATTGCTCAGCGCGATCTAGTACCGTGTCAGTAAAATCGCTCGGGCACTGAAGGCATAAAGTTGGATTTGAATTGCGTACAGCATTGGCTTTTTGGATCGTCGGGCCATCGGCAATGGGATCAGTAAAGGGGGATCCGACTTCGATCACGTCTGCTTTGCGGTTAGCTAGCTCGAGGGGCTACAATTGAAGACGGTCACGTACCGCATCCACCCCTTTGCATGGAAAGGAGGATCTCTGGTGTGTCTTGGGGCCTGGGATATCCAGCTGTGACATAGCCGACGAGGGCAGACTATCCGGAGAGGAGGCACTGGTTAGCAACGACGCTTCTCGTTGTACCCCGCCATTTCGACCTACTCGATTCTGCGCCTTGCAGCGCTGGAAGGTTTGCTTGATAGCCTCCATGTTGCTCGACAAGAGATGACAAGTCTAGAGACGAAGGGTAGAAGGAAAAGGCTTTCTGGGCAAGTTGGAGCGGCAACCACGGGACGAGCTTCGAATTATATGTAGAGCCATAACTAAATAGAAGTGGCTTTCTGTCACCTCGGCGAGTGGCGACACCGGCACCACCCCGCGCCGCCTGTGCCTGGTGTGATGGCGGGCAGAACTCGTTGGGCGAAACCGGAAGGGTAGCCTCCGCCACTTTTCCGTGCGCTAGAGCTGCAGGTTGCCGCACTCCGCTCCGCATACCAGTCTACATGCTAACCACCTTGGTACCGGACTTTCCGAAAGAGGCAAGACACAAACTGAGGTGATTTTGCCTTGTCGTAATGGAAAACTAGCTACTCCTTATTACGAGACATGATTTTTCAGTCACTCGATACGTAGCAGTAACGTCATCTTGTTGTAGTTTTAGTTCTCGATCTAGAGTCTGAACTTCTGAGAGCTCAAGGCCACTATATACCGAAACGGAATTGGAGAGCCGTTGCAAATAAGGAGAAAGCCAGCCTTTGTTCTCTAAAAAAAAGAGATTAACACAGACAGTCCACATGGAAATGTACAATCTTCAACTCTCACAGACGGCATAAAGCAAGGACCAGGACTGTGACAAGAAAAAACTAGTATTACCTCCCGTTTTCAATCATCGGTGTGAAGGAATGTACCCAAAATCTATCCCTCAACGCCAACACCAGTAAAAGATTCCCCAGATACAAAATCATGCAACGGTAGTACAACGTCTGCCATCTAACCGGTGCTAGTAAGAGTTTCCCTGTCCGTACCGCCCGTATGGTTCGCTCTTCTCATGCAGCGGCACCGACCTCCATCGAGCACCCTGGTCCTCAGAGTCTGCAAATTTGCCGTGGCCAGCACCGATGCTTGGTGGAGATGGGGGGGGAGGCTGATCTTGTTCTATATAGCGCATATCTTCTTGCGACTCTCCTTTGCCAGCAGTTGCCATGCCTATCAGTGTGCGCACAACACCAATTAGGACAACAATGACGTAAACGAGCATAATACCGCTCGAAATCAGCAGCTCCTGAACGACGCTTTTGAGAAGCCAGTTGACCACATGACTGACTGCGCCGCTCACTTCATCAGTGGTCACAGAAGAGGGCGATGCAAGAAAGCTGCGGAGGTCACTGTCGCCGGAAACGGATTCGTTGGCGCCCAGGCTGAATACGTCGTTGGGGAACTTGGGGAAGTTGACGTGTGCATGGTCATGCACCCACGTCAACCCTTTCTGGACGCCTTCAACCTTCATACCAATAACACAGTGAAGGACGGACTTGATCGGTGCAAGAAGAATCGTACCATTGAACACAGTCTCAAGACCCGTGTTCAATGTATCCATAAACAAGTTGATGGTGCTGTTGACGGCGTCGGTGGCGTTTGTCACGTATCCCAAAACGTCCTTATTGATATCGTCGTTGAAACCAGTGATAACACCGTTCGCATCCTTGGCCCAGCCATATGATACTTCCTCCAAAGTCTTGACCACTTCATCAGCAAATTCGCCAATCTTTGCAGTGATTTCGGGAACTTCCTTCTGTACAGCCTTGATCAAGATGAACTGGCAGAAGCAAGAAAAGAAACCAGCAAGCGCAAGGGACAGGACGAAAAGCGCCGAAGGGGAGGTAGCATACGCGACGCACCACCGCATTAGGATTTTTCTGTCTCCCTGCAAACGCGAACTAAGACTAACACCAACTTGAGCAGTCAGAGGCCGCGATGCAATATAGGCAACGTCCATTGTGTCGGCTCGGTTCCTTTCGATAAGGTCGCAATGCTTCTGTCGGCGTTTCCAGCGATACATCTCAAACGCAGCCATCGGCGCCATGGCGAGAACGGCGAGAAAGCCGAGACTCACCAGGAAAATGACCTGGGCTTTGTGAATGAGATTGAAGAGCTTCTGGAAGAATCCGTTCAGTGTGTCGTTGTCGGAGCAAAACGTCATCTTCTTCTTCTGGGCTAGTGGAAAGAGGTCCTTCTTGAAGTGCCAATCTCCGTACGTCTTATTGAGGGCTTCGCGGACCAGCTTGAATGGAAACGACACAGCTTGGGTGGTGATGTTTTGGACATCATCGAATGTAGGAAGATCCTTGTTGAGTTGTTGCACATCTTTGACGAAGTCGTCCGGTTTGATATCGAATCCCTTGAGCTTGTCAAGTGGCCCTGTCAAGTCAACTTTGGGGATGTCGGGAATGATCTTTCCAAAAATAGATTTCTGGATACCGCCTGTGACCTTGTTGATGGCATTCTCTAAGTCGCTAGAGAGCGCTTTGATTTCCTTTGTGGCGCCATCAACCACGTCGTTGAAGACCTTGGTAGCATCCTTGGCGACCGATGCTACAACATCCAAAGCGCCATGCACCATAGCAGTGATCAGACAAGCGTAGGTGCCTACCAGGAAGTTGATGTAGAAGACGATCATAACAGGAACAGCTTGAAAGATGAGATCCAGTATTGTGATCATTCCGTGTACAGCCTCTTCCATGCCCTTGGCCGCCATTGAATTCACGCCGGCGGACAGGTAGTGAGGCATCGATGCCATGGCACTTCCGACATCTTCGACTTTGCCACAGGCAGCGAGGGCCTTTGCCTTGGCGGATTCAACCTTGTCGTTGAGCTGGGCAATGAGAATGATGACGCGGACCATGACGAGGAGAAGAAGAATAGTCCAACGATTGATCCAGATTTGCGACATCTGAGACCGAATCCCGAGGTATGGAGTGAGTTTAGAATGGGTAACTGGACGATTATCGGGGGTTTTCGGATGATCCAGAGTCTCATATGGATCAGAGCGTAGAGAGGGCGGGACCACGGGATACGACGGCTGGTCGTCATGTTTCCGGGAGGAAAACATTTTGATTCTATTCATGATGGTATTCGAGTAGTTTGGAAGGAGAGATAAAAACCGTGGTATATGTTCGAAAATGAGAGGAAGGGCAAGTATGACGAGAAATTGCGACAGTGTAAGAGGTGGAAGCTTGTGTTCCTGGTCAACAGTGAACAACAGGCAGGTCTGGTACGACGGTCAGTCGTCGGGTTGGCAGACAAGAAAGAAATGGAACAAATGAAAGGGGGGGGGGAATCGAAACAATGTCAGTCACGCTGCATTTTCTGAGGCAAAGAATATAGAAAGAAAGAGAGTAAGAAAGCGGAGGGGTGAAGTACAATGAAGGGGACAGGCAAGGATACAAAGAGAACATGTAGGAGTGAAGAAGGATGGTGGCAGGTGGACGAGAAAAAGAAACGTGGACTTTTACCAGGCGTCTCCACGACGGAAGAGATAAAATGAAAAAAAAAATACGAAAAACGAAACCGCGAAGCCCCTAGCTGTGGCTCTTCCTGGATTCACACGAGGTCGATTTGCTCGTGTTGCTGCGTTTAAGCGCCGAGCGGGCAGACCGACCAGTCAGCGTTCGTCGTGGTGCCAGCGGCAAGCACTTTTCAAACGCAGGCCGGTTGGGCTAACTATTTTTGTGGCACTGGAAGCAGAGGGGAAATCTGCTAGACAGGGGGGCCCGATTTGTTTCCTCACTTTTGTAGCTGAAGAGTGAAAAAGAAGAAGGACATGGGCTCCTTTCGATTGTCGTCTTGCGCGGTGTAGGGTCTGAACAAGAACGAATACGGATTGACAGGAACAATAGCCAGCACAGCACCATTGAATCAAATGAATGTACCGAATGCAGTCGGTCAATATACTTTCTCTCATTCACAAAGGCCTGTATGAAACTCAGCAAGCCGAGAACAGGGCTATGCTGCAGGTTCTTTGCTATTCCAACACGCAAGGGGTTCACCTCGGAGCGGCAAGAGGTACACTGCATGTTCCCGTCGATCCAAGGCCATCTTTCGAGACCCGTGGAGGCTGTCGCTCTTCTTTATTCGACAGGACAGCTGCCACTTTGGGCTGGACGACGAGACGAGAGAGATGCACATTTGACGCCATGGCTAGATTTGGAACTGGGGAGGCAAGGGCGTGGCGAGCCGAGCGCCGTCGACGTGACGGGGCTTGTACCTGGGCCAAATTCAGGATTTGACTGTATTCTGCATCATGGCCAGGATGTACGAGGTCGGGCGGTTGGCTAGAGCGCAGCGTTTTCTTGCCAGCCAAAAGGCGTCACGCGTGAGAGACTAGTGAATGTACGGATAGAATGTCGTAGTTAGCGCTGGGCCAGGATTGCTGCTGCCCAATCAATGGCGGCGAGGCGCGTCAACACCCTGGCAACATGCTGTGGCGCGGCCCTGCATCTGATTTGTCCTTTGTCAATAGCATGTTTTCTATTGTGCGCCGCTCACCAAGGGCTCAGCTCAGTTGATGCAGAACAATGCCAATTATAAGCAGCAAACCCCCCCCCCCATTATTTCTAGCGAAGCCAAGCCAACTATCAGTACTAAATTTGGCCCGTCCCAGTAGCTGCCTCTAACTAAAGCATTGATCTGCGTCAACTGGCGCAGCTCTGGCTAGTCCAGCCTCCTGTGCTTCAGGTACCGCGCTGTACCTGCTAGCTACCTAGGTACAGGTAGGTAGGCACATTATTATTATTATTATTATTGGATTAATCTAATAAGACTCTTCTGTGTCTTTCTAGTACCTCTCAATGATTTGTGAGGGTTGGAAAAACCGTGGTAAAAACCCGGGTGAAAACCACCCCTCCTGCGCGCGTTACTATTACTGGTAGCTATGACCGGTGCCTTCTAACTATCTCGGAGAAGCTGATAAGAACGCCAAAGGACCGCCTATTAATATGTACATAAGAGTCTCGAGTTAATAGGTACTACTTATTACAAGGCAAGTACAAGGCGTAGCGCTTCCTGTGTCCACTGTATCAAACACAGTGGAGACCTAGGTGCCCTTTCCCGAAAGCTGATATTTTGACAACAAGAATTGGTCAAATGACAACAAGCTAACCGAATTGGTATAGACCCGAGGACGGCGAGATCAGCTTCACACTCGACGAGGACGTGGCTAACGCGCACCGGGCGCCCGAGTTAGCGATGCAGAGATTAACGATACAGACGATACGGGCGATACAGGCGATACGGGCGATACGGGCGATATAATAGGTGTTATTATCGCAGATTTAGGGGCTAGAACGACGCCTAGACAAGTCAGTTGTTCTTTGGCAGGACCCTCCTTCAGCGCCGTCTGCCTCCTTTGCCTTGGTCGGCCACCAACTCGCTTGCCGGGAACAGGGGCACAGACGCGTTTTAAGATTTTGTTTTACTTCTCTCTTTAATACTGCGTGTATTGTTGTCCCATGCGCTATGTGCCAATATGACCTGCTAAATTACCACACTATCCAGTCACATTCACCAGTTGCCGTTGGTTTGGCTCTCAGACGTATCATTCTACCAAGCTTCTTGGAAAGTATTCTTGCAGCCGCCGCAGGCTGCAGCTGAACCCCAAGCTGCCCGCCTTCAGATCGTTGAAAGGTACCCACGATAGAACAAGGTGCATATTACTAGCATCCCTGGTCCTAAATTTACAGGCGTTTTTCGAGAGTCTTCCATACCACGTCATATTTCGTCTTTACATCATCAGCCCTACCAGCTGCGGCAAAGTCGACCTGGGTTGACTTCTCAAACAACTCATGCCGTCTAACAACAACGCCTACTTTGAGGTATCGGACGCGGCATCACAATCAGTTTCCTTTGGCGATCTTTCTCACACTGTGGCAAGTATTATGTCTCGACTTCTTCATATATTCATTGGCAACTCGAAACAACAGGGCAAATTACTGCTATTCCGAACGCTATTCACTAGCTAGAACACGGCCAACATCCCTTGCATCTGGCACCTCAGGTGAAGTGACACCATCTATCATCCTGAAATCGGTACGTCGATTAGCTCCTCCAAGCGTGCGTCGCCCTTGCAGGTGCATCTCGCGGGAGGGCCTTGTAGCAGAACCCGACAAGATGCAAGATATTGCAGTCTATCGGAGTTCCTTCTGAGCAAGTTGTCCCATAACGATTCGTTATATCAAGGTCATATTGGCTGCATTCTGAATGCATAGTAGTCAAAAAAAAAAAAGTAAACCTGAACGCCATTCTCGTCATATTGTGGCCGGATGGCTCGTTACCACGTTTGCGGCCTCAAGCGCTGCCAAACGTGTTCTCACCAGAGTAGGTGATGTAGAGGAAGCCGTCCTCGTCCTTGTGCTCCTCGTAGATGCTGCTCATGAGAGCTGCCGTAGGAGGGAGAACTTCGTCCACGAATATGAAGATGGCCTTCTCGGGAGACAACTTGATGCGCTTGCGGATGACATAGACAAACTGTCCGACGGTGAGGTCCGAAGGCACAAGATACTTCTTCTTATCGATGGTGGCGATGTCGCTCTTCTCGACCTTTTCACAGATGACCTGATAATACACTGTTAGCATGAGTGTCCAAGTCGGTGAAGCCTTCACTTTGGCCTCCATCCGTCAAGTTACGCCTGGTCCATCGATGACACCTGAAGCGTTGACAGAAAATACCAAGTAGTTTTCTCTTGACTATCTTTCTGAGGCAAGACATGAGGAGACTCGGTACTTACGGGAATGCGGTCCGCGTACTTCTGACGGATGCGCTCGGCCTCGGCCTTGCGCTTCTCGAAAGGGTGTTCGTCCTTGAACTTGCTGCGCATGTTGGGCGAGTGCGTAGTACAAACAGGTGATAATAATCAATGTGTGCTTCTTGCGGAGATGACGGGAGGTGAATCGGGTACAGGCGCGAAATTTGGTTGATGATTTGAAGAAGCCAAGTTCTAGGTAGTGGTAGGCGGAGGACGGAATGGGTGGAGGAGAAGAGGGGCGCAAAGGAAGAGTGACGACGCTGGAGTGCCTTGGGGGGAGTCAGGCGGCGAAATGGCGAATGGCGGCGTCGGCCAGGCCAGAAGCATCAGCATCAGGCACGAGGACGAATGGCGCGGGCCTGTGCGCTAGCTGCTTTGGCGTGAAGTCAGTTGGGGACAGACTAACCTACCTACCTACTAAATTGTATAGGTTGGTAGAAGGCCTGTTTTTTGCTAGACAGGTCTCTTACCTGATATATAATTTTCCCCTATCACAACGCTGTTAGGCTGCTACTATATATTAAAAATCTATTACATTTTTTTAGAAGCTGTTTTAGACACTTAATAGCGTTATGATAGAGGAAAATTATATATTAGCCTTACGCGTGAGGTAGGTACCTACTTAGGTACCAACTAAGGTACCTACCACCTTAGTAGGTGCCTCCTCTTTCTAGTGTGAATCACATCTAGCCCCCCCAGCTGACGCAGTCACTTTTGTGCAATTGTCACCTCGTGCAATCAGGAGCCTGTAAAAGCAGCGACTTCTGGTTAGTGTAGTAATAGTCAAAGTTTCAGTGTCATAATTAATGCGCAAGCACATGTTAGGTACGTCTAATCGATACCTAGCTAGGTAGGTAGGTAGTTATTGAGATATTTTGACAGTTATTGCTAAACCGCTCAGCCCCGTGACTGCAGCCACCAACACATTACTTTAATCCGCCGAGTAGTATTGATTCCTATGTTCTAGTTTCGTGTATAGACATCTATCATCAAACGACTCTCGGCTTAGATTATAAATCAGAGTGCAAGACATTGTTGAACGTAACACGACCATAAGGTAAAAATATATAGCTTTGGATAGAAAATATGGAAGATTTGGTCACCTCATCACGCGGCGTATACCTTGATACATAGGTGCCTAGGTAGGAAGGTAGTATGGCTTGCTCGTACAGTGCGAATATGACTAATAGCAGGTAGCTCCCCGCATCTCGGATGTAGGTACCTCTCTGCCAATGAGCTCCACTCTAGCGCAATGGAAGCTGCTCAGTCTCACTAGGAACCACGCCACGGGAAAGAAATCAGTCCACGCTCGATAGCTTTGCGAGCGGCTACTCAATTCGTGCCTCTGGTTAAATACATACCCGAAGCGCCCCGTATACTGTATCAATTTGAATCGGCGGGCATCACCTACATTGTAAGCAAAGCATATATGCAAGGCCCCTCGGCGGTCCAGCTTACCAGCATCGCAGCACAACCACAAAATGGCGACACGAAGACAAAGCCCACGCGTGCTGTCCGTGCTACGCAATGGCACTCGGCAATCACCCCGGAGTCACTGCGGTAGCACTGGCAGAATGTTCTCAAGCAACCAGAACCCTGTTCTCAAGCGGCCAAGCGCAGTGACTTGGCTGACAGCTACCGCGATTGGCTTTGCTGTCCCTCTAGCATATCAATTCTTCAGCGTGGTATGTTTTAATGGCCGCGGTGGATTTGGGCGCAATGAGCTAATCTGTGCCTCGATTAGAATGGCCAAGGCAGCGCGAAACTCGACGCCGCATCGCTCTTCGAGATGGATATGCGAACGAAGCAGGAAGCCCCTGTCAGCGACAACTCACCGATGCGACTGCGAATGGAAAAGTTTGTCAAGGAGCAGCAGCAAGAAATCATTAAGGCAATCGAGGAAATTGATGGCAAGAAGTTCTTCCAGGACAAATGGGACCGAGACCACGGCAACGGTGGCGGCATCACTGCTGTGTTGCAAGATGGCAACGTCTTTGAGAAGGCTGGAGTTGCTGTCAGCATAATATATGGTTCTCTGCCAAAGGCTGCCATTGAAAGAATGCGCGCAGACCACAAGAATCTGGCTACAAATGTCGACTCTCTGGACTTCTTCGTCGCGGGCCTGAGCCTAGTGTTCCACCCAAAGAACCCGATGGCGCCAACTGTGCACCTGAACTATCGCTACTTTGAAACGGCAAACCCCGACGGCACATCTCAGGCTTGGTGGTTTGGAGGGGGTAGCGATCTGACCCCCTCTTACCTATTTGACGAGGATGCCATCCACTTCCACAAGTCGCTGAAGGACGCTTGCGACTCCCATAGCAAGGAGTACTATCCTCGCTTCAAAAAGTGGTGCGACGAATACTTTTACAACAAGCACCGCAAGGAGAGCCGCGGCGTTGGCGGCATTTTCTTTGATGACTTAGACGAGTCGGAGCGCGACCAGGAGAATACCTTTGCTTTTGTGCAGGACTGCCTGAAATCTTTTTTGCCTTCGTACCTTCCCATATTGGAGAAACGCAAGGACATGCCTTTCAACGAGAAGGAGAAGGAGTGGCAGCAGATTCGCAGAGGACGTTACGTCGAGTTCAACTTGGTGCACGATCGCGGCACTGCCTTTGGACTTCACACCCCTGGCCCTCGTGTCGAGAGTATTCTGATGAGCTTGCCACGAACTGCTTCGTGGGGCTATATGCATATCCCGGAAACTAATAGCCGGGAGCAACGTCTGGTCGACGTTCTACAGAAGCCCAAGGAATGGGTTTAAATTGGCCTTCAAACGTGTTCGACATGACTACAAGCTGAAGAACAACCGATGTATCATTATTCTGTAGCATACAAAAAATTACGTACAATAGTAGGCATATATTCGTCTCTACACCAGAGTTTCTACTACCACGCATCTCCTTGAATTGACCCTCAAGTATAGGTAACTATGTAGATTTGAGATCATGGACTGCCCGTTTGTCGAGCGGTGGAGACGGTGCCAACAGCTAACCAGCTAAAGCATAATTAAACAACATGATGAATCACATTTGACAAAGTCAAGACCATGAAAGGATGCCGGACATACTCCCATCCCAACGCGAGCTCATCAGCAAACTCGTGCACGCGCTTTGCGAAACATATCATAACGACCTCAGCAGCGCCGCCGCTGTCACCACCGAAAAAACCGAGCGACACGCCTCACCAGCTGCGGCGCCATGGGACTCGCCGCAACGAAGGAAGCTGATACTGACGCTGCACGTTGTGTTCCCCGGAATGCTGCTTCCCGCGCTCGACCTACTCGATAGGAACCTGGTGCGGCGCCTCACGCTGGACACGACGACACCGGCCAGCGCCGGTCGACAAGAGGACACCGCCTGCCCCTCGCCGTCTCAGGGGGGGCAGGAGACTCCCGGCGGTGCATGGCGCCCGGCCGTGTACACGGTCCGGTCGGCGCCATACACGCTGGCCCGTCGAGGGGCGGCGGCCGCGGTAACGCGCGCGTACCTGGTGCACCTTGAGGCCTGGAGCTGCTCCTGTGTCGCATTTACGGTGGACGCCTACGCTGACGGTGGCCGGCCAGGGCCGGCGGAAGCGGCGGACGACGAGGCGGCGCCGCTAAGAGGCCGGTTTGGCGGGGTGAGCACGGCGCAGTGGGACACTCACGGCGCAGAAGCCACACCATGCTGCAAGCATCTACTGGCGTGCCTCCTGGTGCATGAGTGGGAAGAGTTGCTGGCCGCGCACGTTGAGGATAAAAGGTGCACAAGGGAGGAGCTGGCGGGCATCATTGCGGGGATCTAGAAGGCCCTTGAGTGATTGGCAGGTGTATTCGTCTTGTCGTCGGAAAATGCAGCAGCCTTGTCTTGTAGGTTTTGTTATCACCCCGGTCTAGTATTTTTCTTTTTAATTTTATAAGTATACATAAGCATCCTCATCCTCTCCTCGCGCTGTGAGCTGGTACAACCCCGAACGTACTGACGGGAGGACGATCCACCGGTGAGCTGGCATTCGCCCAATGCAGTTCCCAACACTACTGTATGATTTTATTTCTTCTTGTCCTTTGACTCCTTCTCCTTCTCAGCGACATCCTTGGATTCCGTGCTTGACTCAGCCGAACCGTTGGCCTTTTTCTCGTCTTTGCTGTTGACATCCTCCTTCTTGGCATCCTTTTCTTCTTGCTGCTGGCGGTTCTGGATCTTGTTTTCTATCAAGTCGTGGAATGCAGTAATAGCGCGAATCAGGCTACTGAGATAGATCGTCATGAGCTGATCATTGGTCTTGACGCTCATGGCATGAGCCAGTTCGCTGCCGTTGGACTTGCCATCCGTCTCGGGGGTGGAGAGGTTGGGCAGCAGGTTAAAGACGTCCTGCAGGTTGCCGAGGATGGCATGGTTCACAGGAAGTTGGCCATCAAGCACTTTTTGCAGATAAACACCAATGTCACGCAGACGCAGGTGAAGACCCTGGAGTGATTGCAGCTGATTTGTGATTCTTGTCGACAACGTACCGACGGCGACGTCACGAATATCTCGTAGGAGGTGCTCGACGCCAATTTCCTCGGCTTCCTCTGCTTCAATTACCGAAGGGGTGTGGAAGAACGTTCGCGTAGTCGTGGTACCATCCTATTACGGAGTTAGCAAACTATTGGTGCATCGCATTTCACTTTGCAGCTTACGTCTTTGATCTCCTCAACAGCAAAATAAGCATCGGTGGGTACACCAGACTCCTTTGGCTGAACATCGATGATTACTAGTAAAGGGTTTGGCGTGTAGCGCTTGAAGAGCTCGTTGATCTCCAAATCGGATGCGCGCAGCTTCGGCCCAGAGTGATACCATCCTATCAGCTTCTCTCGCGCGTTGATCTTTTTGAACATATCGTTCATTGACTCGACGTAGTTGTGGTCAAGGAACCACACGGATGGGTCCTTCTCATCCTCTTCAAAGGGAACTAGAAATCATTGATTTAGCCTCATGCGCTTCGCAAGCTCCAGGTCGTGTCTAGCAAGAGAGTACGTACCTGCGAAGCTGTTTGACACCCTCACATTCTTGCCGTCATTCTGGCCGAGGAGAACACCAACAACCCTTCTCTTGGCCTTGTTTTGGGCGGTGCGATTGTAATGGTCGACGGCAGAAAGAAGAACAAGGGGCGCGACAGATACGTTGCGTGTCACGAGCGAAAGCGTCTCGGCAGTTGTGGTTGGCATTGTGGGCGGTTTGCGCAGTAGCCTGATTGCGTGCGATCAGAGCAAACTTGAGGCAGGCGGAGAATCTGCGAGCGTGATGGCCGGGAACTGTAGAAAGTCGACAGAGCACTGCAAGAGGTAATGTAGTCACAGTTTGCGCCCAACGTGCGGCCTGTTCGTGTGCACTGCTGATTACCTTACTGATGCGAGCTGTGGCAGGCAGCTAGTGGATACGCATGCTCGTTAGTCAACCGCCAGAACAGGTAGAGCGCGGCCAATGCCAGCGCCGCTTTAACCTCCGCTTAGATTGGCTGGGACAAGCCAGTACAGTACTTCACCACGTGATTAACACGACATTTTCTATATAAAATGCACAGAGATGTTGTTTTAGGTGGTTTTTAGATGTCTGTTGAGATTCCACAAATGAAATACTCTCATTATTGTTAAGGCGCGTAGTCGCCGCTTTAAAGGACTAACTACCATGGCCAATACCCAATCTCATTTTGCTTCTGTAGCCAGGTTCCATGTTTCCCTAATAAGATCAGCAGCTTTCTCTCCGATCCCAAAAGCGGGCATCTGTGTATGACCACCGTGGAGAATCGGCATGATGCTGACGTCGACAACCCGGAGAGACTTGACTCCCTTCACAATGAGATTGTGGTCGACAACGGTGCGCTCGTCTGACAAGTCACCCATTCTGCATGTGCCAGAAGCATGATAGCCTGATACTGATTCAGCGCAATATTTGAAAGTGGCAAAGTGGTGAGTGAGACTTACATGTGGTGGCATTATTCTTAACATACGGCACCCAATCCGCCCGGGACGAGAACGTGTGATGCGCAGCCTCAGGTGGCCAGGAACCTTTGACAACATCCTTCGTCCCCGAGCCTTGTGTGATTATTTCATTTCCGAATCGGCATGCTTCTGCCAAAACTTCGACATCCAGAGGGTCAGACAAATACTGACAGTCAACAACGGGAGCCGAAAGTGGGTTTGCATCTTTCAATGCCACCGTCCCTCGTGACCTGGGACCAAAAAGCTCTGCGATCAGGCTAAACGCTGACTTTCCATCAGCAGGAAAATCCGAAAATTGCTTGGGTCCACCATAACACTCGGTTGTGAAGAACTCAACGTTGGGCTGCGCTGGTGTCAGTCCCATTGGATCACGGCCCGACTCTCTCGGGGCCTTATTCCACAACTCGGAGTCACTCAAACGCTCGTCAAGACGCGCAAAAGCAAAAGCCCCGAATGGAAAGGTGGACAAAAACCCCTTCTTTTCGGCCTTCCAAAGTTCATATGACTTTGTGAAGGCGGCTTCGGGATAGATAAGGTGGTCATTGGTTAGACCAGGTTGGTCGACTTCATAGAATATGAAGACAATCTGGCTTCGTGTCAGTATCTGATAAATTGCAGGTTTTTGCGAGCAGACTTACAAGATGATCCATCAGGTTCTTTCCAACACCTGGTAGGTCCAGGAGAGTAGTAATCCCGACTTTATCCAGCTCGTCCTTGGCACCAATCCCTGACCGGTTCAAGATGTTCGGGCTGCAGTAGGCACCGCCGCTCACGATCACCTCCTTCTTGGCAGCAATCGTACTCTGTTTCCCGTCACCAGAAAGAACCTTGACGCCAGTGGCTACGAGTTCACCCTTTGAATCTCGCTCCAACACGACCTTGTCGACGTAAGTATTCGTCAATATCGTGATATTCTTTCTGGCGTTCGCATTGATAACAAAATCAGCACCTGTCGTTCTAAGACCACTCGTTACCGTTCGTGGTACATGTCCACAGCCGTGCGGGTTTTCTCCATGCGAAAACATGTCGTCATCGAGCTTGAGGCCCTTGGAATCCATTGATTTCAGAACTAGCTCTGAAATCGGGGCCAAGTCATGTGGTTCGACCCCCAGTTTGCCATTGTATCCGTGAGACGACTCTGATGCCTTGAACCAAGGCTTGCTCACAAACGATTCAGCCTTAAAATGTGTCAGCAAATATTCAATCCCAGAAGAAGCTGCGATCGTATGGGGAAAATGATAGGTTTTACCTTTCGCATGTACGTGAAAAACTCTTCGCCACTCCAACCTGGTAGATGCCAGTCGTCATAGTCTTGCTTGGATCCGCGGATGCAAAGTGTACCATTGCAACCTGAGCAGCCGCCCAGGAACTTTCCCCTGCTCAATTTTACTTGCCGATTGTTGATTCCAGCTCCGGGGTTTGTAACAATATTCCAATCGGTCTCTTTGCCGAAATTCGCCGCCCAGCTATAGAAGTAGGTTAAACATCACACGTCTTGTTCTGCATGGGGGCTACCTACCCGCCGACCATGTGAACATTCTCAAGGTCTTCGTTATGCGGACCGGCTTCGATGACTAGAACGGTGATGTTTGAGTCTTCTGCCAGGCCTGCGGCCACCACACAACCGGTCGTACCCCCGCTTCAAGGATCTTTAGTGATGTACCTTGACACGTGTAGGTGTTATGGCTTACCCGCAAACGATGAAATCATAGGAACCAGACGACTCTTGAGCTTCAGATGACATGTTGTCAAAATAATTCTTTTTGGTGATTGTTTCTCTTTGCTTTCTGAAATCAACTTTTGGGAGAATCTGTTTACCTAGAAAATGTGGTGCGGGGGCCGAGCTTTATAGGTAACTAGTTAGCCGATATATCTTTGCAGTTGTAGCTCAAGCAATGTTTCCGGTTTGCGGTTCCGATTCCGTGCAGGAGCGTACAAATTATTCATAAATGAGGTGTTGCAAACGGCTGGGCAGGAGAGTATTCGCAGGAATTTCCATATCCCTGCGCCCGGCAATACCGCCTTCCTACCGATAAAGTTGAATCATGCATTAAGACCTGCAGCTCGGCCGTTGATACTGTGACTGACTGGAGATTTTGCCTAACTAGTCAAATGGGGATCAAACGGGGTAACTAGATAAACCTCCACAGCTCTTCATCGCACATTTTAACGGACCCTGACAGGAGGCAACGGCATCAGTCCGATGACAGCAGTCAGTTCCTTCCCTCAGTCGTTCACAGGTTGACAGGTTTCCTTCAATGCCTTATAGTTAGGGAAAGACGATATGGGAAGAAACGGCAGTTGTGATCTTTCAGCTACCAGGTGGCTGCAATATAAACGCGGGGTACTTAGTGCCTAGGTAAGTAGTACCTATTGATTTGGAATGCACGAGGGTTGGAGGGGTCCAATTCACCAAAACTAGGCCGATTCAGTCTGCCGATGCGTGCAATAGTGCCACCATAACAATAGCCCAGTACATGAACGAAATTCCGCTCAGCTGATGGTTATTCCGCACCAGAGGAAAGTAACGCAATAATTCCGAGATAAACCCATCAATCTTACAGCCTCTCATGCTCAGATTACCTAGCGACGAAAACATTAGTTACGTGAAAGCCAGTATCAACTTGCACGGCCCTATAAATTGAGCTAGGCTTCACAGGAACTTCACCAGAGAGCTAGGCACATTCTCAAGGAGTCGTTGTTGAACTAAGACACGATGCCGAGAACATTGAATGTATTTATATTTATATATTTACTGCTGTTAACGCCGGGGAAATCCCTGAAGAGGGCAAACGGCGCCTGCGGGGACCTATCAAACCTAAATTTTACAAATAATTCTGATTGAATCCATCCAACAGGCCTCAAGGGGCTTTCGCTGGTTGGGCTTTCGCTGGTTGGTCGTGGGGTTGATATACAAGGCCGCTCGGGGGCATACCTCGCTGAAGAACGAGGTTTCCTGGGCAAGTCTTGCAAGTCGAGAACATTGAACAATGGGTTTGTTCATCACCCATGTCTAATAATACAAGGCCGCTTTCCGACCACACTCGGCATTCGCCCATGTTTTCAACAAGGACTATCTGTCAAGTGCGAATGTTAGTTGCTTTTTTATTGCCTCTGACTACCTAGGTAGGTACCTAGTCAAACTGCTCCTCCCAGCCTCACATCACAGTAAGAGCACACGTGGACCACAGGATGACATGACTACCGCCCTACCCGCTACTTACTACTTACCTATTCGCGTGCATTGTGCGCGCAGTGGCAAAGAGGGCAGAGGGACAACCGCAAACAAGTACGGATTTCGCGGGCAGAAAACAAAGTAATTCAGATTGGCGTGGCTATTCAATCCTTTTGCTATGCCGCACGACCGAGATAACCGGCACCGAGCTATACCTGCCTCGCCTTGCCAAGGTAGTTGGTGTAGGTAGGTACGTACCACCTATGTTACTGTACCTAGAGGTACTTGACAGATTCCTCGGCCCAGGCCCTGCAGGCCCCATTACAGCGGGCTGTTGAGTGCATCCAGCGCTTGAACTAGCTGCACGTGGAAGTGTTTTTCAGGTATCCGCTACGTTAGGTACCTAGGTACGTTGCGTTTTCTAGGGCCGTGGACCAATCACAGCGCTCACTCCGACGGAGCTCTGCTAGGCGCAAGACGACATTATAATAATCCCCGTGCGTTGCCGGCGGCCTGCAGCAGGTCAAGATTCCAGCGTCACTGCTTTTTTCGACCTCTTCACCTCAATAGCCACAATCTATTCTTCATTCGCCGCGCCCGAGACACGCCCCAGGCATCGCGCCGCCTTTGCCTCTCCCGCTTCCTCGTGCTCCTAACTAGCTACCACTACCAGCTCAAAACAACTCTTCGTACAATTCTTCTCTGAGGTTCCTACGCAGCTTCTTAAGCCGCAGCCAAGATGGGTTTTGTTGAGGATGAGCTCAAGCAGCTAAAGGATGTCATTGGCAACCTTGAATCCCGCATCAAGAACCTCGAGCAGCGTGCCACGGGCTCTGCTGCTCCTGTTTCGATCGAGGAGATTCGTATGCTGCTCATCGGACCTCCTGGAGCTGGTCAGTTGCGATGTTGGCGACCGACCGCATTACTCGATGCTGTGCCGCCGAGTTTGGCCAATTGCTAACCCGCTTACGCAATCTAGGCAAGGGAACACAGGCGCCCAAAATTAAAGAGCGCTTCTCATGCTGCCACCTGGTATGTGCAAATCGCGCCTCGGGAACCATCCCACCACCACATGGTATTGATTGGTGGCTAACGCCTTGTTTCTTGCCACGCTACAGGCCACTGGTGACATGCTTCGCTCGCAGGTTGCCAAAAAGACTCCCCTAGGACGCGAGGCCAAGAAAATCATGGACCAGGGCGGTCTCGTCTCTGACGACATCGTCATTGGTATGATCAAGGAAGAGCTTGACAACAACAAAGAGTGCCAGGGCGGGTGAGTAGTAGCACGAAGCTCCTCTGTGTACTCTACTAACGCCTTGGCCACGACAGTTTCATTCTCGATGGTTTCCCTCGCACCGTCGCCCAGGCTGAGGGCCTCGATGTCATGCTCAAGGAACGCAAGCGTGATCTCAAGCACGCTGTCGAGCTTCAAATCGACGACGCCCTCCTTGTCGCCCGCATTACCGGCCGACTGATCCACCCTGCTTCCGGCCGATCCTACCACACAACCTTCAACCCCCCCAAAGAGTCCATGAAGGACGACATCACCGGCGAGCCCCTTATCCAGCGCAGCGACGACAATGCAGAGGCTCTGAAGAAGCGTCTCAACTCCTACCACAAGCAGACTACCCCTGTTGTCGACTACTACCGCAAGCACGGCATTTGGCACGGCCTCGATGCCAGCCAGAAGCCTGGTCAAGTGTGGAAGAACATGCTGACCATCCTTGAGGGCCAGAAGTAGTTAGAGCCGCGATTCCTGCTATCAGCGCGCCAGCTGACCCCTTTCCAGGGGATGGGAGGCGTCATTGGATAAAAGTGTGCCGTTAGGACAGGGGCACGTAGGGTGCGCATATTTCGGTAGCGGTGTTAAACTTGCCGCGTGTAGTCCTAGAGTTATGATAAATCGATGTATGAAGTGCTCCAACGTCTAGGTAAATGGCGTTCAGTATCTTTACTGTAGTTAGAGAATAAACTTCCCAACGACTTGTATTGCGATGATTGTGCGACGAAAGAAGAATCTAAAATGCGATTTTGAACTCGAAGCGATGATATCTAGATAAACCACCTGAAGGCAATGCAGCTTCGCATTCCACGAAACACGTGTCTGCTAACCAGAAATGACGGTCGAAATGTACACGCAATATTAAAGTAAAGGCTAAGGGTCTATGAAATGAACGGTATGGCCGTGAGGTATGTGCAGTTTGATATGGACAATCAGTCCGTAGAAAGGTGCTCTTATCTCTTTCTTCTGCGCTGAAAAACTTGAGCGCATGCTATTTGTTTGTATGCCGTAGGTTAAGGAGACGTGAATTGTGGTGGTGGGCAAAGTCACAGAGCAGACACGGAGCTCAACCTCCTACGTCCTATCTCCGCGGGGAAGCTGAGAACATTAGGTCAGTAGAGGTAGAGCATGTCGCGTTGGCGCAACTGACCATTGACCATCTGCCTCTGCTTATTCAGCCAGCTCTTGGGCGCATCGTGCCGCCGTTGAAGCACGACGTGGTTACTTTGTAGACGGCTGGTGAGGTCGTACCACGCTGTCGCAATAAGCGCGTTTTCACGCTGCAAGTTCTTCATCATTTGATCGGCAGCGGCCTGTGAAGCAGGGTGATTAGCTTTGCTACTGGTAGTCACAGTGCTTTTTGTATGTTGTATTCCCATGTACGTACCTTTTGAGCAGTGGCGAGTTCACCTCCCTGCAGAGTCTTAAGTTCTCTCTGTAGGTTGATCTTATCTTGCTCGGCTTGTTCGAGTTGCTTTGGAATATGTTAGCTCTCTGGATATACTCAAAAGCTTCCTTTCGACCTCAGCCCACGGGAAATGTATGACGTATGTTTGGTCCGTGTTATACCCAGCTGACACAGTCATGCCATGCTCTTTCGCCATTGCTGCACTGCCCTGATTTGGAAGGGAAGTCTTACCTGCTTTCTTTCAATGAGGCGATCTCGCAGCTTCTCAATCTTTTCGGCTGCTTTCTTGGCTGCTTCCGAGGAATCTTGGTTTGCAGTGCTGAGTGCGGCTGTTTCCTGAAGCTCCTTTGCCTCTTCGGCGTCTTTTCGAAACTTGTCTTTCGCGAGTAAGGCATCGATCAACTGTGTCTTCTGGGATTCCCGTTCATTGGTGACGAAAGCCAGTTCTTCCCGCAGGCGATCGAGCTCAGCCTTGAGAGACTCGGATATAAGTTTGTCCGTGCTTTTCAGCTCGTCGAGGACGGAGATCCGATCTTTCTGAACAACAGATAGCTCTGTCTTCGCCCCCATCAAGTCTCGCTCCTTGTCTGCAAGTTTTGCCTGCAGATCACCAGTGCGCTTCTTCAGCTGCTCAAGCTCATGCTGAGTTTGAGTGTGCTCGGATCGCAAACTGATGAATGTTTTCGAACTATGAACCGACGGAGATTAGCAGGCATTCAAGAACGGGATGATCGAAGGTTGCAAACTTTTCTCCAGTGGAGCTCTTCATGAGAGCGTCTATCTGGTCTTGAACTATTGTGTGCTTCTCAAACATCTCGTTCAAGCTCTGCTGAAGTCTTTCGCGCTGCTTCTTCTCGTCGTCGGCTTCTTTTCGTAGAGTAGCAGCATCTCCAGTGGATCCAATAGTTCTTCGTAGCAAGTCATTCTCCGCTCTTAGCCTAGACAACTCAAGGGGAATATTCTTCTGTCCATCATCGCTAGACGCACTGTTCAGTTCGTCCTCCAGACTGGAAGAACCCGGCAGAGCTAATGTCTCTCCCTGCGGGGCTCCACCACCGTGCTGTAGTTGGTCCTGTAAGTCTTGAATGAAGTGCTCATCGTGGCTGCGCTGCGCCTTTAGTCGCAGGAGCTCATCTTCGAGAGTCTGCATGTCCTTCAGAAGTTGAGTTTTCTGGCTGCGCTCATCCCACAGATGCTGCTCAGACTGTGTCAGCATGCGCGTTAATTCGTCTTCCGCTTTCCTCGTCCGATCTCCCTTATCTTGCTCGTCCATCAGCGACCGAAGCTGCTCCTGCAATTCTGCGCGCTCGTATTGAAGATTTTGCACTTCTCTCACAAGATGTTGTTGTGATTCGAGCTTCTGCTTATAACGCTCAGCAGCGTTGGCCTTCTTTTCCAATTCCTCCGCTTTGTGCCGCCATTCTGTGGCTTGGTCTCGCAGTTCGTCCGCATGCTGACTCCTCTGTGTGAGCTTTTGGACTTCACTCTCAAGCTGCGCACGCGCTCTTTCATGGTCTCGAATACTTTCTTCATTTTTCGCTATAATTTCCATTTGTTCATGCACTTGATCCTCTAAGAGACGAACGGCTTCGGCGTTGTTGGCGCCATCTTTCGTGGCTTTGCGTAAAACCTCGAGCTCTCGATCGTTTCGTTCCTTTTCGTATTTGAGTTCTTCATGACTCTGCTGCAAGTGTTCCAGGCGGGTAATATAGTCGGAGAGGGCTTTTTTGTTCATCTCAAGTTGCTGTCGTAAGGCTGCATTCTGCTCTTCAACCACCAGATCCATATCCCTGGCTTCCATCACTGCATCGATATCTTCATTGAGCTTGTCTTCGTCGCCAGCATTCGCCGCGTCAATCTGCATGGAGCGGATAATGTTCATTATCTCTGCTTGGTTGACTTTGTCGAGGGCGTTTTGAATAAGAGGAACGTATTTCTTGTTATCCGGCCCCATAGCTGCAGCAGACACCATGACAGCAAGGAGCTGTGTTTTGCATGTTAGCCTGCTAAAATTCATATCAAAGCCTGTCTGAATAGCTACATACCTGGCTGAGCCCCTGCGGCTCGGGGTTCTCAGCTACGGCATGATAGTCAACCTTTTTGGCCTGACAGCCTAATTCGGGTATTTGTCGACGGATGAAGCGAAATAACCCCTTATATACAGCTTGTATATTGCGTTTATTCGTCAGGTATCGGGAAGTGGCAGGATTGGATTCTAGGTGGGATGGATCAAACTCGGGGTCGAGTTCGTGCAGAATATTCGCTAGTATTATGCCATTTGTCAAATCCTCCAGAGAGTTGGCTTCTCGGTTCAGGCTGAACACGTGGTTGACCTGACCATAGCTGGGTTAGGTTCCTGCATGATGACAATGCACAGGAGAGGGAACTCACGGATTTCAGGAGCGCGGTTTGCGCGCGACTGCTGTACAGCGGCATGGTGTTCGGCGCGAGCAATCAGGTAGCTCGTAAGGGGTTGGCGATATGTATGCGCGTGGTCGGTACTGCTCAATTTTCAAAATGGGCAGGGAACACGATCGGCAGGGCAGAAAGCTTTCGTAGGTCGCGGCATGACGAATAAGCAGAGTCCGAATGTGAGGTAACGAAGAGGATGTTCTATCCGCACGATGGCGCTGCCGGTTGTAGAAAATTGCGCTCGAAAGCTACCTGATACCGACGTCTGGACGTAGGTTGTATTATTAAGGAGGGCAAACATGCAAGATCCAGAACGACTAACTATTTATCCCAGCTTCGAACACTTCACTACGACATTCAACACATTAGACCCACTTCTCCGAGGCTGCAATCTTATTAAACGGGCTGTTCAGAATAAGTACCTACCTACCTAGGTAGGTACTAACTAGGTAGTTAGCTTTCTGCCACCAAGCAAAGAGTGATCTAATAGCGTGTAATACGCCTTATACTGGAAATATAAGGGCTCCATCCACGAGCATTTAAATGTCCCGTTGTATTTTTTACGTCCCATCTCCTCGCGATACCGGTTGCTCTTTGCCCAGAAAGAGATATAGCTGAGTGGCCTACCGTGCGTATTCTCAAAGCTAGTCGGAACTGAATTAAACAAGAGTACAAGTAACGCCGTTTCAAATACATTCATAACCATGTCCCCATAACCAATGCTCTCGAGTAATCATATACAGGTGCATAAGCAAAGCTTTTTATGATTTCAGCCGCTGTTCGCAGTAACGACCTGGTCTTCTTCCACCCTAATTGAGTAATCACTCCCAAAAGCTTCCACGAGTTCGAGCGATTTCTCGGGGGCAATAGCGGAGAAGCCCCTACAAATAGCATGGTTAGCCTCTGATGCATCAACAGGAAATGTGAAACATACTTAATTATCTGGTAATCATGCGTGATTTGGCCACCACCATCGATAATCTTCTGTCGTGCCTCGGCGACAACAGACTCAGGAGTCCCGTTGGGAAAGGAAACAATGACTGACAACTTGCGATCCACGGCGAGCGTGCTGGGGAGCAGTGACAGAGCGGCAACGACTTGAGGAAAAAATTTCATCTCGCTTGAGGGCTGGCCGTGGCTTGGGTGGTTTCGTTGAATTTAGTGCCGTATCGTCCTTGGGACGTGGTATCAGATACGCTTTTTGCGACGTTCCAGAAAGTTGATAAGTTGTAATGCTGGTGTCCTGATGACATAACTTGATGGATGACATTCAGTGAGGCTGCCTCCCCTCCGGGCGCGCAACTTCATTATTCCGCTTGAACAAGACTTTCCCCGCACAACATCACCCTTTCGGACAGGTCCCAAGTGTCGCGTTGAGGTAGCAAAAGCGGGATCCACTCCTTACTGGCATGAATTTGACCTTATTAAGTACCTACGCGCGTGAGGCCTGTTTTCTGACAGGGCACTGGACACGTTTTCCACTTAATATGTAATTTTCCCCTATCACAACGCTGTCAGGCGTCTAACACGGCTTTTAAAAAAATAAATAAGATCTTTAACACGTAGTAGCAGCCTGACAGCGTTGTGACAGGGGAAAAAAACCCCTTTAAAAAAGAGACCTGTCTAGTACCCTGTCTAAAAACAGGCCTCACTCGCGTATGTACTGTTCAACACCAAGTCTTAAGTATTGGGAAAATGAACTAGGTTGATTACTGATGATTAATTGCAATTGTATCATAGTTCTTGATTGTATCATCTGTCAATTTGTACCTCGACTGCCGGTTCAGTTGTCCCTTTTGTTCTTTACCCCATGCATATTTGTTATAACAGCCTAATGATCTATCAATCGCTCTGTTGCCTTTCGAGCAGAGTGGAGAAGCACTTTGGAGTTGGCATTTTTCAATAATTAATGCTTGAAATGTACTGAGTGGTGTGTTGAAAATGTACCTAGGCTAGGTAGCCAAAAGACAGCCCCGGCCACTTATGGGCAAGCTAATCAGTTACCTAGGTACTCACTGCCACCCCCATTCTCGTTCCAAACGTCCTTGCTTTCTTGCTCCACCGCTCGCATCGCCACCGCAACCTGTTCCAATTTCGATACTACGTCGATAACGCCTGAATTCACGCGTTGAAAGTACTCATCATTGGCTTCGCGCCGCTTCCTGGCTAAAAGTATGTCGGCTTCGGTCTCTTCTTCCAAGTTGGCTCCCAGTCGTTCCACATCAACACCCTCGCCAAATGGCCGTGGCACATTAGCATTTGCATTTCCCTTGTTAGGCTCTGCGTCGCTTATACCTGGCTTGGCGGCGTCTGAAAACGACCCTTTCGCACTCCGGAGGTCGTCGCCAACGTCTGGGCTTCCTTCCTCGCGGGAGGCTTTCTCCATCGAGCCATCTGCTTCACTGCGGGCCCACGCCTGAGCCAATGCGATTTGGGCTCCTCGTAACTCAGCTAATTTGATATCGTGAGAGCGACCGAATACGTGGGTGCCCGCGGAGGCAGACAGTTCAACTTCTTCTAGAGTTGCTTGCATCTCCGCCCAAAGCGCATCTGTCCGATCTGCTGTGCGGCCGCTGTCCGCCGTCTTCAGCACGCGGCCGATTCTTTGCTGTTCCGATGCCGCTGTCGGTACATTCCGTATCGAAGCATTGCTATCATATGACGAACGTTCTCGCCTGATGCTTGCTGGTCCTGGGATGGCGGAGCCAGGAGCTAAAATGCCGGGTAAAGAAACACGGGATGCTCCTGGGGACGGGTGAAGGAACAAAGATGGTGGAGGTTCCCTCTGTTTGCTCTTGGTTCTAGAGAGAGACATGTTGCTGGCGTTCGCATACCGCGTTAATAAGTCAACTCTCAAAGCTCTCAGAGGCAGTACTAGTAGTACAACTGCCAACGGTGGGGCGCATAAGGCTCACTACCTAGGTAGGTAGGTAGGTAGTCCCAATATGAACAAGTCACCCCCCTTATTACCTAATCTCGCGTGCGAGAGTGATATCACGTGAACTACCCACCAATTGTGAGTTTCTTCCTAGGGCCGAAAACCCTACCATGAAATCCTGGCGGGACTTTGGTCCAACTTTTCGCCAGCTCCGCAAGAAGTCACATCACCAACCGTTCCGCGATACCCAGATAATTCGGTACGTACAATTTGCTTCGAATACCTCGACGGACCTGTCAACACCCCGAATACGTCCGACTAACGTAACGAAGCAATCATGGCTGGAGGTAAACCCCGTGGTCTCAACGCCGCTAGAAAGCTGCGGACGAACCGCAAGGATCAGAAATGGGCCGACCTTCACTATAAGAAGCGTGCTCTGGGCACTGCTTTCAAGTCGTCTCCTTTCGGTGGCTCTTCTCACGCCAAGGGCATTGTTCTCGAGAAGGTTGGCGTTGAGGCCAAGCAACCCAACTCCGCTATCCGAAAGTGCGTTCGTGTTCAGTTGATCAAGAACGGCAAGAAAGTCACAGCTTTCGGTACGTCTACCCAGAACACCATTGTCCCTGCTCATAATTTCGAGACTGCCCATCTAACGCGCTCACTCCAGTCCCCAACGACGGTTGCCTCAACTTCGTCGACGAGAACGACGAGGTCCTCCTGGCCGGTTTCGGTCGCAAGGGCAAGGCCAAGGGTGATATTCCTGGTGTTCGCTTCAAGGTCGTGAAGGTTTCTGGTGTCGGTCTGCTCGCTTTGTGGAAGGAGAAGAAAGAGAAGCCCCGTTCTTAAATTTGGTGTGGAAAAGAAAACATCTTGTTTCGGCATGGGGAGTCCTATCGGCGTGCTCACTTTGGCATTAAAGGTTGGGAAATGTATCAAGGGAGACTACTTTTGAGATTGAACCAAAAAAGTCTTCAAAAACATGAATATGGATGATTTGTTTACAATTGCAATGTGATCCGACTGCCCAATTATTCTACAGGTACTGCTATACTATTGTACATTTCTTCAGTTCTCTCGATGCTTGCATTGGCTTGGCTGCTTCTCGTTCCGACTCCCTCAGACGAATAAGGTAGTCTGCAGCTAAACCCATGCTAATGACGCCACCAGTGATCCAACAGCCATTAACGAACCACCACCAGCAATCCTTGACACTCTTCAGATCGACACGCTTGATCATGATGCCCAGGGCAACTGCAGCTCCGCCACAACTACCAATAAAAAATGCAGGGCCAGCTCCTGCGGCGGTTCCTGCCGCAGCGAGAAGCCCAATTTGGACAGCTGCAAGCCCCGTCAAAACTTTTTTCGTGTCGGCATCGTGTTTCAGCGCAATACTCTTAATTCCAGCTTTGGCGTCATCCTTGATGTCCATATGCGCATAGATCATGTCGTACAAAACGGTCCAGGCAATATTGGACGTGTACAGGCAAGCAGCGGCAGTCAAGGCAGTGCTGTTGGTCAACAAGTCGACCCCAAGCGCTGGAAATCCCATCATGGCTCCCCAGGAGAACGTCAGCCCCAGCACGAACTGGGGGTAGTAGGTAACTCTCTTTGCTAATGGATATATGGCCACAAATAACAGGCTAGGAATGCCGTAGTAAAGGCAGGAGGTTGGAAATTGTACCAATACTCCAAGCCCGGCCAGCAGCTGAAAGCCGGTGAATGCCAAGCCATTGAAAGGCGTTACTGCGTTGCGTGCAATTGGCCGTAATCTCGTTCGTGCGACATGGGGGTCGAGATTTCGATCCCAAAGATCGTTGATTGTACATCCAGCACCGCGCATTATCAGAGCTCCCGAAAAGAAAAGCAGAGATGTTCCGACGACAGATGCAATCGATGTCACGGGTTCCGCCATAGGCGCGGCCAAAAGAGTCGAAAAGAGGCAAGGGAAAAAAAGATAATAGGTTCCGGTTGGTTTATCAATTCGAATGAGCTCCCCGTAGGGAACCCATTTCGCAGGTAGAATTGAGAGAATGCCAGTTTTTGGCGCTTGATAAGCTGGCGGACCTTGTTGAGTGACCGTGCTTGTGGCCTCGGTAAATGTGTGTACGCGACGTTCACTTGCGTGGAGCGTAAAGCTTTGACGAATAACCGGCCGTAGACGCAGCCTTATAGTATCACGGCACCTCATATTCATGTGCGCCTTCGCTAAACGAGATGATACTACCCCGCGAGCCAGGTTGACATTAAAGCCTCGCTGTATCGTGAGGTGGGCCATCTGAACACCGATCGTAAGAATGTTTACTCTGTGAAAATGTCCCGTTTGGCAACATACCTCCAAGGTCGTGGCGGTAGGCCAATGGTACAATATGTGCCTCAATTGACCACTCTCTATTTCTGGCTATAACAAGTCAATGGTTACGGGAGCCAACTCAAGTCACTAGAGTAACTTTTTGTCAGGCCGAGGGTTCAAGGAAGTGCCCGACGGTGCCTGGCAGGTCGCGCTTGGGAGGCGGAGGCGCTATCACGTGAAGGCGCGACCAAGCCTGCCCGCCCCCAGTTGTTGTTCATTTCATTGCGCCGCTCCCGAGTTTGAAGCGTTCAAACACTGCAACAATTCATCACATAAGAGGACCATATCGCAATTTTTCCATCACTCATCCAACAAGAGACCCGATAATGAAGTGTCAAACACATTGTTTCTGAAGACTCGATATCTCATCTCAGGGTCTACCCCTAGGGCAGACACAATGCCAGCAGCTTCCCACCCTCAGGCGAAGTTTGATCCCATTTCGCCGGATCTTGACTTGCACTCTCTGTTAGATGAGGTTCCTAATTTCAAATGGGCACAGCGTGTCTCGATAAGCCAGCTTCGCAGTCTTGGGCCCGAGGAATTTGAAAGGCTCGTTCTTATGCACGTCATCACAGGAGGAAAACCTCTTGTCATTGAAGGGTTTGATGCCGTTTTGCCGAAATGGCTCTTCAGCTCTGAATGGCTCGAGAATAGATATGACAAGAAGGGTAAGATGTGAATGGTACCTTGATGTGGACGTGGTACTGACGGCGGTTTAGAAGAAAGAGTTCGCGATATCGTGTCGCAGAGCGACATACCCATGACGATGGGTCATTACCTGCGATCTATGAAGCAGCTGACCAACCAGTGGACTACAACAAACTTTCGCGACGATAGGCGACAGCGCCTCTACCTCAAAGACATAGATTGTCCACCTGAATGGCACGAGGCTCTCCAGACAGTCATCAGTCCTGTCCTATTCTATCTCAACAGTACCCTCACCCGCACTGGTGCCAAATCAGCAGCTGAAGACGAGGCGCAGGATCCTAAAAGCAACGCCGCCTCAGCCGGAGATCTCATGTCCAGTTTACCTCTGGAGATGCGTGCGGAGAACCTCATGTGTTACGTCGGCCACGAAGGCACGTATACGCCCGCGCATCGTGAAATGTGTGCCTCCCTGGGGCAGAACATCATGGTTGAGGCATCAGATGATGCAAATGGTGAGAAATCTGGAAGCTCAATATGGTTTATGACAGAAAGCAAAGACAGAGCGGTCGTTCGAGAGTACTTCCTATCGATGCTTGGCCATGACATTGAGATCGAGAAACACTTTGCTCAAGTCAATGCTTGGAAGAAGGCTCCATTCGACGTCTATGTTGTGGAACAGCGCGTTGGCGACTTCATCCTGGTCCCGCCCCTCGCCGCTCACCAAGTGTGGAACAGAGGTACAAGAACAATGAAGGTCGCATGGAACCGAACGACCGCGGAAACACTTGAGCTGGCTTTGCAAGAGGCCCTCCCTAAAGCACGGCTGGTCTGCCGAGACGAGCAATACAAAAACAAAGCGATTATTTATTACACACTTCAAAGCTACTACGAGCGCCTGCGATCGCTTGAGGACCATGCCGAAAAGACCCAGCTTGGATTCATAGACTTGGGTCGAGACGACATACGAAACTCGTTTCGAGCCAAGCAGCTGGCTTCAGATTTCAAGAAACTTTTTATTCTTTTTACCCAGATACTCGTTGATGAGGTGTTCGCATTCAAGGAGAGGGATATTGAATTCGTTCCTTTCGATTCCTGCATCACTTGCTCGTACTGTCGCGCGAACATCTTCAATCGTTTCCTAACTTGCAGGAAGTGTGTCCGGACCCTCGTCAATGGCGATGAAGATACGTATGATGTCTGTATGGAATGCTATGCTATGGGGCGCTCTTGCGTTTGTCTCTCTGGTCTGCAATGGTGTGAGCAGTGGTCCTGGAGCGAGCTTGTCAACAACCACGAAGATTGGCGCTCAATGGTCATTTCTAATGATGGGTTCATCGATGCCAAGGTTTCCCCGCAGCCCCTAGAAGTTGCAAAGCAATTGAGCGGCAAGAAATCAGTCGCCCAAATTTGCCAGGAGGCACTGCGACTACGACCCTGGAAGGATATCACCCAACCTGCAAAAGAACCAACACCAAGCGAGTCTGAGGAAGGCGAAGAAGCAGACAACTTGAAAGCCAAGAAAAGCCGCAAAAAGAAAAACAAGAAGGGCGATGTGCGGCGATGTCACGTTTGTTGCCACAAAGAGTATAAATATCGCATGCAGATATGCTCAAATCCCGACTGCTCAGAAGGATACTGTTTTGGTGTTCTTTATAGAGCATTCGATATGATGCCGCAGGATGTCCTCCAGGATGAGCATTGGAAGTGTCCAAAGTGCCTAGGAATATGCAATTGCGGCTACTGTCGCCGTTCGGGGAATACTAAGCCATATACACCGAAAAATACATCTCTGGGCCATGATACAAGGGCTGTGGCAGATGATCGAAGTGTTGAGGCTCTTGTTGATTTTCGACTGCACAACTTGGCCTGGCTGAAGGCCGCCGGCGAAGAGAGTCGCGGACAGGACACCAAGCGCATGCAAAGGTTGCGAGAACAAGCAGACACAGCCAAGGCGGAGGGCTTGTCTGATGAGCATCTTCAATGTAATGATACAGGAGCAGCTGCAGAAGACGCGAATCATGTACCGTCACATCACGACGGACCTCTGCCACTGCTAGATGGTACCACAACTCGTCAGCAAGAAACCGAGACAACACGCCCCTCTTTTGCGCAGCCTGACATCAATCGAAATGGGGCAGCGACGGCATACTTATCGGCCCCCTGGCTTAACAAAGAACAGACTGCAAATGGGCAGAACGGAGATGATTTGTCTTATCCCGATCCCCCTGTTTTCGCAGCTCAGAGGATCGGTATGGGCTACTACGAGCAAGATGATACCCCTGATAAGATTCTCTTTGACCCATATCAGGCCCCGACTGCTGAAGATTTGAGAGAAGACGAATCAGACATGCCAGAATTCATCAAGAAATCAATCCGCAGCGCAAAAAGGAAGGCGAGGAAAGAAAATGAAGATCCCGACTTCATAGTGAGGAGCCGTCATCGGAAGAGGGCGAGATCCCAACGAGATTTTCTCGACAACATGGACCCTGCCTTGTTCAACGAAGCCCCTTTTATTGCTGCGGAAGAAACATTGCAGCAAGGCGGAGGCGAAATGGCCGGCCACAGCACTCCCGTGACAATTGGCGATGGAGAAGGCAAAAGAAAAGAGAACCCGAGTTATGACGCAAACGAACCCCTGCTAAGGCACGCGAAGCCTTTGGCATCTTACGTCGAAGTTGAAGATCTAGATATTGAAGGACTGAACGAAAATGAGCAAGCCACTTCGCCACCAGCAAGTGAATTGGACAAGCTATCGCCCAAGTTAGCGTTAGTAATGGGTGACGCTTCTGAACCAGCAATTGATGATGAGGTTTTGGAATCAAATCAGGGTTTGGAGTCAAATCAGGTTTTGGAGTCAAATCAGCCAAAAGCTCCTGTGTTACCTTCCAGAAGCGCTCCTGCAGGACCAAAACGACGCGGCCGGCCCCCGGCGCACACCAAGCGGCCCGCTACAGCAAGCCATGAAGTCCAGTCGTCGGATGAGGATGCTACAGAAGAGACTGGGTCCAACAACAACAACAACAACAACAACAACAACAACAACACACGCCGACGTGGTCCCGGTCGTCCCAAGAAATCCGACCAAGGCTCTGGGAGCGCTTCAAAGCAAGTGCGAGCTGAAGATGATAGTTACAAGCTCAGTCCCAATGAACAGGCCCGGAGAGGTGGCAAGCCACGCAGAGGTCGACCTCCTGGCTCCGGAAACTCCAGGCCACACTCTGCCAAGCAGGCGGCTGCTGCAGGCCAGCAATTTATGTCTCTAAAGGAGCGTATGGCACTTCGCGGAAAGACTTTCAAAATTGCAAAGCGAGCTCCGGATAGTTCATCACCGCACAGCACACCGCAACCTGAGGTCGCACAGAAATCGACGAGCATGACTGTGCAGCTTCCTAGCTTTACTTCAGTCAATAAGCCTGCGTCGGGTCCGCAGGCTTTTGAGCGTTATGATGCAAACGCTAAGACGGCTTCCCAGCGCAAGAGCGGCCTAGATATCTCAGAAGCGGGGGGTTCTGGAAGCGACTCAGGTTCCAGTGATGACGATGATATTCCAGCAAGAATTGATCAAGGACAGAATGTGCCGAGGCCGATTTCTGTGGCGATTAGAGGCCGTGGTAGACCAAGAGGGCGGCCGAGCATGCGCTCCCGCGGACGAGGGCACGCTTGAAGGAAAGAAGGAGGAAATCGTGTTGCTCTGTAACGATAATTATCTGCTGTCAGATGATGTACTACTATGTAATGGCAGGTCTAACAGCGCCGCTGGCTGATCCTCCGACAACCAAAGATAGCTTATTTTTGCACTGTAATTCGCCCTTAGCTGCGCGCGCACGAGCGCTTATTTAGTGGATATGCTGAAGCGAAAACAGGTAGCATATCCTCAGTGGCTGGTTTTAATTACTGATATAACCAACAATATATTCAAAGAATTGTCAAGGTGGCTTGCTGTGGTGGTGGCGATGAATTGGCAGCTGCGCAGAGCCCACGTGCAGCTAGTTGACCAATCTGCCAGGCCGGGCCCTGATAGTTTCTCTTAGTACCTGTATATAACCAGCCATGGTAAAAAAAAAATTAACACACGTGGCACCTCTAAAGCCTCGCGGATTTGTTTATTGCCTTTTTACCTTCGCTCGATGTTCCCATTGCGCACTCCTTACTCCTTGTCTCCCTTCTCTTCGACCCTTACTGATTGAACTGGAAAGTTGCTCTCGCTTGCACAGTGACCCCCTCAATCACATCGGCATCTCACCTGCTACAAAAAAACGCAACCCAACCGCGATAGCACGAATCCACAGAAAAGTACCATCTTCCCATGGCTCCGTCGCTAAGCTCCTCCGCTGCTGCGGCCTTTGGCCTTCTTCTAGGCTGCGGCATGCCGCTTCGCAGCGTATGGGCCGCAGAAGTTGATATTAAATGGTACGCACCAAGTAAGAATCAAGTCAATGATCTGGACACTATACCTAGCGCAACTGGTGTGTACGGCTTTATTTTCAACTCTTCCAAAACCCCGGACGATGATTACGGACTCTATAATTGGTGCAACATGCCTCATGTCCGCCGCACTGAGTATGTGAGGCCCAGTGCCGAGTTTGAGCTGAAATATGTTGAGCTGGCAAGTAATTTTACTTCTACCTCGTCCCTCTTCACAATCTTAACATGAACAGATTCACCGCCATCACAAACGTACGCCATACTCTTCTAACGCATTCCCCTTGGAATCGTACCAGTGGAATTGCGATGATTCCATGCTCCATTACTACGGACAACCATTTTCTGGCGCAAGGGCCGATAGGGTCTATCAGCAAGGCTACATCTCCCCCATAAATCCCTTTGTCCCATCCGGTTGGATTGGTACCTGCAAGTTTCCTCAAATTACAGCTGAGGGTTTGGTCGACTCATGGCAGCATGGAGCCGACTTGTATGGCGTTTATCATGATCTTCTTGGATTTCTGCCATCCAGAGGCTCTTCCGGTCTTCCGCCGTCTGTCAAGTACCGCGTTACCAACAATCTCATCACTAGTCAAGTTGTTGGTATGGTCATCAATGCGATGTGGGATATTACAGAGCCCGTACCAATTCTGGTTCAGGCTCAGGGCGTCGACAGTTTGGAGCCGCAATACCAGTGCAAGGCTTCGAGTGAAGTGTACAATGTCATCAAATCCAACTCCAACCAACAATGGCGTCGGCATTTAGATCTCGCGGCTGATCTATATCATACACTCGACAGCATTTCTGGTGTTTTGCCGTCGGATGATAGCTTTCATGAGTCTTTTGATCACTACTACGATAACTTGTCAGCCCGCCAGTGCCATGCAAAGCCGCTACCGTGTAAAGTCGTGGATGGCCGCAATAGCACAGACTGCGTATCTCAAGAGCTCGCAAATGCAGTCTATCGCTGGGGCAATTGGGAGTACAGCCAGATTTATCGTGATAGCTCCTCATCTCTCGAGGCAAGCACGGGATCCTTCGGCGTGTGGATTGCAGAGTTGACTGCAAACATTCGCGATGTAATTGCTGGTAAGAGCAGCACCGTTTACTACCACAATGTTGCTCATGATGGATCTCTGTCTCGTCTTTTATCAATTTTACAAATCGACGAAATGGTTTGGCCTGGAATGGGGTCCGAGGTTGTTTTTGAGATTTATCAGAAAAAGAAACAGTCAACCCCAACACCTACAACGACAAGGGTCGCTCTGAATTGCAATCACGATAACTGTTTGCGCCACATGATGGGCCAATCAGCTACCGCCTCATCGTATTGCTATCAGCTGGCTACCGCGACCGCCTCGTGGCCGTCGCAATGCGGCGGTAGTGAGTCTCGTGTCGCATCAGCTTGTTCGTGTCTGGGTCTTCCCTCTGCTACTTCAGTTACCTCGCCTACGAGTACAAGTGAACCGTCTGCCAGTGGATACTATGTGCGTGTCCTTTTTGGAGGACAGGTTATGCGCTCATCTACGCCTGCGCTTGGGTTTATGGATATGATTCCAGTGGAGAAACTGTTGTCGTACTTTGAAGGACTGGTTGGAGAGAATGCCAACAAGGTTAAGACAAAATGCAATGGCAATTAGGGCATGGATTGAGCGTGCAGCGCCGCTACGGTGATCCGCGGCTGGAGGTATCGGTATTGATCTATTGTCCGATATTTGCTATATTATTAAATAGTTCTAGACTGCTCCCCTAGTTGTTTCCAACGGTTCGACCGCTGAGGATCAAGCTTCATTATTATCGCTACCCAGCCTTCAATCTCGCTCTTTTTCTCGTCACTTAATGGCTCGTTGCGAAGTTTATAGATGAGCAGCGAATACTCGATTAGCATTTCGAATATCCACTTCACATCATTATAATCCTCGAGAAGATCCTTAATGAACTCGATTTCGCGGCTGAGCAGTTTGACTCGGTCGCCAATGATCATCCCAGGCACAATGGCCAGATCCGCAGGCTGTTCAGCGGTGTTTAGGGCAAGATACTGATGGTAGTACCATAGCGATTGGTCCTCTGGGCCAACGTTTAAACCATTATCTACCATGGCAAATTCTGCTAGTCTGTCAGCATGGGGTACTATAGCTAGTATTTGTGTTGCTCGGTCACCTTTATCCAGAAATGCTCTGCGCGACGAGTCATCCGCATTTCGCTCCGCGAGAAGCCTCGGTATTAGCTGAGCGCGGTTGTGCCAGGCCGAGAAATTGGACAAGTTGTCCTCGATCATTTTGGTCGTGTAAGCAAACTCTGATTCAGCCATGCTCTGGCCTTGAAGCTCGGCCGACTCTAAATGAGATACAACGTAACGTCGGTACGCCCAAGCATGGTAGTTTCGCCGGTCCCGATCCAGCATCTTGCCGACCAGTCCAAGTTCTTCGCGCCAGATAGACTTCCCCATCTCAATGGGTAGTAGCAACGTGGCCTGTTCCAGAGTCCACATTCTATAGTTCCAGATCCAGTAGCACTTCGGATGAGCCATTAATAGCGGTACTGTAAATACTAGCTCGTCGCGAATAATGTCGGATGAATGGCTGGTATTGGCACCATCTCCACTTTCATATTTTTCGCTGAGTGTTGTACCACGTTGGCTTGTAGAAGAACGACAATGTCTCTGCCCGTTCTCGCTAGAGTCGGTCGTCGACAAATGCTGAGGCGCATTGATAGGCTCTTTGCTTGTTTCGTGGCGTCCTAAGCCCCTCTTTGGCAGCACTTTCTGGTTCTTATTTTCAAACGGCCCAGATATTAGGCAGCGTCTCCTCGCGTTCCATACTGTATAATATTCGGGATTTATGCGCAGGAGCTTCGTAGTCAGCTCCAAGGTTACCGGATCGAACCGTGACTCCGAAGTCTAATGATACATGTGTGTTACTCAATGTTTTATTGTGCTGGCGCATGTAATAGAGCTTTCCGAATTACCTGAGCTCGTAACTGACCCTCCAGGGCTCTATATTTAGCGATTTTCTCGAGGTCGTTTTTGAGCTCTTCGGGACTTCGGTCGCGCTCGATTCGAGGTACACCATGCTATAGGTTAATCATCAGCAGTGACATTGAACAAGATTGAAAAGGGTAAAACGCGTACGCTAGACATGTTCGTCGTGTCGCGGTCGCGAGCGTTCTCGCAAATCCACGAATTTGCGAGGAAGAGTGTTGTTGCCTTCAAACGCGATGTGCATGGTGGGGTACCTAAGCACCAGCCGGATAGTATATTCGGTATTACCTAAAACATTATGAATGACCGTCCAGGAGTATTTGCCTTCTTTCAAGAAAAAAGTCGGTTTACCAACCTCGAATAAGTCAATCAGTCACATACTACAAATTCAACCTTAATAAAAAAATCCTGAGACATAGAAAAGACCAATGGGCGAGCTTAAAATATGTGGCAGTAGATGTATTCCGTTTATAATAACCGCAGGAAAACAGCTGTTACCGAGTTATATACGCTGATTTCCTTAATTTCAAGTGCTTCCCTTTGTTTTCTATATGGTTCGTTGCGACATTCAGATGGTGTGTGAGGGAAATACACTTCAAGTGTTGTTGAGATTGCAGCATTGTCCACGGTCAGTGTCCCATATTGATTTCCATATCTATCTAATCACTAGACTTCTACTTAGTTGGTTCTGTGGGCACAGCTTGGACGGGGCTGAGGCGACGTTGTAGCATTTCACAGCGACATTGTTGCAAAGACATGGTGTTGTTGTATGATACATATTACTATGCCAAGCTCGCGAGTATTATCGAACGCATTCAACTAGCAACGACATCCTCTTCTAGCCTTTTTTGATGTAAAAGCATTGAATAGTTGTTATGTTACCTCGACCTGCATCGTTATGAAACTAGTCTCTTGACACAACGTATGGCCAAGAACGAAAGAAGTGGCATGTTGTAGGTTACAGCTTCCATCTGCTTCCTTTTGTGCAAGTGAAGCACCAATTTCTCTGCTTCTTCTTCAGTCTCTAAAATTTTCTGGCCAGAGCCACGTGTGAGAAGAGTTTATAAGCATGCGCGTCCCCAGAGCGGTCAAAATTACGATCCAAGCGGCCGAGCCTTGATTTTGTTGTCTGTGGTAGCACTGGTCTATCCGTGAACCTGTCCTATGTTCCTGCACCGCCCTTTAGCTAGTTATGATGAGTACCCGCACTGGGAGCAAGATGAAGTGGCAAAGTTTATAAAATCCGACAAGATGCCGGTAGTGTGTTGCAAGTAATTTTTAGGCACGGATCCTTGGCTCAGACTCATCCACAACAACCCAATCCTCGAACTTTTGACGGCCACTCCTTTGCTCGGTTCTCATGCTAACATTGCGATAATTCGCGCGACACCCTCAATATTAGAATAGAGCGGTTTTAGTGATACCGGAAAACAAATTTCTCGGGTTATCAAATTTTAGCTCGACTACCTTTTGCACAATTGAATATGGGAATGTCGTACAATGCCCGTCACTGTTCTGGCAAATCAGCATCTTGCTACCTTATCGAGGAAATACAGAGCGCTGAGAAATAGCGGTTTGTAGTCACACTGCAGGGCTGTGTACTTGCGCTTAGAGTCAAGACATCTGCCAGCCCACGCCCAGCATTATCATCCCGGAAACTCCAGCCATGCTAGTCGCGTAACGTTGCAGCTCTGACCATGTGCCTGGCATAGCCTAGAGTGCCTGGGCAATAAAGAATGGGTAGCTGAGCTTTAAAGGCTCGATTCAATCTCAAATTGACAGTTCGAGCAACCAGGTTTGGTAGGTGACGGGGCATGTGCCAGCTCGTGCAGACGCCACTTACCATCGGCTGCCTAACCTGTAATCTTGCCGCAAATTATATTGGGCGTGTGAGTGGCGGAGCGTAGAACGCATCAGGTTTCTCGAGCACATTTGGCGCGGCACACAGTCAGCCACCAGCATTACAGCTCTCCCCAACTTAAAGTAGGTAAGTTTTCAACTATCAGGGGTTTTTACTAGTTAGCTTCCAGCGCGCTTTATCAGCCTCTTCTGAGATCTGCGCACATCCGGGGGAGGCGCCTGGTGGGATGCCACAAAGCTACGTTGACCACGCTCTTGGCAGTTGGCGAAAAGTCGTGCAGTATCTGCACTCCGAACGCACAGTATAATTATCACTGAGGAGATCTCTCACCTGTCTCTCAGGTCAGCGTCATGCAAAAAGGGCGGGTTTTGCTCCAAGAGCTGTCGCAATTTACACATAGGTACGGATACTGTACCTTGTTAACTGATCAAGTTTCGCTTTGATTGTCGCCTTGGAAAATGACCGGAGGACATAGCTATCACCAATGCATGTCCACCCGCAGTTATGGAAGGTGATTCAAACCTTCCATCGGTATGTGACCAAGTTGGCAGTTTCTCCGTGTGGATCGGCGCTCCCTTACCAGTTGCTCTCGGGGCAAAGTTAAACCAGAGGCCGCCCTCGCCGATACGGCTTGCTTCAGCAATTTTATTAGCTCCGTTTGCCAGCCGGTTGCTCAAATCTTCTGGAAGACGCGACCACTGTCGAGACCCGAGCTTGTTTCATCCGACACACTCACAGCTCACTCACTCTCTTTAAAGCTGCCCAATATGGTGAGGGAACAAGGGCGGCCGAAAAGTACAGATGGTCACGGATTCTTGACCTGCAATTTGACATGCCATCATACCCGCTCGCACAACTCATCCCGTCCGACGCGATGCTACTGTACCTTTGGGCGTCAATTCAGCGTCCAGTTACACATGCATGCATCTACTTTACGCCTGACAGAAGCGTAATTACGGCTCCGAGGTCTCCATACGTATACGCTGATTGCATGCTATTAGTTATTTGCGGCTTTCTCGTTGGATTCTCTGTGGTCAGCCTCGTTCAATTGCCAATGGCAGTGTACTGTTTACGACCTTGATACCCTAGCCAGATATCGCAACACAACTCACTCAGGCGGAAACCTCCAGCGGCTCCCAGCACATGGCAATGCTACCACTTTGACAGTTGTGTATATAGTGCAGCATGTGGGCATGAGCATTTCGCCCAGTCCCTGGTCACCAGAGCCCCCCCAGAGAAGACTCCTTCCTGTTTGGGATACGCCTACTCTTCACTGTCCTAGCTCGTTTCTGCTGCGGAGCCCCAGGTTTCCTCAATCATTTAACTACATGCCAGCATGTACTACCGGGGACACGCGTGAACCGGCACTGTCACCGGTTCGCACCTGATTGCATCCCGTCCATGGTCAAGGGCGCCAGTCTGGTGTGAATAGCTCAGTGGGTAGGGTGAGCAACGTTGCCCGTGAAGTGAGCGCTGCCCCTTTCTCCTGGTGGGTTTCCATAATGCTCTTGCGCTGGAGTAACATGCGAGTCCGCCAGATGACTCAATCACCCACGGTGCATCGGGGCGCGATATCGCCCTCGCTCGGGACAGGGTTAGCGAAGCGCCAGTCCTATCATTTCGGGACCTCGTCCCCGAGGACGGTCTCACCCAGAGGCTTGGAATGGCAAGTAGGGTTCTGAAATGTGTATATATATCAGTACATTACTCCCGCTTGTCAACTCCTGTCTTTCCTCCACAACAACTCAGAGATCCGAGACCAGGAAAACTTTCCTCTGAATTCAGAAGCCAAATTTCTCGTCATCTTCTTTACTCCCCAACTAGACGACAATGTCGACTCTCCTCAAGAAATTGATGGCTGCGGTCGTGGCTCTGCAAGCAGTCGCAACTTTTGCAACACCAATCTCCAACGAGGTTGTTGGCATTGAGAAACGCGACGGCGGCTTCGCAAATGCTGTCTACTTCACCAACTGGTTTGTTTCGATTGAGTTTCTCCCATATATGTAATGCTTGATTAACAAAGGAGTAGGGGTATTTACGGTCGTGGCTTCCAGCCTGCTGATCTTCAAGCCTCGCAGATCACGCATGTGCTCTACTCGTTTATGAACATTCGTTCGGATGGCAATATGTAAGTCACCCTTGGCTGGGCATGCAGGATCATCGTCTTAACTAGGACCCATAGCTTTTCCGGTGATACTTATGCGGACTACGAGAAGCACTACCCCGGTGATTGTAAAACCCACTGCTGTCTTCTTGGTACACCGACACAATACTGACGCGTTATAGCTTGGAACGATGTCGGCAACAATGCTTACGGCTGCGTCAAGCAACTCTACCTTCTCAAGAAACAGAATCGTAACATGAAAGTGATGCTATCGATTGGCGGTTGGACTTGGTCTACGAACTTCCCTGCTGCTGCCAGCTCTGCTTCTACCCGAAAGACTTTTGCCCAGTCTGCTGTCAGTTTCATGAAGGATTGGGGGTTTGACGGCATCGATGTCGATTGGGAGTACCCCGCCGATGCCACACAGGCGCAGAACATGATTCTGTTGCTCCAGGCAGTTCGCGATGAGCTCGACTCTTACGCCTCGCAATATGCCAAAGGCCACCACTTCCTTCTTTCTATTGCCGCTCCCGCGGGACCTGACAATTTCAACAAGCTGAAGCTCGCTGAACTTGGCAAGGTACTCGATTACATTAACCTGATGGCCTACGACTTTGCCGGATCCTGGAGCAATTACACTGGTCACAACGCCAACTTGTACGCCAACCCTGGAAATCCCAACGCAACTCCCTTCAATACGGATGGTGCTGTCCAGGCGTACATCAAGGGTGGTGTTCCTGCCAACAAGATTGTTCTCGGTATGCCAATCTACGGTAGATCTTTCCAGCAAACCGAAGGCATCGGCAAGCCATACAGTGGAGTCGGCTCCGGTAGCTGGGAGAACGGTGTCTGGGATTACAAGGCTCTTCCCAAACCTGGTGCTACCGTCAAGTGTGACGACACTGCCAAGGGCTGTTACAGCTACGACACAAACACCAAGGAGCTGATTTCTTTTGACACTCCAGCTATGGTTAGCACTAAAGTCAGCTGGCTCAAGGGCAAGGGACTCGGTGGCAGCATGTTCTGGGAGGCTTCCGCTGACAAAAAAGGATCCGATTCCCTCATTCGCATCAGCAGCCAAGGTCTTGGAATCCTGGACAGTGCGCAAAACTACCTCGACTACCCTAACTCAAAGTACGACAACATCAAGAATGGCATGAAATAAGTATTCGGGCATATCTTGCCCCTTGCCGATGCATCAGTTCCTGTATATATCATGCTAAGCCACTACCTTTGAGCTCAGCAAGAGCTTACATACTTTCGTTGTACATATTATCGACGCCACCGGCATGCAAATAGCCAATTGTCTATAATTGAATCTCTCTATCAGAGTCCTGGGCTCAATATTGCGTCGTGGTTTCTAGTGCAAGACATGGTAGCGTGGAGCCAACGGGTTACCGTGCTACATGACACCTGCGCTGCACTTTCCCATTCATCGAGCTGTGTGTGGCCTGCTCTTTTTCTCGCCACCGTGGTAAACCTTTTTTTTTCTCAGTTCTTCCTCTTCTCCTCTTTCCTACGGCTCCGTCACTTTTAGATGAATATCTCTACCCGACCAGAATCAACCTCCGTTTAGGAACCGTCAGCTTATAAATACCTTCGCTGACCTCGCTTGTGCAAGTTTTCCCTGTCTCCATGCTACACATAACCACTGCTTGACTAGGCTCTGCGCTACCACGACGGTAGTCACCGATGGCCTCCGCTTCCGAAGATTGTTGGTCGTATGACACACCACCTCACATCCGCGCAGAACGCCGCAGTGTTACGAGCCCAGCCTGGTCCGGTAAAGGGTCTCCGGATTCGGGCTACGGGTCGTTTGACGAATGCAGCAACTTTGAATTTCCGTGTTACAAGGGTCGCTTCGCTGGCAGATACGGCTTGGACGGTCAACAAGTTTCACAGGTGCCTCGCAATAATAGAAAGCCCTTCTCAGAAGACCACCGTCGGTACACCTCTCCTTCCACGGCGCGAGTGGCAAAAGAAGATGCAGCACTAAACTCGCGGGGAAAGGATTCCATCAAGGCATGGCTTGATACCAGTAGCGAAAATGTGCCAACTCCATCGACCCCCGCCAAATCTGGCAAGGCCATCTCTTCACTCACACCGAACAGATTCATTCCGTTCAGAACGAATCAGTCTATTTGCGAGCGTTACCGAACAACCAAGCCATTAGCGTCGCTTTCGAATACTGAAAGAGTTGACAGACGAGATTTTATTCACCGTGATCCTTTCTTGCCACAGCCCAGACAATCTCCCTCGCTCATGGCACGATTCTGTCCGCTTGACGCGTCTCAGGGTATGTCCGACTATGCTCAACTTGCCGAGTCTGGGCACTGATTCCCTACCAACACTTAGATCAATCTCGCCCGACTCATCGTGATTTCCGACGGTTCCGACCAAGACAAATAAGTGCAGGAACTGTGTGGAACATTGGAGGCCTCCCCCCTCGCACCACAAGAATTTCTGCCGCAAACGATCTGCGGCGCTCCATCAATTTCGAGGCATCCACGGAGGACCAACAGCTCTGTGTAGAATCAGGTTCAAGGGAAGACTTAGCAAATTATCAGGATCGTGTTGCTTTTGCTCTCAATATCGATCAAGTCGCGAAAATCTTGGAATTCTCTCCTCCGCTGCGCCCTGCTCCGATCGCCATCAAGATAATCGAACCATGTGATATCGGAAAAACGTATTGGACAGGATGCGAATGGATAAATAATGCACCTAGTCAATTCATACCTCAACCCACCTTTTCAGATACCAACTAACACACCAATAGGGCCGCTACCAGTACCAAAGTCAAGGGTGTTGCCTTCTGCCCCATTCAGGTACGTGTTATAATTTTTTCGCAATTTCTTTCTAACATTCCCTCAGAGTGCTAGATGCTCCGTTTCTCAGAGACGATTTCTACTGCTCCACTTTGGCCTACTCTCCAGTTTGCCAAACACTCGCCGTTGGCTTGGGAAATTCGCTGTACACATGGTCTAAGGATACTGGTGTTCATCTGATGAATGGCCATGCATCACAAGGGGTTTATCTGTCTTCCGTTGCTTTTTCTTCTGTTCAGGGGAAGAAATGCATCCTCGCTGGCGGTCGAAATGACGGATCACTGGTGCTACAGTCAACATCTGATGCCTTACCGCGCTTCGAAGTAAGGCAGCCTTTTGGTATCAGCTGCCTCAGCTAGAGGCCAGCGTGCACACTGAGACCATCAAAGAATCCTTTCAATCCGGGAGTCACAGTTCAGACAGAAGATTTGCTTGTGGGGGATGATACAGGAACAATCTACTATTACATCATTGAATGGCCAATGAATTGGGAAGTTTCTCGAGACAACTGGCCGGGCTCGATGTACTTGGTCGCGAAAATTGTCATCCACAATCAACAAGTGTGTGGTCTTTCGTGGTCTCCAACTGGCCGGCTGTTCGCCTCGGGTGGGAATGACAATCTTTGCTGCTTATTTGATGTTGATGATGTGTTGAGCGACAGCCAAGTCAGCAGATTTCCTCAGGACATGCCGCGGGCTCCTTTAGTTCGCCACGGTCTTCCATTTCGCCTGCACTTGACGCAAAGTGCTCGCCATACTTCTTCTCTCAATTTTGTTGGAACCATTGTGGAGGAAGACATCGACGTGAGAAGAGTTCAGACTTCTGCGGCCAGTCTTCGAACTCTTACCCACGGTTGCGAAAGACATCGGTAGGTCCATGGAGCAGCCGTCAAGGCCATAGCTTTCTGCCCTTGGCGTGATGGCTTAATTGCAACCGGAGGCGGGTCAAACGACAAATGCATACATTTTTTCCATACAACCTCGGGATCTCCGCTGGCAACGATCGCCGTGGCTGCCCAAGTCACTTCTCTGATTTGGTCTACGACACGACGAGAAATTGCCGCAACATTCGGTTATGCCGACCCTGACCACCCATACAGAATTGCGGTTTTTAGCTGGCCAGACTGCAGGCAAGTTGCTGCAATACCGTGGTCTTTGGAGTTTCGGGCATTGTATGCAATTCCATATCCTTGGCAACATACGGGATCGGAAGACTCTCGATCTCCTCGGCCTTCTGGAGACGGCTGCATTGTCATTGCAGCAAGTGATCAAACAGTGAAATTTCATGAAGTTTGGGAGGCGGGAAGCAAGAAAGCACTCGGCTTACCGGGATATTTCAGGAGCAGTGATATTCTAGAGGGTCTTGAGGGCATCAACAAGGAAGGTGAAGTGATTCGGTAATTCCTACCCGATGGGCACAACTGAACCTATTCCCACAGTGGACAACATGTATCCAAAGTCGCGCAGGGATTCAGATAGAACAGATTGGGGTAGAGGTAGATCAACAGATGCTTCACATTGTCATAATTCGACGTGCCTCTTCCATCGACGCATGTCCCAAAAACTAATCAATCAATCAACAGAAACAACGAAGTGACAAAGAAACGACCAACGCCTAAATGCACCCAAACATTTACAACGCCACCACTATGCTTCTCTAGACCTAAGAGCAACTTCCCAGCCTATTTCAAAATGGCAATCAGAAGAACGAGAATTATTATAAGAAAAACAATGGCCGTCATTTGCTTATTCTCGCTCGCGCCTCTTGCGACCTTGCCGAGCATTCTCTGCCCTCTGTCGAGACGGCTCTGGTGGCGATCAACAACTCCGTCTACCTCATCTAGCATGGCAACGTGGCTGTCAAGTTCATCCCCAATTTGCATACTAAGTTCTCTTTGACGACCGATCGATACTCCGAGGCGATCGAGTTGTTGGTCTTGTTCTTCCATGATCTGGGAGTGGTAGTCGTGGATTTGTTGGTTCGACATCTCATCGGCCTGGTCGCGGAATGCGGCAGAATCGTCAATGGGATTATCCCGATAGCGTCCAAACAACTCCTCTGAGGGTGATGGAGGCGTGTCACTGAATCTCACGGACTTCGATTTGCGGTAGGCGGATGGTGTAGATGTCGCATGTTCGAAGTCGTCCGTCAGCGCTTCGGAGTTGGGGTGCGTGACAGTCTCAATGGTTGCTGGCGATACAAACCCGTGGAATTGCGAGGTTAGATTCTCACATTGCTCTCGCAGAGCTAGGATAGAGTCGCTCAGGGCTGATACCACGCTGTCGGGTCATAGTTAGAACAGAGCAGCTGCCTGATTGTCTGGTAAGATTTGGCACCACAATACCTTTCATCGCCGTTGCTCTGTAGCTTCTCTTTCTCCGTCTCTAGTGAAACTAGTCCAGTTTTGAAGTGTTCAAGCGACCGCGACAAGTGTCCATCCTGACTATCATTGTCCAAGCCTAGACTTTGGGCCCGCTGCCGCTCTAGCAGGGACAGCTTGATGTGATCGGCCAGAAGGTACAGCTGTTTGGCGCTGCTCATCTTGCAAGTCTGCCCGCGGGGGTGTGCTGTTTGGATACAGAGGTTGGCGCCCAGCTAATTTTTTCAACGTGGCATTTGACTGATGGACAATGAGAACGTTTGGTTGCAGCAGGCGATACGGACAAGACGGGAACACGGGGATGCCGATGCGTGTTCCAGCGGAAGATGCTGTGGCATCAGGCAGACCCCACACCCGCTCCCTGGAGGCTACTTAGGTAGGTACCTGGTAGTGTAGGTAGTTTATGTACCGGGGTACATACCGCACTAATAAGTATTGCCCAGTCTTCCCACATATCTACCAGGTCACTGACTACATACAAGTACATGCATTGGTAATGGGTTGTATGTGTCGGTTCATGAGTTGTGATGGGTATCTATAAACAAAAATCAGGTTTCTGGGACTTGGAGTCGCTATTTGAGGTACATTTATTTGCACCAGATTTGGAAGCAAGCCTTGGGTTTTTGACTGTAACCGGCATCGGAATTGAAGAAGCAGAATAGGCCTTGTTTTTGGTGGTAAATTTGATAATACATCTATTTCCATGTCGTTGGAGTAAATAAAAGACAATTTGCGCCTGATTGATACCGTATCCCCAGAGCCAGCCCTACCCCGTCCTGTAAATGCGCCAGGGACCTAAAACGATGAAGAAACACTAGACTAGGCCTCGCGTGCCTTGGTTCAATTTGGGCGCGTGTGCCGTAGTGAGATAAGTCTGTATTTACTTCAACTCATATTCATGTCCATATCATTGCCGCTTGGTGTGAGAGCAGTAGGCGTGCCCACGCTTGAGAGAGTTTCTGCGCTTTCGAAGACTGGTGGAGATTGTTGCAGGTTGCGTAGGGCAGTTTCGGCATTGTGGCTGACGAGTCGTGCTTGTCGAAGGTCCTCTGAGAAAAGGAAGAACCCATCTGTGGCTTTCACGAGGTATGACTGGAGCCCCTTGCTTTCGAGGCATATTTGTACATCGCTGAGAGGGTAGTGATTTTCGATGAACTTGGCCCAGCCTCGGGCCGCCGCTTGGATGTGGTCATCGTCGCTGATCTTACGCCATCCAATACCGAGATGGAGTGTGAAATTGTCAATAACTGGGCCATTGGATTCCGGAGCAGGTGTGGTGGGTGATACATTTCCGCAGCTGGCTGCAGTTGGTGCTTCGTCACTACCCATGCGCTGTAATTTGCGGCTTCGGACGTTGACTTGGGCAGCTTCGAGCTGGCGCTTCACTTCCGCATCCGCTGAGGCAGTTTCTTCTTCCATCCAGGTGCCAGATTGGGTGCTGGCATCAGCAACATAGCCAGCGTTGGGCTTAATCAGTGTCATTCCTTCACCATATACCCAGTCGTCCTGCGGCTCGACGATTGGTCTGGGTGGCGCATCTGGCTCGAGGTTGGCACCGGCCTCATCCCTGGATCGTTTTCTACCTTGTGAGGCCACAGAGCGGTCCGAAGGCTGCGATTGAATCTGCATCTGAACGTGGGGTGGCGCGAACACGGATCCAGCGACCTGACCTGGGTGCATTGGCTGGGGGAGGGCTAGCACAGGAGATGCGGTAGTGAATTGGCGTTGGAAGGAAGCCATATTTCAGATACGTTGGGTGCGACTCGGGCTGTGGCTGTCAGGTTAGTGTTCAATTCTTTAACAAACCGATAGAATGCGTGGTGAGTCTGCGTGATGGGCGGCGCAGCCAGTGTCTGGCGATTGTTTGGTGGACACGTGCGTGGAGGGTCGGGTGCAGGCGTGCGCACGTCGAGCGAGGCGAGATCAAGTTCGTGGGATAATGAAGAAATGAGGCAGAGGATGAAGCAATCGGTAGCGTTGGGGCGCGATGTGGGCAGTAGGTAGGCTGATGGGCTGGCGTGACGTTGCCTAGATGTTGCTCAGGTAAGAGTTCAGTTCCAATGGCTGGAGCGACACTGTGCGATGGAAGGAGGATGCGTGGAGAGTGCAGTACAACGCTGGACATACCTACAGGTAGGCAGGTAGCTAACAACCGCTTCATGCAAAGAAGCGCTGCTGGGGGGGGGATATATCTTGTGATTGGTCGCACGCTGACAGTACTAGCGGGGCAGCGGGTGGTTTCGACTGGGCACGAGGCGGCGTCCGCATTTGCGCGGGCGGGGATGCAGGTTTGATCACCCCAATATTTGCCCAACTTGCCACCTCTACCTAGTTAGATGCCGTAGTTATATCCAGGTATGTAAAGCATTACTCCTTTGCCGTGCGCCATCAGATCGTGCAGGCAACTCTGGATCTGCTACCGCGTGTTGTTTTACCGATCTTCTCGACCAGTGCAATGTACTTACTACCTTTCTGTCTGGTTGGCCAGTACTAAGTAGTACTCGCATTGTACAGGTTCGTCCAAGTGTCCAGCTAATAAAAATGACAAGCACATTGGATTTGGTATTCGCGTCCAAGCCTTGGGCTTGTCGGCTTTAGTTCCAGGGGAGTTGGTTGACCAGTTGACGAGCGAGTCTACCAACTTGGTACAAAATATAAATACGAGTTCACACATACGACAAGCGCAAGTAAATACTGCCTACCTACCTAGCCATAGCTGTCTCCATGCAAAATCACTCGTATCGCCGCAACGACCAAGGAGCCGAAATCAAAGTGTATCCGGACAGTAACTCAAAAAGACCACTTACTACCTACCATCCAGTAGCTCTGTGTCTCTTTTTTCTAGCGGGTCTCGTGACCTGCTTGCATAGGTACATACCTGCTTTTCTGTTCATCATTCATATGTATTCGGCGTACTTCCCTACCTTTTCCCTGCGGTACTTCAAAGTTGGCCTTTGGTGAGGCAAGCCACCTTGGGTAATACATCAATTTCGTCGTGGAGGCCCGCAAGATGGAAGTATTCAGACTTCTAACCACTAGGTATTTACCATCCCATACATATAAAGGCTGTTTTTCAATTTAAAAAAAAAACGTAAGATTTTTATATAGTCTCACAGTATCACAATGGGGGGGAATTACATATTCGATAAAAGGCGAAACAGTCATGTAGGTACCTAATAGTAACTATCTGTTCGGCCAGTTTTTTGGTCAGGATGCTCCCCCCAGACATCCCAAGTGGCGGGGCCACACGTAAACCAGAAGATACCTGAAACTACCATAAAACTGGACCACCAGGACCGACACTTACATACCTCAATTTGTACCCCTCATGTACCTAGAAGCACATAGGCCAGTACCTCGTAACTCGAGACCGTGGGCGCAGTGGCGGAGTGAACAAAGACGCATCATCCATCCAACGACAACTGCACCGCTTATTGTCCAAGGGAGCTGCTCAGTGCCCCCGGACTCAAATAATGAACGGGGACCTGAGTCTCTCCCAGGCTCTTGGTGGTCTCCGGATAGCCAATCCTGACGATGCGACGCAAGACCACCCCCCAAACCACGCTGAAGGAACCTCTCACACCCCTACAACACACGATATCACGCTCACAGATTACGAAGCTGCCTCTGCCGGGGACCCGACCAATGCCCCCCACAGTGTCAAAATGGAAAAGTACCCGAACCCAACCGAAACACAGCCTCCTGTGTGTACACATCCACCCATAGATACACCAACCGACCTGTCCGCGCTGCTCTCCATGCCAGCACAGAGCCAGGTTACTAACGAAGCCTGCCATGGCGAGTCGCCATTGCAACAACAATCGAACCGACTCCTGGCTCTCGCCACAGGCACCGCAAACGAACCTACGCCACGTCGGAAACTATCGAGAGGAAGAGCCGATGACTATATGCACAATGAAATGAGCCAACCACCTGCCTATGTTGGAACTATACCGGGCCAGACGAGTGCAGAAGACTGGAAAGATCGTGGTGCTGCGGTGGGCATTAGGAGAGAAGTCGACGCCAACGGCAGGTCGATAGTACGACAAGTCAAAAAGGGTGTTCGAGACTTCTCCTTCGGCCGGATACTCGGCGAAGGCTCTTACAGCACAGTATACCTGGCAACCGACAGACAGACGCTCAAGGAATACGCAATCAAAGTTCTTGAAAAAAGGCATATCATCAAGGAGAAAAAGATCAAATATGTCAACATCGAAAAAAACACGCTCAACCGACTTACCGAGCACCCCGGCATCGTCAGGCTCTACTATACATTCCAAGATGAAGCGTCACTTTACTACGTTCTGGACCTCTGCAGCGGCGGCGAGCTTCTGGGTGTGCTGAAGAAGACGGGGACCTTTGATGTCGAATGTGTGAGATTCTACGGAGCTCAAATTCTGGATGCAATCGACTACATGCATTCCCGAGGAGTCATTCATCGTGATTTGAAACCGGAGAATGTCCTCCTGGACAACCAAATGCATGTGAAGATCACCGACTTTGGCACCGCAAAGCTACTGAGAGACCCAAGAGACCCGCAAAGTGTAACTGCTAGTAACGCCACTGCGACTGAGCAAGATGAGGAGAGAGCTGCGTCCTTTGTTGGTACTGCGGAGTATGTTAGCCCTGAACTTCTGACACACAAGACCGCTTCCAAAGCAAGTGATCTCTGGGCTTTTGGATGCATTATTTTCCAATTACTCGTCGGAAGACCACCCTTCAAAGCCGGGAGCGAGTACCTCACCTTTCAAAAGATCGTCAATCTCGAATACGAATTCCCCTCTGGCTTCCCTCCAGCCGCAAGCGACCTTGTTGAGCGTTGCTTGGTCCTTGACCCCACTAGAAGGTTGACTATCGAGCATATCAAGAACCATGAATTCTTCGAAGGGCAGCAGTTTGGAAGAGGACTATGGAAGACCAAGGCACCCCGGCTTCGGCCGTATACCTCCCAACCCCAAGAGCCAACTATTATCCAGCTGAATGGATTTCCATCCAACACTGCCCCCGATACTGGCCAAACCCGACAGCAAAGCAGTCAAAAACCAACTCCACGTCCCGGACGAATCATCACGGAGCTCCCACCTCCTACCCAGCTCGACATTGAATGGTCACCCGTTCTCACGAAAGACAACGAACGCATTTTGAAGCTGGCTGACTTGATGGTCATCTCAAGTCCGCTACAGAACGGTGCCAATGGCAAGGGCGCCGATGAAGGCCACAAAAAGCTCTCTCGCTTCTTTGGTGGAAGTACAACGAAGAAACGGCAGAGACTCGTCATGGTCACCTCAAGTGGACGAATTGTTCTCGCCCCTGCTGGGGGGGAAGAGAAGCGATCCAAACAGGAGCTTTCACTTCTCGCTCCAGACAGTTCGTGGCACACCCAGAATGATGCTAAAGGCCAACTGGTCTGGTGTGTGGACGTGGTAAGTGTATTGCAAGTCAAAATTGTGTCTCGCCTTATTAACCCGAAGGACTGCTAGGGTGGCAACCGGTATACATTCGAAGAAAACAAAGGTTCAGCACCTCCAGAGAGTGGCACGCCATACGCAGAAGAATGGATCAGTAGCCTTGATCGGGCACGCGATCTGGCCAATTCTCAGAATCTCGTGGCACAAGGCGCTGAAAATGGATTTTCCGAAATGCCCTCCAATGTGCCTAGTCCGTCTAGCACTATCGGTGGTGGAGGCAATGTACCCGATTCATACAGCATCAATGAGCGATCATCACGCGCGCAGCTCAACAAAGGTCAAGGTGGCCCTGATGAATCTACTCCCAAGAGAAACCGTTTTAGTAAACGACAGTCGCGCAACGGCCTTGGTGCTGCCTTCTAAAAGAGCACCACTGTCAATACGTGTGTGGAATCGGTTTACACCTACAGCAAACTTGATATTTCTACGAGGACTCTTTGTCGAATAAGGACCTGCATTTTAAGCATGGTGTATTTTGAGAATTTATGTCCTGTTTGGGCCCCGTGCATTTTTTTGCATTATAGTTCACAGCATTTAACGGCGGTGTGCGGCAATCAAGGGCTGATTGCTGCTGATTATTACATATCAGCTCATATATTTAGTTTTAGCAAGCCCTTCAAACTCTTGATCTCGCTTTCTTCGAAAACTCATATCTTCAGTAGCCAACAACTTGGACTTAGTGGTGTGCTGGCTGCCCTTGTGCTAATCATCAAGCATGCCACAGTAGCAGCTCTAGTGACTGTGGGGGAGCTTTCTACAAATAATCTCTCGCAGTTGCCAGAATACTGGCGTTGTAAATTCTTGATACCTAGAATGAATACAACATAGAGCAGCAGCCTGGGAAGGGTGGTGGTCGTCTTTCCTTAGTACCTGGCTACCTAGGTACCTACAAAAAAACACGTGACCTCGATCTTCTCACATCCAGCCACCGCGACACCCTCGTTTCCATCGCGAACCCCATTCTTTTTGACTACATCCGCACCATCGCGAGACCCCGAACATGCAGCAACAGTATCGTGCATTTGCTCAGCCAGCACCTCAGAGGTCACCCCATGCGACTGCACGTCGCGGTGGCATTGGTACGTCGTAACCCGTCTCACGTCTCTTCCATCGCATTGACAATTGCCAGGCCCAATGATGTCTGCAGGACCTCACCCAGCAGTTCCACTGACACAAGCGCAAATGGCACAACAACAGCAAGCTCAGGTACAGGCAGCTGAACTTGCAAAGCGACGCAGCCGCAAACCTACCGATAAAAACATTCCCGACGGAATCGAGGATAGCATTGTCAACCCGGAGAGCGCCCAGCGATACAGAGACCTGAAAGATATTGAGCGCTTGCTTGATGCGACCATAACACGCAAACGGCTAGATGTGCTCGATAACACACAGCATCCTACAAAGGTTGGTGAACTCCGAGGGTGGCCAAGCTGGACAAACGAGGTTAACATCGACGTAGTTGACAAAAACCCTTCGTATCTGGATCACCAATACTGTGCAAGATCAAGTCTGGCAGGGCAATGGACCAACATCGGACTCGTTCGACTTCTCAGGCGCTGCTGAGGCATCATATCGCGTTAAAATTGAAGGGCGCCTTCTTGATGAGGAAACCGCCACGGACGAGAATAAATCAAAGTCATCCGCTGGCGACGCTTCCAACGAGGACAATGACCACGACATGGGTGAAGATATAGCTACAGCCGAGAAGTCGAGTGCTTCCCCCAACAATCTGAAGCTGTCCCACTTCTTCAAAGCTATGACTGTCGACTTCGATCGTTCGCGCTTCCGCAATGGCGCTGAACAGAGCTTTGAGTGGAAGAAGCCCGAGGCGGCTTTGCGACATCCTAACGGACCAAATCTTCCTGCTGCTGCCGATTTTGACGAAATCACATTTAAGCGCAATGGCGATGAAAACGCAAACATCACCATCAACATGTTTCGGCAGGAAATACCGGAGCGATTTGAATTCAGTACGGAACTTGCCGACATCATAGACATGAAAGCAGGCACACAGCAAGAAGCCGTGATGGGACTTTGGGAATATGTTAGGCAGCGCAGTCTCCAAGAGGACGAAGAAAAGCGCAACTTTCGCTGCGACGAACTATTGAAACGGGTGAGATGACCATTGCCTCGTTCTAGTCCCGGAAAATTGGATACGTTACTGACAATACTCTAGGTCGTGAGATCTGATATTGGATTTATTCCCATGCTCAACGAATACGTGGCGCAGAACCTGCGACCTCTTCTACCCGTTGCGCTACCGTATACTATTCGCGTTGATGAAGAATTTCACAAAGATCCACAGCCAACCGTCTACGATGTGCAAGTGACTATTGACGACCCTTTGAGAGCGAGCCTGCAGGAGCTCATCAACAACCCGCAGTATTTGGCCATGCTGAAGGATATCAGCGGACTTGATGAACAGCTTGCACGTCTCGTGCAAGCTGTATCAGCTTCCAAGGCTAAACACACGTTTATGAAGTCGCTAGGCGACGATCCCGCAACTTTCGTCAAGAACTGGCTGAGTTCGCAGAAACGGGACCTCGAGGTTATAATGGGCGAAGGCTCTAATGGAGGTGATAATGGCTATGGAGACGAATGGCGCAGAGGTGGAAGCAACAGCGTTTGGGCGACGCAAACTGCTAGAGAAAGTGTCAATGTCCTACTTTCTCGGCAACGTTAGTCAAATTGAGGCGCGTCTGGTACACTTTGAGAATACAAAGAGTGACGGAACTGTAACTCTGCGTGGTTGAGCAATTGCGGCGCGATGTATCTAATGGGCAGGTGTGATTGGCGTTACGTAGGACTGGTGATACTAGATTTTAGATATTTTAATTCCCAAGTCAGCTGATTCTCGCAATGAATGGTCTTGAAGGGCTGACTATTGGGAGTAGATACTGTAGAACAATGGGCATGGGTCCTTAGAAGCTCTGGATTATTGATATCCCGAATGCTAAGAAAATCTATCGCTGTGAAGATACTGGTGTTGGTGGCATATTTCTAATTTGCTTGATCAAAAATTCTCGCTCGTCAATGAATTGTTCGTCGTCTGTTCTGTCCTCCAAGAAATGGGATAGAAAGGTCAAGAGTTTATCACGATTCATCAGAAGTATTTTCTGGACCGGCAAAGACTTATGGGGATTGGCGACGAATACTTTGAAAACATGGAAACCTTCGTACTGGACCATCTTTCGGTCGTCTCGAAGCAGGTTCATGCATATTTTCAAATGCTCGCCACTATCGACATATGCCGTCATGACACTGTAGTTGGAGCGGTCTAATAAGATCTCGCCGAGCAGCTTGATGGACTGACGCTTCGTAACGTAGCTATTCGATTGAACGAGTGTATTATTGTATTTGTCGAAGAAAAGCTCGAAGTTTGCAGAGAGATATCGTGGAACGAGGTCTTTGTGTCGAGTTAAAAGCTCCTACAAATCGATATCAGCCGATAGTCAAGCCTTTGACGTCGTTGTAAAAATCACCCGGAATGTTGTAAAGGCGTCAGCAGCGACTTCGAAAGAGCTCTTGTTGATCCAGTCAAAAAACTTCCAGAAAATGCCCCGTCCGCTCTGGGGTCGATCCCTGTCGATAGCGTTTAGACCTTTTGCACTAGATCCCGGCGCATCGCCGTCATCATAGAGAATGACAGCAGCTGCGGCTTCGTTTTTCAGCAGTTCACGGAGCACTGATCCAGCGGGAGTTGCGCTCTCTTTATGGTCGTAGGCACGGCACAGCTCTACAAGGACCTGTGGGCGATTGCAAACGACGTATGACAGAGCTATTGGGTCACTCTTTGGAGCCGCCGCCGCGGGACGAAATCGAAACACGTATGAGAAGATGACTTGAGTATCCTTTCGCGATTCGAAGGGCAAGCGATGAAGATTGACGGCTAATAAGTGGAGGAGATCTTCATCTATCATTCCAGTGACAAGTTGATATATTTGTTCCGGTGAGCTGTCAGTTTCTAAATTCTCCATCGAGTTAATGCTGGTGATACAGAATCGTTGAGGGAGTATGCCCGGACATGCCTTGCGTGCCTTGTAATATCACCTTCATTTGCGCAAGAACGCGAGACAGCTCTTCCGCCTATATTGTCAGATTAACTATGGCGTGTTCAACACTAGAGGAAGATGAGGAACAAACTTTTGCCGTGCCGGTAGGGCCATCGAGCTTCAGGACATGTTCGCGAGCTTGTTTCGGGAGATCGGCTGCGGTACGAGCCCGGGCTCGACCAAACAGGAACGACATTTGGAGTGGCGGCGAATGATGCCGCGGCTCTTCCTTGTGCACCTAGGTGTAACTTGGCCAAATTCTCCGCGACGGAAGTTATGTTTGTCTCGGTTTTCAAGCGCTGTCTGCTGTTTGATGACGGTGGTGCTAAGTTTTGTTGTTTGGAAAACAGGGGGTTGCTGTGCGCTACGTCCCAGGTGAATATTGCCTGCTTGCACCTGCTTATTAGCACCTAGCAAGGCAAACCACAGCTCGGGTCAGTCGTCGGTAATAATGTATATGAGTAGCCAACAAATGATTTTTTTCTCTCGTAATCACGAACAATCAAGTTCGTGTTGTTAGACCACAGCCGCGGGCATTCCCTCGCAACCAGTTGCTTGCCGCCCCGCACTGCCCACCTACCTAGGTAGGTACGTACCTACCCCCCACCATTTCGTCGTCGTTGACTCACAAACCCCTCTACTACTAAACCTCGCCGACTTTGGCTTTATTCTGGTCATTGTACGTCAAGCATATGACTAGAATTGCTTGAAGGGTTATCATACGAAATTCTCACGACGACCTTGCCTTAGAGTACCTTTCTCGTCTCGCAGTGACTGCACCGTGGGCTACCAACAACGGTGGCAAGCTGAGGACAAAAAAGGCACCCGAGAAAATTCCTCACCATGTCTATTGACTTCCCAAAGGAGGAAGAGGCGATCCTTGAGAAATGGAAAGCGCTTAATGCTTTCCACCGCCAGGTTAGTCGCAAACGTCTGCCAGGAACAAAATGAATCCTCTGGAAGCTGACCAGTTCCGCGCAGCTTGAGCTGACGGCCAGCCTCCCCCGATACACATTCTACGACGGCCCCCCCTTCGCCACAGGCTTGCCTCACTATGGACATCTTCTCGCATCCACCATCAAGGACATCATTCCTCGCTATTGGTCAATGAAGGGATATCATGTCGAACGTCGCTTTGGTTGGGATACGCACGGCCTCCCTATCGAACACGAAATCGACAAAAAGCTGGGAATTTCCGGTAAAGCTGCCGTCACTGAGCTTGGTATTGGAAGGTACAATGAAGAATGTCGAGCGATTGTCATGCGCTATGCCTCTGAGTGGAGGGCCACCATTGAGCGGTTGGGGCGTTGGATTGATTTTGACAACGACTATAAAGTATGCCTTAATGACCCTAGCACCCGCAACTGATATGATCTCGAACTAGACTAACAGCATACCACAGACCATGGACCCTACCTTTATGGAGACACTCTGGTGGGTGTTCAAGCAGCTGTTCGAAAAGGGAAGTGTGTACCAGGGCTACCGAGTCATGCCGTACTCGACGGTGCTCACGACTGCGCTGAGCAACTTTGAGGCCAACCAGAACTACCAAGATGTGACAGACCCTGCTATTGTGGTGTCATTTCCCCTGCTTGATGATCCAAATGTCAATCTTCTGGCTTGGACTACCACGCCATGGACACTGCCTTCCCATCTTGGCCTGGCAGCACACCCCGACTTTGAGTACATCAAAATTCAAGACGGAAAGTCCGGAAAGATTTATGTTCTTTTGGAGAAGCTGTTGACTACACTCTACAAGGATCCCAAAAAGGCTGACTTCAAAATCATCGAAAAGATTAAGGGCAAGGACATGCTAGGCTGGAGATACGAACCATTGTTCGACTACTTCTACGAAGACTTCAAGGATAAGGGCTTCCGTGTCCTTAATGCCACTTATGTCACTGCTGATAGTGGTGTTGGCATTGTTCACCAGGCCCCTGCGTATGGTGAGGATGATTACAATGTTGCACTTGAGGCTGGTATCATTTCCGAGGATTGCCCGCCACCGGATCCGATTAGTGACACGGCTCACTTTACGGAACGTGTGAGAGACTTTGCTGGAATGCATGTGAAGGAAGCAGACAAGCACATTATAAAGTACCTCAAAAACTCCGGTCGCTTGGTGGTTGAGTCTCAGATTAGGCACTCATACCCCATGTGCCCCCGGTCTGACACCCCGCTCATATATAGAGCAGTCCCGTCGTGGTTCATTCGCATCCCCGAAATCATCCCAGACATGCTGAAGAATATTGAGGGCTCGCACTGGGTCCCCAGTTTTGTCAAGGAGAAGCGCTTTGCCAGCTGGATCGCTAATGCCCGTGACTGGAACGTTGGCAGAAATCGATACTGGGGTACCCCTATTCCTTTATGGGTGAGTGACGATCTCGAAGAAAGAGTGTGTATTGGAAGCGTGGAAGAGCTGCGCAAGCTCAGCGGGCATGAGGGCGAAATTGTCGACCTGCACCGTGACAAGATTGATCACATTACTATACCCAGTAAGATGGGCAAAGGCGTACTGAGACGTGTCGACGAAGTCTTTGACTGTTGGTTCGAATCCGGTAGCATGCCGTATGCTAGCCAACACTATCCGTTCGAAAACGTGGAAAAGTTTCAGGCATCATTCCCAGGCGATTTTATTGCCGAGGGCCTAGATCAAACTCGTGGTTGGTTCTATACGCTACTAGTCCTGGGCACCCATCTCTTCGGCAAATCCCCCTTCCAGAACTGTGTGGTCAATGGAATTGTTCTGGCTGAAGATGGAAAGAAGATGTCGAAACGTTTGAAGAATTACCCCGACCCAGCCATTGTCATGCAAAAATACGGTTCGGATGCCCTACGCCTGTACTTAATCAACTCCCCAGTTGTTAGAGCTGAACCTCTGCGCTTCAAGGAGGCAGGTGTAAAGGAAGTTGTTCAAAAGGTGCTGCTACCCCTCTGGAATAGCTACAGATTTTTTGAGGGCCAAGTTGCTCTTCTCAAGAAGGCGGAAGGGGTTGATTTCATGTGGAACCCTGACCTGGAGAGTACAAATGTGAATGTCATGGACCGCTGGATTCTGGCAAGCTGCCAGAGCCTGCTTGAATTCGTGAACGACGAAATGAAAGGTGAGCAAGTTTCATGATAATTTCGCCTCAAATTCTAACACGCTTGGCAGGGTACCGTCTTTATACCGTCGTTCCGCGCTTGCTTGAGCTGATTGACTACACAACCAACTGGTATATCCGCTTCAATCGTCGTCGCCTCAAGGGTGAAAATGGCCTTGAAGACACGCAGCACGCCCTTAATGCACTCTTTGAAGTGCTTTATACTATTTGCCGTGGCCTGGCACCCTTTACACCATTCTTGACTGACAACATCTACGGCCGCCTTCTGCCTTATATCCCGCAACATCTTCAAGCAGAAGATCCTCGCAGTGTACATTTCCTTCGATTCCCTGACGTGAGAAGCGACTTATTCGATGCTGCTGTGGAGCGTCGTGTCTCGAGGATGCAAAAAGTCATCGAGCTTGCTCGTGTCTCTAGAGAACGACGAAGCATTGGGCTGAAGACACCGCTGAAGACATTGGTGGTACTCCACCACGACCAGCAGTATCTGGACGATGTCAAATCTCTCGAAAATTACATCACCGAAGAGCTCAATGTTCGAGACCTCGTGCTCACGAGCGATGAGGCTAAACACGGCGTCCAGTATAGCGTGACAGCTGACTGGCCCGTCCTTGGAAAGAAGCTGAAGAAGGACATGGTCCGAGTGAAGAAAGCGCTTCCCTCTTTGACAAGTGAACAATGCCAAGGATACGTACGTGATAAAGAGATCATGGTCGATGGGATTAAACTTGAAGAAGGCGACCTCGTAGTCAGACGAGGTGTCAAAGAGGACGAAACTTCCAAGACATGGGAAATTAACACGGATAGCGATGTGCTTGCCCTTTTGGACGTACAAATCTACGAAGGCTTGGCACAGGAAGGTCTTGCTCGAGAAGTTATCAACCGAGTGCAGAAGCTTCGCAAAAAAGCAGGCCTGCAACAGACTGATGACATCAAAATGGAGTATCGAATGCTCTCTGACCCAGAGTCGATTGGCTTGGAAGATGTTCTCAGCACACAATCTGCGGCCTTCGAGAGGGTTCTTCGTCGATCACTAGATAAGCATGAGGATGGAGTTACAGGCGAAGTCATCGCCGAGGAAGAGCAAGAGATTCAAAAGGCGACTTGGATGTTGAGATTGCTCAGGATATAGCTTTCTAGTCGCACTTTGCTAAGTGAATAAATAGTAAATCTAGCTCTCGCTAGCTGAGAATCCTATAAGCTATCGAGCCAGAAGGGCCCCGAAAAACAATACGATCGAGTTCCTTGTACACTATGCTACATTCTTGGCGGCGCGCTATGGACAGATTGATTAGCTTCCTTCTACAATCCCCCCCCCCCCGTGACAGCAACGTACCAAGTAGCAGGTTTTCAATTTCAGAAATTCCCTTGCACACTTATCCTTTTCCACGGCGGTATAATCAGCGACAATACATTTGCCGTAGGCGGCTGCCTGTGACACTGTCAGTGGTTGTTCCGTAAGGAGTAGCTTAGCCCTCTGCGCTAACTTCTGCGCTGCATTGCGTTGCTGCCTTGGCGAATTTCTGGATTGGGCGAGGCGGCGTCATTTGCAAACGATACGACTAGCAGCTTGATGTAGTGTGTGGTGGCCTAATGTAACTTCATTTCTCGTAGGCAACGTTGGTATATCCGTGGGGATTCTGATTCCCTCAGATTTGTTGGCGCATTATCTCGCCACTTTTTAGCCTTACCTAATTCGCCGGCCTGGCGATTATCTGTGGAAATGATTTTCGGAGGTAGGCAGCGTGACTACGGGATTGGCATTGAAGTGTGCGAAGCCAAATGATGATTCATATGCAAAGACATAATCCAATTGTCACAAATAGAAAAGAAGAAGAAAAATATAGAAAAAGAAGCAACGATATCTACTTGCAACCATTGTATGTTATTGGTATTGTATCCGTGCCTGGGAGCGCGTGCGCGTGGTGGCCCCACACGGTTCCGACGCGTAAAGCGGCAGCTGTCCGCGAACCCAGTCTTCTTTGGTGGTTACCGTGCCTCGCCGCTAACCACCAGCTTCACCTTGCAACGATTTGCCGCTTCGACCTCATTATAGGTTGAGCTGCTGCCAGAATACATCGCGCAACCTGCATGGTAATTTTACCATCACTTTCTCCCAATCTGGCCATGAAGAATCGACGGCACCCCGTGTCTGAGCTGGCCAACCTGGACAGTAGCATTGCTTGTTCGCTTTCTGCCTTGATTATGGACCGTTAGCAAGCGCTCCCAAATATGGGCACAAGTATGTTTAAAATTGACTGGACAGCTCAGTGAAAGATAAATCTGACTCAGACCATTCAATTCAGTGACGTACGCGCCGTTCCAACCTCCGAAGAACAAAGTATCGTCGCCTGGGCATCATCCCGATCCTCAATCCCCAGCGGGGACCTCGACGACTCAAGACCCGTATTACTCAAATGAAGGTTTGTGCAATATTCCAAGCTCTGTAAAACTGCAATATTGACACGTGGAAGACATTGAAATTTTGCACGAAATTGTTTCTGTCGCCCAAGAAACGCTGGAGGATGTCAGCGGCTCGCGACCGCTCCCTGCCGCTGCTCTGTTCAAAGCTTACGATCAAGTGCTACCCAAGCATGGCGTGGACCCGGACGATGACAACCACCTTTCGCGATTGATATTTCGTATTGGGGGAGAGAAGGGCTATGGCAGCCTGCCTGATAAATTCCGAGCCGTCTTGGCCGGTATGGGAATATCTTTGGAGTACGGAGACAGTAGTCTAGTCTCGCCGAGAGCATCTCAACCATCACACTCGCCTGATGACTCGGATCTCCAGAAAACAGAGGATCAGAAGTCGCCATCAGTGTCCCCACGGTCTCAGGGTAACTTTGGAGAGATGGTCACGGCGTGGCCCGGAGTCCCGGATCACGGAGACGCAAGCGCGGAAATGGAACGCAGACCGGCCGACAGATCCCCCCCTCCCAATTCACATCTCAATTCGAGACCAAAGATGAATTCGACGATGAAAGCCGCTACAAGTGACCCATCTCTACCGCAGGGAAGTCGACAGAATGCACAAAGACGAACTGCCCATTCCTTAGCGCAGCCTATTGTTTCTCACCTCATTGCACCCGCAAAAGACACCATAGAGTTTCCAGATGTCAACGAAGAAATACCCGTATTGCGAGCTGCCTTATCGCGACCCCCGCTCCTTAGCATCCTTGATCGATGGCGCACTGCGAGCAAAAATAGGAAGATCCAAAGAGCGTCGCCGCCACTGTTGGATAGCGCAATGCCGCCTCTACTTCATGCTGAAGGATCAGTGAAAACGGACACGAAACCTCTCAGTCGACAGTTGTCTCCCCGAACAGACCGCTTTCCTACTCGCCAAACAGATTTTTCAGGCGAGCCGAGCCCGAAGAAGCCCGTGGCCACAAACCCGCTTTTCCATATCTCGACTACTCATCATTTAGCGACGGCTCGAGGCGAGGGAGGTGTGGGCTGTAGTGATTACACGGCTATGCTGAACCGTGCTGGCCGGGCCCGAGAAATTTATTTGGCTAGCAGGGCGTTTAATCACTGGGCAGAAAGAACTGCGGCTAGATTAGAGAAGGAAGCTGTGGCACGGCGACATATGATTCGATTCCGCTGCTTCCGGGGCTGGAGCAACGCTCCGAGTTCAAGGTCACCTGCAGTTGACCATCTGAGAGCCGCCACTGCTGTGCAGAAGCTGCGTCGTGCTGTTGCTTGCCAAGAAGAACAGCTGCGAGCAGCCGCATCAGCCATATATGACTCAAATTGCATCCAGAAGGCCAAACGTGTGATGTGCCAATGGCTCTGCAGCACTGCTCAACTGAGTATTCGGCGCGAAACTGCGCATCGTGCCAAACGAGGCATTGCTCGTTCCTGGAACAATCTGACGCATATATACCACAAAAACGCTGAAGCAACGGCGAAAAGTTGGCAAGATAACCAACGAAGGCATCTAATTCAGCATTGGGCTAGCAAGGCGCAACAAGCAGAAAGACAGTTCACTATCAGTAAACATGTTGGGCTGGTGCGACCCATGTTTGCTCATCTAGCAGCGTGGTGGGATCACGCCGAAGTTGAGAAGAGAGCAGAAGTATACCGTGCGAACCTAATATGGAAGAGAGCTCATTCTGCCTTGGATAGCTGGAATCTACGCGCGCGGGCCCAGGCCTTTGTTTGGCGGAGCGATTATCGATGCGCTTCGTGCGCGCTGAGCAAATGGACTCAAGTAGTTGAAAACGGAAGAATGCAGCGGAGTAGAGCAGCTTTCGCTATCGAGCGTTGCCAAGTTCCCGCTACCTTGAGTCGATTTGACCACTTCGTCAACTATATGAGCAAACTCGAATACTACACACACCGAGCGCGGCTGTTTATTATGGCATCAAAATTTTTACGGGCATTAGATCGTGCTCACGACGCAAAAAAAGCACATCGAAAAGAGGAAATAAGGCAGCAGCTCAGGTCTCGGTATAAAGAGGTATCGTCTACAAGAAAAAGACGACTATTTCATTCTACTTTAGAATTATGGCGGTCTTCGGCTCAACATCACGCCTTTGCTACCGCTGAAGCAACGGGGCATGTCGAAACACGAAAGCAGCCCTTGAGACTACATGCAATCAAAATGTGGGTGCTGGCCGCAAGCCAGCATCAGGAACTGCGTGCTGCCAGCCAAAAACATGCGATTTATCATGTACTTCGCAATTGGGGAGATCTCACTGGTGAGTTGTCGCAGCGAGACACTGAGAGTTGGGACTTGTGGATGCAACGCAAGCAGCGGCAAGCTCTTAAGTTTTGGTCAATATCATCTCTTCAAGGAATCGGCCGAGCACACACGGCAGCAATGGTGCAGCAAAGACATGAAGCAGAATATCGAAATCGGGCCTTTCAACTCTGGCGGCACTCAAGCCAAGGCATGGAGGCTACTGATGCTAGAGACACTTCAACAACTCCACACTCGGCTTTCAATGGCCGACGTTCCTGGAGAACCATTTCAGCAAGAAAGTCGGGTTTTAACAATGAAGCTAGGCCCCAATACCTGCGCGCCCTCAACAAATCTGCAACACCTTTGGATACTCCTACTCGGCGGACCGGGAGGTCGCTAGCCATGCCAAGCACACTGGCTAAACCTATGCCGTCTCTAAGGGAAGCAGATGAGCAATCTACAACCTCTAGCTTGAGCGACGAGACTGAGATTGCTTATGATCTGGCAAAAAACACAAATAATTCACAGCACGGGTTCCACCGAAGTCTAGTCTTGCGTACTGGCAAAATACTAGCTTCTACAACACCACAGGCGCCAATACCCACGAATTTAGGGCGTAGCGTCCCGGCCCGAACTCCGGCCTTTCATAATTCAGCAATTCCGGTCATTCCGAGCCATTCTTTCCACCCAAGAAGCTCCGGAGTCAAACAGCATGAAACTAGCGAAATGCAATTCAAAAGAATGCCGGGCTATGTTGATTCTGCAATCCAAACCGGCCTGTCGGTTAGAGCCGGCGCCTTGAGCCAAGGGCTTCCAACGTCGAATTGGCGCGGCCCGGCAACACCGAGTAGGGAGTCAACAGGAACTGCTACTAGGGGCGGATCTGGAGGCGAGGTCCCTGCCGGGACACACATGGTCCAGACGGCACCCAAACCTTCACGTTTTAGCGGACCAGAGCGTCGTACTTGACGACTGGTGCGGGACACCGGAACTGGGGACGGGCACCTTTTGCGCCATTGAATGTACTTGAAATCATGGTGGATTGAAATTTGGCGCACTTGCAATTGGGACTTGGACATGTAATCTATTTAATCATTCCCTCGCGTACCTGAGCGAACACTTTTGATTGATTGTTCTCACCCTGGCGTTGCGCTGTTTTGAGTGTGTAGGGCGCCACTTGTTGCGTGATGATTGCAATGAATGAAGAACACCAAATATTCCCTACCTCTTAGGGTTTAATATATTACACCTCAGGTACTATAATACCCTGATGCCATGAACAATGCACAAAAGCTCTCGACCGATCCTCAGTGCATCTGTTGAGGTTGGTGCGTGCCGCCCCACAAAATAGCATGTGAGCTCTCCCCATGACCCTCCATACTACTACTAGGTAGAACGAGGTGGTAGAGCAGTTACCTACCACAGCTTGAACTACAAAATAGTCACATCCACGAAGGGTGCAGAGGCTGGAAATAGCGCAAATGTTTGCATACAGAAACAACTGGTAGCATGAGTGCCGTCCTACCAGGCAAGCCGCAATCAAGGCTTCAAAGCCTTGCTACTGGCTCCTGGGCCAAAAACCACGTTAATGTGAGCTCTCCAACTACGCGATGGTGGCCAGGCTGACCTTACAACAATACAGGCTTATATCACTGGCAGTGCATTGGCTATTTTAGATGACCCGCACAAGGTCATACAGACCGTTTACGATGAAAACGACGACGAGCTGGAAGCTATCGCTTTCGATGAAGCGAGTGGTAAGATAGCCGTCTGTACCACCAACTCGATTCGAGTATATCGCCCAAGCGCGCGACCGGAAGATCCATTAAAGGTCAGAATGACTATATATTGATGATACTACTACAGAATTGAACTAACAATAGCTTAGTGGACGCTAGAGGCGTCCTTCGAAACACCACAAGCCGCAACAGGCGAGTCGTTTGCTCTGTCATGGGGCCGAGAGGAGGAACTACTCGCTGCATCATCTTCGCTGTCGTTATACTCCACAAAATCAGAAATCCGATGCTCCTGGCAGAAACTACTCCCGAACAAAGCCAAGGTGGCCGCTCTTTCGTACGATTCAGCCTACATTGCCTCTATATCCGACTACGATAAGTTACCAAAGGTGTGGCGTCGTCTAGCGTATGGTCAAGATGAAGTTCGATTCGACCACTCATACCTATCACACCCAGACGTGGTGACTATGGTGCGCTGGCGCAAGCCTTTCCATGTTGACCAATCTGCGACCAACGTGCTCTATACATTCTGCCTGGACGGTCTGGTTCGTATCTGGACCCCTACAGAGACTGCCGATGGGCAACACTGGCAACTTTGGGAGGCTATAAATATCAACCAGTTTTCTGGAGGCCCACCAAGTGACCCATCCAGATGGATCGTTTGTATTGTTGACGGACGAGATTTCATGCCCTGTGTCGAGCATCTTATTCAGGTGCGCATGTCTGATGATCCCACTACGGACGAAGTAGCTATGGAACATTTGATAGCTGTTGCAAATAAGACGCCGGAAATATGTCTTGCGATAAGCCGAAATGGCGCGATGTCGGCTTGGGCTCTGGACAACGTTGGCAACAATAACGCTGAAGGCGACCGCGTGTTCAACATTGCGCAGGTCAAGTCTCCAGCTTTCGAGTCATTGGAAGACTTTATAAACTCCTCAGAAATGCACCACATCGAAGTGCAGTCATACTTCGACAAGAAAACCGGCAAACTTGCACTCCTTCTCCATTCCTTCGATGGCAGAATCGGGGTGTTCTATAGTGATGTCGCAAATTTATTCAGCCCTACCACAAACGATCAGCGAATATCTCTTCAGACTGTTTGGTCTGGGCATTCGGCAGCTGTTGTCAAAATCAATCGCAGTTTCAGTGGGCGTGCAGTCGTCTCACGAACAGAAACAGGGGAGTGTATTGTGTGGAGTCATCCAGAACACCGAGCTGTACCGAGTGTTGCTCTGAATCGAATGAGCGTCATAACGCACGATGGAGGTTTGCACAGGGTTTGTGTTCTCCGTAAAGGCAGGTTTGTTGTCTTTCTTGGCACAGACAGCGTATCTCTCTGGGATTGCCGGCCCAGTAAAGCCCGTATGCTTGCCAAGTGTTTCGCTCAGTGGAACGGAACGGCGCTTTGTCTAATTACCTTGCCTCGCCCGGACCCCCCCGAAAGAACCAAGGCGTACATTTCTATGATCACATCTGAACGCAAAGGAATTGTCTGGGAAGCCACCTTGCCAGCATATTCCACTGGAGCCTCTGTTACAGCCAGTGGCCGCATTGTCGAATTCTGTCGATTTGAGCTAGATGTCGCGGACGGACTCAAATACGTTCTTCCTGTTGACCCTGCTGGAAAAACGCCCGTTGCGTCAGGTTTCCTGGATGTGTTTGCACGGGACGTCGCAATATCTTATACCAGGAGCGGTTGTGTAGACTTTTGGACCGCCAGAGTCGATTTGGAGAAACAGAGAGTCGATTGGCTTTCTACCTGCTGTACAGAAACTGGGATGGAGGACCCAGCGCTAGCAAGTGGAAGTACTCTGAAAAAGGCCGCGTTAATAAATTCCTCACGATCTCAGCTCACAATTTGGGACATTGGTGGCTCTCGCCTGGAATTTGAAGAAGACTATGATGCGCATAGCACAATACAAGACCTAGATTGGACCTCAACGCCGGATGGACAATCAATACTTGCAGTTGGGTTTCCGTACCGAGTTATATTACTCTCCCAAATGCGTTTTGACTACCTCAACAAAGGACCAGCCTGGGCGCAAATTCGCCAAATAAGCATACGGGACCTTACTCCTCATCCTATCGGGGACTCAACATGGCTTGGAGATGGCCACCTTGTGATTGGTGCTGGAAATCAATTATTTGTCCAGGATCGGCTTGTCAGTAGTGATGATGCCAATGCATTGGACATTCGTTTACCGCAACGGCGCGATGGTGTGTGGGATATTTTTGAGGCTGTCCAGCGTTTCAATGGGCCTCTGCCCTTATTCCACCCGCAATTTCTCAGCCAGTGCGTTCTGTCTGGGAAAGGTGTTCTTGTTGGGCGAATTCTGAAGGCACTTCATAAGGCTCTCAAATATCTCGTGCCAGGAGAGCCTGTCGATGACTATCTTGGTCTAGATGTGACTGAGATATATGAAGTAACAGTAAGTTTTATTGTGGAGGCCTCGAGACACTGAACTGACAGCCGAAGCATGCCGCGCGGCCAATCTTGAGAAAAGGGCAGGTTCATTATCTGAATTCTGACAACGACCAAGACGACGACGAAGAGGAACCGTTCAAGGAGACGACGGCTGCCTCGATCAACGAAATATTGAAGAAGGTTCGCATCCCACAGCTCTCTGGACATGAACAAATTCAACTCATGGATATGATTGAGTGCGCTGCTTTCGTTGAGAAGCACCGTCGCTCTATGGATGAGAACGGTGCCCGCTTTATGCTATTCTTCCGCCAGCATGCACTTCGGAAAGGTCGTACCAGTGAGATTCAGCTGTCATGGAGAGAAATAGACTGGGCGTACCACTCTACTACCCAAGACATCCTTGTCGACTTTGTTGCCCGGCAAACGCATGGTCCTATGCTCTGGAAGCATGCTCGAGAAAGTGGCCTCTTCATGTGGATTACGGACGTATCTGCTTTGCGAGCGCAATTTGAGGTCGTGGCAAGAAATGAATATGCCAATAGCGAAAGCAAGAGCCCCGTCGATTGCAGCTTCTTTTACTTGGCTTTGAAGAAGAAAACCGTGCTCCAGGGTCTCTGGCGTATGGCTGCTGGCAACAAAGAACAAATCGCGACGCAGCGACTGTTGCTGAACAACTTTGAAGAGGACAAGTGGAAAATAGTGGCTCAGAAAAACGCATATGCATTGCTGGGCAAGCGTCGATTCCGTAAGTGGAATGACTTTGATATACTTGTGCTAGCACTAACATAGCAGAATACGCCGCGGCTTTTTTCCTTCTTGCTGGTAGACTCTGTGATGCTGTTGAAGTCTGCCTCCGCCAGTTGAAAGACATACAGCTAGCCATCGCCGTAGCTCGCGTTTACGAAGGCGATGGTGGTCCGGTTTTGCGCAAACTGCTGCAAGACGAAGTCTTACCATTAGCGGCCCGTGAAGGAGACAGATGGTTGGCATCGTGGGCCTTCTGGATGCTGGGGCGCAAGGACATGGCTGTACGAGCACTAATAGTATGTGGACCTTAACTCCGGCTCTGTTCGTCTCTAACACCTCGATACAGACACCAGTCTACACACTGTTGGAGACTCCAAGCTCCCCAGATTTCCGGTCCCGGCTATTCCTGACAGATGACCCTGCTTTGGTTGTGCTCTATGGACAACTACGCCACAAGAGTCTGCAAACCTTGCGTGGTGCTTCGAAGGTGGACCCGAGAGTAGAGTGGGAGTTTGTCCTGCACAGCGCAAAAATTTACGATCGCATGGGCTGCGATCTTCTCGGCTTAGATCTAGGTGAGTTATTACGACACCGTTTCGTTGTGGAATGGACACTTACTCAGAAACAGTGAGGAATTGGGAATTTCAGCAGCCATCGTCAGCAGGCATTGGTGGCGAGTTTAATCCCCTGAAACTCCTCCGACGAAGAAGCTCTCTCGTCGTTAATGACCTGCCCCTGGTACAGTTACAGACAGGTGTGCAGGGCCTCGCAGAGCGAGGCGCGAAAAGAGAAGCTCCACCTCCGACTACCTTCGAGGAGCCAGATGTAGGCTCGCTGCTAGACAGCTTTGGGTTGTGATAATTGGTAGAGGGGGCCGCGTCTGTAGCCCATAGCAAGTGTCACAGACACATTATTGATACATTATATAATACCTCATGACTGATATTCTTATCCTTCTAACGGCTAGGTATGGAACAACTCACACCATATTGCAGGGTATACCGCCGCTGCTCTGTGATGTTGTTACTTGTCACTCTATTGAGGTTAGACATTTTATCCATATAATACTTCGTGTTCACCAAATGCTGCTCAAGTTGTACATAATTACTACCTACCTGTGTAGTTAGTGGGTACAGCAACCTCAAAGTGCCCGTTATGACTAATCTTGAATCTTAGGTACCTAGAGTCCCCCCAGCGACACCTACCCGAGCTGCCCACCTATTGCCTCTAGCATCAACACGCGCGGGAACGAGACGAAGGAGTCATCAGAGAGTTGAAGACAATGGCACCTCAGATACCCGGGCAGAATTTCACCATCCGCGCAGTCACAGCCGGCTTAGCCATTGGCACAGTCATCTGTGCTGCCAACGTCTACTTTGGGCTCCAGACAGGATGGGTTTCCATTATGTCTATGCCTGCTAGTCTAATGGGATTTGGTATTTTTCGCTTGCTGAGACCTCACCTTGAACTGCCATTTTCTCCCATAGAAAATGTTTTTGTTCAAAGCGTAGCCTGTGGTATGGCTATCATGCCACTCGGTTGCGGGTTTGTTGGCGTGGTGCGTATGAGGCCTCTCGCTACTGCCTGCTTCAAGCTCCAATTAGCCGAATTGTCTACCTTTGCTGACCAACTTCAAGATACCGGCTATGGACTTTCTCCTTTCTCCCGACGAAAGAGGGCCACTGAATCTAAGCTTATGGCGGCTTGTGATTTGGTCTTTAGGCCTCTGTTACTTTGGCGTTGTGTTTGCAGTACCTCTGTATGGTACCGTGGCCGTGATTCGGCTCCCTTCTATCAATATCAGTCTGCTAATTCTTAGCAGACGCAAACAAGTGATTATCAGAGAACGCTTGAAATTTCCAAGCGGTTTCAGCACTGCAGTTCTTATATCTGTGCTCCATGGTCAAGAAACACAGTCCAAGCAAGCTCTTGATGAGGCATCCAAGGGCGGTTTTGCCAGTCTTGTTCCCCAGGATCGCGCAGATGACGTCCAACAAGAGGAAGAGGTTGGTGCTGCATTGGTGGACGAGCCTACTGCCCCTCGTAGTGGCTTGCACTGGGCGGCGAATCTGCGACTTCTACTCCTTTCATTTATCATATCGGGGCTTGCCACAGTACTTACATACTTCTTTCCCATTCTCCGGAACATACCTATTTTTGGGGCTGCAGCAGCACAAACCTGGTTATGGACTCTGAACCCCAGTCTCGCATACGTCGGGCAGGGCATCATCATGGGAACAGAGACAACCATGCACATGACACTGGGCGCTCTAATCGGGTGGGCCATTCTAAGTCCTCTAGCAAAGTATAAGGGCTGGGCGCCCGGTCCTGTCGATGATTGGGAGAGTGGAAGTAAGGGTTGGATTGTCTGGATATCCTTGGCCATCATGCTTGTGGACGCCGTTGTCAGCCTGAGCTACGTTGCCATCCGGTCATTATTCGTGTGCAACGCCAAACTTTCCCCTTCCGCTTTTCCTAACTTCATGCGCCAAAAGTGGATGAGAAAGTTTTTACCAGGCAGCAGAGCTCGCTATGCTCTTCTACGGAGACGAGATAACGACGACGATTCAAGTGAAGATGAAGACGAACCCGAACAGCCCGCCGAACAAGTTGAGGACGAAGACGCCCCGGAGAACCAGCAGATCAACAATATAACGGTTGGAATCGGGTTGTTGGTCTCCATAGTCCTCTGCATCATCACCATTTACATTGTCTTTGGAGATCTAGTGCCCTTGTATGCCACAGTAATTGCCGTCTTCATGGCGCTGATCCTGAGCATTATGGGTGTCAGGGCTCTGGGTGAAACTGATTTGAACCCAGTGTCTGGAATCAGCAAACTAGCGCAGCTCTTCTTCGCACTCATTGTTCCACAGTCGAACAAATCAAGCGTGCTCATCAACCTCGTGGCTGGCGCAGTGGTAAGTTGAACCTCATTGATAACCTTGTACGCAATGCTCGCCAGCAATGAGCTAATACATCCCGCACTAATATAGTCCGAAGCGGCAAGTATCCTTGTTCGCTAAGCGAGAATGGAAAAGACTAACCTTCATCTCTCCCGTTCAAACAGGGTGCGCTTCAAGCTGGAGACCTGATGCAAGACCTGAAAACTGGCCACCTTCTTGGCGCGTCCCCTAAAGCACAATTTTGGGGACAAATGATAGGAGCCACGGCTGGAGCGGTCCTGAGCGCCTTCATCTACCGTCTATATACACGGTAACTATTTACAAGGTGTTCCGGAACTTACTCTCTGTTACTGACATATTGCAGGATATACAAGATCCCCGGTGACCTCTTCCAGGTACCCACGGCGTATGTCTGGATCTTTACTGCGCGGCTGGTCACGGGCCAAGGCTTGCCTTATATGGCCAAAGAATGGGCGATTGCGGCTGGTGCTCTTTTCGCTTGCACCACTGTTTTAAGAACTGTTGCTGTCGGCAAACCGTGGCGCTCGTGGATTCCGGGAGGTATCGCTGTAGCTGTTGGTAAGTAACTGTAGCCTCAAGATTTTCTTACAAAGCTCACTCTTACTACTAGGCATGTACAACGTGCCCTCCTTTACCCTGGCTCGGGCCGCCGGCGGTATACTAGCCTGGGTTTGGCTGCACATTATGAAGCGTCCTAGCACACCACTCATTATTCTAGCTTCCGTAAGCTATGTGCTCTGGACTCCTTTGATTCATTACTGACCACCGCAGGGCTTCATTCTCGGTGAAGGGTTCTTGAGTATCGTAAATTTGATCATGGAAGGACTATCAGTTCCTCATTTCTAACAGCCAAGCCGAACTCATCCTTAATCATTTCAACTTCCAAACTCGAGCCTTCTCCTGCTGGCCCTCTTCGGTCCATGTCAGCTGGATATCAAGAGCTCTAGCATTTTCTTCCAAGGCAGAGAACACGATTCGACCAGCAAGTTTTGGCTTCGAGGCTTTCAGCTGTGTTGGGGGTTGGAGCAGAAGCCCCTGCCTCCAATGCGTTTCCTTTCCGAAGGGCCCAGTAGTGAAAGCTACGTAGCCAGACTTTTGCTTCACAAAATTTTCGGGTGTTGTTACAGGGGCTGGTAGCTTATCAGTCCGAGAGTTCGCGAAGAAATTGTCGAACCAAACTAGAAACCCATCCAGTGAATCAATGTCGCGCGTTATTTGAGATTCCCAACTCGCAGTGAAAAACAAGTCCTCTGGCTTCACGGTGTGAAGATCGAGAACCTTGAATGGATATGGCTCTCCGCAGACTGCGGAAGGGGGCATTGTCAGAATCTTGGCCTCGTCATAGATACACTCTTGCATGGCCTTCATGTCAAACCCATAGACATCTCGCCAAAATGACACTGTGTCTGTGACATATTCTGAGTCTTGGACGGGAGCCACCCAAATGGTAGCAGAGCTGGGCACAAGGAGGCCTTCTGGTCGGAGGTATTTGTCACGGGCATATAAAACACTAGGTAACATAGCCTCATAGAGCAAGCAATAGCCCATCCACTCACTGACGATAATGTCGACCTGATCAACGGGGAGCTTGACGTCTTCAATAGCACCGCGGAGACAAGTAATAGTGCTTGATAGCCCATTATTAAATACATTCTCCCGGGCCTTATCGATGATGTCCGACTTATCGACGGCGATTACCTGCGTAGCACCGGCCTTGGCACAGAACATGCTCAAGATACCTGGATGTATTAGCCACGACGCGCTGTGAGTAAGTGTTCCGCTTCTTCATCTGCGTACCAGTACCACATCCAATATCAAGAACTATCTTTCCTTCGAACAATTGCTTGTTCTCGTAGATAAAATCACGGTATGCGTCAGTGCGGACCTCGTCCTTGAGCATAGTCTCGTGAATGTCTGCAGTACGTTAGCTTCTTGGTGCACTCTTCTAAGTCGCTCAATAATATGTCTTCACCATTGTAGGCATACGACTCAAAGTAGTAGTCTGAGGAGTCCTTCTTCTTTTCGCATACTCGATTTCCAGCCTCGGTTTCGTCGCCCCAGCGCTTGTCCAGTGTCTCCTCTACAGCTAGTCGGTAACTCGCAAATTGTTCCTTGACTGCGGCTAGTTCAGCCTCAAGCTCTTTCTTTCTGGATTCACAGGATAGTTTTTGTCGGGATTGGGCGTGTTCTGAGCCCTCGGTGACTTCGCTTAAAACTTCGTCCAATGAAAATAGCAAGGCGTCGTTTTCAAGTACTGGTTTGAGGTACTTGTCGTCGGCGAAGTCTCCGGCCGAAATATTGGGGGGCAGATTCTTCGCCTCCTTCGTACAATCTCTGATAAAATTTATCAGCTTAATGACATCGTGGAACTCAAGTCCGAGGCGATTCACGGTAGCGACCAGATCGAACGCGTGATGAGTCTTGCAGTGATTGAGAAGATCCTGGATGCTAGAGAAGGTCTCTGTGTCGAATAGTGAAGCAAAGACGATTTGCTCCTCATCGGGCTCTACATCCAGCCATTCCGCCGCATCCGAGATCTCGGAATTGGTGGAGACAGACATTTTATCGACTTCCCTGCTCTTCAGAAGCCAAAAGTTATCGTGTTGGGGTGAAGATGTTGTAGATGTTGTCTGGAAAGTATTTCTCGTGGGCCCACAGATAGGTGGTAGTTTATCCATCACTCCACTTTGCAATTTTTTGCGACCTGCCATTTTACAATTTGGTATAGTGCGCGAGGAGCACCTACAGCTACAGCTACAAACATGGCTTGTTTTCATGGAAGAAACAGCTTGTTTTGCAACCCTAGTCGACATCGTCCTCTCCATCGTCCTCTCCATCGCTTTCATCTTCTTCACCGTCTGACACTGGTTCGCCAAGTTCTCGAAGGCGTTTCTGTGAAGAAACAGAACAACAGACACGTTAGATGTGCTCGGACTGGTTAGGGGACAACTTCGGCGTTGGCATCATACCTTTTGCTTTGCCACTTGATCTTCCAAGTCAGTGAACACTATTAGCAGGTCATCCAGTTCAGATTGAACGCTCTCCTTTTCCTTTGTGCTCGTTGCCAGTGTTGATTCGATCTGCTATCGTGTCAGGCTTGTAGGGTCTTGCAGCACTGGTATGACATATAACATGCCTTGGTAGACGCTTTGCACACGTCATCTACTTGCTGTCTGGCTTCTTTGAGTTGTTCATGTAGATCTTTGATCCGTTTTTGCTGCGCTTCCATCGCTGCGGTTTGCTTTTCGCGGGAGGAGTGAAGTTCAGCGCGAAGTTCGTCGGCTTCCCACGATTTGGCTTGCAACTCTGCGTGTTTATTCTGCAAGTCTCTCTCTCGTTCAGCATTTGCCTGTTTCTACGCATTAGTGCGTGTATTTTTCACGCCAAAAAAGCTTACCTTCTGTAAAGAGGCTTCCAGGCTTCTGATCGTTGCGTGGAGGTCGGCATTTTCTCCATCGTTGCGTCTTTTGGTATGTTCTGACTCTATTTGGGCCATTTTTCTCATTGCAGTTAATTTCTTCTCCAGATCCGAGTCCTTGGCAGCAATGGCTGCTTTCATAAATGCAATTTTCTTCTCGTGTTCTGCTTCCTTCGTTGCCATAACGGACTTCGCAGCTGCAATTTGCTTCTGGTTCTCGATGTCTTTTGCAGAAAAGATGCTTTGTAGTTTCCTACGCATGGTTAGATTGGATTTCCCGACCAGTGTCGAAGACGAACCTGATTTCTGCCTCATGAGCTTTCCGGAGTCCCTCTCGCGCTGCCATTGCAGCCGCAATTTCTCGTCTGGCTTCCTCCTGTGCTTTCTGCAGTTCTTTATTCGCTTCTTCCTTGAAGCGGCGGTGCTCTCCTTGCTCCTGGGCAAGACGTGACGATTGGGACTCAGAAGCTATCTTCGCCTCCTCGATAGCCTTATCCTTCTCGTGTATTTGCTCACGCAGGGAATCTACAAGCTCTCTGGAGATTCCTTTCTGAACACCATTAGTGATGACAGAAATCTCAAGCTCAGGGCTTCTGTCGATAGCTCTCGCAATGCGGCTGTAGTTGTCTTTGAAGAAATTGACGAATACCGAGTCGAAAAATACGTCCGCCAGACCACTAGGCAACGCCGGATCTCTTCTCTGCGGTATTGTTTCGAAGTCTCGTAGCAATGGATGTGAACGCAGTCTGAGGAGTCGATCAAGAAATTGCTCTCGATCTAGCCGAGTAGCCAGGATAGAATGTAATGCCGTTCTTGGCATTGGTGAATCCTTGGTAGAGAACTCATAGGCAATACCGAGAAGCATAGCACAGAGTCCCTGAACTAGTTCGCTCCCCTCCATGACAGGCTGCGAGATTGATTGAATTAGGCTCTGTACATTGCTTCCCTCGGACAGGAAGTCGTTAACCGCATCTAAATCTTCGAATAACCATATTGTCAGTAGCATCAGGTAAGCGACAGAGATGCGTGCATCGTCGCCTCGCCGAATGCCTGTCAAGAGATGTGCTGTAACGGTCTGGATGCTCGTCACAAGTTCCTCGTCCTCCGCGGCATCACCTTCAGTAAGAGAGAGAGCCTTCGTTTTGGCAGAAGAATTGTCGTACAGCAAGTGAAGTGTAATTACTGCAGCAAACCATAGGCGATATGGATCGCTTGCCGATTGCTCAGCAGAGGGTGCCAGCAAAACGGACAATGCATTAGTTGTCTCCTCGCCACCTGTCAGATAGCCTTCGATAGCTCTTGCCAGAAAATGCAGTCGGACGTTCAGATGATTAGAAAAGTAAGCCTTTAAACACTCGCTAGCCGCATAACGGACGTTAAAGGCGGCGCTATCTTGCAGGTTTAGAATAAGATCGAGTAATCCGTCAATGACGTATACTTGTGAATCTCCATGTTCTTTCGAGGCAAGGCGACTCCTCCCAGACCGCCAGACGCTAAGCTGGGCAAAGCTCTCCTGCAACGCTGCCGAGTCACGAATCATATCACCGCAAGCGGTCAAGGCCTTACAAGGGTTAGCTCGACAATGCATCACTCAGACTGCTTCGGCATAGATCTACTCACCTCGGCTCTGATTTCCATCTGGATATCTTGGCTGAATGCCAAATGAAGAACGTCAGCGCAGAGTCCGTGCTTCCACAGCAACTTTTGGTTATGCGAAACGCCAGCGGAGCCAGGTGTAAGAAGCAGTCGCAGGATTGCGAGAAATGCGTATAAATTCCTATTTTTTTGCGACTGGGCCCAGATTGCCACGTCGTTGCCATCTCCATGCTGCAAGACACTATGCAACAAATCCGCCAATTTCTTCATACATCCAGATTCCCGAAACAGCGTCTGGTTTGAGGCATTGCGGCGCAGTAGATTCGCTAACAGAATGAGACAATCTTCGACGGTTCGTCCTCCTTCAGATAAGGAGCCATCAGACTCAATTATTGCGAATAGTTTCTCGAACGCATTTTCAAAAGCGACGAGCTTCTGTATATCGATTGACGCTGGAGTTAGACTCGTAAGAAGATTGATGCCTTCATTTCGGATGGCATCGCGTTGATCGTCAAGAGCAGCAACCAAGCGCGGGATTCCTAGCGGCGCAGTAAACACGCATTCCTCTGTTCGCTCGGTTCGGGCAGAGAGGATTGCTCCCAGAAGTTGCAAGGAGTATAAGCGAGAGTAGAAATCGGTCGTTTCGAGGAAGTCGAGAAGCAAGGTGACATTTTCTTGGCGCTGTGTAAACTCATCAGCAAGCCACAGGACAACCTCGTCAGAGGCTTCGGGACTATCTTCGTTGGGGGTAAAGAGCATAAGCAGCGTTTCCAGCACAACTTTCACAGTATCGACATCCTCGCCATCCTTTGCGAGGCTCCCAATGAGTCCTCGCAAAGCGCTAGACGATACCGTCGCTGGAAATTCTTTCGCAAAGCTCCGAAGCCCCAAGATTGCGGCGCGGCGGTCCTCTAACAGAGTGGCAGAGCCTAGCCGACCGCTTAGAACGGAGATGGTATCCGTAGCAGACTGCTTGGCTGGTGCTGTCGCGATTGAGAACATGACGTCGGGTCTTCTATTGTTGTATTTCCAGCATTGAATATTTTCTGGGTGCGTATCGGTCGAGAGATATAGGTCAATTGAACAGCGTCAGCCGTACAGGTCCTTTTTTCCACTCTTGGGATGCGGGATGGACGTTTTGCTGTTCTCACCAGTGTATAAAGGAGTGTATAAAGGAGCTCTACTGAGGTGGTAATAGCATCTAGGTCAGCTAGGTAATAAATGGGGTCCCACCCAGATGTGGTTGCTGGAAGAACTCCCACTCATGAGTGTTCACGGCATTATGGAGTTGGGCTCGGCTGCAACTATACTAATTGACAACCCAAAAGATAGAGCCGCAAAAAGCAATACCATTGCTAACTTTCATTCTCCAAAACGAAATCCAGATAGGCCTGGAAGTGACCCAACATGGTACAAGCGACCTTCCTGAACTAGTTGGACGCCGTTACATAAGCATAGTGTTTATCTTATCAGTCGTCCTTCTGCCTAGTTCTGATTTCTCACTTCAACCAGGTCCAGATGCGCGCACGCAAATCACCTCTTTGCTTAAGGGAAGAAAATATCCAGGCCCACACTTTTGTGCGATATATCCATGGCCGTCATCTTTTGTTGTCAATCAGACTTTTAGATAGCTCGTGATAGGCACCAACATTACACCCCGCAACAACCGAGCATCACCTCTTCCACACAGGCAGACCAGTCGCGCCAGTAGTGTTGTTTCTTGCCACAAAGTGGTACCAACGGAAACAAAATGGGTATTCCAGCTGCTTTCCGATGGCTTTCGAATAAGTATCCGAAGATTATATCTCCTGTTATCGAGGATCGGCCTGTCGTCATGGAAGACGGGACCGCAATCCCAGTCGACATCACTCGTGCGAATCCAAACGGCGAAGAACTAGACAACCTTTATCTTGACATGAATGGCATTGTCCACCCGTGTTCGCATCCGGATGACAAACCGGCCCCCGAAGACGAAGAAGAAATGATGCTTGAAATTTTCAAATACACCGATCGAGTACTCAACATGGTCCGACCACGAAAGATTCTCATGATAGCAGTCGGTGCGTTTTGCTTTTTCATTGTTGATGTTCATATTTATTTGTTCGATCCATTGTTGCTAACATCCCTTGAGATGGTGTTGCGCCCCGTGCCAAGATGAATCAGCAGCGATCGAGACGATTCCGATCGGCACAAGAAGCCAAAGACAAGGAAAATGACAAACAAGAGTTGATAAAACTGCTCAAGCAGCAAAACGGAGGCAATCTTGCTACTGAGAGCACTGAAGCCATAGCGAAGAAAGCATTTGACAACAATTCGATTACCCCTGGCACTCCCTTCATGGATATCTTGGCCAGCAGCCTGCGCTATTGGTGCCAGTATAAACTGAATACAGATCCGGGCTGGGCAAAACTGAAAGTCATCATCTCAGACGCCACCGTGCCAGGTGAGGGCGAGCATAAGATCATGAATTTCGTCAGGTCCCAGCGAGCTAGCCCAGATTATGACCCCAACACTCGACATGTCATTTATGGTCTAGACGCTGATTTGATCATGTTGGGACTCGCAACTCACGAGCCTCATTTTCGCGTTCTACGTGAAGATGTTTTCTTTCAGGATAGCAAAGCACGAACCTGTAAGCTTTGCGGTCAGCGAGGGCACGATGCGCAAAACTGCAAAGGCGAGACAAAGGGGAAATCCGGAGAGGTTGATGAGAAAGACAAGCCCGTGATACTCAAGCCTTTCATTTGGCTGCACGTCTCAGTTTTAAGGGAATATCTGGCTGCTGAGCTTGCCATACCTGAGCTCCCATTCCGTTTCGATCTCGAGCGCGTTATCGATGACTGGATCTTCATGTGTTGCTTTGTTGGAAATGACTTTCTTCCACATTTGCCGGCTTTGGAAATTCGTGAACATGGAATTGACACACTGACGACCATTTGGAAACAAAATTTACCTGCGCTTGGCGGTTACATCACAAAGGATGGTCACATTGATTTGGAACGGGCCCAGTGCATCCTAGACGGGCTTGCAGGTCAGGAGGATATGATCTTCAAGAAGAGGAAGGAACAGGAAGACCGTCGCGAAGCAAATACAAAACGTCGCCGACTTCAGAACAATGGTGCAAGCGGGCGTGATAGCCGCAATGATGGAAAGAGTCTCAGAAGTGGACATGAAGACCCATCACGCGGGCTTGCTCTGCACCCCATTGAATCAATGCCAACAGCACCCCTGAGAGGCATCACTCACGACATGATCGTCAATCGAACGAGCGTCAGCGACGCAACTGCTGCTAACAAAAGCGCGGCAAGTGTCCTCAAAGAGCGCTTGATTGCAGGTCGAGGCACCTCGGGCCATGAAACAAATCTGAATGACACGGAAGATAGATCGTCACAGTCGGCACCGAGCAAACGCAAACTTTCAGCTGTCGAAAGTGTTGAGGACTCAACTCCTAACGAATCGCAAGGCACGACCAATCCAGCCAATGTCTCTGAGGCCCCAGCGGACCCGGTTCGGCTATGGGAAGATGGTTACGCTGATCGGTATTACCAGCTTAAATTCCACAGGGACCCTGGCGACATAGCGTTTCGCAAGCATGTTGCTCATGCATATGTGGAAGGATTGGCGTGGGTTCTGCAGTATTACTTTCAGGGCTGCCCGTCTTGGGAATGGTATTATCCCTATCATTACGCACCATTCGCTGCTGATTTCAAAGACATATCTGGAGCCAATGTCGCATTCGAGAAAGGCATCATTTCCCGGCCGTTTGAACAGCTCATGAGCGTTCTGCCAGCCGCCTCGCGCGATAACTTGCCGGAAATTTTTCATAGTCTGATGACTGACCGAGATAGTGACATCATTGACTTCTATCCGGAGGAATTTGAAGTTGACTTGAACGGGAAGAAAATGGCTTGGCAAGGAGTTGCGTTGCTACCATTTATTGAGATGGACCGTCTTCTAGAAGCTGTACAAAGGCGATATCCACTTCTCAGTGACGAAGACAGTAAGCGCAATGGTGTCGGAAGGGATGTCTTGCTGCTCTCCGATAGCCATGAGAGCATCTATGACGAGATCTTAACAAACTTCTACTCCAAAAGGCAAGGCTCCGCGCAATTCAAACTCAATCCCAAGACGAGCGATGGACTCTCTGGTTATGTTGAGAAGCAAGAAGGGTACGTGCCACACGGTACGCTACACTATCCCCTCGAACGCAAATCCATGCCAGATATAGAGTATGACAGAACTATGAGGTACGTTGAGAACACGGCAAAACTTGTTATGTAGCTAACAACAACAGCGTTAATTATGACATGCCAAAATTGACACATGATCATAAGTCGATGCTCCTGCGTGGAGTCAAAATGCCCACCCCTGCACTCACACGAAGTGATATCGAGATCTTGAGAGGTAAGTCGTCGAGAGGTGGATACGGCGGCAGCAACCGTGGTGGACGATATGATCCTGGTGGACATCACCACTTCAGGCAGAATGGAAGGGGCCGGGGCCAAGACTTCGGCCACGGCCGCCCCCAATTGAACTACCAAAGGCAAGGGGACTTGCGCCCCCCACCACAACACCACTTTCAGGGACAGGGCGGCTGGCAGCCACCCCATCCTGGGTCTTCTGGCTTTGGAAGAGGCGTTCCACCGCCACCACCTCCGGCACAACACAATGGGAGCTCCCAGGGCTACTACAATGGTGCTGGCTACGACCGCGGTTCTAGTCAAGGCTATCCGCCGCGAGGTGGGCAGCCTTACCGTGCTGGATGGAATGGTCACCGATAGATCGACTGTATTTTGAATTGGACTACTAGTTACGACCGTGTTACCATGTACGATATGACTGTCTCTATAATACATTTTTCAGTTAATCACGTCAGTCTTCCAGCACCATCAGCTGTGGCGTCTATCAGTCATTGGTAGTGCCTGCAATTGCGGCGTATTCATTTGCGGTAGCAAAGTGCTGGATGAAGAACGTCCGTGTTTCTGCAAGCAGGGCGTTTTTGTTTTTGACTGAGTCTAAATCCAGTGCTCGTCACGTAGCTCAGCATCTCGCGCAAGAAAAGATTCTTGATATGGTCTGGGGCCAGCTGGGCCTTCAAGCTCGGGTATATACCCAAGAGTACATTCATCGAAGGAAACCCAACGCTGCGAGTCAAAGAACTTGTCGTAACTCCCATCCAAGGCGTCATGTAGGTTGGTTACTTCTCCGGAGGGGAAAATCGCCTTCCATGGGTAGCGGCAAGAATCTGCCTTGCAGTTCTTAAGTGTCAGGACCAGAGTATCAAGACGTTTTGTGAGCTGGGCAATGTTATACGGGCTGCATTGAGAGTGTGTGCCGTACAAATTAGTGGTTTGGTAGGGGTCTCTCTGTGTATTGCATCAGTAATTGCGCCAAGGTCCAGCTCTGTCGACCGACGTACCTTCATATTGTACAGCTCATGGTCGCCGTTGCACCAGACGGTATACATGAATTCATACTCTTCAGAGACTATCCGTAGAGTCTTGTACGTGTTTTGACCGAAGTAATCCTCTATATCGGCTGTCAGTACACAGATCAGAACTTGACAGGCGGTGTAGGCCTACTCAGGTTATTAAACGCAGTGCCTTCGATAATGCCCCTTCCCCAGTATTCAATATTTACATGCTCAGTTTTGATCGAATCCGATGTCTGATCAACGGCCCTAACTGGAATGGGTAGCCCATCAAAATCGTCTCGGAGAGGTATACCGGCCAACTGAAGGAAAGTTGGTGCGAGGTCGGTGTGCGAAGTGGGGTAGTCGACTGTCTTGTTTTTGGTGATCCCGGGGCCACGAATAATGAATGGAACATTCACATCTTCCTCAATGCCGCAGGTCTTGCCTGCGGGCAGTCTATGCTGTCCAAGGTGGAATCCGTTGTCAGCAGTATAGATGATGTAGGTGTTGGCTAGAACACTGGGGTGGTCCCGGAGGGCATCAAAGATGTCGTCAACAAGGTCATCGACGGCTTGCAAGGACTGGAGGCGCCTTCTGTGGAAGTTGTCAAGATATTGTACTTGCGAATTGCTCAGTCTAGGAAGATTCTTGAAGTAGCTTGCCGTTCCGGGCTGCATTACAATGTTAGCGACAAGTTTCCGGTTCTCTGTATACATGCAATTTATACCTGAGGAGGGTTGAAATTCTTGTTTCTTGGGACCTGGGCATCCGCAAATAGGTCCTGGTGGCGAGCCGCCGGCACAGGTTCTCTGAAAGTGTCGGTCAATTCTGAATGTGGCGCGATCGGGGCGACCCCAATAAAGAACGGCTTCTGAGTATCAATTCCTTCCTTAAGGAACTCGAGAGATCTCTTTGCAATTAAATCAGTGGAATATTCTCCTGGGAAAGCTTGCCATTTCTTGTTGTCGAGGGTAAAGTAAGCATTATTGTACACATAAGTGTTTGGGTCGAGCAGAACTGAAAGATTTAGCAATGGCCTGTGGATAAGTCTGGGGCGTTTTCCGTACAATCAGACCGGTTCCATCCACTTGGGGGCGGGCTTTGGTACGTTCTGACTCCGAGATTGTTCATCAACTTTCCAGTGTAGTACGTGTTGTAGCCAGCGTCTTGGAGCCAAATAGGGAGGTAGTTGTCATTCAGACCCTGGGAAATAAATTTAGGATAGCCGCCTGAACATCGTTAGTAGTCGAGGTGCACCATAGTAGAAAGAACATTGATTACCCCAGGGCTGTGCATCTGTTAGTTGGAAATAGCACATGCTCTCACGGGTAATGTGTTGGATGCCAATATACCGGCGCAACGTCAGTGACGTTGGTATTATGGGCCGCCTTCCCGGTGAGAAGCGAAACCCTAGAGGGGCAGCAAAGAGAGACGGTGCAGAAATGTTTGGAAAAGGTGGTGCCCTCGTTCCTGATGTGCTTTTTCACGGAGTCCATAAAGTCGATGGAGCCGAGTTGCTGATCCTGATCATCAGTTATGATGAAGATGAAGTTGGGCTTTCCATCAGTTGTTGCTTGCACAGCAGTACCGAGCAGCACAGCGGCCAATGATGGTACAATCAACTTCATGGCGATTGCTAAACTTCTCCGGTTGAGGAATTCGCACCCGATTTCAATAGGGGGTTTTAGAAGCTCTAGACATTTACCCAGCGATCCAGGAGGCAACACTGCATATTTATATATTTATGCATTAACAGGTTTGCTTCGGGGGGGGGCGAGCAATTTACTGCCAAGTCTGTCAATGTACATAGGTAGGTAGTTAGTTAGCAGCCAACTGCCCAGCTTTCGGAGACCGACCAGGGTAACTAACCATCACATTATCCGTATTTCGGCCCAACCAAGGTAGCTATCTGCCCTTCTCGGCCATGTCAACCCCTCATAGTCTACACATGCATGCACTGATTTGCTTAACTGCTCCACCTCAGCAAATGACTTGATCGGCACGAGGAATGACGAATTACAACGGCAACCCAGTACTTGTGTTTTGTTATGTAGTATCAACACTTCGCACAGCGACGGTTTGGATAGTTAGAGCCAGCAAAACCCACATCTTCAAGGCTTAAATGCAAGTACCGTGATACTGTACCTGGTTAGTTTATCAAACTGCCAGGAGAGGTGCCAGGAGAGGGGGAGCCACCGAGAGGGGCAACAAGTGATTGGGTATCGTCGTACGTAATATAATCATTCAGGCATGAATTCAAGGCCGTGCCACGCCGCTCTCGGCCATATCAGTGATGCTCTTCATTGGTGAAGAAGCAGTTGTGGATAAGAAGGGGTCTGGAAATATACATAAATATCACATCGTAGTAAGTTTTTATGTACTGGTACATATCAAATCAGTGAAATGACAACAAGTACAAATTACTAATATTTCCAGTTACCCTACCATGCGATCCACTACAAATCCGTACCTACTAAGGTACCTATAGTGGGGGGTGTACCTAGGTACATACACAAGTGAGGCCTGTTTTTAGACAGGGTACTAGACAGGTCGCTTTTTGATAGATAATTTTCCCCTATCACAACGCTATTAACGTCTTTAACACGGCTTATAAAAAATATAAATGTTTTTTAATACATAGTGGTAACCTGACAGCGTTGTGATAGGGGAAAATTACATATTAAGTAGAAAACGTGTCTAGTGCCCTGTTAGAAAACAGGCCTTACGCGCGTAGGTAGGTACCTAGCCAAACCGTCTTCTACTTCCCCACATCTCACCAGCACTTAAAGAAAGGGCTTCCAGTCGCACGTATTGTTTTGACTACACATACAAGACTCCCGATGTCAAACACAGAGTTGCTTGACCATGCTCGGACAGGACGATCTGGAACGAGTGGCTCGCGGACTCCTCGCAGATGCCGGCTTTGAGCTATTACACTCTGAGCAGCTTCAAGCCCTCTGGGCAGGTAATTTGGGGATTGCCTCCTTGGTTTCAAAATCAAGTTATTCTTAGCAGAGAATGGCTGACATATTGGTGACTAGGCTACGGGTTTATATACGCTGTCGAGGCAAAACGCATAGCGTCTGATTCCATCCCTTCATTGCCAGACGGGTGCTTGTTGGGGGCTGATGGCAGAATACATCTTGTGCTCAAGATAATCTGGCCTCCAGATACGAGTAGCGAGGAAGGGCATCTACGAAAGCTGTTCAGCTATGAAGTGGAACAATATTTCTACGAAGTAATTGCCCCTTCATTGCCGCCAGGGGTGGCAGTGGCCAAGTGTTTGGCCTCAACACGTACTTTCACCCCAGACTTGGCTGGCTCTATGAAAAATGTCACTGCAACTTTAATGACTGATTTGAGAGGGCAATTTCCCATCGCTGGTGAGAAAAGCAGCGACCTGTCTACCGCGCAGGTCTACTCCGCAATCAAATGGCTTGCAGACTTCCATGGCAGCTCCTGGTCAAAGCAAGATTACAACACAATGGACGGGCTTCTCTTACCCCCTATAGAAGAGATGGCGGCTAGAAGAAGTGGTGAGAAATTAGCACCTCGGTCCATCTGGCTCAATGGTGGATATACGTACCTGGCTACAAGGCGGACAGAATATGCCTCGCTGGCCAGCAGTTCTGACTCGGAATGGCCAGAAAGATTCTGTGATTCTGCCGGAGGTATGTCCTCTATTGCTGAAAAGGTCGCGAACTTTCTCGCCCCAAAGGGCCGTCCCTTTGAATCTTTTATACATGGCGATGTCAAATCCGAGAATTCATTTTCTACCGAGTCGGGAGACAGCGTTGCCTTTTTCGATTTCCAATATGTCGGATTAGGCGTTGGAGCCAGCGATCTCGCTAAACTTTTGACTTGCTCTGTTCCTTTGCAAATGCTGATTAGCATGAGTGCATCACTTCCTGATAACATAGCCATGCAGAAGGAGGAGTTGGAACTGCTGAAGCAGTACCATCAACTGCTCACTCAACATGATAGAGGCGACGGTATCAAATACGACTTTTCGGAATTTCGACGTCATTGGGAAACGGCATTGGTTGATTGGTGTCGTTTCCAAGCTTCTTGGGGGTTCTGGGGGAATACGCGTTGGTTGCAAGGGCGTGTTCGATCGATATTGTGCGATGATGGGTGGAGGGGATGGTTAGATCTGCAGGAGTAAATGCATAGCCTCGAAATATCCACAAGACTCCTCACAGTAACACGCCGACTACTTCTGTGTAACATGCAGGGTGAGTAATATTTTGATACACAATTGTGCAGTACAAGCCTGTGCAGCAGATTCTCCCCATTAGACGTGCCATATCATTGATCTTACGTACAGTAGTCTCATCTACGGACTGTATCCTTCCTCTTCTATTGGTTCCCTTGTTCGGGACTCAGGCGTTGACCATGGCGTAGTAGTCAATAGCTCGCGATCCTGGGCGGGCATTGGGGGATGCATCACCCACTGTGCGGTCATATACGGCAGTGAGATGATCTGCATCGCCCATTGTTATCCTAAGATCAGGAATGGAGTTTGGTCGGAGTATCTCGGTCACGACTTGTGCCCATTCCCAGGGCTCTGAGGTACCTCCAGGTTGGCTATTGAAGTATTCCCATCCCATTACACCCCCAATCTGGCCGTACTTGTCGCGGAGAGATATGATAGTGGCATTTAGCTGACTGTAAGGGACGTAACCGTATCCATTGTCGGACGAGGTGAGCTGTCCAGCGACCACCTTTGACACCGTAAAGCCATTGGACACAATTCTAACGTAGTCGTCGGTGCGTGCCATAGTGCCGAACCCACTGTAGAATTGCCCATTGTAGAATGATATATCACGGCCATTACTGGATTCGAGGGATTTGTAGTTGAAGCCGCTGAGATTTCCGCCATTTCTGAGCGCAGATGCGACTGGAGCCAACGTAATGATGAACCCGCGTCCAAAATCTTTGCGTAGTCGGCTGATGAGCCTGGAAATTCCAGACTGGCTCATTGGCTGTTCGACATCCAAATCCATGCCTTGTAGACCAAATGTGTTGATGACGTCTCGGACTTGAGTGTAGTATTCTTCAAAGGTCACAGCGTCTCCGTCGAGGGTCGACGAGTCAAATGAGCCCGGTGCGGCACCTCCAATCATGCCCATGACTTTCACTCCTGCCTTTTTCATGTGCGTCGTCTCATTCCATAGCGTGTAGAAGTGAGGGTCCCCGGGCGGGTAGTCATTCAAGTGAATCTCTGCGTCCCTGTTTATGTGAAGAGAACAGACAATGAGATGGGTAAGGGCTATTCCCTTCTCGTTGATAAGGGGCAGCATAGAAATTGGGTTGCCAGCCTGATCATGCGTGGTCTGAAAGTAGACAATGAGTCTTGGTAGTCCTGGCGTTGTCGTGGGGGTGGCAGAAGCCTTGGCACCGGCTTGCACATTGCTAATCGGGTTGGCCCGTAACAGAGGAGCCAGCAGCGACACGACGGATAACAAGGACCACCGCATTGTGTTTGTTCACTCGGAGCGAGGAGGGCGAGTATAATGAGGCTAGGGCGAGATACTATGGTGGTATGCATGGGGGAGTATAAACTATATATGTCCCATTTCCGCACCACGGTATCAGACCGGGGGTCCTCCGGGGCAGAAGCGGCGGCGCAAGCGGTATGCCGAAGCCGCGGAGAAGGTCAGTCAAGGCTTGGGGTCTTCCTTGGGTCCTACCCTACTTCGACTTTAGCTGTAGACTCGTTTGTGAGAACTTGGAAAGCCCGAGACAACGAACTCCACCACAGCTGCGACCTTCCGAGAATAGATAAAGTCGACAGATAACAAACACATCAATGCTGCAGGATGTCATGGCACATGTCTTTGCGTTTCTCAGTTCCAGGTATGTTCCCGCGATCAGGAATGGCCTTGTCGACTAGTTTGAACAACAACAACTACAACAGCGTGTCTCAGCCATCACGGCCATCACGGTCGTGCATCGCGGCAGATTGAGCGCAGGAGGGTCGTGGGGTTCCAGACATTGCCACTGGCTGGCGAGGACCGATCGGCGGATGCAATACTTGCTGGATCCCCCTCTTTCGGGTTACTATGGCGGCGAGGCTGCTACGCGATGCGTTCACACAAAGGTCTCATGGTACGGGGGTGGCCCAGATCTTGAGGGCGATAATTGGTTGGAGATGGATGTCGGAGAAGTCTAACCCGTTAGGGCAGCAGCTTTTTCTTTTGTGGGGGGGGGGGGGGCGCCTTTTGATAATACCAGCTAGTTACGTAGTCAACAACGCGCGGAGGCTTGGATCTGCTCAGTAATAGTTAGTTGTCACTGGGCTGAATTCTGTGTTCTCCCTCTTGCTTGTGACGCGGCCCGTCTATGCTGTCTTTTATTAACGTTAGTTACATTCAATGGTATTATTGTTCTTGCACCTGTAGCTGCGGATCCTGATACTTCCAATGCAACATGTCTCTGCTCTCAAATGCAGCCACCTTTGGCTTAATCAAATCCAACTAATTTGTACAAATTACCTGACAATTAGTTACTAGTAGCAAACTGATTAGGCCTGGGGGGGCAGCGTCTAACTACCTACCTACCTCCTAGTAGCTGGACGCGCATGCATCCACTCATTAGGTCAGGTGCTAACTATAATTAGTGACGAGAACGGTCCTTCCCGAAGGATGCAAAGAGGTGGTAGTTAGTTTTCGGCTTCTCAAGTCAAAGTCCCGTTCAGTGAGCATATTGTATTGTGCGAGACCGGCAATGCACCGCATGCATCGCATGGCGGGGATTGCACAGCGTCAAATGATAGTCGCACAATATTGACTGCGAGAACCACTAGATTTCCCCGCTGGCCGAACCTGACTTTGACCTGCAAGTATCGAAAGCCAAGGCGCCTACATCGTGCGCAACTTACAAGTAAGAATGACACACATTCACGGAGTGACCCACGAAAGGAAACACCAGCAGACCACGCGTAACGAGACAGACAGTACGCAGGGAAACGCCAAGCGAAGTGAGAGAACACATATAGGTAGGCAGCCTTCATATTCTATTGCCATCTCGAGATCGGGGTTCACCACGGAAAAGAGGCTACAAACCTCGTCCACGACAACGTGACGGTCTAGTTAACTAACTACAAGAGACATCGCTGTACGGGTGCGGCCTGGTTTTCGGGTGTCCCAACACATGTGCAATACAAGAGATAGCCAAAAAGGGCTAAGCACCTCGTTGAGACGTGTCGCAAGAGATGAGATGAGATGAATTGCCTCAAGAATATGCTCGAGGACGAAGACGGACATGGTGACCGATTTGCCTCGAAAGAGAGCTTACCTACCCCTGACTCCCTCTCTGTACCGGAGGGTGGGCGTATGGGAATTGAAACCAACAGACACATTCATTTAAGTCAGGCCTGAATACACAATGCCAAGCAAGACACCTTTCACGCCCCTTTGGGTGTGGAGTCATCAAGATTCGATTCAGCCCAAGAGTTACTCAGGTATGGGAGACAGTTGCCCTGTTGTATCGATGATCTATATCTCTCCAATGACCGCTTCCATCCGCTGCCCGCTCTCTCCACTCGGTGACCTCAATCATTGCCAGCCAGGCAACTTAAGAGGCAACACTTCTTTTCATGCGCTGAACAAATTTAATCAACCTTTGCGGCTCGCACATGGCCAGTGAGCGAGAATCCTTCTTCACCCTCGCTGGGCGCTATTGGCCTTACAGCCTGTGCCGAGAAGATGCCATCGCGGCCCAGATGTACGCCTTAAACTTGAGTTATAACAAACCGATTGTCACAGCTGCTGGTCGGTATCCTGCTACGATGGATCTAACGACATGAGAGAGCAAGCATGACATTTTACTTCTTAGAGTACCTAGGTACCTACACTAAAAGGTTCTTTCACTCGCAAGACAAGATGCTGTATGTAGGCTGGTCTGAATGATGGTGTTTTCTTGGGGCGCCTTCGTCTAAAAAAAAAGCTGGTCAGAAGTGGGCGGCGGGGGGGTTAAGACGCACCAACTATGACGAAAACTGCCGTACTATTCACAAATTCCACAGTTAGTGGAAAGATGTATGTCGTTGATATAGTAGAACGTTCTTTGTGTATTTATTTTTTTATATGTATATATATCCATATAGCTAAAAAGAAATAACCCGGTTTTAGTAAGGATCCGCTATTTAAAAAAACAACGAAAACGGCGCGACGACACGCTAGGTAGGGACCCATAAAATCTAGAATACCCTCGACCTAGAAAGTAAAAAGGGCGAGATGACTGTCTGTCGCCGTATTGTGAAAGGAAAAAAAAAGCCGTGAAGGACCAAAAAGTAGACGCAAGATAAGAAAAGCACTAGGCGAGGATGACTATTTATTTGAAATTTTATTATAGGAATAAGATACTTGGTAAACGATATTAATGGTAGCTTGCACGGCCGTTTTATATCTATTCATGTCGGTACCTTAACGCTATTAACCAGCGATAAAAAAAAAGCATTAAAAGGTAAACTACGGATAATCCATCTAGGTACATACCGCAAAATAACAACATATCTATATATGTGATCTTGCTGTATTTACGACGATAAATAAAGCCTATTTATCCCGGATATTCATATTCGAGCAACGCCGATAGTTATTATAGCTCTTTATTCAACCCACCAAATTTCTTTACCTAAGTTCCTTGTCTACCACACCGTGTTAATCGCTTGAAACGCTAGGCGGGGTAATGCGCCATGTATGGACACACCACCCCCAGTCACCACAAACTCATGATACATCATCCAAATGTCACTAGCTAAAGTCGATATGCAATTACGATGAGTGGCGACGCAGGACTGGTGGGCTATCTTGTCGATAGAATCGCTGCCAAGGTAAGATCCGATACAAACTTCGCCATGGCTTCGTTATGCTGACTCGTTGGAGCTGCCCCATTGTGTGGGAGCAAGTGGTGCGCGGCCTGACGACGACGAAGTTGTACAAACAACGCAAGCCACCCTCATCAAGCTCAGCAAAACGACAGCTGGGGTCGTAATTGACTCGCTGCTTGACCTTCTAGAAGATTTGTCTCGGCCTTTTGCAAAAATCGCTACCCATCCGAGCCACATTCTTCAGTCTGAGCTCTATGTTCTGAGCCTTGTATCAGCATGTTGCTCTGCGAACTGGTCAGCCAGAAAGAAGGGAGGACTACTGCCAGAGAAACTGGGAGAGAGGGTCGTCGTTCGACTCTTCGAGGTGTTCAAATCTGTTCTGGAGCCTATACCAGATGATTATGTACTGCCCGCCCAAACACTTCTGGATCAGACATCCGTGGCCAACATCACAATTCCACGGCCCGGCAGAGGATCAGCAGCTGGATCAACAATTCGTTTCACGGATGGCCCCGAATCTTTAGATTTTCAGCTGGTTGAAATTGACAGACATGTCAAGGTCATCGTGGAGTACATGTCTGTCTCAAGCTGGACAGTGACATTTAGCTACATCCGCAGTGTCATTCACACTGTACGCTCTGCAACAGGAGACTCTCATATGGATACAGCGAAAAATATTCAGCAACATGATCGTGGTGCTTTGATCATTCTAAGACTGCTGTCCTTTTGCTGGGTTGACGGGTCGAAGCTCGGGCTTCTCATCCAGGAGCTTTGTTCCAGCTACCTTCACTTCAGAGGGCCATACCAAAACACTGTGGCGGTGGCGATACCTCTTCTCATAACGCGATGGATAGACAGATATCCCGATGAGTTCGTAATGCTCCATCGGCTTCACAAGAGGTTGGACGGTGGCGCTGATACCTTGTTCGATATGACACAAACGGCTACAGAAACAGGCAGGCGGAGAGTATATCTATTTCCTCTCCAGACGACGCTATTATTTCTAATGCCGGATGTTTTTGAGGTGGCCAGCAACTTGCGGGAAACTAAAGGCCACAGCGTCATTAAGAAAGTCTCCTTTCTTGACAGCCTGCGGAAGGCTCTCAGGAATGGCAACGAGCAGGCAGGGTACTGCCTTGTCTCTCTTCTTCGAGTTGCTCGGCATTTTGATGTCGAAAGTGACTCGGCACTTGTTAGCTACGCGATGGACGTACAAGACGAGGTGCGAGATGCTATCTTTCGTCCCTCCCTCGCCTCTGCCACTGCTCTACCGGTCTGGGACCAGAGTATGATCACTGCGGCACTGGTGAGCCTATCTTATTTAAATCTGGATGGCTGCGTGTACAATCTTTATGGTGGTTGTGTAGCATCCTCTGCTCCAGACGGATTCAAGCTTGCCATGATCCAGGCTTGCTGTTACTTTGCCCAACTGCCTGACCCAGAGAAGTATAAAGACCTCTTCGAGAAATCCATCCCCTTGATGAGAAAACAACTAGAGGTATGGTGAATAGCGCCTAAATCTGCGGATACGCGTACTGATGAGTCTGTAGACCGAAGCGCATCTTCATCACGACAAAAAGCACCGTGACCAAGAAAGGACCAAGACGAGAATGATCTGCAGTATTATGAAATTCCTGAGTATAGATCAATCACCTATTATTGGAGAGCTCTCTGGGACAACATCGGACTCCTCATTCTTTAAGACTCTACTACTCTGTGCCGTCTCCGCCGAGCCTGCCGTTCGCCAACATGCCGCCGAGGTCATCGAGAGGCTGCATGCTGACCTCCCAATTCTGCTGAGTGAATTCGACAGCAGAGAAGAACCAGATATGGTTGAAATACGGAGGAGCGTTTGGATCCGCAGGTACGACTGCGAGAATACTGTTCAGTACCCGTACACTGCTGACAGAACTCTGAGCAGCTCGACTATTTTACTTCGGCTTAGCGACTGCCTTGTAGATGGAAACGACCAATCGGCTCTTGCCCAGATTTATCATTATCTGAAAGATCGGCTGATACTTCTGCGGAAGCTCCCGGTACGTTGCCCTGTTCTACCAGGGCTCTCTCTCATTGCCACTAACATTGTCTCTCATAGGGGCTTTCGCATGTACCTAGCGGCGATTCAGACTCGGTTGCGAGCATATCGAAATTGGAAACTGCACTTTTGGTATCCTTGTGCTTCCCAGGTATCGAAGACTGTGAGATCGCCGCCTCTTGTCTCAACATCTTGGTAGAAGAGTGTCGATGGGTGGATAGTCATTCCGAATCCGTGAACTCTTGCTCAGCGATCCTCCGAAACGCCGATACATTCCAGGAGATATCCTCTCCTACCTTCCGGGTGACTGGGCTTGTGGCTTTTCAGAAGAGAACAAGGAGCCTTCTTCGCCAGATAAAATATCCGACTGCGGGCATCATTCGTGCGTGGGAGGCAGCATTTGATACCTGGCTAAACCTGAGCAAACAAGTGTCGGTTACATCTGCTGACGCTACAGAGGCCATGACACTCTCGCAGTGGCGGGATCTGGGTGGTTTTCTAGCTTCGATGGGGGGGATTTGCACAGCTCAGCAGGCAGTCGCCTTGGAAGAGCCTGCATTAAACGTGTTGCCGTGGATTGACCTTCATCCCCCCGGCGAGGACCAAGAGACGCTTCTGGCACGATATCTTCACCTGGGCGTCCAGCTTATGGGCTGTACAAACGTCAAAGTGCGAGAAACCATACGAGACATTTTTACACACGAAGTGCCCACCTGCCTGTATCGGCCTCTATTCAAGTCACTGGAGTCTGAAGTAGAGGCTTTCTTCACCGGAGCCTTTACTCCCGATGCAGAACGCGCACAGGATAGAGGAATCATCTTTGCCGAACAAGCTGTCTCCCTGCTGAAAGACATGGTAGAGCGGCTCGACACCCCCCAGGACCTTGCTGCCGCTCCTTCTGTGCATCTGGGTTCGCTGACTCTTGCTTTTGCTAAATTCATTGGCGATCACAATGAGACGGGAACGTCGCTGCGCGTTAAAATTCGCATTTGCCAGTTATCTGAAGCAGTGATGCACCGCAAAGAGCACCTCAATCTCCGAGATGACGTTGTCATCCGCAACCAGCTTCTGGAATACATCATTGGATGGATCCGCCCCCCCGGAGCCTCTCTAGATTCAGGCCGAGGAACGTCCAGGCTGGAGGAGCTTGAGCGGATGCAGAGAGATCTCACTAGAGCCTGTTTAAAGGCACTGTCTGACCTGACTTTTAGATTACCACTGCAGACGCTGGATATACAGTCGGATGCTGGCATGAGCGCGAAGAAATCAGAACTATTTCAGCGCTACTTTAAACGCTTTCTGGATCTCATCAGTACAGGGCAATCGGATGTCGCCTCCGAGCCAATAGACGGCCTTCCTAGCTCCGAGATGGCAATTACCATATTGTCTAATCTCCTCAGTGCAAATATCGACATCGGCCTGAAGCATGCGCTCTCTCATGGCTACCATGACAGTGTCGAAGTCAGGACTGTATTTGTCAAAGTGTTGTATAATATCCTCACGCAGGGAACAGAATTCAGCAATCTGTCTGATTCCGCCGTGAGCGAAAGATACGAAGAACTTCTTGGAGTAGGTATTCCACGCCGGCCCGCTACATAAGACGCTAATTGGTAAATTTCAGCTTCTTACGAAAGATCTATCGCTGGCCGTGTCAATGAGCTCAATCTGCCCTAGCGCAGAGATAGACGAGTTAACCGTGTGTCTCTTGATAGTCTTTGAGCAAAGAGGCCGCACGTTTGAGCTCCTGGAAGCTTTGATAAAAGAAGAAATAGAACAAACAGGTAATTCGGATGCACGGAATCGAGTTCGTCTTGTTGCTGACATGACTAGAACATGCGACTGAAATTCTGAGGAGAAGTTGCGTGGCCACCAAGATGCTGTCGCTATACGCCAAGTGGAAGGGCTTCGAGTACCTTCAGGGGACGTTGCAAAAGATTCTAGACAGGCTTATGATGACCTCGCAGGAGCTGGATCTGGAGCTCGATCCGGCTAGGGTCTCTTCCGCAGAAGAGCTCAAGAAGAACGCCGCGCAGCTCCAGATAGTAACCAAGGTGTTTATGGACGAAATTTGCGCCTCGGCACCGAACATTCCGCCGTCTTTTCGAAAGATTTGCAGCATTGTACGTTGGCCACCAATGCATCGGTATCTTTACTCCGTGTATAGCAAGCTCACACACACACAGATCCATGATGCTGTATTGCCAAGATTCCCGGACGCCAAATACACTGCCGTAGGTGCCTTCGTTTTCTTGCGCTTCTTCTGCCCAGCAATAGTGGCACCAGAAGCAGAGGGTCTCATCGACGCACCGCCAACAAAGGAGCTGCGTCGAGGGCTCTTACTTATCGCCAAGGTCATCCAGAACCTTGCCAACAATGTTCTGTTCGGCACCAAAGAGCCGTACATGTTCCCGCTGAATAAGTTCCTGGTCGTGAATATCTCGGTTGTGACCGGCTTCCTTCGCGCCATAGCTGTGAGTTACTCATTGTTCTTGTGCCTGCCCTGGCTATGCTGACTCGAAGCTACGACAGGTGCCCCCAGCCTCGCTAGATCTTACCGTCACGAAAGAGACGACCGACTTCGGCTCCTGCGTGTCCTTCCACCGTTTCTTATACGACCACTGGGACCACCTTCGCCAGACCTTGGTTGCCAGAGAGCGCCGAGAATATCTTCGCCTCCAGGACAGCTCGCCGCGTAGCCACTCTCCTGTCTTTGAGCCTTTGCGTAATTTGATCACGAACCTTGGCCCGCCGCCTCTCGCGATATCCTGGAACAGGCCACAGATTGCCGTGAATCAGCCGCCGCTTTACTCGCGCTTTCAGAACTTCATGCTACGCAATGCCTTCCGCAGCACCGAGTCATTTTTGACATCGCGTACTATATTTGACGGCGGCGTCACGCAGGCGAGTTGATGAGTAGGGACATGATGAGTGACCAATCGCTAACTGTTTCCAGGATGGCTTGTCGACAATACTCATCATTCTCCGTTACAGCGAGACGGAAGGCATTGACCACGAAACACTGCTGCACTGCTTTTTAAAGGTGAGACTGGTGAACTGACCGTTGCAAGTAGCCAAGTCTTCTGTGAACTAACCTGCGGCAGATCGCAAGTAGGCTGTGGCATGAACCCTTTAGCGTACTCATCGATGCAACTTGCTATAGCGGCAAGAATGACCCCAAAGACGAATTCTTCAAAATGCTTGATCTTCTTATGCCCTATGAGGTGTTGCAGAATCTTTCTCGTATCTACATCTACAACATGAATAGTGCCTTCAAGTACGCAGACGCGATAGCAGCAGAGTGCGGACTTGGCTAACTGGTGGTCTAGGCGATGCTTCCGACGACTCCTGAGGATCGTAACCAAGAATGAATTAAGCGCCTTTCACCCGAATAATGTCAAGTACCTGCTTTTTGGAAGTCTCGACGACGTGCGTCATAGCTTTTTTATCAACTCACTCCAAGTTCCCAAAGAACACTCGGCGATCGTCTCCGATATACGGTACGTTTGTCACCATGCTACCCGCTTGTCTAAATCAAAGGGCAAGGTGGATGTTATCATCAAAGTTGGCAGCCATCACGTACAGGTGACGACCAGCAAGCACCAGGAAATCTTCTCTAGCCTGCGACTGAGCTCGACAATCAACGACATTTTCCGCCTCGGCGACATTGATGAAGCGGCGACGGCGATCCCGAGTGAGGATGGGAATTCCTTTGGACTGCGTGCTGATGGCGGACGTATCGTCATGTGCTTCACGAGCAATGACAAGGCCAAAATTCTGCACGCCATCCGGAGCGCCAAGGCTAGGAATAGTAAAGACAGCCGGATGCACAAGCCCGTGGAGCGGTTGCTCCGCCCTCAAGATGTTCCTGGTACGCTGTTGAACCTGGCGTTCATGAACCTGTCAAGCCTCGACCACCAGCTTCGATTGGCTTCCTACAACCTCCTCGGTGCGCTTTGCATCACATTCAAGTTTCGTACAGCCACAAGACTCGTCTGCTCCCGAGGTAAGAAACGACGATTCGGGAAAGGAAGCACCCGTAGCTCCCTAGACTGACCATGACCCCAGATCTCTCAATTCCCATCGACCCCACCCGCTTCATTGTGAGCATAAGTCGAGAGCTTGCCGCTTCGGAGCCTCAGCTCACGTGTGATTTTTTGTCTGAGTTCATCGCGAGCTGGGAGACGTTTACGGAGGAACAAAAACCACTGAGCCTGGCGTACATGGCGCCCTGGCTGTCTGGCCTGCGAAGAGATGTGCTCACGGGCGAAGTTGATGGTGAGAAGGGCAAGGAAAAAGTGGCCGCTATCTTCCGCAAGTTTATTGACCTGATCGCACTGGACCAGTCTCTGAGCTATGCGCTGGAGCAATTTGTCTGGCCCTCGCTTGGCCAGGACGAAGTGCTGCTTGACATCTTCCTCGAGGAGGTCATGAAGATGGCCATTGGATTTGGCACGCAGCAAGAAATTGTCGAAACAGTGGCGTCCACAGTTTCCAACATTGGAACGGTGACACTACGCGCACGGTTTCTGTCAAGGCTGCGAAAGGCGTTGAATCGTTCGTCGCTGCGACCAACGAAGAACCTACCTGACAACGTAGTTTGGCCAGAGATCTGTATCATGCTGCAGATATGCACCTCATTGTCTTTTGGCAGCGGCGTGCAGTCCCAGCTCTTCCTGCCCGAGATATTTCACATCGTCACCATGTTGGTGAACACCGGCGGCGCCAACGTCAGGGTCCAGGTGCACAGGTTGCTCACCAACACGGTCCACGCCATCTGCACATCATTTCTCTTGGACGAATCCAAGTTTACAAAGCTACGTGCATCCCTCGACGTGCTGTCCGAGCCCCGGAGCGGCATCTTCTCTTCGCCGCCTTCTGGAAGGCAGGACGCGGCCTCAGCGTCACTCGTTGGAGATGAAGGATCTATGCTCCCAGCCATGGAGAATCTTGTGGCTATTCTGTTTGATATATGCACTGTGGCAGCGCCGTCCGTCGACACGGCCAACGCCTGGCGGTCGCGCTGGATGAGCTTGGTGGCGAGCACCGCGTTTCAGAATAATCCGGCTGTACAGCCTCGCGCCTTTGCCGTCATGGGCTACCTGGCCAAGGAGGAGGTGGACGATGACCTGCTCTACCAGGTCCTGGTTGCGCTGCGCAACAGCGTGAGCCAATTTGGTGAAGATGGTCACAGCGAGATGCTCACGTCCATCATCACCTGCCTGTCTCGGATGATGGCCAACCTTCCGTCCGCGTCCCGATACGGGCTGCAGCTGTTCTGGCTGGCCATGTCCCTCATCCGGCTCGTTCCCGGCAGCCTTTTCAACTGCACAGCCCAGTTCCTGGAGGCGCTCCTGATTAACATCGGCAACATCGGCGGTGTGCGTGGCGACAAGATGATCCCGATGCTACTGCACAGCCGCAGCCAGCTAGACGAGGCTGTGGAGCCACTGGATGAGGCCTATGGTATTCATTTCGACGAGGATAACTTCCACTTTGCCGTGTGTGCGTGCCTAGTTCGTGGTTTGACGGACAATACGACCCGCCTAGCCGCCGTGCGGGTGCTCTGGTCGTTCCTGGAAATGACGGCACCGGCGTCGCAACTTTCGGCAAAGCTCATTCACACCATGGTCGACTCGCCCTATCTGGCGCTCATGCTCGCCCGTTGCGTTGACCAAGACAACTTCCGCGACAACATGTGGCTAGCAGGCATCAACCCAGACGGGATCAGCGGCATGCTAGAAGGCAGTCGCCGTCGCCACGCCGAAGTGATGGAAGATAGAGACCTGCTACTCATATCCGTGATCGAGCTGGTGGATTTTCAATATCTGGAAGATACCGTCCAGGCAAGGACGCTGCTGTGGCTCAACGACCTGGCATTGTCAAGACGAACTGTCTTTGCCTACCTGTGATTACCCATATCTACAATACTCATTTTCTGGTACTGTACTAACGATGGCTAGGTGCGGCGCAATGCCGTCCATTCTCAATGACGTACTCATGCACGGGCAGGATTCTGCAGCCCTCGAGGCAGCACACACACTTGTGCGGACACTAACCTCGGAGAGGGAATACGCAAGCGCTACGGGGTCCATGGAGTCGCTGGAAGAGGCGCTCGAGGAGATGGGCTTTCGTGGTTTGTGGAAATTGTCGTTCCAAGGGATGGCGGAAGAAAACAGGGCAGAGTGCTTCGAACTGACCGAGAAGTTGATTGAGGTGAGTTCACTACCTCGCTGCGTGTGTAAATATGCTTACAAAATCCGCCTAGCTTATTGTGATTTGAGATGGGAACAATGTCAGATGTGTGAGCGAAAACAAAATAAACCCCCTTGGGGATCAAGACCAGAAACAACGCAAAAGAACGTTGGCGGAAGGAGAACGCGGCTTGAGAACTATAACTAGGCTGACAGGTATAATAGTCCATGCGAGGGTAAAGAAAATAGCGATAATACTCAAGTCTCGATAATTCGTGTACTAGGTCAGCTGGTTGATACGCATTTCTTTTCTAGGGAAAAAAGTATTGCCATATCTCATATACTCAGATATTGTGGTGCTGATGCCTGGTGCAATCGCTCAACAGTCACCAAAAACGCCATCTGCGAGCTGTTGGTACTTGATGGCCCGTGCCAGCCAATGGTTGGCATACATTCCTCGTTCATTTCCCTTCTCTTTCTTCATCATCTTTTGTTTTGCCAGTGATTGAAATCAGTCCAGCCCCCCTTGAAGAAACCCACCCCCATCCTCGACGAAACATGCCGGCGAGCCTCCCAGCTGCTTGGACTTTTCTCCGCGGAACCCTTTGCAATGGGAAAGATCCCGAGACCCCATTTTGTACCTAGTGACGGGAGCAGTACCTCCGAATGGAATTATTCGGGCCCCAGATATGCCACGCACGTACTACACCTCGCGAGCCTCCGTCTCAGCCCCCGTGCCGGCCAAACACAAAAGCTGTGACCCGCTGACCACGAGTACCCCCAAAAATATTTGGCCTGTATGGTGCTAGCTTCTTGGGTATTACAATTCCTAGCGTTTTGCGCCTTAATGTAGTCAATGCAAGAAGCTCTTAGTGTCGAGTGACAAACCAAGGGTTCCTGTGCTGTTCCGGCCGATGTGGCTTTGGTAGCCGCTGGGAGAAATTGCACGAATCGCTGGGCCCTGAGCCCATATCCAAATTATTCTGAAGTTGCCTCTCATTACTAAAAACACCCTTCCATCCAGTATCAGACGCTAACTTTGCCTTCCAAGCAAGTCAGTGTGAGAGCCCATACAATTGCCCACAGGGTCGTACATGTGTATGTTGCCTACAAAGTGTCTTTACCCCGCCCTACGAGACTAATTTCTACACCATTTCAACATGACAGAGAGTAAGCAGTTACAGAGATGGTTGAAATCTCGTCCATCTTCGGTAGAAACGACGCAGCCGCAGAGCTCTGCCGCCGCGACAACCTCATCATCAGCGCCTGCAGCGATGACGCACTGCAGACGCTATACTATATCAGACTACAACAAATCAAGGGATGGGAGCGTCCCGATGGCAAATTTAACCCTAGCTAGCCGGTTCTCGAGGGAGGGTGTGGCTGAAGAAGAGGTGTACGCCATGAACCAGATGAATGGCTCAGACGTGCCGTTTGCTGGAAACTGCGTCCTCCAATACACAGAGCGGCAAACAAACACCGTTTCAGGATATGCGCAGTCTCACACGAACGACCATGTATTCGCAAATGATAGGTCTCCAAGCGCATCCGAAATGGAGAGTATGTCGGCCTTCCTCAACCCGCTGTCTGAAACCATGTGATGTGACTGACTAATTATGATAGCCAATGCTCTCGCAAAGGACGAATGCCAATTTTCCGAGTGCTCAGCTTGTCCTCAGAACTGGGATCAACTTCTCTGAGGTGCAGCAGTATCCCAGACACACGCGATCGTTAGCCCTGGGCTCTGGGCCCTCGACAGTTTGTCAGTGCAAACCCCAGGCGTGGCAGATCACAACGTCCCAGTCTATTTAATTTCTCCCGAATACTACTTTGCCACAGTAGCTTCTTCCACTACGCTGCAAAAGGGGAGCTTTGGGGGGAGGAGGTGGAAGATTGTGGCAAACGTAGTTACAACTACAAAGCGCACTCGGAAACGCATGACCAACGGCGGGAATACCCGTTCCACTGCGAAGTCAGTGGCTGCGACAAGAAGTTCAATCGGAAGACAGATCTTCATCGACATCATCAAAGTGTGCACATGAAGGAACGTAACCATGGATGCACGTTTTGCGGTCGTCTCTTTGCACGCAAGGACACGTTACGAAGGTGAGCCGTTGCCCCGCGCGGCCGAGTTGCGATGAGCACCACTAACCAGTCTACGAAGGCACATGGAAGATGGATGCCCTAAAAGCTCGATATCGAGATGATAAATCTTGACTATAGCCCCACTGAGTTGACTTGATTATAGCGACCAGACTCAGGAAAGCATTGTCATGAAGCAAAGCGGCTCCACGACAATGCAAGGGGCAGTTTGCAGTGGCCAAACGCGCACAGGTGGCTAGGAGCTACGGGAAATTACTCTTTCCAACATTGGCACAGATGGATGGAGGGTATTTCTGGCGCTTCTGAGACTGATCCCTAACACATCTTAGGGCTCTGTCTACGCCGCGGTGGACTACCAGAGTCGATCATGTTCCCCCAAAGTTTCCTTTAGACAGACCTCCCATACGCCCCCATGGTCTATGCCCTTTAAGACTTCTGATATGCTTCATGTCGGTGATCGTACTCTTAGTCCTCCGGCGAAGTAAGGAATATATATATTACACGCTAATTGCTATAAATAGCCTATATATTTAGTATCTCTACTCTAGAAGAACCACATAACCCAATACCAGTGCACCACAGGGGCCAAGCACGGAAGAGAGATAAGATACGGAAGATAGGTACAATAGAGAAGAGGGGAGAGATCAGTAAATGGAGGAGATAAAAGACATGGGATCCTTTTTTGTATAAGATAGAAAACCACAATTCGTAAAAGGAATGGTATAGTGTCACTCTATGATAATAAATGCGTTACAGTACATAGCCCTGGCTAGTAATAGATTCACTTAATTATGAATAGTGGTCCTCCCAAGACTAGGCCATACCCTTAGCCAGCGTCCAGAAATTTTCCAATTTTGCCCTGGATAAAGCATCACGAGCCTCCGCGTCCGTCTCGCATACCTTGCTACCCCACTTGCGGAAACCGCGAGCTTTCTGCTCACCCTCCCATACCAGCGTGCACCGATTCAGCGACATATCCTTGAGTTCGCCTTTTGCGTCTTCTGCCAGAAGCCAGTCGCGTGTAGCATCCTTTCCATCCCTATCTCTAGATGGCGCATTTTCAGTCCAATCAATGCGGTTGAGCATGAGCTTTTTGTATTTAGAAATCGCCCAAGCACCGCCCTCGACAACCAGCAGGTTGAATTTCGGGTGCATGATGCAAGTGCCAGTCAAATAATACTGCTCTGCGTTGACACCAATCTTGTAGCGATGCTGCCCATTTGCCAGGCTGTTGATCTTCAAGACTAGGACGTGTACGCCCTTTTCGAGGTCCTTTTGCTGATTTGCGACAAGCTTGTCATGTTTTTGGTCTTTGTTTAATTTTCGTTCTTCGTTTGTGTCAACGTGCTTCTGGTGGCGCTCGGCGATTTCTCGATTGACGCGAGCTTCTACAGCGGTGGGATCCTTGACAGCAACTGTCGCAACATTAGTGATTGAGAAAAAAAATCGGGGATTGCAAACGTACCGTCTCCGAGAACGCGCATCAGGTTGCCTTTCTTCACTTTGGGGGGGGGGGCCGGCACTAGGCCTAACCTGATCTTGGCTTGCATCTCCTTCCCTTCTGCCATTCGCCGTTGTCTTCTGATCTTGGCTTGCTCTTTAGACGTCAGATACATGGCCTTCGGTGCGGGAGCCAAGCGGTCTTGTGGCGGCTCCAGCGGAACGGGGTGCTGGACATATTCCGTGATGATGCTGTCCGGGGAAGCGATCTTCAGCCTGTCGGCCAGTTCAATTATATCGTAAGAGTCCCCATCTATGAGGCCCTCGTCCCACCACTCAACGAGAGGCGGCTCTTCCACTAGGAAGTTCTTCTCAGTATCCAGATCCTCGTCTATGCCAGCCTTTCTTGTCTGCTCGGCGATGCGCTTCTTCATCGCCTCGAGCGCCTCTTGCCGCCTGAGGGCGTTGGCCTGTTGAATATATTTGCCCTTTTGATTGAAGACGAGGCGTTTGGGCTCGCGAGTTCGGCTGCTATACGGCTGCACCGCCGCAGACTCGTCAATGTATGGGTTGTGCTGGCCGGTATTTGACCCTGCGCTGCCTCTGACTGTGGCCGCAGGCGCTTCTTTGGAGCCGTAAGGCGTATTCCTTCCCGTGTTTGACAATCTCCTCTCCTTGCCTTGGGGCTTCCATGATCCCAAGTCTTCGAGCGCTGGGTGCAGACCAACATTTAAGCCGCCTTTCGCTTTGCTGGTTGCGGTCGCAGCCGCAACCCGAGCCTTCAGCGCCGCCAAGCGGTCTGAAGCTGATTCTGGTTTCTGTATTCTGAGAGAAGATTCATGTCGCGGACCAAGTCCCAGTGATTGCGATTGGCGCTCCATGCTCTGCTTCGCCGGGTGAGTTTGGTCGAACGGAGCCTCGTTGCCGAGTCGGGTTCTTATTCGAAGCGGGCAGCAGGCCCCTCGCCGCTTCTTTCGACGTAAGATCTGACTTTGATATATCGATCGCGAGCGCATATACTGTACAAAATTTCGGTAGTGGCAAATCGAGTAATGTGAATAAAGGCAGGGGAGTGAGTGGGATGTTCGTCATCATCAAAAATTTGCTTGTCGCGCGCGATCCAGGAGTGGACGAGCTACAGTGGGTCTAACCAGCTCACTCCACCACAGAAAGGTTATAATGGTGCGCTTCTCTTGTACTCAAATATGAGCCCTTCAAATATAGGCAACATGGCTACGTCACGGTTCTATTGGGTAATCTCTCTGTCTGTTCACACATCGCAAATACCCCTCTCTGTATTTTCTCACAAGGTCTCCAGCTCCCTGATGAGGAGGCCAAGCAATATCATCCATCGCACGTAGCTCGCGATGACGCTAGCTGGACAAAGGAGGGCGCAGGGGTGTTTTACGAGAAGCATTTCTGATTTGGATAAAAGAAATTAGCATATTGGCGCCTTTATACCTTTAAACATATGGTATTAGAGGGCTCCCAACATTGCAAACGGGCTGACATTTCTGTACATGGCTAGAAACGGTCGCTATTGGCATCGCAGAAAACATCCCGCGCAGGTACCTACTACCTGGTACATACCTATGTACCTATGTACCTATGTACCTGGAGCCAATTACTCCGCGTTTTCATCGACTGACGTGCCTTTTTTCGTGCATCGTGTTCTGCTCTCGCAAAGATGACGACTCCGAAGATCACTGTCTACCTCGATGTTGTGAGCCCGTTCGCTTACATGGCTTATTATCTCCTACGTGTTATGTCTGCCACAGCCTGTTCACGCAGCCTCTGCTAACGTTGTCTCTAGCATGATGTCAGCTTCGCAAAATGTGAAGTAACGTATGTCCCAATTCTGCTTGGGGGGTTGATGAATCTATGCAATAATACCGCTCCAATCACCATTACGAGTAAGTAACAACTGATGCAGGCGTTGACACTTCACTCCTGTGAGGGTGTGCTTATTAACATGCGACAAGACAAAAAGGATTGGATCAACCAGAATCGACGGCTTTGGGCACGAACATTTAACATACCGATGAAGAACGACTTTCCGCCAAATTTTCCACCAAGAACACTCTCCGTAATGCGGCACCTTGTCGCCATCCAGGAATTGGATGGTAGCAACCAGGCTCGATTGCTCGAAGCGTTTGACGCAATCTACGATGGCTTGTGGCAGAGACACGAGGAGACTTACAGCCCAGATATGTTTATGCCAATCTTGCGCCGTATCTTGGGGGAGACCGGTGCCGCAAAAATCGCCAACATGGCCGGGAAAGAGGCTAAGAAAGCGCTGCTCCGGAACACCGAGGACGCATTCAATGATGGTGCCTTTGGCCTGCCTTGGATGGTCTGCACAAACAGCCAGGGCCAGAAGCAGTCATTTTGGGGAGTGGACCATGTATGCCAGGTCGCGAACTTTTTGGGCATACCGCAGCCGGCTTCGCCCGGATGGAGAGCTGCCTTGTAATGACAAGTAGTTTCCTATCGAACCCAAATTCGTGGTGATGAATCACAGACAGGCACAATGTCATTAGCATCATCATGTATGCTGTTGTTTAACCTGTCAGAATAAATCATTGTACCACAAAGACTTAGCCAGTGATTCAACTACCTATGATACATACGACTTGGTGATGCCAACGGCCAGCGCGTGGCCCCAGTGATGTGCACTGCATACTAAGGTCTTGCTCCAATACGCGCCCGCTTGGGGGGGCTGCATGTTGCGTCGCGCATTCGACAGTTCGTGGAACATGTGACATCGCACGCACATTTTTTTTTTAAAAAAAAAGTGTCACTGTTGAGAGGGGCATTGTAGTTACTTAAGGCAAGGTCCATTGAAGTCCCGCAGCTTTCACCGGCTGCCCGTGGCTTAATATACATCCCAACTGTAAAGCAAGTTCTCGTAGTAACGCCATGATTAACCCCCTAAAGATCCATGTTTCCCGTCGTATCAAAGCAATGTCATAATCTGTGCGCCAGGTGATACCCAATCTTAGTTGCGCTCACCGCGGAGGCGACGGGCAAGCTGGATGTCCTTGGGCTGGATGGTGACGCGCTTGGCGTGAATGGCGCACAGGTTGGTGTCCTCGAAGAGGGAAACGAGGTAAGACTCGACAGACTCCTGGAGAGCGCCGATGGCAGAAGACTGGAAGCGGAGATCGCTCTTGAAGTCCTGCGCGATTTCGCGGACCTGTTTGTTGTTGTTAGAGAAGGGCGTGGTTGCAGTTGTTAAATGCGCAATGGATGCTTACCAGGCGCTGGAAGGGGAGTTTGCGGATCAGGAGCTCGGTGGACTTCTGGTAGCGACGAATCTCACGGAGAGCGACGGTACCAGGCTTATAACGGTGAGGCTTCTTGACGCCACCGGTGGAGGGGGCGCTCTTGCGGGCAGCCTTGGAGGCAAGCTGCTTGCGAGGAGCCTTGCCACCAGTGGACTTTCTAGCGGTTTGCTTGGTGCGAGCCATCGTAGGTGATATTGAGAGTGTTGTGTTGTGGGTATGTGCTCAGCGAGTGGATGTCTGATGCAGGAGGGAAAGGCCGGGAACTTGGGGGGCGGGGGGAGCCTTTTAATACCTATGGCTAGCAGGCCACAACTGGGGCGGCTGATCTGAAGCAACGCGTTGTGGGGCCCGTGCGCGAGTGATCATAATTAATTGGTGCACGAAAAAATGCTGGTTCTGCGTGCCTAACTAAAAAAATAAGGACCATAATAATTCGGCTGCGTGCGCCAGCGGAAAAAAAGGACCGCGCTTTCCTAATGAGGAAAAACCCTACGGTCATTCCCAACACACGTCAGAGGCACGCACGCAGGCACATGTTGAGCCACACATGTCAAGGTACCTTAGTAGTTACTGTCGTGGCTGTAACCCCATTGCCTCTATTTCAGCCCGTTCAACAGCCACCCTAGCGCAGTGCAGGTCCCCTCACAGCCGCCCATCCAGCGAGACCTCGCGCTGCTGCATCAGTTGTGAAAGTAGTATGACGGTACATTGATGCTTTCATTTCAACCCAATACTCTTTTCATGCGTCCAGTATTACCTAGCTAGTCTGTCTTTACCACCATTATCGCTGGTGTGGTGAAAGGCCCGTCAAACCCTCTCGTACCTGTGCCGTGTTCGGTTGCTCAATACCCTGTACTTATCTCGAAATGTTCATTGGTACTGCTCATCATCCAAAATCTTCAATGTGCACTTTATCCAACGCAATTGTATGTTTGTATGCATGTTGATGATGGTGGCGTCTTGCGCTGACAACACATTACGTTGCCAGAGTAAACCCTCCTCAGTTTGTTAAGGTTGCTCGGTCATGATAGTTCATCACTCTACCTCAAGCACGAAGTGACTTGATCACGCACACCTACACTACCCTACAATATGAATAACATGGCCTAGACAGAATCAAGCCCCCCACGAGCACATAATAGGCATATCTTTATTTTAACGACGTTTACCACGTAATCTATGAAATCATATCGATCCAGCCGTTGTTGCCACACAAGGCTGATGCTGGCCTCTGGCTGCAGGAAGTGAGTAACCAAGCTAACAAGGAGACGCAAGGCACGATGATAGATGACCAATCAAATAATTGCAAAACTATGTCCCAGATCCACAGTGGCTCGAATTTTGCAGAGTGCATTTCTGTTGTTTATTTTCAGCTGGCTGATGCGGCACGCATCCCTCCCAGGCCGAAGGCCCCTGTGTTGACGCGTTTCGCGTTCCAAAGTGGCTAGCCCGAGCCCCACACCCCAACTGATCTGTGATCTGGCCCACCTGTACTTAAGCTGGCCGCTTGCCACCTCTTTTGCTAACTCACGCTCCTAACCAACCGCCAACCTAGTGCAATCTATTATCCTCCCATCTCACACAAACCCCCCCTCAAACACACATCAACATGACTGGACGTGAGTACTATACCCCGCTATATCCGTCGCCATGCTGCCGCGCGCCTCATCGACACCCACTGGACACAGAAGCAGTACTAACATCATCACAGGCGGCAAGGGTGGAAAGGGTCTCGGCAAGGGTGGCGCCAAGCGTCATCGCAAGATTCTCCGTGACAACATCCAGGGTATCACCAAGCCCGCCATCAGACGTCTCGCCCGCCGTGGCGGTGTCAAGCGTATTTCCGCCATGATCTACGAGGAGACACGCAACGTTCTCAAGACCTTCCTAGAGGGTGTCATCCGTGACGCCGTCACATACACTGAGCACGCCAAGCGCAAGACCGTCACATCACTCGACGTTGTCTACGCCCTCAAGCGCCAAGGCCGCACCCTCTACGGCTTCGGTGGCTAGGCGTGTTATTGTATTTTATATGCGAATTTTGGCCATGCGCTGCACATGGCGCATGCGGGGTGTTTTATGATTCCGGAATTGGTTCATGCTTTTGGGTGTTCTGTACCATAGGGGGAACGGTGGTTTACATTTGGGGTAATGGGAAACAAGCCCAAGAGGCGTCTTTTGATCAAGAATACCCACAATGCTGCGTGTATTTAATGTGCTTGTAGTTGTCGAGGATGACGCGCCGCGGCGCGTATCAATGATGCGGCATGATACCTTTGTGCGATGGGCTGTTTCCGCTAGTCGGCGGCCCACAAGCTACCTACCTAGGTACCCAGGTGCTGTAATAATCGACGACGCACCGAGAAAGCGCCTGATAAGACAAAGAGAGGGAGCAGTGCCGAGCAGGGCCCCTGATCATTCAAGAGTGTGTCCATGCTGATGTACGGTGCCTTTACCTTACAATAGAAATGAAGGAATAGCAAAGAACAAAGAGCACTACAAATACGGAAAGCAAAAGGTACCTATGGTGCCCAGGTACGTACGCAAGTACCTAGAAGAGACCGCCAACCTGTATGCCTTTGAACATGTCAACTCGCTACAGCGGATGGCAAAGGGACAGAATGCGGCACAGCTGCCAGAGCGCCTTTTGACCACAAAAGGAAAGGAAAAGAAGCAAGCGATGGCTGGCCGAGGATTCCATGCGCATGTCGTTCGAGTTTTCAACATGCAGGCAGGACCTATGGCTTGCCCAAATTCTTCCATCAACGGCGCAGATGCCCGCAATAGGAAGCGTACCTACCTCCTGACTACCTGAGTACGCGCACGGCTTGTTTATCAACATAGCGGTCGTGTCTGGCTTATTCATTTTGAATAAGAATTTCAACACATGCTAGCCGCCTGATGGCCTTGCTGTACAGGCATATGTTGTTTACTTGTAGACCCTTTTTGTAAATAGGTACGTACCTGGTACTAACCTAAGGTAGCAAGGTACCTTAGTACCTAGGTACCTAGGTACCTACCTAAGTACCTAGGGCGTTCTAATTCGTTCGGACGTACGCGCTAAAGAGCTGTGGCTGAGTAACGTCGGGTGGGGTCTTTATTGGCCGACGCTCAACCCGAGACACGGCGATTACAGGCGGCCCCGGGCAAACCGAGATCTGGTGTGGAGGAAGATTTAGGGAGAAAATTTCATTCATGCAGACTCACGACAGGCTTAGCTGATCTTTGGACAAGCCTCGTAAAGGCCGAGATGCTTCAAGTCTTTGCCGCCAGGCGAAAAGACTAGTCGTAAACACAACGCATGCTGCCTACCTACGTGGGCATTTGGTACATACCGTAGTAGGTACCCAGGTACCTACCTACCTAGGTAGGTAGGTATAGGTATGGTTATGAATCAACACGAGGCCACCAAGGAAATAAAAATAAACTACCGGTTAAAAATATGATTATCTTACTTATTCTTATTCCTTCTTAAGTATTATTATATTCTTGATCTTTATGCTTGTACAAATTCATCTTTCCTGGTTGTCTCACTTGTGAATTTTTTTATCGTCCTCTACCAACTAATCCTTTTAGAACTGTCTACCGATTGTTTTAACTATTACCCGGAGGCCTATTACAGGCTGCGTAGGTACATTTGGGCCTAGGGGCTGTACCGCCGCGCGCGGTCCGTTCTTGTTTGAAACCAAAGTTTGCTTGTCCTGGCTTCGCGATGCGCCCCTGCCCTCTGTCTGGCGCGCTCGTTGATACCCCCAGTTCGACCTTGCCGGCCAACTCTGCATCGGCCGTGCCAGCGCTTCTGCGTCTATAATATGTGATATGACTTATGGAGCTCTCTTGGTTGTTAGGTAGGTAGCTAGCTGCCTTTCTATGTCCCACATGCTCTCTGTGCCGCCATGCTGGCTGTTTGATAGGCGACCCGACACATACCTGACCGTCTCCTCAGCCAAACGCGCCTTTCTCGTCACCTAATAGTGCTAGTATTCACTTGATCTGTGGTTGGAATAATATATGCGTCGGTCGCTTTTCATATCCAGTTCCTCGGGACAGCCGTGGCCGTCCAGCCTGGCCTCCTCTCGCCAGAGCTGAGAATCCTGTGCCCTGGTCGACGACCAACACGCATTTGGACAATATTATACCTCAAAAGTTGCCTCAATATCTCACAGTGACCGTGCTCGCCGAATTTTCAGCCCCCGTCACACAATATCGACTGTCCAGCGACGATGCAATCGGCTCACTGGGCAAGCAGGATTCCGATTTCACTACTGAAGTCACATTACCGAAACACATACTCGCAGAAGACAGTAGTTTTCACATACATCGCACCAAGAAATTCCATTGCTTATGCCGGTTCTATATAGTTGAAGCATGTTTCATCCCTCGTCCACATCCAGCAATGCACCCCATAAAATTGAGACCAAACGCCATATTCGCCTAAAAAAAAACACACTCCGCATCTACAACTTGCTCGCCCGCTTGCTCTCATGCCACTGCCGATTCAGCCGCACATTCTGCCAGACCCTGTACGCGGCCACGAGCAGCGCCAGCGGCGGGCACCCCAGCAGCGTCCACGACCACCACACCGGACTCCCGGCCTTGAGCCGCGCCACAGCCTCGTGCACCTGCTCCGCCAACTCCTCGCGCGAGCCATCATTCCACAGCACCACACCGTATCCCTCACCTCGTGCCTCACACCGCGCTGCTTTCTCTCGCACATCGCCCTGGCTGCGTACGCGGTTCTCCGCGTCCTCGCAGCTGAGGTGCGGATCCCGCGCCATCAGCCGCCGCAGCTGCACTTCGGGATCCCGGACCGCGACAACGGCCGTGACGCCGCAGAAGCGGTCTAGCCCGCCCTCGAACAACAGCGGCACGTCGAGAACCACGGCCCAGTGGCCGCGCGCGTAGCACCGCAGCACGGCCGCGAGCAGCGCCCGGCGAACGGCCGGGTGTACGATGCCGTTGAGCACCGCGCGGTCGCGCCGCAGTGCCTCGGTCTCGCCAAAGACGCGCTTGCCTAGGGCTGGACGGTTGAGGGGGCGTCCGCGGCCGGACGGCCCGGAGACAGGCATGCTGGCTGAGGGCTCGACGAGGAGGTCAGGCGTCGTCGCGGCAAAGTGGGCGATGATGGCGGCGTAGCCGGGTGTACCGGGCTCGACGACTTGGCGGGCGAGCACGTCGGCGTCGATGATGGGGAGTTTGTGTGGCGGGCTGGAGAGGAGCGAGGACACGGTCGACTTGCCCGTGGCGATGGACCCGGTGAGCCCAAGGAGAAGCATCTCGGCTACGGGGTTGCGCCCGGTGGGGGAGAGGGATGGTACGGTGCAGAAGGGGAGAGTCGGGGGTTTCGCGGGTGATTAATTGGAGGTTTCGTCGGAGGGATGGAGGTCGGATAATTATTAAGCGGTCTTCGTTGGTTTGCAAAGAGTGTCCTGGGCTCGTAGATGGAGGATGATTTGTCATTGGAGCGCACTGTAGACGGCGGGTCCGTCCGCCCCCTCTAAGTGCTCCAAAGTTCACAGAGTTAGTCACATGGACGTGTCACATGATATTTTTTGTCATTCTAGCTGAGGCGTGTGGCTTAGCTATCTTGGCATCTACATAAACCTTGGAACTTTCCAGCGAGTGTGGCTGATAAATTTTTCTCCCCTGCGAGGCCTGCCCGGCTGGATATGGCGCCGTCAACTACTGTTAGGTACCTAGGTACTTGATCCAGATGCACTACTAACCAGAGGGAGGGTCCGGAAACGAGTGCCAGCTACGAGTTCGCATATTTCCCATCTGCTGACAAAATATAACTGGCGTGCTATAACCATACAAAGTCATGGACAGAACACTGCCGAAGGGGCTGGAAGTAGCTACCAGGAAACTCAAGCATTCTGCCAGGCTGCAATTCGTGGCACGTCAGCTGCTGATAAAAGTCTCCCGGTGTTAGGGCTTTTGTAAACTGGGCCGCAAAATGGTATTAAGCTGCGTCGGGAGCGACGAAAAGTACGACGGCCGCACCCTTTCGGGAGAACTCGATCTCATCGGCCGCTTTGTCAATTCCACATCAGCGCGCAAGGGTTACATACACCCCCCCCCCCCCCCGCCCCGCCCGCGCGCTACTGGCACCCTCCGCAGCAATTTTTTTGAGAAGTGGGTCCAGCACTCACACGGCCTTGCCGGTATCTACGTAAGTGACACTGCTGTGTTTCTATAAAAGAGTCGTGCCGCTGTGAATTTGCCACCCACGCCCCTACTTTTCGCTTTCATCTACAACACACTATGACATCGACCTCAGCGACAAAAAATTATATTTCGAACATACAAAAGAACCCAACATACTTGTACCATTCACATCGATACCTGGCCGCTCTTCAAGTTGAACCAACCTCACAAGTTCAAACCCTCGATTACGACAACTTTGACTCGACACAGTTCTCACCTGCAGCGCTCAATTCTGCACTTACTGGATTCGTCGAGTCATCGCCTATGCAGCCCGAATCTACAGGCGCATTTTCCCAGTCAACGCCCAAACTGGGCCACCGTTCACATCAGAGAGAATCGTCACTGTCATCTCTCGGCTCAGTTGGACCAGCGTCGCCTTTTACACAGACTGTTTCCTACCCGCGAATTGCTATTAGCGATTCGACAGCGGATTCATTCTGTGATATGTACAACAACGATACAAACGTTCACAACTCGGGAGGCTACCATCAGTTCGCCAAGCCCATGGACAAGTTTCCAGGATATCATCACCTCGAAGCTGCCAGTCCTGACATGGCTTACCCTGCCGCGCTCCCTGGGCACATGAAGAACCATAGGGTTGATCGGTCACTGTTACCAGCTCCCGAGTTCAACCACATGTTTAGCCGCTCCCACCCAGCTTCTGTGGCCAGCTCTATTGCTGGAGACTCGCCGTCAACGCCCGGCATCGACCAAACTGACCGCAGGAGAGGTATGCGAGTTCCCGACCCCACCACATCTGATCTGAGCTCACGATTCTGGTATGCAGCAGCGTACGGAAACATCCCTAAGCTTGATCGCACCATGACGGATGTATACGGCGACGAACTGTACAACCCGGGCTTCGCCATCACGTCATCATCACCTGCGCATCCCGTGAACTCCAACACAAATCCGGTAAATGCTAGCAGCACGATGAGCAACCGGCTGTTTAGCCAGTGTCTCAGCGCCGCGAATAGCCAACACCTGAATGTTGCCCATTCGCCATCATCTACAGCATCTCGTGGGCTCTCACCCTTCCAAGCCACCTCGCCATACGCTCCACCCCAGCTGCCAGAATTCAGCCTACCTTTCGGAGCTACCACTCAGAAGATGGGACATGGTAGTAATTCCCAGCAGTCGGGTGGTATGGGTGCGCTTTCAACCGGCGGTATTGAACCCGAGACACCGAAGACTATTTCACCCAGAGATGCCATGATTGAGTTCACTGGTGCTGATGGTGAACAAAACTTCTCGCTGTTCCCGGAGAGCTCAAACAGCTTCGATTTTGACGCTTACGGCAAGGCAATGGCACAAGATGCTGAATCCAGCCAGGTCCAGCTCCACCCCACACCAGAATCACGAAGCAGAAACGTGCCAGTCGAGAACAGAATACCACAACAATACCCCTTCATCTCGCGTGCAGACGAAACCTACGACATAACCCCACCTCCTAGGCTGGGATCATCGGGAAGCAGCACCTCTGAAGCACAGACGGAGACTAGCGACAATCGGCCCTCTCGAACCGGCGCTGAGAGTGGCACGTACACATGCACATATCATGGTTGCACTCTACGGTTTGATTCACCTATACAGCTTCAGAAGCACAAACGCGAGAGACACCGCCAGTCGCAGAACCTTGGCGGACAAGACAGCATCATGACAGCGCCCGTTCTGAACAGCCAAGCTGGCCCGCACCGCTGCGATCGCATCAACCCCAGCACCGGCAAGGTGTGCAATACCATCTTCTCCCGCCCGTACGACCTGACGCGCCACGAGGACACGATTCATAACGAGCGCAAGCACAAAGTCCAGTGCGATCTTTGCACGGTTGAAAAAACATTCAGCCGCGCCGACGCACTCACTAGGCACTATCGCGTGTGTCATCCTGAGGCAGAGCTTCCAGGAAAGCATCGCAGACGACTTGTCTGATGGCGCTCGTTGCATTTAGCCTGCCTGTGAACCGGCTCCCTCGGGATATCTGTCTGCTCGTTCGCAGCAGCGGATGTAAGGGGGGTGTGTGTCATTGTTAGCCCTTTTGGTGGTGGGGCCAGTGTGTACCCAGGCTTGGCCATCGGACCAACCAGAGCAAATTTGACGGGGCCTCTTGTCTTGTCTACTGCAGGGTCCTCCAGACCTCTGACGTCACTCACCCGTCAAGTTATCGGTGGGCTGACATCACAGCGGCGCAATTCATTCGCATTCGGCCACTTGAAATCAAGCCCTCGTCTCTGCGTTCCAGCACTGGCATCATCGCGCAGAGGCATGCCTTTCCTGCCCCTCTTCTGCCATGACCTAACTAACATGTTACTGGCGTGCGACAGCAAGGCTAAGAGGAATCACACCCTGCCCTCACCTTTGACGTCTTCATACATCATCGACTGCCAACTTTTATCGTCAGCGTACTGTTGTTGCTGATATCAAGGCGGCGTTCTTATTTTTTCTTTTTTTCATGGGAGGAGAATACATTGTCTTGCGGAGCTTTGTGTGCAATGGCAATGATGAAACCTTACATTCACCTTTGCCTCGAATGCACTTGACGTCATGCGGCGACCGGAGTTATGAAATTATACTGTGTTGCGTTTTTGGGTGCACGGCCCGGGGAATAACCTCTGAGTTTGGGTAATTATTTTTCTGTGAGGCGTAAATGAAACTTGGGATAGATTTAAAAAAATGTACTTTTAGCTAGATAAACGACAACACGAGATAATGAGCGATATAATGGGCGGCAACCAAAATATAAATCTGACCGATTGCAACTCTGCCGTACTCGTGAGAAACTGTGTTGCGTTTTGGGAGAAGAGGCGATTTTACTCGGTTCCTAGGACGAACTGTCGAGCATCGCTGTACAGGGGGCAGATACCTGTCCAAAGTTGAAACTGCGCTCTGATTAGCAATGGGCCACATACACGAATGTCGTGGATCTAGTGGACTAACCTGGTACCAGCCTTGAGATGCAAGGACTTCGAGGCCAGGAATTGTAGGCCAACCAGCACTTTCAGCAATCTTCACCGCTGGAGTCGCACGAGGTTTGTACGCCATGTCTAGAAGGACACGTTGTTGCAAGGCTGTAGCGGATGCATTCACGACTGCGCTAATGACTTTCTCGGTCATAGGGTCGATTGGCTTGTCGCCAGGAATCGTGCTGATAATAACGTTAGGTAGCACTGCAATAGTAGCAGCATCCGTGACTGCCTGCAAATTGTAGTCGTCTGGGAGATCGGCTATCATGGCCTCTACGTTCTTGGCCGTACGACCGACGACGTAGATGCGGCCGAATCCGAGAGTGTGCAAAGCAAACACGGCGGCCCTCGTAGTCCCACCTGACCCAATGACCATGGCGGTCGAATTGCTGGTGACCTCCCCAATGCCTCCATTGCGAAGGGCATGGACAATTCCTTTCCAGTCTGTATTGTCTCCGAGAAGATGCTGTGTGCCATCTCCTACACTACTGGATAGCGGTATCACCGTGTTGACGGCGCCAATTATACGTGCCGCTTCCGTGAGCTCGTCCAGTTCGCCGATGATGTCAAGCTTGAGAGGTATGGTTACTGATGCACCACCAAAGCTAGGGTCACGTAGAGCAGGTCTCACGTCAATTGCGTTGTCTGTTTCCAAGAGCCGGTACTGGTGCGGGAGACCACATTGGTCAAACAGGCCATTATGGAGTGCAGGTGATCGAGACTGAGAAATGGGCTTTCCGAAGAGATAGAAGTTGCGCGCCTCCAACTGTCCAACAAGCGTCAGCGCTTGTCGAATTTCTGCGGCACTCAGCTGCCCGGGCGCTGCCTTGAACGGCAATGCTGGGTGTGATACGGGTGTCAGGAAGCCGTTTAGGACACGGCTGAGCTGGCCAACTGTCCCCATATTGATGGCGATGATGGGCGGGCCTTGCTCGGAAGTCGTTCTCGACTTGAATCGGACTAAATCGAAATTGTCTTCAACTTTGTGCGCCAGACCCACGAGCTTCACAATGTCGCCGTACTGAAGAGCACGATTGTAGTGTTCGATCCAAGACGCGTTCCTCCACGATAAAGCACCGCGCGGGTCGTGATGGGAAGCAATCAGTTTGGTATGACCCCGCGCGGAGCTGACGGATTCCAGTATCTCATCCGCTGTTGTTATCTCCACATCGAGATATTCTGAGCCAAGCTGCAGACCGAGATGATATAGCGCTAGCAAAGCTTCCGTAGCATCATCGGGAAACGATCCGCCCTGCGACGCGGTGCGTACTGTGAAGATAATGGGCAGGCCGGTGTATTGTCTGAGAATTGACACTTGTTCCGTTACAAAATCTAGGTCCTGGCTGTTCAAAAGATCTACACGGAGCTCGACAGCATCCGAGCCAACGACTGCCTTAGGTAGTAGCCCAGTAGCAGTAGACAAGTCCGGGATCGTGAGAGAAACGAAAAAGCTTTGTTGCTTTTTGCGCAACTGTGGAAGCTGTGCGTCTTTGCCGAAGATGCTCGATACAAAGCGGGCAAAATCGTCCGGAATGATGCTCTTGCTAGTGGGCTCGTTGGTGTGGATGCTGTAGTAGCGGAAGTTGCTGCATTGTTCGAACCAGTGTTTGCGGCGGTTGTATACACCCCTAATGTCAGAGCTGTATGCAGGTCGTATTTTGTCCCTCTCCAAGTATTGCATCACTTGATCAACATTGCGCTGTATCAAGATGACCTTGCCTCCGCTACCAGTGTAGGCCTGAAGGAGGTCCCTCGCCTCGGCTGTTTCCACGATTCCGCCACCACAAGAGAATACGTAGCCCAGTGACTGCTTTTCCATAACGTCTTGGAGCAACTGAAGCTCCTTCTTACGAAATCCTTCCCAGCCGTCTCGCGCGATAATCTCTGGGATTGACAGACCAGTGCGGCGTTCAAGCTCATGATCAAGGTCGATTGATTTCCAGCCGAGGCTCTTCGCAATCCAAATTCCGGCAGTAGTTTTACCAGCACCACGCATACCAATCAGAAAGATGGACCGATCGTCGTTCCCTGTTGCTGGTGGTGTCTCTTCCTCCTCCGCTTTGCACTTGTCCGTGCCATCCAGGTGGACCTTGAACGATTGAGACATAGTATCCCACCAACCAGGCCAGGTCTTGCCAACGCAATCCTGCTGGGTAATAACGGCACCGTGGGGGGCCACAACAGACAGGACGCTCAGGCTCATGGCAACGCGGTGGTCATCATAGCAGAAGATGCCCTTGCCTGGTGTTTTCAGATTGACTGGGGCAACGCCAAGAATCTCAATACCATCATCCAGCTCTGCACACTGAACACCGAACTTGGCAAGCTGTATTCTCATGGCAGCAATACGATTACACTCCTTGACTCGTTGGTTTGCGATGCCCGTAATTTTCGTTTTACCGCCCGCAACTGCAGCTAAGACAGAGGCAGTCAAGAAGGCGTCTGTCATGGGCTCCATGTCGATGTGCGGCAGTGGCACCAGTGCCCCAGGCTTTGGGCCCGTGACAGTTGTTGAGGTCTCCGTCTGCCTGACTATGCAGCCCATTGGGCGGAGAACATCAACAGCGAAGCGCGCGTCACCCTGGAGCGAAACCGAGCCAATGTTGGGCACTGTGCAGGTGGTCCCCGTGATTGCCGCTATAGCTAGGGGATACGTGGCTGAGCTAGCGTCGCCTTCAATAATGTACTCTGAAGGATTTTGGTAGGTGCCCTGAGGGATATAGTACGTATGTAGTTCTGTAGTTGACGTCGTCACGGAGACGCCAAACGACTTCATCATCGCGATCGTCAGCTCAATGTACAGCTGAGATATGGGTTTACCGCCAACGAGCTTCAGAGTAACGGGCTTCTTGGCGTATGGAGCGGCCATGAGAATCGATGAAACGTACTGAGACGATATCGTGGCGGCGAGCTCGATGACACCGCCCTCGAACCCACCGGACGAACCAATCCTCAGAGGCAAGCTCTTATCCTGTTCCAAGTAATCGATAGAAACGCCGTTCAGTCTAAGCGCATCGACGAGCGGGCCAATAGGGCGCACTTTCATATGTGAGTTGCCTGTGAGGACAACGCTAGTCGAGGCATCAGTGGGCGAGCATAGTGCAGCAACGGTGGTCAGGAAACGCGACGCAGTTCCGGCATTCCCGATGTAGAGCTCCTCCCGACTCGCGCTTAGCTTGCCTGCGTTGCCATTGACGATGAGAAGTTCACCACCGTCCTTCCACGAGTAGGAGGCACCGTGAAGCTTAGCAATGGCGGCAAGCATGTAGCCCGTGTCGTCTGAATGCAGAAGATTCCTAATTTGGCAGGGTCCAGCTCCGAGTGCGGCGAGAATGAGTGCTCTGTTGGAGATGCTCTTGGACCCCGGTGGGCTCACGGTGACGTTGAGGTCGGTAGGTACTGTGGGTGAAACGATGATAGCTGGCGAAAGAATAGCCTTGATACTTTGGTCATCGACGACGCTCGCCTTGGGCTCGTAGGTCTTGCCAATGGCGGACAAGAGCACAATCTTCTTCTTCAGACCATCATTCTTCTTGTCGACAGCCATTTTCTCCAGGACAACATCAACAGGACAGGGTCTACCCGCGGTCAACCGCTGGACGCGTTTGTCATGCAGCGAGACAGGCAAGCCATAGGCAGCGATGCACTTGACCAGCCTAGCAACAGCCTCCGGGCGTAGAACGCCGAGGTAGCGAGCCAGCTCCGCCTCCTTCACCATGCCGATGGCTACGGCCTCACCATGAAGTAACTGTGGTGTAAGAATGGCCTCGATTCCGTGGCCAATGGAGTGCCCAAAGTTAAGAAGATTGCGTAGGCCACCCTCCCGCTCATCGCTGGAGACGACCTCAGCCTTGACACCAGCGGATCCTACCACGATTCGTTTTACCGTGTCCTTGATTGGAACCAGACGATCGGTAGCCCTAGAGTGAACGCAGGCTAGGATCTTGGAGGCAGATGCCTCTAAAAATTCAAATTCGGTCTCGCTCCAGATGGCGGCTGTCTTGACTACCTCGGCCATGCCGTTAATAAATTCGCGGACGGGCAAGGTCTCAAGGAAATGGAGATCGATGTAGATTCGTCGCGGCTGCCAGAAAGCGCCGACCAGGTTCTTGCCCATGGGAGTATCAATGGCCGTTTTACCACCAATGGAGGAGTCGACCATGGCAAGCAGCGTGGTGGGAACCTGTACGAAGCGGACGCCGCGCATAAACGTGGCAGCAACATAGCCGATCATATCACCAATGACACCGCCCCCCAGGGCAATGATAACTGTGTCGCGCGTGCATTGCTGCGAGAGCATCCAGTCTTCGACCTCGCCCTTTGTCTCCCTGCTCTTGGACGCCTCGCCTGGTGGGATCGTGTATGTGAGAAGTCGGGTTTTCTGGCCCTTGGTTGTGGCGTCGAAGCTCGTTTGAAATCGTGGCACATAGGTGTTGTATAGGTTCGTGTCAGTGATGAGAACGTATGTGGAGGAGGCGATATTTTTCAAGAGGTCTTGGATAATATAGTCTGCCCAGAGGCCGTTGTCGACCACAATGCTGGGCTGCCCCAGAATGGGGATAATGACAGGGGTCGCTGATGCCAATTCGGACATTTTGCGCGGTAGTGATGCGAAATATGCCGTTTAGACAGCTTCCATCCAGGTGCAGAGCCGAGAGTGTGCGAGAGATGGTGGTAGTTCAAAATGTGACTAACTTTTGCAGCGCCATGCTGCCGGTATCGGTTAGGTTTCATCGGTGGAGACCCATTGTGGTCTCAGGCCTAATAACCCATTTGTGAGTTGCTTAACTTATTTCAATGGATCTTGATTTGATACTCTCACGTCACTATAATAAATTGATGCTACCGCCCTTTGTACCTTGGTTTTCTCTTTACGGTTTCATCTTGCTTTGAGCGGCCGTAGCCAGTCGATGAGCTTGTGTGTTGTGACTGTCTCGAGTACGTCCGTACCGTGACTGAACAATGCCAAAAAAAAAAGTGGTTGGTAAATTATTTACAGCAATACAACAAATCACCGCCCAATCTGTGATCCAGTACAGCCACTAACGTCAGCTTTTTTTGTTTCGGCTGATCAAATCTTTTGAGCCAACACAAATCACCACTCAATCTCGATACAGCACAACATCGAGCTGCGTTACCTACCTTGTTAACCTAGTTAGGACCCGTGGCGTGTGAGGGGAATGCCCAGATGAAGAGCATTGGATTTCTGGAGCCGATGGCCTCGGCTATTGAGACGGCCCAGTAGAACATTTGGGTTGAACTTATTTAATAGCGTAAAAGCATGTCTGCATGTTCGATGTATGTACAACGTGGGTAGGGTGAGCACTGGGGGGTGACCAACTGGTGAGCTTTTATAGTTCGTGAACGAGGCTTATCGTTAAGCCATAATATGGCCTCGTATGACTACGTGCCATCTCGGGGTTCTGGTCGTTAACTACCCTTTCACCCCAACATACCCATTTGTGGAAAAAGGGACTCACTGGTCCAGGGTAGCTGCCTCGCCACCCGAGCTACTCCTCACTTCACACTCATATGCTGGTGGCCGGTAATATACGGTCGTTGGGTGAAAAAGTGAACCCGAGACCGCCACATGACCCGGCTAGAGGAACAACACAGCCCGGAAGACGGCATACGTTGCCAACGGACCGCGCCCGACGTGCTGTGCCAACGCCGTCTTATCAAGGTCCTCACGGGCTGGAGAATAAGTATGTACCTTCAATAATTCGAAGGTAGTAAATTAGCAGGGTAACTATCCTTAACAGCAATAACAATTTATTACAATGTACATCCATAGCACCTAGGTACCTCACGTTAACTTACCTACGCGCGTGAAGGCTGTTTAGGTACCTTTCTGGATAATTTATCAATAACATTATTAAGAGGAGGTATCGCATCGAGCGGAACTTCTGGTGACCGACCTAGCCCCACTAGAAAGCTGCACCACGTCACTCAGCGGCCAGCCTAATTGTGTGGACACAGTGACAGACGACACTGAAGTTCGATCCCTCGTCTGCATAGGTAGGTTGGCTACCAAGATACCACTCAAAGCTAGCCAAAAATACACGCATGGAAGTATCGAAATCGCCGGCAGCTGCTCGATAAGCTGACCGCAATTCACACTGGACGCAATGGTGTTCGCGGAGCATACCTTCGATGCCAAATGTCGACAGACCCCCGTCATCCTCCCCGAGAGGGACGGAGGGATGCCGCCAGTCAAGGCACAGTTCTTCTACTCCTCATCGATACCCATAGACGACCCGCTCTCCGCAAGCTCGCACACAGCAACCACGGATACTAGAAAAAATAAAGAGCTACTGCGACCTTTCGGCCGAGGTGACAATAACGCTCTCGAAACAGCATGGCTGTCTCTATCTACCGCCGAAGACCGGAGCCGCCACACGGCGCTGCGTTCTGGCAAGCCGAAGAATGGGTCAATCGTTGAACAGGGCGCAGACTGGCGCGAGAAACTCGTAACGAGGGCAGCTCAAAACCACGGAAATACTCACGCGGGTTCCCCTGTCGACCAAGATATTTTAGCTCGCAAGGGGCTGCAAGACGAAGTCTGCTGCTCTGAATTGCTGCAACAAATAAAGAGACAGCTCCAGAATACAACATGCTCACTAGCTAGAGCGATTGACCCGACACTCAGTCCAGAGGCCATTGCCAAAGACGTAGCAGCATTGGTACTTCGTCGCCAACTAGGCCAAGAGGGCGAAGGGGGTTCCCAGGCAAGCCCCGTGTGGGAAGAGTCCCATAAGAAGTACCCCGGAGTTGTCAGCACAGGCTCACATTCACAACCCTCAACTCCAAAGCAGATTCGTGCCGGTGGCCTCAATAGTGCCGGTCACAACCAGAACACCCCCTTGTCCTGGGTGGGAGTAGAAACCAATGTTCGCCTTCGGTCGGATTCTCAACTGTCAGATCGTTCAATTAGAACGAATGAGATGCTGAAGAACTCAGCACCGCGCGACGGAATTACGGGGAAACCATTTGCAAGAGTTGATGACCTACGGCCTGGACCTGATCATGTGGATATTCCAAATGCGCACAGCGCTCCTCCGCCCAGCGATGCACAAAGTTGGAAGATGCAACCTCAAACTCCCCGTGACAAGCAAACTGAAATTAGGGAATCACTGCGTGACCCGGGCCACCAGCCCACAGACCAACTCGATACGGAGCCTAAGATAGCGCAAGTCACTGTTGGAATATCCAGATTGCATTCGGTGGATCTACCTGCTCTTCAGATGAAGCCAATCTACTGGTCACCAGTGAATGACATTGCAGTTGTGACCAGGTCGACATGGTTTTATAGGCAAGTATACACAAGGCTATTGTTATGGGGTTTGAGACCATTCTCTAACAGTCAAGAAGGGACACAATGTTGCCCGTGTCGACGGCAGTGGCGAACCAGCTAGAAGCCGGCTACCAGGAACTGAAACCTTGGACAGGGACCTGGATAGAGGAACTGGAATGCGCTCTGGAAGTTGGTGCCGCAGGTGAGGAAAAGGTTTCGCACCCGCTGTGGCCCAAGCACCATCAATCACTCAACGGTGCCATGCCAAATGACTCCAGGCCGACGATCTCATCGGATCTGTTTTGCGCGGCGCGGTGCTTTCGAGGTGATGCTGCCGCCAACGGCTCCATTCAATCGGCCCATACGGAGAAACAGCCCCCGAACCGTCCGTTTGCAAGCTATCAAGTCATTTACAAGGACCGAAAATCAGCATTCCTATTAAAGCCTAGCCTGGCACCGTCCTCATACCATGGTAGACGCCCACTTGCGAAGATACTGCGGGGGCTCACTGTAGGGTTACCTGTCGTTCGTGGCTTCGATAGACGTTCCTGGAACAAACAAAACAGCCCTAAAAAGGCCGCCACGGCAGCAGAAGAGGCACCTTCCGCCGATACCCAGGAGGAAAGAATACCAAACGAATGCCCTGCCTGCACAGCAGAAAAGGATCGCGGGCAGATCACAGACCTTGTACTGGTTGCCCATGGTATTGGCCAAAAAATCGCGGAGAGGGTAGAGAGTTATCATTTCACACACGCTATCAACACTTTTCGACGAGCTGTTAACATTGAGCTTCGAAATCCTGCAATCAAAAACGTCCTTCGAGCAGATCAGAACGGCTTTATGATTTTGCCACTGAACTGGAGAGTCGGTCTGTCATTTGGTAGTGATAGTGAGGTACAAAAAGGGGCCAAGGACCTGGCGGGAGCATTCGATTTAAAAGATATTGAGCCCAGCACTATACCTGCTGTTCGAAGCATGATTTCAGATGTCATGTTTGATATTCCGTTTTACATGTCTCACCACAAGAGCAAAATGATCATGGCTTTAGTTCGTGAAGCCAATCGCGTTTATCGACTGTGGTGCCGAAACAATCCTGGATTCTCTGATAAAGGCAGGGTTCACTTGATTGCACACTCCCTGGGTAGTGTTATGGCGGTCGATATTCTATCTCGGCAGCCCACATGCGTCTCGAGAGTGAACCTCGTCAAGCCAATGATACCAGACGACCAGCATTTCGAATTCAACACCACCAATCTTTTTTTGGCTGGCAGCCCGGCTGGCTTCTTTTTATTGCTAGAGAAAGGCGCACTGACTCCTCGACGTAGTCGGCGAAAACCAGGCGTGAATGATGGCGATGTAGTCGCAAAAAACGTGGCCGGGGAGGCTGGCACTTTCGGGTGTCTGGCCGTCGACAACGTATACAATATCCTCGCCAAAGAGGACCCCATCGCATACTTGTTGACAGGCGCAGTTGATCCCTCATATGCCTCGAGCCTCAAGGTTGCCTATGTGCCAAGCGTCGCACCATCTCTGATGAGCACTGTCAGGGATGCCATCAGGCAGGTGATACCTGGCTTGACACCGGAGCCAGATCCGCTTGCTGTCGAGCCGGAACGACCGACAACGGCTCGTATGCCCTCACAACTGGAGCTGGAAATCCACAATTTTACAAGAGAAGAAATCGCTGAGAAGAAGGCGTATCTACTCAATGATAACGGCCAGATCGATTGGTTCCTGCGCTCGTCTGGGGGCCCCCTTGAGATACAGTACCTAAATATGCTCAGCGCACACACGAGTTACTGGACGAACCAAGATTTTATTCGCATGGTGTGTTTGGAAATTGGTCGCAAACCGGGACGCAGCCACACGTTCCCGGCCATGAGAGCCGTCAAAAACGTGAAGCGGGATGTCAAAACCTGACATTATTATTGATTGGAGGTTAGATACCAGCGATTTATTTGATTCTATTTCTACGAGCTACGCTTCCTTGCCCGGTATTGCTGCCGCATTTGGAGGTTGAAAGATTTGGAAAGGAAGAGACAATGGTTTGCTATATTTGTCTATCTGTATGCTTATATGAATACATTACCCGAAACCAATGGGCGATAAAAAATGCCATGAAAGAACGGAGCTTACCTCGAAGAGGCGCGTTTAGCTACAAATTGTGGTGTGGTGTGATGGCCAGAATTTAAAAGCCTTCGAGCTCCATCATGTCTTGATCTAAATCCTCATCGTCGAATTCGCAGTCGTTATTACTGCCTTGCATGGCCGCCAACTGTGCCGCTTTGACTGCCGCCTCCTCTGCCTTGCGGGCCTCTTCACGATCCAGTGTAGCCTTGCGCTCCAGATCTTCGTAGCCCCATGTGCTGATGCCCTCTTGCTCTTTGGCGCGGAAAGGCTGCGCCATTGTTTTCAAAAAGCGCCGGGCACTGCTGACAGCCATGTCTGTACTGAGATTGACATCAACATCCATCAAGCCTTGGTTAATCCACTTCGGTAGCTGTGGTCGTTTCTTTTGGAATCGCCTGTCGGCGAGCACCATGATGCCATAGTCGTCCTTGCCTCGCAACACGCGTCCCAAACACTGTGCAGCATGTCGCATCGCGTCGAAAGACAAAAAATCATTCTCCTTGATGCGATACGTTTCTCGCAGAAACTCCAATCTTGCCTTGAGAATGCGCGATTCTGTGTACTGGAAGGGAACCCCTATGCACAGCACCGTGCGACCGTATTGGTGATCGAAATCGATACCCTCTGAAACCTTACCACGCGCGACACATAACAGAATAGCACCTCTCCCATTGCAGCAAGCAGTTCTGTAGGTCTCCAGAGCTAGAGATGTTTCTTGTGCGTCAGGCGTCTCAACCAAGATAAGTTTGTACTTCCATACCTCGTCAAGAATGCCCATTCCTTGCCACATGCTAATAATGGACTCCATGTACAAGTATGAAGGGAAGAACACCACCAAGCCGTCAGGTGTAATTTTGGCAAATTCTGTTAGTAAGTTTCCATAGTTCCGAACAACACTAGGCTCATTTCGAACTTGGAAGCTGGTTGAAATAGAGGCTTGATCGCTTCCTCGGGTCACAATCATTGGCAAGAAGGAGCGGCGGGCAAGTGTCATACTGTATGACTCCTGGATAACAGTGGAGAAGTCGAGCATTTTTGGATACATTTCCAGAGGTGAGATTGTTCCAGAGGTGATGATGACCGAGTAAAAGCGATCGAAGATTGGCCGAATTGCGATCGCCGCATCTAGACAGGTGAAGTGGAGGATTGGGTTTGGAACCTCGGCTGTATCGGATTCGTACGGTTCCAGAATTAGCAAAAATCCCTTTTCGTAGGTGGCAACTAAAGTGGCAAATGTTGCGACTTCTTGAAGCGGTTGATAGTCTTCTATGTTGGTAAGCTCCAGAGTTCTGACGAGCGAAGTTAAACGCTCGGCACAGAAGCCAAGAGGTTTCTTTTCAATGAATGTGTGCTCTTTCAGATGCGCCAGAAAGGACGGGGGCGTCTCCGAGATGACCTGCCGAACTTTCATGCGTGTCTGCCTTCCGGTTAGCATGGTTTTGGGGTGAAAGGGGGTAGGGGGGCACTTGCCTTTAAATATTCGATAAATCGCTGCAAAAAGGATACGAAGTGCTCTGCTCTGCGAATATTGCCCGGGACTGCTTCTTTCAAGAGCTCCTCGGGAAGTACTGGGACCCATGTCAATTAGCTCGTGTAAAAGGCTCCGAGGTGCTAGAATAGTACCTGGATTTGCCATGAAAGCATCTTCCTGCCTGGCTTCATCGGCCTCTCTCAAGCCTTGAACCAGCTTCTCATATTCATTTTGGAGCTGCTCTTGATCCGTTTCGCGCATGTCTGCAATTTTTTGCTTCAAATTTTGAGCCCCTCGTGTTGCGCGCCGGAGTGATTCTTCCGTGATATCAGTACTCAGTGATTCGATGCATACATTATCAATATTGTGTGCTTCATCAAAGACGACGATGCAGTCTTTGGAGAAGTCTTTGGAGACACGCTCTGCGATTTTAGGATCCAAGAGGTAATGGTATGAGAAGATGACAACATTGCAATATTGCATCTAGAGACAGACAGTATCAATATGCGATCATTTCGTCGGGCACTTGAACCACGCACCATGCGACGCGCGGTAAAGTATGGGCATTGTTTGTTTTCTTCGCCATAGCGCAGAATACCGTCAAACGTCCAGACGCCATTCGGGATCAGATTGTGTGATTCGAGTAAATCGAGATTCTGCCACCCCAGTTAGCGAAGAAAAGAAAGGACCCGACAACGAGGGTTGAATGTGTACATCATGGTAAACGCACAGATCTACGTCTTCGCCGCGCTCTTTTTTTTCTTTGACAAAGCCTGCTGTCAAGCTTCGACATCGAGCGTCAACAACGGATCCGCTCTTTTCACGCTTGACAGAAGGGTGAAGGCATAAATTCTTTCGACTTGTTAGACCAAGACCTCGAAAGTCTTCTTCGTAGCCCAACTGTTCAGTGCGGTACTTCATTAACGCTTCCAGCTCCATTAGGGCCTTTTCGATTTCAGACATGGTACCTGTATATAGAGAGTAAGTAGTGAAATACCGTAGCTCCACGAGGGTTTAGGCACGGACGAGAGCAATAGATGAGCTTCCGCTTCTCCGGCATAAATTGTTGGTAAGCAACAATAAGAGACAGCAACGAGACAGTCTTGCCGGTGCCCGAAGGCATTTCGAGTACACAATGACCCCCTGCATCGAGTGTCTCTGCGGCGCCAAAGTTAGCTGAAGTGTACACGATCATAAGTAGCTAGATGGTTGGGGATCATTCTCTATGGCGAGGAAGGCGTACTTTTCAAATCACACATATACCTTGTAGAGCCAAAAGTTAGCATGCCCGGCAAGTGGTGAGCCAGAAACGACGTGGACGTACGAATATTGCTCTGACAACGACATCAAGGTCAGCGTACTGTTTGGCACTAATGTGAGCTTAACGAACCTGGGTAAATTCTCGGGTATGGGAAGAGAATAGGAAGGTCCCTTGAAATGTTAATAGATTGCCGTAGATGAAAGTACATTGCAATAGAGAGCATACCCGATGTAGAACTTCATTTTGGCGGATTGAGCACAGAATGCTGATTGGAGCAACTGCAAAGGCCTAGTTGATCGTGGAGAACGTGAAGGCTGCTGATAAACGCAAAACGCCAGTGATCGCGTTATCACGTGACTAACCACGACCCTGCGATAAAGCAACAGTTGTTGAAAGCGCGAGCAGTCTTCTCAAATTCTTGTCCCGCTGCATATATTTGTGCAACTTTTATGTATTATGTTTCAACTTTGAACATTGCTGGTGGATTCATGTTTAACTAACAGTCCGTAGAAGCAACTGGGACGCGGTATCCACGGATACAGATACAAATACCTGGTACGTACCTACGCGCGTGAGGCCTGTTCTTAACAAAGAACTTGGCACGTTGTCGGTTTAATATCTAATTTTCCCCTATCACAACGCTATTGATCTAATAGAGCTTATATTAAATATAAGGAGTTTTTCAAAAAATATAATAATAGCCTAATAATGTGATAATAGGGGAAATTTATCTAGTGCCCTGTTAGAAAGCCGGCCTAGGTACTCTAGTGCACAGCTGAGTACCTCTACCTCTACCTATACCAAAATACCAAGATCAAGATCTAATTATTAAGTCAAGATGGTCAAGTGCCAGTTTGGTAGATGCCTGTTCCTGAATTTTAAATGTGTCTCGTCAAATTGCTGGGTAGATTTCCCGCGCTTCGGCCCAAATGTTTGGCTTTAGACTACTGAAGTTCCTTGATGCAGGGCGGAGAATTGAGGCACACGATCAAAGTTGTGGCTGTCACCATCGTCACCATCACGGCGACTCTGTTCTTGCTGCCCCCCAGGCCTGGATTTGCATTGAAAGGCCAACCAGGCGAGGACAACGCGCTGCTCACAACGGGGAAACAATGGCCAGAGGACGGGACCTGTAGGCTATATGGGATTGAGCTCGAGCCAGAAGTGTACGCAACAAAGCTCTCCTGCAAGAATATGCGACATGGTCTATGAATTCGCCATGAACACATCTTGACCCCGCCTTGGTCTTTGGATGGCAACCGCTATCGCGGCACTAACAGCTCGTCGCCCACCACACCAAATCCATGCCAGACTGCCGTTGATGCAAGCCTGCAAGCCTAGTGAGACTTTGCGCTGGTCTATTGGCCCATCCTTCATCCCACCCTTGCCGCCATCACACTTTGGAAACTGGGGGAGGGGGTCTTGTGGCAGTCGGTGGCTGCGTTATCACCCAATCCACGCCGTTGAATAGCCCAATTTTTGTCGGGTCTTGTGTCTCCTCGAACTTGACCTTGCCGCTGGGTGGCTGGCGGCGTCGCTCCAAGCCGCCTCCAAACATAACGTGCCCGCACTCTGTGCAACCCTTGTTGCTTGGTATCCCATCTCTTTGTCTCTCTTGCTCTCTTCTCCCCCGCCTCATCGTCGAACCTTCAACAAGGGCTATTTTTACCTCTTCTGTCACCTGCTCTCTGCCCTGCCAGTATTCATTTTCTAGCGTCACCTCGGTCAACGGGACTACCGCTCTTTCCACGTCCGCAAATCCACCATCGTTGCTCAATTCCTTGGTGGCTCGTTGCCAGCCATTTGACAGGCCCAGCTTACCACCTGACACTCGCTGTTGTCTCCTGGCTCGCAGCCGTCATCTTGAACTTCCTCTTGACCTTTTGTCATACTATTTTTTCTTTCGACTTGGTGGCTCTCGACTTTCTTTCTTTTGTATGTGCAATGTCAGGTGGCGCGTGCCCTCGACCCCTTAGCTGTTCCTCCACGCCATCATACATCATACATACTAACATTTCCCAGTTCTCGTCGCGCTATAGTCGGAGCCTTCCCAAGATCGCTAGGTGTATTTTATTATACCAGGCATGATTTGTGGCGCCACTCTAAGCCAATCCTACTCATCGTGTATGTTCTGGCTCCCATACGCACGTGGGCATCTTATCTTCTAACTGCATCATCACCAGACCCGACTGCTAGAAGCAATTCGACTTGGCGGCCACTGTAAACTATACGATCCTACTCTTATTCAACTAAACACCAAGCTGGATAGATGGCTACTATTGCTGTTCCTAGGCCTATTCCTCCTCCCCACCGCCCTTCCTCCACAATCGACGTGGAGACTGATACTATTACTCCACCGCCGTCTCTCGAATCGTCTGCGCCGTCTACCTCGCCACAGCATACAGCTTTACCCAACAAGCATATTCCAGCGTGTCCAACAGGGCCTGCTAAATATACCGACCTAGATACACCACCGCCATCTCCAGGAGGCGCGCAAGACTTCTGCCAAACATCTCTTCTATACCCCCCGGACAACTATGTCAAGACTGTGGCTGGAACTTTAGCGATATATGAAATTGTCGCGTCACAGGTCGCTGACGCCTTAGAATACGCGGCTAGTCAGTCACTTCCTTCACCTTCTGGCGTCTTCCCATGGCTTCACGGATTGCACCCTCTCAATCATATGCAGCAAACATTCTTCACTGGCCGCCGAGGATCAATCCTTAAACCCCCATCTGGCTTCAGAGCAATCACCCTCGTAAAAGCCGATGGCGATCTCACCAATAGTCGCCTCAAGGGCGCCGTTAGCCCCGAAGAAATAATGAAAAACAGTCCCACGGCTGAGTTTATAGACCCCGATCCTGCGGATGGCTTTTCCGTACGAAACTTCCAGATTCAGGTCGCGAAGATGGCTCTTGTATCTGACATCATCGTCTACGGCGATGACGTACCTCAAACCAGGCGGATGGCCTGGGACATTGCTGCTGCGCAGAAGAGATGGCAAGAGCAAAACGGTATCCACGCAGACGGCATTCAAGATCATTATTGCTTTGTCTGTACTTGCCCGTTTTCCGACTTCGAGCGGTACCATGGCGATCTCGTTGCTGTTGATGCGGCCGGCTGTCTGACTGGTCAAGTCTTGGACTTGGTCCATCAGGAGCGCAGAGAGATGTGGGATATGACAGTCGCATCAGAGATATCTCATAATGTCTACATGGGACCGACTCCAGAGCCCGGCAGTTCTGAGGAGCAGCGTTTTGATGTCTTGATTGAATGCAGTGACCTCGGTAGGATGAACCCCGAGTCGCTGAGGCGGGTGGCTAGATGCTCTGCTGAAAAAGTGCCCGAGGCCTTCCATGAGTTTCCGTCCTCAGGGAGCATCCTCCCGCCTACTTATTCTCAGACAGAAGCAGACGGAATTTTGAACACCTGCAAATGGCTCTATCACATTTCGCACGGCACTCTTCCGGATCCCGAAATTGTTGGAGGCAAAGATGGGGATGTGGAGATATGTTTTGACGAAGAGAGAGGCGTCAACAGTCTGCGAGCTCGCAAAGTCCTGATCCACTGCGCCGATGGCTATACCGAATCCAGTATGCTAGGTATAGCATATTTGAGCTATAGCTCCGGGCTTCCAGTGCCAGATGCATGGTTAAATCTCCATACGACGAAACAGCGCAACTTTTTCGCATATCCTACTGATGTTGCTCTGCTGAAGGCTATTTCCCCTCGCCTCCTCCGTGAATCACCGGAATGCAAGAACAAAGATACCAGCGAGCTCATGGCTCTGGTGAAGAATGAACCGAATTGGTTTTGCAGTCTGGATGGCTCACTACCAAGTCGCATACTCGAATACCTGTATCTGGGTAATCTCGGCCACGCGAACAACCCGTCTCTCCTACGAGATATGGGCATTGGTCAGATCCTGTCTGTTGGCGAGACTGCCTCTTGGCGGGAAGGCGACTTAGAAGTCTGGGGACAAGACAATATTTGTATTATTCAAGGGGTGCAAGACAACGGCATTGACCCATTGACGAATGAATTTCAGAGATGCCTCGACTTCATTGGTAAGCATTGTAAAATGAAACCTTTGGTATCTATCGCTTTGTCTAACTAGTGTTACAAATTCAGATCGAGGAAAACGACTAGGGACGTCAACTTTGGTCCATTGCCGCGTCGGCGTTTCGCGAAGCGCGACCATATGTATTGCCGAGGTCATGCGTGTCCTTAGGCTCTCTTTTCCACGAGCGTATTGTTTTGTGAGAGCTCGGCGACTGAACGTTATTATACAACCACATCTACGGTTTGCGTACGAGCTGTTACAGTGGGAGCAAGCTCTGTTGCAGACCGACGATAACGCAGGCACGTTTAAACGAGAACTTGAATGGGCCGAAATAACGCGAGAAATCGCGCTGATGAACAGGCCGTATTCACGTTAAACGGGTGGAAAAGAGAAGAATAAGCATGAACCTTGTCGTCAATATGGTATGGACAAGAACATCGTCTCCGTTGCGCATGACCAATGAATAACAGTTATGGCGTCTGGCATAGTCCCTGGGGAATATTGAAGACTACCTACTACAAGATAATGATCACGAAAGAAATCCGGCTTATGGATAATGATGGAAATTGAAGTTATTCTGCTTTTATGATGGAACAATTGCGCAACTTGACGGCAATATCTGGGTGTTTTGTTAATTCTGGTTTGGAGTCTTTTTGTCATCTTTGCTGGTATCGCCGATGCAGTATTATTATACGATATTTTAGGTTCATGAATGTAGCTTTGAAGTTTGTTTTGAGTTTATGCCTCTGAACACCGAGTTTGCTTGTATGGAAAACAAGCCTCAATTGACCCCCAGGCTGTGCAAAAGGCATGCTTTCAGGAACTACGTCATGCAATTGCAACCAATGTGAAGGAGCATAAGCGAAACCAGTACGAAAACAATCTCTTGCGTAACCACTAGAGAAATAAAAATAGAGAAACTCGAGGCCATGTGTTGTATAGGTGACAAGAAATTAGGACACGCTGCAGTGGCTTGAGGAATAACGGCCGGCCCGTGTGCGTCTGGTTCAACGGGGTTTCCAATTAATTGCTATATTCCAGCATATTAAACACCATATGGCGAGCCGTCGATTTTGTCGTCTCCTTCCAAAACACTATAATCGGATTTCGTTAACACAGGCCAGGGGGAGACTGCACGCTGCCTTTAAGGCTGAGACCAACTTACGAAAATTGCTTAACGAGATAACCCTCACCGCCATTTTCCATGTCGATGTTGTAGACGTAAAGCCCGCCGTCGCTGGTCACTACCATGACCTGAGGGCTACTACTGCTCATGGCGACAACGCTGCGCAGAGGGCCCGCAGGCGAGCCGCCAGCGTAGCGCGAAGTATTGGGTGAACCTGTTGATTTGGGAATCTTGATGAATGCAAAATCTCTGATGGGCTCCCACATCTCGGTGACTGATTGTGGGAGATAAGAGCCCACCACGCCTGCGACGCCTCGCCCCATGATTTGGGATGAACGACGCAGCATATTGCTAAAGGAGCCACTCTGCCTGCGATTGGCGACTTTGACGGGGCTGTTTGTAAGCTCTGCTACCTCACTTCTAGGCGATTCGGCGGCGCTGTCGCCTGGGGAGCCTCCCTCGTCCTGGTGTCGGCCACGCGACCAGCGATCTTGCCTAGGAGACCCTGGAGGCTCAATCGGTGCACCACCTGGGGTACTGTGCCCTGGCGGTGCTCCCAGACGGAAAATATGAACGGTATCGGAAGTGGAAGAAACGCAGAGAAGCGTCGAGCTCAAGTTAAAGGACATGCTGTATATGGTTGATGGATAAGTTCCGCGACGGAACTGATACAGTTTCTGTCCACGGGGAACAGAGAACACTCGAATAATTGTGCCAGTCTCGCTAGCCGTCGCAAGTAGTGTTCCGTCGTTGTTCAGGCATATACTGCACAATGGCGAGCGATGTGCCTCGATTACATTGACCGCTTTCAGAGTGAGGGTATCGAAAACCAGAACGTCACCCACAGTCGGAGTTACATAAGTCGATTGCGGTGGCGCATGAGCAGGCCTTCTGGCATCGGCATCTTCTCGTGGCTTTGGCAGCGGATATGCGACGAAGCAATTTTCGGACGAGGGCGACAATGCGCAGATGGCCGAGGGGTTGGGGGATGTGGGTATAGTGTAGATGAGGCTCATGTTGCTAATATCATATAGATAAATTTCTTCTTCAAGTACGACGGCTAGGCGCTTGCGGTTGAGGCGCACTGCCAGAACGGCAGAAGGAAATGTGAGCTCGCATATTACCGAAGCTCTCTACGATGTCGAAAAGTTAGCCATTGGTGCGTGCGTCGAGCATGATTGTCTGGAGCGAACCTTTGTATTTTGTATAACAAGGTGGCGGGGAGACAAAATTAAAGCAACGAGAGAGGTAGAGAAAAGCATCTCGATAATCGAAATATTGCCATCGTCGCTCGTGAAGATGCGGGAAAATGGGTCGGTGTGGTAGATCCGGAAGCCTTTCGAGGTGCCTGCCAGCGGTTAGTTGGAAGGAGTGCATTGGGTGGTGGGAGAAAAAAGGGAGACTGCATACCAACAGCAAGACAGCTGTGGTCCTGATTGAAGGTGATGAAGTTGAGCGCCGGGCTCGCCATCACGGACGGCCCCTGGCGACGAGAGCTTTGCGCAAAGCCGGAAGGCGGTGGTAGTGAATAGACGTGGCTGCGACGGCGGCTGCGTGTGTTTTGGCGGTGCTGTTTGAGGCTTCGCGATGCTGCGGAAATTATGACGAGCGCGCACAGAGTCGGCTGGTGGAGAGATTGAAGAAGATGGACTGGCAGCCAGGCAGTCAAATGACGGGCAGAGGCGCATGTGGATGGTTGTGAGGCTAGGTACAGGTACCCAGGTATTACCTGGTGTCGGCGGTTCAGCAGGTGTGGGGTGTACAAGTGAGGGGGGCGTCATGGCACGGCAGGGCACAAGTGACACGCTGGGTTGGTTTTGTTGACAAGGATGCCATCAAAGACGGTAAATAAATCCGTACACAGAGACGCTAGAGACAATGGTCTGATGAACAAGAATTGCTTTTGAAAGAAAGATGGTACACTACGGGCTGCTCTGGCCTACAAGCGGATGACGAGATCAACCAGCGGCTACTACAAGGATAAATTTTTGAAATAAAATAATCAAATGCCACGAGTAGATATTATTTCTACGTTGCCCCATTGCGTGGGCAGTAGACTCGCTGTTCCTATCCACTTGTTGCCTTTGGCAGCACTAATAAGGGAGACAAACCACTATCATCTTCGTTATGCTTTTATTTTCTTAATTATTGTTTTCTTCGTATTCTTATCTTTCCTTCTTTTCCTTCTTTATTATTCTGGTCTTTCTTATCCTTGTAATTTTCTCATTCTATTTCCCCTTCTCCCTTATAGTTCTTTTTAATACAGTGTGTTCTGGCCAGTGTCTACTAGGTAATTAATTCCCTTCATGGGCAGCTATTCCCTGTAATAAACCACTTGGTCGTGGATGGGCAGCACCACCCTTGTTCATAAACCGACCTCGTTTCTTCGCAGCTTACTCGTGCTATGGAAGCTTTCTAGAGAGATAACAACAATAGTGGAATACACCATCCCTACGATCAGGCAATGAGTTCATCTACGACACGCTCATTTGTGTCCAGTCGTTGGATTATTACCTAATCACCTTGCCCAAAACTGGCCAGCCCGCAAAAACAGAAAGCTCTGCTGAAAAGTGAGAAAGCATCAAATGCGACGGCCTTCAAGAGGCGGTCCAAAATATCCTGCGCTACATCACTGGTGCCTTGTAGCTACTTCTCAGATACCAGTCCAGATATGGAGTCGCTAGCATCGTTGATACCGACGAAACCCGTCCCTACTCCGACGCAAAGGTCCCCGGCGCTCGACGACCTGATCATGGGTGTAAGTAATTGCCCGACTTTTCTTTGGCGTACCTTTGAATATGAGATGTGACAGAATCTAGCGTGTGCATGTCTAATTATATTACTCCCTAGACCAACAGTAGCAGCATTGTTTCCAAGCGCAGTGTTGAAAGGTTTTACTACCCAGATGAGCCACACTATTTTCGCTACTTCGTCAAGAAGTTTCAGCGGCGAGCGCCCCTGATCAATCGTGGATATTGGTTGAGATTGAGAGCCATTGATGTTACTGTCAAGCAGTTTCTTTTACGATCTGCTGGCCGGAAAGTAGTCATCAATCTCGGTTGTGGAAGGTGAGTAGATCGGCTTTTCTGCGCGAATCGCGGTTATTAATATGGTGCACAGCGATGTCTTGCCGTGGCAATGTCATGCGCGGTATGGAGACAGCTGCAATAATGCATTGTTTATTGACGTCGACTACCCAGATCTCATGCATAAAAAGCGATCGATTGTTTTGGAGACACCTCAGTTGAAGGGTCTACTCGGGTCATCATTCAAAGTTTTTGACTCTGATCAAGATCTTGTACTGCTGAAGAGTGAAAAGTACTGCCAAATTGGATGCGATCTTCGCGAATTGGAAGCACTCCGCCGGGTGCTTGAAACTCTGGTCGACTTGTCAGACTGCCTTGTCCTCTTTGTTGCCGAAGTTTCCATCACTTACATGGATACCGAATCTGCGGATAGTTTACTTGAGTGGGCTAGTTCTGTTGGCAAGGCTGAGTTCTGCCTCCTGGAACAACTTTTGCCCTACGGTCGTGGCCACCCTTTCGCCCAGACAATGCTTAGGCATTTCGACAAACTGAAGACGCCGCTTCGGTCTGTTGGGCATTACCCGACCGTCAGTGACCAGTTCAAGAGATTTAAGAGCCGGGGATGGTCCAGTGTGCAGATTTGGGACTTGTGGGACGCCTGGTGCTGTGGCGAGTTTGTAAGTGCCGAAGAAAGGGTCGCCCTGGACGATATCGAGCCCTTTGACGAATGGGAAGAATTTATGCTCTTTGCGCGCCATTACTTCGTTCTCCACGCATCGGCGACTGAGACTTCAGAGGCAATGAATGAAACGGCGGACCTGCAACCAACCGACACAAGACTTAGTACGGAGCTCACTATGAATCTCACTACAATTACCGGTAGCAGCAAACGCCGATTCGGAGCATTTGCGACCTTGAAAGATGTAGAGGGGCGGAATTTCGGACTGAACATGATGGGGCTGGGCTCCAATTCTCGTGAGGATAGCTCTGATATCTATTCTCTAGACGGCCGAGCAACATCCTCCCCGACGTTACCATTAACCGGCCCATCACCGCGCATGTGCTTCACTATTACCGACCTGGGATGCCACGGCATCTTACTTATAGGAGGCCGCGGCTCCCCAGCTAGCGCCTTTTCCGATTGCTGGCTTCTCAGAAATGGCCATGACCCGAGTTGGCAGTCGACATGGAAGCTACCAGCTCCTCTGTACCGCCATTCCGCCTTGAGACTGCCGGGAACATCATTGGTTTTTGTAGCCGGAGGCAAATCAGGCCCTTCGCAGATATCTGGGAGTTATTTTGTGCTTAACCCTGAACAAGGTTGGCTCCAATGCAAGGTTACTGGAGAGGTGCCGAGGCCATCATTTGGCTCCGTTTTATGCAACAACCCCGTGGGATCCTTCGAAGGCAAATATGCAGGATTCCTATGGGGTGGCATTGAAAGGACTGGCCTAATTAACAAAGAGAAATACAAGTGGACACTAGACGCGGCTGCTCAACAGGCAAGTAGCTTTTATCACCTCATCAGAAGACAGCTAACCACCAGTGAATAGCCCACACTCAGTTTTACGAAACTAAAGAACGATGTCGGTCCCGAACTTTCCATCTTTGGGGCCCAAGTCATTGACATCAACGGAAATACAATTATATGCGGAGGCATGGCTGAAGATCAGACTGTTGATGGACAAGCAATGTACTGCTTGACCTCGTCTAATTCTAATTTCACCGTCGTGAAAATCAAGCAGTGTCCAGACAATTCAGCCGCCAAACCATTTATGATTGGCTCATCGGCTTTGTATCACGACGGCCGCATTATCATTGCTGGAGGTGGCGCGACCTGCTTTTCCATGGGAACATTTTGGGAGACAAATATTTATCAAGCACAGTTGCCTGCAATCCTCCACAGTGGCCGACCGCCACCGGACGAAGCACCCAAACCCCGAAAGGTGAGCTATATATCCTCACACCGCGTCGTAAGCAGCACTTCTGCCCAGAAACGTGATAGCGAAGACGGTAGACTTGATGCAAAAGCTAGCATTTCGACCATTGCGCGCCTTAGCCTGAACTCGGCATCTCAATTCGAAGGTCTTCTTCAGCGTGGCGAACCTGTGGTGATCGAGAATCTCTATCTGGGAGACTGTCTTGCGAACTGGAATTCTGAGTACATGACCGATAAAGTGGGAAGCGACAAGAAGGTCAGTTCATTCTGCATGTTTACCAATTGTTCGGGTCTGACCCGTGAACCAGGTCGTTGTCCACGAATGCCAACCGGATAACGGCAAGATGGATTTCAACGCAAAAAACTTTCAATACGTCACAAGCGACTTTGGTACCATTATGGCTAGAGCCAAGAATGGGGACAGATTGTACTTGCGCTCACTGTCGAATGACAAGCCGACTGAGCAGCCAGCCAAGCTGGAAGAGGACTTTCCTGACTTGGCAACGGAATTCGTACTACCAGAACAACTCAGTTATGTCAAAAAGCAGCTGTTCAGCTCTGTGCTGCGCGTCTCTGGCAGAGTCAACATGTGGCTGCACTATGACGTACGTCTAATAAGGTTGCTTGCTGCCCATCTGTGTCCCAACTAATTTCGGATAGGTCATGGCCAATGTGTACGCGCAGGTTGTCGGATCAAAGAGAATGATTATATTTCCACCAAGCGATGTACCGTATTTGGCATTTGCGCCCGGCGCCTCCAGTTCCAGCGTAGATGTGTTTGCATTGCTGGAAACGCCAAAGCTCGCTCGTACACAGCCTTATGAAGCCATTGTTGGCCCTGGCGATGTTTTATTCTTACCACCTCTCTGGCTACATACCGCAACGCCCATGACAAACATGAGTGTAGCAGTAAATACGTTCTTTCGCGACCTAGACCTTGGGTACGCCACTGGGCGAGATGTGTACGGGAATAGGGATCTAGCCGCCTATGAAAGGGGCAGACAAGACGTCGCCAAGATTGCGAAGCAATTCCAGAAACTACCAAAAGAGACACGCAGGTTCTATCTGGCAAGGCTGGCAGATGAGCTACTGCAAGCGGGGGAAGGCAATTGAGTCGAGCTCATTGATTGATCGGAGCCGCGGTACAGATACAGAGAGAAGCAGTACCAAGTAGTAGCCGCGGAATTTTCCGCACCCCTTAATTTCCAGACATCTCGAGACCTAGATTATACCGATCTTATACACTGTTTGAGAAAGAGCCGCGCGAGATCTCGCGTTTTTCTGCCAGCCACCAAAATGAGCGTGTGCGTCCGGCACCAGGTTCAATTGGGCGAAGATGGTTCCGTGGCTGGCCTGGTCCCTGGTTACAGCTGGACAAAAACAACTGATACTCTGATGGAAATTATTATATTCATTTATTCTGCAATATTAGAACGTGTATTAATTTACCTTCCAAGACTAGTCAGGTCGAACCTAAAATTTTCAGTCGCACACAGGCGTGTGACGGAGTGTGGCCATCTATCTGCGCGCATGGAGCTAGCTTCACGCCATCAGCACTTCTCTAGTTTCCTGGCGCGGTTAGCTGTGCCATCTACCCTTCCCTTATAGTCTCGTCACCCTCAGCTTCGTCTCGCCAAGGGCAGACAAATCATCTCCGCCTGCCGTGAAGATATCGAAGTAGCAGATCTTGCTTCCGTACGAATCTGCAAGTCGATACGCGATCTGACGTCATCTCCATTTCGCAAGCAGTGTCACGCTCAATCGCATCGCACACAAGGAAAGTTTGACCAGCAACGTGGAGCTTCAAAACGGCGAAACCCATCGTCAACTATACTTTGTCTAGCTCTTAATCGAATCGTATACGAAAACTCAGCCCTTACAAGTCCGCTGCCAACATGTCTGCCGGTGGACGTTTACTGCGTCGCATGCTGTTTCCCGTAGCCGTCGTGACGACAGGAGCTGTCCTGGTCTACAGCTACCGCCCACGAAACATTCCTGGTCATTCATCAGCCGCAGTGCCGGCGCCGACATATGCCCCCGATGGCTCCTTTACGATGCCACGATTCCCACACGTCAAGTCCCGCGAGGAACAACTCAATGCCCTGCGCCTAAGCAGTAGCGGCTCGGCCGGCGACGAATATGATATGCTTGTAATTGGTGGAGGTGCCACTGGTGCTGGCATTGCTCTCGATGCTGTGACTCGCGGCCTCCGCGTTGCTGTCGTGGAGCGTGATGACTTTAGCAGCGGCACCAGTAGCAAGAGCACAAAGCTGGTCCACGGTGGTGTTCGATACCTGGAAAAGGCTGTGTGGAACCTCGACTATAATCAGTACAAGCTGGTCCGCGAGGCCCTCACAGAGCGAAAGTACTTTTTGCAGACTGCGCCGCATCTTTCTATGTGGCTTCCGATCATGCTACCACTGGATAAATGGTGGAAGGCACCCTACTATTGGGCTGGAACTAAGTTTTACGATCTCCTGGCTGGAAGCGAAGGCATTGAGAGCTCCTACTTTCTCACCCGCAGCAAAGCTCTTGAAGCCTTTCCGATGCTCAAGCAGACTGACTTGGTTGGCGCTTTGGTATACTACGACGGAGCACACAATGACTCTCGCATGAATGTCTCCATTGCCATGACAGCTGCTCTGTATGGTGCCACCGTGGCAAACCACGCTGAAGTCACAGGTCTCTTAAAGGATGACCAAGGCCGTCTTTGTGGCGCCAAGATACGTGACAACATTTCTGTTCGCGATGGCAAAACTGCTGAGGACTTTACCGTGCGCGCCAAGTGTATCGTGAACTGCACAGGTCCCTTTACAGATGCCATCCGCAAGCTAGACGACGAAAATTGCAAAGAAATCGTTGCGCCGTCTTCGGGCGTCCATGTTATCTTGCCAGGCTACTACAGTCCAGGCAAGATGGGTCTGTTGGATCCCTCCACCTCTGACGGCCGAGTCATCTTCTTTCTCCCTTGGCAGGGAAACACGATTGCGGGCACCACAGACTCGCCTTGCGCAATCACCCCCAACCCTGTGCCGGACGAGGAGTCTATCAACTGGATTCTTGATGAAATTAGAGGCTACCTCTCTCCCGAAATCCGCGTCCGCCGCGGTGACGTTCTGGCCGCCTGGTCGGGAATCCGGCCGCTCGTCAAAGACCCCAAGGCCAAGAACACCGAATCGCTGGTGCGCAACCATCTCACATTCGTCTCTCAATCGGGCCTTCTGACTTGTGCTGGTGGTAAATGGACTACGTATCGTCAGATGGCTGAGGACTGCGTCGATGTCGCTGTCGACGAGTTTGGCCTCAAGACCAGGGCCGTCGAGGATGCTCCGCGAGTCAGTGGGACCAACCTTGTAGACGATGGTGCCATCCTGGACGGCAAGTGTCAAACCCACAACGTAAGACTGATTGGAGCACACGGTTTCAGCAAGACGCTCTTCATCCCCTTGATCCAGTACTTCGGCGTCGAGACTTCATCCCCTTGATCCAGTACTTCGGCGTCGAGACTGAAGTTGCCAAGCATCTAACTGAAAGCTACGGAGATCGTGCCTGGTCAGTCGCCGCTCTTTGCAAGCAAACAAACCAGCGTTTTCCCGCTCGCGGCGAGCGAATCTCGCAGCTCTATCCCTTTGTGGACGGTGAGGTGCGATATGCTTGTCGACACGAGTACGCACAGACGCCTGTCGACATCCTGGCGAGACGCACGCGCTTGGCTTTTCTCAGTGCTCAAGCAGCCCTCGAGGCTCTCCCCAAAGTTATCGACATCATGACCGAAGAACTAAAGTGGGATCGTCGTAGACAGGAAAAGGAATGGAAAGACAGTACGTTATCGACAACAACCCGCCCTTGACACATACCTCAACTGCTCCGGCAGTTATTATTACTTGATACTAATTTGTTATCTCTCCGACAGCTGTGGACTTTCTCAAGTATATGGGTCTCCCCCAGCCGATGCTGTCGGCCACCCGTAAGCAGGTTGAGCAAGGCAAGCTCGACTTTGCAAGTTCGCTCGACTGGAACATGTACTCGCGACACGACAAACCCCAGGAAGGCTAAACATGTTCTCGCTGTACTTTGGCAGTCACTTCTGTTGAGGAGGTGGCCTGCGCCTTGTTGCCTACATCCGTCAGAGAGGGGCTGTAACGTCCTAACAAGTATCGCGCGCCCTCTCACCGAGGGCAGCAGGGCCATTTATTAGAGCCAGGCCAAATTGTGCTCCCGCCCCAACCTATCGGGTCATACACCCAGCCCTTCTTCTTCTTCTGCTTCTGCTTGCTTCTTCTGCTTCTTCTGCTTCTTCTGCTTCTTCTGCTGGTTCCTTTTTTTTGCGGGGCTCAGTGACGAACCACAAGCCGATGGCTTTCCCGGAAAAAAAAGTCATGGGACGCAATTCCGACGACGACCAGAAGAACCAAAGGGCGGAGGCGCCGCAACGCCGCACGCCCACCCCCACCCACATTGGCGCAACTGGTCGTGTGTGCCCGCCTGTCTTACGCAAGGTACCTTTTATAGAAAGATGTATTTTTTGCTATTTGCCACTGTGAGAAATGAATTCATAATGCGGTGCAATAATGTGCGCGTTTGCATGATACTATGAAAGAAAAATATACATTATTCGTCGCGCAGCTCTGAAGTAGACAGACTTTCCTTTGTATTCCGAGTTCAACACTGACTAAACCGGAGTGATAACTAATAGCTAGGTAGCTAGTGTTTTATTTTAAACTGTATATTCTATGGGTCTGTACCTCTGGCTTGTTTGGGCGGAAAATTGAAACAAAAGCAAAACCATAGTTTACGACTTCTAGTATTTATGGGTTTCTTTACCTGGCAGCCCGGCTCACTGCCACGAATTGCCGCCTATAAACGTGTTTGCCTGCCATGTTAGCCACTATCTACAATCTACCTATGACCAAGCATATATTTAAGCTAAGCGAGCCGTCTTATCAACGCCGCTGCCTGGCCGGTGGTACGCGCGTATGAGGACAATGTCACATTGTCACAAGCCAGAATAGTTAGGGAGGGTAGTAGTCAAAGAAGGAAGCAATAGTGGTCTGGTGCGTACACGCAGAGCCAAAGTCTCATTGGGAAGAAGTGTGTTGCGCCATAGAAATATGGTGGCGTCTCGTGCAGATGCAAAGCAAATGCTGCAAACTAATGTACAGAGAAGAAAGTAAGCCCCAAACTCCGATCCGTCGTACCTATGTCCTCTAAAATATATGACAATGTCGTTCGCTGTTGAACAACTTGAAGGAAAAGGGAAAATCGCAAACCATGTCTAGAAGAAAGAAGAAGTCGGTCGTCTAATAGAAGAATCAACGCTCTTAGCCATCGAAAATGTTTCGCTTGAATAAACACTAATGAAATTCCAGAAAATCAATCGCCATTATGATTCCAGATTCGTGTCGTAAAGGGTTAAATAGCGCGAGAAAGCCGCAGTCGCGGTCTATTTGTGCCACCATGCAGCTTCCCAGCCACAAGAGTCGTAAGTGGCGGGAAGGTCGCCTTTGCAGAGCCGTGACCCGGCCCACTCAGCGCCAAAGTGATCGAAATGTTGCACCTGGCGAGGGTCGCTCGTAAACCGAAAGTTTACAAGCTGACGGTTTTTGATATGGCCGTCGGGCATGGTCGTGGTCACGCACCTTCATAAGGTGGTACTGTTGCCGCTGCCGCGACGGCTGGCGACGCCAGAGGAGGAGGAGGAGGACGTGGCGGCATTAGGCCGTCGGCTAGAAGCCTTGCGAGTAAAGCCCAGCTTTTCGCCCATCTTTTTCCAGCCCTTGTTGTGCGCAGCAACAGCACGCTGCAGACCGCCAGGAGATGAGTTGAACGCCCAGTCTGAGGTGGTAGGCGGAGTCGTCGGAGGGGTCATGGGCTCGCTGGTGGCGGGAGAGTTGCCCTCGCTGTCGTCGGTGAGGCCTTCGAACTCGAGACTCTGGCTGGTTCGGCTCCTGGTGGTTGTGTGAGACCGAGGGGAGCGAAGCTGCTCCTCACCATGCTCGATGTGCAGCGGGGCGACGGATTCGAGAAAGGGAACCAGAAGCGAGTCATTCATGAGCTCATAAATGATGCGGCCGGCGTCGTCGAGAACAGAAGGATGGGGGGGAACAGGGTTATAATGGGTCATGAGAAGGCGATCGCGGACACGCGAGGGGATGTTGACCTCACGAGGAGCGCAAGGGACAATGTACACCTGCATGAGCTTTTGCCAAAGGGCAGAGAGGCGGGCGTTGGCGGTGGTGACGGATTCAGCCTCGGAGGCGAGATCTTGGTAGAAGTTGGAGTAGCGCTGAGCATCGAGAGTGAATTCAAGCGTCTCCATGCAGTGGTTTTGAGATAGATAGGCCATGAAGGCAGCAAGAGTGTAAGGAGGAGGCGAGATGTCGTGAAGAATCTCCCGCAGGGTCGGGGGCTGATGAGCCGCCATGATGTATCTGGGAGAACCTGGACGTGAGGTAAAAAGCTCGCTGGTAGGGCGCGAGCATGTGTCGATTTCGAAAAAGTCTTCGAAGGCGGAAGATGGTCGCGGGGATAATTCAGTAGGACTGGGAGTCAAGTCTACCATCAGGCTAACCATGTCTACTTTGGACCCCGCGGAGGGAGTTTGGTTCTCAAGGCAGCGGACCAGTGATTGCGACAAACCAAGGGAGGCTATTGGGAGCGACTCGCTTGGGGACGCAACAGAGGCCGCGGTGAGAGCGTGGAAGAGCAAGGTCGAGTGTTGTGTAAGTTGTAACGGCAAGCGGAAAGAAAGATACGCTAGATTTGCGAACAGACGGGGCGCGAGAAACGAGGGCGTACGGGTGCACGGAATAGTGTGACCAAGATGTCTGGACCAGAATACCGGTAACGGATGTTGAGAGAATCAAGTCGCTTGCCAACGTCGGACAACAGGATCAAGTGTGGTACGACAGAAAGAGGTGTAGCAGGAGAGAAGAAAAAAGACCATGTGCAGCGATACGGTCGGATGGAGGTATGAGAATGGCGAAAGGACACCGAGTTGTTGGAATGCAGGGTCGAGGAGAGCAGAGAATTGGGGTGCGTGGTGGTGTTTGTGTGTTTGTGCCAGGCAGGATTGGAAATGATGGCGGAAGCGGGGAGGCGATGGTATTCGAATGGTGTGGTGAAGAACAACTGGTGCAGCTTCTAATTTTGGTGGCTTGCAGGGGGGTAGATGTTGCTCTGGCGCTAGGAAGGGCGGTCGTCTGCCAGTCTGACAGTCTGACAGTCAAAAAAAAAAGGGAAATAATGTAGAAGAGTTGTGGGAGGGACCGAGTTTTGTAACAAGGAATGGAATGATGGACTACTGGTAGGGAAGAGGGGGGGGTATGGTAAGGCAATCGAGCATACGCCCCATCAGGGTTTTAGAAACATTGGGCAAGAAAGTCGAGTGGAAGCCGCAGCGAAGATGGCGTAGAAGAAAGAGGAGAAAGGGGGGGAGGGGGGGTGATCGGAGCTTTTTTCTTGCTTCTGCACAGGTTGCTAGTTAAAGTCACAGAAGTGCATTCCGGGGAGAGCGACAGAAAGACCAGCCAGGACCCTCTGGGTCCCTCCTCTCAGGCCGCCGGGGCCCTCTTTGCCTCCCTGGTCAGTGGCGCCGGGCTGGGCTGCTGGGATCTCTGGGTCCCAGAGAAACAAGGTCTATGGATGGCATGGATGGCGCTAGAATACAAGTCCTGTCAGCCCACCCGTCCAAACGGGCCTAAAAAGCAATGCGCGCAATGCTTTTGTCTGATACACCTAGGTACCTCTCTACATACAATACAGACTCGCCAAGTCCCTACCTCGGTAGGAGCGCGGCAAAAAGGCGATGGCAGACCAGTGTTGATTGCATTTATTATTCACGATGATAGCCCAGTAGCGGCTATCAATGCCCGCCCTCGTCTTGGTCGCGTCGGCTTACCGTGTCCTTGAGCCTTGAGATGTACCGGCCGACGGCTTTCAGAGCGCCACCGACGTTGTTTCTAGAACGCCTGCCCTGGTCACCTCTGGCCAGTCCGCTGCCAGGTCGAGCCGCCGCGACACCATGCTGACGCAAAGTGCATGGATTGGATGATTGGCCGGATGAGACCTGCACAGACGTGCGAGGCAAGCAAGCAAGCCAGCCGCAGCGCCAATAGACTTATGCTTCGCATCCTCAATGCGTTATTCAGTTGTCAAGATTCACATAGTGTCGGACCATAGTTACCACCCACCCGCCTTGCCATCGCCTGCAGGTATTGCTTTCACCATATCGGCCGGCCTGCAGCCATAACGGGACCATGGGGTGATGCACGCGCCGAATGGCGAGAGGCTGTTGCCCCAGTAGTGGGCTCTGACCAGGAGTGCAATGGTGCAATGGCAATCTGGTAATAAGTACATGGATAATACCTGTACTTTTTTTCGTGTGTATTTACAAAGTTTGTGCATCCTTACAGGACTCCCCGATATGCCGACTTGATTTAAAGAGGCGCCGATTCTCGCACATCGGTCAATTGTCATTTAACGTGTCTGCCTGTATCCGCATCTTGGAGCCGGCTCATCTTGCATCTTTCCGAAACTCGGCATCCGCACGGCGTCGCGCCCATCTTGCTCTACACCAGGGTTCTTAAACAGTCCTACTCGAATACTGGACGCGCAAGTCTCCACGCAGTCTGGGTTTTCTTCTTCATTATTCCCTCGATTACACGCCACGCTGTTTGTCCCTCCGCGAATCAGGTATTTCCTCGTGACCCTTCGAAACGAGTCTTCTAACAACAAATTACATACGTATGTGGATTGGGGTCGGGCTGTGCAGTGCCCCATATTTCTGACGCAAAGTCGGTGGGCGCTGGACCGCTAGTTGACGATAGCAAGGACAAGCCATGCTATTAAAGTTTTTTGACTAGGTACCTACATACATAGGTTGGTACCGTAGTTGCGTACCTAGGTACCTACCTGCAAACGGGGACGTGCCAGACGGCTGGGTTACAATTGTTGAACATTTTGGTGCCCCGGGGTTTTCAGCACTCCAAATTACCAAGCAAGACTTAGAGATTTATGAACTACCAAGAGGTAAAAAAACGTATATATCTGTTGGTGTCCTGAGCACCTGTCTCTGCCTAGGTCGGTGGCGAGAAAACGGCCAGCTTCTAAATGTACGGATACGTAGGTACATAGGTAGTCAAGCAACCAAGTTCAACCAGTGACCGCTCTGGGTAAGAAAAGCGGGTAAGAAATGGACTTGAGGCTAGGTACCTTTCTAAGTACCTACACTAGACATGGAACGTGTCTAACATGTACTTTTCCTTATAGCGACGCTATGTTGTCTAACCCAGCTAAAAAAAAAAAAAATTGACTATCTACAAGTAGCCTAATCGCGTCAGAATAGGGGTAGTTATATATCAAATAGGGGACCTACTAGGTACCTTGTAGGTAGGCAGGTTGCAGACAGAGCACTGTCCTAGAGCTAGAAGGACGCTAGAAGCTCCGAGCCCAAAGCCCAAGGCCCATTTATCACCCAGGTTAGTACCTACTCCGTACAGTGGTCCCAATTACCGTTGGCGCGCTGTTGTTCGTTCCATTCATCCCGTGGGCAGCACCAGTATTCTAATAGTTGAGGGTGGCTGAATGGCAGTGGCCATGTTGGTGTCCGTTGTAATTCGTACGAGATATTGATTAATGAAAAAAAAAAAATGCAACCCGGGCTTGGTTAATTTACAACACCTCTGTGGACTGCACGAATTCGACCAACTGCTCGCAGCACAATGTGTCTGGCTGGCTAGGTACGAATCCGTCTTCTGCTCCGGGGCCAAGGTTTGATTTGTCGCGAGATGTAGAGCGCCTATATAATTATTACATCAATCAGTGACCAATGTCCCGCAAGCACCTATTACAAGGTGGACAAGGTGGACAAGGTGATACGACCTCAGGATGAGGAACCAAGCCACGTAGAGACGGCGGCAGACATCACAGGAGCATTTCGCTGAAAAGCTTTCTCAACAACTTCCTTGGATGACGAAACCCCTGATAATATAAATCTTGCGATTGAGATCCAGATAGGGCTGCATAGGCGACGCCGCCTGGGCACCTTCAGGAAACACGAGAGCCTGCTCGGCTCTTGGCATTCTAGAACAATGGACGGCAAGCCCTCGGCTAGTTCAGCGCATTGTCACCCTTGTTTGTCAGTCAGTGCTCAGTACCACTCGTCACTTATTAGGTAAACTAACATGTCGCTTGTCACCCGCACCCATGTTTGCCTCATCACCGGCGAGGTGGCGTGTGAGAAACCCTGCACTCTGTAGCGTTGCCAGCGGTCTGGGAGCGTTGCACACCCGCCGCCGCCGCCGCCGCCGCCACCGCCAAACACCACCAACAGGCCGACAACGACCACTAACTATTGCTGTTCCCTGCGCAGCCACGCCTTCACCCAGCCCCCAACGACGCCCCAATATGGCGACTCGTGCATTGAAGCCTTTTCTTCGAGCCCAACTCGGTTCGGTCCATCTCTCGCCGTCCAACATTAATGAGGAATTAACACGTTACTCGCAACTACACCGCAAGCATCGCTGACACGGCCCCCGCTACGGCATTCCCGGATCCATGTGCCCCGCCCTTGTGTCACCAAACGGACCGCTCTCGCTGACAACTCTCGTCTTCTTTTTGACTTCCTTTTCCCTTCTTTTGGCACGGACAACTATTAATACAGGCTTTCCCATCTCTTCAGCAAAGCTGGCGCCCAATCATGTTCGGGTCGCAGAGTGGCCCGTTTTTCTCTCCCCTCCCCTCTTTGTTCCAATAATGCCCCGGTTGTCAAGAAGATTTTTCGTGTCCGCACCGCGCCCGCTTCCGAGAAACACGCAGTGGTTCGAAAAAGATCAATAACTATCCCTGTGCCCTTGTTTTGGTTTTTCATCATTTGCGATACGTACATAAACAGTGCTTCTACCCGTGGCTTATTCAAGTACCGCCACGACGTCGTACGACCGTCGGTCATGCCGTCTGTATGTCGGACCTCGGCCCTGCCCTTCTCCCCAGCAAGTCCCACTGGCACATTGGCGACGGCCGCTGCCGAAATGAATGCTCGCTTACTCGCAGTTGAACTCGGTTTATTATCCCACCAGTAATGCGTTTGTTCATCTCAACGCTTCTACGCCCAAACAAAACGCCGACAGTTGGAGTGGCCTCGTCTGCATCCCTCGGCGACAACTATCAATCCCGGGGGTTGTTTGCTTCCCTGCAGAACCCTGCGGCGGATGGCTTGGTAGGGCATTACGCATGACGCCCAGCGAAATACAGTGCAATGGCGGCAATCACTATGTAACGCCCGCGTGGGTGTTCGCCCGATTGTTCGCAGGCTCGAAATCTAACCTCGACTAGCACCTCCGACACGCCCTTGTGACCATGACGATGTTCATGTGCGCAAAACGTACATGTTTAAAAACTGGCATTTGATACCAGGCCCACGAACGGAATGCCAGCATGGGCAATGATATCCGGCGTAGTTGAGAGAAGCTGTGGCGATCCGTGGGTCGTTGTGATATTGGTTGCCAAGCCAGTCACACGGCAAGCCTTGAAAAATATTATATTTTGCTCGTCGTAACATGCCCCCAGCTGCACCTTCAAATGGCAGTCATTGATAATTTAAAGCCCATCTAATGTGATAATCGGTGCTTCACTGACCCGTTTCTGATCTAGACTTCGAGCGCAAGGCCACCATGACTACCTAGGTACATAATTTGTAGATAGATCGGGGGCCCAGGCAAAACTAGGTAGGGTCTGCACCAAATCGGGGCACGTCACAATGTATCTCTTGTAATACGACGCAGACGCATGCACCGTTGACCACGGCAGGTCTCGACGAAGCTCATTTCAGCGTTGTTTTCAAAGACAGCCACTGGCAACTGGCCTGGTCAAGGTAGTTATGGCGCGCCGATACCAAAATAGCCACCGTTGCTAGGTTTTGTGTAATGAATACCTAATAAATAAAGTAGTATTATTAGTTATTAGTGTCGGGTTCCGCTTCGTTGCGACTGCGACACTCCAAGACTATTCTCTTCCAGCGTCAACATTGGGCGATATCCCTCACACTCACCTTCTTCTTCTGGTTCCCCAGCCCTGATTATCCACCCAGATTGGTTCGAATTGGACAAAGGCAGGAGGGGATGCAGTAATCGACTCGTTCCCACCCCACGTCAGTACCCTACATACTTGCGTTTGCTTGCTACCTACCATTTGCTATATTCGGTCTTCTCCTCACCCTATATCAAGTGATGCGCAAGCCCTCACCACCTGCGGAGCTCCATTTCGGGCACCATTCCTATTCCGAGATTTGTTGCCGTTGGATACTGCCTCCCCTGCTGGGCCGATTGTACAGCGCAGCGTTCCATTTACTTGCAGACGGCACATGAACCCGTCATGCAACCTGCATGGCCAGCGCGGAGGGCTTGGGTGAGCATGCGAGATCGCGGTTTTCGGAAATGGCGGGCCATGTCCATTCGACCGCGCTTCAGTGAGGAGCCAATCGTGAACCCTCCAAAATACCGCGCAAGCAAGTTTGTTAGACCATCGTCCATTTTTCTGTGACAAACAGTCCCCAGCAAACCAACTATGTAGTGCCACTGATTGGCCCCCAAAAACGAGCGGGACGGTCACTTCCATCTTTAGCTACCGAACTATTGGCAAAGAACTATAATCATACGAGGCCAAGGCGATTGCGACCTACAACTTCCATCAATGTCAATAAACCTGTTAGTCATGAGGTTGCCACATGCACAGTATACAGAAATGCAATGCAAAGCTTCGCAAGTGGCTTTTCCCGTCTTCGATCAAGGCAAATTTATTGCATGGGCCCGCAGTAAAAGAGACGAAAAACGTACATTGTGGTGCAGCCGTTGATTCTGTGAATGCCATGCCAGGCCAGCCATGTACCAGAAGCACTACTTCATTATTACTGCCTACATCACAACGAGGCACTCGATCACAGACTCGAGGTTGGAGCCTCCGCCTGGTTGCGTCAACTAATAACTTCGATAGAAAACTGAAAAAAAAGGCCTAATATTCGGGTATTCTGGAGGGCTCGGCACTTGAGGGCTTAACTGCAATATGGGGTTGCATCGGCTGCCACACTCGTGAACCCAATTGTCTGTTTTTGATCATCTGCACAGTGTAGAGCATTTCCATTTACCAATCAGCTGCGAGTGCAAAGGGTAGTTATTTCTCCTTGATTATTATATTAACTAGTGTACAGTCTCACAATACGAGGGCCTTGACTCGCTGCTCTGAGCGCCTTGAACAACATGCTCAAGGACGCGACCGCTTCCCCATTCTACTTATTGCATTAGTTACCTAATAATGCCTCTTGAAGGTCAGGTAGGCAAGGTGAGCAACCGGTCTGATGCTCCAGCGACGGGAAGCCCGCAGTGACCCCCACTGCCCCTAGCCTAGCAGCCAGTTTCAGATCAAGAAACGCAAGAAAACCTCGCTCTTGATCCTGGCACCACATGCATGCAGAGCCAAGATGGCCTGAGATTGTGTGTGGCAAAGTACTTGTCGAATGCAAAACCGTAAATACCCATGTACGAATTTCAATAGAGAATAATAGGAGACCAATATCTCATTCGTAGAATCCGATTAACTGCCAAGCGAGGCTAATTAACACCAATTCATTAATCGACGTACAAAAATAGCTAAAGTTTTTTCCTAGTAAGCGGCTGCCGCACTTGCTGGGCTGAGCGGCGCCACCTCTACGACTGGTCCCAACAAGGTGGCTTGCCTCTAACCAACTCAGTGAGGACGGCCACTCCGATCGTCTGGAGAACTCACGGCGACACACTTGCGGGACACTACCCAGCCTGACAGTGCTGTGAGACTTGCGAGAGACAACGGGGACGCGTGTAACCTCAGCCACTAGCTTGAGTCTGTAAATTACTCAAAGACATGGAGATGTTGATGTTGGTCGCTCTTCGGCTCCGGTATACCCGCGCCGGTTCGGCAGCTACTAATAGCATCCATAATGCCGCCAGGTAATAGGGACTGCTATTGTCGCCCGAAGCTTTTGCAGAATCGCTCGCAAACGTACAGTGGTCTACTTCAAGTCCTACGAGAGCTTCTCTGTCGATTGCAAAGATATGACACATATAAGAGAGGCATCAAGTTGCTAGTATTCTGTGTCTCTTCATACCGTATCACATATTAGAAGCGAGTTTCTCTAGGGAGTTAACTATATATTCTGCTTTTACGCTAAAGTATCGCTAGATTCGAACCGGCACCCGCACTACTTGCAGCCAGTGTTTCGCGCGAATTGAATGTCCGCCACGGTATCGCCACCGTGCTTGTGTCCAGACCCGAGACCGCATTCATCGCTGGTACAAGGACCACGCTGTAGCTTGACGGGTCTGGTTCCCGCATCGCCCCCGTGGTACAGTCTCCTACATTGAGCCCACGCGGAACGTAGTCGGCCAGCCCGCTCCTCTCCGGCGCCGTCAAGATAGTAGCCACGTCCTTGTTGCTCGCAATGGCCACGGGAATTTGTCGCCGCGGGAGGTGCTACAGTAGCACCCTATTAGAACCGGGAAACGGCCCGATGAGTGGCTGCCCATGGGACGCGTACGTACACCTTGCCGCAACTATTACTTGGTGGTCCACCGGGCCTACGCCGCCGGGTTAAAGGCGGCGCCGGCCAACGCGGCGTGTCCTAGAAGATGTGCCGCCGCACGTCTGACTTTGGTGGCGACTGGATCGGGGCGGGGGCATTCAAGGTCAGCTTGATGCTGCGCGAGATTGCTTCGTGTGTGTTCAATAGTTAGTGTGCCGTTGAAGTTGAAGATTCCGAGGGCACTATGGTTTCTGTTTGGGTTGGGTGACTGCCTTTTTAGACCGAGCGAGTTGGGAGGTCCTTACTCCGTAAAGGCTTTTAACCGGAAATCAATCAAAGCTGCTTCTGATGTTGAAAGGAGGAATATGATGCGCGCGAACGCTCCACCAATATCCCCGAATGTTCAGACTGATCTTGCGCTTTCATCCAACTCACACCCCTTCTTCTTCGCCATGGTTCCTCGTACCTATGGCGCCGCTAGAATGTACATTAATAGTTGAACAATTCACCCCAGGTAATAACACCGGCCCGACAGGTCGGACCCAACGGTTGGTTGACCCGCAGTGGCTGTCAAAATCTTCCCGCCCACACACACTGCGCCAGCGCTAGTTCGTTGCGCATTGCTGCAACCATCTATCCAGCAAAGCAAGGCATTGAAACGAAAAAGAAAAGATTTTTTTTTTTCGCGTCAATCTCCGCGTTAGCCCAGACTGAATTTCAGCTCAATCAATCTTTCCCTCTTTCTTTTTCGCGCCTTTATATATCCCACCAAACAGGGACTGGTCTCAGCCCATCTCGTATTAACTCGTTCATCCATGCACCCCCCTTATTCGGGTATCTGTGGATATCGACGCCGTTCGGCTTTCTATTGAGGATTCTCCCGCCCTCGGTACATTTACGAGCGAGTGTGTCGAGAGTACCCGGGAAAGGCAGCAATCAGACGGTGTTCGGTTACTGTGGCCTGCTTGTTCAACTCTACGGGCTCACTTTGCCCGGGAGTTGATGGGCCCCAATGTCAAGATTGATCCATGAAAATGCACAGGGATATCAGTATTTGATAGCAAGCAGTATAATACAAACCCGTGGTTCTTGCCCTGTCCACGTGCTCAGAAACCCAAAAGATCCAGCTCTCCAGTAAATCCGCCATTAACCAGCACCGCCGACATCTGTAGGCGCAGTGCAGGCATGTCTACAGCCTTATATGCCTCAGATGGATCAACGCCAACAGCAACACAAATGGCGTTGCATATCGTATGTACACCGCAGTCGTATCCATTTGTCTGCGCGGGATGACAATATTTGATCGTTGACCACTCTGCGGGCACAAACTTTTCGTCCAACGCGTCCTTCATCCACAACAGAGCAAGTTCTGTGACCGGCTTGTTCCCACGCGGATTCAACGAATCGATGTGGGCCACGGTCCTCTTCGATGGGTTGATGACCATTAGCGTCCAATGTGAATGCTCACAGATTGGCAGAAGGATCGTGTTGACTTTGAGCAAATTATCCTTCGTGATCCCCTTCCGCCTAAGAGTCCTCTGTGTATTTTTGCAAGCCGTCTTGATTTGCTTGTAGTAGAAAGATGTCATGACCAGGCATTTCCTGGTCTGCGTCCTCGGGTCATTGACGCCACCAATGTGATTGACCGCCTGGTCCAGCCAGGACAAAACTCCGTTCACAACCTCATCATTAAGCCACTCTGTCTTCGGTATAACCCTGCAAAAGTCATGGCGATGCAACGGTGTCGAGTCAGCTGCTTTGGCAAGGACAGCGTCCGGGCTCGCGCGTATTGTGCTGATAGTTCGCTTGCTCATTTCGCTGGATAATGAGAGCAGTAGTGGTCGGCAAGGTGAGCGGACCTCATAGTCTTGTAGATTTGTTATGTACTCGCGCGTGATGTCCTCGTCAGATACTTGCGTCTTGCGCTGCGCCTGGATGCTTTCTACCACGGCGCTGTTGAGCTCAAGCGACCACGGCTGCTTCTCATCAAGGATGGCATTAATACGGTCATCATGGTTGACCGAAAAATCTTCGTGCGTGTTTGAATAGCGGGGTACGTAGTCAAATATCTCTACCGGAGCAAGGAATCGTTCAGCAAATCTTTTGTCCCCTGCAGTTGAGATCGTCGGCTCCGCCTCGAGCGTCAGTTTCTTTAAATCGGGTAGTTCATCTGCGACTGGATGTCTCTGCCTAGGTCGTACCGGTCTCCCAGTATTGTCTGCAAATTTGACAGGCTTGGGCAGCGGTGACCTCCCAGGCCGTTTTGGCGTTTGACGTGAGGCATCTCGCCGCCTCCTCTTGAATATGTCCCTAGTTGAAAGGCCTGTGCGCGCCCCATCGAATTCATCGTCGGTATTTGACGCAGATTCATTCTGGTCGGAGCGCGCGCGGAATTTGAGAAACCATCGCGCTTTTCTGTGTGGCTGACTCAGGTCGGGCTTCTTTGGTGATGGTGGTGGTGACAGCAGAGCGTGATTGCCTTGGCTCGCGCCATCAGCGCACGACTTTCCAAACCCACCTGGGTTTGAATCCGAGACTTGATCGAAAGGTTCCGTCTTCACTTCCTCGTTCCTGTCTCCGTAGCTCTTGACTGGTACTGCGCTGAGTTTCAGGCGCTTCGCGCGAGGGGTCTTCTCCCGAGCTTGCGTCGTAGCATGATCATGATAAACTGCGAAATTAGAGTGGTTTTCGCAAGGAGCCAAGGTATAGACCTACAGATCTTGACGGCACTCCCCACGGATGAGAGTGCCGAGCGAAGATTTCCTATCATGCCGAGAAAAACAAAACTGAATGCGACAGGCTAGAATGTCATGGCTGCTCTATCGTCAAAATAAGCTTTCTAGAGAAAATCTCTGCAAAATATCACCTTGCTAGCTTTATCTTTGCATCATTCTAGCCCTCAAGCCGGAAAACGGAAAGCGACTTGGTGGCGATGTGAAGTGAAGGTGTTGATGCTGACCAGGTAGCTAGGTACCTAGTGGAGGGAATGCGCCGGATAAATTTCGGCAGAAAGGGAGCACGAGAGACCTAGGTACCTACCTAGGCAGTGACTTTCAACCCAAGGCGTGCGCCGACCAACAGCGGCGTCCTTTGAGTTGAGGGAGAAAAAAGGATAAATTAGATTTATAAGTTTGAATTATATAGGTGCTCATTCCTGTTACATGGGTTGCTAGTCGTATCACTAACTAGGTAGTTACTGGCCACCCCGCGCCTGATGACCAAATCTGCTACCGAGGTAGGTAGGTACCTAGGCGCCTAGGTACTTTTCTCGTGAAAGCTTTGTACCTGTCTAGCACGGTCGGTAGCTGACAAAAATTAACGATGTAAGTAGTTTCAATATAGGAAGACAAGTGTCCTTATAATCTTTAATTTGAAAAATATTGCTAATATTTCATTATATTTGACTTAGAAGCGTAATGCGAGATAGGACCCGTGGACTTAGCAAGGTTCCAGACAATAATACTCATTCAAATATTTAGTCACCTGTAAAGATGCTATGTAGTTAGATTTCACAATAGACTCTTTGGTCATCTCATATGTACTATCCAGTCCCCTGAAACCCGCCATCGAAAGACAAACAACCTAAGTTGAGATCCCCGGGTTATCAACGTGCCTCCAGTCGCCGGCGTCGATGCATCGCGATGCTGTTTTACCGTCCGCACTAGAAATCGTGAGAAACCGCGCTTCATCATGCCGCAATAGTGTTGTATTTACAAATGTGATGCAAGACCGCCCATTTTCTTCGTGCAAAAGGCGGAAAAGTATTCGTTCAGAGCTTCGACGGTGCCGCTGCCTTCGACTAGGCGGATGACGATAGCGACGTAGCCATCGGGTCGGACAACGACAACGCCTCCCTCCTCAGAATCGAGTCCCATACGAGCATGTGCAGTGGCAGTAGCGTTAGGGAAATGGCGATCCCAGCGATCATCCGCGTAGACATGATTGCGGTATCGCGCCAGCAGGGGAGGAAGCTGCCTGTTAATTTCTATCTGGTGGCGTTTTGCGGCAATGATCGTGCAAATTGTGAAGAAAAGGCTATGAGGGTTATGATTCTCATGATGCGACACTTCGTCAATGTCGTCTCGCAGGTACTTGGCGTAGAATGAGCGCTGATCCTGAAGATGGTGGGCGAAGTCAGTGACGGCAGTAGCAGTTTTGCTGGGGTTGCCGGCAAAAAGAAACAGTCTGAAAGCTCCATTCCACGGCACTTCCTGCTCAAGATGAACAACATTCGCGTCGGAAACCCTTGTTACATCAGAGTTCTTGAAGATTCGACCGGTGGTGAGTGTGGTTCCGGCAGGGTTGATCAAGGAAGACTGAGCATTATGCTTGGACGACCAGTTGAGCTCGTTGGGTCCGTAGGAGACGCCATATCCGCTCGTAAATTCGCAAGACTCTTTAAACGTCTTGATGAATTCGTTATCAGTCATTTCGTCCACTGGGTGAGATTTTGAAGCCGCGTCGACATCGCCTTGCTCGGGAGGTCGTTGCGAAAAGAGCTTTGCGTAGCGGTTGTCAAAGTCCAACAGAGCTTCAGCAACGCTACGACGTTCCGCCTCGTATGTCTTCAGAATGTCACGACTAGCGAAGCCAGCCTCTACGGCATGTATCTTCCATGCCAAATTCTGTGCGTCCAAGAAAGCCGTGTTCATACCTTGGCCAGCCTTGGGCTACATACACGTCAGCATGCTTGTTTGAATGAGCACGAGGGACACTTACGCTATGCGTATGACAGGCGTCGCCACCAAGGAAGACACGCTGGTCTAGCGAATAGCGATCGGAGAGACCCTGTCCGATGGGGTACACAGAATACCACTCAAGGCGTTCCCATGTGATGGAATATGGCTGGAAAATCTTTTTGGCGGATTCCTGGACCTGCTCTGCGGTGGCTGTTGTGCGGGGGTTCCAATCTGGATCCGTCGACGACGCAATTTGGATGTAAAGACGGACCATGTTATTTTCGCGAGGAATAACCATGATGGATCCATGATGGCTGTGAATGGTACATTTCATCTGTGATTTGGTCAATATAGCTCTAATGCCATTGAGCTAAAGGGTAGCCTACCTTGATGTCTGGAAAGTCGGTATGCACAACCCCATCCATGACACCCCAGACGTGAGAAATAGGATCTTTGTGGCGGATGTCAATATTCAACTGCTGTCGGACAAATGATCTGGCCCCTTCGCCACCGAAGAGATACTTGGCATGTATTTGCTCCTTTGCATTGCCGTCGACGTGTTCAAGTTGCACGGTGACAGGGTACTCTGGATTTTGGGACTCGTCCGACTGAAAGCCGGTGATGGTCCACGGGCGTTGAACCTCGACGCCATTTTTTTCAAGGTCCGAAAGAAAGACTCGTTCGATGTGGCCCTGGTGTAGCAGAGTAGTGAATGGGTAGCGCGCGTCGACGAAGTCTGGACACGACGCCCAGGTACCTGTCCTCTGAATGCCAGGCGTCGAATCTGAGGGGTCCCAGAATGCAACCTCAAATACACGCGCAGGTTTGTGCGCCATGATGGCAGACTTGAGGCCCATATTCCGGAGCAAATCGAGAGACCGGGGCTGGATGCCATCTGCGCGCCCCGTGGGCGTCGGCTCCGGCCGGTTATCGATGTGCTTTATTTTATAGCCCCAGCGAGCTAGGCAAGTTGAAAGCATTAGGCCGACAGGGCCAGCTCCGATAATGACTGAGAAAAGTATTGTTAGTGGCAAGAATGTTTGGCAGTGTAAGGTAGTGTGTACCAATGACATAGTGTGAATTGTGTTGTTGCAACGCCATGGGTGATATGGTCAAGGCACACAGCGTTGATGGGTACAGCAGAAGTAATCAAGAAGCAACTTTAATTGGGAGATTGAATAAAATTGACTTGGAACCAACAGCCAGATAGGGATGCAGAGAGCAGTACCGCAGCTTGAGCCCAGGCTGGCGTTGACTCTATATTTAACCATTTTCGCGGGAAACGGTTGGCGCGGAAGCCAGTAGGAGGGGGTGCAAGTCGCAAGTCACATCGTATTCACAAGAGAGCCAGCCTATTGGGCGATGGGCGTGCCGGAAATGCGAGGCGACATGTGGGAGTCGATGGCTGGCGCGCCCTGAACCAGTTGGAGCGAGGCCACAGGTGGGTCGTGAGCGACGAGCTAAAAGCCCGGCAGCAGATTCGGGAAGTGAAGCTGGAGACCCCAGTTTATGACACCCATAACCAACTGGTGGTGAAAAATCGTTTTCGAGACACTGTTCCATTGCCAAATACAGTTGCATAAATACGAAAAGCTCAGTCGTTTTTGCCTCACAAGTGATCGATTGGACATGAACTCAGCTGTACCATGCTGTGGCAGCGAGTTTCTGCTGCGCAAATTCTTCCCTCTGTCGCACCTCATCTTCGAGAACGGCTTGAATCTCTGGCCCATGACTTGGCATTAGGTACTCCTGCGGGGGGCGGCGTCGGGCTAGCCCCAAGCTCAAAAATGTACCGACTATCTGCCGCAACACGTAGAGCTAATCATACAAATTACTGCATCAAAAGCACGGGCAAGTAGTGGCGGGAATCAAAGTCGGTTGTTTTGCACGGGAAGTAAGTAAAGGTACCTAGGTACGCAGTCCGACGCCTTCTCTCGCGCATGACGCACTGCACTGCATCTAACCGATCCGTTTCCCGTTGATCCCCCGTAAGTTAATTTATAAGACGCAATTTAATTCTGTACTTGTATGTGCTAGTTAGAGTTTTAGCTTTGCGCCCCTCTTTCACTTTGAGAATGCCGGCATTTGTTTCCGCTCTACGTCACATTCCGGCGCTGTTGTGCCTATTCTCGGTAAATATCCGATAAGTGAGGCGGCAGACGCGCGAATCCCGATGTTTTGTGCTCTTAGCCGGACTTTCGGTCGCACCTTCCCTACTCCGTATTTTTGGACACTGACATGTACGACATTCGCCAGCATTAATGCATGCTGTCCATCGATATCGAACTAGCGGCTCTCTTATGGATCTCTACACAGCCGATGCCATCTACCGACCAGCCGTGATTCTCACTTCACCATGACCAGTGTAGATTTCCTTTACTCGGCGTTGCCTTATCGTTCCTTTGCTGGGTTTATCGCCGTTTCCGCGGACTTCTCGGAACACAGACAAATAGGTCGTGTCAATCGCCGACGCCTTCTATGTAAGTAGGCCTGAAATATCGGAAGTGTTGGGTTAGCCCTGCTGCACGCTGCGTCAACGGGACCTCATACAAAGTAAAATGGCTGGACGAAGACGTTCCATCCCCCAAAGCCCGGCATGGCTCTGGTGATATTCCCCAAGATCTCGGACCTCAAAGGCGGTGATAAATGATTCAAAAGTCGAGGTCAAATAGAGGGCATTGGCCCGCGGTGTTCTTGTAGAGATGGTAGAGATGCCGAGAGTTTGACGATCCACACACTAGAAAGGAACTTCCGGGAAATAAGTCGGTAACTGAAGAATCCTTCTTACAACCTCCCAGCCTGGATCGTTGAATGCAACACGCGGCATCGTCTACCAAATGTTACGTAATTCTGGCCTGGTTCAATGGTATATCTCAATACCAGTCTCGATCATGGTTTGCATCGGCGCAAAAGGATGGGCTTCCGCTTCCTTAGCCAAGCTGATGGGCAGAAATATAGTTACATAACTCGGATTAGTCAGGTGCAGCAGGTGTAGCGATGGCCAGACCAGTTCAACGCCATAATATCGCTGGCAATCTGTCATCCAGGGGTTGCCTGGAGTAACAGGCCCAGATTGATGCTTAAGTCCAGCGAAATAGTGATTTTGAGTGAACAAACCGTAGGTCAAAGTCCAAACCGTACTGTGAGATGCTTAATATGTACACAATTCCGTTTGATGCCCTTCTGCCAGCTGGCAAGCGGACAGGCCCGCCGTTTGCTCAGCTGCTTTGCCTGCCTTTCGCTTCGTGACAAGTGTTTTTCGACTTTATTGGCGCACAACTTACTATATTTGACATCGCCAGATAAAAGACGGAAAAATACCAACAAGAGACACGTCAGCGCACCTTTCTCTGTTCTTAAATGTCGTCACTATTAACAGACACCAAATCCGCCAAACGGAACTCGGACCCAAAATCCCCTGTCGTGCATTCCATACGATCGTCTTCGCTGCGTAACTCGCCTTCTACTAGGTCAAAGTCTCTTTCACCGAGAAAACGCACCACAAACCAGCCCCTACACATACGAATGAACCTGACGGAGACACAGATGGACAAGATAACCGACGCGTGAGATTATACGGCCCTTTCGAGTTCTAGTCTAATCGTCGACAGATTCGCGTCCAAGCTCAACGCAAGCCATATGAGCCCGGCAAAAACACACCTGATTGACAAATCCAATGAGCCTTCAGCTCAAAACCAACCCAGGAGAGCTGAGCCTGGATTTGAGCCCCCCGAGCAGCTCAAGCCCCACGAAACAATGAACATCGTCTCTCCGACGATTTCAGAGCTCATGCCTCGTTCAAAGGATGAGTCCCTAGCGAAAAGGCGACAAAAAGCAATGCCAGCTCAGATTGACGTGTTTACCCAGCACCGAAGCACCAGCAAGCCACAGAGACCGCAGATGGAGCATGTTGAAACAGCCGTGTCGCCACTAAGCGCAAATATTGCGACTAAAAACGATGCCCAGAAGAGACCACCTTCATCTTCTCGCGGCTTGGAGTTGCAGCCTCCAAGGCCATTGAACATTCCAAGCAACAGGAGGAGCCAGCAGCGCGAACACGGCGAGGACGGCATGATAGACGTCTACAATGACTGGACACAGATTTACAGGTCTGGTGTATCTCCTCTCTCTCCCGAGCCAATCCGGTCCCCAGGAAGCGAGATTCATCATCCACGAAGGTCCAAGAGTCTGGCCGAGGGCATCAGAAGACAGAGAAGCCCCGCCAAGACCTCTCTAAATCCCGAATCAGAGCGACAGGCTTATTATCCGCCCGATATGGTATCCGAAAGTCCCTTATTCTCGCCTCTACCGCTGTATTTCCGCGGGCAAGACTTCCCGACCGTCAAACAAGGCGGCAAGACGCTAATTGGAAACAACGGATGGCTTGAGAAAACGGGACAGGATCTTGGGCAGAATGGGGAGAACAAGATGCCCCAAAAGAGGACCGGTATTTTCGACAGCCTCAGGAAAATCGCCAAGGACATGGTACGTTACGATCTGTCGTAGCTTTGACGCGAGGCTAATGTCTTAGACTGAACTTCACCATCCACATCGTCGACTCCCGCATGCAAAAGCGTCCGGGGCACGGCTCATGATATCGCTTGATGCAAGAGAGCAGAGCCTGCTCTATTGCGAGCTAGAGTACCATCTCACTTCCGCCTTGAACAGCTACATTTCTCAAGAGCTCGAAAAGGGCCGCCTCGTGCCCATAAACTTCCAAAAGATCGCCGACGCCTGGTACCAGCAGGGCCGGCCACGTGTGGTCGGGTTCCGCTTCGACCTCGAGACGCAAGTCGACCTAGTCGCGCTGCACGTCAACGAGTTTACCTTCTGCGGTCGCCGCCAGTGCAACCCCGTTGAGATCAGCAGCCTTCTGCACACCATGAAGGTCAACGCACGAGCGATGCGCGTCCGTACCTTTTGCCAGCCCGACTCGGTCATCGCGAAGCAGCTTGCAGACAGCCAGTCCCTCTTTGACATGATTGGGGCCGCAAACGACGCAATCAGAGCTCTGTCAGAGATTCTACACTTTTTCAAGGTAATTGTCGAGCGGGAACAAAATGTGTTGCAGCAGCGACAAAAGGAGCAGAAGCGCACCACGGGGTTGCCGTCGCGTGCCATTTATCAGTGAAGAGGGTGTGAAATGCTTTCAAGTAGCTTGGTACCTTGATGCCATCTGCAGGTAATTGGGGGCGCGGAAGCAAGACACAAAACTGTCGTGTAAAAATCTTGTATTAAAAACAAAACTGGAAACTATGAGAACAGCTCCCACCAGCATATTCGCAGGGCGCGAGTACGGCCTCATGGTGCTTCACTTTCTATCAGTCCATATCATTCGCAAAATAGCAATCATTTTCCCGTCAAATATCATAATTCTCATATTGAGGTCGTTCAGGTCGTTGATCAATCTCTATACCTTCTGTTGTCGTCACGTCGGCGGTCGTCATAATCATCATAGTCGTCATCATGTCGGGAACGAGAGTGTCGGTTTCCATAGTCACTATCACCATCCCTATATGCTTAGTCAGTTATGTTCGATCTCTGTGCAGCTTCGCCTTCCCATGAGACGTACCGACTTCTGTGCGGGCGCTCGCGCTCGCGTCTCTTCTCGCGCTCCCCTTCCACATGGTGCGCAAACGCATTCGCACCCAAACCACCCGCCACGGCACCCAGCAGGGTCGAAACCGCCTTGGGCACCGCATTATCGTCGCTGTGGCGGCGCTGGTGTCCGCCCTTTCCGGCGCGGTTATATGCGGCTTCGGTTGCCTTGTTGGCCGCGAAGCCGCCAATGACCGCACCTAGGATACCCGCACCAATACCCGCCGACGAGTTGCTAAAGTTGTCTTCAACGGCGTGCCGGGCGCGACTCACGGGGCTGGGGGAGCCGCGACGACGATCGCGGCGCGACTCACCGTCGTCGTCGTCGTCGCCGTCGTAATTGGAGCGCGAGCGCGAGCGCCGGCTGTGGCCCCCGCGGGAGCGTTCGTAGGGTGACTGGGAACCGTCGCGGTAGGCGAGGGCATTGCCTGGCGGCACCGAGTTGGCGCGGCCGTAGCTGTGGGCGGGCGGCATGAGCGTCATCTCCTCGCGCTCAAAGGGCTCGTCGTCGCGGAACGGGCGGCCGGGTTCGCCAAAGCCCGCGGCGGGACCTCCACCCAGGCCGGAGTGGTACTCAGGAGAGCGATTACGTCGCGATCCATGCCCGCCGCGGTAGTCGTTGTCGTCGTCGTAGTTGGAGCGCGGCATGTTGAGGTTGTTGCTCGCAAGTGTTCAAGTTGCGACGGCGGGGTGGTGACTCAAGGGAGGGGCTATACAGTGCGAGGGTTGCAAATGCGAAATAGGCGAAATAGTAAATGGAAGTTTCGTGAATGCAGCAGGCTTTGAAGGATGGAAGCATAACTTGGGCCGCGTACAAAAAAAGCGTTCAGGTTTGATATGGCGCATATGACTCCTTAATGAGGCTGGATACATGTGGTGACGTCGGGTCAGCCGTCAAGTTGCACAGTGCTGCGCCTAGCGCTGGGCATAGTTGCTGGGAAGCATGCGGCGCTGCTCGTGGGCACAAGCAGTGGTGGCGGGACGCTCGGATAGCCACATAATAAGTTGAGGCATATTTCGTACCTTGACTTGATGCGGGTGGGCTGGTTATCTGCAACGGCGCGATTTGTGAGGTCAAAGGCGGGGGGGGGGCTGGGGTTGGCCAACTTAGGTGTATGTAACTACATTAGTACTTGAGGTCCTCTAGTTACCGTAGCTAGCAGGTTGCGGGTGGAGGAGATGCTACAATGATGAGGCGTCCCTTTAACAGCTGGATATGGCATGGCTATTCTGGGATGGAGGCTGGTGCGCGAAGGACGTCATTCCGCTTCACAGCGACTTGTGCACTTTTCTGCGCTTCTTTCTTTTCATCTTGACCCGTCGTCCCGAATGCCTCACTCGCGTCGCTTTGAGACCGACGACAACCTGTATCGAATCCTGATTATAATTGCTCGCTTATTTTCTGCCGTACAGTGCTAGAGCCTCTGCCAATGAGAAACCAGGCATCGTCGCAGCCTAGCATTTCGTCATGCTCGGCCCAGCATCGTTCTTGGCTTTCCGCTTCTGGGCGCGCCAATGCTGGGATTACAACAGAGAAAAACCCGAGCTAAGAGCCTCATTCTTGTTCATCTCTAAGCCGGGACCCTGGCTGTGATTATATTCCCGAGCCGGCCTAACCACTCCGTCTATTAGTTCTTGTAAAGCTTGGGGGGGCTCGTGCCCCATCCTTCGGTGTTCATCTCTCCAGCCTACCTCCTCAGTCAGAGCCGGGCATGTAAAAGTAGGTTCTTGCCTACGTCGATTCTCATCGTCTTTCTTTTCCAAGTTTAAAATGTCTGCCCTTGCTCAAAAATTTGGTTACCAACATCGCAGCGTACCTATCCCTTACACCGCCGTTGGGATTGTTTTGTGGCCCTTGCCGCCAAGTCAGTTAGTTACTGCTCGACAGTGCTGATTGCCAGTCACTGCTCGTCAGCTTTCAGCCTTGCATCTTGCTTTTTGAACTTTCTGACATTTGACTCCCACAATAATTGCACCGCGAAACCGTTGGCAAGTCAGAATGAGCTCGTGCACCGAGAAGGGATACTCGGCGGCCGAAAGCCAGACTGAGCCTGTTTGTCGTACTTTGCCTGTCGCAGACGTCGAAAAGGCAAACGCTGGCAAAATCACACAAGTTGCCGTCGAGGGAGAAGATAGAGGAAATCAGACCAACTCTTTAGGCGGCCTCGAGCGCTGGAACGGATCACGAAATAATACTGCTCGCTTCATGGTGGTTAACTTTGCTCTGTTTATCATGGGCATGAACGACGCCTGCATCGGTGTAAGTGCAGCTTTTTATCACTAAAGAAACGCTTCCCTGTCAGGAGACTAATATACATATATAGGTCCTTCTTCCATATGTATGTGGTTTTGTCTGATACCGAGATTTCTAACAACCCACTCACCCACTCACAACCTAGATCGAACTATACTACAACGTCAACTACACCCAAGTCTCGACCCTCTTCATCGTCCCTTTCGTCGGCTACGTCGCTGCCGCCCTCTCCAACAACTGGATTCACTACAAATCCGGCCAGCGTGGCGTGGCGATGATTGGGCCCGTCTGCCGCATTATCGGCTATCTGCCCATGGCACTGCATCCTCCGTTCCCTGTGTTGCCCGTCGCCCTCCTCGTAGCTGGCTACGGCAATGGCATCGAGGACAGTGCCTACAACGCCTGGGTCGGCAATATGCACCAGGCCAACGAGCTCCTCGGTCTGGTCCACGGTGCATACGGTCTCGGTGCCACCATTAGTCCCCTCGTCGCGTCCGGCATGGTGACCAAGGCCCACCTCCAGTGGTACACCTTTTACTACGTCATGATAGGTTTGGTTTGCTGCGAGTTTGTGACTGGTATGCTGGTTTTCTGGCCCCACGACGGAGCATCCTATCGTAGAAGACTAGCATACGATGGCGAAAGTAGGGAGCGCATTACCACGCGCCGTGTCCTCAAGCAGCCACTGACTTGGGTCGTGGCCATTTTCCTGCTCGGCTACGTTGGAATTGAAGTCAGTCTCGGAGGCTGGATCCCTACCTTTCTTATAAACGTCCGTCACGCTGAGCCATTCTTGGCCGGTCTTTCGGTAACAATGTTCTGGCTGGGCTTGACACTAGGCCGTGTCATTTTGGGCTTCGTTACCGGTCGCGTTGGCGAAAAGCTCGCCATAACTGTGTATATTCTCCTCAGCATTGTCTTGCAGCTGTTATACTGGCTCGTGCCCAACTTTGCCGTGTCAATGGTCTTCATCATCCTTCTCGGCTTCTTCCTCGGCCCTCTCTTCCCAGCAGCCATCGTGACAGCGACCAAGCTGCTTCCACCCGAATACCACGTCAGTGCGATTGGGTTCGCAGGCGGCTTTGGTGGTGGCGGAGCAGCCATCATTCCTTTTGCTGTTGGTGCCATTGCGCAAAGCAAAGGCGTTTCCGTGTTGCAGCCAATCGTTCTAGCATTTCTCATTTTTGATCTTATCGGCTGGCTGGTCATGCCTGGGGGTTTCAAGAGAGGCGGACTGGAGAGAGCACGCGAGGAGAAGACTCCTGTAGGTGGTGACTTTGTACAGGCTGGTAAATGGGTGGCAGCAAAGGCACAAATAAACTAGCATATAGACAAGGGTGGTCTTTGGGCGAATTATTCTTCTTATTCTGTGTAAATAGCACTATCAATACGAACAGGAACCTTCGGAGGAAGGATCACACCAAAAACTTGATGAGCAATCCTGATACTTGTCCGCCAAATGTTCTCCTCGGACTCCCTAAATGAATTCGAATACTCGTCAAATCAACTTCAAAGGCTTCCTCGTGTTATTTTTCGTCCTCTGCCTATCCCTCGAGAGAGCAATTCATTTCCATCTCCCATGGAGAATTTGGCTGCTCCGGGTCGTTCAAATCTTCACAGGTCATGGTGCCAATCTAAAATGGGGGGTTGATAAGTTAATACTACCAGGTATGTTCTCAAAACGGCGATCTTGGCCTCTTTTAGCTACTGGTGACCCTGTTGTGTTGTGCCAAAACTTCGCGGGGCCAACTGTGGGCAGACGGAGCCTTCTCTAAAATCATAACTAGCCTGGCTTCCCACAGAGCGCCGAAAAGTCATTTGACGGCCTGCCTACTTTTCCTTAACCGCTCGCCCACTCCTCCATTACATCAATTACATTATATATCTAATCCATAAGCACAGCCCTACCGCCCTCTCGAACCGAATAGCCCTCGGCCGCGCGCACAATATACACCGCACCACCACGCCAAATTCGTCCCGAGGCCGGGATGCAGCCGACGTCGGGATCCTCGACAACGGGTACGGCCCAGATCATCGCCCTCGCACCGCTAAAGCCTGACCTCTGCGAGCGCGCCTGGCAGACGGCCGCGCACCCAACACTCCCGCTCGTCGCCACCGTCCACGGCAAAGGCGTGACCGTCTTCTCGCTCGCCACCCTCTTCTCCCACAGCAGCCTCACCGGCGGGCACACGCGGTCCGTCCGCTCCGCGGCCTGGAAGCCTAATCTGCCCCCGCACAAGCTCTGCCTCGTCTCAGGCAGCTTTGACGCTACGGCCGGCGTCTGGCGCTGGGACGGCAACCAAGCCGGCGACGGCGACGGCGAAGCAGCGCTCGAGCGCGAAGTCACCTCCTCCAACGCCCGAAACGGCCACGAGAACTATGACGACGACCAAGAATCCAACGAGGGGGGAGACAAGGAATGGGAATTCACACTCGTGCTCGAGGGCCACGACTCCGAGATCAAGTCGTGCTCCTTCTCGCCGTCGGGCGCGCACCTAGCCACTTGCTCCCGCGACAAGTCTGTCTGGATCTGGGAAGACATTGGCGCCTCGGAGGAGGATGACGAGTGGGAGACGATTGCGGTACTCAACGAGCACGAGGGCGACGTCAAGGCCGTCGCGTGGTGCCCCGACGTGCCCGGCCGCAACGCCCGCCGCCGGTACAGTCCCGACGTGCTGGCCAGCGCCAGCTACGATAACACAGTGCGCGTGTGGCGCGAGGACAATGATGGCGAGTGGGCCTGCGTCGCCGTGCTCGAGGGCCACGACCAGACCGTCTGGGGCGTCCAGTGGGAGGCGCGCCCGCGCCCCGGCGACCGTTTCCCGCGCCTTCTGTCCTACTCCGCCGACGCCACCATCCGCGTCTGGACGCTTAGGGAGGATGACGACGGCGACGACGGCGAGCAAGACAGCGGCCGCACAGCGCTAGGTGGCATCCCCAACACGATGCGCAGGTCGCTGCGCGAGGAGTGGGTGTGCACGGCCGTGTTGCCCGCCGCGCACCACCGTGACGTGTACGCTGCCGCGTGGAGCGCTCAGACGGGCGTCGTCGCCAGCACGGGCAGCGATGGCAAGATTGTGCTGTACAGGGAAGATGCCGAGGAACAGGCCTCTGTCACAGCGGCCGGGACGACGACGGCAGGACCCGACACGGACCAGCCCATGCCAGACGCTGCAGAGGGGGAGCCGCTGGCTGTGCAGCCATCCCCGGCGACGCTTCCCGGATCTGCACGCTGGAGAATTATTGGCAGAAAAGAAAATACACATGGGCCTTATGAAGTCAACCACATCATGTGGTGCAAGCGCTACGACAGCGCAGCGAGTGCGAGAGGCGAAGAGGAAATGCTCATCACGACAGGCGACAATGGCATTGTGCAACCGTGGGCTGTAATCTTAACCGAGGAGTGAAACAAGAACATATCAATCGCCTGAGGGGTGTTATAGACTCGTTTTAGAATAAACTGATGTATGCGGATATAGATACGGAAGGAATCGGCGAGAGTCGTCTGGATAAATCCGGTCATTTGTCGTAAAGAAACAATGTTATTAAGAGCCATTTTGATCCGCTTGTACTTGTACCATGCACTGGGTAAAATAACAAATGATTTTCTTATCCTCAAGGGAGAATTATGATACAGTGTAGTACACAAAACAAAGGAGATGACTCCCTCCCCTGAAAGTTCAACAGCGGAAGCTCCCTTTCCTTTCTATTTTCATCAACTTCCATCTCATCTATCAGTGTTCCAGGGTGACTCCACCTCTTGCAACGCCAATGGGCATTTCATTACTCGCCCTTGAGCTTGTCCTGCTTGACAGTGAATGCCCTCTCGAGCAGCTCCTTCTCTTCCTTACTGTGTACGTGCTTCAGACCAGTAGCAACAGACGCGCTGGGGTTACGGCCAGCGTACATGACATGTTTGCGGTCATGGTATTTGGTCTCATTCAGCAGGGTCTCGATACGCGGTTGAGTGAAGCTCCAGGCGCCGGCATTGAGGGGCTCTTCCTGGGCCCAGACGATGGTCTTGGCGTTGGGGTACATGTCCAGGTTCTCCTTCAACTGTTGCCAGGGGAAGGGGTTCATCTGTTCAATGCGGGTGAAAGCAACATTGTCAATCTTGTTGTCAGCGCGGTACTTGTGCAGAGCAGCCCAGACCTGACCAGTGCAGAGAATGACACGGTCAATCTCCTCAGGCGACTTGATGGCGCCAGTCTGGTGCTCAGGGTCAGGGATGATCCACTGGAAGCCAGCATCCTCAGCCGTAAATTCCTCAAGGCTAGAGCGAGCGAGGGGGTGGCGGAGGAGAGACTTGGAGAAGAAGATGATAAGGGCTATCAAAATTAGCATATGTCAACATATCAGGAGTATTCACTTACGTTTGCGGAACTGGCGCTCCATCTGGCGACGCAGGGCGTGGAACAAGTTGGCAGGGGTAGTCATGTATGCGATCTGCATGTTGCAGTCCTGGTGCTGGCGAGCGAGCTTATCCTCGTTGGGGAAGACACGGGGGTCCTCGTTGGAAAGCTGCAGGTAACGCTCGATACGAGCGGAGGAGTGCTCAGGTCCCTGGCCGTCGTAACCATGGGGCAGAGACATGACGAGACCGCTACGCTGCATCCACTTCACCTCACCAGAGGCGATAAACTGGTCAATGATGCATTGGGCGTTGTTGGCAAAGTCACCAAATTGGGCTTCCCACATGACAAGCGCGTTTGGGGACGACAGCGAGTAACCGTACTCGAAACCAAGAGCACCAAACTCACTCAGAGATGAGTTGGAAATAACAAACTTGCCCTGGTCCTTGCTAATGTGCTGAAGAGGCGTATATGTAGCTTCGTTTTCTTGGTCGTGGAAGACGGCGTGACGCTGGGAAAAGGTACCACGCTCAACATCCTGGCCAGAAACACGGACGTGGTAGCCGTCGGTGACAAGAGAACCGAATGCCAGCGCCTCAGCCGTGGGAAAGTCAATGTTCTTGCCCTCGACAACAGACTTGGTACGATTGTTGATGATACGCTTGAGGTTGCGGTGGACAGTGAAGCCTTCGGGAGCGGAGCCGATGATCTGGCCAATGTGCTCGAGGGTCTTCTTGTCAACGTTGGTGGGGTTGTGAGGGAGAATCTCAGTGGCCAACTCCTTGGGAGACTTGAAACCGTTCCAAGCAGAGGTGGTCCATTCCTTGGACGTGGGTGTGTAGTCTTTGGACTTGGCGAAGCTCTCCTCCAGCATGCCCCAGACCCACTGCTTGTGCTCATCAATGTCCTCCTTGGTGAAGGTGCCTTCCTTCAGCAGCTTCTCAACGTAAACATCGATCTGCGGAACCTGAGTGTTGATGCGCTTGTACATGAGGGGTTGAGTGAACGAGGGCTGATCAGTTTCGTTGTGGCCGTGCTTGCGGTAGCAGATCAGATCAATGACAACATCATGCTGGAACTCGGCGCGCCAGTCAGCAGCAAGCTGGCAGACAAAGTTGACGGCCTCGACATCATCAGCATTGACGTGGAAGACAGGAGCATCAATGGCCTTGGCAATATCCGTGCAGTAAGCAGTGGAACGAGCGAAACGGGGATCAGTAGTGAAACCAATCTGGTTGTTGACAACCAGATGAATGGTGCCACCAGTGGAGAAGGCAGGCAGAGAGTGGAATCCCAGGCACTCGTAAACAATACCCTGAGCGGCGAAAGCAGCATCACCGTGCAGGAGAACGCTCATGGCAGTGCGATGGGCCTTCTCGTCGTTGTTGTAGTGCTGGATGGCGCGGGTCTTGCCAAGGACAACGGGGTCCTCGGCTTCCAAGTGCGAAGGGTTGGCGACGAGAGAAAGCTGAACGCGCTTGCCGGAAGGAGTAGGGCGCTCAAAGTTCATACCAAGATGGTACTTGACGTCACCAGAGCCCTCCTCGGCGGTGTCGGTGCCAGCAAACTCGCTGAAGATGGACTCGTTGGGTTTGCGGACGACATTGGAGAGAACGTTGAGACGACCTCTGTGGGGCATACCAATGACAATATCCTTGACACCGTAGTCGACACTGCGGTCAATGAGGGCCTTCATACCAGGAACAAGGGTCTCGCAACCCTCTAGACCGAAACGCTTGTCGTTGGGGTATTTGGTCATTGAGAAGGATTCGAAGCTGGAACTCCAGATGAGTCGGTCGAGGATGCGTCGCTTCTCGTCAATGGAGTACTTGAAGGGCTGGGGAACCTCGAGGCGCTCGCGGAGCCAGTCGCATTTTTCGCGGTCGGGGATGTGGATGAACTCGACACCGTAGGAGCCAGAGTAAATCTTTTCGCAAGCGGCGACAATCTCACGAAGAGTCATCTTCTCGCGACCCTCGCGTTTGAAACGGGGCAGAATACCAGGGCCCAGGGTATATTGGGTATCCAGGTCCTTCTCGGTGAAGCCGTAGAAATCGAGCGCCAACTCCTTAGGTTTGATGTTACCGAATCCTTCGGCGGTGTTTCTGATGCCAAGAGGGTCGATGTTGGCCTTGTGATGACCACGAGCCTGGTAGGCACGGACAAGGAGCTGAACCTTCAAATGGTTGGTGACATCAGAGCCGTCCTCCATGGCGAGACCGGCGCCGAGACGAGGGACGCCGCCAGTCATGTTAGGCACAAGGTTGGGAGGAGGCTGGAAGGCCTGGGAGATGGGCATGTCGCCGCTCTCCATGTTCTTGAAGTAGACTTGCCAGGAGACGTGGACGCTCTTGGGATCTTTTTTCCACTCCATATACATCTCATCAATGTAATTGGCAGTGCTTCCGGTAAGGAAGCTGTCGTTGGGGTCGGGGGCGGAGTGGGAGCCATCTTTTGTTGTAGCATAGGTGCGACGAGAAGTCATGGCCAGCGAGCGGCGAGCGGCAGCGACCTTCCATGACGACGGACGAGCGCAAGTAGTCGAAAGGGAGGAGACGGCGGGTGAGATGCAGGCGCTGCGGAGCAGTTGAGAGCTGGCTCTAGAGAGCGAATTTCTCAACATGGCTGCGGTAATTGGCCTCGCAAAGCTTCAGCAGACTTGTTTTCGGAAGGGGGGATAAAAGAATAGACAAGGGAGTGACCAGTATCAAAGACGGCCGACGAGAGGCATCCCAATCTCGCGATCGTAGGATCAGGAAAAAAGAATGGCGGAGTAAGTCTTTGAAGACGGGATGGGTAGTAGTTAGGGATGAAGAATGAAGCAAAAAAAGCGCCTCTAGCAATGGCCAAGCTGGACGTTGCAATGGGCAATGGGTGCGGGTGGAATTGGGGGCTCCACGAAAAGCATGACAGTGCACGGGGAGTTTACCTTGCCCATGTGGTGCATTTGGTGCGTCCTGGGGCTTTTTCGGTGGCGCTTCAATGTTTTGCTGGGGGCGGTCTTCAAAGGGGGTTTTGGGCATGGGCTGGGGGCTACAGGTAACTACAGGCGGGCTGGTTTGCAACACTGCTCAACACAACACGAGTCTCGGACGCGCCGGGAGGCCCTGGCTTCCAGTAGCTTTTCTTTCTGATAAAAGAATGCCAATAATCTCCGTCTCCAGTAGCCGACTTCGCCCAATGGCTGCATTTCAGCTATTACCAGTCGCCGACTGGCTGCGACCTCTCCCTACCCTTCCGATGACAGTGCGCGTTATCACTGTGGGCTTGCACAGTGCCCGGTAAGTATTTTGTACCTACATCCTAGGTAGGTAGGAGGTAGGTACCTATGTTAGTACTTGATACCCACAGTGTTTCATACGGTGCTAAAACCATACGGGTGCCGTTTCACCCCGGAATGTTCCTGTAATAGTTAGGGCGGAGCACAAAGCCTCGCCAAACTGCTTTCCAGCTTTCCAGCCTTCCGTCTTCCGTCACCTTGTTTGGTGTTTGGTGGTTTCGCGCCACCACACATCCAAGTCCCACCTAATCTGCACCTCTGATTCGCAATCATCGAAGGCCAACCACATATCCCAAAACCTATCCGTCATCAACGTGCATCGTTTGCCTCGACGCCAAGGCTATCAAATTTCTTGCACAACAATTCAAAGTCGGCGACTGAACTGTCACGACCACCATCCTCAATCGCCACAAACGATTCCCCATTCGCTTCCGGAGCTCGCGAGCAATTCTCCAGGCTCGCGCGAGACCTCGGCCTGGCTGCATGAGCTCAGATGAGCGCAGTTAGTCGCCGTGAAGCGGTTTGAGTCATAGTCGCTGCCAGGTACGGCCGGACACAGTCAGTGCCTACTGGAGGCTGCCATGGCGACAACTCCTGCTGGCCGCACTCTGTACAAGAAGAAGGATGGCATACTAACCATCACCGCCGATCTTCAAACCGTGACATGGACGCCGAACACTGGCGGTCCTCCCACCGTGTCATTGCCTGTTCTCAGAATTACCAGTAAACTCTCCAAATTTCAATGATCTACGTACGCGATTGCTGATAGAGACGCCCAGACTTGCAGCAGACGCCAGATGGAGCGCCTAAAGTTATGCTCAAGATATTCGAGCTGAGTTCCAGCGGCGGTGATGCTACAACATATCTCTTTCACTTCAACACTGATGAGGCTAAATCGGAGGCGTCCTCCTTCAAAGATGTTCTCTCTCGGCTGCTTTCGGAAGCACGGAGCGGCGACCCTAATGTTCCACGCCCAGCAGGATCAGCTACACCACAAGGGAACACTGGTGCTGGCGGCAGTGCCTCAGCAACCATGGCATTTTCAAGTGCCGTGAACGCACAGCAGTCCTCGACTCGCTGGTACGACGACCAGCAGCTAAAGAATGATATCGAGCTGCAGCGATCTCTGATGAAAAAGGACCTGAGCCTCAATGAAACGTACATGGATGCGCTTTCCACCAAGCCGGAATCGATATCCGTCGCCACATTCAACTCGCAATTCTGGTCCACCAGAACAAATCTGCTACGCGCGTATGCCATCGAGTCAAATCAGAAAAAAGGCCCTTATAACGTCCTCTCGACCGTCAAGCCGCGAACAGTGGATGGTGAAATGAAATTGAATATCAGTGTTGAGCAGGTCCAGATGATCTTTGCTCAACATCCGCTCGTTAAGCGTATATACAATGAAAACGTCCCAAAGCTGTCTGAGGCCGACTTTTGGTCCAGATTTTTTCTCAGTCGCCTATCAAAGAAGCTACGAGGTGAGCGTGTTACCGAAAACGACACAAACGACGCCATTTTTGATAAATACGACGTCAACGAGAACTTGCAACATGTCCAGAGCAAAATCATGTCGCAGCATGTCCCTCACATCATTGATATTGAGGCAAACGAGGAAAACCAAGGGGGGTTCAAAAGCGGCAACGCCAAGGACGTTGAAATGCGGCCTAGGGCGAATATTCCCATTGTACAGACGCTAAACAGTCTCAGTGAGAAAATCATGGCAAATGTTGCGCCCTCTGATACTCCAAACGACGACACGGCTCAGTACTACAGAGAACAGGGGCTGCGGGATTTACATGGTGATGCTGTAGAGCATCGCATCATGCTCAACGTCAAGGAACAAAACAAGTTTTTTGCAAAGCATGATTCCTCGTCATCCAGCAATGCCAAGGTCTTTGCGAACCAAAACACTGCCAACGTCTTGCTGAAAATGCAAGGCGTTTTCAAGGGTATCCCTATCGATACTGTTGCTGGCATGGACCTGCAGGCCGCTATCAACTTTGACGACGGCAGCGACAGCGAAGAGGAGGAGCGGCCCGGGAAGAAGCCGAGCAGCGCGCGGCGTGCCATCATCGGCGCCGAAAAGGACGTCTTGGACGGCATCCTGCAGCAGCGCTCGCAAAAATATGGCCACGTCTCCGACGCATCAACGCCCATGGGACTGCCCCTCCCCATCGTCGAGCGCTGCACGCTGACGCACGCCACGACGGTCGAGTTTCTGCACCAGTTCTGGGACGCGTTCCTGTCCGGCGACCCGGACCGCGCCGGCGAGGTGCAGTACCTCGCCGAGTCGCTCAAACGCTCGACCAACCGCATCCAGGTCGTCGCCGACGCGGCCGCCCACGAACGCGATGAGGCCATCCGCAATGCCAAGCAGGAGATTCGTGACCACTTTGAGAAGACGGGCAAGAAGATTCGGTGGAAGTCTGACATGGTCGGCGGCGGTCGTGACGCCGTCGTCAAGATGATGCAGCCCACGCTCGACGCCCTCGACAAGGCCCAGGCGGACTATACGCGAGCGCTGGCTGCGGAGGGTGTGCAGATATCGACGGAGACGTAAGAGGCGCATAGCCGGAGGAGGTAGCAGCGAGATACTTGGTATTGATGAGCCGTCAACTCTAACCCAGACTCTATTACATGTATTCTAGGAGACAAACCCCGATATTCTATTTCATTTCATATACAATTAGATCGCCATGTGCTAGCCAAACCACGTCCGCCATCTATGCTACTGTACAAGCCGTGGCCGCTGATCACCGCGCGGTCCATCTCAATCTATAAATACAACGGGCAAGGCGGATGCCGCCTTCCTTTTTCGATGCATTGTATGTACATTTCACATTCATTACACCAGCTGTTTTCCCCCTTGCTCCTTTACTTGCGAATACGCGCTTCATGCGCATCCGTCACGAGCTTCTCGTCCAGGATGCCAAAGCCCATTGACTTCTTCTTGGCCCGCCGACGGTTTCCGTACTCTTCGTCAAACTTGCGAATCATCTTGAGGGACATCATGTCCTCGCTGATGCTCGCCGGGATCTGCTTCAGGGCATTTTCAAAGTGCGTCTTGCGGAGGATACGCTTTTCCGGGTAGGCAAACGGTACCTCCCCGGTATGCTTCAAGGCCATTTCGTTTTCCTCCTCCACCGCAGCCATGGCGGCGGCGACGCAGACATTTTTCAGGTCAGAACCCGAGTAGTATGGCGTTTTCTCGGCATATTCGTCAATGGAAACGGTGTCGTCTAGCGTCTCGTCGCGGAGGAGCAACTTTAGAATCGCAGCGCGATCATCTCGCAGAGGAAGATCGACCAACAGTTTTCGGGGCAGCCGACGAAGAACGGCGTCATCCAGGTCGAACGGCCGGTTCGTGGCTACCATAATAAAGGCATTCGTTTCCTCCATACCATCCCACTCCTTGAGGAACTGGTTGATGTGTTCACGGTGCGAAGGTCGATTGCTAAACATGCTGCGGTTGGCCAGCAACGAGTCTGCTTCATCGATGAAGACAACACAAGGCGAGTATTTCTTAGCAAGTGTAAAAACGGCGCGAATAAGCTTCTCGCTTTCACCAACCCACTTGTCGTTGATTGTGGCGCCGCTTATCTCCAGCATGTTCGCGCCGCTCTCTTTGGCAACCGCCTTGGCGAGCATGGTTTTGCCAGTTCCGGGCGGACCGTAGAGCAAGCACCCAGGTATCTTGTCTGCTGCCAGGATACCGTATGAGAAGGCGTCGGGCCGGACCAGCGCCAACGAGGTGAGAAGTTTCAGGGCTGTGATAGTCTCGGGAGGCACGTGTACATCTCCAAAGGTGGTTCGTAAGTTTTCTTTGTTGATCAGACCGGACTGTATGCGTTTCTCGTATTCATTCAGCTTTGCGGGGGCTCTAGTTGTTTCCGACTTGACGTCTTCATTCGAGCCCATAGTTTCGCCAGCCGACGGATTGGGGTCGTGAACCTCTTCATCCAGGTGCCTTTGGCCCGCCTGCGGTCGCAAGGGCCCCATGATGAATCGCTCCATAAATGCGCTGCGTGCTGAACCTTCAATGTCGACACTATTCGAATTCAATGCCTGAGCCAGATGATATACCTCGGGAATCGGCAGAATGCCTCTTTTAAAGGTTGATTTCTGTGTATTGGCCGAACGCAAATATTCGAGCAACGTCTGCTCGACAGATTCTGTGGTGGCCTGGCTGTTTGGCTGGAGAGCCTGCATCATTCGTCGAATGTTTTCAATATTCTCAAAGAAATAGTCAGTAGTCTGCAAATCAGCAGGTAGCTCGCCTTGTATCTTCTTAGAAGACTTGATTATATTGCCTTTATAGGGCTGCAGATGGCGACTGACAACAAACTCTCCAAAAGCCAGGTCGCGGACCGCATTTTGATACTCATCCGAGGGATTCTCGCTCGACGAGGTTGCAAATATGGCGATTTGAGTACCGTTTTGCCACGCAGTGTCGGCAAGGGCACGCAAACGAGCCAAGATGAATGACCCTTCCAGGGTCATGGACAGTTCAACGATGTCGTGCAGGTGGAGAAGCACTGGCCGACTGCTTAACGGTTCTTTAATCCTAGCTGATTGAAGAATATGATCCAGGATCTTGTCAACTTTCAATGCATCCCACTTTCCAAAGCAGTCAAGGCCCCCTTGCTTGAGTTTATGTAGTTCTTCTTCCAGATTTCCTGCAGCTGCGATGCGGGAGCTCAGAACCGACTCCGAATCCATTTCGTCATCCTCTGATGCCTGCCGAATGGCAATCTCCGGGTCCTGGACAAGTTTGCCACTGAGCTCAGCCGCGCGGAAGCCCATCATGGAAACTGCACCACGCGAATACGCCCAGTGCTGGCCAAGATATTCTCCCACCAGAACTGATAAATCCTGTGCGTCCAGATGTATCAGATCGAACCCGCCATGGGCAATCTGTGTAGCAATCGATTGTGCAATAGCCTTGCCGCCATAGCCTGAGAGTGAAAGTATGTTGAGAGGGCGCTTGCCGGTCTTGGCGTCGAAATTTGAGGGCGCCTTCGCCTTGAGCTCACGCGCGATAGAACTTTCCAAGGCCACAAAAGTATCTACATGAAAACCAGCGAGCGCATGGGATAAAGGCACATCAAGATGCTCTCCAGCAGTGAGGCTGTGGTCAAGCGATACGCCAAGGGAGACGAACTGGTCGCGAAAGGCATTGGTCCGATGATCAAAGTCTTTGTGGATGTGCCACCACCAAAATGGCGTCTTCTTATAAACATATTCCGCTTGGCGGGCGGGGTAGAGAGCATCCGCGAGGTGCCACGAAGCGTCAAGTATCATATCCCATGTTCTGACGACTTTGGCCATCATTTCTGGGGACTCCCATCTGGCCTTGTCCTCCTCTGTTTGACGTTGTGTGAAGTCGACGGCTAGTTCGCAGTTTCGAAGAAGCAGCTTTTCGATGGCGGTTTCGAAGTAATTTTGAATGACCTCGTTTGAGGCGTGAACGTCGGCGCTTGGAGAAAGAAACAGGCGAGACACCTTTTCACGCTTCGCGTCTTCAGCCAAGGCGGGTGGGAGTCGGGGTTGGCTTGCTTCTTCGTATATCGTGACATTGTATTCGAGAAAGTCGTTCGGGAGCTCGACCGGTGGCAGGGCAGAAGCTGGCTTGCGGCGAGCTTGTCGACTTCTGAGCGAGCTCGCTATTGTCGCCCTCGACCGTCCACCAGAGGCTTCTCCACAGCCTTGCACCTCGACCTCGCCGTTATGTTCAGTGGCGGATTCCTCTGATGGTCTGCCGCTGTTGCCGAGGCCGCTGCATCGGCGAGCTGATGCATGAAATTGACGGCGTGGCCTGCAGCCTCTCTGGGCCCCAGCTGCGAGCACTGCAGTTGGGATGGCCCTGAGGGATGGGAAGTGCATCCGGGCGGTCGGCCGCCACCAGCGCAGGTCGCGTTGGGACTTGATTAATAGTACTCGCGAGCCTGTGAGTGGAACGACTGAATTGGTTCGTTTTCGGGCGGCGAGGGCATTCGGCTAGCTGGTTTCGACAGCGGTCAAAGATGCATGTCTGGTTGATCTGATAAATTAAATTCGCACCAAGTGGATTACGTTAGCGAGTCTGTTGGTGGTTGCTAGGTAGGTACCTACGCGCGTGAGGCTTGTTTTCTGACCAGGCACTAGACACGTTTTCCGCTTAATATATAATTTTCCCCTATCACAACACTAGGCTACTACTATATAAATAAAAAAGTATTATAATAGGGGAAAATTATCTATTAAAAAAGAGACCTATCTAGTACCCTATCTAAAAATAGGCCTTACTCACGTATGTCTACCTACCTAGGTAGTATGTATATAATTGGTAGTCTGCGTATAAAAATGTGACGTTTCCATGTATAAGCGAACGGTGGCTAGACACGCTAGCAACCTAATGTAAATTATAACGTAACGCCTCTAGCACAAGTACACTTATTAAACTGGCAGCGGTGAATGACTTACCAATTAGCTCCTGCAACACGATCGCACAACCACGTCAACCTCGACGGCAGGGGAACCCAAACTTAACGTACCGCCAGTATTATGCACTTTGTTTCTATAAGACTCCCCTTTGAAGGGGGATTTTGCTGCCGAAGGAAGCAAAAAAAAGAATGATAGTGGCCCACTGTCCTGCTGTCTACAAACATACGCCCAAGCGGACTTGCCCAAGCTAGGCTAGTGAGTACGTCCGATGAGCCAAGACCGCCTTGTCATCATGATGGCGCAGCTCTTCGTCAGCACCCATCCAACCTCACACCATAAATCGCCGGTCTCATATCGAGCTGCACTTAACCAGGAAGGTAGGGAGGCATTTCCAATACAGTCTCTGGCAGTGCCGCATCTTGTTCTTATACGAAACCATACGCGCCCAGCTCCGCACTCGGCCCTACTATAAGCTATCCAACGTCATGCCACCAGTGCGGAATCGCCACAAACCATAGTTACATGGCCCCAATCCTGCAAGACTTGACATTTTACACGCTTGTATCGTTTAAGTTACCAACGATCACAGAATGTCAGCGACGCCGCCGGACGGCCCTTCCCCAGCCACCGGAAAGCCGTATCACAGCAAGAGACCACACAAAAAAACAAGGACCGGCTGCCTCAACTGCAAAAAGCGCAAAGTCAAGTGCAATGAAGGCAGACCCAGCTGCATCGCGTGCCTGAACAGGAGCGACGACTGCGAGTATCAACAGGCGATACCGTTACAAGCTCAACAAAAGCAAGCTCGTCAGCAGGCTATGCTTCTACAAAGCCGCCGGCCACAGTACAATCAACTTCCCTATTCGCTTGCCCTTCCACAGACGCACTCTGAAGAGCTCGTACAAGACTCACCCTCGCCGCAATTTCGAGCAAGGCTTTTCACACAGCCCCAACAAAACCCACAGCCATCAGGGCCACTGGCGCCGGATCGCTCAATTCTTCGGCGACTCTACCAGCCCTCTCAATCCCAGAAACTCACAGAGCCGCAGAAGTTGAGACAACTTGCCGATATAATAGAGTTTGAGGAAATTATATCCAAATTTCCGGGGCCTATTCAACTACAGATGGATTGCTTCAACCGAGAGCAAATCGACGGCATATTCCAAGCGCGGACGAATGCGCTCTACACATTATTGGACAAGCTATTACATGCACAAGAGAAAATCATGCGCGGGCCTCAAATGCAGCTGCACCCTTTCTACATGCCTAAATCTTCGAGTATCGAAATTCAGGCGCACCTTCTGCAGCATTTCGAGTCACACACTAGTACATCATTTAACGCCGATCCCATAGAGCGGCGTTACTCTGACCATATTCTTAGAGAAACTGCCGTCCAATACAGCTTCCAATCAGCCTCGCTGATGAACTCTGTTTTAGCCTTAACAGCTCTGCACATTAAAAGGAAGAGGATCGCCGGGGACCCTGCTTTGATAGCGCTGCTGGCTCACGAGTATGTTGATACTTCAGCGTCCCAACTCGTCGCGGACATGGATGTGGCCGACCCGAATTCCTTCCCTCATCTGGTGATTGCCTCGCTTCTTATGACGGCCATATCATCAGAGCAATTCAGAGACGGGCGTTCGGGGTTGAAGCTGTACATCCTCCATTGGATGAAAGTCTGGTGCGGGATCAGTGTTATGATGGACCGCATTACAGTTGCCGGTCTCATTGAAACTGGTCTTTTAAAGCTCTTTTACAGACCGCTACTCAATCTCGAGGCCGGAGACGAAAACACCCCTGAAGTTATCCGAACCCTTGTGGCCTTTGACCCCGCTGATCCCAATAATCATGCTATTTACCGCGAAGCAGCACGCTATCTTGGTACTCTGTACCATCATTTGAAAGATGGACTTAGCCCAATGATGATTTTACGGATCGTAACCTGGGTCACGTTTCTTCCTAAAGAATTTGTCCAACTTGCATTCCAGAGGCATTGGAAAGCTCTGGTCATCGTGGCACATTACGCTGTCTTTTTGAAGCTCACGACCCGGATATGGTGGATGGAGAACGTCGGCCAAAGATCCATTGAGGACTTGATTGACTTCCTTGGTCTGTGGAAGCTGGAATATGTTCAAGTGCCATTCGCTGCGATGAGGACTGACGAGCCTATTGAGCTTGGCCGCTTGCTCCTAGGCGACGAGACCTGGGAACATGAGCCATCAACAAGGATCTTCACCCGGGAAGAAATGCTGTTTATCGATGAACAGGAGAACTTTGAGAACTTCTTCAAAGAAAAGGAACGGGTTACCGTACCGGGCAGCCCTGGCTATGTTTTTCATGAAGCCGGAAGTGTTAAACTTCGCCCTCTGCCGTAAGGACCCCAGAAGCCAGCTCAACTAGACCACTTGCACAGGGTTCAAGACAATTAAAAGCAGCAAAATAAGCCGTTGTGGCTGTCAAGGCTGTTTCCACCAATGTATGAAGTCGTTTGTCAGTGGTTTGTTGATATGGCAGCTATCACCGCTGATGTATTTTCCTTGCGCAACATTTTGAATGCCACTAGAGTATAGGTGAGAATACATACGTTACAAGGTTGTACATTGAGTGTTTTCCAACGCAGGCTATCGTCATAACTATATCCGGAAGAGCACGAGGGTTACGCCGAGTCTCGCAAGCTGTTCACTCGTATTCGCGACACTCGCAGTCACAATTGAACAGGCACAGGTTCAAAGTTTAGAAAAAAGATATATATGTTAGTTAACAAAGGAAACTCCATTCAATACAAGAGGGATTTTGTTGATTTCTTGGTACACAGCCCACGAAAGAGACTACTTAAAGGAGCTTTAGAAGAAACCGCGCTGGGTTCCCGTTCCTCTGATCTATACACAGGCCCGTCTTCTACACCTCTGATATTATTATAGCAAAGGCCGTTAATTGTTCTTCTCCAAATCGGCAAGAATCTTCTCACCCTTCGCTCTGGCGGAGGCGAGATCACCAACCATGTAGAAGGCACCCTCGGGAAGGCTATCACCCTCACCGCTCAGAATAGCCTTGAAGGAAGCGATCGTGTCCTTCAGGTCAACGAGAACACCCTCGATACCAGTGAAAACTTGGGCAACAGTGAAAGGCTGGCTCAGGAAACGCTGGATCTTACGGGCACGCTCAACGGTGAGCTTATCGGCCTCAGAAAGTTCGTCCATACCCAGAATAGCAATGATATCCTGAAGACCCTTGTACTCCTGGAGGATCTGCTGGACACGGGTAGCGGTGTCGTAGTGGTCCTGACCGACGATACGGGGGTCGAGCATACGGGAGGTAGAGTCGAGAGGGTCGACAGCGGGGTAAATACCCAGCTCGGAAATACCACGGGACAGGACGGTAGTGGCGTCCAAATGGGCGAAAGTGGTGGCAGGGGCGGGATCAGTCAAGTCATCAGCAGGGACGTAAACGGCCTGGACGGAGGTGATAGAGCCCTTCTTGGTGGTGGTGATGCGCTCCTGCATACCACCCATGTCGACAGCGAGGGTAGGCTGGTAACCGACAGCGGAGGGAATACGACCGAGGAGGGCGGACACCTCAGAACCAGCCTGAGTGAAACGGAAAATGTTGTCAATGAAGAGCAGCACGTCCTGACCTTCCTCATCACGGAAGTACTCGGCGATAGTAAGACCAGTCAGGGCGACACGGGCACGGGCACCGGGGGGCTCGTTCATCTGACCGAACACCAGGGCGACTTTGGACTCGCCATCCAGCTGAATGACAGAGGTCTCCTGCATCTCGTGGTACAGATCGTTACCCTCACGGGTACGCTCACCAACACCAGTGAAAACGGAGTAACCACCGTGAGCCTTGGCGATGTTGTTGATGAGCTCCTGAATGAACACAGTCTTGCCGACACCGGCACCACCGAACAAACCAATCTTACCACCACGAGCGTAGGGGGCAAGCAGATCGACGACCTTGATACCGGTAATCAGAATCTCAGCGGAAGTCGACTGGTCGACGAATGCCGGAGGCTCGGTGTGGATAGGCAGGAACTTGTCACTCTTGATGGGACCACGCTCGTCAATGGGGTCACCGGTGACGTTGATGATACGACCGAGAGTGGCAGGGCCAACGGGAATGGTGATGGGGGCACCGGTATCAGCGGCCTTGGCGCCACGGACGAGACCCTCAGTACCTACAAATGTCTTGTTAGCACCAGCCCCGGTTAGGTGAAAAAAGATGGTGAAATGACCTACCGTCCATGGCAATGCAGCGAACAACATTCTCACCCAAATGTTGCTGAAATTTTTATTAGTTTCGAGTTTTCCGTGTCTTAAATCGTTGAGTTACATACGGCGACCTCGAGGACGAGCTTCTGGCCGTTGTTCTGGGTTTCCAGAGCGTTCAGGATAGGGGGAAGCTTGGCGGTGTCGAACTTGACTAAATCAGTAGTCAGTATTCAAACATTCGGGTCGGCAAAAGAGCAATTGCGGCTCATCGCGATTGAGATCAAGACTAACCGTCGACGACAGCACCAATGACCTAGTTGTTGTCGTTAGTTTGGCGCTCGGTCTTCGTGGATACGACCAGTTCTCACCTGGTAAATTTTGCCATCACCAACACCAGCGGTGCTCGCAAATCTGCTGTTGAGGGGGAATCGGATGGAAGCAGGTCGGATGGCACGGCTAAGAGCCGCCGTCGCGAAGGACGGGCGGGCAGCGCGGGCGAAGGAGGAAATCCCGCTACATAGGGAGGTTGGTCAGCTTGGGGTCCAATTGGCGCAACAGGCGCAATTGGGCCGTGAAAAAGAGCCCTAACGTCTTCGACGTACCTCTTGAACATCTTGCCAGATGACAGAGAGCGATGGTGATGGGAGTGGAGAGAGATTGGTTGAACCTGGGGAGAACTTTTGCAGAGTGAGCAGTTTTGCTCCGGAACTGAGGACTTCGTCGGTTAGAGCTTTCTCGCAAGTCACGTGTTGCGCTAAGCTGAAATTATGTGAGTACCCCTTACAGTGTTAGAAACTCCCTTGTCACCAACCTCCGGAAATTCCCTCTGTAGGTATCCCCAAGCTGTTGTCGCCTATAACAGTGTTTCACCTTGTCATTGGGCTAGAAACGCAGATTAAGGCATCAATTGATCATGTTGTGAAAATCAATTGAGGCTTTCGGGGTTGAATCCTGAACATTTGCGAAGGTTACTGGCTATTTGAAGGTACATTAGTCTCTGTGGCTAAGCCACATAATCGAAAGTACACAGTGCGGATCCGATAATCTCGGCGAATTTAGGGAGTTCCGAGCGTAAGGTAATGGCCACGCGCCAACTTCTCGTTCCTGACCCGTTCTGCCTGAGGAAACAGGCTCTAGGGCCCCATGCCAGGGGCCTCCAGTACCTATGACCTTCTTCAGTGTATGCGTCCCCAGTGGAACCTATTTTATTACTGAGACTGAATAAGGGAACCAGTCCACAGCGTCTTTTACAAAATCATGTTTGCAATCTGTCGCTCAGACCTTCAAACCCAATTGAACAAGTCGATGCCAATTACCGAGCAATGACATCCTCGCGAGCCAAAACCTGCAAGATTTAGCGTTAGTCTCCTCGCCTGGTTCTAATAACATCGGGTTGGGCTTACCAATGCCGTTCTAGACGGGATATAAACCTGTGTCCAATTTTTTCGTCCGTTCCACTCCATCGGAGTAGTAAAGAAGCGAACACTCTCATCAATTCTACTATGGCCGCCAACGTCATTGCTGTCAGTTTGCAGGACAACTTTGTAGGTTCCGGCTACATCAACGCCGATTCGATAGTCGCTGAAACTTTGGTTCGGATGAAAATTGAATACGAAGACGAGGCCAGCTCTTTCGAACACAATGACCTTGTCTCCTTCATGCTTCAAAGAAATGTATGCCTGAGGTGCATGCAGCCACCCATACTTTGATTCACAGTTGTTCATCAGGCCGTCGAATCTGTTCAAGAATTGATAACGCAAGAGAGGATCCTCAGTGAGGTTGAGCTGACGTCGGGCGTACCAAAATGAGTTTTGATTTCCCTGCCGAGGGAAGTCAAGCCATTCTGGATGACCGAACTCGTTGCCTTCAAAATTGAGATAACCCTCGCCACCTAGGCTATGGGTGAGCAGCCGGATTAACTTGTGTAGAGCAATACCGCGATCGATGATTGGAGTCAATGGAGACAAAGTAGACATGTGTGTATACATCTCTGCGTCGCACAGATGCATCATCAATGTCTTGTCACCGACAAGGCTAGCGCCTGTTAGTTACATCATCTATAACAGGTAACTTTTTACTTACGCTTGGTCATGACTTTCGCAGTATGCAATCGTCTTTTCACCATGTCGCCGATTTGTTAAAGTAAAGCAAATATTGCCGATGTTCCACTCGTCGTCTTGCAATTCCTTGAGGATCTTGATCCACATATCGGGAACTGCCATGGCCAAGCGGTAATCGAAGCCAACACCGCCAAGCCCCACGGGAACACATAGTGCAGGCATTCCAGATACATCTTCGGCAATTGTGATGCACTCTGGATAGAGCGAGTGAATCATTTGGTTGGCAAGCATCATGTAGACGACAGCCTCTTCATCGACATCCGAGCCAAAATACTCATGATAACCTCCTGAGAAGCCGCTACTGGTTATTAGCTTGCCACTCAAGGAAATAGGAGAATGACTTACGCCCCGATGCCGTGATGAATGTACAGCATACTAGTGACTCCATCAAAGCGGAAGCCATCAAAGCGGTATTCGTCCATCCAGAAGCGAAGGTTGCTTAACAGAAAGCGCATGACTTCGTGATGGGCATAGTTGAAAAGACGACTGTCCCATTGGTCGTGGTTTCCTTTTGCCCCGCCATGGAAGTATTGATGATCGGTGCCATCGAAATTGTTGAGGCCATCCAAAACATTCTTTGACGCATGACTGTGCACGACATCAAGCAGAACAACAATGCCCATGCCATGTGCCGTGTCGATGAGCTTTTTGAGATCTTCGGGTGGACCATAACGACTGCTAGCTGCGAAGAAATTGTTGATTTGATATCCAAAGCTGGCATAGTAAGCATGCTCCATGACGGCCATGAGCTGGATCACGTTGTAGCCGAGATTCTTGATTCTAGGCAGCATGTCTCGAGTAAACTCTTTGTAAGTAGCAACTCGTTGCTCAGGCGTCGAGATTCCGACATGAGCTTCATAGACGCGAATACTCTCGGGCTTTTTTGGGCGTGGATGCTTGAACTTGTACTTCTCCGAAGCGGGCGGGTTCCAAAAGCGAGCATCATATACAGGCGACACGCTCAAGTCTTGGGTGACGTATTTGATCCAGGCGGGTATCCTGTCTACACGTTCGCCGCTTGGTAGGATTAAAGAAATCTAAGGCTGTTATTAGAATTACTTCCAGATACGAGCTCAATGTATGGGCCAACAAACCTTAATTTTAGAATTGTGTGGGATAGCAGGTTGGCCAGCATTGGAGGGGACAACGATGGTGAATGAACCATAGGCATCCTTCGTCATGGGATGCGAGGTTTGATTCCACTCATCTATCGCTCAAGTTAATTTGTGGGATGTTACCTGTATTGACAGCTGCTTACTGAATTCGCCGATCAGATATGCTTCGGCGGCATTGGGCGCCCACTCCTTGTACTGAATGTCACCATTGGAGAGGACATTGAAGCCAAATTTATCATAACCCTGGAATATGGTAAGTCATTTAGCGTATTTGACTAAGTCTGTTCACTTGATTGCGTACCTTGGTGTAGCTATCCATACCACCTTCCGAGTCATCAATCTTCTTGATCCATTCTCGTGCTTTCCCACATCGGCGCTTGAGGGCATCACCAAAAGGCTCCAGCCAAGGGTCCAACTTGATCACGCCTGTAAAATATTAGCGCAGTCAAACAATACGTTCAGTAAAGCAGTCACGAACCAGCGCCATCGGCCGGTATCTCGGAGGTTGTAGTAGCTGCCATGGCAAGGTGGCTCTAGTCTATTAATGACGTGGGGTAGTAGTCAGAATGGACAGTCGGTGTTGCGGACGTGGCAGTGCTGTGATAAAATCGGTCTTCGAAATCGCAAGAGTGGCCAATTGATGGGTACTAGTCTGACGCAGAACTGAATGAAGCAACTTTGAGGGTTTTTTCTTTGTTGGTTGACAGGCGAAGAAACAAGATTCTGAACGAGGGGCAATTCCTCTCGTTGGCGTGGCTGATGACGGGGACCGCTAAAGGTAGCTTTCACCTAGGCAACTAGTGTAACTTGGATGAAGGTCACCCACCAGCCACAGTTAGCCACTGCACACAACGTTGATAATATGCAATCTAATCACCCAACAAATCGCCCCTACATTGTTAGTGTCTTGTAGTGGCAAATTAGCAGTCGGGCCATCTGCACTTCGGTGGCGTCTAGCGTCACTAACTAACAAAATATCGAACGGGTGCATTATTGGGGATCCTGTATGGCGTGTTGAGGTGGTCCACGCCGCCCTCAACCAACTTGCCAACCCAATGTGCGCCAGTGGTTGACACTTTGGTAAAATCAAAGTAAAACAAAGCACAGTAAGGGCAAGTACCGATATCTTGGGCTAGTAGGTGTTTCGTACTGATTAAGATGCTAACTACCTATCTAGGTATGTATTTAAAGGATGATAGTCACTAGAACTCCTGCAATGCAACCAGCTATAATCCAGCAGAATGAGGTAGCATGCCTCTCCCGCAGCTCGCCACAACTTATGTGAGACGCGTATTGTATATTTCTTCCAATTCCGTTGAAAACCCGTCAGGCGGTTTTTTCTCGTTTTGTTTCGCTGTTAATGGTTCTTTTTAGGGTGGCGATGACGTCTCCGCTGTCCTCAATCGCTAACTTACCCACCCGGTTTAACTAACGAGTTATTTAGTCTGGTTTATTTTGTCACTTGGTGCAGTGCTAGTTTAGTAGCTACAGTGGGCGTCCCCCGCATTCCACTTTGCACCGAGTAAGCTCCGAGCTCTGTACGGTAGGGTGGTTGGTGGCACGTCGACTGGAAACCTCACACCGTCATTACCCATTACCACCGGCAGCCACCGCTCCTGCACGGGGAGACCGTCTACGAACCCACAAGGCACCAAGCGCTCATAACTAGCATTACCGAATATCACAAAATGTTCCGACATCCGCAGAGAGTATATCCGGTGACCCTGGGCTGCCGGCGTCCTCGGCGGCCGTCGTACCAAGGCTGCACCCAGTGTCTGTCAACCAGCAGTTCGGCGCTTGCCAGCAGGCAGGCGGACATGAACTCTGGCTTTACCGGCACTTATGATCCTTCAGAAGACTCTGGCCGTGGGCCCATGTTTAACCACAAACGACGGTTTGGCGTGCCGCAATTTTATCCACGAGACCTGAAGAGGCGAGTAGACAATTACGTTGTCGGCCAGGACCGTGCAAAGAAGACAATATGCTCCACCATATTCAACCACTACCAGAACCTTCGCCGAAGACACCAGCATGAGCATGAGGAACAAAATCTCCGAGAGAAATCCATGCGACAACGATTTGCCAGAGATCGAGAGCTACACCAGAAACGCCGGGAAACCCATCCCGTAGATGGTATGACAGTGGAACTCTTCTTGCGCAATGCTTTGTTCTAACAGATGTAGACGAGTTTCCGGGGCACACAGAATCTGTCCGCGAGCTTTACGAAAGTGACAAATATGAAGCTCCGTCATTGGATCACTTATATATTCCCGATGACCAAGCCATCAACGAACCAGTCACAATCGACAAGAGCAATCTGCTCTTGATAGGACCTACCGGTGTAGGAAAAACATACATTCTAGAGTACGTCCTCAAAAATAGATTACTTGGGCATGTTGGCTGACAAGGATAGAACTCTGAGCAAAAAGCTCCAAGTCCCCTTTTCAATCTGTGATTGCAACTCTATGACCCAAGCGGGCTATATTGGCCAAGACGTCGAAACATGCGTGGAAAGGCTTCTGATCGAGGCAAGCTACGATATCAAAGCTACAGAGCATGGCATCATTGTACTAGACGAATTTGATAAGCTTGCCAGACGAGAGACTTCAACCGGTCGTGATGTCGGTGGTGAGGGTGTTCAGCAAGCCTTGCTCAAGCTAGTGGAAGGCACGAAAGTTACGATCAACGTAAAAGACAACCGCTCCTCCCGATCCGCGTCCCCGATTACAACGAATTATAGCGCAGGAGGGTCATCCAGCAGCGCAGCCCAAGCCGCACCTCCGGCCGCCAAGGTTGACCAATACACCATCGACACGACCAACATCCTCTTCGTTTTCTGCGGTGCTTTTGTTGGGCTTGACAAAAGTGTAATTCAAAGAGTTGCCAAGCCCACCATGGGATTTGGTGGCGAAGTCAAGGGGCGTACCACACTCTCTGGCGAGCAACAGACTCTGCCTTCTGAGCTTTACGAGCACTTGGCGCATCACGATTCTGCTTCGAAATTTACGCCCCTGGACCTGGCCACGCCTGCCGATTTGCAAAAATTCGGGTTCATCCCCGAATTGATCGGAAGACTGCACAACATTTGCGCTCTCAGCCCACTATCAAGAAAAGACCTATATCGCATTCTTACGGAGCCGCGGAACAGTCTTGTAGCGCAGTACACAGCGCTATTTGAAACGTACCCGTCACGTTTATACTTCACCGAAAAGGCCCTTTTTGCTATTGCGGACAGGGCGTCGCAGTCTGGAACAGGTGCTCGTGGGCTGAAGATGGAGATGGAGCGGGTCCTGGGCGAGCCCATGTTTGACGCGCCGATGCCATACGTTCTCATCACTGAAGGTTGTGTCAATGGCACCGAGAAGGCGGGCTACTGGGCGAAAGATGGGCGGTTCGAAGTGGACAGACGAATGGAAGAAGAGCAGCTCCTCACTGCTAACCCAACAGCACCCGAACTTCTACCACAAGCCGGACAGAGTAGTAGTGGTTAGACCTTTACTACCGATCTACCTAGCTATCTAACTGGCTCTAACAAATACCCAGCAATATGATAACACAATAAACCACACTACTATTATCTCTCTTCTTCTTATTCTCCCTTGTTTCGCTACAATTCTCTCCAACTTCTTATCTTCCCTCTTTCATCAAGTGTTAAGCTTATCATGGCTATTTTTATCACTGGATTGATCGACTACAAGCATACATCGAAACGTATTGGGAAATTGAGTTATTTATTGGAAACAAATTGCTTCTTTTGATTCTGCCATTGTAGTACAGTATTTACACCTCCTTCTACCACGTCGCTCAACGATTCGCCAACAGTTCTCCAAACGCTAGGCAATTTTACACGCGAGAAAGATTACAACGTTTCCCACGGTCCACACATTCTTCTATGACAAAAGGAAATGATAGAGTGCGTCTTGCATATTTCAAGAGTCGTTCTAGTTGCCCTTGGGAGGCGACTGAACGACACCCTTGCCAGTGTAGCCTTCGGATGAGATACCCGTGATGGGGTTGGCGTTTTGGTTCTGGAAGACGTGTTAGCATGCACACCAAGTCTGCTACCAAGAGCCCTCTATTAGCGATATAACGTACGAGAAGGAATTCGTTGGACTCTTCCTGGTACTCCTTAGTCATGGTGTAAGGAACGGGCTTAGCCGCGAGGCGGATGGCAGCGAAGATGGCAATTGAGGCGCCAACGCCGAGAGCAACACCCCAGGCAACGCGGGCGTTTGTGCCGGGAGGATCGGTAGCGCGGGGTCCATGGGGACCAAAGGCAATCCAGTAGGCTGTTGAGAGGATTTGTGTTAGTTTTTTTTGTTCATATGCAAGTTAACTCTTGATGCAACAATAGCGCGCGGTGCGCCCTCGAGGTCACAGTCAATTTCCCGAATAGGCAAGTATGCCTGTATTGTTTAGGATGATATGAGCCACTGGGCACATTATAAAAAGTCGGTTTCCCGAGAGAGAGGGCTGGGAAGCGAGCGGTTCATCGTAGTCGTTCCTGTAGGCTAAAGTGTGCTGGCGTCTCAGGTGGGTGCAAGCTTGGTAACCCGGAGGTATTTTCAGGGAACCAGAAGGTAACCTGGCTAAAGCAGAACGACGAAAAGAAACACGACGTACCAGCCTTCTTCTCTTGCAGGGTCAGCTCGGACCAGCTGCCCTTCATGCGATCACGTAGGGCCATCCAGAGGTCGGCCTGCTCCTGCAGAGGCATGCCCTCCCATCTCTTCTCAATGTTCTTGAGCGTCGGGTTGGACAGGGCCTGGGTGGAATAGGCACGGGGGGCGGCCCGGCGCAGAACGTTTGCGGCCTGCGTGCGAAGCATTGTGTCGAGGGAAGAAGAATGAGTCGATTATGAAGCCGAAATTAGTTGCAATTGGCGCGTTGGCCGTCGTACGAAATCGTATTTTTTTTCGGTAGGAGAGCACGGAGTAAGTGATTGGGCTTGACGAAAGGCAATCCGACGACTTGGACGATTTCTCGCACACCCGGGAGAAGCTTTGCTCCACGGCTGACTAATAAGCACAGCTGGCCTGATTTTGTCACGTGAAGTGTGATGTGGAATCATGCGACTTCTCATTGGCCAATTGGTCTCTAACGCGAATTGGCGTCACAACCATTTGACCATTTGAAAGTCGCTAAACTCTTAGAATATGGACTTTTATCTTAATTCAATCAGAATCGAGCTATAGTTTTTCTGCCTTCTGTTCTCTTCATCAATTGCTCCATGACTTGCTGTGGCTCATTAACTACTGGATGTTCTCGGAGAATGACGGAACCGTGGGCCGGGTGAGTTGCAATTTGTGGCACCACCTTGCAGCTATTTTCACAGTCTGTAGTCTGTGTCAGGAACTGTTCCTCTGCAGCTCAAAACCGGGCTCCAAAACATCTCTCGTTATGGATCTCGTTGCCACGAAAATATAACATTTCAGGGCCGGGGGGGGGGGGGGGATTGCAAAAGCAATAATGCAAGAAGCGATGCGCACCATCCTAAATCCCAGCGTTAGACGTTGCCCTACCAGCAATCGGAAGGAATGCACCGCCCAGAGAGTATTACTGGCTGCACAGCAGAAGCCACGTATCGAGTGTCTTCGAAATCCGCTGTTATTCCGGTCCGATTGATGTGTGTGGAAAGAGTTTTTATGCATCTGCCGAATGCAACAGGGGCCGCTCTTGAAGTTGTGCTTTCGGCTGGTCGGTCGCAGTATACAGCAAGAAAAATCGAGAAGGCAGGGTGGCGGCTCCCAAAATAATCATGCCAACAACAAACATGCAAACAACGACTCTGTCGCTTACAGATTCATAAGCATTGCCCCTGACTCATCAATGTGTGGTTTTCTCTTATTACACCTAGTTACCTGCCTGGAGCTGCTCAGGCTCGTCGGGCTGGGGTCTCCGGTGCCCGCGCGACGAGAACAAAGATATATGAGAAAAACATGACGCATATACAACTGCGTCTGGCTAGCTGAAAAAGTGCGTCCGAGAATGGGGTTGATGTAGTTATAGGCGGGCGCCGACTTACACAGTAGCCTGTTGGCCCAGGGAGTCGGTCACTAATACATCCGTGCTTATATAGGTAACAATAGTTAGCAGCCTCACGTTATACCTCTAGCCCCCAAGTTAAGTATACTAATGGCTTCGTCTTTCGTCGTATATACTCTACAAGAACAGATGAAGCTTCCTTGGGTATTCCTCCGTGGCAGCACATCTGGTACCCTGCCATTCGTACAGCGGGTGTAAAGATTTGCTCGGCGTCGTCATACTTACCGATGGACCATGACAAACTACTTAAGGAACACATCCAACACAGGGGTTGGGTTGGGCGGAGCCGAAACCGCTATCGACATTCAGCTTCTAGGTGGGTCGTTCGGCAAAGTCTTGATGACGCCGTGGGGTCACCGCGGACTTTCCGGATCCCACGGATATTCGCTCAAACACACCCACCTTTCCCTCGAACATATCCCCAAATACGCGCCAAAAAAGGAATATTGACCGAAATTGTTTCTATTGTGGCATTGATACGATCTATAGGGCAACATGGGGCGGCAGCCAAGACAGCGGCCCATTTCCTGCAAGCTGTGCAGGCAGCGCAAGCTGCGGTGTAGCCGCGTCTTCCCTTGTTCTAATTGTACATGTCGTGGGCTCATCTGCGAACATGATGGGCCTGTAACGGCTCATTCATCCGCGGCAAGACCAGATCTCGCGGCTAACTCTAGTGCAAATTCTGCCATTACTGTACCCGATCAGGATGATGCGGACTTGCGAATGATCGGAGGCGAACAGTCGGTTGCGCCAAAAGATGTCCCGAATGCCGAGTTGCTGGTACGCCTTGAGAAGCTCGAGGCGCTCATTGCTGCCCAAAACAGAGAAGGCATGTTGAGTAAACCAGAGCCCACGGCTTGTATGGAAGCGCCGTCGCCGAACCAACCCTCCGCTGTGGCGTCACCAATGTCACCACAACTTCAAAAGTTGACCGATGATGCACTGTGGCTTGAGAGGTCATTTACAGGCCAACCAATGCTGGTATGTTTGAGTTTTAACAAGTGTTGCTAGCCTTGACTTGCATCTGCAAGTGTTAAAATACCACGTCGGACAAACTTTTGCACTGCGGATTACACTAACGAGCCGACGTCTGGAATAGGAACCTGTTTGTGATCCAATATCCTTCCGCACTTGCCCTGTGCGCCGTATCGTCAAGCAGGGTAGCTTCGTACTGCAAAATGATCCTTCTGCACCTTCTTTTGGCTCTGGTGAGGTAACGAGATGTATATGGTTGCCTCGCCGCGATGAAGCCCGCATCATTGTGCACAAGTACCTATCTGATGTTAACCACTTCCATCATGTTGTACATGTACCAACGTTGATGGCCACCATCGAGCAGATCTACGATTGCATTGACAGCAATGCAACATTAGATATTGGTCTCATGACACTACTTCTCAGCATGTGCGCTGCCTCGACTTATACGTGGTCGCCCCAAGACGATGCACGACTTCTCTATGGGACTGTGGCAGAGGCCAGAGGCCAGTCTTTGTGGTGGGTGAAAGCTGCGCTCGATGTTATGGACCATGCGCAGCGCATTGGACATGCGTCTCTGGAGTGCATTTATGGCATGATCATTCTTTTTTATGTTTTTTGCAATATTGAAGGCCTTTCGCCCCGCGCAAGAAGCCTCAACGCCCGCTCCATCAGCATGGCCAGAGAACTGTCGCTACACCGGGTAGATGCCCCGGGCAACCATGAAATCCCCAACATGGGCAGCCTCCGAATGGAGATGTACAGAAGAACGTGGTGGTTTCTCGTCGCCACAGACTGGTGTGTATTTATCGCAGTCTTGCCTTACCCTCGGTCAAGCAGCTAACATCCTATAGGATGGTTACGCAGTTTGCCTTTCCTCAAGAAGGGTCATTTACTATTCATCCACTCCACATGATGGTGCGAAAGCCATCCAATGTGAATGATGCCGATATTGTCGACAGCCAGCCTGTCATCGGACGCCCATTGACAGAACCAACCGATGCATCTGCTTTGATCTACCGTATTCGTCTGGCGGAACTTTGCCAGAATATGATTGATAAAGACCGCGCATATGCTTTCCAGGCACAACCAGCTGATCATAAATTTGTCATGGAGATGGACGCCAAATTCAGAGTGTATTTGCGAGAGTTGCCGGATTTCTTCTCCATGGACAGCACAAACATGCACTCTCTCTCGCCATCGGATCCACGCCGTGATCCAAAAATCACGATTCAGCGCTACACGCTGAATCTACTAATATATCGGCACCTCTGCAAACTTCATTTGCCATTCCTTGCAAGGGGCTCTGTGGAGCAAGCATACGCATACTCGTACGAGGCTTGCATGGCAGCTGCCAGAATGATTATTCAGACCGAGAAGCACTTGAAACTCGAGGACCTACCGTTTTCCAGCACAAGGTTGCGCTCTGTTATCATTCTTCGGAGCGTGTTCCTCGCCAGTATAGCGCTTGTTCTCAATGCCTGTATTGGTAGACAGACAGAAGATACACCTGCGAACGACTCACATCTTGTCGAGGCTTGGCGTATCATGGACGATGCTAAAGATCAATCACCCATAGGATCCAAGCTTCTTGATTTGTCCATTCAGGTCTTGAAGCGACACACCCCAAATCACCCAGCTCTCAAAATGTTCACAGCGCTACCCGTAATGATGCCAATGACACCCGACTCGGCAGGACGGGAGGAACAGCGCCGGAATATGCCATTTCAAGGTTTTGTTCCCGAGCCAGAGGCATCATATATGGATCAGCAATGGCAGGCGCTGGAGGGTCGGATGGACCTCAACACCATTGATTTTGATAAGCTGTTCTATGGGCTGGAGGCACCCTTCATTTGAGCTGACGAAGACGTTGCATGGTGTAGGAAGACGGCACAATCTGGAGTTGGGTACAATTACGGGACAAATGGGCGATACCACATGTAAACTAGTCTCAGGGGGTCAAGGAGTCCAGGCGTAATGCCATTTAATCGTTGTAGTAATGCATTGCAGTTTGTACTGGCTCTATCATGGATGAACAGGCATGTTCTATGGTTTTGCATGAAAAGTAAGACAATTGTGTCATTGGACTCGGGTTGAGCAGACGCCTGCATCACCCAGCTATTTATGATGTAGGCTTCACGACTCTGATATTGGGGTCCGTAGCTTTAGCATTAGCTCTGGACAAGACGTGTTAGAGTGTGTGCGTGTGTGTAAGTCGCGATATCAAATTGCTTACACTTTCGAGGTGTCGAATCTCTCTGGATTCTGTATGCTCTCTGGTAACTCCTTCGGCGCCAGCATAGGCTGGAAGGTGTAAAAGCCTGTATATGCAGTTTAGAAATGTCAACTCGTTGGATGACGCCGCGAGACGCACCGCCAGCAACGCCACAGAAGACTGCAAATGCCAACGGCAGAGCTCTTTCCAAAGCGCCACCCATTATAGCCCCAAGTTCAACAATATTGTCGACGTAGGAACTCGGCCAAAAGGGAGATGGAATTGAGTGGTGAGAGGTACAGGGTGGGCGAAAACGGCGCTCAACAGAGAGCGGCCAGCCCCACCGAGAGTACCTAGGTACCTACCTAGGTACTAGGTACCTGACCACAGAGCGCCGGACGCGTCCTACGAATTGGCGGCGCGTCTTTCTGGTCCGCCAAATTTACAGTCTGTTTGGAAACGAACACTAACTCACCAGACATTTTTCAGCTTTCTTACTCTGGAAGATGCATTGGAAATCTCTTATCTCGAACCTTCAACTCTAATTTGACGGCAATTTATAATGTCGGACTCTAATCGACCATGGCCGACTGGAAATTATTGGGGGAAGTGCCAGACTCCGAAGACGAAGATGCGTTTGACAGCCTGGAAGTGGCGACAACCCTCAATTCGACGACCACGCATGTAGGCGAACTTCCAGCGACGGATCCCTACGATATTTGGGAATTTCCTGGATCCCAACATGTAACGGAAACTACACACCGTCCCCCGAGCAAGAACGCGCTCGATTTGACCACTACGCCTGTCAGGGAAACCCTAACGACGAACCCCGACAACGTGTGGGTATTCCATGGCTCCCAACATGCAAACGAAAATGTACACCATATTCCGAGCCCGAGCGACTCCCTCAGCTCGTCACCTCTGTCGTCCGTGCAGAGCATGGACGGGCTTACAGAGCTTGATGGCATGTTCCTGGACGACGATGGAATGAGCAGTTTCCAAGAAGATCCGAACGGAAGAGCGAGCAGCGGCGGAGGCTCACGATTTACAGACCGAGTACCGCCAAAATTGGAAGGCATTCACGACGGTGTCATCTCCAGTCAAGCCCTCCTCCAAGACGTTGTTTTGCCCAGCCAGGATCTGGGTCTTCAAGAAACCAGGGATGACCTGCGTCGGGAAGCTGTGCGACTGGAACGCTCACTACGACCACGAAAGCCTATCCAAGAACACCCATATCTTCTGGAGAATGCAATGTACAGCAGCCTTATCCGACAACACGGCATGCGTCCTGTTCAGATTGCCGCGGCTCCTGCGAAAGTCATGCAAGGCAAAAATATTCAGGACGGCGAGTTTCAGGACGACAGCCAGGAAACCTCGCTTCCAGATGTGAATAACTCGAGCCAACTGTTGAGCGATGACACCATGCACGGAAGCAGAGGTCTCGGCCAATACGACTTCCCTTCCTCCTCTCCACCCAGGACATCGCCCTGGATCAGCCATAGACGGTCTAGCATCCATGAGAGCTCGCAAGGTGACACGGATAATACTAGTGTTACCGATCAAGATTTGCCCACGCTCCAAGACCTCCTGTCTAAACCCGAACTAAAGGTCCCAACTTCCGCAAAACGTCTCAGTGCCACTCTTGCCTCATCTGCTCGAAAGCGGAGGAGGCACGATATCGTCGACAGTGACCCACTGGATGCTACTACCAGTGGCCGGGATGCTCAGGTGTACTCTACCCACCGTTTAGCGGCTGGACCGCTGCCGCCTATCCCACGCCTCCAGCCAAATGCGAGATGCTCTGTCGAGGTTTCCCCCACCAAAACTGTTTTGACGATAGATAATAGCTCGTCCTCGGAAGATGAGGGAAACGACGGCGAATCATTACGAGACCAACTTGTCAATTTATCAGATGGGCCTACCACTGAAGAACTGGTCTACAAAAAGCGCATACGTGGAGTTCTACCAGCCTCATGGCTTCGATTGGACCAAAAAGCAAGCAGAGATGAAGCTCAAAAGTATCTCCACGGTCGTCAGAGAAATCGTACTCCGGAGCAGGAGGTACGCCGCGGTTTAGCACAGAGAAGGACGATGAGCAATGCCGCTGCATCTGTGGACCCTTTATGGGGTTTGGATGAATCAGAAGACGACGAAATGACAACCCGCCCTGCTACGACTGATGATAAGCACCAAAACCAATCCCGAATTGTTTTGATGCCTGAAGAAATTCCAGCGCAAGCAAATGCCGACATATCCAACCAAGGTTCTATCATAGAGCATGATGCCATCGATACTATGTTCAGTGGACCAACACGACGGCGCGCCTCCAGCAATGCAAAGCGACGTCCCAAGGCCAGAAATCCCCCTAAAATTGGCACGAGCGCAAACATGAGGCAACAAACAATTGGAGCGTCGCTAATTCGGGCTCGATCGAAACCTGGGCAACACCACAAGCAAAAGTTAGATCGATCCGGATCAGAGAGACGATCTGCTTCCCAGCTGGCGCCTAGACCGCTGAGTATTCTCGATGTCATCAAGCCTGATGCGCCCCGGTTTCTGAGAATTGCAGCACGGACAGCAAAGGAGAGAGCCAATCAAGGGCGTTGCAGCCCCTTGAAGAAGATAGTACGCCTCGCGTCGAGAGTTGACAACCTTGATGCAGCCGCCTCGCTCAATCGATGGAAGTCTGGATCCATTTCACAAAGCGAAGACGTGTCAGAAGCTAGAAAAGAGAAGCAGAAGCAGAAGCAGGCTCCTAGGAGACCCCTCGCTGAGCGAGTTGGTATTCGACCGACTGCAACGCTCAGCCCCCCGAGATCAACCAAAGTGGCAGCAAGCAGATCACGAAGATTTGTAAAGCAGACTAGCAATGGGGGATCCCCTCGCTATCTACCGTCAAGCAAGGCACTGGACATTCCGACTCTTGCAAATACTGCAAGCGTTGAGAACAATGCCAATGTACTGCCTCCACCAGAACCTCCACAGTCGGCAAGATGCGGCAAGAAAGCCTCAACGGACATCTCGCGCCCCTCACGTCCTGCAATAATGGAAGTGGAAGAGGTCAAAAAAGTCGCACCGCTCATGTTTCATCGGGAAAAGAAGTCGCGGGACAGCATCTACCGCAAAAATAACCGAGACTCCTCTGTTGATGCGTCAGATATGCGCTCCGAAATGAGCACCAATAGGCTTTCGGCTGCAAGTCTATCGGGGATTACTCAGGAACAGCCTGTGGGGGAGAGCCAGTCACAAAAGCAAGCAAAGCGTCGAGCCCGAACCAAAAAAAGAAAAATTCCTAGGCGCGTCGATGTTGATGCACCGCAATTCAGCCACGCAGCAGATCCGCCACCAACCTCATATACTGCCGAAATAGAGCTAGCCCGATCGCAAACAGCCAATGAAGGAGCCAAGCTCGCTGGACTCGGCCCATACGGTACAGAGTATACGACACATTTCGAAATCTTTCCACTGGACCCAGGAGTATACTTTCACAAATCAACCCTGCTCGGTAGTGGAATTCTTGAGGACTGCCGAGACTGCACAAAGAGGCATATACTGCTAAGCTCGCGGCCGCGTGTCACTTTCAAATTTGGTACCTATGCTTGCCGATGGGACTGCTGGAATGCCCAAACATCCTCTGAATTGGGCATTGTGCTCGACTTGATTGCAGACGAACTTGAAAAAGTCGGAGGAGTAACTATCGCTGACGAAGCCACTGTTCTCGAAGCATCGAGGTTCATATCGACTTATGCAAGGACGGCGCTGAGCTTCGAGAACGAGTCAGCCTTCAAGCCGTTCATTACGAGAGTGCTTGATGTAGTCAAAAGCTTTCACACTCGCTTCTCCGGTCTCGTTTCTAGAAAATCGATGTCAAACAGAGGCTTCCAAACTGCAACAAGAGTGTGTGACAGTTTACTCATTCTTGTACTGGTGACTCACTTGGTTTGCGCACAGCATGATGACTTGATGACGGAAAAGTTCCAAGTGGAAGACCTCCTGCAAAGTTTGGCTGCAACATCAATGTCAAATCTGCTGCTTATGGGCGTAAATCAGGTCCAAAAGTCTTACATGCGACTTCGAGAAACTGCATCACACGAGCAAGGTCTGCGAGAAGACCAACCAGTCATTCACTCCTGGGCACTTGTGATGCAGATCCTAGAAATGAGTCAAATTCCGCGTGGCTCATTCTGGGATGTGCTGAAGCAGACCATTGCAACCAACGCCGATATCTCTGTAGCTCAAGCACAGACTTATGAACGAGTCTGGGAAATCATGTTTACTATGTTGCCGCTTTGTGAATTTAACGCTTACGGTATACTGATGCCCGGGAAGCGATTTCAAGCGATGAACGATGGATGGATGATTGTGCAACAGCTGCTTCGACAAGTCTTCACAGTGTACCAAGAAAACTCGCGGCAAGCTCCCAGTTTCAATAATTACTGCCGGGCACTGATGAGCAGATGTCACTATCTCGTACAGCAATGGGGGTGGCGGCGAAGCGGAAGCATTGTCGGTGCGATTTTTGACTTTTTTGGCTCTCAAAATCTGGAGCACCTACGCAATGAGGAAGTCAGCGCCTCTCCAAGATTCTTGGAGTGTCTTGCGGGAGACCCGTCTCTGGCGATTGAACTAGGGGACCCTTGCTTCCACGTCTTTCTCAAATTCCTCGCACTTAGCATACAGAAGCTTCGGGGTGCTGGTGCTATAGGGGATGTTCGCAACCTCGTTGCCCGCATACTTCCCAACCACAATCGACAACTCTTGAAAGAGCAGACAGTGCACGAGCGAGATCTGGCAGCCCTCAGAAATCATCATGATCTTCTGGCAACCCTTTACTGGGCTGCTCCGCCAGACTTGCGACGCTCGCCGGTGCTGATCGAGCAACTTGTGGCACCAGAGACCTCACACAAGGAAGCAATCTTGATCAATATTCGCTGCTGGAACCAACTTGCTCGCTTCGTCGTAGCGAAGGGTGAGGCGCCAACAGCCTTTAAATTGTTCAACTTTTGGCGCCAGGGATTGTTCCAGAAGATGGTTCAACAGTTTGATTCTGCAGCTGCGGATATTCAACAGCAGCTCCTCGCACTACCAATTGATGTACGGGCCACTGTCAGTGAAGACATGATCAGTTCTATGATTTCGATCAACAAGACAGCTGTCGGCGATGTGCTACAGGCTAGCATTGCTGCTTCATTGGACGTTATGAACCATGCTGCCGATCTGGAAGCTGCGACTTTTTGTCTGAATACTCTGCAGCTCCAACACGTCTACAAACACAGCAGCATCTCGCCGCCCGAACTCAACTGGAACATATTACGAGGAGCTATCTCTACTCTCGACTCATTTATGGGCTATATTGCAAAGTTCAAAGAGAACGAAGAAAGCCAACAGCGGGAGAGTCAAATTCTCGATTCTGCTCGTGCAGATGACGCTCTTCTGTTACTGGATCACGACATTTCAAAGTCTTATTTTTCCATGGTGCGATGCATGTTATCCCAGAAACCACCAAACCAGAGCCCTACATCATCTTTCACCTTTGCAGACATTGAGCAAGGCGTTGCTGTTTCAGTTCGACTTGCGACCTGTTTCATTAACGGCGGGCTAATCAAGCCGCTTGATCTCTTCCAGCGTGGGAAATATGGGCTGTTTGATGGCCTGATTCATAAGCTGGACTTCGAGCAAAGACAGTACCTCGTGTTGGTCGTGACCACACTACTGAAGGCTGGCATTGATGACTTTACAGATGTAAGGTTCACTCTGTGTGAGCTCTGGTTGCTCGTGCTCGTCATGCCCAGCCGCTACCTGAAATATGAGCATCTACTAGCCGATGCGTTGCGTCAACGTGGCGAATATTTTCTCCCATCTACTGACACTGGACTCATGAGCTCGCCGAACTACGAATGCAACGGCACCCTGTTTGAATTTGCGATATCTGCCATGCGCAACTCTGTTCTTAAAGCCGGTCCAAATGTGAAACAGGACTTGGTTGCGATGCATTCGAATGCTCTCAAACTGGTTATGGAACAGATGAAGGAAGATTTAAAAGCAACGTCTTCTCAACCGGTTACTCATGTCGCCTACGTCGCGTTTGCTCGGCGTATCATCTCTCTCATCCGTACTCACGGTTCCTGCACCCTCGACAACTTCTACTACCAAATCAGCAAAGACTATACCCCGTCCGATGAAGACCCTCACCTGCAAATTGCGACCATGGAATCGTATGGCTTGCGGTTGCGTGAAGGTGATACGAAGGTGGTTCAGCAAGTTTTCTTCTTCTTGTTCAACCATTTCAAGATGGCTTTGATATCTGACAACCTCGAAGAGGAGAAGAATATGCTACAGAAAGGAATGGGACGCAATCGAGAGATAACACAATTCATTGTGGGTAAGATGCTCCCCGCGACAATCGAAGCCGCTGCTTCCAAGGCTGTCGCCTACCCTCTCTTGGACCTATACGTGTGGGCGGTCGCAAGTAGGCTCAGACACTATACGACGACATATCACCTGGGTGACGGCGATCTTCCCGGAGTAAAGGCTGTCTTGCAAGCGATTTTAAAAGGTATTAGTGAATGGATTGCAGAGCCGGCACCGCCCACAGCTGTGAGACTACACACTCTACGGACCTCCATCGCCGGGATGAATCTACTCTGGCCTTCTATCTACGAGTATTCATTGAATCAGGATGCATCGCCTGCGCGGTGGGTCGAAATTATCAAGCTCGTCAAGACGCTTAACAGATACATCATCGCCAGCCAAGACACCCTGTCTCAAGCTCGATTATGCAGCTCCCAGATGCGATTCGACGAGATTCTCGCCGCAGTATCATTCGACGAGATTCTCGCCGCAGTATCATTCGACAGTGCACCGATTCAAAGCATGGCAGACGAGGACGTTCGCGGGTTCGCTGACAACATCAAGCAAGACGTTGATCGCCATTGGTTCGTGGTAGACGGGCGCATCTCTATTCAGGCGCCAGGGAAGCCACGAGGTGGCAGCACCCTGCAGGGCGTTGTGCAGGCTAGATGGGACGCTTCCACGCTCATCGCAGGCACCACAGCGCAGCTCACTGAGTGGCTACGCTGGAAGGAAAAGATGGATGGGGGAAAGTATGCGGTAGCAAGGCAATGGCCTGACATGTTGATGTTTTAAAATTGCATTTGTGATGGTGTTGGGCGTTATTAGTGGCATTTTACAAAGGTGTGTTGGGTGTTGGAATAGCACTGATAGTTTTGATAGAATTTTGACCCACGAGTATATTTATATCACAAGCTTGGCTGAGTTTTCGTTGCGCAGGGTGTACCCTGTTCAAATGCTATATTTGCATTATCTGTTACGCCGTGCCCCTTTACACAGCTCGGTGACTTGCACGCACGACCAGGAACCCAGGAATCCGACGCGTTGCACCGCGACTTGCACTTGAACTTAATTGGGCCCGTTTGAACCACCACCACGTCAACCTAAGCAACGTGGCCAGCATTTGCAGAGCTGCAGACAAGCTACAAATACTCTGCGAAGCATGGAATCAACTTTCACACTACCGGAAGAGTCGATATTAAACCCCTTGTTCCAACAATTCCCGTGCCGCGAGCACCAAATACGGTCTCTGGCTAGCTTGCTCAGTGTAGGTAGCCCGCAGCTTTGCGCCAGACCATTCTGCTGACGAAAATCCCATCACACGCAGCCCGGTGCGATCTCCTGCCGCAATCTCGTCGTCCATGGTGCCGAGGCGACAGGCAAGTCCAGCGTCACCGCCGCCCTTCTCGACCGACTCTGCGAAGAACCGAAGCCAGGCCTCGACAATGATGCGCCGCGAGCCCGCCTCCTCCACCACGCCCGCGTCGACGCCGCACAGTGCATTACGGTGCGGCACCTCTACGAGCGCATCGTGGGTACCGTGGCGGTAGCCCTGCAGGCGTACGACCGCGCGCCGAAGCGCTGCGAGACCATGGCACAACTCGCGGTCGCGCTCGGTGAGATGATCGATGCCAGGGCCCGAGACAACGACGACCCGCGATGGCGGTTCGTTCTCCTGCTCTCCTCGATGGATCGACAGCGCGAGGCCCCGGCGACACTGCTCCCCGCGCTGGCCCGACTTTCTGAAATGGTGAGGAGTACCAAGTCTTGCACACAGTACCAATCTGAACGCTGGTTAAAACATAAACGCTAGATACCATGCCTCACCTGCGTCATCATAGTCACGTCGCCGCCGGCTGGCTTCTTGCGCTCACCCGGCTCGGCCAGTCTACACTTTCCGCCCTATACGAAGCAAGAATACGTGCGCATCCTTGCGCTCTCGCCGCCCCCGCCCGTCCAGGGCACGACGCAGCAGGAGACGAGCGACCTGTGGGCGCGCTTCTGCGCGACCGTGCACGACGCCCTGATCCGCGCGGCATCGAGGACGCTGCCGTCGTTCAAGGACTGCTGCCACGCGCTATGGCCCCGGTTCACCGCCCCGATTGTCGCGCAAACTCACGCGCCTAAGGAGTTTTCCAAGCTGCTGGTGGCCGCGCGCGTGCACTTTCAGGACGAGTCCCTGCTCAACCCCAGCATCATCGCCGTGCGACCCAGCGCCGCGACCGCCGCCGCCGGGTCCGTAGCCACCAAGGCCAAGCCCGGCAACGTGGCGGAGCTGACGTCCCTGCTGCCCACCATTGCGCGCCTACTCCTCCTCGCCGCCTATCTGGCCTCGCACAACCCAGCTAAGCACGACCTCGTCCTCTTTTCCACCTTTCACCACGGGCGGAAGCGGCGGCGGGGCGGCGGCGGTACATTCTCGCGCGGCGGACCTGGTCGCGGCAAGCACCGCAAGATTGCGCGCAAGCTCCTTGGCTCGCACGCCTTTGTGCTGGAGCGCATGATGGCCATTTTTGAGGCGGCACGCGCTGAGTGGATTGACGACGGGCGGCCCGTGGGCGCCGCGGGTGTCGACGGCGACGTGGGCATGGCACTCGCAACGCTCGTCAGTCTCCGGCTACTGGTGCGTGTGGGCGCAGGCGACATGATGGACCGCTCGGGCAAGTGGAGGATCAACGTGGGGTGGGAAGCTGTCCGTGGCATAGGCCGGAGCATTGGCGTCGAAGTCGAAGAGTGGTTGATTGAGTAGGGTTGTAACAAGAAGTACGTGTATATGACAAGACCGCAGCGTGTATCATAATAAACAGCGGCATGTTTTATGATTAAAACAGTCGATGGGGGCAGATGTGGAAGGATCCATGAACTGCATCCTTTCTAATTGGTGTTGTCTATAAAGTATATGGTTCGGAGCCACAAGAGACGTGCACATGTCTAATGACTGCTTTCTATCTGTTCTCTATATTTGAATTTTGATGGCGCGCTCATCGCGCTAACCCAGGCTTTTTGTTGGTGTGAACAAGTACGCTGCAAAGCAGACATGCCTGGGAATCTTTTCAAGAGGGGGTGCATTGTCCTAGCCCATGCCTGTCACGAGTGAATCCCGGAAACAACGCGAGTGGAGGAATACGCAAAGACGAGACTCGGCGGGTAGAAGAATATGTCACAATGGAGCAGCGCAAGCCTGTTGCCTGCCAATGTGTGAAAGTGAAAACCGTCAAAAAAAGTATCACAGCTTTACATTTCTTAGTCATCAGATCTCTTGGAGTCGCCAGCACTTGGGCCAAAATATCCGTAACCTTGAGAAATGGGGTGGGACGGCGCGACGAAGCCGTTTCGGCCGCGGTCCGCAACTTCGTTGATAGGCAGCAGCGGCGTCCCAGCGCGGGACTGCGTCATGGCCTGGGCCTTGCGGTCGGCCTTGTTGCTCTCGCTCGTGCGGTCGTAGAGGTAGAGGCCGAGAATGGTGAGGGCGATGCCGAGACCTTGCAGCGGGCTCATTGGGCTGCGGAACCAGAGGATTGCGAGGACGATGACGAAGACGCGCTTGAGCAGGCTGGCGACGGAGTAGGTGACGGGCGACACCATCGAGAGGAGGACAAAGGCAAGGATGTTCTGGCCAAAATGGAAGACGCCGTTGAAAATGAACTCGACCGTCAGGCGGCCGTGGTCAAAGGCGTTGGGCTTGTTGCTCAGCTCGACCGCGCCGTCTTGGAGAACGTCGCGCAGCAGAGTGACGCCCTCGGCAAAGAACCAGATAGGCAGGGTGAGCAGAAAAGCCAGGCCAGACGAGTAGCAAAGCAGGTTGAGCTTGTCGAGCTTTTTCGAATTGGTACCAACGACGCCGCTCTCGACCTTGGCGGCTTCGTTGAATAACTTTTTGGAGAAGATGTTTTGGGTGACAAAGACAATGGCAGCGAGGAACGCTTGAAGGACACCAAGTAACTGTCCTCCAAAGCCATGCTTTCCAGAGCAGGCTAACATGACACCAAGCGTCAAGGGCACGAGAGACAGGTAGGTCGCCTTGGGATAGCGAATATTGTAAATGAATCGGTAGGCCAGGACTGTGAACAGAGGCGACAGGCCCTTGATTGTGTGCACGAGAGACACGGGGATGCGCGACGTGGCACTCGAGCTCAGCAGATGGCCGATGATCTGAAATGCCGCGAGAGGCAGGGTGGTTATGATAACGTCGCGAGTAGGCGGTCGGATGGGATGTTGGAGAGCGGTAATCTTTTCTCGGAGGATGGGGAAGATGGTGGCGAGCCATGCTATGGTTATGCAAAGCGTCGATACGAACGCGAACTGAACGAGGGTGAGCGTCGCGGGCATGTTGAAGGCGTTGAGGATCGATTTTGAGGAGGTGTTGGTAAGGGCGGACGACATGTACCACGTTATACAGAGGATCTACATGCCAATTAGCACGGGGGCAAGAAGGAAGGCGCGCAACCACGCTGCCTGTTGGAATGACCGTACCACTAGCTTGGGGGATACGGGCGCCTTGAGCGCATCGGCGAGCTCGTGAGCGTTTTGGCTGAGGCTACCGTTCCTGGTGCGAATCGTCCGAAACGCGTCACTGAGGCTCTTTTGACGCGCATGGCCACGAACCAAGCCATTGTGTGTGCTCCAGGCACCGAGGCCGGGCGCCGGGAGGTGGTGACCGTTTTCGCGCTTGGCCGAGGCGCCGCGGTCCGAAAGAGATGCACTCCCGTTGGAGTATCCAGACGGCGACTTGTAGGGGCTTGGGGAGCGCACGCCGTTAAAGGCTTGCGACGTGTCGAGTTCGGGAAACTTTTCCATGGTTGTGCAAGGAGGGGGAGGCGCGCAACGCCAACAATATTCGATCCAGGTTCGGAAAACGTGGGCAGAAGAAGCAAAAGCTGGCGGCGTGTGGGCGTCGTGTTGGTCAGCGTATGGCGTTATCGTCGTCGTCGTCGTCGTCGTCGTCAGGAGAGGGATCGCAGCGGACGGGCCCGCTACAGCAGCACTGAAACGATCGACAGGAGAGCAAGGGACGCAGTAGCGTAGAGTGGAAAGACAGGCGATCAGGGCCGACAAGTCATGGCAGGCGTTGCAAGAGACGTTTAACAATCATACAGAGATAAAGAGAAATGGTGCAAGAAAAGAACGTCGCAATCATGGCAGTGGATAACAGCCAGGAGATTTGAGGTACCTCTGAAAGCGTCCCTAAAAAAAAAAGGTAAGTTGCGCTGACGCACCGAATCGCAAGCTCTGTGTGGTGTGGGTGGGCTTGCGAGCGGCGACAGGCGAGAGGTACCTCGTGTCGAAGCGTGATGGGAGCGCCATCATGGGATGGCTGCCAGTGGCTGTGGCACGATGGACAGCGAGACCGGCTGGTTGCATCGGTGCCGAGTTGGGTACGTTAGCGGAGGCAGCGAGGTACTTGCCCCTCAGTTGAGGATACACTTTTGGGTACTTGAGGGTACTTGGACGAGGCTTGCGTGCGGAGGAGCCTCTGCGGGACTTTGAGTCGCCGCCACACAGCCTTGCGGCGCCCTGGAAGTTAGTTTTTATTAGCAACGCAACGTCAGGTAGTTATCACTGACATACGTCGCGAGACTGCGCGCAAATGGCAGCGAAGAAATCTTCATTGCTATTCAGATCATATCCAAAGGATCACATCCAACAGCCCGGAAGTGATGGGGTGAAAAGTAAGGCCTCACCTCTACCAGCTGGCTCATTGTCAACTTCGCAAATTTGTAGCAGCCAGCGACTTTCACTTCATTCTCTCTCCTCTGGCCCTATGCGAGCAGTGGCTATCTGCGCTGACAAAACCGCCCATGTCTCCGGCTCTGGGTTGAATGAGCATGGCTTGATACGTCTGCGATGCAGGCATTTTTGCGTCACGAATCCAACCCACGGTTGTCGTGTGCTCCCTGTACAGCATCTCACCGCGGAGCTGCAGCATTACACAACAGTGGCACCTGCAAGGGCGCACTCGCCACATGATTAAGCTTCATTTTGAACCAATCGTGGTCAATTTAACAAAAAGTTGTCGCGAAAAAAACCAGAGACTACGCGCCGTCCAAGATCTTTTCAACAGACCACAAGGTGAGGCTTCAGCCAAGGAGGCCATTGCGTGTTGTTGATGTCAAGCGAACTTGAAGTGTGGTGGGCAGTACGAGGGAGCACCCAACAAGGCACACATCAGACGACTGACTACTGATGGGCTGATTCGACATACCTATGCACAATATCGATAGTGAGTATTCCTCATGACATTGGACTGACCTGGTGAGTGAGAAATATAGTCCTTGTGCTAGGGCATGATCTGCATACATAGGTAGCTAGGTAGGTATGTAGTCAGCTATTGTCTGATAGGCCTCCCCAGAATCTGTTTCGACACAAACAGAGTTGCACTGTGGTGTGGCTTCAGCGGCAGCCTTACCAGGAACCAGCCAGCCCCTTGATTTCGGATTCGGCTGACTAAAAACGTGGCTCATCAGCCGCGCACTCGCCACATTCTCAACAGCATCCGCCCATGCAAGGCGACAAGGATTGGACACTCGTAGGCAGTGAACCAAATAGTATCAATGGAGAGAAATTGACCTTGTTCAATCAATGAAAAGGACAAGAAAAAGAAGGCAACACGGGAGACTGGACCAGTAAGAAAGGGAAAAGAGAGCAAGACTGTTTTGAGCATAACTGTTTGACCAGCGGTTAGTTATTTTGTTACTCTCCACATTGGAAATAACACTAGTGTGCCTTTTATTAATTATTCTCCCACTCTGCTGATTCCTACCTCCCATCACATTACCAGTCACCCCAGAAGACATTTGTTTTTTTTTCCTCGAGCAGCGCTGTTTGGTTCGACTTACATACGGATCGGTTGTTTAGATTCTTCGGGATCCTTGCCTGCCTGATTTCCGCTTTCTTCTATCGATCCCTTGCCTCCGGCCTCGAAGTTCTCCTGGCGTCCTTCAGCCGCCTGCTTCACGGCATCACGCACCCCCCGACTTTTCGATTTCCGCACCCCTTTCCTCGGGAATTTCGCCTGCATTACTGCTCGAGACTCTTGCTGCTTCTGCATTTTTCCTTCTTGTGCTAGCGAACTTGACTTCCCTTTGCGTTCCCGCGCCTCTCTCCCCCTGCGTTGGGCATTGATATCTCGTCCTGACGCTGGTCTGCCCCTCCCCCCCGTCACCGATATTTTAATTAGACGCCCAACTCCGTCGGCACTGCACCGTCACACTTCGTCGTTTCAACACCACCGATTCTAGTCCCTTTTTTTCTATCGCGTGCACGACTTCGAATATTTCGACTAATTAATACCCATCGCCAATATGACCGAGACTGTCGCCGCTGCACTTCCAGCCTCGGCGCCTCCGCAAAATGGCTCTGGCAATGCCATGGCCCCTCCTCCTCTGCACATTCCTGCAAACAACAATCCGATTCCGACTGCCATGACCTCTCCCATGGGCGAGAACAGTGGAGTCATGTCGCCCACGAGCCCTGGAGGATTCCGACGATCTGCTCCCGAGCCTAACAAGCGCGCTCTCTACGTCGGTGGTCTTGACCAGCGAGTCACCGAGGACGTCTTGCGCCAGATCTTTGAGACTACTGGCCATGTTCAGAATGTCAAGATAATTCCCGACAAGAATGTAATATATACAAGCTCCCCGGCCCTCACTTGTGTGCTAACTTGCTGACTGACAGGCGAAGGGCTTTAACTACGGATTTGTCGAGTACGATGACCCTGGTGCGGCTGAACGTGCCATGCAGACCCTGAACGGTCGCCGAGTTCACCAGTCGGTATGCAACAGCGAATACAATAAGCCCACGAGACAGCAAGCGTCTAATACTATGTAGGAAATCCGCGTCAACTGGGCCTACCAGTCCAACACCTCTGGCAAGGAAGATACCTCTGGTCACTTCCATATTTTCGTCGGTGATCTTTCCAACGAAGTCAACGACGAAATACTCACGCAGGCATTCTCCGCCTTCGGCTCCGTTTCCGAGGCTCGTGTTATGTGGGACATGAAGACGGGCCGCTCCCGTGGCTATGGGTTCGTCGCTTTCCGTGACCGCCCTGAAGCCGAAAAGGCGCTGAGCTCCATGGACGGCGAGTGGCTTGGCTCTCGTGCCATCCGCTGCAACTGGGCCAACCAAAAGGGCCAACCATCTATGGCTCAACAGCAGGCGATGCAGGCTATGGGCCTCACGCCTACAACCCCTTTCGGTCACCACCAGTTTCCCACCCATGGTGTTGGTAGTTACGACGTCATCCTGGCCCAGACGCCAACCTGGCAGACCACTGTCTATGTTGGCAACCTCACACCCTACACAACCCCCAACGACGTTGTCCCTCTATTCCAGAACTTCGGCTTTGTTGTTGAGTCTCGCTTCCAAGCGGACCGTGGCTTTGCCTTTATCAAAATGGACACTCACGAGAATGCCTCCATGGCGATCTGCCAGATGAACGGATACAATGTGAATGGGCGGCCGCTCAAGTGCAGCGTAAGTCGACGGATACCATGGCCGCCTCGCCAGCTGGCTAATCTGTAACCAGTGGGGCAAGGACAAGACGTCCAACCAAGGATTCGACCCTGCCCAGCCTTACAGCCCTCAGAGCGCCCAAGGCCCTGGCTTTCAGGGCTCATACTATCCTCAATATGGTGGTAAGGCCTTCAAGTTTCAATTTCGTGTTTCGATGCTGATATGATTCGGTCGACAGCCCAGTATGGTGGCCAGCCCGGTAACTATGGGGGTGCCCAGACTAGCTCCCCCGGTGGCTTTGCGGGCTCTTCCATGGGATATAACGCGCCTCAGAGTGCTGGTGGCTATGGTCGCGGCCAGCCTGCCAACGGTGGCCAGTGGACGCAGCCTCCCGGCCAGTTCGCAGGCTACCAGTCCTAGGAGGATGGGTGAAGATGACCTCGAAGATGACTCGTGCGGTAAGCAAAATATCACAATGAGTGCACAAAACATGGGAGTATAGGCTGTGAAGCGGTTTTTTTCTTGTCGTTTTCATTTCTGATATCCTATTTCCTCGCATTTCTGCCCTCGCATTCCTGTAGAGGAAATCATGATGGTTTCTTGGACGTTGAACGCCTGTTTTCGCTCTCCTCTCTTATTTCTTCATACTCATTCAATTTCCTTGCTTCCTTTGGGAAGCTTGAGTGTCTTGGTCCCGTTGGTTTTCTCTCTCGTTTATTTACCTTGCCCCTCTCGTCTTCGTCTTGATGTTCTTTCTTTGCATTGGCTGCAGCGTAACGTATCTTGGCCCCAGTTTCTGATGTCCTTTTTTTCTCTTCAATCTTTTCCGAGCGATTGGGATCAAGATCTGGCAAAAAGTTTCGGTGTTTTGTTTTTTCCCTGTTCACTAGCATCTTTTTATGACACTCCTGGATACCCCTTTACGAAATTTGCATGTCAGATGGGATTTTTACATGGCGCGCTGCGTCAGCCTGCCATGAAGTGAAGAACGCGAGCTTTCCGGTGGTGGTAGCGATGATGGCGGAATTATGCTGTCTCATGAATACATGGGGCGGTTTGTCAAATATTCAAGTGATGGAGCACCGAGTATGGTAGAGTATTACGGCGAAAGCTTGACAAATAAACAGTTATTGAGCAGTATATGCGCACCTTGCGTGCTGCACAGCCAGAGCCAAGACAATCGTTTTGGTAAATTGCACAGTTCTGCTAGTCCTTCTGAAGATGCAGGTAAGAGTCCCTTTAAGAGATGACAGGCGGTGGCTATTATTCATTCTGAGTGGCACTGTCTCAATCACGAGATGGAGCATGACTCTGTGCCCGGCTCTCTCTCCGTCTGCCTGTCTGTCCTTCTACCCCAAAGATTAGTGTGCCGTGCAAAGTGTTATGGCTGAACCATGCAACTGTCACAAACATACACCCTGGGCTGTGTCAACGCCGTGTGGACTGAAGTAACTTTGACCACAGACACAAGCGCCCGCACATACACAGGATACAACGATTCTTGCCACCACTACTTGGAAACCTCTACTACTTGGGAATGCCCTCTCTGCCTGACCGGCGCTGGAGAGACGCAATAAGCATCCAACCTTTGCATGACGGCAGGCGAGAGGTGTGTGACAGCGCCAGTGGTAGGTCATGCAGGAGCCGGGGAGGCTGCGTTCCAAGGCAACGGCTCTGATTTCGAGATGATCATGTGCACGATTGACATTGATATGTTGTTGAGAATGGCTCAGCGAAGGAGAGCCCCTCTTGCTTGGCCCCGCTGTGATTGGGCAGCCATCAGTTGGCCCTGCGAGACCGAGCTTCGACGCCACCACAGTTAATGGCAGGGCATATCATCAGTTTTCCGTGAGTAGGTAGGAGAGTTCACCAACGCTTTGCCAAGCCATACTAATGACCCTTCTTGTTAAAGCTGCCTTGGGTTCAAGGATGTCCGGAAGCACTCATCACTGACCAGCTTGAGCGGTGGGTTTGGTGGCCTTGCTAATGGCCTTGCCCCTCTCTGCCCAAAATGCGCAGTTGGGCCAAGCAATTGGCGGCGCAGGCACGTAGCTGCCCGCTGTAAACGTCGCACAGGACGGGGTCATGTAGTGGCAGGCAACCACTAAACCTGATGCAGGCCACGCAAGAGATATTTGTGGTGCAAGGGTGCGGACAGTCTGCCCAACCCAATTGCGGGTGTAAAAATGGCAGGAAACGGGTAGGCGAAAGAGAATCAAGGAAAAAGACGACAGAGGGAGTAATTGAGTCACGCAGCGGCTGGTGATTCTTCGACTCGAGCAGAAGCTTGTTCATCGGCCTGTCTGAAGGCTCCGTACTAATAGGCCGTAATAAGGCGCCAGAGCCTCTAGCCCGTCTTTTGTCGTGAGTCGCACTCGTGACTGCCATCTACCTCCGTCGACACTGTTGACCGCTGCCAATCGCAAGTACTATGTGGACTAGGTCGGTATGCCAGGCAGTACGTAGCAGCACCGCAACTCACCAACACAACCCCACGCCGCCTTTTGACGCGCGCCATTATACAGCTTTCGCCCCCAGCTTCCTCGACTTGCCGTCTTTCTGTCTCTCCAACCCCATCCTTCCAGGCAGGTCCTTGCCGACGGCTTTGTGTCCTTTTTTCCCCAGCCCGCCCCCCTCTCTTGCTGCTGCTGCTGCTCAAGCACTTTGCAGCGCTTGCGCCATAATACCCTTCCCACAGGCCTTTTTTTCTCTTGCTTTCCCTTTGCTATCCTTTGGGGGGGAAGCCTAGGTAGGTAGCCTGTTACTCGGTGCGTGGCTTTGCTGTCTGGCTGGCTGGGCCGCAGGTCAACACAACCACCGAAACGCCCACACACACATAACCACCGCCAAACCACGCATCATCCATCACCCAATCCCCCAGCAGAGCAGCACTGGAGCGAGCCCGCGAATGCTTCATTGACCGTCGAACCACCCCCCAACCGCTTCCGTCGCCGGCCATTGCGCCCTCGCGCCTGAACAATGGACCCCAACTGGCAGCAGTATCACGACCCGGCCGGGGCTTCCTCGCGCCGTCACAATGGCACAACGCAAATGTCTCCGCCCTCTGCTACCCAACAGCAGCACCCGCCGGCTGCCGCCTACGCTTACGACCAGTATCATCCCGCGGCCGCCGTCCCCCCGGCTGCTGCTGCTGCTCCTGCCGTCCACCACGGAAACCCCGTCGCCGGTCAGCCTCGCGACGGAAACGGCGACGTTGCCATGCGCGACGCCATCGACTCCCATGCCGGCATAAAGTACGCCATGAGGCCACACCACCAGCCGCACATGTCTGGTGGTCGTACCGCCGCCCTACACTCGCCTCATGACCAACCATCGTCGGCCGCTCAGCGCTACTCCCCAATGGAGACGCTCTCACCCACTTCACCGTACGGTACCGCCAAGCAGAGCCAATTTGCTGGCCCGCCATCCCAGACGCACTCTCCCGCGGGCGCCTCTGAATATCCCCAGAGTCCTTACTACGCTGGTCGTCCCCAAAACGCGCAGCTGCCACCCATGTCGCCCTATGGCCCCGGCGCCGCCGATGGTTATCCCTCCGCGACGGTGGCTCATCTCGATGGCACTTTCAACTCCAAGTCGCCACAACGAACCAGTGTCCCGATCGTCAAGCGTGTCCCCGAGTTTCGCAAGTTGCGCGCCGTCTCGGATCTGCAGCCAAAGAACAATCGCCAGCCAGCCTTCCGACGCGCAAATCCCGAAGGCGGCTTTATCAGCGTATGTGTCAGCCTTTGCCTCATTTTCATAGATAATGATTATTCTAAATGTGCTTCTAGCCCCTCCAAGCGCTCACAGCCCATCTCCCTGCGACCTATCGGATCTGCAACCCTAGCTTCAAGTACGAAACGTCACGAAACCCTCGCAGAGTCTTGACCAAGCCTAGCAAGGGCGTAAAAAATGATGGCTATGACAACGAGGACAGCGATTACATTCTATACGTCAATGATATTCTAGGCTCCGAGGAAGCTGGCCACAAGTATGATGACTTCCCTCCCCACCTCTTCGAAATGCACTTGTTCGCATTGCACCTCTTCTAAATGTAACGCCTCTAACCTCTGCAGGAACCGCTACCTCATTCTCGATGTCCTCGGCCAGGGAACGTTTGGACAGGTCGTGAAATGTCAGAATCTCAAGACGCAAGAAGTCGTCGCTGTCAAGGTTATCAAGAACAGAACGGCCTACTTTAACCAGAGTATGATGGAAGTCTCAGTCCTGGACTTGGTATGCCACAATTATATCCTTTCCTAGTTGTGATACTAATTGGCCCCTCAGCTCAACACCAAACTTGACAAAAATGACGATCACCACCTCCTGCGGCTGAAGGATACCTTCATTCATCGTCAACATCTCTGTCTTGTCTTTGAACTGCTTAGTGTCAACTTGTACGAACTCATCAAGCAGAATCAATTCCGTGGCCTCAGCACGACTTTGGTTAGAGTCTTCGCACAACAGCTGCTCAACGGACTTGCCCTACTCAACAAGGCCCGACTTATCCATTGCGACTTGAAGCCCGAAAATATTTTGCTAAAGAATCTGGAGAGCCCAATAATCAAGATTATTGATTTTGGCTCCGCCTGCGATGAACGACAGACTGTCTATACATACATCCAATCGAGGTTTTACCGATGCCCCGAGGTTCTTCTTGGACTACCATACTCATCAGCTATCGACATATGGTCTTTGGGCTGCATTCTGGTGGAACTCTTCCTAGGTCTGCCCTTGTTTCCCGGCTCCTCCGAATACAACCAAGTCTCCCGCATCGTGGAGATGCTTGGAAACCCTCCCGGCTGGATGTTGGAAATGGGTAAACAATCCGGTGACTTCTTTGAGAAGCGCCAGGATGAGTTTGGTCGTCGCACTTACCAGCTGAAGAGTATGGAGCAGTACGCTCGGGAGCGCAACACAAAAGAGCAGCCGAGCAAGAAATACTTCCAAGCTAGCACGCTCCCGGAGATTATTAAATCCTATCCGATGCCGAGAAAGAATATGAAGCAGAGCGAAATCGACCGAGGTGAGATGCACCCTTGCAAACTACTCTACACTGAGCTGACAACAATAGAAATGAATAACCGAATTGCCTTTATCGATTTCGTGCGGGGTCTGCTCAGCATCAATCCCCTCGAGCGATGGTCACCGCAGCAGGCCAAGCTCCATCCGTTTATCACGCAGCAAAAGTACACTGGCCCTTTTGTGCCGCCGATGAATTTGAAGTCTAGTTCTCTGAACAGATCACCAGCGCCAGGGACGCACCAACAGCAACAAGCTGAAGCCCTCAGCAAGCAGCGTGCTCAGGCTGCTCAGGCTCAAGCTCAGGCCACCACCGCCGCGCAAGGACCGGCCTACGCCAATATGCCACCCGGCAATTATGCGCAAGCCAGCCACCAGCAAGCTCCGATATATGGAAACAACCCCATCTATGCACCAGGACCAGCCGCACACGGAAATGTTGCTCCAGCATACGCCCCCCAAGGGTCGCAGTACAACCCGATGGTCATCCAGCAGTCTGCTCAGCCTCAACAGCTGGCTCCAGGACCTTATGGTATTGTTCAGCAGCAAAGTATGTATCCCCAGGGAGGCATGCGAACCAACAGACAGCGCGCCTCGACCATGGAGCAGCAGCAGAGTGGCATCCCTGCTGCTATCCAGCGCGTCGCCAGCCATCTGGACCCCACCCAACCAATTCGATTGCAGCCGAGCCCTGCCTACTATCCCCCACCTGGTGAGATGATGCCCGGCACCGATAATGCCCCCCGAAGTGGACGCCGCGGCAGTCGTGCACAGCAGGGGCGAAGCAATCGTGACTTTATCCGCAATCTGGAAGAGAGAACCCTCGAAGAAGGCTACACCGGTGGCCAGAACCCATGGCATTGAAATCGACGTTGAGGATAGAACAAGGGCATTATCCATATCTTTGAACCAAGACAAAATCGTACCTGGAACGACCTCGGATACCAAACCTTTGGATACAAGATGGGCATGATCCCAGATTTCCCCACTTGAACTTGCCCAAGATTACGCTGCGAGAAGATTCTGTGACAAGGGTATGGCAGGCGAGTCTCCAGTAAGATGACGAGGCATGAAACTCTTCGACCGCACAGACGAAATCCCAGACCTCTGTATGTCCGGCGATAATATGTTGATGTGTGGCGAGCCTGGAGACTGCGATGTTCATTCTATTCGTGACTCCTCCGTCTTATTTGCTGTTCAGTCGATATGGATGGACGGCCATGATTAGCACGACCATACCCCGCCTAGTGATGGCGATACGTGAGGGTTTACTTCTGTCTGCGTGATTCTGCTATCGAATCTGCATGTTTCTTTGTGTCCTTTCCCCGCGGATATGCTTTTTATGTGGAAACTTTTCAAATAGTTATGTGGTTAAAAACTGTTATGGAATATTATTTTGGTTCATGCTGGGCGGTTGGGGATCAGCAATATGATCAAGAGACAGGTTCAGGACGGGATTCAATACGGGCTCAAGACGGGGGATGAAACCCTTGTTTTCCTTTCAGATGGGGCTCAACTTCATTTTCTTTTGTATTTCTATCGAGCAAAACATGCCGATGATAGGCTCTCACAGCGTATAGCATACTTTCGTCGCAATCGGAGAGAATAACACGCTTCAAACGCCTTTCGTGACTGTTGATTACATGTGCTGGGTGTAGATGTAAACAGCATGGCACTATGTGCCTGGGTGTCCAACGGCTCTATCTCCGTTTCTTGATCGGCTCTGTCAGGATCTTGCTATGCCAGTCTTCTTCCTTCTTTTCTATAATCACAACGCCAGTGTCCCATGAATGTGTCCAGAAAGCCAAGTACCTTGCGCCAATAACATAACAAGCAACTCCCACAAATTCTTACCCCCGATAATATCAACCAAGCAGCACACAAAACGCCCAGCGCATCTTATCGCGCAGAGAAAGGGAAGGCCCTGCTCAGGCGCGTCCTCCGCGACGACCGCCACGGCCACCACGCTTCCCAGCAACCATTCTATCACTAAATAGGTCGCCGCTCGCTTGGTTACTGTTGCCAAACACGCTCTGCACCACGTCGGCGCCAGCGAAGACCCTGCTGCCGTCGGCGACCTGCGGGTTGCGTTGCTGCCCCGCGCTGCCGCTTGGCTGGTAGCCGCCAACTTTGGGATACACCTTGAGGATGCGGCCATCGGCCTGTCAAATCATTGTCAGCTTGCTATTTCCACACAAAAGCTGTCCGGCTGCGCTGCCCTGGATGAGTCGTACCGTCTTGTCGTTGAACGTCTCAATGACGCGCTCCGCGCCCTCCTTGGACGCAAACACCATTTCCATCATGACAAACGGCTGTATCTTGACGACGGCACAGCGAATCATTTCGCCGCCAATCGGCGTCATGGCGCTTTCCACATCAGCCGGCGTCGTGCCCGGCGCAAAGTTTTGCCCCATGACGGCAAACGGGCCCGCGAGCCCGCGGATCGAGATGCCCTGCTGCGGCGCCACTGATTCTCGCACGTTGACATGGCTGCGCGCAGCCTTGACCCTGCTGCTGCTGCCCTGGATGCCGTCAATGTCCATGGCGTCGGCGGCCGCGGCCAGTTTGGCCTGGCGCGCCGCCGCTCGCCGGGGCAGATTCTGGCCGCCGGGGAGCGTCACGCGGGCGCCGAGGGATGTAGAGGCCGCACCACCTCGTAGCGTGTGGTGCAAATCGTGCGTCCATTCGCCGTCGAGGTTCCCAACAGGGACGCTGGCGCGGCGGGCCGAGGTAATGGCGCGCTGTGGAATCTGTATCGTTCCGGGCGGTTAGTACCGTGTACAGCATCGTCTTCGCCAGAAGCAATACGAATTGCGCAAGGGTGTAAAGAGGGGGTCAGGAGGAGGGGTCCGTACCTTGCGCACGCCGACGCGACTAGCAAGAGACGGCCCAGCTGCGGCCTTGAGCTTGGACGGCGCGCTTTGGCGGCGGCCCTTGGAAAAGATCTTGCTGGCGAGCGCTTCATTCTTCTTTCGCTCGCGGCCTGTTTGGAAGAGTAATATGTCAGTCGTGAGCTATTCGATAGCGCCGGAGGGATGGGTGGGCATATTGGAGAGGCCTGCAGTACCGTCTTTGATGATCTTGTCGAATTCCTTGGCAACGGGAGCCATGGTGAAGGCGAAAGCGAACTGCGTAGCTGCAAAGGAAGCGCAGGAGATGAGAAATTGATGCGTATCCTAGAAAACAAAGCGACAATAACAACTCAAAGTTATTGCCCTGTTGTGCTTATTTATTTTTTGTTGACCTGTTTGACAGAGAGCGTAAGCGAAGCGGCAACTTTGCTAACCAAGGGGCGCGGCGCGCGTTGTCCGTCACACGGCCTTATCTTATCTTGCGCCGCTCCATCTGGCTCGGCGGCGGGCAAAAAAAAAACAGGTCTAGGGGTCGCTTCGACATTGATACATGCTCAATTTCTGTTTCCTTTCGTCGCTAACCTCGTCTCTTTTCGGCCAGAACAGTTTTCTACATTCTTCAAATTCGAAGGTTAAACTCGTTCGTCCATGCGCTTTCTGCGACGACCAACCGACCGATAGCAATGTCTGCTCGTGTGCTCGGCGCCGCAGCTTGTCTGCGCCGAGTCCTACCTACAACAGCGGCGCGCACAATACGAGTGATACAGCCCGCAGGCTTCGTGGTGGGAAGGCGGTACGCCTCTGTGGATGCAACGACATCAGAAGTTGAGCCAGTCGACGCGAGGAGGAGCAAGAAATCGTCAACCAGGGCGGTCGTGAAGCAGCTCGAATTCATCAGCGATCCTTGGGTCCTAGGCAAATATATTGAAGACCTGCTTGCAAAAGACAAGTTCGAAGATGCCTTGAAAACAGTTGAACTGGCGAGCAAGAATATGGACACCGTGGTATCATGGAACCATCTCATCGACTACCTGTTGAAGCAGCAGCAAATAAAGAGAGCTATGGCAACCTATAACAATGTACGCCAGTCCTGGCTGCTTACCTTGTGTGTCCTTTCCCTAATACAAAAAAGCTGGTCGGCTAACAAATTCCCCCTTGACCAATCACAGATGAAGAAGCGTGCACAATTTGCCAACGCCCAGACGTACACCATCATGTTCCGAGGCCTCGCCAAGTCGCAGCATCCCAAAAACGCCGTCGCGGAGGCCACCAAGCTCTTCCAGCAGCTCAAAAACGATCGCCGCCTGCAGCCCAATACGATTCACCTCAACGCTGTGCTTAGCGTCTGCGCGCGCGCCTACGACATTGACCAGCTCTTCCTCGTCGCCGGCGAGCTCGAGGACCTCGGGCTGGCGCCGACGGCCGCCACGTACGGCGTTATCTTCAACGGTATGCGCCAATACATGTGGCGCGAGTACAACGACCTCGACAAAGAGACCAAACAGGCCAACATGGATAAGATGATTGCCCGCGGCCAAAATATCTGGGTCGAGGTCCTGGACAAGTGGCGCCAGGGCCGGCTCAAGCTCGACGAGCCGCTTGTGTGCACCATGGGTCGCCTGCAGCTCCTGTCCAAGGACCGCAAGGAGAAACTCCGCGTACTGGATCTGCTAGAGCAAACCATGGACATCCCCAATCTGGTTACCCAGGCGAAGCCGTTGTCGGCCACGTCCCAGGAGCCGTCCGAATCCGGCGTGGTACCGAATCCCCAGCGCAAGGGCGGCTTCGTCCAGCCCGGTCAGAACACGCTCGCCCTCATACTCACCACGCTCCTAACGGGCCGGCAGACGGGCGCCGCCGCCGCCTACTGGAATCTGCTCGTCCATGACAACAAGCTCATACCTGACAACGACAACTGGCTGCGCATGATTGGCGTGCTCAAGTCGTCCAAGTCCAGTGCACAGGCCGCGCAGATTCTGGACACGCTGCCCGCCACCGGAATTGAGGTTGAGGCGCGCTCCTTTGGCATCGCCATGGAGGCCTGCGTCCGCGACAACATCAACCCGCACGTCATGACGCACGCGACACGCATCCTGCGCACCATGCAGGCCCGCCTTGCCCCAACGCCCGACATGCACACCATGCGCCTCTATCTCCGCGTCGCCCTCGTCAGCCACGCCGCCTTTCGCGGGCGCGCCAGCACCGGCGACGAGGTCGGTGCCAAGGCCGCCTATGGCCGCCAGATCGCCACGGCCCTCGCCGAGCTCTGGCACCCCTACATTGAGCTCTACAACAAGTACTTCAAGAGCGAGGCCGCCACCTCGGCCGCCACCGGCGGCGACAAGCGCGCCGCTGGCATGCTGTACACCAACCAGAAGGAGGTCATCGCCCTCGGCCGCATCATGGTCGGCGCCTTTTCCAAAGTCATTGAGGAAAAGATGCTGCCCGGCAACAACAACCGGGACATGATCATTGCCTCGGCCAAGATCAACAAGGGCGTCACCGCCTTCTTCGCCGACAGGGAGCTACGCGAGCCCAAGCTCAACACCCAAGCGACGGCGGCTCGGAAGCGCGCCGATCTGCAGCGGCCGCCGCAGCAGGACGAGGACGGGAGCGCGAAGAAAAAGTCCTTGTTTGACATTGAAATGCCGGAGCTCAACGACAGAGTGGCTGGTGATGCGAAGCATACGAGCCAGTCGCGGCCGGGCGCCGACTTTGTATGGAACACTAGGAAAATGAGCGCTCAAAAGGACAAAGCGAAGCAGACGCAGTACAAGAAGAGCGAGTGGGATGCCCAAACGCCAGTGATTGATCGATGGATTTCTCTGTCGGATGGGAAAGATGACTCAGCAAAGCTTGAAGAAACACATAATGATGGCTTCATCCCCATCAAGCCTGCAGCTGAGGATGCGGCAGCCAACGCTGGATGCACAGGAGAACTCAACGCCGCCGCATCGGACAGCGCCGACCGAGCCAATGCATCTCTCTGGGCTTCCCTCATGGCTAGAAAAAGCTAACCACATTGAAGAGTTGGCCAGTCTGTGGTCTGGTCCATGTATTATCATCACGTCATGTATAAAACGCATATAGAAGCGACTAATAAATGCACTTGTATATTAATCTATTCTAATCCCGCATTACGGCAACATCAATTAACGCTACAGGCGCGTACCTAATAATTACCAATCAGTTCCTGTATTGTGTCGTGATCATCTCGGCAAGCGCAAGCGTTACCTCCCAACCAGTCAATGCTGCGACTTCCCTTCATCGAGGGTAGGCTTGGAACGTTCGGCCAACGTACTAGATAGATTTCATAGGGGTAGTTAATACACCGCAAGAGACGGTCTACCATCGCAAGCACCGTCACTGGTGACAGTTGACAAGAGGCTGTCATCCTTGTCGCTATCCTCCGAGCGGTGGCGATAGGACTGGATAAATCTCGAGTTGGATTCTACTGATGCTTGGTCTTGCTCTTGAACACAATCTGCTGGGGACTGCTCTAGCCGTCGGAATTTGCTCACAAGAGCTGCCACGGAAGGTGCCGAAGAGTTTCTTCCTCGGTTAGCCCCAGTTGTCCGACATGGATCTTCCGAGTCTGTTGCATTGTCTGCACTACCCATGGCCAGGGAGGATTCATGGCCACGCGATGTGCTGTGTGATAGAGCAGACGTGCTGTCCACATCTCGCAAGCACATGCTGTCTTCGTCAGCTAAATCAGGAGGAGAAGCGGCTTCGGTGTTGTTAGCAGCTGAACTGTCCGAACAAACATCGATGTTCGCATTGGTGTTCTGAGAGACGGTGTTGTCGGCGTGGGAACTGCCGCTGCTTAGGTCGAGGTAAGCAGCTGAAATTGTGGTTTGTGCAGCGGGGAGACACTCTTGCGATCGGGTGCCAGCGAGCTGACTTGCCGAGGTAGATGCACCATCGGACACGACTTCCTTCGCGGCACTGGAGGTACCAGTATTTTCAGGTTCACTGCATTCAGTATCGACTTCGTGAGAGTCGTGGAAAGGCGATGTAGTATCTGCGATTTCCTTTGGCAGGTCTGCCAGTGGCTTGGATGGTTGCAGAGGCTCATCTTGGGACCTTAGTTTAGTCCAAATCTCACCGATTACTGGTCGAGGCTGAGGGGTGTCGACATAGATTGGCACCATAAATCTGGGTCTGGGAATAATTTTGCTGTCTCGAACTGCAACGGAACTTGTCGGAGAGGTTGAAGTAGGGAAACTCTTGGTGAAATCTCCATATTTGGTATTGATATCGTTGACGGCTTTATCAATCCCATCGCAGAATATGGACGATTTCTGAAAGCCATCTAGAGCAAAATCGGGTAGAGCATCAAGTCGTGGAGGTGCGGAGGATACGGGTGAAACAAGTAAATGTCCGTCAGGAATGGAGGCAGAGCGTTCAGGGATTGGAACCGGGAGAGAGTAGCGGTTTTGCGAGGCGTTTGCAATGAGCAAGCAATGAGAGCCCTGAGATGCAACAGCTGACATGGTCGTATCGGTTCGATCAGTGTTACGAGAGTCGGGATCCGTCTCCTTCGTCATCCTCTCTCGCGAGCATTTTACTTTGATGCCCTGGACAAGCTCCCCGAGACTTTTTCGGCGACGAAACTGACGAACAGGAACTATGAGGGGCCCAGTTAGGGACTTGCCAAGAAGGTCAAAATAAGTGAGTGCCGCCTACCTGGAGACGCATCTTTCGAGGTCACATTCATTGTGCCGTTGTGGTTGTGCTCATCCGAATGATCATCCGCACTGGAGCGGGAGCCGGGTTCGGCATGAGAGGGGTGTAGGCTGCGAAACCATTTACGGCCGTCGGGGCCGGAGCGTGTAGGTCCCAAGCAGCCAGCAGTCGATGGAGGACGTGGGCGAGCTTTCCACAGCCGCTAGCTGTCCGAGGCGTCGGCTTTGTCACGCTTTTTGAAAAAGTGAGTCATTCCGGCGGATATGTATGAAGGACTGAAATATTGGTAATGGGAGGGTGAGGGGGACGAAATGTTCTTAACCAAGGAGCAGCTGACTGGGCCGAAAGGTGAAGGACGCAGATTCGTGCCGATACTGGCTTCCGGGTTTACGCAGCTCAAGGGCGAGGTATTGGAAAGTTGTAATGTGGTGACGGCAGCCATAGCAACCGACCACTTTTCTAGTTCTGGAGCAGGCGCTAATTGAAACTTGGAAGCAGGAAGCAAGCTGGAGATAAGTGATGGAGATAAGTGATGGTTGAAAGAAAGCATCTATCCGAGCTGGGGCAGCCATTGAAAACCACGCTAGTCCCAATTAGCAGTTGTGCAATGTGCAATGCACTTTAGCGGCGCGTCTCACACCAACGCGACGCGCTACAACGCCGCAAGAACGCGCCCCCTTCTACTAGGTAGGTAGTTAATGTGGTCTGGACGCCCCTCTAACGGTTCCTCATCCATCGACAAACATGCACCGGTGGCCCTACCTTGCCGCTTACCACCTAATCGACTTTTTTGTTTCCATGCTCCTGTCCTCTCAGTAAAAGCTGTTCTAGCCATCACAGCTCGTCATGTCCAAGGTCAACCACAGGGCCAAGCTCGCAGAGCTCACGGCCCTTCGCAAGGCTGGCAAGAAGGCATTTGACAGCTACAAGGTAGAAGACGTCAATGCCCTCTACGACGAAGTGGATGAAGATGGCTACAAGAAAATTGTCAGAGATCGCCTGAACGAGGATGATTTTGTTGTTGACGACAATGGCGAGGGCTATGCCGACGACGGTCGTGAAGACTGGGACCGTGTCCGTCAGTACGATTCTGAAAGCGATCTAGAGGAACGTCCTACACGAGGTCGCCAAAGCAAAGCCAGTCAGTTGGCCCTCTCTTCGTCCTCTTCCCTCCCTCAACTGCTAAACCAGCCCAGACAAAGCAAACCGCCAAGCAGAACAAGCCAAGCGAGATGCCAACGACCGAAACATTAGCGAATACTTTACAAAGAACCCGACCAAACCGCAACAAAAACCCAAGGTGCGACCACGTTCCGCAAGCAGTATCTCTCATCAAGGCTCAGGCTAACATGCCCTGACAAATAGATCGTAAAGACGGACGACGATGTTGACTTCATGGCAAACCTCCTCGGAGAGGTTGATAGCAACATCCCCGCTCCTGCGCCGCGGATTCCAAAACAGGAGCGCTCGGGAGAGCGCCGCAAATCCAGGGCGCTTTCGCCTGCGCCAGAACCCGCCGGAAAGAAGCAAAAGCGACTACACGCACGACTATTGTCGCCTCAATCCACCGCACCTCTCAGCGACGACGACGGATACATGCCGCCTCTAGATGAGGATCCGGTACCTGCCAGCGATGTTCTAATGAGCGACCCGGCCCCGTCATCCCCTGCTGCCAAAGTAGCGCAACGCAAAGCCCAGCTGAAGCAAGAAATCAAGAAGGAGGACTCCGACGACGAGGAAACAATCGAGGTTGCCCACGCGGCTTCTGTCACGACAGCCTCTGTCAATTTGGCCAGCTCTCGTCCAATCAAGAAGCTACGCAAAGAAGAACTTTACCCATCTCCAGCCAGCTCGTCACCAGTCAAGCCGGTTGATGACGTTGACTCCTCGTCTTGGAACAAGTTGACCGAAAAGCTTAACGTTGTGAGCAACCCTTCAGAGACTCGCGGCCTAGGAAAAATGGACCACAACGATGCCATCGAGGCTGATGGCAGTCTTAACTTCTTCTGGACCGACTACATCGAGGTCAATGGTAGCCTGTGTCTTTTCGGCAAAGTCCTGAACAAGAAGTCAAAGGAATACGTCAGCTGCTTTGTCAAGATTGACAACATCTTGAGAAAGCTGTACTTCTTGCCACGTGAGCAGCGCCTTCGCGATGGCGACCAGACTGACGAGAGCGTCGAAATGATGGACGTTTACACCGAAGTCGATGATCTCATGACCAAGATGAAGGTTGGCATGTACAAGATCAAGGCTTGTACCCGCAAATACGCCTTCGAGCTTCCCGGAGTGCCCAAGGAAGCGCAATACATGAAACTTCTCTATCCTTATACCAATCAACCTATAGACCCCAATGTCACTGGAGAGACATTCTCCCACGTTTTTGGATCTAATACAGCACTGTTCGAGCAATTCGTATTATGGAAGAATGTCATGGGTCCTTGTTGGCTCAAGATTCAGGACGCTGACTTTGGCGCCATCAAACACGCCTCCCACTGCAAACTGGAGGTGTTGGCCGAGCACCCGAACATGTTGTCGGTCGCGACCGACTCGGATAACCTTGATGCGCCTCCTTTGACTATGATGAGTGTCGCCCTGCGCACTGCTTTCAATTCTAAAGAGAACAAGCAAGAAATCCTGGCTATTAGCGCCAGAATCTACGAAAAAGTGCTTCTTAGCGACACGACCCCTGCTGAGAAACTGCCCTGCAGAACGTTCACAGTTATTCGGCCTTATGCCCAAAATTTCCCCTTGGGCTTTGAGCAACTTGCAAAAGCCCGTAAACGAGGTCTTATTGTCATGAAGAAGCAAGAATCAGATATTCTCAGCTTCTTCCTGGCACAGATTGATGTTGCTGACCCTGACGTTATCCTTGGTCACCAGCTTGAAGGTGTCGACTACAGCGTTCTCTTGAGTCGTTTACAAGAGAAGAAGACTCACGGTTGGTCAAGACTAGGAAGATTCAGAAGAACCCAATGGCCACAGTCCCTGGGCAAGATGGGTGGGAATGTCTTTGCCGAGCGTCAGATCATTGCGGGCCGATTACTTTGTGATTTGGCAAACGAAGCAGGCAAATCTGCCATGTACAAGTGTCAGACTTGGAGCTTGACAGAAATGTGCGGTCTATATCTCTCTGGTGATAACCCTCGTCTCGACGTTGATACCGAGACTGCTTTAAACAGCTGGGCCAAAGAAAAGCAAGGCCTCATGGACTACATCACCCACATGGAGGCTGACACGTATTTTATTGCTGCCCTGGCAATCAGCGTCCAGATGCTTCCACTGACAAAGGTCTTGACTAATCTTGCTGGCAACTCTTGGGCACGCACCTTGACAGGCACGCGCGCTGAAAGAAACGAGTATATTCTTCTCCACGAATTTCATCGCAACAAGTACATCTGCCCTGATAAGCAGACTTTCCGCGGCCGCCAGAAAGCTTCAGATGAGAATGAGGAGGAAGCGGGACAGGGCAAGAAGAAGGACAAATTTAAAGGTGGCCTTGTTTTCGAACCTGAGAAGGGTCTGTACGACAAGTTTGTTCTTGTCATGGACTTCAACTCTCTGTATCCCTCGATCATTCAGGAGTTTAACATCTGCTTCACGACGGTCGATCGCACTTCTTTGAGTACCGATGAGGACGCTGTGCCCGAGGTGCCCAAAGATCAAGACCAGGGTGTTCTCCCAAAGCTGATTTCGACACTTGTTGGGCGACGTCGCCAGGTCAAAAGTCTAATGAAGGATAAATCCGCTACGGCTGAACAGCTTGCCACGTGGGATATCAAACAGCTTGCCCTGAAGTTGACTGCCAACTCCATGTACGGGTGTTTGGGATACACGAAGTCGAGATTCTATGCCCGCCCGCTTGCGGTCCTAACCACATTCAAGGGCCGTGAAATTCTCAGAAGTACCAAGGAGCTCGCAGAAAGCAAGTCTCTACAAGTCATTTACGGCGATACCGACTCAGTCATGATCAATGCCAACGTGGACTGTGTGGCCGATGCTTTCAAGGTCGGCAACGAATTCAAAAAGGCGGTTAACGAGCAATACCGTCTCTTGGAAATTGACATTGACAATGTCTTCCGGCGCATTCTTCTACAAGCCAAGAAGAAGTATGCTGCCATCAACCTTGTCGAGAAGGACGGCAAATTCATCGAACAGATGGAGGTCAAGGGTCTAGACATGCGACGTCGCGAGTACTGCGCCCTTTCCAAGGAGATTTCCAAGCATCTTCTAGATGAGATTCTATCTGGCGCCGATACCGAGGCTGCTGTTTCGCGCATCCATGAATATCTGAGAGAGATTGCCGCCAAGATGCGTGAGCAGACTATTCCCGTTGCCAAATACATCATCTTTACGCAGCTTGGCAAGGACCCCAAGGAATATCCCAACGCCGACTCCATGCCTCAGGTCCAGGTCGCACTCCGCGACATTGCCCGAAAAAAGAACGTTCGCAAGGGAGATGTCATCTCGTATGTCATTACAGGCGATGGCAAGAGCTCTGAACCACCCGCCAAGCGAGCTCACGCGCCCGGTGACCTCAAAACTGACACGACGCTGATACCCGACGTCGAGTGGTACCTTGGCAAGCAAATCTTCCCTCCGGTGGAGCGTCTTTGCGCCAACATTGTCGGCACCTCCACCTCACAACTCGCCGAGCAGCTCGGTCTGGATGTACGCCGCTACAACTCTCTGCAGACGCAGCAAAACAGCGCAAGCGACGACCTCGAGATCCACCCCCTCGAGTCTCAGATTCCCGACGAGGTCCGTTTCGCCGACTGCGCGCGACTCTCCCTCCGTTGCCGCAAGTGCAAGTCCTCAACGCCATTCGAGGGTCTGGCCGTGGCCCCCGACCGCGTCTCCGCCTCTGGCGTCGTCTGCGGCGCGTGCCACAACGTCATCCCCAATATCTCCATTGTGGCGCAGGTCGAGCATGCCGTCCGCGTTCAGAGCTCGCGCTACTACGAGGGCTGGCTGGTCTGCGACGACTCGCAGTGCGGCAACCGCACACGCCAAATGAGCGTTTACGGCACACGTTGCCTCGGCCCCAAGGGCCTCGCTCGCGACTGCCTCGGCCGTATGCGCTATGAGTACACAGAAAAGGCCATTTACAACCAGCTTGTGTACTTTGCCAGCCTCTGGGACGTAGAACGCGCCCGTGCCCGCGCCAGCGCCCCGGACGGCCCCATGCCCAGCCAGGACCGCGAAAAGGTCCTCGCCCTCGCCGAGCACAACCGCGTCCGCTTCGGCACCGTCAAGGGCGTCGTCGACCTCTACCTCGACAAGTGCGGCCGCCAGTGGGTCGCCATGGACTCGCTCTTTGCGCGTCTGGGCTTCAACAAGCTCCTGGCCGTATCATGATGACGATGGGGAGAAAAGGCGGTTTGAGGTGTGTGTTTTTTCTTCTTTTCGTGGGACTATGTTCATGGGCGTGGCGTTTGCAAGGCTAGGCTAGCAGGAATTGATTGAGTTGGCAAGCTGGGATTTCAAATGTGGGTTTGTTCTGTATTCATGTTCTACTTAGTCGTGTTTTGTTGGCTGGTTTATTCTCAGTTTTCGCATCTTCTAAGGGCTGTCGTTTCTGCTTCACATCATAGCCCTGATAAATCTACAGGTATTTACAACCATTTGCATCGTCACAATTCACCATGACCCGATTATCTTGTCTCACATGTCTCTGGTGTTCCCCTGCAGGCTACGCAGAGTTGCTTTTGAGATGTACCGACTACGATGTTGTATTTACACACCTCCCTCTGGGACCAACGAGAGCACTGGCGCAGTGGGACTTCACGCATAGCATCAGACTTGAACAACAAAATGTATATATATTCTTCTCAATGACTGCTCCGTCTGTTCCTGCAATTAGATGATGTACAATAAAAAACAGCTACGGCAAAAAAAGCTCTAAATCCGCAGGCCATTCGCGAGACAAAACCAAGATTATGGTGTTCTCCACACAGAAACAAGGCGAGGGAGACGGCTTTGATCCTAAATGGAACGAGAAGATGATGAAAATAGAGGTAATGGAATAAAAGAAAAAGAAGCCCAGCCCCACGAGGGAGGTTCTTCCAAAAAACAAACTTTTTGTCTGCCTCGTCCAAAGCCTTCTTCAGTTCGTTTCCTCTGCATGAAGCCAAGACAGCCATCGCGCATTAACCATTATGCAGCTCAAGTCGTTCCTGGACATGACACCAAGGACTCCCAATCATTGACTTCGTGTCCAAGAATTCAGCTTCATCAAGAGTGGCAGGCCATTGGCAAAAGAGAGAGAGCTAAGTTCGTCCAAGGCCAACTGCTCCGAGACCGGAGAAAAATCAAAACAAAGGTCCATTAGGTGCGCAATGCACCAAACGCGACAGGTCGGTAACTTCGAACAGGTAATCAACACATGGGCGAAGAAATAACAGCTTTCCCCTTTTGGTCCCGGACAGTGCTCCCTCCTCGTCTCTTGGAGAAGGCCTGTGCTAGTTTCTGGCTCAAATGTTCTATTCGGCGAGGGTATCGTAGATGAAGTGCGGCGCAACTGGAGGACACGTCGAGTGAAATCTTTGAAAATAAAAATGCAATGGAAAAAATCAAGATGAACAGAGTCCCGCCTAGTCTATCACCCGAAATGCAAGACACCGAGAATGAAAGAAACAAAAAAATGATTACTTATTCGCTCTCTTTCTTGTCACTGTCAGGGACAGCTTTTGACAGCGCCGGGGAAGCAGCGGCGGACGGGGGGGAGGCGGGGTTCTCAGAGTCCATGGTGGCAAGGAGGCTGAAAGTATTGGAGTTCTCGCGAGTGGGGGGAGTACCGGCGCGGGAAGACATGGCAGAGTCCTCGCCCCGTCCGAAAGAGCCACCAGGGCCCATGCGACGACCACTGTTGCTGCGAGAAGAGAACATCGAGGTAGGACCAAGAGTGATGTTCTGGCTCGAGGTTCTGTTGACGGAGCCCTTGAGACGTTTCAGATCATCCATGCCAACTTGATTGCTTGTCTGTTGGGTGTAGCCAGCGGAAAAGTTGCGAGCATCACCACGGCCAACTGGAGGACGTCCGCCACCACGCTGGTTGCTTCTGGCGGTCTCTTGGGCCTTGGCGGCCTGAGCGGCTTCAGCTTCGATACGGATCTCCTCGAGAGTCTTGGGGGGTGCCAGGCCGCTAGTCTTGCCTCTCCAGCCAGCCCTGCGCAGGTCGATAATGTCCATGAGCAAGAACTTGATGCGGCTGGGAAGCTCAGGAAGGTCGACCATGGTCTGGATGCGCTCAAAGTAGGCATCCATCATAGGACGACCCTTTTCAGTCTCGTCAAGGTTGGCGCCAATGGTTCTCAGCAGCTTGCACAGCGACTCGACCTCAGCCTCATCAGGAATACGCTTGTAGTCGACAAGCTTATGCACACACTCGTGCATAATGCGTTCCGTAAGCATGCCCAGCTTGTAAAGTTCACCAATGAACTGAACAAGACCGAGACCGCGACGCTTGGCAGCGGCACCTAGGTAATACTCATCAGACATGAGCTTGACCTCGCCGTTCTTCTTGCCTTCAGCAACGTCCTTCTTCTCCTCCTCCTTGGGGGGGTCGGCCACGTTCGTAGACCAGCCGCGCTCAAAGTCTTCTTGACATCTGTTGAGGAGATACTTGCGGAAGAGATTGCCACCACTGACAATGTTGCCATTCTTGTCTTTAATTCTCTCATCACGGACGTCAGGGCTCATGGTCTCAAGCATGCGCTTGCAGAACTTGGCATACATGGAAGCCCAGTGAGACTCGTCAGTAGCCTTCTCAAAAGTGAGTTGAATGACTTGGCGAAGGGTGCGGCCGTCCGATTCATCCTTAGACTGCGATGCAATGACTAGAATTTGGTCGGAAATTCTGTCAAACTTTTCGGGTGTCATCTTGTTGAGGGCGGCCTTTACCTTTTTCTGGACATTCTCGGGATCAAGGTATCCGGCGTTGGCAGCGGAGTTGGCAACAGCGCTCTTGCCGATGCTAGTGGGCTTCCAGCCAGTGGAAGATATGGTAATAGGTTTGACATCCTGGTTGGCAGTGAGCGGCATGGTCTTGGAAGCTTGCACGTCGTTACGGCGGCTACCGCGAGTCTGGCGACTGCTCTGGCGAGGAGAGTTGGGACCAGGACCGCGCTGAGAGCCAGAGCGAACCATGCCAGCGGAACCAGGGAAGGAAGCGCCAGGACGCTGGAAAGAGCCCAGGGGGTTGATGCCGCCAGGCTTGCCAGGAAGAGCACCACCGGACATACCACCGGACATACCACCACGGCCAGGGGGTGCGTTGAAAGGACCGCCAGGGAATCCGGCACCGCCACGTGAGCCCTGTCTAGGGTTACCAATTGCGGGAGTGCGGATACTAGCGCGGTTGCCATCGCCGTCACCAATGAGGGACTTGACCTGTTGGTGAAACTCGATAGAGGGTTGTTCGGTAAAGACCTTCTGGAATTGCAACAGGAAGCCAGCGTCATATCTGAAGGTCTTACCCTTCTTAGCCACAGCAGCGTTCAAAGCAGGGTTAGGTGAGTGGATGCCGGCAGGGTAGACGTCCTGCTCCATGACCTGCAGGAAGCGAGCAGACTTGAGGGACTGCATGGCAGGCGTAGGCTGAGGAGGCTCCACGGGCTTTGTGTTCAGGGGAGCGAGGTTCAGGGCCGCAGGCTTCGCGGCGCGCTTCTCCGACTGCCTGCTCTCGGCGGTCTTGTCGCCCTCGATCTTCATGTCGGCAAGCTTGTCAGTGACTGAGTCGACGTTGCCCTCAGCGCCCTCAGCGCCGCCAGAGCGAGCCTTGGCAAGGGCTTCACCAACGGACAGTGTTTTGCCAGAACCTTCTCCCTCGTTGCGCTTGCGCTCGCGCTCCTCTTCGAGACGTTCCATCTCACGCTCTTGCTCACGCAACTTGCGGTCTGCATCTTCGGCGTTAGCCTTGCGGTTAACCTCCTCGTTCTTCTTGGCCTCGGCCTTTTCAGCCTCTCTGCGTTTGCGATGTTCCCCTTCCTCCTTTTCACGGCGAGCATCTGCCTCTTCCATCTCACGAATCATGCGTTCCACCTCATCCTCGTCAGGGTCGTCATTCTTGGCAACCTCGGCAGCCTTGGGCTCCTCCTTGACAGCAGCTTCGGTCTTGGGGGCCTCTGAGGGCTTGGTAGCGGGAGTCTCAGCCTTTGGAGCAGCAGGCTCCTCAGTAGCAGCAGACTGCTGTGTTGCGCGCTTTATCTTCTCCTTGAGCTCGTCTTGGATTTCCTTGGCGGTCTTAGGGGTGGCCTGACTGTCGGTGCGCCCGTGAGAAGGAGTGCTGGGTTTGACGGGAGGAGGAGTAGGCGTCGAAGCAACAACCGGAGGAGTTCGGACCGGCAGAGGAGCTGGGGAGACAGGGGCTTTGAAGGAAGAGGTGTCTACGACCTCACCAGCCAGGTTCTTGATCTGGATAGCAGCGCTCTTGCGTGGCATGACAAAATTGCTGGCGCCCTTGGGGACATTAGCACCTTGGGCTTGACCCGAGGATACAACGACGGGCTGGCTGGACTGGCTGGCGCTGGTAGGACGCTCTGGCTGAGAGGGGGTGCGGGACATGCTGGTGCTCTGCTGATGGAAAGTGGGGGGATATTGCTGGCCATAAGCGGCGGTACCCTGGGGAGGACCACCCATATAAGGGGGGACATTATTGTAGCCGTAGGTCATGTTGATGGGACGACCGTACTGGTCAACCTGTTGAGGCGGGTAGCCATAGTTCTGATGTCTCATAGTTAGCAGTCGTTCAAAACCTCCGTTTTCAGGAGACAGGTCAAATGAGTTGGAGTTGGGATTATTGATGGGGGCGCTGTGATTTGACTTTGGTAGAATCTCAGAGTTGTTCAAGCCACCACGAGGCTTGGAAGGTACATTATGCATGCGAGGCTGCATCTGGTCCGACTGCTCAGTAATGTCGCTGAGCTGCGGCGGATTGATGTAGCAAGCATGGTACTTCACCGTAGAGCCGGCTTGGCGTCGCAAATCTGATAAAACCTTGTCTTGCTCACGTCGATGGGGGTACTTTTTGTGCGATTTGGAAAACACTCGGGGAAAGGGGTACTGTACTTGTTGCTGCTGAGGAGCCATAGGTGGCGGGTAGTGATACTGGGGTGGCGTCTGCATGTGACCGTGCATGTTGGCGGGAGGCATGTTTGGCGTGTTGGGCATGGAGGAGACCGGGGCAGGGCTACGGTTAGGCTGATGAGGCGAGTTGGGGTAGGGCATGCCGCGTCCCTGAGGCTGGAAAGCAGGAGGCATGCCGCGACCCTGACCGTTGCGGAATTGGTTGTTGGGAGGGTAGCCCATCTGGTTATTGTAGTTGTTGTGATGATTGTTGTAGCCACGACCGCGTCCGCCCTGGTAGTTGCCTCGGTTGTTGTCGCCATGGAGAGAGTTGGTTGACTCACGTCGAAAGTGAGCACCTGGCTGCGTGGGAATAGCGTTCGAGTTGGGAGGGACAGAGCCCTGTCTCATGTGGCGCTGGGTTCGAGTGTTAGCTATATAAAGGGACAAGGAAACAAGACGGCGTTGTAAAGGGGGTGTGCTTACCTCGCCATCGCTACCTAGACTGCCGAAGGTCATCTGGCCACCAGCCTGCATGGTGGGCGGGCGACCGCCGCTGGCTGAAGGCTGCGGGATAGGAGAGGGTGAGTGAGCAGGAGAAGGCACACGACCAGCGTTGTTTGCTGCGGGGATAGCCATGGGAGCAACGTTGCTGGACTGAGGAGTGCTGTGGGCCACGGAAGGGGAATCAAACCCGAACTGAATGTTGGATTTGTTGCCGGCGGGGGCCGGAGGGCCGCCATTTACGACGGGATTGGGGGCCGCCATGTTGGAAGATCTCTTGAAGAGTGATCCGAGCCGTTGATTGCGACCTTGGGAGCCACGGACAACGGCGGGAGGAAGAATGCGCGTGGACTGACTGGCCGTTTACTGTAAAAGGCGAGGCAGCACAAGTTGCATTCTGCGAAGGCGAAGGCGTAGAAGAGTGACCACCGCAAAAGAGGATGGAAGCCTGACGCGAGGTAGGGTCGTCAAGGCAAGAGTAGACTTTGGCGCAGCAGTCGGAGAGAGAGATGCTGGAACCGAAGTCGAGAGGGTGTTGTTTGTCGATGCTGCTTCGGGGTAGGCGACGGCAGGAGTTGATTAAAAGAGGTAGTCGGTAGGTGCGGTGCGGTGCGCGTGTTAATAAAGAGAGCAATAGTCGAGGGTGGAGAATTGCGAAATGGCGAGGTCGAAAGAAAGAAAGAGTTCTCGTGGAGCAAACTGGAGAAAAAAAGTTTGCGCCAAAAAGACGCTTGAAAAGTGAATGAAAAAGAATAGGCGGGCCGAAGGAAAGTAGGTATATCGAAACACGCTACAGTATTATCGGCGAAGAGAATCCGGTCGAGGCTAGAAGAAGAGGAAACCTTGCGTCGGTCCGTCTGTCGAGCCAAAGAGCGACCGGGGGAGAGCTGGCGAGAAGCTTTCTTGTCGTGGGACAGGACAAGAAAAAAAATCCCGTGGATGATGTGGTGTGGCGAATAGGAACTGCGAGAGGGGAGGTGTCTCGAGTAGCTTCTGGTACTGTAGACTCAGAAGAAGAAGGAATCCAATGCCCTGATGAAGAAGGGTAAGGGATGTCGGTCTGGGGAAAAAAGAAGTATTTCCACCGGACCACCTGGGATGTTATTGGAGTGGTGAGGGTTTGGAGAGGAAGTCGTGCAGAAAAATTTTGGGCGAGGAAGATGATTAAGGGTGGGTGCGGGTGTGCGGTGCGCGGGTGTGCTGGGCTAGGCTGGGCTGGGCTGGGGCCAGGTTGGTGCGCTGGTGCTCTGCGGCTTTCTTGTGGTCTCCGTGGTGTGGTGGTGCTTTGGTGCCACACTGACAGTGGCAAGGCACAGTGAGCGGGTCAATCAAAGGATGGGAAGGAATTAGTGAGAGGGAGAGTCGCATCGCCACGCCCCCCTGTTCCCTCCTTCCCAATTGCTTTTTTATCTGCCCGCGCCACACTTACGCCACACTCTTCTCGCCAAATGAATAAAGGCAAGTAGGTACCAGGTAACTAATACTTTTTCCTCGGTTCGCCAAATTCACAGTTTGCACCCACTGTAATTAGCCCCTTTCTGCTCTTCAGGTACCCGCTGCCCTAATTTCGGTGACACGGGTACTTCCCCGTAGTTATTTTATCGGTAACTAACACCACCATTCTCCATACAACTCTTCTCCAAAGCATGCGCGCGAACAAAGAGCCCGCAAATGCAACACAAATCTTTAAAATAAAAAGAAGATGATACCTGCAATTCTCGCTTCCGACTCTTCTCGGTATGCCTGTAGCCTGGTGCCAGCCTAATTAGGCACCTGCCTCAGCCACGCGATTCCTGTCACGGTCAGACGCGTGATGCCCTTGTCCTACAACTCTGAGTCACAGCACAAGAAATATGACGACGTAAAAAAATGTAAAGTAAAACAAAATCGTCCAATGATTGCTACCCAACCCGCGATTCAACTTGTTGTATAATAATTAATAGTTGGTACTCTGCTCGACGCGCAGCAATCGACAACCTGTAGTGATTACGCGTTACTGGTTCTCGCCTCCATTCCATCCCACCTTCTCGCCCATAACTACAAATTATGTATGACTGGTACACGTATGTACCATGCATACGCCCGCGCCAAGACACTCAGGCAAGATCTCAAAGACTACCTATGGAGTACGAAAATACGTACTAGGCTACCGTTAGTCAAAGTGGTTGCAGCCAGCCCTCTTTGTCGCCCATCACATGAGAGCTGTGGCACCGTTTCTTTAGTTAATAAGTAATACGTGACAAGTTCTGCACCGTGCGAGTTCTGCCTGCCGCAGTCCCTGGCGCTGGGCGATTCGCATCTCTAACGTTACCATTGTCTGCCTTGGCCGCGACATGCTCGTCAACTACCTACCTAACTATGTATACTGACACTTCTGGCCTGGATCCCAGTAATTACCACGGCAACCCGGAAAGACAAAAAACGACTTAATTATTTTTAAAGTGGGGACAAGGTTTTCTAGCCTACCTTGCCTACCAACAAGAATAACTACCTACATAGGTAGTTAGTACGAGTTCAATTGGTTATCCGTACTAAGTGACCTCTCTAGAACAAACACACTCACAAAACTTCATAGTCGAAATCAACTGTGCTCAATTTATTAGCTAGATTTACCTCACTTATGCCGTTTAGTTTGCTACACTATCCATACTGACTACCTAGGTACGTATGTAACTAACTAGTGAACCCTTCATCGATGTAAACTATGATCAGCATAGCCATGATATCATACTTTCCGCGACGCCACGACATTTGATTGGGTCACTCAGGAACGGCGACCAAGCGTCCAGCCAAAACTTTTCGTTCAAGCACTTGTATCAGCATGAGCATCGCTCTCGTCTCGCAGGGGGGGTTTCTTGACCCCTGCCCACTATGACATGATTGACATCGAAAACAGCCCCATGCGCATTGAAAAAATCTGACCCTTTTTCTCATCCATTTCTTTTCCGTCGGGGCAGGGGTTCAAAACACCTGGGATTTTGGTAGTTAAAATTGGGCAGGCGAGAAAACAATCCGCCTACGACCCGAGCGCATAGCCCTTTTGCTACCCCCTTTTCTAGTCATCAAACCGGGTGCACGCACTCTGACACATGCACACTCGCACATGATAAGTGTGAAGTGTGCAGCCTCGACTCATATGTAGATGAAGCATCACCGCGCCGCAGACCTGTACATGAAGAGTCTGAAGACGAGCGCGCACGGCCGCCCCAGCCTGTGACACTTTTTGCGTCCAACAAGTGCCAACAGAGACTTGGCGTCGCGAACTGGGAATCGGTTCACTCCAGGCCCATGTAGAAAATAGTTACCCGACCTATAAAAGAGACAATGATTGTCGCGCTCCGCTCCTCAAAGCAACCCTCTCAGCCGCCCTCTCCCCAGAAGCAAGTTCCAGCCGAGTTGGCGTCCCCTTTCGTTAGGCGCTCACCGGGCCGCCGACCAGCTGCCACCCATGTCGGATGTAACCTCTACCCTGGAACAAGGTGCAAAGATCTACGTTTATGAATGGCTATTGGGCGGGTTCGAAATCGGCGCAAGTCGCCAGGCACCGTTATTGCACGTTACACCACGGCACTCCTGCGCGCTGGGGCGTCGGAGAATGATACCTTATAAGTCTTCAAGTAGCGGGCCGGATCAATATGAGGCTGTCATTCTTGCATATTCTTACGTGATACCCGACGAGACAAAACGTGGCCGGGCCGACCATCCCGAGCCATGATCAAGCCCAGCCTAACCATTTGTCCGAGTTCTTAAGAGCCTAGTTACTCTACGCTTTCGACACAATGTCAAACTCGCCCACTGTCTTGAGAAGCCCTCGAACACTCTCCACCGGCAACTTCTAGCCCGCCATGCGCTTTAAGAACAGACCCCACAGATCGGCCCTGCCGTCCGCGTCAACTGGGTGGTGCTTCAAGGCCAAGGTGGATGCACGACTAAAAGACTCGGTCAAACGACTGGACCCAGTTCGTGGTGAGAAACTGCTGAATGCTGGCATAGTACCCGAGGACTCTCAAGAAGACTGACTTCAGAAAACGTTAGCGTGATGGAAATACATAGCTGAAACACCAGTCCGGGGAGGGGTGACTCACTGCAAACAATGCCATTGCGAGCTAAATCATGGGACGAACGCCTTTCCAAAAAGACGTTGCCTCGTCACTCAGCGGTGGCACCCTCCAAGCCATGATCAGCGGCAGCATCCTCTTCAAGTGCCGCTCCACCGTCTCCATGTCGGTTCCCAGCTCCCCCGACACCTGTACAGCGGCCTCTTGGCCACCTCGGCGATGCTCTGCACCGTAAATGTCTTGCCGATGCCCGGCGGGCCGTATGAGAGGAGCACGCAGCGCTTGCGCTTGCCCCGAATCAGGTCGTCGGAGCCGTCACTGTCGCCGTTGGCCTCATCGTCCTGCTCCCTGTGTTTGCCACGTCAGCGCGCGCAGAACCTTTCTCTCCGGCCGCCAACATCAGCTGGTCAAAGGCGGCTTCGGCGTCCCACGCAACGTCGGCGACCTGGTCGACGCGGAACCAGCACCACAGTTTCTCGACCAGCGCGAAGCCGGATCCCTGAAAGAAGGCTGCGGAGGTAGTCGCTCTCGGTCACGGCATCGGCGTCAATGCCGACTTCGCTGTTGAACGCAGACACCCTGTTGTTCAGTGCTTGATAGGTCCAGTGATCAGTCATGATGCGACCATTGACCTATAACGGGTTTCATTCACAGAGGCCCACTCACATCCGCGAGACACTCGATACTTATCTTCGCACTTGCGGTCACATTTTGATGCGTCTACTCATTGCACCCGCCGAACGGTGACGGCGTCTTGTTATACTCGACAGCAACGGCGGTGCCGCTGTACTGGTGCAGAGAGTCTTGCCGCCAGCGCCGCCCGGTCCAGGTGATACTAGGGAGCCTACATGCTCAGTCGCCGAATGCAGTCGCCGAATCGCCCTGGTCGCTTGATGCTCTCCACGACGAAGCGCTGCGCGACATAGCGTTGAAGGCGAAGCACTTGGCCTCGATGACGCGGCTGGCCGGCTTACCCCAGCTGGCCTCGTGAAACTCGGTGGATGTCACTTCAAGGATGCGCCCTGTCTTGGTGCAGTCGGGGCCAGTGAAGAGCAGCTCGCCGGGCTTAAAGGTCATCCGATGCAAGAGTGCTCGGCCGTCAAGACATTGATCTCGTACCGCTCAGTGATAGGCTGCGAGCCCATCCTTGATTAGCTTGAAGATGAGTTGAATATCTAGTCTTTTGCTTTCTCATCGTTCGCGTCCTGGACGTACTGCTGAAACTCAGATTCTTCGTCAAGAACAGCCAGGTTATCGTCGATACTGAGGCACGCCTCGCTGACGCAGCAGTAACGACAAGCACGCGGGTTCGTGTTTCTCACTTACGGTTTGATTGTGTGACCCATGTTAGTCGTGCAAGCCAATATTGGCTCGCAAACTACCCCGGACTCGTCTGCAAGTGGATCTAATACTCACAGCATAGCATCATGGCTGCTACCGTAGAGCTAGCCCATAATACTACCGTCGTTTACAGGCAGCAATGTGAACTGTGTCATCAAATATGCTGTCCATTCAATGTTTTTATACCTAGTAATAGTCCATACATGCAGGAGACAAATAACAACCAAGCCAGACGCCAAATTCAAGCCCCGAGCACACTAAAAAACGGACATAGAAAATCACTCGTGCCCATGACCGTTATTTCGCTCTGCCTCGCGAACGTTTTGGATATCCGGCTCGATCACGCCGTCATAGTCCGTCGCCTCCGTCTCGTCTTGCTCTTCCTCGTCACCCTCGCCATCCTCTTCCATAATCGTTTCCACCACATCCACCATCTTGTTCTCCGACTCTAGCTGCTTCGCTTTGGTGCTCGTCATCTCAAACACGTACTGGCCCAGATGCTCGACGCCCTCCATTACCACCTCATTCTCCACCTGGCCAGCAGCGCCGCCGTCTTCTAGCGCAAGGGCGGGGCGCTGCGCAGGCCACAGCTCGCCCGTCACAAGCATCAGCTTGTCCGGACGTGACAAGAGAATGTCAAAGGCGGGTCGGAGCTCGTGGCACGCCTCGAATATTTCACGGCGTCCGAGAATGTACAGTCCGAGACGGGCACGGGACATGGCGACAGTCATGCGGCGCACGTCACGCAAGTATCCGACTCGTGACGTACGGGTAAGAGAAAGAATCACATCTGCCATGCATTAGTAAACTGTTACACAAACGAGGTTCCAAGCATACATACAGTCATTCTGTTCTCCTTGGTACTTGTCCACAGTAGCAACAGCCTTGGGCATGCCAAAGATGGGGTTTCTCGCGCAGCGATGGGATAGCACATCTCTAACAAGTGCTCTCTGTCCCGAATACGTCGTGAGAATACTGATCTTGTCCGCGGGGTAGCCAAGTAGTCGCATGTATTGGTAGATGGCAACAGCATACTCGGCCTCGCCCAAGTTCTGGATAAAGTGTGGCGTCGGCTCCATCTCGCCCTTGCCCTTGTAGTTGGGCACATTGATGAACTGAAAGTCAAACTTGAAACCTGCATTGGCTTGCTTGAATTCCGCATTGGTGGACACCTTGGGCAGATTATCCAGCTTGGAGTAACGCCACTGATACAAGCGCGCAATCGATGGGCGGGCGCGGCCCTGCTGATCAAGTGAAATTGTTGGTACACCGAGCCTAACAAATCGCGAGAACAGGGACTGCTCCAGGTTGGCGTAGTGTCGGAACGCAAGGCTCTGGATGACAGGCGAGTTCTGTAAATGATCGCCACACAGTACAACTCTTTGCAGAGGCAGCTTCCCATTGACGGGTTTTTGCATGGCCAGCGGAATAAACGACTCAATCTCTGTAATCTGCGCAGCCTCTTCCATTACAACGTTGTCATAGTGGAAACCGAGAGCAGCTATCTCTCCTCTCCTGATGGCGGCGTGTGTGGTGGTCATGGCGACGATGCGCGCCTCGGTTGTCAGCAAATAGTTTGCCTTGTCTCGCTCTCGACGCAGGATTTCGAATGGCAGAATGTCGGCCAGCTCCGAGAAGACTTTCGCAATGTGTCTATAACAGCCTTGTGCAATGTCAATGATCTGCGCGCGCTCAGCCTCTGGCGGGAAGAGGGGCTGCGGAGCGTCCCCAAAGTAGATGTGAAAGGGGAAAGCGTCGATAATCTGTGCCACCGATGATTCATCCGAGGCGATGACTTGCTCAAACTTTTTCCAGGCCGGCTGGATGTAGACTGTGTTAAAGTACCCCGCTGTCTCGGCGGAGTTGTCGTGAGCACCGGGTGCGCCTAAGCTGCTGGCGAGCTTTCGCACTTCAAACAGGAAGCGCGCGCGGTTATCAAGGAATGAGTCAACACGACCGTGCTTGCTGAAGCTTCCCTCGGCAGCAAGTTCCTCTTCGCCATGGCCAAGTCGAAGCAAGTGTCTTTCATCGATATCAAGCGCGATAATCTTGGCAAAGAGCTGGTTCAGCGCCTGGTTGCTGTGTGCGATCAAAAGCGTCTTTTGCTTGGGGAAGTTGTGATAGATGTTGTGGATGATCTGAGTCGCCACATCCGTCTTGCCAGTTCCCGGTGGTCCAATAACAACAGTCAGGCCAGGCTGAGAACCGGAAATAATAGCTTCAACCTGAGCCGGCGTGAAGCGAACAGAGTTCAGTTTAGGTGCATCAATTGGGTATGGGCCCTGGTTTGGCGGCTTGTATGTCGTGACTTTCAGTGTTTCCACATCGACTGTCGTCACTGGCTCGGCATCCCGGCGTCTCTTCTTCGAAGCCTTTACCGGTGCTTGGACTTCTGGCCTGTCCAATGTCTCCAATACATAAGGTGGCCCGAAACTACCGTCCACGTCATCGCTTGGCTCCACAGTCTTGCCTGGCAGACTCTCAATGAGATGCTGCCACTCCAAAAACGTGTCATTGTAGTCGACAGTCTTGATTCGGCTCGGGAGGGTTTTGTAGCTTGCGCCCGCTGGATCACCGTAGCCTAGAAATACTTCATGTAGCCAGCCAGGTAGAGGCGCATCTGAGAGAACGAGGTTTCGGATGGATTCGAGAACAGGCTTGAAGTTATTTTCCCGACGACCTCTTCTGAGAAGCAGGTTCACATTGCCATATACGTCTCCCTTGCCAGCAGCGGCAAGGGCAGCATCCTTTGTATATGTTTGTGAATCAAGTTTCAGCTCGATGCGACGTTTGCCATCACGGTTTCTGGAGTCCTTTCCGTGGCGGGCCTTTTCATCTGCACTGTAGATGACCTCAGCAGCGCGCACTGACACGACACCAATTTGTTCCAGTTCACTCAAAGAGGCCCCGTCTGAGATAGAATTCTCTGCGGGCGGCTCCACTGACAGCAGGAACACCACATCGCCTGACCGGAGAGAGTCCCATTCCTTGCGGACATGATCGCCAAGCCTTCGTACATCAAACGAGACCTCGGCCTTGACCATGGAAGGCTTGGAGTCGCCAATAAGGGCAGGAACCACCTCAAGGATAGCTGGCTTGGAAATCGGCATCGCCATCTTGGAGGTACCGGCAAAGTGAGTCTCGCCCGGCTTTCTGCTCTCCGGTTTAAGTCGGCGGAGCGCCGTCTCGATATCTCTGCGGATACCATAGAATGCCTCACAACGGTAAAGAACAAGCGCTCTCCAAAGGAAGTCTCCAGCAGACAGGTATTGCAGATTCAGTTTGGGTAGTGCTAGTGGATACGATCCGTCGTATGAGTCTGCTCTTTGGAAGCTGGCATCGAACAGAGTTTTTTCCGTGGGGACCATCGACATGGTCTGAGCAAGCTCTTGGAAGGTCTTTTTGCGTTCAAACGTGCTGAGCATGCACTCTGTTTGTAGCTGGCGGCCGGTGGGAAGTTTCAGATCCGCTGGGTATGTCGTTCTGATACCTAGATACCCAGCTAGAGACGCAAGCTCCTCATCCGTCAGCACGTCGAGGAGAGCCTTGAGCTCTTCCCGCTTGTCGATCGAGCCATAGTTGGAGAGGGCAAGAACGGTAAGCTTCCCTTTGAAGTGCTTAAGGGCAGTGCGCTGGAGTCTACCAAGCGCCTTGCAGTGCTTTTCGTAAGCTTCCTCACGAGTAAGCTGGGCGCCCGTTTGGTCATCAATCGCAAAGTATGTAAAGTGAGCAAGTAGAGCTTGCAGATCGCGGAACAGGCCGTTGGCTTCGTCATTGTACATGGGAGATAGTCTCATGGCTGGAAGGAGATTCAAATCGTTTTGCAGGGCATTGACATATCGCCTCGTCGGTAGTTGACTTTGCAAATCTGTGATGAACTCGGTAAAACGTTGACAATACAAATCTTGTTCTATGGTACACGTTAGCTCAGCTTCTTGGTTTGGACCGTCAAAGAGGCTTACCTGGTTTGCGATCCGTTTCGTAGAGCAAGCTCAGGAAATCGAGGAGAAGGGTATATAGCCAAGAGCGCTCAAAGCGCAGCCGAGCCTTGATGGCATCATCGCCGGCGTCGAAGCGCTTTTGAGAAGCTCTCCAGGATTTTTTTAGCTGGGGCGCCTGGTCCAAGAGTCGGTCTCGTTCCTCGTCCGTCGAGATGTTGTGCCAGATACCGATAGAAACCAATGGAGCGCAATCCCTTCTAACAATGCTAGAGTCCAAGCTCTGGAAAGCATGGATCAAGAAACAAAGCAGATTTGTACGGATGGTCGTCGGAAGCGTTCGATCGAGCGTTAGTGATAGTACGCGACGGAAGAAGGAAGAGAACTCTTCGGGTTTCTGTTCAAATAGGCCTTTTGATAGTTAGTAGGGTGCCCACGCGCCATCTTTTTTTTGAGCCAACAACTTACTCCAAGTCTCGAGGTGCTCTCTACGCTTGACGTTGATGATGAGCGCCATCAACAGGACGTGGAAATTGGAGGCCTCTTCTGTATACCCCGGCCATAAATAGCTTTCATCAAGTTAGTATATTTAGCTAGTCCGCGACGCATCTGCGAATATGCATACCTTTCCAGGGTCTGCAAGCTTTCCAAGAGAAGCAATGACTTGTACTGGAAGCCATCTCGCTCAAGGACCTCCCAGATGCTTTGCTTGAGGACGTCGTTCTTGACCTTGACCTTGGCCGTCTTCTTTGTCTTCTTCAGCCAATGAGTCCGTGCGACCTGGACGAATTGGTGCTCCTCCTCCTCGACCTCTGCGGGAGTCGGGCGCTCCCCGACAGGCTCTTCATGCTGGGTGGGAGCCCTGGCCTTCGCAGCGGCGCTGTTTTTAAGCCGCTTCGCGTTGGGCATGATTCAAATCGCGTTCGTCATGAGAGATGCACAGTCTGCGATCGGGTTCTGTGCGGAATTGCGCGGCGTGGGTAGTAAGGTGAAGGGCGACTGTCGAGCGTGCTGCCAAAGGTGACCTATGGAAGTCAAACCCGCTGCGACTCCGAAATTTTAGTCTCGCGACAGCTAGCTCACGCGTAGGTGGTCATATCAGGTACCCCCACTCCCTGTGGTACCTTGTCCAAGCGCCTTGTTTGCCGTGTCTCTGTGTACCCTTCGGCTCTATGAGACTTGTGTTTCTATTTATCCGTCGCAGCCAACGTAGCCAGCCCACCGCAGCAAACTCGCATCCCAGTAACGCGACAACGAATCGAACCGTAACGCGCCCCAAGAAACTCGACTGCACGCTAGATCGATGCGCAAGTAGAAGGCGGATTTCTACAAGCCTTGCGCCCATCTCTTGCCAGGGGGCCACGGTCTAGGGGCGGATCAAGACCTGCAGTGGTTCTGCAAGAAGCTGCAGCCCAAATCGCCTACGATGCCCGCCGTCGACATTGACAAGCCTCGCGTGGCCTCTGTTGAAGTATTTGGGAAGCTGCTATCTGATTTGCTGGACGAAGCTTCTGTTGCCAAGCAGTCACTGAGCATTGAGCCCGCAGTTACCAAGTCTGACCTTGCGGACCTGACGTCGCGGGTGAATGCGGCGCTGCCGACGAAAGACGAAGAAGCCACAGAGAGCGATGCCGCTGCCGCAGACCTAAAAGCTCGGCAGTTTGCCATTGTCGAAGGCGCTTCAAGAGATCTTTTTGGTGCTTTGATAGTAAGTTTGCTACATCCCCTGGCTCGACGCAAAACAGCCGCCGTCTAACACTCCCAAGGCGTCAACCCCAATCGATTCTCCCGACTTTGTGCGAATGTGGAATTTCCTCGACATTCTCTCCATACTCTCCGATGATGGCCAATGCGATGCGGCGCTCGTCTTCTGGCTGGTGGAGGAGCTGCTCGACAGCCAAACGATTGCAGGATGCCGCCACCTCTTTGACTTTCTCGAATCGCGACGAGAGCGGATGACTGCTAAGAATTTTTCGCAAAAGAAGCTGGTCATCCTCCGCAGTTGCAACGAGCTACTGCGCCGACTGTCACGGGCCGAGGATACCGCATTTTGCGGCCGTGTCTTCATCTTCATGTTCCAGTGTTTTCCTCTCGGCGATAGGAGCTCGGTCAACCTGCGCGGCGAGTATCACGTCGAAAACGTCACGACATATGAGACCACAACAAACGGCAGTTCCACGAAAATGGATATTGATATCGAGGCTCCGGTTGCCGAGACGAATGGTGAAAAGAAGTTGGATGCAAAGGACAGCAAGGCTAAAGAGGGCGGGAGTCGCCTCAGCTCTGAGGAACTATATCCTTTGCTCTGGTCGCTCCAGGAGAGCTTCAGTCAACCCACGACACTCTTCGACGCCGCCAAGTTTTCTCATTTTAAACACAGCTTAGAGGAGACTTTGAAAGCTTTCGAATCGCTACATGCCGACGATCCAAGGTCGTCGAAGCGGAAGCGCAATGACGAAGGAGCCGCAGTAGCGGAAGCATTTAACCCCAAGTACCTCACTAGTCAGGATCTATTTGTGCTCGAGGTAGTCGGTTTTAATTCCTACCACATTGCAAAAAAACTAATCGTGTACTACAGATAAACGACTTGTCTTTCCGACGACACGTTCTCGTCCAAGCTCTCATTATCACAGAGTTTCTGCTGTCTCTATCAGCAGAGGCAAAGCAGAAACTTTCCAGCCTCCCGGCTGCCAACAAGGCTGTCGTATACAGCGAACAACTAAGCGAAGAAAACGTAGGCATCATCTGCCATGCCCCTTTCCCAACTCGCCCTCGCTAACCCGCTCTCCAGACAAAATGGGCGACGGAAACCAAGCGACGGATATCCGAGTATCTAAGGCAAGGCGTCGACGGCCCCTACTTCCTCCGTATGGTCGAGACGGTGCTCGCGCGTGACAAAAACTGGGTGTTTTGGAAAATGACCAGCTGCCCGCCCATTGAGCGGGCACCCGTGGCCGCGGCTGACTTTGTCGCGGCCCGAACGTCGGCGGAGCGCATGGCGACGAGCAAGCGCCTGCGCCCGACGCCCATGGGCGCCGTATCCATGGAGTTTCTCAACCGGGCGGCGTCCCAGACGAGCATGGACGAGCTGCAGCCGCCCGCACGATCCGCGCTGCCCGCGCTCGCGAGTTTCGAGCGGCCGCTCGCCGACGACGACTTTGAGATTGCCATGCCCACCAGCGACGTGACCAAGGCGGCCGCCGTCTACGGCAAGTCGAGCAAGAGCTGGCGCGCGCTACGCATTGCGGCCCGCACGCGCCTCGCGGCTTTTGACAAGATTGACGACCCCAACGCCATTGCCGTCGTCTTTGCTGAGCCCACCGAAAGTGACGATGAAGCGGACGGCGCCGAGGACGCAGCGGCGTCGGAGGAAGACATGCCGCCTAGCCGCGCGCCTATCGTCCTTGTCGGCGCCGCGCTAGAGACGCTCCGTGCCGTCACCGCCGCGCTGCTGAATAAGCACAAGGGCGTGTTTGCGGCCGTCGTGCGGCACACGACGCGCACCAAGGCCGACAACGAGACGCACGGCAAGGCGTTTCACTTTGTCAGCGCGCCAGACTTTGGCCAGCTCCGCGACGGCGACCGCCTGATAGAGCATGGCGTGCGCGACGGCAGCGACTACGGCACGAGCACCAAGGCGATCGACGCCGTGACGGAAGCCGGCAAGGTTCCCATCCTCCAACTCGACACCGAGGTACGTTCATACCCCCCCATATCTCTACTTCTGCCCATGTACTAATTCGCAAAAAAAAAACACAGGCTGCTCAGTTCGCCAAGGACATGGATTTCGAGGCGCGTTACGTTCTCGTCGGCCCATCTACTTCTGACGGCGCCGAGGTCTACGATGCCGTCATCGCCGCGGATAGCGAGGACGCCGACAAGGCCGCCGCCGAGCTGAGCGCCTTTCTCTACGGTGGCGGTGCCGAGAACGAGGAGGAGGCCAAGGCTGATGCTGAGAGCTCCTCGGATGACAGCGACGAGGACGAGGACGAAGAGGATGAGGCGGCCAATGCGGATGCCGAGATGGCAGATGCGGATGGAAAGCCAGAATAAACTGCTTAGGTAGCTTGTGAAACGTGTGGACCAGGGGATTGATGGATGTCGAATGAGCGTGATGTTTTTATCTAATCGCGCCTCTTTTGCTAAGCTCTCTTTCGTTACTTTGGGGATAATTTGTTCAGCTGGTGGTGCTGCATACAGAATAAGTAGATAGTCAGGGATGGGCGAATATATTCACGTGGATACCCAAAAGCAATCAGCTCCCGAGACTTCACATAACAGGTAGCGAACGCAGGAGACCAAATACGACGAGCGAGTGGGGTTCAATTTACACTAATATCAACAGTAACTATGAGTTTGCACCATGACCACAACATTGTTTCTGCATTTTCCATCAGAACAAAATAAGGGTGAGCAAAGCTGTTCTCGACATGGTCAGCGAGGGTTGACCCGTAAATCCCGCAGAGTTTACTCGTCATCCTCGTCGGAAGATTCCTCTTCCTCAGCCTCCTCGAGCCACTTGAGGAAAGGCTCAGCAGCCTTGCGGACCTTCTTGCTGACAGCAAGATCGGCGTACTTCTTGCTCGCCTTCTTGCCCCAAGGCACGACAACTTCCTCGGTGATGAGATCACTGTTGTAGTACAGCTGCAAAATCTTGACAACTTGTGGGTACACGTCGGGGTTTTCCTCGGCGAGGAAGCCCATGAGGCGTTCGGTACCACCAAGGAGAGCCTTCTCGTGCTTCTCGGAAGTACCAATCTGCTTGATCATGGCTGCGCGCTTGGGAATCTGCGCAGTGATGTTCTTGTCAAATAGAGTCTGGACTAGGACCTGGATAGTCTTGTGTTTGCCCTCAATGCCCAGCTCCTTGGCCTTGAGATAGACCTGGACGGAGTCGACATTATCGATGCCACCCTTGTCCTTGGCCTGAGCCTGGATCCACTGACCGAGTTCGTCGTAGACGCTCTCGCCACCAGCTTCGTCATCGTCAATGTTGAGCTTGCCCTTGAACTCATCAGGGAGCTGGGCCTGGCGAGCCTTGACGGCTTCCTCGCTCATGTCGACAGCCCACTCATCGTCTCTAACCTCATTGTCGCTGTCAATAGCGGGGGCAACACGATCAAACTCGTCATCACTAGCATCAAAGCCATTGGTGCCGTTCTCGCCTGAGTGGTCGGAGCCCTCGTCGCCAGAAGCATTACCGTTCAAAGCAGCCTCCTTCTTGGCACGACGAGCAGCCTTTTTGTCAGCCTTGTTGCCCTTGCCTTTCTTGCTCTCATGTTTGATGATGAAGCCGGAAAGCTTGAGGCGGATATCAACATCGGTGCGATGGCCACAGGCCTTGCAGTCGAGAATGATGCGAGGATCCTTGATGAAGACGACGGTTTCGGGGTTGCTGCAGCCTCGGCAAAGAACAAACTTCTTGATGAAACCATCAAGGAGGTCTTGGAGCTTGGCGGCCTCGTGGGCACCGTTAATGATCCAACGGTCGTCCTTGGGGTCGGTGTTGGTCTGGGCTCCGAGCTCAAAGGCAAAGTACTTGATGACATAGTTGGGGTCACGGCTGAGAGCCTTGGCGACGTTGACAAGGTTGACGACGACGGTCTTGATACCGTTTCCTTTTCCTTCAACCTTGGTGATGAGTTTCTCCATCTTGTAGCGATAGAAGTTATCGCTAACTTCGCGGTTGACATTGACGAGAACCATGATGGCGGTGTTTTTTTGGGCTTTTAAATTGTAGAGGCTTTTTTTTTTCAGTGGATGTTGCGGGCTTGATGGACAGGACTCGGCGAGATCTGAACGGACAACGTTGTCATGAAGACTGGGGGGAAGCGATGAAGACGGGCGTGCTGTTGGAGCTGGTCGGGAGCAAGAGGAATCACAAATGACCACTTGTGATTAACATGAGGTTTTGAGGAGGCAGTCTCGTGATATGTGTGGTAGGCATGAACTCTTGCGTTGTTGGGCAAATGTCAACCGTCGGAATGAATATCGGGAGAAGAAGGTTTGCGCCGTATGTGAAACAGCTGCAGCTCGGCAATGTGTCTGGACACGTTAAACTGGTCGTGCTGATACATAAACAAGTCTTGACAAGCTGGTGCGTTGCTGGGTAATCTGTTTCTGCCGTGGGAGGGAGCCAGGCAAAATCGGATCGTGGGAGGGGTGTCGAGGTTCGCGCGGGCGGACGACGGAGGGTGCTAGAAGCGGAAGTTTGTTGGATAATATAAATTGAAAGCGGGAAGGGTGGCTGACGCTCTGCAACCGTTCAAAACAGTCTACAGGCTGGATATGGTTGGTTGAGCTGGTTGGATTGGCAAAACGCAGTGCTGGCAGTTGGCACGGTTGGGTGAGGAAGGGGGAAGAATAGGCCGAGAAAAAAACTGTGCAGCGTGGATGACACAACTTTGGAAATGTGGCAAGTCCGGGTAGGGCCCGAGTTTTCGGCGTTAGAGGTGGTGCGTGGCGGCAGAGGAGGGGCAGGCACCAATGAATGTATGCGGGAGATTTTTGGTGTACCAGTAGGTTTTTATTGTACCTTGGTAGGTATTCTTAGATGTTTCTTGGAGTGAATAACTACCTACCTACCTAGTTAGATAGGTATTGACTTCTTCTTCACCAGGCACCTGCGCAGAAAAATCCCAAGGAAACAGTCTTTTGTTCTTTTGTCTAGGTACCTAGGTACCTACCTGGTACAGTGCGCTGCAGGTACCTTTACAGCGCGTTAACCAGGTGGTTCGAGCGCCCACTAAATGCGCGATTGCTGCCTGCACCCGTGTACGAGTTCATCCTGCAATCCTGCAGGAATAATACAGGCCACTTTCATATGTAGGTAGGTACCTAATTGATACCATCCAACGAACCTCATGGAAACCGGCCCAATCCAGCGGGATACGTGCCCGTCGCAGGACTCGGTCATAGCACTCGATGTGCTACTTCGAAACAGCCAGCGATGCGACAGAAACACTACATAGGCAGTATATCATTCTGCGCTGCACACGTCAGCGCTTGCCAACAGCCCTTCCTCACAGCGTACCGCTCATCGGTCAATTACCACTGCTGCCTTTCCGAGGCCGAAAATGCAACAGGCACCTTTGTCCTAAAGGTCTAGCCGAAATGAGCTGATCGGACATCTCCATCGCTTCCTCCTTCATCGACGCGTCGGGCAAAGTGATGAATCTCGAGTAGACGTCCCGGAGCAGAGTCTTCATTTCCGCAAGAGCCAGGCTGCATCATCGCGTTAGCCGTGCCAAAAATAGCCAGGCATCCGTATGCTGGCAGAACTTACTGCTTTCCAATACATCCTCGCCCGCCATTCGCAAAAGCAAACAACACTCGCCGGCGATCCGCATCCCCCTCTTCCTGCAGCCAGCGCTCCGGCTTGAAAGAGTCTGGTTCAGGGAACAATTCGTCGTTTATTCGGTGCACTGAAAACGCCTGGCAGCTGACAATCGTCTTCTTGGGAAGCCAGTGGCCATCCACCACCCGGCCACCCTCCGGAACGTAGCGCGGGAGCGACATAGGGATTGGCGGGTAGCACCTGAGGCCCTCGCACACGACAGCGTCCAGGTACGGGAGTTGGTCCAGCGGTGCCTGAGGTTTGGCGATCAGCTCCTCAGCCAGCTTCTCTTGTATTTTCTTGGACCTCGGCTGCGACAGCTCCCACAGCAGGAAGCACAGCCCGTCGCCCGTCGTGTCAATGCCGGCCGCCATGTGGTCGAGGCACTCAGCCGCCATGTCAATAGGCTCCAGCTCGGCCGATTTTTCCTCCAGACGGCTCATCAGAGTGAATACGGCAGGGTCGTGGCTTCGACTCGTTTCCAGAACATAATTGTCGGCCAGTGGTGTTTCCCGTGGCTTGGCGAACAAGTACAGGAGGCTGCCCAACATGCGGTGCAGCATGGGAACGTAGTGGGAGATGAGACGGTCTACCAAAAGGTCAGTACGGCTGCCGGTAGTACTTCATACATCACTAGACGCACTTTGTAGACTATCGTCCGATGCTATTTGGTGCATCATGTTCTCATCATCTTGGTTGTCCAGACAATCGGTGCCGCGGGGATGGAACAGATGATGGGTAATGCAGTCACAGGCGTAGGCATGTAAAGCTAAACCGAGTCAGTACATAAAGATGAGGTTACTTGTCATCGACATACACATCTACAAAAGTTAGCTACACCATATGCGTTGCAGCTCAAGGTCACTCACAAAAACGTCGGCGGGACCAGAGGATGAGGCGCAACGGCGCACGAACTTGGCCGACCGTTCCCGAATGCCGTCCATAGAGGCGCTTCTGAGAATATTCGTGTTGGCATAGCGATCCGCAAGGATACGCTTCCGTTTCGCATGCTTCAACCCCAAGTTAGCAATAGTACCAGCAAAACATCTTACCCAAACCTACATCTGCCTTGTTCAGCGTGGTGAACATGGTTCTGTCCAACATCAGCGTCATGCTCGTCATGTTCCAACCTGCCAGCCTACCGTCGACCATAAATCCTAAACATGTCGTAAAACTCTGTCTTGTCGTATCCGCTGCCTCCAGCGCAGTAAATCTCCTTGATGGCGGCCCACGACGTAAAGGCGACCTCGTTTGGCGCCAACCGGACCACGGGCCCGTACTGGCGGTGCAGAGCATGGATGTAGACGGTCCTGGTCGCGTTCATCTCGTTCCACTTGAGCCATAGCGACGTGTACTTGGAGACGGACGGCCCGGGCAGCCTGGCGAGCGGGGATCGCAGGCAGCGCACCAGGTAGACCGCCGCCAGCAGCACCACGGCGGCGGCGGCGGTCAGCGGCGAGGCGAGAAGCATGGCTGGTTCGAAGATTTTCTAGTGTGTTTGCGTTCCTACGCCACTGAGTCCAAAGTAGAGATTTACCGATTTATAAAAAAGAGGTACACGAGAGGGGTGTTGGTGTAGTTGTACATGAAGTGGACAAGTAAGTTTGTATCAAGAGGGAAGCAGACTAGGTAGTTATCAGAGTGTAACTACTGCGAGGTCGGGCGCGCCTTATCAACTAGTTCCCACACGCACTATTTCCCCAGGCTTTTGGAAATGGGACGCTTATTATTAGTCGTCGGCCCATCGCCGCGCCGCCATTTGGACAGTCAATACCCCGGTTTTCGGGCGACCGCGGGGTCCGTCCACACCACGATGGGCGAATCGGTGGCACGACGGTATGCACAAAAAGCCGGGGTACAGGAGATAAGTGCATTGAGCGGTGGCTGAAATCTCACATCAACTACCTCCAATTGCCTAGCGGATGTGCTAGAGAAGGGGTACTGACGTGAGTTGTTGCCCCGCGAGAAACATGCCGAGCCGCGACGCCGAAAACGGCTGCGACAACGACGTGTGGCGTGATTTACTTTCGCTGCGGGAGCAGTTTTTTGGCCATGTCACAAATTGGTGGCGTAAATCGGGCTTCATCGCTACCCTGGAATACTGGAATAGGGTTACTCGGAGGCTAGTGAGATTCTTGTTCCCTCAGTAGAGACAGGCTAAAACAAGGAGAAAATGCTATACATAACTGCCCATCCTACTTGCACTACACTCTTTCACCCCAGATTGCATCATATATTCGTACGGAAAGCTTGCAACAAGCTCACATAGGAAGACAGAGCAGGAGTCGGTTCTGGGCTTGTGCCTATAACGGGTAACAATGAAGCCAAGTCTAAGGTTACCCCAGGCACTGGTCGGCACCATGCTTTGCTGACAAGTCACGTTTATAGTTTGAAGTATCTAGATTTTGGACTGAGTCTGATAAATGTATGCCTAGGGGTCTCACAGAGTACCGAAAATTGGTTGCTAGTGAGCTGCTACGGAAGCCCTGGAGCGTCAATGCGTGATGTCGAATCTCGCGAATTGCGAGGCCTCTGTCGTGTCTGTTCCAGGATTTGCTGTGGCCTGTCTCTTGAACACAACGCTCCTCATTCGTGCTCGACGAAGGGCTGCTCACGATTGAAGCGGCGCCAGACCAGTTGAGGCAATCTTTGGATCGATTCCAACCTCGTCTACTTGACCGATACCTGCCAGTTACGAAGGATTACTAGTATACGCTCGAGTCCGTATATTTTTGTTTCGGGGGTTTGCCTTGATTCTTTTTCATCACACCCGTCTACCACATTACCCAGAGGGCTTGATTTGGGATCACAGGAAAAGACTCTCCTGCATCAAATATAATGTTTTATTGATTGCAACTTGTATACATTTTTTCGAGGCATTCTGCCCAGATACGGTCGCAAAGAGTGGAGCGAACCAGCTAGTGCCCATTGGTTGGCAACTGTCTGAATCTGGATGACGTTTGCGTGCACGGTGGAGATGGTTTGATTAACATGACAATTTTTAGGAAGGGGTTGATTGAATTACTTCTGCTTGCCATCCCTTCAAGCTTCGACTCTCTCTGCGCGTGGCATCCGTCGCTCAACAGTTGCTGCTTGGCGAGCCATTCGCGCAGACTACCCTTTCGTACAACCCCCAACGGCCCATCGTTTGCGTGTTCACCATGTCCGCCGACGACAAGAAGGGCGCTGACCCTGTCGAGATGGAGCGTCTGGTCGAGGAGCCGCCCTCTCCGACGCTGCCGACCGTGAACCCCGACGTTGCGCCCAGCAAGCCGACTGGCGTTGCGCTTCCGCCATGGGTCTACGTCGTGTGAGTTGCAAAAATCTCCGTTTGGCGCCATACTGCCGCGCATTATCTGCATTGCCTATGCTGACACCCGCCTGAAGCGCCTGGATCTCCTTTTCCTCCATGGTGATTCTATTTAACAAATGGGTGCTGCATACGCTCAAATTCAGTACGTACCTGGTCTCGAAATAAAGCTGGATTTGAGACTGACGTGCAACGATTAGAGTATCCCGTCATCCTCACAACCTACCATCTCGTCTTCTCTACCGTCGTGACGCAAATCATGGCGCGCTACACCACCATGCTCGACAGCCGCAAGACCGTCAAGATGACGGGCCGCGTCTACCTGCGTGCCGTCGTTCCCATTGGCGTCTTCTTCAGTGTCAGCCTCATCCTAAGCAACGTCGCCTACCTCTACCTATCCGTATCCTTTATCCAGATGCTCAAGGCCACGACGCCAATGGCCGTGCTGCTCGCCGGCTGGGCCCTCGGCGTGTCCCAGCCCACTCTGAAGCAGGCCGCCAACGTGTCCGTCATTGTGTTCGGCGTCATCATTGCCTCTGTCGGCGAGATTGACTTTGTTCTCACCGGCTTCGTCATCCAGCTCGGCGGCGTCATGTTCGAGGCCCTGCGCCTGACCATGGTGCAGCGCCTTCTGTCGGGCGACCTCAAGATGGACCCTCTCGTGTCGCTCTACTACTTTGCGCCCGTCTGCGCCGGCCTCAATGGCCTCATCGCCCTCTTCACAGAACTACCTCGCTGCACCATGGCCGAGGTGCTCCACGTCGGCCTGTTTACCTTTTTCCTCAACGGCCTCTGCGCCTTTATGCTCAACGTCTCTCTCGTGCTGCTGATTGGCAAGACGTCCGCCGTCGTACTGACCATCTGCGGCGTGCTCAAGGATATTCTGCTCGTTGTCGCGTCCATGGCCATTTTCGGATCGCAGGTCACAGCGCTCCAGTTCTTTGGCTACTCGATCGCGTTGGGCGCCATGGTCTACTACAAGCTCGGATACGAGCAACTCAAGGGCCATGTTGCCGAGGCGAATCGTCAGTGGGCGGCATTTGGTGCCGAGAAGCCAGTTCTTCGCCGTATCAGCATAGCCGTACTGACAGTCTTTGCTGGATTGGCGGTGCTTGGTGGTCTCAAAGGTGTCATGTGAGCTCCTATCTAAAATTGGCGAATCGGACACAGTATATCCATGATTGTATAAAACTATATTTTAGGAAAGGTACACGAAAAGCGTTGTAGCCGTAATGCTTAATATATCGAGGTGCAGTTGAGATAGTGTTTGAAAAGCCGTCAACACGCAATTTTGATGTATCGACGGAGATCAATATCGGATTTCCTTTATAAATAGACGCCGCCAAGCTTACGCAGTGAAAAGGAGCCGCAGGTGGGAGCCGCACCTAGTTGCACAGCCTCGACGAGCAGCATCCAAAGATAGAACAGGCCCCTGCGAATTTCCGAAGAGCGGCTGCATAATGATACTGTGTGCAAAGCCAGATTGGGCTTCCAATTCAAACCAAATTTCTTATCGAACACTTGTTAAATAGCAGCCCATAAGAAAGCGCTTTATTAATACAACAATGCACTGCTACTTATTAACTGATAACTTATTAACTGATATTAAGGACTGCCAACTTTAGCAACAGCTACAAGGTTCCTAGATATGTGGTGCTCCAGTGTAATTTGGTTGCTGATGGATCTTCATTTGCTGATATTGTTCCGAAGAGAGTGCTACATAGGAGCTATCATTGAGTAGTGTTATTATCGAGTGTTATTATCGAGAATTCTTGTTATTCTGGAGTGCGTATGGATACAAAACCTTAGTTAATGCGGTTTATTCCGTTGATGATCCTGGTACATAGCTTGATAGCGAGGCCGTAAACTGTAGATCTGTCCACCTGCACCTGTGGGTTGCAAGCCTCCTAGTTACAGCGCTAGATACGAGACGAGGCGGAGAAGGTCATCTGCGGCACGATTGGACAGGTGGACAAGGTAAAAACGCTCACTGCTGAAAAGTGAACACAGCCACGAAGCAGCAGGTAACTAGAGCGGCTGGTGACCAGGGTAAAGGGGACGCGTCGCCAGTCGTCACGTTGGTCATCAGACAACAAAGAGACATTGGCGGCAGTTTGCAGAGTACTAAAGAGATAAAAGGCGGTGGTAGATTAGACAGCACAGAGCTTGAGATGAGCCAATCAGTAGCATTTATTCCTTCAAACAAATTCAGCTCACCAGGGCGCGTTGATAGATGATAGCTGAGCGGAAAAAGTCCCCTTTATTAGCATCGCTTGCTCCGTGCCAGGCGTGCCGCCATCGGCTGCTCAGACGAAAAAGCAATTAGTCTACGACATGCGTCATGATAATAGAAGCTGATGAGCCCGCTTAAAAAAGGAGTGGATTAATTCAACTGGGGTAGCTTTATTATTACCTTCGAAAAGCCAGAAGCTCCAACCTGACCACCACCCGCTTATTAGGTTGCGTTAGTAGCTGGCCAGCCTCAATCCGTCGACCATCCGGTCCATCCCACCCCAACGATCCAGCAGCTGCGCCTCTTACTCTCCAGTACTTTGCATCCGCCGGTCGACTTCCTTTCTTTCTTCCCTTTGCACCTATCCTCGAAGAATTCTTTTTTTAGACGATATCCCCCAAGCTCTACCCCTGGGCCGTCCCCAGACACGGACACCCCCCCTCCGTCGCCAAACCCCCCCCCCCCCTCCCTCTCCCCTCGACTAGACAGATACACACGCCCCGATGCCAACGTTTGGACGTCTGGGGAAGCACAGCAACCGCTCGCAGCACGGGCTCCCAGAGCAGCCGCCTGCTGGGGCGCAAGGGAGCGGTGCCGGCGATGCGGCTGTAGGCGGTGGCCTAACTGACCCCAGCCTGGAGGCGCAATCTGCCTTGTCACCATTGGCGGGCAGCCCTCACGACACCATTGATAGCCGTCAGCAACAGCAGCAAATGCAGCAGCAAATTCAGCAGCCGCAGCAACAGCAACAACAAGGATTACCGATCCTCACAAGTGCCGCTGGACCAAACAAGCTTCAAAAGCAGCAGCAGCAGCAGCAACCGCTGCCGCACCAGGCTCAGTCGCAGTCGCAGGCGCCAGCTCCCCCGCCGCACCTGTACAGCACCTCCTCCACCGGCCCGGCCACTAATAACCCCTCGCCTCTCCAGCAGCATCCTGGCGGTGATTTCGTCTTTGATGCCCGCCAGCAGCAACAACACCCCGACTTTGCTGATCCAACCGTGAATCGATCCCAGAGCCTTCGCTATCCATCCCAGAGCTCGCTCCTCCAGCATCCCCATCCCCATCAGCAACAAGTCTACGGCATCGCAACCACATCGGTCGACGACCTCCCTAGCCCCACAAGCTTCCAACATCAGCAACTCCAACAACCACCCCCGCCGCAGCCAGCGCCCGAGAAGCACCGCACGAACCGCAAGCTGCACATCATCAAGGGCATCTTTGGCTCTGTCCGTGGCACCTCTGATACCAGCAGTAGCAGCCAGAACAGCTCGCACGCGCCGGTTCCTCATCCTGCCAGCCAGCAGTACGACCCAACCGCTGGCTTAGGCCGTCGCTCGTCAAACAAGAGAGTAAGCGCCCAGTCTGAAACGCACCCGCCGCCCTCCAGATACAAAGGGCCTCATTCCGCCTTTGACTACTTTGCATGTTTTGCGTGCACACTCCTCGTTGCTCCCCGTTTTCATTTGACGCACGGAGCTCTTGCAGTGTGAGGCTCTTATTGTCCTGTGGTCAAGCCTCATCCTACGCGCCGTCTTCTTTCCACACAGACCGCCCGCTGACATGCACTCTTCAGGACTCTCGTATTTTGCCGCAAATCAACACCCTCCGTCCTGTTACCGGCGACGATCTCGATAATTCCTCATACGACGAACTTGCGTATCCGCCCCCGCACTCGCAGCCTCACCAACATCAGCAGATTCTGCAGCAGGGACTCGGACAGATCCTCATACCACAGGACCAGCAGCTACAGTTTGACAATAACCAGCCCGGTTTTGACATTCTACCACAATCTGCTCAGCAGCATCAGCTCCACCAGCAAATCTTGTTTCAGCAGACGCCCGACGACCGATTCCCCCCCGCCGGCTATCCAGGCCCGCACAACTCAGAGACTGCATCCCAGCTCTCGCATGAATCTTCTGCATACGAACAAGACCTGCGAAACCAAGCCCCCCAAGCCTTACAACTTGGATCAGGACAGCTCGTGAATCAGCAACAGTCGTCGCAATCTCAACCACCACAACAGCAGCCCGGCATGCCACCCCAAGGCGCTCGACGAAGCAACGAAGCTGAGCACCCCGTTGCTGGACACCCTCCCGGTTACCGCCACAGCAATGCTGGTCTAACCGCAGCCAGTCCTCTGCCGCCTCAGGGACCAGGTGTCGGTAACGCGCAACCCGCCTACCGTGGCGACGGTCGCCATTTTGAGGCGACGGACCCCGGCCGTGAGACCCCCCAGCCAATTACAGAGAAGGATCCGGAAAGCGAAAAGGCTTTCAAGGAGCTATGTACGTATCACATCGTTTTACTCTATATCGAGGTCGAATTTGTGCTGACTCGTGTAGTGACGAAATACAAAAATGTTAAGCGTCTGTATTTCGACGGCAAGGCTCAGATTGAGCAGCTCCATGGACAAGTCGAGCAGCTGCAAAACGCTGTTGCCAACCAGCGCATGTCACAGTCGAGGACAGCTCTGGATGACAGTGAATACGCCACGCGATTCAACCGTCTAAACGGAGCCATCAACAACCTCTCGTTTAATATACGCAAAGATTGGCGTACTATCCCCCCTTGGCTAGCAAGTTATGTTACCGCCGAAGCGCTCAGGACTGGCAAGCATGAAATGACTGCAGTCGGACGAGCCGTCATTTCGCGCTGGATTGTGGCCGAGCTGTTTGACAAGTGTTTTCATCCGGATCTTGACCCGCATTTGAGTGCTCAGCTAAAGGAGATTGAGATGGGCATCCGTGGCAATACCCATATCATACACAGACCGGAGGAGCTTGATGCGCAGACGACCAAGATCATCAACTGGCGCATGGCCACATTGGACGGGCTGCAAAAGAACCCCAACGCACAGGCATCGGAAAACAGAGTCGCGCTCATTCAGAAAGCGACGACGAACCTCACAGCATACCTTCAGTCGCACCTGACAGAGCCGCCGCCTCATGGGCATGGGGTCGAAGGCAGTGCGTCGATAATTGTGGAGCTGGCCATTGGTGTGGCGGCGAACCTGCCGCTGGAGAGCCGCGACGTTTCCATCTGGTACCCTATGCCGGCCGAGATTGTGCAGCCGAACCTGATGGAGGTGGAGAAGAGCGGATTTGCGCCTGTGGCGGTTGGGGGTGGTGCAGAGGGATCTGAGTCGGACTCTGAGCCGGATGAGGCACTGGACAAGATTGGCAAGGGCCAGACGGGCAAAATGGGTAAGGCTACAAAGTTTCGAGGGGCGCACCGAACGGGAGCTAACACGCGCACAGGTACGATGAAGGAGCCCCAGAGAATTCGCTTTGCCGGATTCATGGCTCTGGAAGTCAAGGGCCGGCAGGTGCTGATCAAGGCGCCGGTGTGGACCCTTTAAGCATCTAGCACGAGCATATACATGGCATTGATCCGAAACATATATTGAGAAGAGGTGGTCTCCTATGTTGCACTTGTCTTTGCGTGTTTGTCTTGTTTTTTGTGTGCAGAGGAAGATGTTGATACCAAGAAGAGCAAGCAGCCGTGAGTAGACTGAGGCGGCCAGCAGAAAAAAGAATGGATAACATATAGAGGCCGGTGTGGTTGGCTTGGATATCTTACATCAGCCATCTCGAAGTCTCTTCTCAGGTGTCTTCACCCCGCGATTAGCTCATCTCTGATGCCTTTATAGGCAGCCTATACTTAGCACTTAGCCGCATTTATGATTATGGCCTATGGCTCCCCTGGTTTCCAGGACCTCCCCGTCGGTTTTAATGAAGTTGGACATGGAGGTGATATTGAATACATGTATTATGATGCACGAGTCCGGGAAGTAGTCATATTCCAGGGAGCTACATCTGCATATTGTTGAGTTTCATGTAAAGATCTGGAGTAAGATACGCTTCTCTTTCTGGCAAAGTTAGGATGACGAAGAATGATTTTGCTGTATTAGTACAAGTACACCTGGGGCCAGCACGGTAAGAGTCACCGTTGGAGGAGAGAGGAGAGAGGAGAGGGCGGGGCTGAGGCTGTCGCGCGGGTCTGGATTGAGTCACAGGGCCTGCAGGCGCTAGAGTTTCTTCCTTGAAGCGCCGCACGCTGATGACTCTAGTAAATGGAGGCTTCGTTGGGTAGGCCCGTGGACCGCGCTGAGGCTCTAGTAAGCGGCAAACGGGGAGTGGAAATGAAAAGTAAAAATGGAAAATGAAGAGTCAAGATAGAAAGGGAAAAGTCAAAAAGGAAAATAAAAAATCGTAAAGACATTGGGAGAGCTGAATCTCTATAAATTCATGGCTCCCAGGACCCCCACTACAAAAAAACTGACCAAGCAGAAAAAACACCACCACCACCACACAGTAACCTTCTGGCAGAAAAAAATCTACTGTCCTTCCTCCTCTTTAACACTTCAAATTTTCAACCTCGACACCCAGCACCTTTTAACAGGTTTAATCGCACGAAATCCTAAACATGGCTGTCCGCGCTCAGTTTGAAAACTCCAACGAGTACGTTTCCCTCATACCCTGATCCTGGCCGGGACAAGGCTGTCTTGTCTGTCTTGGTTCCTTCGTCTGGTGGTTCCCCGCCATCACAAGACCCCGCCTCGCGCCGCGCTGCAGCTTGCAAATCCCTCTGCCCGAGACCGAAAGAAAAAGGCACAGCATGCCGGCTACGGTGTTCAAGGCTCTTGTGAATTGTGCGACGTTTGAAATCCCCAAACTCGGAACTTGCAACACCGCACTCGGCTTCAAATCCCACCGCATCCCCGTCGAAACCACCTCGCTAACAAGCTTTCTCCCCCCGCAGGGTTGGTGTCTTTGCCACACTCACAAACTCGTATGCTCTCGTCTCCCAAGGCGCCAGCGAAAACTTTTACAGCGTCTTCGAAGCCGAGCTGGCCGACGTCATCCCCATTGTGCGCACCACCATTGCCGGCACGCGCATCATCGGCCGCCTCACGGCCGGCAACCGCAAAGGCCTGCTCGTGCCCACGACCACGTCGGACCAGGAGCTGCAGCATCTGCGCAACTCGCTGCCCGACGCCGTGCGCATCCAGCGCATCGAGGAGCGTCTCTCGGCCCTCGGCAACGTCATTGCCGCCAACGACCACATTGCCCTCGTCCACCCGGACCTCGAGCGCGAGACGGAGGAGATTATTGCCGATGTGCTCGGCGTCGAGGTCTTTCGCCAGACCGTCGCCGACAACGTCCTGGTCGGCTCCTACATGAGCCTCTCCAACCAGGGCGGCCTCGTCCACCCCAAGACAAGCATCCAGGACCAGGACGAGCTCTCCAGCCTGCTCCAGGTGCCCCTCGTCGCCGGCTCCGTCAACCGCGGCAGCAGCGTCGTCGGTGCCGGCATGGTCGTCAATGACTGGCTCGCCGTCACCGGGCTCGACACCACCGCCACCGAGCTGTCCGTCATTGAGAGCGTCTTCCGCCTCGGCGACGGCAACGGCCCCAGCAACATCAACACCAACATGAAGGACACCATGGTGGAGAGCTTCTACTAGGCTTCCTCCTATGTTTTTCTTTTACCATTTTCCTGCTACCTTGTGCAAATTTTTAAAGTCATAACCTGGCGAACTTGATTTACTTTGGGTTGATTGAGCTTTCTTTTCCTTACTCTTTTAGTTACAACTGCTCACGGGGCCTGGTGTTGGGATATACTACTTTGCGGTTTATTTTCCTTTTTGGTTTCTTTGTACACGGACTCGTCTCTGAACAAAAATCATGGTTGCGTTGACATGGGTGAGCCTGGCGCGGCTAGACGCTAATGCCGATATTTCTCTAGAATATTAGAATGCCAGCCGTGTGAGATGGCTGGCTGTACATATATGATGACAGATGATTATCCACCTTGGCTGCCTCCCGTTGTCGTGTAGTACTCTTATATTAACTCGAGCTTGCAGAGGGCGTTTATCTACTCCTTCACCAGCTAGAAACTACCCAGTATATGAACCAGAGATAGTCTCAGCTGAAGCAAGTCAAATAACCGTGTGCTGTCAGATCTACTCCGCAAACAATTCAACCACCTCTTCTCACTTACTACGCTTCCAACAATGGCTTGATTAGTTCCCAACCTTCCGCAGAGCCGAGGACGAAACCCCGATTTGTCGTGTATGACGCGGAGAAGAAGCGTGGCTGGAACCAGAACTTCTGGCGATACTCGTGTAAGTGCTTCCCGCCCCTCTAGGGTAAGGATGGGATTGCTGACGGTAAGTGTGATTAAACACAACTTCGGAAGTCTACATATAAAGGACAAGACAGTGGCAATGCTCTATGGTGGTTTTCACATTATTAGCTATATTTCGTAGGTCAATGAATCGGGGGCAGAGTCATGGGCACTGAAAAGATGAACGTTCTTCGAGACCTACAACATTTAGCTCAATCGCCTCAGCTGGACAACTGGCTATGGAACATATCGGAGAACAAGATATATTGCAGCGAATCGCAATATATCTATGATGGAAACTCCCCATGGATTATCCTCTCTTAATAAAAACTGCCACCGTGGCGGAAGGGGGGAGGGAGGGGCACCTGGACGACCCCTCCAATGTGAGAAAGGTTGCACCCCACCAACACCAATCCAAAAGATCGACAAACTTGACCAAAAGTAGGAGAGAACAATCACGCGCGTTGAAGTTGCACCCACGCCCTCCAGTCCGAACCTGTCTCATCCTCTCTCTGCTACCCACCTCCGAATACACCACCCATCAATGGCAGAGACGCCAAAACATCTCGAGCCGTCCGCGCTCGGCACCCGCGAATAGTACAGTCCCCCCCCGGTGCAATCGTCGATAAGTACTAGCTCGACTGCAAAACCGAAAGAATAGGCTACAGGTGCTGATAACGCTCTTTTCTTCTTCTACAGCTGGGACAAGCTCTACACGACCGAAATCGCCAACCATGCCGCCAACCCCGACGACATTGGCACCGTCTGGTTCGACGACTCGGACGCCGAGGACAAGATGCTCGCCTTTCTCGCCCGCCTCGCCGGCTCCCCCGACGAGTCCGACTCTGAAGACGATGCAGAAGCCGCCGAGGATGCGCCGACGCCCACGTCCGCCACCGTCCTCTCCAAGGCCACCACGTCCTTTCTCGACCTCGGCTGCGGCAACGGCTCCATCCTCTTCGCCCTGCGCGCGCGCGGCTGGCGCGGCCCCCTCGTCGGCGTCGACTACAGCGCGCACTCGATCCGCCTCGCTACCCAGGTCGCCTCCGCGCGCGGCCTCTCCGACCACATCCGCTTTGCCGAGTGGGATCTCCTCCAGGGAACGCCCCTCCCCCCACCGCAGACAACGTTTGACGTTGTCCTCGACAAGGGCACCTTTGACGCCATCTCGCTCAGCGACGCCACGGATGCCCAGGGGCGTCGCGCCTGTGAGCGGTACAAGGCGCGTGTGCTGCCCCTACTCGCCGAGCGTGGCCTGTTTCTGATTACGAGCTGCAACTGGACGGAAGACGAGCTGCGTGGCTGGTTTGCGGGCGGGGACAGTGTCGACGGCGCCGCCCTGGAGGAGGCGGGACGGGTAAAGTACCGCTCGTTTAGCTTTGGAGGCGTCTCGGGTCAGACGATAAGTACCTTGTGTTTCCGTAAGATTTCGGCCCCGGCATCTTCCTCTACAGAGCAAGCTGAACCTGTACATACACGAATGCAAACATAGGTCGTACATCAATCACATCATATTGAGAATCTGTAAAAACCATCTATTCTATGCGCCTCATCAGTTTTACCAGCCCCAGAAGCCTGGTCGTCATCGCTATCGATACTCAAGTTTTGGTTTAAAATCAACATGTTTTTTGCTCATTAACTCTCTAAGGTGATGTATTCATAGGCTCGCCACCCGAAGCTGTCGCCTCGCCGGCCGCCGTCGTCGCGAAGTACCGCACGTCCACGTCGTCGTCCTTTTGCAGCTTGCCAAGGTTAGGCAGCACTCGCTCCTGAATCAGCTCCTGACCTCGGGGGGACGGCGCCGTCTCGGCACCCTCCTTCTCCAGAGAATGGATGGTGCCCGTCTCGGGAAGACGACGAAGCACTCCGATAATCACAGAGTATGTCTTGGCAACATTGAAGCGGATGTTGGGAATGTCGTCCTCAACCATGTTGTCTAGAATAGGCAGGATGGACTTGTCAATGACATCGATGCTCACAACGCTAGCGAGAGTCTATAAAACGTTAGTACTGAATCACGAAATAGAAAGATAATACTCACGGAAATGGCAAAGCACGTCGTCATTCTGTACAGGTAGTTGCTGTGCTGGCCCATCTCGATAACCTTCGGGATGATGGCCTCGTTGGCCCACTCGACGCCGAAGACTTCAGTGAGCTTCTTCAGGTTATGTGTAGCGGCCTCACGAATGGAAAAGACCGTGTCGCCAAGCCAGTCCATACAGAGGTTGCTGAGCTTCTCGTTGAAAAAATTGACACCCAATTGGCTGGCAAGCAGGGGGATGTACTCGATAATGGCGAGGCGTACTCTCCATTGCTTGTCCTCGGCAAGCTGAACAATGGCGGGGAGCAGAGACTGTGAAAGCAGGTCGATGCCAATAACTGGGGTTGATTAGCGGTGCTCGAGTAGCTATGAATTCCGTTACATACCTTGATTGACCTGCTCCAGCTTGGAGATGATGTGAAGCCTCACCTCAGGGAACTCGTCCTTCAGCATCAGAAGAAACATGGGCAGCAAGTGATCGATAGTTCTGACGGCCGTTAGCAAAGGACCGTGTGCTTGACAAGACAACCTACTCTTGCTTGCCCAGAATAGGGGCCAGGCCGCTGATTTGAGTACCAAGAGCAGCGCGCACGTGCTGTGACGTGTCGGACACGAGGTCCTCCACACTTGGCATAATATCTTTGAGGAGGACTTCGTGGTCAACTAGAGCGCAGAATCCGGGGATCTGGCCAGCAATGGCGGTGCGGACCTCGGCCTCGTTATCCTTCAGCAGCTTAACAAAAGCTGGAACCAAATCACGCGAAACAACCTCTTCGTCAACGGCCTTGGCAATCTGTAGTATGTTAGCGTCCTATCTCATTGTGGCGGTTGAAGTAGAGGTTGACCTTTTCGAATCTGTCCGCAATCATATATCTGACACGCCAGCTCTTGTCCTCTATCAAGTTTCGTAGCGATGTGAGGAGAACACCGTGGCTGGACTGTTGCTTGGCGGGAACGACTTCGGCAATGGCGATGAGAATCTCGACTGTCAAAAGTCTAACGCTGTCCTGATCGTCCTGAACGAGATGCTGGAAGAGGGGTATCATATCATCGACAACGATGGAAGCAGGCATCTCCCTCACGAACTTGGCCATGTTGGTCGCGGCCTGGCGACGGACCATGGGGGTCTCATCGTGTACGAGAAGACCAAACTGATTGCGAAGCTGTTCCTGGACCGGAGGCGAGACCTTTTTGTAGGGGGCTGTGAAGAGACCACAGCCCGACACTTTGGATGTGAACCAGTCGGCCTTGGCGAGACGGATGGTGAGGGGAATGAAGTATTCTTCGACCTGCTGGGGGTTGAGACCCTCGCAGATTTTGTTGAGAGACTCGACGGCCTGTGCTTGGATTAGTATGATCGCGGGGCAGCGCGCTGAGTATGCCGGTTTTCGGCGTTCGTACCTTGTCGCGGACGACGGGCTCTTCGATGGCTGCGAGATTCTCCAGGGGAGAGAGAATAACATGAGCCCACTGGGGACCGCCAACGTACTCGGTGAAGCTACCAAGTTCTTCGCTCAGAGCGACCAGTACTTCGTCCTCATCCTCGACCGATTCTGACGTGCCAGATTAGCGATACTGTTTGGGGGGAGAAGGGAGTTGCAAAGCCGGCGCAGGCGTGGGTGGGCTAACCATCGAGAAAAGGGATCAACTCCTCACGGGTGCGCTCGGGACCAAGAGCTAGGGCGATGGTGGAGAGACGGTGGATGGCATTGAGGCGGAGGAGAACGTCGTCATGCTGGGCCTAAAGTCAACAGAGGGGTCGCGAGGATGGGGGTAAAAACAGGAACAGGTGGCGGTCATACCTTGAGCTCGTCGATGAGGACGGCGATGGGGTAGAGCTCGTCGTTTGGGTTTGGCGCGTCAGCCATGGCGAATTATGATGGGAGGCGGCGCGTCGCTCAAGCTGGGGGTAGAAGAAGTTGCGTCGTCGTGAAGGTTGTCGACGACGGTTGGACTGGCGGCTGCTATGTGCGGTGGAGGAGAAGGTGGGCGGTGGATCGCGCGTGCCTAGTTGATGCGATTGGCAGAGCGGCGCAAGTCGGCGGCAACAGGCAGAGGCGAGGGGGAAAACGGTAGGCGACGATGGAAGATGCCTTTACGAGATGAGGAGTGAAAGATTGCAGCAGCTTGATGACGGAGCAAGCCACAAAATGAGACAAAGACGAGGTCAAGGGCAATGTTGTTTGTAGGCCTTGGTTGAACTAGCTCTGGTGGCCGCGAGAGCACGAGCCTGCGGAGCAACAAGGGTGACGGGCGGTTGCTGGTCGGGTTGACTGATTGAGAGATTGTTGTGGCTGGAGCCGGGACACCCACAGTCCTTGGGGTTTTAGGGGGAGGTGCCCTGTAACATGTAGGCGGGGCGATACTGCCAGCGCCCAAGCTTGAAGCTGCCAGGCCGCCCCCGTTTGCTTGTATCAAACGCTGGAGCCCAACAACCTGGCGGCTGGACCATCTATATTCCGATTTCAACCCCGCCGTGTTAGCGAGGAACCTTGTTTCCGCAGTCTTCTGCTAGCAAGCCAAGGTCCATGTGGATCTACCCGCCAGAATTCTACTGCACCCCTCCAAGACCACGCAAATTTCCTGTGACTCAATCGCAACGGGTTCCTGTAGTAGACCCATCCCGACTTTTACTGGCTGTACTGCCCGCTCGCAGATCAACCTCAACACCACCCATATACCCCTTCCGGAGAGGCATTGAGGACTTTCTCTCACCATGCCGACCATCTCCGTAGACAAGTACAAGCTCTTTGAGGCTCTCGGTCGCAAGTACGCCGCGCTCCCCCAGCTGCCCCTCGCTTCACCCCGCCACGCACGACCGAGCTAACCCGACCGTGTCCCTCCGCACTCCAGGTACACCCGCGAAGAATTTGAGGATCTCTGTTTCGACTATGGCATCGAGCTTGACGAGGACACCGAGGATGATGAGCGTCCCATCGTCGACGGCAAGCAGGAGCCGCCACAACTAAAGATTGAGATCCCCGCCAACCGCTACGACATGCTCTGCTTCGAAGGTATCGCCCTCAACCTTAACATCTTCCTCGGCCGCACACAACCGCCCAACTTTCGCATCGTCGAGCCCAAGGACGCCGAGCAGCAAGTCATTACCGTGCTTCCCGAGACCCTCAAGGTCCGCCCCTACGTCGCCGGCGCCGTGCTCCGCAACATCAAGTTCACCCAGGACCGCTACGACTCCTTCATTGCGCTGCAAGACAAGCTGCACCAGAACCTCGCCCGTAACCGAACCCTCGTCTCCATGGGCACCCACGATCTCGACACCGTCAAAGGCCCCTTCACGTACGAGGCTCTACCGCCCAAGGATATCAAGTTCAAGCCGCTCAACCAGACCCAGGAGATGAACGCCGAGGAGCTCATGACCTTCTACGAAACGGATAAGCACCTGGGCCGCTTCCTGCATATTATCCGCGATGCGCCCGTATACCCCGTCATCTACGATGCCAATCGCGTCGTCTGCTCCCTCCCGCCCATCATCAACGGCGAGCACTCCAAAATCACCCTCAACACCACAACCGTCTTCATCGAGATCACCGCCACCGACCTGACCAAGCTTGGCATCGTTACCAACATGCTCGTCACCATGTTCTCCATGTATTGCGCCGAGCCCTTCACCGTGGAGCCCGTCAAGATTGTTTCCGACCACAACAACCTCACCCGCGTCACACCTTCCCTTCGACCTCGCGAAACCACGGCCGAAGTTGACTACCTCAACAGCTGCACTGGCCTCGACAAGTCCCCCCAGGAGCTCTGCGACCTCCTCACCAAGATGGCCTACGTATCCAAGCCCTCCAGCAAGGACGCGAACATCATCGAAGTTGCCATCCCCCCCACACGCGCTGATATCCTGCACCAGTGCGACATCATGGAGGATCTCGCCGTCTGCTACGGCTACAATAACCTCCCTCGCACAAAGCCCAACCGCAGCGCCACCGTTGGCGGTCCCCTCCCCGTCAACAAGCTCGGCGATCTTGTGCGTATGGAGGCCGCCATGGCTGGCTGGTCCGAGGTCATGCCCCTCATCCTCTGCAGCCACGACGAGAACTTCGCCTGGCTAAACCGCAAGGACGACGGCAACACCGTCGTGCGCCTCGCCAACCCCAAAACGCTCGAGTACCAGATCGCCCGATCCTCACTGCTGCCCGGCCTCCTCAAGACCATCAGGGAGAACAAGGGCCACAGCGTTCCTATGCGCATCTTTGAGGTCGCCGACGTCGTCTTCAAGGACGAGCGCGAGGAGCGCAAGGCCCGCAACGAGCGCCACTTCGCCGCCGCCTGGTGCGGCAAGACCTCGGGCTTCGAGGCTGTTCACGGTCTCCTCGACCGCGTCCTCCTCATGCTCCGCACCTCCTTCCTCACCGACGGCACCGACACCCCTGGCACCCCCGACGGCTACTGGATCGAGGAGCTCAACGAGGAGACCTTCTTCCCCGGCCACGCCGCCGCCGTTCACCTGCGCCTAGGCGGTAAGGAGGCTCGCATTGGCGAGTTTGGCATCCTGCACCCGACCGTCCTGGAAAAGTTTGACCTGAGGTATGTTTTGTCCCCCGTTTGTCTCATATCATGCGTCGCCCACTAACCGCCCTCGCCACGTAGATATGCGGTCAGCACCCTGGAGATAAACCTCGAAGCTTTCCTATAAATCATCAAATAAGAGGTTGCAATAAAGTAAAAAAGCGAAAAATGGAATACATGAAAAAAGGCGCATTTCAAGCATCTGGAACGAGGGAGAACCAATAAACTATAGTGCATTTAGAGCTTGCTCTCGAACAGAACATCATTGCAAAGGGTGTGTGAGGCACGCTGGAAAATTCAAATCGGATGCCGGATAAATTACTATATCGCCTGTACGGTACGCCACGCCATGTCTATCTCTCACCACCCATGAACCTCGCCCAGCTTTGGAAACACCGTTTAAAAATAGAATCGAAGCCCACCGCATCGCTGTCTCCAAAGTCTAAGTGATTTTTCCAAACATGCTGCTTCCACTTCACCACATGTTTTGCGTCGTATACTGTGCGAACCCCATCGCCGAGCGCGGCCTTTGGCACGGCTCTCCTGTGGCTTCGGCTGCGGCTGCCTCGCCCTCCACCCCGCCATCAACGGCCTCGGCCTGCGTCGCCCGTGACGGTTTCATCTCCGTAACCGAGGGCCGCATGAGTCCGGCCACTGACTTGGACCGCTGCGGGTACGGCGAGGTATGCACCGGTTGGGGTAGGGTCGGCTCGTGCAGTCGCACTAGCTCCCACATGCCATTGGTGTATTCGACGGCCGAGGCAAGACTGGACAAGGACTGGATAGAGGGCGAGTGAATCAACGGGTTGGCGTAGTGCTGAGTGTTTTCTGTATGTATGATTGTATACGGCGGGTCATAGTCTGTTGGAAACATGACCTCCTACGTCATCTCCTGCATTTCTTGTTCTGGTTTCGGGTTGGACGCGGACGAGGCTGCCTCCTCTGCTGGCGTGGCACTTGCAAATACACTTTTCCCAATGTTGATGTTCGCGATGCCATCACGAAGCGCCGCAAAGGCGCCGGCGCTCAGGCCTGCGCTCGTACCCATGCCCTCCGCCGAGACACTGCGTTTAAGTGAAGGATTCGACGGCGGCGTGAGCGTCTGGTGAGCGGTTTCCACTGCAGTCAAGACCGATTGACTTGTGGTGAGGCTTGGGGGCTTTGAATTCAGCGAGGGCGTCCCCGAGTTGTGGAGTCGCGAGACGGCCGCCTGCCTCTCACTCTCGCTCAGGGCGAAAGCGTCGAGGGTAGCATTCATCTCATCGTCAGTACGGCCAAAAGCTTGGTACCACCAACGGATGTCCTTGAGTCGGGGAAGGATAATGCGTTCTTTGCCTATGACGTGGTCATCGATAGTAGGGTCGTAATCGGGGTTGGTAAATTCTTGCTTTCGGCACAGGAAGTAGTCCCAAACGGACGAGGTCCGCTCCATGACTCTGGCGTCGACACGCTGCTTCTCCGAGTTATACAGAAAGGTGCCGTACTGGCAAGAATATAGGTGGTAGAGTAGGCGTCGTAGGAACCTCTCATTGTACTCGAATCGATCCTTATACTGACGAATGAGCTGGTAGGTGCAGTCCAAGAACTGATGAAAGACTGGGCTGACCATTTTGGGCGTCGTAGCCTCTTCGTTTACCACTTTGCCAGATGCCGCTTCACTAGCTACGTCTGGCTCATCCTCATCTTTATTTGGGTTGAAGAAACGCTTTGCGCCGCTAATGACGTTTTGGAAAGCGTCGGTGCGGCCATCATTCTCGCCCGGGTTCACTTTGGTGCCAGCAAAGGCGTCCCGCTGCACTGAGAACCAATCATCGTGATTGAGGTGTCCAGAACGTAATCGGAACATGTGACCAAAAGACATCCAATCCTTTTCGACCAGTACCACGAAGCCCTCGATTGTTCGGTAGTACGGATCAAGCATGATTTGTGAAAGCGCGCTCAACTGACTTGTACGATCCCAGCCGTCGGAACAGTGTATCAATACATGAGAGTGATTGATACCGACCTGACGAGTAATGATAGCGGAGCCAGCGAGGACGTCGTGTATATGCTTGAGCCAATTACTCTGCTGTAACAGCTCCCTGTTTGGGGGGAGAGGAGATATATCGGCATCTTTGAGGGCTTCGACCACCTTGTTGAGGGAGCTGCGCATGACGTGGATATTCTCAATGCTAAGGAAAATCTTGGTCGCAAACTTGTACTTGTCCATGTTCTCTGAACCCATACCTTGAACCTGATTCAAGACGGCATTGATCGTTGGCCGAGCATCAACAATCAAGTTGCTCTGCTGAGCACCATACACAAGTCTCTTGCCAGTCTTCTCATCATACATGAGGACAGATTGTGCAATCATCTCATCCTCAAATTTATCCGATTCGCTCAGCTCCGGAGCTTGGCTAGAGCCCGCGCTTGAAACATCCAGCTGACTAGACATGGGCGTGCCGCTCTCTGAGCCACCAGACACAGAAACGGAGAATGAAGCAGCGACTAGCTTTTCATCCTGCACGTTTGTCTTTCTAGTGATACCTGACAAGGGCTGCGAGCTTCTTGTAATGGTGCAGTTGTTGACGGGATGAATGTACGATAGAGTCGGTATGCGGCATCTCGAGCGAAAGTCCTTGGCGTATTTCAGGACATTATCCGATATCTTGGACGGAACGACCAAGACTGCTGGGTATGTATCGCAGAATGTGTAGTCCTTGTTGATGTTGGTGATCCGCCAGCCCTTGTCAGGCAGCTTCTCGCTGATGCCCTGTCGCCTAAACTCGGCTCTGGGGTCATATATGTGCCAGCCATCGACCTCACGCTCATTCCGGAGAGGCTTGTGCGCAAAGGCAAAGAGCCTCTCCACGGTGCCAAGCTTGCATGTGCGGACCTTGATAAACTCAAAGACCTCCCTGGCCGCTTCACTGTTCGCAAAGTTGAATGTGATGAACGTAAAGTCGCGACAGCGAATTCGGATGGACGAGGCCTGCCTAGAGCCCGGCGGTGTCGGCCGAAAGGTACAGTGACTGAAAATGGGAAATGTGAGCCATCGCTCTCGCGTTTTGGGCGGCGCGGCGGGCGTTGCCTTGGTCAGCTCGGCAGGAGGGCTAATCGGCGCGCAAAACACTATGTGGTAGTCGGTTAGGCGGAGAGTGCCATTCGTCGTCTGTCCGCCGTTGATCCCCTGTACATTCTCGATGATCTGGTACAGTTAGATTGGAATGAGCGTGGCTCAGCTCGGGAAGCTGACCTTTTTGGCTTCCATGCTGGCCAAGATGCCCGGGCTCCGGACCACCCGACAACTGTCAGACGCTCGCTTCCGTTTTCAGAGAGACAGCCGCATAAGGCAACAGACTACCCGACGCCCAAATTTTCTTCTCTTTCTCGTGATTAAGCTGGGAGGTTTATGGCGCGGTGAAGCTGCGTGGCGGCGCTGAGGATACCGAGAGGGGTATATATTGAGATTTTGCTGGGGGTGGCTGTCACACTGTGTAGAGATGAAGACAGGAGGTGAAGCTCTGTACACTAATCGATACAGCACTAGCCGCCACAGACGTGGTGTTGACCGTCTGCGATGGAGCTAGGAATGGCTACTTGTATGGCGAGCTGCCTGGGATGACGATGCGATGCTGGCTTGGGGTGCTGGCACGCGCCAGCCTGGTAGCTTCAAGGCGGGGCAGAGAGTAACGTCAGGCGCGAGCCAATGCGCTGGCAACGGGTGAAAGGGAATGAAGGATTGAGCGCTAATTTGACAACTTGCAAGAGCCACGCTTAGTAAACTCGATTTTTGCAAAATTAAATATACTTTTACAAGCACGTATTGCATCACAACTAGCTCTTCATTTTACCCTTATTCCCTGACGCACTGGTTATGGACCTGATGAGCCAATCTGCATCTGTCAAGCTTTAAAGCTCCACTATCCCAGTCTGGACATCGGGACGTCGGCGAAACTGTTAATCCTCGATGACCCTGGGCGGGTCCACAGAATGGGCAAACGGCGGCGCAGGTGGGCGGACACTGGCGATTAGGGCTCAACCCACAACAAAAATTATTCGTTGCGATAGCGCGGGACGCAGGCGAAACCACCACCCAAGGCGGAGACCACCACCTTGCTCTGAATTCGCGATCCCACCCTCTCGTCCTCCTCGTCCTACCCGCCGTATAATTGTTCGAGTCGATCAAGCCGAATACCCCCCCAAAATCAATCAACATGGCTCACCCTGGTGCTCAGATGTGAGTCTAATTTTCCACGCCTCTATGTTGTGTCTCGCGCCAGACTCGACCGCCGTCGTCTCTCTCGAACTCGAAGCCGTTTTGCATGGAACCGTTGAGCTGCTTGCTGGGAATACTGTGTGCGCATGTGTCGCTAAAATTTGGAAACTGGACGACAAAGCAAACCTGCCACGACGCGGTGGGAGTTTTGCCCAATATCTACGACGACAGACCAACTACACACTCCACGAAAGCGACGACGCATCTTCATCTTCGAGAGAGACGACGACGCAACTTCTGGCCACAGCAGATACCCACGATCGGCCACAATGGACAAATGCTAACCAAAAAAATTTCACAGCTCCAAGCGGAGAAAGTTCGTCGCTGACGGTGTCTTCTACGCCGAGCTCAACGAGTTCTTCCAGCGCGAGCTCGCCGAGGAGGGCTACTCCGGCGTCGAGGTGCGCGTCACCCCGACCGTGACCGACATCATCATCCGCGCCACGCAGACCCAAGAAGTGCTCGGCGAGCAGGGCCGCCGCATCCGCGAGCTGACCTCGCTCATCCAGAAGCGCTTCAAGTTCCCCGAAAACTCCGTCTCGCTCTACGCCGCCAAGGTGCAGAACCGCGGCCTGTCCGCCGTCGCCCAGTGCGAGTCGCTGCGCTACAAGCTGCTCAACGGCCTCGCCGTCCGCCGCGCCTGCTACGGTGTGCTCCGCTTCATCATGGAGTCGGACGCCAAGGGCTGCGAGGTTGTCGTCTCGGGCAAGCTCCGCGCCGCCCGCGCCAAGTCGATGAAGTTCACCGACGGCTTCATGATCCACTCGGGTCAGCCCAAGAACGACTTCATCGACTCGGCCACCCGCCACGTCCTCCTCCGCCAGGGTGTCCTCGGCATCAAGGTCAAGATCATGCGCGGCTCCGACCCCGAGGGCAAGGCCGGCCCCCAAAAGACGCTCCCCGACGCCGTCACCATCATCGACCCCAAGGAGGAGCAGCCCGTTCTCCAGCCCATGAGCCAGGACTACGGCGCCAAGGCTGCCGCCGCCGCCGCCGCCAGCCAGGACGCCCGCGTCGCTGAGGAGGCTGAGGAGGCCGAGGAGGCCGAGCAATAAATGCCTGGACGGAGCGGTGATTGGCTCTGCCCTGCTTTCGTTAATGACTGTTATCACGGGTTTTCTTTTTTTTTCTTCGGAAGGGTGCAAGGCAAAAAAAAGTATTTGCTGCAGTGGATGAAAAGATGGCGAGTCTTTCGGGCGTCAACATTCTAAAAGAACCATTTACATCTTGTTCGGTTTCATCTGTTCTGTGTTGGTAGGAGAAACCATAGAGAAGAAACGAGACCCCATGAATCTATAGTTCTGCTACTACTCCGTGATACCTCAACCTCGGCACCTGTAGGCTCCTCCCTCTGCATAGCCGACCCGGACGAGGGAGCGTGGCAGTTCATTCTCGTACATGTGTCACCTCGAATGAGCAGTGCTATAAAATGTCACAACCGGTTGAGAAGGATATGATGTTGATTACCTGTCTATCTACATTGCGAAAATCGGCAAATGCTCCGCCAGGTTCCATCCCTGTACATATCAACAAAAAAAAATGCCATCAAAGGCTACTTTTCCGTGCACGACGCACGTCTAATGGCGTGAGCACTTCTCCCCGTCGTCCATGTATGCAGGTAAAACAAAAAGTGGAAATATCGTACAAGTAGATGGGAGCTTACAGAAGCCCGCAGTCTCGGCATAAAACAAACCCTCCGTCCGGTCTTCGCAGTAAAACAAAACCCCCAAACAAATAATTGTTGAAAACGCCTTGGAACAAGTTTCCTTTCCCTGTCACTCCGTTTCTTTCGTACTGTTGACGTGCATAAACCCAACCTTAATCAAGCACACAAAAACACATTGGCGAAGTCGTGTCCGCGCCATCGTAATAATGCTCCGAGAAACATGTCTCTGTTCTCAAGACCAGAACAATGAGACGAGCCAAACGTAAACGCCTGCGGGGAATATATCCCCGCCGGCTGGGCATTGGCGGGCAGAACCAAACCCCAGTCAGCTACCAAAAAGAAATTCATTTCATCTTAATCGTGGAATATCTGGTATTGTCCTGACCCTATCGCGCCGAGGACTGTCGGCTCTGAAGCTCAATGGTGTCTTGCTCCTTATTTCGGCTGGCGCGACCATTGCCATTGGGCCGGCGATGACCCTCATCCTCGCTCTCCTCGGTCAAATCGGTCAAACCAAAACCGGCAGCCTCTTCCTCATCGTACGCGCGGATCAGGCCGTCACGGTCACCGTGGGCGCTGCTAATGCTGTGGCGTGACGGATCGCCGCTGCGGCGAGCCTGCATACTACGACGAGTCTGGAAGCTGGAAACCATGTCGGTAGGAGTGGCGTCGTAGCCGGTATGCGCACCAGCAATCTTTTGGCCGTTGGGGTCGCCTCTTGAGAGGTTGAGGAGGTATACACCAGCAAAGATGATGAGGAAGCCGCAAAGTAGCGAAACAGTGTTGACAGGGTCGGTCGTGTTGAAGCCACTGAACAGGATGAATGAGGCGCAAAGAGTGGCAGTCGTAAAGGTGACATAGTAAAGAGGGTTGACACTAAAGCAAGGTGTTAGCTGGGGAACCATGAATAGTTAGCGACGATGCCTACATATTGCTCGGGAAGCAGGCCAGTGCCTTGTTGAAGTAATTCATCTGGGTGACGATGCAGAGTGTAGTCAAAATCATAAAGACGTAGGTTGAAGGATGACTGAACTGGTTGTTGCCAGCAAAGGTAATCTTGAGAGCGATGCCGAAAGCTTTGGCGGACATGACGGAAATAGAGCCGACTGTCGAGCAGATAGAGAGATAGATAAGAGCATTCTTCTTGCCGTACAGTGGTGCAACTCGGTAGATCATGAAGACGGCGAATGCGACAACGGCGACGGCGTAAAGAAGGAAGCCTAGGGATGGCCGTTAGAGAGGATTCAGGGCTTCTCAAGCAGGTAGTGAGTGGATGGCATACCAGGCTGCACAGCATAGTGGAGAATCTGATCAATAGTCTCAATCTCCTCGTCGGGTGGCGCATGGAGAACAATGACGACAGCGCCAATCAAGCAGATGGCGCTTCCCAGCTTGCCTAGAATACCGAGCTCTTCCTTGAGGAAGTATGAGCCGAGAACGGCACCAATGAGAACTGAGAGGGCGCCGAGAGGGGTGACTAGAATGGCTGGCGCAAAGGCATAGGCAGCAAAATTGCAAATCTCGCCGATACCGACTGTAGAAGGGATTAGTTTTCTGATTTCCAGGGCAGGGCGGAAGGGCGAGACTGACGAGTTGCGATACCGGCCCACCAAAGGGGGTTGCGCAGGTAGACGTAGCCATCGCCTTCGAAGCCATGTTTTTCTTCGACTTGCATCAAACCCTGCATCTGTGTATTAGTCGCCGAGCGAAAGGCAGGAGAGGACGGTGGATGTGGTGTGATTCGGACGCACCTTTTTGGTGATGACGAAACTCGTGCCTGGTAAGAGAATAACCGGTTAGCTGCGTTTCAATTTGCTGTCAGAGATGAGCATACCAATGGCCAGGGCCGATGAAACGGCCAAAGAGAGGCCGATATACCTAGAAAGAAAGTCATTAGTCGAGAAGTCGGGTCGCGAAAAGGTCCGAGACAACGCACTTGTCCTCAATCATGGTGTCCGCTGTTCAACCAAAGTCGCGGCCAAACAGCAAGATCCAGATGGAGCGTCGCAAACCAAGCGAAAAGGCTCGGTTACCCCACAATAGTCCTTACGACAGCCAAGGGCGTACGATCTGCCGGCTAGAGGGACAATGGTGCTGGCCGACGGGCGACCGAAGCGATGACCAAGTACGTTGAGCCGGAGTGAGTACGAAGGTGTCGGAGTCTAGTTTATGCAAGAGCCCGGCGCATGCAAAAGGATGATCGTAAATTCTAGAAGATGGAAATCGAGAACAAGGACTGTCTGGGTGGGAGAAGACGTATTTCGAACGATTTGCTGATCTGTGGTCGGGTTTCCAGGAGCCGTACCAGCGCGCGCGCGTAACGTCGATTGGGGGGAGCGTAAAACGAAGGGATTGATTGGCAAGCGAACGAGCGAGCCTGACCTTGCTTCAAGGTATGCGCGACGCGACGAAACCGAATACAAAGTCGGAAAAAGAGAGAAAAAAACAAGTCGACGCCGCAAACAGGGGCAAGATGGATGGAAAGGTGGCGTTAGAAAGTCGTGCTCGGTTCGGGATGCGTTGAGGGTTGAGGGGGGGGGGGCGCGCGAGCAGAAGACAGAGTAGAGCGGAAGAGGGCGAGAGGAGAGAAGCTTTGGTGGCTGACTGATGATGTGGCATGGACGGAATAATAATGGGTTTGGATGGGCTTTGGAGGTTGAGGTGGGGAGCATTGGCGGGCTTCAGGGCAGTTGGGGGAGTTGGGGGCACTATTTTGGGGGTTTAGGAGGGTCGGTTAGAGGGCGCAGCCGCTAAAGAAAAGTCCTTTTACGGGCCACTGAAAGAAAGCCAGTGAACACAGACAGCCCGAGCCCCAAGGCTACCAGGTAGCCCTTGGTGCATCTAGGTAGCCTTTCCGTCTTTCCACCACATCTTCCTCTCATACTGATAGTGCAAACTTAGGTAGCTGAGTAGGTACCTATCAACGTCTGTCCCAAATTCTCAACATGAACATTGGTGCGGCCATGCCGCCCCATGCCAGAAGTATCCGGTCGCTAGCCGCCGCGCAGGGTCCCCTCCGAAAAGGCTCCCGAGTCCGTCCCCGCCACATGCACCGAGGCTGCGAGTGATGGCACAGCCTCCCATTCTTGTCTACTGGTGTTACAAGAAGCGTGGCTTTGACAGGAACCATTGTCGTGAAAAAATTCCCGGATTCGATCGCTCTGCAGTGAAACATCTGGAATGAGAGCATCAGGGTACCAGCTTCACGCAATACCAACACTGCATCAACGGCAAACTGTTCCGGGGCCAAGCCGTTCGTGATAAGGGGGGGCCTGTGGCTGTACCAACCGATGGACAGGTACCCGAGCAGCGCCCACCAGGCCTCGCCTACCTACCTATGTAGGTACATATCTAAGTAAGTTAGTATGAGTAGCATTATTAGAGAGCAACGCGCGTCACCACCTGAACCAAAGAAAGAAACAAAGAAAAGAAAGGCCGGCTCGGCTCCGCTGTTAGGACATTAAACTCTGTACTGCTAGATCCAGCGCCAACGAAAAGGATTGCATTCTTCATTCTTCATTTTTCATTCTTCATTTTTCATTCTTCATTTTTCATTCTTCATTCTTCATTTTTCATTCTTCATTTTTCATTCTTCATTTTTCATTCTTCATTTTTCATTCTTCATTCTTCATTCTTCATCCGCCTGTCCCGCCCTTGTGACGGCCCGGGCTCTGACGTTGCTGTTTCAAACGAGTACCAGTCTGGATACGACACCCCCCTTGTTGTTCATCCCTACTAGTAGCATGTTGCCCAGTAGGGATACCAGTAAAGCAATGAACCAAGTCGTTCATCACGCTCACTTCACTTCAACAAGGCTGTTCATGCACAGAATCATTCGAGAGGCATATCAAGACCGACCCTACATAGGTAGTGACATCACAAGCCAACCTAACCTGGCTCGGTCCAACTTTCATCCCAGCTGAGCAGCCAAGTAGTTGTCGTTATTAGTTCCTTTGGCCTTCATCTTGTCACCTATTATTAGTACTACCGAACTACTTATTAACCGCCCAAGATACAACAACCGAAGCAGCTCCATTCTCCACAGAGTTTCAGAATCTCCCTGACTAGTTGTCCCAGATCCACATGAGACACGTTGCGACTCTCAGCCGAGGCCCCCTGCTTCTCTACTCAATCAGTATTTTAGCGACTGGGTGGGCGAATTATAACTATGTACAAATTATAATAAGGCGTATTCGTACGGAGTAGTTCACGCTCTGTTACGGATGCAAGGCCGAGCTATCGTCATAAATTTATTATGCGGCAATGTTCTTTCTTCCAACCAATGCATCAATCGTCGATCCCATGCAGGCTCCCTCAATATCCAATATACGCCGAACCGTAAATGAGCAAATATATGCCACGGATGTTACACATGCCACGTGGAATACTGCTTGGCCCTGTCCGCTCCTTGTGTGACATAATAATACTAATAATACATAGATGCAGCCATTCCACACAACACTGCACCACCAGTTCCATGCCCATTACTCCGAAGTTTATAGAAATACAGAGAAAATGTTTCTATACATGTCCTAAGCGATAGGATCAACCCCCGACGCATCCACAAAGTCCCGAATCTGCTCGTAGCTGCGGCACTTGTGATGCACGTGAAAGTCCGCCGCGCTGGTGTTGAGCGTCCCGTCCTCGGTCCGGAGCAGCATTGGCGTCGCGTCGCCCAAGCACATGAGCGATAGCCGCAGCGTCTCGACGCAGTGGTCGACGTGCGCGCGGCCCAAGCTCTCCGAGACGTTCATCGGCTGGAGCGCCTCGCCCCAGCTCGCGTTGTACACGCGAATGGGCCAGGTTGCTTGGCGTATAATGTTCTGCGTGGCCAGTATAAGCAAGATGCAGGAATAATTAGAGACATGGGCTGGGAGCTCACGAGACAATGCAGCTGGTGAAACATTTCCACCAGGGCATAATATTCGGGCTCTGCTGCCGTGCTCCTGTTGGTTTGTAGATATTTGCCCTGAGTCTTGTTCAAGGCGACGAGGCCCTGCTTTGACACGCCAACTCCTTGATCTGCAAAATTTCCCCAATCAGTGATATTCGCGCGGGTAAATGGAAGATTGATGCGACATACGATGCCACAGATCATCCCATGCTTGCTCTAGGTCCCTCGTCGGCGGACCGCGATAGATGCTTTCACGCATAAAACCATTTTCGAAATTACCTTCCCAAAAATCCAATGAAGACAACACGGGTGCTATATACCCAATAACAAACTGTAAGTCATGGCTGACGGCGCATTGATGGGGCGTGGCCACGCGGCAAGTACGACTCACAATAAGAAGATGTTGCTTTGGCACATTCTACCTCTGACGGCACACCCTTGGACCCTGAAAGCCAGAAAAGCGCCGTGACGATGAACAAGCCCGCATTGGCCGCCACGAAGATCCAATCAGCCCTTGTCCGCGGCGCCAGGAACACCGACTGCGGCGGCGGCGGCCGGCGATACTGCACACCACCTTCGTCAATATCGAGGGGCTCGTAGCGCGTGCTCCCGCCTGCCATGGTCAAACCCGGGCCACGACCCTGTCTTGCGGAGAGACAGATTCGACTCAGATCTCGAACCAAACGTATCCCGATATATGGCGGAACGTAGCCAAAAAAAAAAAAAGAAAGCAAAGTCAAGGGGGTGAGACGGGACAGAAGGACCAAAAAGCTGACAGATAATAAGTTGCTAGCGATTAAATAGGCGATTGGCCCACACCCCCTGTTGCATGTAGTTTCGCGTAGTCGTGTACGCGACTAATAGACGACCCCGACTTATACAAAGCTTCTCGACGTTGAGAAAACACTGCGCAGTATGATATTTCTTGATCCTTGCCTGCCTCTGGCACCCCCCAATCACGTTATCGCGTTGGCATCTGCAGCGCAGACTCGGCCAGCCCATCGGGCATGAATCGCCTACCCCGCGGCCACTCAGGTGCCCAGCTTTACTCAGCTGTGTGTCACCGAGCTTTCTTCCCATGTTAGCCCAGCTGGGCCTTCATCCCGCCGACCCCTTCGCGCCGCCGCATTCACCGTACGCACACACCCTCATAACCCCCGTTGCCGAATCCACCACACAACCCGCTCCCACCCATCCCGTCTCGCTCCCTGGGCACGCGCCGACCCGCCCCCCCATCCAGAAAAACCAAACGCGCGCGCCATGTCTCTCGAGCAGGCCGCCCGCGACCTCGCCGAGGCCGTCAGCGGCATCGACTACGACGGCGCCGCCGTGCACAAATGCCGCGTCGCCCTCCACGGCGGCATGGCCACCGCCCGCCCCGATGAGCTCGCCGCCGCGCTGCAGATCCTCGTCGACCGCCTCGCCGCCGCGCACGTCGACGACGCCGACGGCGTGGCCTTTGCCGCGCTCACGGCCGGCGCCCTCGTCGAGACGGGCTCCCCCGTCGCGCCCCTCGCCCAGGTGCTCCTCGCCAAGGTCCCCGCGTTCCTCGCCAAGGTCCCCGCGTTCCTCGTCGCCGCCCGCCGCTTCGCCGACCTGTGCCTCGCCGACCTGCCCTCCGCCGCCGAGGAGGAGGCCAACCCGCCGCCCGAGGACCAGGTGCTCACCGAGATCGACGGCCGCCGCATCACCCACTACGTCTTTCGCAGCCACGTGCCCGAAGACCGCGGCGGCGCGTCCGCGCTCGCCCTGCTGCAGCCGTGGACCCTCCCCGCCGTCGCCGCGCTGTCCCGCGACCGCGACGCCCTGCGCGCCGCCGCCGCCCCCGACAGTGCCCTGCGCCGCGCCGCGCTCACCCTGACGCAGTCGCACGCCCAGTGGCTCGCCATCCTGCTCGGCGCCCAGCTCGACGCACCGTGGCTGGTGCTATGCCCGAGGGAGCGGCGTGGCTTCCGCGTCGTCGTCGACGGCGTCGTGAGCAACTACGATCTACACGCGCTCGTGGGCGATGTGCTCGTCGAGCGCGGCCTGCCGGGCAACCGCAACCCGGCCGAGCTTATTGCGTACATCAAGGGTGAGTCGCCCGCCCGCGGCGACGTCGAGTCCGTCCGCAGCCAGTTTCAGTTTTACGAGTGGCCGGCTGCCGCGTACGATTGGGCCGGCGGTGACGACGACGCGCACGCGCACCCTGCGGACTACCACGTTAGAGGCGAGGGGATTCCCAGCGACGTGTCCCGCTTCCGGGATCTGCCGACGCTGATTGTCGGCCCGCAGGCCATTGAGCGCTCGTGGAACAACCCTCGGACGTTTGGGGGGCTACAATGCAGCGTAAGCGTCACAGAAGAGATCGGCGAGGACGAGTTGGCTTCCTTGCTGGCGGAAATGAAGGCGGCAGCGCCGCCGGTCGAATGAGTAGAAAAGCAAAGGGGTTAATACAGAACCGTGGACATGATATGATGCCACTGGACACGGGAATCATTTTTTAGGGGCAAGTCTTTTTAACAAAGTACATTGTACTTGTGTATTCAACTCATCCGACACAATATGCATGTTCGTCAGAGAGCCTATATAGGATCCAGTACAGAGTATCTTTGTACTAACAGAGGACGGCCCAGCCCGACGCGCCCAACTGTCGAAAGGTAGTCGGCAAGAAAAAAAAGGAGTAGGCTAGATTTCGCTTCCACAAAACTGCCCAGCCGCTAGATTCAAGGTTACAAATCCATCCAACGCCAGAGTCCCAATCGTTCTTGTGATTCTTCTCCAGGTCGAAACAACGCAATACATCACCTGCGGTCTGTGAAGAGAATGTATCCCGCCATGGACCCGGCTATTGAAATCAAAATCCAGTGCAAATAAGAAAAAGACCTCGCCCCCAAAACAAGCTACTAAGTGACATCGCAGTCATGCGACTCCGAACGGGGTTGGGGTATAGTAAAAAAGGCAATAGGCATGTTACTGTTGTCGTGTCGTGATATAGCAACAAGGTAAAGAAAAACTGCTGTCCTCTGGGTTAGTAGTGGCCGACTGGCCTATCACTTTACCTGTCGCTCTTCTCGTCAAGCTTTCGTGGATTGTTAGAAGACGCATGTTTTTGATCCTCGACGTGGCTTCATGCTGCTTTGCTCCGAAATTTCCGAAGATGCCACGGGCGGCGTATTGCTGGAATACTGTTGGTTAGTAAAGACATGGATTTAGGATCGTCGACGTTTAAAATCTACTCTCGAGTTAGCAGGCGCGCAGAGAATCCAAGACAGAGCTAAATCTCACTTACCAATTTCGTCATCCACATCAGGTTCGTCATTGTCATCACGCGGCCGCTTGCCGGTTACTGAACTCCCATCGCCAACTAGTTCACTTTCATCCTCGTCTCGCCAATCAATCTCAGCATCTTCGTTTGCCTCAGTGACAAACACAGGGTCGTCCGCCTCCGCGTCGACCGCAGTTTCATCGTCAGCAAGAGCAGTGCCGTCAGCGTCGCCCTGAAGCGTGCTAGTTGTACTGCTGTGTTCATGAGCAAAGCTGTTGTCAAGCTCGTCTGCTTCAACGTTCTCAGACTCGACAGCCGTCGGAACGGCCGAGTCATCCGCTGGCGATACCTCATTTTCTTGAAGCACGGCCTCATCAAAATAGTCAACTTCTTGATGGTCGTCTACAAGTTCTTCGGGATATTTCTCGGCGTCTTCTTCGGCGTCTTCTTCAGCATACTCTTCGCCATGTTCATCGTGGTTCTCATGATGGTGTTCATTGAGCTCGCCATGTTCATCCGAAAGCTCACGCTCATACTCCTCATCGGTGTGCTCTTCAGCGTGTTCACTAGATACCGCACTGTCATCAGAATCATCGGCATTGCCGACGATGTCGGCATCGCTGCTATTGCGGAATGATTGCTGGGAGAAAAGACGTTGAACCTCTTCGAGGCCTTTTCCTGATGTAGCACTTTCCACCAAGTACTCGTATCTTTTCGCGTTGTTGACTCTCGTAAACAGATAGGTGTACAACGTTCGGCGGCCGTCAGGGTCATCGTTCTTGGTGAGCAATTCGAAAACGTCCAGAATTTGATGCATTGTCAGGCTAAATGAAGGGTTTGACTATTGCCACGTTAGCTTGTGTCGAAGACACGTGTCAACTCTTGCTTACCTCTGTGAACTCCAACCCAAGCTCATCAATCTGAAAGACTAGCTCGTCTTCTGCTGTCACTTCATGTTTCAGCTGCGAACGGAACCCCATAAAGATACTCTGCATGGTGTCATCGAGAATGGAAGACTCGGAGAAGAAAGCCTCGCTGCTAGACGACAAGAACGGGAATTCATCCCCCTGATATTGCACTGTGATGGTAGGAAATTGGGCATTGGCGTCACCCGTTTGAAAGTTACCATTCGCATCAATGCTGGCCTCCCATGAGATAGCGGTTTCAAGGGCTTGCAACTCGTCCTGGCGATGGTCTCTGCTCTCAGTCTCGTCAGCCTCGACAGTTTCAGTTACCGAGGCGAGTTGAATAATTTCTGGGAGTGCAAAGTCATGTTCTCCTTCCCCTCCTTCCCCATTTTCTTCACTGTCAACTTCGGCTGTGTAACGTTCACCAGCATCATCCTCCCAGCTGATCTCAGCCTTGTCTTCAACGAGGTCTGCTTCCTCAGCTTCGGTATTGTCCTGGAGGACTTCCGCAGTCTCTTCTCCGCGAGTGACTTCGACCTGTTGCTCTCCATCGTAATCGACCTCTCCAAGACCGTAGTCAATCTCGTCGGCGACAGTCTCCCTCAACGCGTCAATGGTGGCATCAGCCTCGAGCGGCAATTTGGTCTCGGTAGCATCTTCGATCTCCTGCTTCTCGCCGGCGTGTTCTTCAACTATGATATCGATTGTTTCGGCTGCGTTTTCCATAGAATGATCCTCGAGAGCGTCAGCGATGGTGTCGCCACTCTGGTTAGTAGGCTCAGCGTTTGCATCGGCGTCTTGAAGAGCTTCCGGAATCGCTCCATTCCCAAATGTTGCATCAGCAGCGAGAGAGTAATCCCCCACATCACTTTCGTAATTTATAAGGTCGTCATCCATATGCACCTCGAGAGAGGGCTGTTGCGTTGCGTCGATATCCATCTCAACGCCCGTCACACGGTAGAACGAACTTTTTAGCTCGAGGTTTGCCAGTTGGTTATCGGTGGCACGTAATATCGAATGTCTGGATAGCCTGGCCTCGGAGAGTGCAGGACCTATGGTGCGTTCCGGGTACTTTTGCTCCAAGAGGATATGAAGTCGGGACGCGTTTTGAACCCGCGTTTGGTAACAAGGTCAAACTGTCGCCGGAAATGGTGATCGTGGGATGGGCTTTCCGTAAACAACTGAACATAGAATATCCGTAAGTACGTTGTCTGACAGACTTCTGAGAAGATGGCTTCGGTTGGCGCTTTATGTGAACCGTAGAAGAGCAACTCGAACCCTTCTTGGACTGATTGCCCCCGGAAGCTGCCTGGTGAATACAGTGGATTGGTAGCTCGACCGCCCAGCCCAAACTGGTTAGCGTGGCAGAATTCCTTAGCCTACCTGCCCCAGCAAGTCAACTGCCACTGTGTACACCAACATGCCGCCTGTCCCCCCACTTTCGCACACCTGGCTGAATGTCGGCCAGCTCCTGGATTGAACCTGGGCATATTGATCCCTCCATACCATACTGGTCGCCATTGCACCACTACTATCAGACTCCTGGAACGATAATTCAAAATGGTGCGCTCTCTACATATGCTTCATTTACCCCAACACCTTGCTCACTCCCTGATAGGTCGTCCTCGCAGCGTCGATTTGTACCCGCGGGGGGAAAGCTGTCCTCTCGAGGCAGTTCCGTGACATGCCACGATCGAGAATAGAGGCACTCTTGGCGTCCCTCCCCAAGCTTGCCGATAGCGGCACGCAGCATACCACTGTTGAGCAAGACAATGTGCGATTCGTTTACCAGCCGTTGGACGAGCTCTACATGGTGCTCATCACCAACCGCCAATCCAACATCTTGCAAGACATCGATTCGCTCCACCTGTTTGCCCAAGTCGTCGCCAGCGCCTGCCGAACTCTGGACGAGAGGGAAATTCTCCGAAATGCATATGAATTGCTTAGCGCTTTCGACGAGATTGTTACCCTTGGTTACCGCGATAACTTGACCGTTACCCAGATCAGAACTTTCCTCGAGATGGAGAGTCATGAAGAGCGCGTCCAGGAAATCATTGCTAGGGTACGTATCTCCCGCTTTAAACGCGTTTTCGACTCAGCTTCTGATACACCGTCATCTATAGAACAAGGAGCTCGAAGCTACCGAAGAGCGCAAGCGCAAAGCCAAACAGCTCGAAATGCAGCGCAAGGATGCGGCTCGCCTCGGCGCCTCCCGCACCGGTGTCCCACGCACTCCCACGTATCAATCATACCAATCCCCCTCATCGAGTGCCGTTAACCCCTACGACTCGTACGAGGCCGAGAAAAACAAGACATACACGAAGTCCGTAGAGAAAGCTGCCGATTCGAGATTCTGAGACTAACTAACCTTCAAACAGGGCGTCTGCACTTAAAGGCAAGGGCATGCAACTTGGCAAGAAGTCCAAAACTACCGACATGTTTGAGCGCGTGCGCGGCGATATGGGTGGTGAGATATATGACACCCCTCTTGTAGCACCTACAGCTCCCGCTGCCTCTGCGCCAGCCGAAACCCATGGCTCCTCCACCACCGATCGTGACGCTGTCCACGTCACCATCTCCGAGTATATCAATACTCCACTGTCTCGCGACGGTAACCTCGGCAAACCTGAAATTCTTGGTGACTTGACGTTGAAAGTGTCGGATGCCAGTATGACCAAGATCAAGCTGGCTCTCCAGACATCTCCCTCTGAAAAGGCTGAGTACAAAACACACCCCAAAATCGACCGGCCCATCTTCGACGACTCCAAGATTCTTCAGATGAAGAACACGGCGTCCGGGTTCCTTTTTAATAAAGACCTTGGTGTTTTGAAATGGAAAGTCGCCCCCAAGAAGCGCGAACTTGAGCCCTGCCCTATTACTTTCACCATCTGGATCGACAATGATTCGTCCAAGTATAATATTACTGTCGAATATGAACTTACAGGTGGCAGCTCTGTTGCTGATGTTAGCGTGGTCATTCCCTACCGGAGAAGCAAGCCTGTGGTCTCTAGCTCGGATGCCTCTTATAGTGCTGCTGGCAACGTACTAGAGTGGAGGATTGGCACTGTCGACGATGAAAACTCTCAGGGTTCTTTCGAGTTTGAGGCCGAGGCTGCTGACGAGGACGACTTCTTCCCCATGAGTGTCAGATTTAGCAAGGCTACATCCACACCCCATCATATTGATGTAAGTATTCTTGCACTCCGTCTGCGTGCGTCATGCTAATTATGAGTAGGTCTCTTCTGTTTCGCTCGTCGAAGACGACGAAGAGGTGACGTTTTCCAAGGAAATCAAGTCTAACCAGGCCAAATCCGAATCCGAATAGACTGGGCCAAGAGAAAAGGTGTTGGACTGCAAGTATGTAGGGAGTCTGGGGCAAGCAGCCAAGGAGAGGCATGCTTTTGAGATTTATATATCAATGGCACAATCAACATTGAAACATTTACACTATTCGTGCAAGCATTTTACCAATTTATTAGCAGTGGAACTGAAAGCCAGGTGAATTGTAATGTTGGTCGATCAGTATAACAGTAGCGGTGGACTTGTGCCCGGCACCCACTTCAACACCCAGTGCTACACTACACTACCGTACCTAGGTACAGCCCACTGTGACAACCCCTTCATTGTTCGACTACAACAAGGTGCTTGCATTGAACGCTAATTCGCATATCAAAGTGTTGGCTGACTACTAGGGATGTTAAGGCTATCACAGACACCATTTAATCACGCGTTAGGCTAGAAGTTTGAGCAAGCCATGACGGGCGACGCGTCGTTGCGATTGCTCAGCGAGGCTGAGTTTGAATTCAAGGCCCCAAACGGATTCCCAGTCAGCTGTCCCACGCTCGATTTATCGACAACTTGGGACGACGGCGAGAAGAATCTCTTCATCTACCGCCCGCCGAACCAGGCAGTTTCCAAGATACACCAACGTGCGCCACCCGGCACCACAGCCCCGGATGCGCTGGCTGCGACATGGAAGCCAGACGGTAAGCCAAGCAATCCCGCGCGTGATTGTACATTTCCTACGAACCTAGCTAACGCAAGCGAAATTAGGCCAGTTCCTCGCTGTGGGCTGGAGCGATGGGGCAGTCCGGATCTTGGGCCTGGAGAACAACAAGGCGGTTTACCAGATGCAGCTCTGCAACGAAGACGCAGCCAAGATTACACACATTGGCTGGGCCACCAGTATTATCAACAAAAAGGCGCGCGGGAAAGCGCCGAACAAATCGGGCGAGCCGCTGCTGTCCGGGCTGGACTTCAAGAGCGGCTCCGGCGCGTTGGACCTCCCGCAGGAGTTGACCTTTCTCGAGGTAGACACGGCTCTTCCCAAGATCAGCCCACTTCCCACCGCCAGCGCCGGAACTGGGTGAGTGGAAGCATCCATATGATCTCAAGATGCGATCGCTAACCCAACGGCCAGAGATGATGCTACGGTCTTTACACTGCGCACAGGAATTGAGTTCCTCTTCCAGACACCGAAGCGCTCAGAATATGACCAAGTAAACGTCATGGTGGTCGGGACCAGCGACGGGCAACTGCACCTTAGCATCTGCGACTCCTTTGTCATAGGCGTCTTTCCAACCCCCAGCCTCGGGGCCCTCGTTGCGCCCCGTCTCGTCTTCCATGCCGCATGCCCGACTGTGTCCACACAGGCCATCCTCATGGCCGACGACACGAACAATCCTGCCGAAGTACACCTGGTACCCGTAGACCTGCCCTTCGTCTCATCTTCTCCCATAAACTTGTCGCTGCTGGCTTCGAAGCTCACGACATTGCAGACTCTACTGCGCTATTTGAAGCAGACGCAGCTGCACATGCTCACTGAGTGGAAAAACGCGCGGGAACTGCCGAGCAGATTTCTGCAAAGCGTCCAGGGTGATTTGGAGGAGCTGCAGAGCGGACCCAGGACCATTGTGGCGGCGTTGTATCACACGGCTGTTACCGGGCATGCCTACGAACCACTGCGTGAGTGGCTCGTCGAAAGCCTGGCCGAAAGAGTACGTGTCGATCCGTCACCAAGCACATATTGCCCTCCTAACTGACTACACAGGGACACAAACGATGGGACAAGGCCGTGACCGGTGGTCTGGAAGGTCTCCGCAATCTCGTCCACGAGAACCTCCTCCCAGCTCTCGAACGGTGCGCCATTATCCTCAGTCGCTTGCGCGGCTTCGCGCAATTCTATGACACACGCGACGACATTGGCTTTACCACGACGCAGGTCAACCGCGTGCTCGATATTATCAGCTGCCTGAGTCTTGTCGGGCACAAAATCCTCCTGCACACCATGGACGAGCGTGAGCACTTTGCCGCCTTTTCTGGCTGGCTGCACTTCCAGATCGAACGCCTCTCCGCAACCAGCTCCGCAACCGACGAGCTTACCGAGCGCGAGGCGACCATGGACACTTCCCGCGTGCTGACGTATATCGAGCGCTACCTGACGGCCAGCCCGCTCGACGCCTTTTTTGATGCCGTTGCCCACGAGGACTACGAGGCGGACTGGGCCCAGATAGAAGACGGGCCGAGTCTGTTGGACATTCTAGACAGGCAGTTGAAAAAGGCCGAGGCCGGCCAGCCGGCCATGAAAGCCCTGCCGCATGTTGACTTCTTGGTGAATTACGCCACCAGGTGGACGGACCGCATCTTCAAAGACATTGCGGACGCGAAGAAGCACAGTGTCCGCTCCGGCGCTCCGATGAGGCTCAAAATTGGCGGGCCGATCAGCAAGATGGATGTAAAAATGGCAGAATCTGCTGACGATGCCGGCGGAACGGTGTACACGGCGCTTGCGTCCAAAGAGGCGGCCGGTAAAGGTAAGAAGGGAGGGACATCATTGGGAACTTGAGCTGACTGTACATGCAGTGTACATTTTTCAGGCTCAGCTCAGCATAGTCAATGGCATTAGCTCAAATCAGAGCTTGTCATGGCGCTGCATCGACCTCGGCAACCTGGAGGTGATCGACCTCTGCTTCCTCGACGCAACGACTCTCGTGATTCTTTGTGCCGGTACAGGTACTGCAACTTTCCCAGATCACTTTCGTCGTATGTTTTCGTCGCGCTAATATAGATGCAGATCCGAACAAGCCCGTCATCTTGACGGTCCCAGTCGAGGCAAACGCCACGCTGTACGAACCCTACGCTGAGGATGCCTCGCCAGACTCCATCGCTGGCATGCCTCTGGACGCGACAGGGTGCACGCAGTATCATCTTCCGGAAGAATGCGCAATGCGCCCCGTTCGGATGGAGGTGCACAGCGAGCAGGCTGTCCGGGGGCAGATCCCGGCGCGCATCTGTCTGCTTGGCAGCAACAGAACAACCTGGCGCACCTTTACTCTTGATAAAGCTGCTACGGTATAGGAGACTTGGGGCCCAGCAACCTACGTAGACCATGGCACATGACAATCATAGATGTGATCTTGAATGACGATTATGATTTTCCTAGATACTATACCGGCCCTGCTTACTGCTGCTGGCCCTGAGGTTTGGCCTTTGTAATCTTGAAAAACTCAGTGATGCCCTCGACGACCGTCTCAACATTCATATTCACCAGCGGCATCTTTTCGTAGGAGTCATCCGTCATGATGGCCACGAGGGCGAGGTACCTGTCGACCTCGCGCAGCATAATGGGCTTGTTGCTGTCGTGCAGCACAAGACAACTCTCCGCGGTGGCGCAGCCTACCTGGTCCTCGAGCTTCATGTTGAGGGGTTCGCCCTCGAGCTTCTTGCGGCTCTCGTCGCTGCGCTGCCAGGTGCCATAGACCTCGGTGATGTCAATGATAACGTCAATGTAGTCGCTACAGATTTCGTAGCTGGCCATGTCGGCCGTGGAGCTGTCGGTGGCAATGTAAATCTTAGACATGACATCAAAGAGGTAAGCCTTTTCGAAGCGGCACGTGCGGCACAGGTTGGTCAGCATGGCCTCGAGCGTGCCCAGCCGCGGGATGAGCTTCTGGATGACCTTGCTAAAGGCCTCAAAGATGGAGTGGTTGTATATGGAGGTGAGGTGAAAGGTGACGGGCGCGTTCTCGAAGCCGTGGTCCGACAGTTCGTCTTGGATGCGAATGGTAATGTCGCGCTGAATATCGAGCTTGTAGTCATCTGAGAGCCCATCGACTTTGTGGATAAAGACTTCAATGTTGATGTTGGGGTAGTTTCCTTGCAGAGCCAGGATTGTGGTGTTTAGCCGCGCGACTGCTTCCAGATAGTCATCTTGAGCATCAATGACCCAGATGAGGGCTCCAATTTCGCCAAAAATGGCCTCCATGTCGAAGTTTGGTGTTTCAAAGACATCAATCTGTCCAGGAAAGTCCCACACTTGAAATTCCATGAATGAGCTAGGCCTATTAGCAGCTGTCATTAACAAGCCACGTATAACTCACGCCATCGAGTCTTTTTGTATTCTTGCCGTAGACTCTAGAAATAGTGTCTCATTTGGAGGCAGTTTGTGAAATACGACGCTGGAAATGGAAGACTTTCCGCTCCTGCATAAAAGTCAGCATGATTACCTTTCAGAGTGAAGAAGGACGTACCTTCGTTGGCCCATGAGCAGCAGACGGGGTTTGCCCTTTGCAGGGATACCGGTGATGATGTCTCCCCTAGAGTCATCTTTTTTTGCTATGCTCCCCGAAGTCTGATCGTGGATTCGCTGAAGCGTTAGCTGGGCTGCGCTCAAGTGTCGTGTTCCCGAGGGCAGGATGGGGACGGCGTCGATGCTGGATCTGCGGGGGGCTTTGCGGCGCATGGGATGGCCAAGAGACTGTACGCAGCGCTTGCAGCGAAGGAACAGAGTGTGCAGAGAGCTCATAGTAGATGGTGGAAAGCAGGGAAGGAATGAGACGCCGATATCAGGAGAGCAATAGCGAGGAAAGAAGCGCGAGCAAAGGACAATGTTGGAGCGAGGAGGGAGGGACAGCGAGCGGCGCAGGGCATGGGCCTGAATATGACCGGAAGTGACGATGTAGTCACTGTGCTGAACCCTAGACACCATCGACGTATTGAGACCGAGGGTTGTAGCACAAAGAGGCCCAAGAGGCCATTATTTGTGCGATGGCCGACAATGGCGGGACCTCAGTCTGGCGATGCGCCGCCTGCCGCGATGCTCAGAGCTTTGTGCATGAAACAAAAGAACAAAGACATCGTGACCTCTGAAGCGCGGGCAACTAGGTAGCTGCACGACGGCTGAGAGCTGGGTCTGCTCCGTCTGGAGCCGTTACTGGGGTGTGTTTGTGATTGGATCTCCAGCCGTGCGTCACGTCGTGGCCAGCACCCGGGAGCAGGCAACGGGCCAAGCCTCGCCTCGCGTATCTCTCTCTCTCGTGCGTGGGGGCGAGCAATAATACGAAATGAAGAGAAAGCAAGGGTAGAAGCATACCTCCATTTTATGGGACTGAGACCGGCGAGGCGAAAGGGAAAAAGGGTATCGGTGTCGGGTCGCCAAAATGCAGACGCAAAGGTTTGGACCAAAAGCAGGCCAAACAGCGGCCTGGGAGGACAGTGAGAGGCACGTGCTGTGGTATCGTGAGAATCGGATCAAGGCCGAGACGATGTAGTTCTATCGCTACAAGGTGCGTGACAGATAAAAAGAAGTTAGAAGAGGAAATTCTTTTGCGGTTCAAGATGAACAGGCTCGTCGTGACAATGAATGTCGAGCGCGGAGATGTTGTAGCGTTGAGATTGAGAGATGGGGCCGCTTCCGAGTGGGTCATGGCTGATTTCGAGGGCGGCTGGACTTGAACAGGGCTCAACTCAGACACTGCACACAAACAGGATGCAGTGTTACATTGGTCCCCCTAAATTAACGAGCTCGAGCAACAGGACGCGAAATTAAAGAATCCAAAACCGTCATTATTCAAGTACAACAAGACTACGAAACAAAATTCCAAGGCTCCCCCACAGCACAGGGCTATCCAGCGCCCCCTCCCCCCCAATCAACATGGAATGAACCAAAACTTCCCCAGGACCCCGGCCAACACGCCGTATTTCAACCCCCACGACATTCAGTGATGAAGGCCTTGGTTGATGCGGCGGAGCAGGACCGCCTCGTACCCGGCCACGCCAATAATCAAGGCCTCAACCGGCACGAGCAGCGTCGCCAGCGTAAGCGCCGCCCTGCTTTCCTTGCACAGGGTACCAAAGTGCGGGCGCATGTCCATGGCCACGCCGTCCCAGCGGCAGCTCCAGCTCTGGATAGAATCCGCCTTTGTCGATGCATCGACGGCGTAAAAGATGGACATGGCCACCAGGGCGCCAACGAGACCGACCGCGGGGGCGGCGACAGAGACGGATGAGCGGGCCAAGTAGCGGGAGCCGACCTAGTATTCGTACGCCGTCAGTCAACTAGAGCAAGCATCGGCAGGATTGTCACCACGTACAAAAGAAACCTTGCTCATGCCCAGCGCCACGGCGTTGGCTACAAGAACAAGCACACCGCATGCAACAAGCGCGTTGGCAGGCCGGACGTCAAACTCTTCGGGCCAGAGATGCAGCAGGTAGTCTCCAGGCAGCGAGGTGGACTTGTACACGTCCAGCGTATGAGCAGCAAGACCGAGAACAGCAGCGCCAGCGGCCAATGCCAACAAGGTGAGGCCGGTGCGAAGGGTGTCAACGGCGCGCAGCATGCCAATTTTGGGCACGACACGTCGTTCGTCGGCCTCGACCTCAAAGTCGGACGAGGAGATTTCGTTCTTGAGCTGCGACATATTGACAAAGAGAATGTAGTGCCAAATGAATGTGGAACTGCGTACAAATGAACGGTACTTTGAAACAATACCCAGAGGAAAAAATAAAGGAGGTGGCCGATTGCCCAACTTCAGAGGAGGGCATCCCCAAGTTCAAGTATTCGCTTCTTGCCGCTCACCGTCCGAACTGGCTGCACATCGGGGCATAGCAGCGCTGCATATAAGCCAATAAACTCGCCGGACCTACACCATCACCGTCGTCTCGGGTCCATTCTTTTAGCGCTACGCTGCCTGCCAGTGACGAGAAACAAACAAACAAGACAGCATGCAAAGTCGGGACCACCAACTTATTGGCTGGTCATAGTCACGCCCCCCCAGATTGTGTGTTCGCATGGGCGCTTATTTCTGGTGCTGCCAGGTTTGCCCTCAGCCAATCAGGACGACGATTCAAGGATCATCACAAACGGCGCTTCCAGCTCGATCTAAAAAAGAAGATTTCTAATATTGCATCCTCGGCAGATGATATCCCCCTGCTACAGCTTATTTTCGAGTCTATTTTGGGCAGCGCTGGCAGTCGTTTCACTTGAGCCAAGTTGAGCGAGCCCAGCCGCTGCATGCACCACGGTCGCAGCCACGGTCGCAACACTGCACATCGGCATTTTTTGACAAATAGCCACATGGATACAAGGATCAAATTAGTAGCAGCCGAGACATTGGGATTTGGCTGTACCCGCTGAACGGTTGTTGGGGGTTCGTCTTTTATCTCTTGATTCAAGATGCGATCGTGAAACCCCATTTGCGACACCAAGGGTAGCCCCTCAGGTCGCCAGGTTCGCCCACGCGACGGATTGTTTGCGTTCTGGAAACTCAAGAACGCCTCGAGAAAAAGACTGTCACCGGCGCTCTTTTGAAACGCACTCTTTCTCCTACAGAGGCAAGACACTGTCCGCTGCCACAGACATCTTGGACGGGAGAGAAGGGGTCTCAGTGACTATCTGCCCATCACCCGCGTCCGAGAAACGTTTCAAAAAAAGAGGCACGGCCGGAAGATGTGCTCTGTACCGACTCGTACGGCGATGCCGATCAAATATATAATTGAGCCATTATATCCGCTACAATATCTCATGGTTGTTTCTACAAAGGCTTGACCCCGACCGCAATTTACGCAATCTAGACGCACCGACGTGACCATGAGCACCAATACGGGAAAAAGGTACGTGATGTAGCTACCATAACTAGAGTGGCATGCTAAGTCTCAAGTAGAAAAGAGGCGCAAATTTTGGGCCTCTACCCGCGTTCCGACCGTACGCACGAAAACCATCCAGATCCGCGACGTGGTGTTGGCAACATCTCGACTACACCACAGCGCTTGGAAGATGCAGAGAATCCCGGCTCGGAAACGTCGACAACATCCGTAGCAGTAAAGGCTGGATACTATACACGGGAGGATATTGATATCATGAATGCCGTCTTACACACGCCACCATCGGGCACCTCACCGGCTCCCACCGCCGGCCACGACCGGAGGTTCATCACGCTGGTTGGGCCGCCACCGGCACCCAGCAAGGACACATCAGAGACCTCTACGACAACGCAGTCTACGAGACCACCCCCACAACAGTTGTCGCAGCCGCGTCTGCAACCGACCGCCAGCCAGCAACCGCAGCCGTCGACGAGTTCCCCCACACTACCGCCATCGCAGAAGCAGCCACCTCCAGCAACTTGGCAGCCAAGCGCCACACGCGACGGGGAGGAGGCTCAAATCTCGACCACTCAGTCCGTAGTAACGTCTATTTCTTCGCTCACGCCCTCCCCCTCGCAACGGCCTGAGAAGCAGCCCGACTCAGTAGCCACGCCGATATCACCACCCTCTGAGCTGAGCCGCGACGCCGAGGCGGGCATCGTTATTGGCAGCATAGGTACGCATATCGTCTAAGTTTGGTTCCATCATTTCCAAGGCTAATACGGGGGCGGACACGGCAGCGCTGGTGAGCCTGATACTGGGCGCGGCCATGTTCTACTACTACAAGCGCAAGCCGTCGGCCAACAACATCTTTACCAGCCGGAACAAGAACCTTGTGCCGCAGCGGGCCATTTCCCGACCGTTTCCGCTGGACCTATCCTCGGCGCGACTGGGGTCGTCGGGCACGCCGCGGTCGCCACGCGCGGCACCCGTGGTGGCCATGACGGAGAGGCCGCTACCGCCGCTGCCCGTGCGACAGTCGTTGATGGGCGGCCGGAGCTCGAGCTCGTACAGCCGTTTGCCATGAGGAGTACAACGACAGGAGCGACTGTATTTTTTTTCCAGCGTGAACAACATCCTTGAAATGTGTTTGCGATTCTCACGTTCACTTAGTTGACCTGTTTCCCGCTTAAAAATTGATCGAGATAATTATAGAAAGTCTCTGGGCCTCAATATCCATCCAATTTTTTTTGGGCGAACAGAAGGGAAGGTAAATTCCATTTCGGCTCGTCGATTCGATCTGGTCTGTGTCGCCCGGTGATGCTCGTAGACGTCTGGGTTGCGCTGAGAAACATATAACAGGTGTACCTCCCGCCATCCTCCGACTATGTAGGCCGTAGTCATTTTTTAAACTCAATCCAATCCACTTGACACGCTGTGTTCGTTCAAATGGCAAACTGATTTGCACAGTGTGGAAGGTATTACACAGTCGGTATGCGGTGGAGCTGGGCGAGCCTGACACTGGACATGTAATTCGTAAAATGTAGATAATATAAAAACACCACAAAGCTTGTACTCCTTTCTCATTGCATCTCTCATATAGTTATGAGGAATTGAGATGGGACGATTCGGATGTATCAGCATGGATCTACAGCGGAGAAGGTTTGGGGTTGGGGCTCCGAGGCCAGTCGAGCCGGCTGTACCAACAAGGCTTGCTGCAATTGAATTGAGCAGAGGTGTTTTTTTTCGGTTCGTGGCCGGTCCGAAGAGCCAAAGGGCACGATCCGGCCACAACAAGAGGGATGGGGGCTTGTTGTGCAGATGCGGCTGAGACAAGGGGAGTTGATTGAGAGAACAGAGAGAAGTAACACATGGATCGTTCTGTTTTGCAGCTGATTCCAGCCTTGCGTGGTCGAACGGGCCATGTTTCGCGGAGATTATCCGCCACTCTTGGCTCTATTCTTCAACACAGCCGAACGCTGTCTACGGCTCGAGCGAAGAAACAAGCCTCACCTATATTTCTTCTGGATTTTTGGTGTAACATCTGCTTCGCTTGCTATTATAGGGTGTCGGAAACAACCATCCGAAAATGTTGCTCACGCTGTGTCCGACATTGGTGTCGGACCTAAACGAGCATGGTGTTACCCGGGACGCATGCTTGCTGCTTCATCCTTGCTGGGTGCAGCCTGGCTGTCATTGACCGGACTTTGCGACATGATTTGCCTTGGCAGCCTGCTTTGTGATTCTTTTGCTTTTTTTCGCTTCCAATGCTGCAGCCACTTGCCCCAGCTCTCTCTTTCTCTCGCCAACCAAATACACTATTTGCCGTGCTGCAATCTACCCAGAGACGGCATAATGACCTGCTGGGCGACGATTTATCTCATGTATGTATACCTCTGGAACAAGGGAAGAAGAAAACGACTACGAATGGCTCGTCAGGCCAGGCTGTCTAAGGCGACATGCGTGTTCCCGTATAAGTGCTACCCGAAGACGACATTCCGAGAGTTTGCTGCATATGCAGGTGGCGATAACACGCCTGACAAGATATAAAAAGGGTTGGTGTCTGCGCGCCGTGTAAGTACTTCAGAAGCATCCCTCTTCTGACCCATCCAATCATGACGCCCTCCCCGCAGCCGCCGCCTGCCCTCACCGCGCTGCGCAAGCTGCACCTCGCCGTCGGCTTCGCCAAGGCGCGCACTTTTTTCCTCTGGCTCGTCTTCGCCGGCGGCATGCTCGGGTTCTGCCTCGCGCGGCTCATGTATCTCGACTTTGCCGGCGTCTTCTGCTCCTCTGCCCAGCAGCAGCACGGCGCGAACCATGCCGCGCCGGGCGAGTGCTACTGGTACACCGCCGTCGACGTGTACCGCGTCGGCATCCGGATGCACCTCGGCGCCGTGGTGCCCGCCGGCGCGCTGGCCTGCGTGCAGTTCACGCCCGTGGTGCGCCGCCGGATGGCGCGTGTGCACCGCGTCAACGGCTACGCGACGCTGCTGCTGAGTCTTGTCGGCGTGGCGGGCGCCGTCATGGTCGCGCCGGTGGCGTTTGGCGGGCATCCGTCGACGCGCGGCCTCGTCGGCGTCTTGGGCGTCCTGTTTGTCGGCGCTCTTGCCTTGGCGTACTATTATATCCGGAAGAAGCGGATTGACCAACACCGGGCGTGGATGCTGCGGGCTTGGTTTTATGTACGTGCGATTCCCTAGAGAAACTGATGGGGTGCCAGTCCTTTTTAATACGAGTTGCAGGCTGGGTCTATTGTCACGGCCAGGTTCATCATGATGGCCGCGGCCGCAATCGTCTCGTCGGGCAATGGACAGGGCGGCTTTTACGAGGCGAAGCTCTGTCGGCAGCTCGCGAGCTATCTCAACAGCACACGGCTTTTGCAGGAATACCCCGACTGCGCGTCGCTCGACGCCTGGGTCCTTGTCAAGGCGGATCTTCATATTCAAGGACCTGAGCACATCAGCGCTGCGCTGGACGTCACCTTTGGAATGTCCGTCTGGATGGCGGCTGCCATTCATGCCATTGGGGTAGAGTTTTATGTGCGTCCCTCGATCTGTGCATCGTCCTTGTCGTGCTGGACTGACGCTTTACGTAGCTTCAGCTTACGCCCGGCGAGACTCGGCGCCTCCGAGAGGTATCCCGCCAGCGACAGGTCGAGGTTGGCCTTGAAGCGGCGTCCAAGGCAATCGTTTCGGATCATGGCAGAGATGGTGTTTGACAGGCTGTGTTAACGGCGAAGACCACTCCGATGAGCTGTAGTTTAGTATCCTACGACACTGAGCACAAGTGCGTCTCATCATTATGTACTTTTCCCTTCATAGGCCACTTGGAGTCTGCCTGCGCAAGCAATCGAGTACATGATTTCAGTGTCATCTTTCTCTTTCTGATATTCACCAAAAAAATGTGAAGAAGAAAATGAGAAAAAAGACTAGAGAGAGCAGAGCGACTTTTTTTTTTCTCAAATTCATAAAGCAGTCTGAGGAAAAATATGGTGAAAGAAATAGTCATAGAACGAGCACAGCAGCATTCTCGCTTGAGGATAGTGGAAGTAGCACCAAGGTAATTATTGTTTACATCGTTAAACTCGGTACATATTAATAGCGATAACAGAGTATGCCCGACTGGGTATCCATGACCTCCCTGACTGTGAGGTCTGGCCCCAATCCCATCATGCCCAAGATGTCGTCGGCGCTCGCCGCTGCCTTTGTGTCATCCTTACTCGCCCGGCCATTATATTCCAACCTCCTCGACGGCTTCTCCGCCTGCCATTTCGCCCAAAGCCGGTCAAGATTTGTGTGGTGGAGGAAGAAGACGGGATCTGCCATGTAACAGGCAAATACGATTAGCAAAAATCAAGTATAAGCCTGATCGATTTTTATCTTCCAGGGGTCTTCTATACTGACCGTTTGGAGACTCTAGATAGTAAAAATCACCGCAGATGTTATTCGGAACGGCGTCATGCGGGCCCGCCTCGAGCGACGCCGAAAAGCTGGCAAATGTCTCTTGCTCCATGACCTGCCGAATGGCTGAGGGCTTGAATGGATCGCCGCTCCAGGTCCCGTTGCGGCCAAAGCACCGACCGAAGCCGCGCGACAGGCAGTGCAGCTTGAGCACAAAGTCGTAGAAGAGCACCTTGTAGTTGCGGAATGGCCCGTCGGGGACGCAGGATCCCCATCCCACCGTCAGCTCGGCCGCGATGTCGCCGCTGCCCCCGAACCCCGTGTCGGGATCCCAGATGGGTGACCGGGCTGGGTCATGCCAGTCGAGCTCCCAATTCCAGTATCTGCGGAGAGAATTCAGTACAGGTTCTAATGGGAAATCCCGACGAAGAAGGAAGGGTGCTTACACCAATGCACCGGAATAGTTGCAGAGCTCTCGAAGGGACTTTTCGTATAGATGTATAAGATATCGATGGTACGGGAGAAACAGAGCAGTATTATGGACTGGGGGTGGTTAATAATAACGGTGAGGTTTGTAGGGATGGCCACTCCTGCACAAACTTACTGCTCGTTGCCACATGGCGATGTACCCAGGGGAAATCATCAGAGCGTCTTCCGATGCCGGTGAGATCTGATGGAAATGCCTGCAGGCACTTGACGGCGTCAATGTAGGTCGTCTTTTCCGTGCTGTTGAGCTGCCGCCATTCTCGCCTGAGGCTTGGACATGTGCAGGCTTGCCTCGAGTGTCTTGGAGCTGTCGAGATGGCAAACAGCACTACCATGGCGATCCCAGCTGCCGCGAGCATAGTAAAAAGAGCATTGCGAGTTGACGCTAGTCGTTTATACATGGGCGGTCGCAGAGCCGGGGAGTCGGCGTCCTTCTCGGCCTTGCCGGCGGATGAGTCGTCGGGATAACAGTCGTCGGCCACTGGGACTGTGTGCTGCTCAAGCGGCTGATACATTGTCGCTTCAGATCTGAATTACTACCCGGACTCTGGATGAAGACTGTCTCTATGGGGGAGAATGAAGGGAAGATGTGGTCAAGGTCGGAGCAGGGATCGGCTGATTTATACCCGTCCACCACGAGCAGCAGCCCACACCTACCAGGCCGGCTGCGGGCTGTGTAGCCTTTGTTTGTGGCGTTTTAATTCATATTGTCACTAATCTAGCCTCTTCTCAATGTGCGAGCGCTATTCGCCTGCAGATATTGGTCCAGCGCCAGCGTGGCTCTGCATCGCCGCCTCAAGGCACACACCATCTACAGAGCCCGGACCTGGCGATAGCCAGCTGCTTTACAAAACAAATTCTTCATACTATACTAGATGGCAAGACTTTTTGCAAGAGCCTGAAAGTCTGGCTCACGGCCGAGAAGTTTAGTAACGAGTGAGATGGGGTCCCGCTGGCTTCCACCGGGCTGCAGAACTCCTTCCCGGTATCTTGCCCAGGCGTCGAGGTCCCACGGATCCTGCTCGAACACAGTTTGGAAAATATCTTGAGCGATGGCAGAGCAGCTATATCAATTTAGCTTACAGTGTTTGAAATGTGCGACACGGGCTTGACTTTACCTCAGGTAGCTGTAGAAGCCCATGTCGTAACCGCTGACGAGATGGTCAAACGAGGTATAGCCGTGGCCCTGGGTGCGAGAAGACGAGAATTCAATTCCTTCGAGCTCCTCTCTCAAGTCGTACCAGAGCTTTTGCATGTTCAGCGCCTCCGCTTCTTCGCGGCTGCTTGGGTTGTGGATGGTGACGTCGAACATGGCAATCACCCTGTGGCAAAACATGATGAGCTGGAAGGACTTGCTATCGGCGCAAAAAAGGACCTACAGATGGTAGAGCAGCTGCAAGCCGCGATGGACGTCTCTGTTCTCCAGGAGCTGTCTTTGAAGCTCGGCTGGCAGTTTGGTCGGCGGATCGGGCTCCCCCGGATGCGTCGTGCGCCACTCGGCCAGGTAGCCCGGATCAAGGCTCGTGTAATGGCAGCTCATCTGCTGAAGCGTCTCTGGGATCCAGCACCAGTTCTCCAGCAGCATACTGGGAACTTCGATGAAGTCGAACGGGAGGCTAGTGCCGTGAAAGCGGGCGTACTTTGTCTTGGAGACGAGGTTGTGGACTCCATGGCCGAGTTCTACCATGTTGGGTGTAAGCTGGATGCTCAAGTCTCTCGTGGGGTGCTGTTTAAAATCTTGAACTGACCGTGGAAGATGCTGACAAGTTCGCTGTGCCGCAGCAGCGCACACGACTTGGCCGGCTGAGGGATGCAGCACATCAAAACTGTGGACGGGACTTGTCGCGACCCGTCTGGCCGGAGAAAGCCCTTGCAAAAGGTATCAGTCCATGGGTCTTGGGAACGAACGAGAGGCATCTCAACTTACTTGTCCAATAGATATGTTCTCTGCGCCTTTCTTCTTGTTCTTCCTCCAAAAGAGGTCCAGGTAGAGGAAGCCCATGAAATCCTGGTTGCTTCCGGCGTCCCATACCTCCCAGACCTGGACGTCCTCATGCCATCGTGTCGTCTCGTCGAGCTTCTCGGGAGGGACTTGCTTGAATACAAGCTGCAGCACTCTTTCAAATATTTTCAGCATAGATTGTACGGTAGTCTCCAGCGGGAAGAATTCGGATATCGCCTCGTCGTTGACGTTTACCCTCATATTGGCAAGCCGACTGTAGTACCGTAGGTCCCACGGCGCCAGCTTGCCGTTGTCTTGCGTTTCAGGGGCGCCAGCCTCCTGAATCATCTGTGCCTTGACTTTCTCGAGATGCTGTAATTCTTGCCTCCCCTTGGGGATGAGTGTCTCTCTCAGCTTTCTCAGGAGAGACTCGATGTACGCGGCCGACTTGATGGCCCGACCCTGGAGCCGAAAGTCTCCGTGGCTACTGTAGCCCAGAATCCTTGCCTGCGAGTCGCGTAGAAGTACAATGTCCCGAAACAGAGGGACGTTGGCGTGCATTCTCAGTTCTTCGGCGAGGAACATTCGTCTTCTCGAGCTCTCTAGGTGTGCGTACCTCATTACGGCGGACCATCCGCCATTTCCAAACGGCACGAAAAAGGACTCTGCCCTGTCATGGCCGTCTTGCTTCCACTTCCGAAGAAGCTCTTCAGAGACACCGGACAGCTCCTCTCGCGTCATCGCAACTCCGCCACCCTCTTCTCTCAGATTCCGTTCGTAGGCTGTCTTGAGTTCTTCAAGCTTGCATCTTTGGCTTATAAACATGTCAAGGCTAGGGCCTTGGAGCGACCCATGTCCCAACGAAACAAAGTCTCTCAGCTTCTCCTCCACCCAGAGCTTTGATTCCGGGTCCAGGTCCTCGTTCCTCGCCGCTGCGGCCTTGATGAAGTCGAAAAGATCAGTCCTGGCCATCCAGGCTGCTGCAGCAGAGCTAAACGCCTGGTTCGCCTTTGACGCCGCGTGTCTGGTTTCTTGATCCTGCGCGGCATGGCTCAGCAGCCGTATCATGCCAAGCTTGGCGTCGGCCTCATTCGACACGGCGATCCACGGCGCACAAACGTTTGCAAAGCAGGCTGTGGACGGCGTCACGGTCGCGACCAAGCCGTCATGCAGGCTGTGAATCCTGACAATGACGGCTGCCATTTCAGCTTCAACCTCGGAGGCTGCCAAGACCCGGGGCATTTTCTCCAGAGACATCCTGGAGGCTGTGATGCTCTATGAGCGATTTTCTGGCTGAGAAATATTGGTAAGAGTAAATGCTTCCCCCGAGACAAGCGGCCAGTCGATGGATTTCTCATAGTTTTGCGAAACTGCTGGCAAGAAGAAGTGCATAAACGAGGCGGCGAGCGGGGTTGACCAGCGGCTCATCTGGCGCGAATCAGGAAGGTGGATGGACTATCCGTAGATGCATGAGCTCGTATTGACTGACTGACTGAGGCTTGGGAAGCTGACGACTCACAGCGGTGTGTCCTTATCCGTTCATCTTATATCATAGCAGCCGTGGTCACTAAAAACAGTTCATTTTCAAATCATTAACCCTCCTTTATCATCGACTCTTTACTCTATACTTGGAACAAGCTTTATACATTCACCATGCAGGTTACCAAGATTGTCGGTACCCTCGCACTGTTTGTTTCCGCGGCGGCAGCCGTCACCCCCCGCGTTGTCCAGATTGACAAGCGTGGCGAGAATTACGGGGGAAAAACCCGTAAGTCTATCCAATAAATTCTTCTGCTTCAAATACGTGGTTGGTTAATTTCGGAATTAGCTCCCAACTCGCCTGCTCTGGAGAAGGGTTCGAACTTCTAACGTCTCTTGTTCTCAAGCATTGGCGGTCGCAACATAAGCTTGACTGCCAAGCTACTCAGGCGGAGAACAATGGACATTTGCTCAAGACAAGATACTTTTGCTACTGAAACTTTGAGAATCTTATTCTTAGAGATCAATACAGTCATTTCCTCACTTGTAACTAGTTGACTTGCCTCAGAGTTGCCGCGTTTGCAGATGCTCAAAACAAGCGTGACACAAAAGGACAGAATTGAGGATTAAATAAACCTCCTTTAAAGAGCTAATCCCTTGCAAAGCTCACTATCTCTTCTTTAGCATTAGCACGAATGATTTCATGCCGAGTCTTGGGAGCTCTCTGATGAGACCAAGGGAAGCATGCTGCCTGCTGAGAATTCGGCAAGGCTCCGTGGACCAGCCGCCCTCGTTTACACCCCACGATTCAGCTGTAAGCCCAATATTTTTCGGCAGGCTGAAAGAGTAGTGGGGGCTGTTCAGTCTCTATAAGCCTTGCCAGTCTTGCTCGTCGAGTTTCTTCCGCCACCTACACTTTCCAAGGCAGAGCTGTACACTTCCCAGGGCTGCTTTCACTTCCATAACATTGATTAACAAGTCGAAATGGGTAAAACGGAACTTCCATCGCAGGCCACGGTAAGCTCTACTCATGGCTAGCACTACTCGCTGCTAATAAGTAAAGTAGATATGGCGACGTCTCGCGTTCTGGGTCCTCTTGCCTATGGCAACCATTTACTTAGGCGCAAACTGGCTTACTATCCATAACCCATTCAGTCGACTGATGCTTTCCTCGTCGCCTATCCTGGGAAAATATGATTGTGCTCATGATTACCGTATTGAAATCATGTCACTTGACCCTGTTGTCTTTTACATCAACGGATTTCTTCACGAAGCTGAGATCCAGCATCTCCTTGCCATAACGTGCGTCTAAGAACTGCGACCTCACGTCGACAACCATTCCCCCCCAACTGACATGTGCCACAGCGAAGGTAAGTTCGTCGAATCCATGGTGTACCTTCCGAACGGCACGTCAGTCGTCGACAAGAGGTACCGCACCTCCAAGTCTGCCATGATCCCACACTCCGACCCAGTGGCCCACTGCCTAGACGTTAGGATGAAGTCGCTTCTCGGTAATATCCAGCACGAGGGCACCGAGCAGCTGCAGCTCGTCCGCTACGGCGTCGGTGAGGAGTTTGCCCTGCACAATGACTGGCTCGAAAATCCGCGCCACGTCAGGCGCCCCGACGGCACGGAGAGGGCGTACAACCGCCTCGCCAGCCTTTTTGTGTACCTCGAAGACGATTGCGTCGGCGGCGAGACGTACTTTCCCCAGGTAGTCAGCGCGGCGCCGACGGCGGACGGCACAAAGTTCTCCAGGAGCGCCGACGGGGTGGGCCTGCTGGTGCGGCCGAGGCGTGGCAACGGCGTCTTCTGGAGCACGGCGCGCATGAACGGCACGGGCGACGAGCGCATGTATCACTCGAGCCTGCCCGTAGAGTCGGGCGTCAAAACCGGCATGAACCTCTTTGGCCTGTACTTTCTGGACACGCCGCTTGTTGGCCAGCACAACTATGATCTAGACAGCTAGCATAGTCAGTATACAACTCAATTTGGGCACACCGAGCTCTGCGCTGCCCGCAAAAAAAATTCGGGATCGCATAAATCATCAGCTTAGCACGACGTCGCCATGCAAGCCTTCAGCAGCAGGGCCTCGATCAGCGGACAAATGTAGGGAGTCTCGGACTTTGTTCATCCCGGAGTTCAAGGTGCAGTCATTCGGGCGGCTGTAAAAACAAAACAGCAAGGTGCCTGCTTCTTTAGATTAGACCTAAAACAAAAAGTGAGGAACTTGTTATTTACAAGGCGAGCAGCGAAAAGGCATAGACAGGGCGATTACCTGCAAGGGTACCAACAACTTAGGTAGGTGTGACTTACGAGTCCTTTTTTTTTTCCACGGCAATAGACACGTCCTCTGTTGAACATGTAGTTTGTTCCCTGTAGCGATGGTAGCTATGATATATGGGCAAGATAATTCACCGGCACCTGTGTGGCTGGCCACGACGGACATGGTAAACGCATATATTGAAGAAATTGGCATGATTCACGTTCTAGTACGTATCATGACTGATCATTCTGACAAGAGAGCATAGTGCGCCTTTGCAGCGGGCGCAGACCGTTACTGTACCTTGTCGCCGCTCGACGGCGTCCGCACAAACGGCTCCAGTGGCAGGACCTGGTTCTCGGGTGTCACGTCCTTGTACACGCGATCCCACAGGCGCTGCAGCGGCTGGGGGGTTTTCCACGCCAGCTCCTCGTCACGCAGCCAGAGCCGGACCAGGTGACGTCTTTCCGCCCAAATCATCAACAAACCAAAACCAGGTAGAGAAAAGGGGGGGGACGTACTGCTTCTCGGGCGAGTCGGTAAAGGACCCGCGCGCGTGAAATATGCTCAGGTTGTTGACAAACTGGATGTCGCCGGCCTGAAACTCGAGGGAGACGGCGCTCTTCTCGGCCGTAAAGTGCAGCGCGTCGAGGGCCTCGGCCTGCGCCTCGGTAATGGGCGGGATGTCGGCGCTGCGCGGCAGGCCCCAGTAGCCGGTAAAGGAGCGGCGCGCATACTGGATGATGAGCCGCTCCGGCGCGCCGTCGGCAGCCGGTTGGTGATAGAGGAGCGGCCTTGCGGTGTACCCCGGCGGGCCGGACTTGCCGAATCTGACCGAAAAAAAAAACACGTCAGCTTGTCCTCCCCTGTCACATGTTCCAATCCAATCCAATCCAAAAAAGAAAAGAAAACTCACTCATCATTATCCCATGGCTCCGCGAGCGTCCGGATCAGGTCCGGCCGGGCGGCCGCCAGCTGGTTGTACACGTGCCAGCTGCTGGCCAGATAGCTCTCGCCGCCGTGGGCGGCGGCCTCGAGGGCAAAGAGGGCAATGACGTCGCCGGCGTCGGTGTGGAAGACCTGCTTCTCCGTCGTGTACGCGGGCGCGCCAATCTTGTGCGGGTCGACGGTCGCCGTCAGGTCCTTGATGTGCGTGAGCGCCACGTCGGCGGCGCGTCCGTCGTACCGGCTGTCCTGGCGACCGCGGGTCGGCGCCACGTGCGAGGCGAGGCCGGCGTAGACGATGATGTTGTCCTCGCGCGTGTACTGCGCGACGGGCACGCCGCGCACCACCTTGAAGCCGTGCCCGCTGTGGATTTCCCGCGACACGTCCCGCAGCGTGGTGTGCAGCGTCGGCAGCGGGAACGTGTCTTGGCTGATTTCGCCGAGTGGCTTTCCGAGGCCTTTTTCAGTGTGAGTTTTGTTTCTTCTTCTTTTTTCATTTGTTTACCAATGGGGCCAACGTACTTTTAAAGTGCTTCAGGGCACTATTAATCTCGGCAATGTCGCTCTCGGTCAGCCGGTACCACCACTGGTATGTGTCGGAGACGGTGGCGCCGTCCCAGACGAGCGCCGAAGCGATGTTGGCCGGAAAGCCGGCCGGCAGCGTGTTGGAGAGATTTTCGTCCTCCACGCGCCGCCTTGTCCGAGCCTGGTACGCGTCCCAGTTGGGCGCATACGCAATGTCAGGCTGGCCGACCGGGCCGGCCGCAAAGGTGGGCTGTAAAGTAGCAGCAGCCGCCATATTTTTTATCAGTGCGTGGTGATGAGAACAAATCCGATTATTACAATTTCATGGAATATGCAAAAACTAAGGCGCGTTTCTGGGTCGTCTGCGAAGTTGCCATATATACGCACCTGGTGAACATGGCGGGATGGAATGGCGCGATTACGCAATATGCTGCAACCACCAGCTGGATGCCCAACGATTCGCTGATAACGCCCGGTCAGCGGCATACCTGAAATTCGCCATATGCGAGTTTACAAATCAAAGAATGACGCAAAGGCGCCGGTTTCGCTTCTTCCCCAATTTGCTGCTGACATGAATATCCCCGTGTGAGCCGGGTAGACCTGTGATCAGTCGCATGCACGAATCTCAAACCAGCTGCCCAGCCTGACAGCTCTAGATATCCCGTAAATCCCGGGGGGTTCTCTTCAAACCGAAGACCTTTTCCTTATCTACTAGAATCGACTTTGGACTGCAGGCCTCTTTTTCTCGCTGCCGGGTGGTGGTAGTCGGCTCGCGATGGGCCCAAAGGTATTCACGGCATGGCTGCCGTGGAAAGCGGGTGATCTGGCCGCGCATTTGCCACCCGTCGTTTTAGCTTTCTATACTAACCAAAACTTGTTTTATGCCTCATTCAACATGTGTGTGGGCTTGTCGTGGAGAAACCACGGCTTGTGACGATCGGCGAAACACGCCAGATGCAGGTCGGGACCAGGACAAGCCACTCAGTCAAGTGCAATGCAACAACGACGACTCGGATATATATGCAAATAACATTAGATAGGAAAACTCTAAATCTACCCCAACTGCTTCCAACCTCAGAATGAGCGACGGTACAGTAAAATACCTCATGAATTGCCGGCTCCAGCCGTCAAAAGCAGCCTGGTGCTCAGAGTATAAGCTCGCTTGTAAATATCTTCAGCCTTGTGTTTATAAATAATCGAGTTTACTCCTTGCATAATTCTATACGCCACCATGTAGAGCTCTGCAAGTACGGAGAGTACATTGTCACAGTACTCCAGCACCAGGCGCCGGAGAGTGCCCGTCTTGGCCGCGTCGTCGGCAACAAAACCCCCTTCAGCCATGGTCTGTTCCGCCCACTGGAACTGCTTCGAACTACGTATAGCATGGTTCATGTCATGCTGCTGAAGCTCCTCAAATAGAGACAAGAGGCCGTCCATGGCCATGTAGACCATCATGAGCAGGTTTTGGTTGCTCGGCTTCTGCATGCAGCGCTGGCAGTTCATCGTCATATGTGCTCTACCATGGAGCTCGCGGCCCATGAGCAGCAGCTCCTCCAGCAGCATGGCCACTGGCTTAGAGCTGTAAAAGTCGCCCAGTCTCGTGAGCATCTCTGACAAGGCCTTGTGGCATGTTTCTTCCTGCGAGCAAGACCTCGGCTTGTCGTGTTCGTCGGGCCTGAGCCTCACCGCCTGCGTGTCAGGGTGGGAAAGGCCGTGCCGAGAGAAGCCGCTGGATGGTGGTCGGCTGCTTAAATATGTCATCGTTGTCAGTTGTGTTGTTGTTGTATTGCCATGGGTACTTCTTTCGACCGGAAAGAGGCATGACTTGGCCTCGGGCTCATAAGCACCCGCTCCATACTGCGAACTCAGCGCAGTTGCCGAAAGTGCCGGCATCGACTCATACGCGGAATGACTCGGCCCCAGAGTATGTGACGCAGTAATTGTCGGTAATCCAATATCTCCATGAGTAGCATGCACCCCCAACTCTGGCATAGTCGACATTGCCCACATGTCAATATCCAAGACCATGTCCATATCCAAAACGGGAAAGCCGCCCCCGTCCATATCAACTTGAGCCGCGGCCATGGACAGTAAGGCAGGTCCTTCTGGAGCTCGTGATGTCGTATTTTCCACTTGGTGCAAGGCAGGTCCAGCTGAAGATGTCGCCATTTGTTGATGCTGGTTCAGTATCAGTGAGCGCGCCTCTTGTTCACCGTTGGTAAAGCCATCCTGTGACAATTGACAAGACTGAACTGCACTGTCCGGGGAAGTCGCTTGGTGCGCGGCACGAGGCGAGTCTGATCGTACCGTGGTGGATGATCCTCGTCTCCTGGCTTTTCGCTGCTGCGACGAAGAGTTGTCGCCGTTTTTCGGAGGTCGTCCCGTCTTCCGCAAAGGGCTGTACACACACTCGATGCCGCTCTGGCTGCAGCGGACTTTGGACAGCTGACATTTGTCACACGATGTGCGCAGCTTGGGCCCGTGGTTGGCGCTCTCGGATTGTACCTGGGTAGTCATGGCTTCGGTCGATGGTCGCAAACGGAAGCAAGTGCTGATCATCTCTTGGTGGGGAAGAGAGTGGCTGCGTCAGGGATGAACTTGACAGAGTAGCACAGGGGACGCCCGGATCTATTTATCGCTGTGGGGAGTAGGTATATACTATGAGGTTTGGGGGCGGAGCATTGTCGTGATGTGGGCGATACCGTCTGCATACTTACTCATTGACGCACACTGGGCAACATGGATCGAACGTGCGACTTTCCGTCCAAGTTAGGGCGTTCCAGCCATCGCCACATCTGATCAAATAGGCTTTTCGACAAGGAAACCAGGATACACACCAGGTAGCGGCGCCCTTGCGAGGGTACTACCGTTCCTTCATCAAACGTCTGCGTAGCATTGGGGTTTCTTGTGGAAAACGGGCATGCGAATGACACGTTGGCTTGGTCTCAGGGCAATGTTGTTTGGGGCAAGGCCTGACCCCTTGAACTGGGATATCGTGTTTCTGAGGCCTGCAACACGCTACCTTCCTTGGCTGGGTAGGAAGGACCCTGTCGAGTGGAAAGACTCCGAGGGAGCCTTCCACAACTAGACAGTTGCGGTAAGGGTTGCCCCGGTTCACGTCCCGGCCCGTGCAGACCGCTTATCCTTGCTGCACATCCTTCATTTATCCTTCATTTATCGCCGAATTCCTCAGGCGAACGATCGACAAGCCAGGGTTGCCTCGTATGTGCCGTGCCCTCGGTAAAAGGAAGAACGCCGGAGGGACCGTCTCAGCCTCGCGGCGTTGCGCGTCGTCACTCGATTATCTATCAAGTGACTCTTCGAAGATTTTGATAAGGATTCCTCACAAGCCAATAGCTTGGGAAGAGGGGAGGGGGGAGAATCGCCCGGTCGCGTATAGTTTACCACACGACAGACTACCCCAGTGGAGTGAGACTACTTGCCCGTGTGCCGGCTGAAACGGAACAAGAGCGTCGAGTATCGCTCGGCTGCCACGAGCTGCAGATCCAGCGCGCGGATACGCTTCCGCTCGGGAATTACGGACGGTCCCGAGCTGCCCACATCGAACCCCTCAAGCTCCAGTCCTTACCCCTCAAGCCTCGTCAGCACATCAATGGATCTTGACAGCCATTCCAAGCACCTTGTTTGAAAGACACATGACCAATCAAAGATTTCCACCGCCGGACACCTCGACGTCGACACAGCTGTAAAGGGGTTAAATGGTAAAGAGAGCGAGCGACGCGAGGTGGAAATCCCTGTACCCAGCAGTATTCCGGCCAGCGGAGCCTAGAATATTCTCCGAGGCCGTGATTGCTTGAAAGTGGGTCAGGAAGAGATCAGAGACTACCTATCTATCTCATCATCTCTCCACACGCAACGAGACAACGTGCAGGATCAAGCACGTTATCCAAGGAATCTGTTGCGGCAGGGGGGCACGGCTTGGTCCGGTACGCCCATAACGGCGTGGCTGGTTCGAAACTGTGCCAGATCCTCGACCGGGGTCGCCAAGTCCGACGCCATTGAACGAACCCATTGGGATAGTGCTGACACTGAAGACGGCGACATCAGCGGCGAAGGAATTGGAATATTCTATGCACTGAGCAGGCATCCTGTCAACCTCCAGGGATTCTGCCGCACCGCTCCGGGACAAGCGAGGCAGCCAGGCTATGTCCGATTTGGGAACCCGGTTCCCAAACAAAACAAAAGAAACTTGGCTGCTTGGGTGTCGGCGTGCAAAGGCCAGTGTCAGGTCCTCGGAGACTAAGCAACGTGCTACAGGTTGGCGTAGTTTTCGCGATGGCTTCTCCGTACTCCTCGTGTAGATCCGCAACGGTCCGCGGGGAAGGGGGTCCACGACGCACCGCTCACCGAACTGGCTTCTATGGTATTCAGGCTGTGTTCCAGGTGAGGTAGCGCCAGGTGAGGCGTTCGCTCCCACGCGCAGCTCGAAGCAGATGTAGAGCAACACGCACGCAAAAGAGGACACGGTCGACGTGCCCGCTCGCGCCGCTCGCGATGAGACTCCGCACGCCCTGCAGACATCTATTTATTGTAGTGAGGGTGGCGGAGCCGGTGTTTTGTTCGGCGCGGCTACTCGCAACGGCAGTCGTGTCTCGCATCCTGTCGACGAGGTGGTAGCGAATCGCATCGCGTCCAGGTACCGGGTTACCTCGTTGGCCAGGCCGTCGAGGCGTGTCGGCGGCAGGCCGGAAATGGTACCTCGTGAGCGGTGTCTTGAACTTGAACGATGCGACCGCGGAATGCAACGACGGGGGCGGGGGCGCCTTCTCGCACGGACGGCTAGCTGTAGCGAGTTGTGGCATTTCGGCCAGTCTTCATCACACAGAATTCTCCGCATTCGTTTTGTAGGCACGGACATGATGACGGACTTGCACGGCGGCCTGGCCGATGGCTGCTTGGGTGCGTTTGCACTCGGTTCGGCTTCTCCCCTCGCAGGATTGCCGATGACTGGCCGGTTGGGATCAGGGTAGGAGATGGTGGTATTATGGAGATTGGAGGAGGAAAAAGACCAAACCGACGAAATGAGTTGACAAGGTTGTGTTAACTATGTAAGGCTGGGCGGGCCGGGGAGGGTAGGCTGAGGCGGGGCCATCCGTCCTGGGGCTGACCGCGGTCAACTTTACTAAAAATAGGAGAAAAGAACCGAGAGTCAAGGTGACGAGCAGATTCTAGAAATAGAAAACATCAAAGTTTCTACAGTACTTTATTTTAGGCTTTCGCGCTAGACGGGCGACGATGGATCTCAAGCTAGCATTTGCTATAAGTTCATACGACGGGAATATATGTCAAGGAATCCTCGTTTCAGGTGTAGTCAAGATGACTGTTGGTCTCGTCTAGCCCATAAACACGGGCAGCTACGTTTCAAAGTCGCATCCCTCCAAATCGCGGCGCCGGAATAGCACCCGACAAGTCTCGCAAAGCTGCCATGAGCTGCGCGTCTTCCTCTACAAGCAAACGGATCGACTGCGGCCCCCTTTTCCCGACGACGACGACCACCCTGTTTATCTGGGTTCAAAATTTACGGCACTTCATCACGTTCATACTGCGGGTGGTCCCCAGCCGGCATCGCATCGCCCCGTTGACCATATCCGCGCGGCACGCGCGGACGGCACGGAGAGCGCGGAGTGGCCGATGCCCCGGACCTTCGACGAGCTAGGCGCCGCGGGAAACTCGCGCAGGGTCTTTGGCGGCGGCCAGCGGGCACGCCGGGTCTTACGTGGAGACTACATGACCAGCACGAGGTTGCGCGTCGCGACGCCGTGCGGTGGCCGCAAGTGGTGCGAGTGGTGCGCGTTGGGGAGCGTCTACTGCGCGGCCAGCGAGCGCACTGTGGATGAGACCGGAGCTCCAGAGCGCTGTGTGCTTCCATGACACGGGTGCAGCAATCTGGAGCACCTCGTACCGTTTGGCTGGCCAGAGGGCCGATCATGGTTGATGACGAAGAGGCCGTGTTCAATCAGACTATCGTTGCGAACGCTGGTGGTATTTTTGGTCGTGCATCCCCGACAAAGCTCCGGTCGCGTTGCCAGAGAGCGGCTGGGCTGGGTTGTCGGCGAGCGAGAACCACATCTTGGACGAGAACAGGGCCAGAAAGCTGCCGCCAATGAGAGAATCGTATGTGACGATGCTGAAGGCATTACTGTTGATGTAGACGGAAGTCGGGCCGTGCTTCTTCAGGGAACTTGTCACGTTGCGCTGAATATCTTGTCCAGTACGCCGAAAGCCGGACAACCAGCAGTCGCTGCCGGCGCTGGCGCATTCGTCAAAGAAGCCAGCAGGCGCGTTGGTATCGGTCAACGTAGTGCATGAAATTGTACAAGACGTCATCCATGAAAACACGCTCGACTCTTTCCGAAAGCATCATAGCGAAGGAGGCGCCGAGCGCGGTGCCATAGCTGTGCCCAAGAGAATGCAGCCCGGCTTGGTCAAAAGCGTCCAGCATGACAGTCATATTCGCCGCTGTCTGCGGGGTATTGACGTCGTCGCATACTCGCCCATGTCAGCCGCACAAACCTGCGCACAGTTGCCCACTCGCCGCAGCGCTCAATAACACGGTCCGCGTCCCCGTCGAAGCGGACCTGGCGCGTCCGTCGCGTCTCAGCGTCGGCAAGCACGCGCCTGCGGCTCCGAGGCGCCAGCATCGCGCAGCTCGAAGCCGACCAGATGGAAGTCGTCCCGGCACTGGAGAAACTCGGCGCCGCTACCGCCTGGCCTGCCGGGCCTGAGCAGGACGTTGCGCGCCGCGTAGTTGCTGCCGCGTAGGCGCACCAGGGGCACGGTAAAGGTCTTACCGGCGGAGTGTGAGACGTGGGGGTGGTCAATGGGCACGGTGAGGGTGCCGAACTTGGGAGGTTGGCCGTCGAGGGCACCACAAGAGGCTACAGGTCATGAACTCGTCGGGGTACCGGAGCACCATATTCTAATAGCGGCAACGACTGACCAGCGAGGAGAGCGAGAGAAGCCAGGAAATGCAGAGACTATTAAGGGCCATCAAGGAGCAGGGCGCCAAAGACCTTGAGAATGTTGCGTTTTCACCGCCAGAAAGGTCGCCGTTGGGCGACGGGTTCCTCGCCGTTGTCGGGGGCGGGTGGTGTTGGGTAGCAGCGGCTCGCACCCCGGGTCGGTAGAGACAGGAGCTGAGGAAGACTTGGCTCTGCGCGCTGTCTTGCAGGTGAGCTACGGATGATGGTTGGAAGATGGGATTCTCCCTGGTGTACCAGCAAGGCTCCGGGCAGGCTGTGACGGGCTGCAATGGGCTGCAACCTGGCAAGGCTCGGAAGCGGTCAGAAAAGGCTGGGTATAAATAGAATAGCCGGCCGTGGCGTCATGCCAATTGCAAAAGTACCTGCAGTCCATGAGCTGTCTATATGCTTTGTTGGTGGCGACGGAAGCAATCGTTCTATGCAAGCTCGCATTGAGGAGAAGAGGCGAGGCTTGGGAGTGTTGCGCCATATTATGTGGCTCTACCTACATCTAGGACAGGTACAAATTACTTAAGGTAGGTACTAAGGTTAGTAGGTAGTTACACAGTGCGCCAGAGTCACCTAGGTACTGAGCAACACCCACCCTTGAATGGGACTCAAAAACTAATTCAAGGCTCTTTCATCACGTTTCCTTTTCTTCTTGACACATTCGCCTTCTGGCATCTTTCAAAGAATGGTTAGCTCGAGGCAACGTCACCAACGCTAAGGGTATATCACACCAACACTTATGCTGCGCAAGCGTCGAGGCGTAATTCGCAGAGGTGTGTAGGTAGGTAGGTTTCTTGATAGTGGGTCTCGCGGTTGCTGAGCCTCGATGGTTTGAACGCCACGACCCCGCCACCAACGAAAGATTGGCAATGGACGCCTCTTCAGAGTTGGTGCGACGATCAAGTGTTTGGGGCAGGTATGGCGGATGTTCTTCGTCGCACGAGATCTGGTTTAACTCGAAGTCGCATTGGTTGGTTGTTTTGATCATGTCGTCTTTGCGAACACGAGCGGGTACGTCGGTAGTAGGTACCCGGGGCAACGAACTTAGTTAGCGATAGCACCAGCCACGTTATCTTAGCAGGTTACAGCTGGAACGCAACATGATCAGGCAGGGATCAGACACGGAGGAAACGCCCTTAATAGCCGATATAAGACCCAAAACATCTCAAGAAACACCCAGAACAGCCTATCTTGAGGCAGCCGGCCCTTGGACTGATTGTGTGGCAAGGCTGGATGGAAGTTGTCGATATTGGCTTACAAAAAGTAAGCTTTCAAGCGGCGTCTTTATTTAGCACGCCGACAAATTCAAAGACATGGAGCAGTGTGGCGCCTGCGGTTTCATGCTGCGCCCTAGATCCGACCTACCAAAATGCTCCCAGCAGTTGCTTGCAGACTTGCAGTGCCCCGAAAATAGTTGAGATATCTTGACCCGCCAGCCCACCAACAAGCACCTGCAGCCACTGAAGCTAGGCCTGACAATTTATGCAGCTCCTTCTGTATTTAGCACAGCGCAACCACCTGAGCGGTGCCTCCCAACCTGCTGCTTCCTTGCTCATATCTGACAACTGCTATTAACCGCCTGCCGCTCTGCTTTGTCGCCAACCTCTTGTCCAACCTCTCCCTCCAACAACAAACAACCTTAACTCTCGCCCACCCCTCCTAGCGCCCTTCGACTCAAACTACAACTATAACGAGCACAAGATCAACCAACACAATATTAATGACCTCAAGACTAGCGACCACAAGGTTGACGACAACCATTGCTCAACGCAATGTACGACCTTAGCGCCTCGACGGCCGCCTACCAACCCTTCTCCCCCGACGCTCTCCCCAATGTCGACGCCAATCACCTAGTCGCGCGATCTGGCTTGTCAGCAGGGAAAGATAGGCCGGCTTCATTTAGAGCTATCGGCATTAGCCTGGCTATTAGTTCTGGTTGCTTCATCGGCGTCTCCTTCGTCTTGAAAAAGGTCGGACTCCTCAAGGCCAACGAAAAATATAACGAAGTCGCTGGCGAGGGCTATGGCTACCTCAAGAATTTTTATTGGTGGGCTGGCATGACGCTCATGATTATCGGCGAAATTTGCAATTTTATCGCATATGCTTTTACCGACGCCCTCCTCGTCACCCCCCTCGGCGCCCTGTCCGTCGTCATCACCACCGTTCTTTCCGCTATTTTTCTGAAAGAACGGCTAAGCATAGTCGGCAAGGTCGCCTGTTTCCTCTGCATAATAGGCTCCGTCGTCATTGTCCTCCATGCCCCTGAAACGTCGTCTGTTGCGAATATTCAGCAGATGCAAAAGTTTGTCATTACCCCCGGGTTTCTCACATATGCCGGTGTCATCCTGATCGGCTCCGCCATTACAGCCTGGTACGCCGGCCCCAGATGGGGCAGCAGGAATATGCTTGTCTACATTTCCATTTGTAGCTGGGTCGGCGGCTTGAGTGTCGTCTCAACCCAAGGTCTTGGCGCATCCATCATCGCCTGGATTGGGGGGGAGCCAGAGTACAAGCACTGGTTCTTATGGGTCCTGCTCGTCTTTGTCGTCGGGACACTACTCACCGAAATCATCTATCTAAATGTCAGTCTCCGTCGCACCATCTCCTCAACAGTCTCGCTAACCTCGCCAATAGAAAGCCCTCAATCTCTTCAACGCTGCCATGGTCACTCCCACCTACTACGTCTACTTTACCAGTACCACCATTATCACATCAGCTGTCTTGTTCCAAGGCTTCAAGGCGCCTGCTAAGGATCTTGCGACAATAGTGATGGGCTTTTTGGTCATTTGCTCCGGTGTTGTATTGCTACAGTTGTCCAAGTCAGCCAAGGATGTTCCGGATACGGCCGTCTTCCGCGGTGACCTCGACCAGATTCAGACGATCGCGGAGCAGGAGCAGCCTGAGACAGAGCCCAAGGCGGACGCTATTCGCGGCACTGCGGCGATTGTGCGTAGAATCTCGCAAGCACGGCAAAGAATGGAAGAAAGGGAATTGGACCGCCTACGCGAGGAAAAGTCCATGGACACCCTCCAGCCGATTACGGAAAATGGCCAGGCACAATTCGAGTGGGACGGACTACGACGACGTAAAACTCTGGCCGCGAGCACGCGCGCTCGCTCTGTCACCTCGCCCGGCCCGGCGCCGTTCGCCCCCCCGCTACCAAGCCCACACCCACCCTTGGGCATGTCCGCGTTCCCGACCGAGCAAGACATGGATGAGAACGAACGCCCCAGCACCATGTTCTCCAGCATTGCCGGGACCATTAGGGCGCGATCCCGGACCAACGCGACCATGCCTCCTTCATATGGTGACGAGGAGGCTGGCCGCATGCGCAGTTCTGGCATACGGCCGATGCCCTTGACCGAGATTGTCCTCCCCAAGCCCAACAGCGACGACGAAGCGGGCTCGTATTACGGTACCACGCGCGAGCACGTCTTTCCCCGCGACACTGAATACCGAGGTGCCTCGCCGGGCAACGCCACGAGCCTGCCGCCGCCAACGCCACCACCGCACTCGGCACGTCGCCAGTTTTCGTTTCAGCGCGTCTTCCGCAAGACTCCCGACAATACTGAGGAGGAACGCCTCGGTCTTGTTAAGGAAGTGGACGGCACGCGAAGCGGCACTGAGGAGGAAAACGTCTACAAAGACGACCCACACAAGAAGGGCTTTATCTGAGTTCAACTTCACGAGTATGGGGAAAATAACAAAAACCTTGCATTACATTGGCGCAACTTGCGATCCTTTCGTTACAGGAATGTCGATTATGATTTTATTTATTTGATTTCTGTCTTGAGCGATCAGCCGACACGCATGTGGGCTGCGTGTCTTCTTTTTATTCCTCTTCTTCATTGATTACATGGATGGACGGCCTTGCGTTTCTGGCCAGGAAACAACCACTCCTTTCTTGGTGCGATGCAACGGACACTGTTGAAATTGGGCGGAATATGAACAGAAACGACACGTCTGCATTGCCATCATTTCTCTGGTCTTGTCACGTCTCATGACTGAAACGCCCGTAATGGTATTGTTAGCATTAGTTAGACGGGGGGCTCAACAAAGAGGGAAGAAGGAGAAATGCTTTATATGCATTACAGAGTAGCGCTATTAGCACGGGAACCTTTCCGTTACCAAAGGGGGACCTCTTTAATATAGAAGCCATATATAGTATATAGAACTATCTTATAGTTAATACGTGGCTTAACGTTCATAACGCGATTCTCTGCTAAATTTATCAAGCATTTTACTAGATTGGCTTTCATTCAATGCTTTTGAAGGATTTGAGTGTTTGTTTAATAAAAAAACTCCTTTAAATTTAAAAATCTATTCCCAAGTATTCCATACCTGATTAGAATTATTTAAGAATTTATTTGTACTGAATTCATGAGTAAAGTTTCTAATAAAACAGACATGAGAATTCAGCGTAGCTCACATCAAACCCGGTTTTTCTTTTCCTTTTTTTTTGCTTAATACAATAATCCTGTTATGCTCTTTCAAACGCCTCGTCAAACTTAGCCAGAGTGCAGCGATAGCGGAACTTGTTGTCGCGCTGCAGCTCAACAGCCTTCCCGCACGACTCTGCAGAAATCGGCATCACCTCGACCCAAGGCTTTACCCCCTTTTCGACAGCAAGCTTGAGAAGTGCCTCCATTTCCTGGTGATTTCCGAGGTGGCTGCCAGTCAGCTTCGCGGCGCCGCCAACAAACAGGCCGGCCGACATTTGCGGGAGCGGCTTGTTGGGTATGCCGACCATGTGGAAGTCGCCGGTCGGCTTCACGATGGAGAGGTAGGCGGCCATGTCGAACTGGTCGGCGACGTCGGCGCAGTTGAGGACAAAGTCAAACTTGGCCTTCCAGGGCTCGTGCCAGCCCTTGTCGGTGGTGAGGATGACCTCCTTGGCGCCGAGCTTCTTGCAGTCGTCGACCTTGGAGGGGGAGTGGGAGAGCGCATAGGTCTCGGCGCCGAGGGCGGCGGCCCACTGCAGGCCGAGATGGCCGAGGCCGCCGATGCCGATGACGCCGACGCGCTTGCCGGGCCCGACGCCCGCGCGGACGAGCGGCGAGTACGTCGTGATGCCGGCGCAGAGCAGCGGCGCCGCCACGTTGGTCTCCAGCTTGTCTGGGATCTTGAAGGTGAAGTAGTCGTGGGCGCGCATGTGCGACGCGAAGCCGCCGTGCGCCCAGCTGCCGTCCTCGTACTGCGCGTTGTACGTGTCCACCATCCGCGCGCAGTAGTTCTCGTTGCGGTCCTTGCAGAGGTCGCATTCGAGGCAGGACCACACTTGGGCGCCGACGCCCACGCGGTCGCCGACTTTGATGGTTTTGACGTGCTGGCCGACCTTGACGGCCTTGCCGACGACTTCGTGGCCGACGCACAGAGGGCCGGCGTACTCGCCCCAGCCGCCGGTGATGGTGTGAAGGTCGGAGCTGCAGAGGCTGCAGGCGTCGATTTGGACGTCAATGTCGTGATCGCCGAATGGCTTGGGCTTTAGTTCGACTTTGTGGAATTTGTTCCACGATTTCGGGCCGTCGACGCAGAACCCGGTGAATGTGTCAGGATATCCCATGATGAGTAGCAGATTGTTTGGTAGATTTGAGGAACTGAAACAAAAACGATGTATTCCCGACAACGCAGTCTAATATATAATCTTCCAGACGGTGCCAAAAGCAAAATAGTAGCTAGTAACGCTCATGATGACGTCTGGACTGTTGTTGGTGCAGACGGAAAACTTGCGTCATCGAAAGCTCATTGCCGACCCTAGACTCTAGCTGTAAATATGGTGATGGCTACTGCGATACTGAATCGACCGGTTTTTTTTTTAAAGAAATTACTGTGTAAACGTTTAGTCTTAATGAAGTTCAGGGCCATGAATCACAGTATAGATCAGTTTGCTTCAACATTTCAATCGTCACCGGATCCAAACCACTGCCACCATGCCGCAAATAAACTCTCGGAGAAGCGGGCCGTCATTACCGCCGATGAAAGCGGAATAGTCGCCGCGACTGCCGTGCTCTTTACCCGAGAGCAGTCTCGCGCTGTCAGAACCATGACCAACAGCTTTTGGATCCTACCCAGATTTCAGCAAAACCGGCAGATACCTATCTATGCTTGGCATCGACCCAATTTGTGTGGATTTGTTGATATTGTTTCTCTCCAAAGACCAAACTTTGGCCATTTCCTGCGTCCAGACTAACTATTTACCTACTCCCGCTCGCGAGAGACTCCCGTGGAAATTAGTACACGAAGTCTCCTACAAAGACGCTCAAAAGTTCACCGCATTCACCAGCAACATGACCAACGAATTTAGTTTAGTTTAACGAAATACTATCAGGAGTCTCTCTTCGTGATTTTTCGGCGTCTCCCACTCCAAAATACTCAACTGGGGTTTCCAAGCTAACGCTCCCCATGCCATACTTGGACCTCATGCGAGATCGCCTCCGGGGCAAAATCAAAAGCTTACGCGAAGGCGTTCATGAGCAAATACTCGATCCCAACGGCCCGCCATGAGCATTTTTATTCGTATTCCGCTGCGAGAGACTATTTGGAAGACTTGAATGAGGACATTGTAATAAAAGTGGATGGCCTTGCGGCTGGCAAGGGCGTGGTTCTTCCTGAGAATCGCCAAGAAGCGCAACGCGACTTGCGCGAGATGATGTTGGAGAACAAATTCGGCCCCGGACAGTCCGTACGAAGAACGTCTGGAGGGGCCCGAGATCAGCGTCCTTACATTTTGTGATGGCGTGTCCTTCAAGTCACTCCCTCCGGGGCAGGACCATAAACGGATTTTTGACGGCAACCGCGGACCGAATACAGGAGGCATGGGAGTGTATGCTCCTGTTCCGTTTGTCAGCCAAGCACAGATGCAAGAAATTGACAAGACAATCGTCAAGCCTACCTTGGAGGGCATGAAAACAGAAGGTATCACCAGAGTCTCTTGGCCGTCGCGGCAAACCCCGACGATATGTACTGGACGCTAATCTATCCTGTTTCGGTAGGCCGAACCTTTGTGGGAATGCTCTTTACGGGCATCATGTTGACGAAAGCAGGTCCTAAAGTTCTCGAGTACAATGTACGCTTTGGAGATCCCGAGACCCAAACAATGATGCTTCTCATAGAGGGGGACCTCGCGAGGCTTCTTCTTGCCTGCGTCAAAGGCCGCTTAGCCGACGAGAGGCTCGAGCTCTCGCCAGGCTACGCCTGTAACGTGGTGCTCACAGTGACCGGATATCCAGGCCCTCCACGTGCTGGCGATATTATTACAATTAGTGAGTGTCTCATCTGAGGGCGGCGACTACCGTTTGAGGAGAGAATAATACAAGAGCGCATGCTTATAGCCGTGATGATACAGACGCCGAATCGGATACCCAAAGGCATACGCACGTCTTTCACGCAGGCACCGTGCTGGCTGATGGAGCTTTGCGAACATGTGGCGGACGAGTCTTTAGCGTGGCCGCCCGAGGGATGACGCTTGAAGAAGCAGTTCAAAGAGCATATCGAGGTGTTGAGGCTATATCCTTTAATGGCATGTTTTATAGGAGGGACATTGCTTCTCAGGCGCTATAAAAGATAGATAGAGGTATATATGTGCATTTATTGGCTTTATCATGAGTACTGCAACATGTGCGGTATCGAAATAATTATGTTTATAGCTGTGCGCTACTGGATTGATTTACGTGAAATATCGCTCACTTTGCTGCTTCCTTTCCTGCAGATCCCCTACAAAGGCAAGCCGATGGCGATTGTCATCCACCACACGCGCATACTCGAGTAGCAGTCTCCAGACATACAGCTTCATATCCTCGTTACGGTAGACAGCATTCACCCAATTCCTGCTCTCTGTCGCGATAACCTCAGCCTCTGCATCGTGACCATTAAGGAAATAATGCATAATAGCATAGCGTGACGCGGCATCCTCGAGTGTGAAGGAGCGCTGGCTCAATAATCGTTCGAAGCGCTTGGTGGCGTCGGCAATAAGTCGATCTATCGGATGGGATTCGGGGCTTTTCGCAGTAGCGAGTCTTGTGATGCCCGGGTAAGGCCTGTGGCGAAAAGGCTAGAGGATGATGAGACAGAGGACGATGAAGATGACGGGCAGAACCAAAACGGCCCGTCTTCGGTACGACATGCATCTCAGAGTTAATCTCGATGGAATGCGCAACAGTCGTGTCAAGTTGTCAAGGGAGCACATTTCGCCAAGGCCTACGAAATCATACCCAAGCGCAGCAGTGGCGGGCCTGAAAAGTCCTGATTGAAGAGAGAAGCAAGGGGACTTTCGACTTCCATTAAATGAGGATGGATATAGGCATTGATTGGCCCACGGATTACCCAGCGAGATTAGGAAAGTCGTTGAGGTATCACGCGACTCCTTCTTGATCGCTATAACTTGCATGTCACGAAATGTCCATGGATATTTTGCTTATGCGCGCGGTCATATAAGCGGACTAGAGCCGTTCACCATGCCAAGTGTCTGCTTTAATACGAAGAGAGTTTCCAGTTCTCAATTGGACCAGAGACCGAGGGTGCGCCCTTACTACCCATGACGGGAGGAGGGTTTGTGTGTACCACCAGCATGCATCCTGCCTGCTTCCCGACAGCATCAGGCTGAGGCTGATGATAGCAACTTGACCCAAGTGCATCGCACTCGTACATGCACGTCGGCCCAAGTGCATCGCAGTCCGAAATGAATGGCCGTATCACAGCCCTGTTGGTAGCACGGCGCGTACGGCGTGTGCAAACATGACTGCCTAAAGTAGACGAGGCATGGACTGGATAACGGCTGGTAAATAGGAAGCTAAATGAAATTTAATACTTCACGACCCAAGGTAATTATAAGAAACGTACGGGTCCTTACTATTTTCCCTCGAGGATGTTGCAAGCCTTTGCTAATCCGGGGCGGGACAATGTTTCTCCCCAATCATTCCCCCAGCCGCCTTCCTGTTGGTAGCATCATGTTATCTGCACGTCAAGAGCCATTCCTAACAAAATAAATCAACATGGTTGACTATAGAAAATGGGTAAGCGCTTCTCCAGAACGCGTAGTTGCTATAATACTGACAGCAGTATTAAGGACAGTCTGGAACTTAGCGATGACTCGGACATCGAGGTTCATCCCAATGTTGATAAACGGTCCTTCATCAGAGCAAAGCAGAACCAAATTCACGCCGAAAGAGAGCAGCGCAAACGCCAAGTCGAAGCACTCGAATACGAGCGCATCATAAATGAGACGCTCTCACAACGCCTAATTTCTTTGATCTCTTTAATGAAGACCCACACGACTGGCAAACCGCCACCCGGAAGCCCGAGTGATGCTGCCTTCAAAGCAGCTATGCAATTGATGGCTAGCGACGTGAATGATCAACCACCTTCGCCACCGGAAGGCCTTTTCGTTGACGTGCCCAATCCGACCTACTCCAACATGATATTTCGCATTCTGGACGAAGTAAAGCGGAATTTAGATGAAAGACGCATCGATCAGCATCTCCAGAACGATGCCTTTTTGGAAGAGCTTGGCGTCCAGCTGCAAAGCATTCAAGAAGTTCAAGAGGATATAGCAGGTAGGCTTGACAAACTGCAAGCGGAAAAAGCGACCAAGATCACGAGTGAAAGCTACCGCACCGGGTTTAATAGCTCTCATCTAAATAAAGCAATCGCGCAAGGATCTCAGAAGCTACCAGCATCACCGGAGTTGCTGAATCCAGACTACGACCTACATGGCCTATCGAATAGCAGCTCATCGATCGCGCTACCGGAGAATGAAGACGGGTTACTGGCATCGCCTGCTGCTCTGGCCTTCGCTGAGATCCAATCCTCAAATTATCGAGCTAGTCATGCCTACATTCTATCTCATCCGGAAATTCTCGAAGAACGCGAAACTGACGGGCTCTTGATTGAAGCCTATAATGCAGCGATTGAGAACGAAGACGGCCCCAAACCACTGCAATATGTACATCAGGCAATGTTGCTTCAGTGCTGCCGTATGCTTGGACGAGATGGTGTCAACATCTTCTTCAAGCGGATGACCACACCGGGGCACCGATCAATCGAATTTTTTGACAAGGATGTCGCGGAGAAACTGCAGCGTATTCGTGAGCTGGCCAGAGACCAACGAAAAGCGCAGAGCGAAGGGGTGGAGCAAATTCAGATACGAGCTGTCGACCCTGGCACGGAAATCCAGATTCGTGTCCCGGAACTTGGTAGTGAAGAAAGAGTCATATTCGAGCAGCTGGCACCCGACATGCAAGCAGCACTAGAGAGTGGTTTGATCGACCGGGTAAACGAAGTGCTTGGCGTCATGGACGTGGTAGAGGCTGAGCAGGTCATAGATCTTCTGGGCGAGGTAAGTCATTCATCTACATTTCACTTGCTATGATTACAGCCTACTTATTCGCATTCGTAAAACAAAAATAGGCCAATTGCTTGAACATCGAGGAAGAGATCATCGATGCGACAACGGAGGAAGGGAAGAGGCATTTGAAAGAGATTCAAGAATCTACGGCGGCGGACACTAAAGATGCTGGAGCTGAGATTGAGGCAGAGGATCTGGACGGGGTGCTGGAGAAGCACCCTGCGCAGAAGTGATTCGCAAAGCAAGATCTCGCCGTCCTTTTTAGCTTGCCATATAATTTTCCCTCTTGCGAAATCCAGGGCAATCCACAACAGAACGAGATCAGCTACTGTTTCAGCTCACAGCAGCTCCATCTACTCCCACTGCGGGCCTTTAGTGGTTAATGCGGCCGCGCAGTGTCTACTGTGGCGCTGGTACTGACACGACGAACTGCGAACAAGGGTAAATCGGGTTCTCGTGCATACTGGAAACTGCCAGCCTTACTGTAGCGGCTCCTCGGATACATGGAAGACGCGGGGCGCAGTGCGAAAATACGCTAAATTTGAGCTTGTACGCTTTCGAGCTATTCGAGAATGCAGATGCTCAGCAATACCAGAAGGAGGGCAGGTACGTATTATGCACCATGGAATCAGTACAAGGAAAGCGAGATATCCCGTCTTGAAGCCTTTATAAACAAAAAAGCAGGGGCAACTACCAGTCGGCAGCCCAGCCATTCTCGTGGAGAAACGCCTCGCAGGCCTGCCGCAAAGCGATATTTGGACGCAGCTCGGATGCGACGAGAGGTTCTCTGGTCAGCGGATCGTAGGGGTATCGTCGGAGATGCTCCATGATGGATGCCCGCTCGTACGATTTGCCCGTTTTCGTCTGAGAACCAGACGGTCATGCGTCAGCGCAACCTTTCTCCAAATACTGCCATGGAACCGTGGAATTTCAACTCACCATGACCGGATCCACCATGAAGCCAAACGAGATATCATCAATCGCCCAATCTGGGACTTCGCGCAACCCCTGCCCCCCTAGCTGCCTCGACTTTTCAAACACCGCCGTCAAGCGCTCCTCCTTGGCCTGGGCCTCTTCCTCCACCGCCTGCCGCTCCAGCTCGTCCCCAACGTCCACCGCCGCGGCGACGTCGGCCTCGCGCTCCGCTCGCAGCAGCCGCAGCACGTCCCGCTCCAAATCCTGCTCCTGCCGCACACGCTTCCTCTCCCGCTTCTCCCACTGCAGCTTCTTCGCCCGGAGGACCGCCGTGGTGACGGCGGCGAGGGACTTGTGGTTGACGGCGGCGTAGGCGGCGTGCGCGGCGAGGCCGGCGGTCAGCGCGGCTTCGGGCTCGCCGAGGGCGAGCTGTGCCTGACACAGGTAGTAGTTGGCCTTCATGGTGGCGTCGGGCGTGGCCGAGGCCATGGCCAGCACAGACTGGCAGTCGGCGACGGCCGTGTCCCAGTAGTCGAGCTTGAGGCGGGCCATGGCGCGATTGGTGTAGAGGAAGGCGTTTTTGGGGTCCTCCATGATGCTGCGCAAAAATATCAACATGTGGTTATCATGCAGGGAGCCAAGACAGATGGACAATAGCATACGCTTGTGAGTAGACGCTCTCGGCGGCGTTGTAGTTTTTACTTTGGAAAAGGCGATTGCCCTGATCCTTGAGCTCGAGGGCACGAGACATGGTGTCGTCGTGCTGGATTTGATACTATATACCTATATATGTAGATGTTGTTTGGCTGGTATCGATATCTCTGCGGCGTACAGCACGCAGGCTTCCGCGCACCAAATTTGAGCGCTGTGGTGCCTTAGTAGGGGGGCAACGAACGCCTTATCTTGATAGGTGGCGTATCTGGCAATTGCTAGCACATGGCAGCGAGGTAGTCTCCAATCGCTGGCGGCAGCTCGGATGCGTCATCCAAAGCAAAGGAATGCTGATGAAGGAGCAGAATTTCCAGCGAGGTGTGGTGTTGCAAGGAGTGAGTGATCTGGGAGGCGGAGTTTGCGGCAAGGACCCTGATTCAGAGCTGGGTTTCTACTGTGGTGGGGGCGGAGCTGCCAAAGCTGAGAAATCGCGGTTTCGGGGCGGCGATGGCTTGGACGGATCTTTCTAGAAGCATTGTCCCCTACGCTACGACCAGTTGCACCGAGATAAACTGTGTCCGTGGCAATTTGAAGCTATTCACACCCGAGTATTACTCTCTCAGAGCTCCGACCACGATACAGTTTAGCTCTGCACCGGTCGAGCAGATACCAAAAAGGCCACGACCCAAATGGCCAGGGCGTTTGCCGTCGTGACCCGGTAACGAAACTGGTGCGCCCGCCGCCGTTGTCAGTCAAGCTTCTAGGAATCACGGACAGATTCTTTGTATTTCCGAAGGCGCCATGAGCTCTCGATCCTTTGTTTACGGCTATCCGGCAACATGAGCAGCGCATCGCGGCGCCAGTGCAAGCAGGACGCGCCATCACAGACGCACAAATGGTGCAACAAACAATCACACAACCCATATCGAATTGCGGCCCAAGATGAGTCGGCGACTTTTTCCTCGGCACTTACTGGAAGTCTGTCAAACCTGTCTAGTACGACTATCGATGCCCTGCCACACCAGCATCAGGAGTGCATACAATATACTAGCGGAGCATGATCGGCGACCGTCGCACTGAGGGGTCAATTGGAAGTCAAATGCCCGACTGAGAGTCGGCGCTCAGCCCTGTCGGGTCGGCCCTCAAACCGGCCTCTCAGACATTTTGGCTGTCCGCTGCTCTTGTCCGTCTGACACGCTGCGGCGCCCGTCCGTTCCAGGGAGCAAACGCGGCCTGTATCGGAAACCGATCAGAACAAGTTGATGCGACAACACTGTTTCGAAGCGGGGTGCGCCATGTGGTGCCAGAACGCCCGCTGAACTGGAAGTCAGCCTGTCCGTCCCACGCAGATGCCACGTTGCCTGGTCCGCCACGAGGAAGCGCATTCCATTCCGCAGTCATTTCAGCCTTGTGTAAATCAAAAACACAAAACGGACTGCCCAATAAGAACTGATCGTCCGGTACCGGCTTGAAGCTCCTGGCACGAGTTTCAGTTGGCGTCGACGACACGCCTTGCCGGCATTAGCTGAGCTGCTAAACCGCATTGGGCATACGACTCTGGATCGCCACGCTAAACCCAATCGGATAAACGATTCATCAAACTCGAGCAAGCAAACCGTCTAAGTCAACTAGTTACGCCAACGCCAGCAACATATAAATACACCATGGGCTCGCTGTGGATCGATCACATTCGTCCGACTATCTCTACAACCATATTTCCATTTTCCAAACATCCACCTGTCGCAATGTCTACCGCCCTCCACACCATCGACCACATCTATCTCCGCGTCCACAACGCCGGCGTCGTCCATCAAGAGCTCGTCGAAAAAGCCGGCCTGCCCGTCGCCTGGCCCTTTTGCTCCGTCGCCGACGGCCTAGCCAGCGGGGCCGTGTCGCTCGGCAACCTCATCCTCGAGCTCGTGCAGGTCGACACGGCGTGCACTGCGCTGCCGTTCATCCCAACCTACGGCGTCGCGCTGGCGCCCGGGTCCACACTGGAGGACAGTCGGGCCTGGGCCGCGGCGCGGGACATTGAGATGGATGCCGACGACAGCTTCTACGGTTCCGGCGATCAGCTGCTCTGGACACGCGCCGCGCTCCCACAGCTCAGCGGCGACACCCTCGACACCTTCTTCTGCCACTACACGGCCGACCAGTGGCCGCTGCGCGCGGGTGCCGGCGAGCAGCTCGCCCGGAGCGAGGGCGGCCCCCTCGGCATCACCGGCGTCGAGGCCCTGATTGTGACATCGGCCCGCTGCCGCCTGCCGCAGACGGCGGAGACGTGGAGCCGCATGGCCATGGACCGCGGGGACAGGGGCGGGCCGGCGGTGCGGGTCGTCGCTGGCGAGGACGAGGGCCTGCAGGGCCTGACGATTCGTGTGCGGGATGTCGAGGCGGCTGAGCGCAAGTTCAAGGAGCTGCTGCCTCATTTTCCAGATTCGCTGCGGTGGCAGTTCATCTAGGGCTCTGTGACTGGCGCGTCCGCTAGTTACGGCTGGGTTTTCTGTGTCTGATGTAACACTGCATATCATTAGCGTTTCATTTATCAAGATGCATTGCTCCTTTCTGCACCTTTGTGTGCCAGGTTATTGTTGGACAGACACGCGGTTGAGCAGACACACGGGCAGTGCCAAAGCATGTGACAGGCATAGACAGTCGGAGAAGTCATATTGCCTCAGACCGGGTGGTTATTGCTACACCACAAATTTCAAAAGAAACGATCATGAACGGTATGTAATTGTTCGATGCGGAGAAGTGTCAGAGAGCCATTCTTTTGCTTTCTTGTACTATTAATGCTCAAGACAGGACCGGGGCTCTGGCACTGAGGAGCAATGCATCTCGTGACCTCAGACCTCGTCTCGAGTTTATGAGGGTTGAAGGAACATGCTCCATAATTATCAAGTTAAAGAACATGGCTATTCGGTTATAAAACTGGTAAACTTGTGCATAATAAATGGTGGAATGGGCGATCGAGCTGGATCAAACCACCCAGGTGCCACAACCTTGATGGCCCAACCTGTCAATATCTACTACAGGCCAGCCAATTCGTTTGGCATCATTCATTCACTCCACGCAAACGGCCCCGCTAAATCTCATATACTGATATTGACAAGAGCTACTGAAAATATTCATCATGATACATCGCTGACAGCAGCTCGGGCACTGCCTTTTTGATTCAGCACTGCCAAGCCGCACCGCATCTACGCCCACAGATCGAGGACGACGCGTCCCTGCAGCTTGGCCTCGTGCATCTGCTCAAACGTGCTCGTCAGCTCGTCCAGCTTGACGACGTGCGAGCGGCACTTGATGACGCCCTTGGCCGCCAGGGCCAGGACCGCGGCCGCATCCTCGTTGTTGCCGACCACCGAGCCGACAATGTTGAGACTCGCGTTGATAATCTTGGCCGGGAACGAGCCGCCAATCGGCTCCGGGGTGTGCTCCGGCACGCCGACGCACACCAGGGTGCCGTCGAAGCGCAGCAGGCCGAGCGCCTGGGCGTAGGCGACGTTGGACGCGGTGCACACGACGACGGCGTGCGCGCCGAGGCCGTCGCACAGCGCGTGCACGTGCGCCGCGAGCGCCTCGCCCCCGTCGTCGCGCGGAAACTGCGTCATGTCGACAAAGTGGTCCGCGCCCGACGCGCGCACGAGCTCCGCCTTGCTCGGGTGGTCGACGCCCACGACGCGCAGGCCCAGCCCGCGGCTGGCGATCTGCACCGCGAGGTGCCCGAGGCCGCCGCCGGCACCCGAGATGACGACCCAGTCGCCGCGCTGCGTCTTGCTGCGCATCAGCGCCGCGTACACGGTGACGCCGGCGCAGAGCATCGGCGCCGCGTCAACGGCGCTCACGCCGTCGGGGATCGGCGTCACGTACCGCGCCGGGCCGAGCACGTACTGCTGGAACGTGCCCGGCGAAAAGTAGCCGGAAATGGTCTGCTTCTTGCAGCATCCGTCGCGTCCGGCTTTGCAGGGTGCTGATGATGGAGGTTGCTTAGCATAGGAGGTGAGGGGGGGGGGGGGGGGGGGTTGATGCGGAGGTGGTCAGTCACGTACCGCATTCACCGCAGACGCTGGCGAGCCATTTGACGCCGACGCGGCTTCCGAGGGAGAGCCCGGCACTTTCGGCGCCGGGACCGAGCTTGACGACTTCGCCGATGCCCTCGTGGCCGCCGACCTGGTCCTTGGGCGTGGGGAACGGCAGGAGCGCCCACGAACGTGTCATGACGCCCAGGTCGGAATGGCAGACACCAGAGTGTGTTCTGAGAGGGTCATGGGTCAGCAGGGAGAACTCTCTGAATTCGGAAACAGCACGTACAGCTTGATGAGCACCTGGCCCTCGGCGGGCTCGGGCGTGGGCAGCTCTACAATTTTGGTCGAGATGGTGCCTGGCGCATCATACACGGCTGCCCTGTACGTTGCGGGGATGTCCATGTTGAATTAGTTGCTGCTTTGAATTGTGGTCGCTTTTCTTGATGCTCTGAATAGGCTTGATAGAAAAAAAAGACGATTGGGCTCTTTATCGAGAGCAAACGTAGCGTCTGTTTTTATCTGGTGCGGAAGCTGTGGCCATTAAGTCCGGTCGCCGGGCATCACCATTCAGTCACCAGCTTTCTCCCCTCTTCACCCTCCCGCTTTCGCTAATAAGGCAGACACACGTCATTCTCCCGCCCCAGCCAAGACAAGACCGCCGTGCAACGAGGTTAAAAACAAAAAAGTTACAAGGATCGGGGGACGCCAATGGATTAGTGCGGGGTGGGAAAACAGGGCAAAGGCCCGTCATCGTATTATCAGTTAGTCGCCCGCCCCAACCCGCCTCACGCAATCGCCAAATTTACCCCGCAAAAGAAGAAAAACTCCATCGGCGGTGCGGACCAAACAGTTGACCCGGACAGGCGCTTTGATCACAGGCGGATGAGGCGGACTGTGCAACGGAATAACGGGCAAAGTAAGGCGGTACGGTCGCGCATTCCCACGGGCGCCCGAAGCCCCGAGATCATTGGACCAGGCTTTGTGCGTGTCCCCGTACCCTTTCGATGCGGGCGCGTATTGCAGTTTCGCATGTGGTCGGTCCTTTGTTTTATAAATGTTTCCTGTTTCGCTGGCCACTTCTGGTCAGCCCTCCCCCTTCTCCCCCCCCCACGAGCCGAAAAATGGCCCCGTTGCCGTCGGGGCCTCTTGAGTGTTTGAACCCACAGACGGAGCTGGGATAGCCTTTTTGCCAGTCCGCCGCCATGGACTGTTTGGGCACACACATACATTCCACCCTATAGAGCCGGCTGCTGCTCGGTTCATTGGCTTGTGGAAGGAGCGCTATTGGTAATAGGCATCATGTAGCCGACAGACAGCCACCGTTAGTTGGCCCCGAACAGGCCACTTCCGGCCGCTCGGAGCCGCCAAAGCCATCAACGCCCAGAGGATTGCTAATATCCCATGCTCGGTCCGGTCGATACATTATAATTAGCGTTGGATACCCCAGCTCCATCCCCGGATTTTTCACAAGCCAAAAAAAAAGTATATTGGCCTATTTTCCACGAAACGCTTACCCAACACTATGCCGTCTTTACTCGCGTACTGGCCCATCGCCGCCGGCATCGCCGCCCTCTACTTTTTCCAGAAGATTTGGATCGAGTATTCGCATCGCCGGCGCGCGAGCGCCCTCGGGTGCGGGCCCGTGTACCGCCGCCAGGGCAAGCTCCCATTCAGCGTCGACCAGACGTACAAGGCGTTCCGCGCGCTCCAGGACAATGAGTTCCTCAATCTCGAGGTCACCACCCACCAGGATCTCGGCCGGTCCACGTTTACTCAGCCAAACCTGGGCCGGGATCTACTCATGACGACGGACCCGGAGAACGTCAAGGCCCTACTCGCGACGCAGTTCAAGGACTTTGGCTTGGGGCCGATGCGGTTGAAGATCCTGGAGCCGCTTCTCGGGCTGGGCATCTTTACGTCGGACGGCAAGGACTGGTGAGTCAATCCAGAGTCGATCCATACATGCCCAAGGCGTTGCTGATGAAAGTTCATCCTAGGCAACATTCCAGAGCCATCCTGCGCCCTCAATTTACCCGTACCCAAATCTCCAATCTCCACGTCGAAGAGATCCACGTCCAGCATCTTCTCAACCGGTTCGAGCACGGCGCCAACGGCTGGACCAAGGATGTCAACCTCGTCCCCCTCTTCTTCAACCTGACGCTCGACTCCGCCACCGAGTTCCTCTTTGGCAAGAGTGTCAACACGCAGGTGCTCGGCGGTCCCCGCGCCGAGAGAACCACTACCGAGAAGGGAAGCGCCGACGAAATCGAGGACTGGTCCTCCTTTGGCCGCTCGTTTGACAACGCCAACCAGACCATGACGCAGCGCTTCCTCCTCATGAACCTCTACTTCCTGCACAACCCGGCCTCGCTCCAGCAATCCTGCGCCGAGGTGCGCCGCTTCGCCGACTACTACGTGCGGCGCGCCCTCGCGCGCTCCCCCGCCCTCGCCCAGGAGGAAGACGGCACCGACTACGTCTTCCTCAACGAGCTGGTCAAGGAGACGCGCGACCCGGACGTGCTCCGCAACCAGCTGCTCAACATCCTCCTCGCCGGCCGCGACACCACGGCCGGCCTGCTCGGGTGGACCACGCTCCGGCTCGCCCGCCAGCCAGAGGTGTACGCCAAGCTGCGCGCCGCCGTGCTGGCCGCCTTTGGGCCCTATTCGGCGTCGGACACGTCGCGCATCACGTTCGAGTCCCTCAAGGCCTGCGCGTACATGCAGCATGTCCTGTCCGAGACGCTGCGCCTGCACCCCTCGGTGCCGACCAACTTCCGCCACGCGCTGCGCGACACCACGCTGCCCCGCGGCGGCGGCGACGACGGCCAGGCCCCCATATACATCCGCGCCGGCTGCAACGTGCTGTACAGCACAAACGTCATGCACCGCCGGCCGGATCTCTGGGGGCCCGACGCCGACGAGTTCAAGCCGGAGCGCTGGGAGAATAAAAAGTTCGGCTGGGAGTACCTGCCGTTCAACGGCGGGCCGCGCATCTGCCTCGGCCAGCAGTTTGCCCTCACAGAGGCCGCGTACGTGCTCGTCCGCCTGGTGCAAAAGTACGACGCCATGGAGAACCTGGACACGTCGCCGACCATCAAGTCCAACCTAACCCTCACATCGTCGCCAATACAGACGCTGGTGAGGCTGCACGAGGCGTCCGACCGAGTTGAGTAATATATTCACCGTAAATGCGCGGGAACTGGGAAGCCTCTCTCGTATCGTTGGGGCAGGATGTTAGCACATGAACCATATTCTCATAATGATTACTTGATTTGAACGAAATTGCATGCTCTATAGTACGCTATCTCTTGATTGGATATACAACACTTCCGCTTCCGTGTACACGGCGCCCTCGGCGCCGACAATGCGGCCCTGCAGAAACCACTTCCTGTCGTCGCGCCGGACCAGGCGCGACTCCACCGCGTAGACGCCCGGCGACACGGGCCGCTTGTACGAGGTGTTTAGGTACGCCGTGTACAGGCGGTTGCGGGACGGCCCGGCGGCGGGGGCCTCTTGCGCCTCGACGCAGCTGCACAGGCCGTCGACGTTGAAGCCGACGACCTCGTCAAGCAGGGCGGCCAAGAGGCCGCCGTGCGTGGTGTCGCGGTAGCCGTTGAGCTTGGTGCCGAGCTGGACGAGCGCGACCGTGTCCGGGCGGCACCCGCGGTCGTCAAAGCTGTACGCGAGGCGGGCAATGTCGCCGCGCAGCAGCAGGAGCGCGTGCGGGATGGTGTCGCGCGAGTTGATCGTCTCGCCGAAAAAGGTGTCGGCGCCGTCGACCTTGGGCGCGCGGCTGTAGAAGGGCACCGGCAGCAGGTCCCGCGCGGGCTCGAGGTAGGCCTTGGTGTGCGGGATGGTGGAGAAGAAGTCAATGCCGGCCTGGTCGACGGGCATGGTGCGGATAAAGTCGAGCAGCCGCGCCGACTGGAGGTCCGGCATGGCTGGGGAGGGGGGGGGCAAGCTAGAGGTAGGTGATTTAGCAGAGAAGCTGTCGGGTCCCTGGAGAGTAGACAATGGTAGAGTGAGGGTATGTTGCTATAGGATATTGCAAGTCGACAATGCAATGCCCGCTGCTGTTGGCCGAGGAGAGAATATATACCAGTACGGATGGATACTTGCAGATCAGCCGCGGCTCTGGGCCGGAAGTTTACTCTTGGCGGCCAGGTCCACGGATTCCAATTGGTGTGGGCAGCCGGGTAGGGGTTGTACGCCGAAGAACAGCTGCCAGATATATGTCACTTGTAACCTTTCCAGTAATTCCCGATCAGATTGTATTTTTCTTCTCTTTTGTTTTTGCAATCGTTTCCTCGTCTTTCCCTTGTCTTGTCTGCCCCTGCAGCCTGGCGGTATGAGCCGCTGCACCGCCTTGCGCCTGCAGCCACAGCCCCGCCACCAAACAAATCTCTAGGCCCAAATTTTCCCTCTTACACCAACTTGACGGCTCGTTTGCCCTCTTCCTCACCACGAACCGACCAAGTCGTTGGACATGAGCCATGTCTCCGGGCATGACGCCGTATCCAGTCTCTTGACCCTCGTCATCACCACCTCGCCGACGCCTTCGGTCCCTTCGACCGGGCTGCTCTCGGCCGTGCTCGAGTCCTTCCAGACGCACTGCGAGGCGCTGCTCCAGTGCCCCGTCGTCGTCGTCCTGGACACGTACGAGCAGGTCACAGCCACGCCGCGGTTGAAAAAGGGCTACGTCACGCCAGAGACGGCGCAAAAGTACAGCACCTACAAGGAACATGTCAAGACACTCTTCCTAGAGACGTTTGCTAAGAGCGCCACGCCCACGACGGCACTGCTCGGGACGGCGAGCGAGGCCGAGTACGGCGCGCCACACCCCAACACGCCTCCCATCCCATTGACCATCTCCTCGACGGAAGACGGCCGCGTGCGCTTCATCGAGGCGCACGGCCGGCGTCTTGGCTTCGGCCTCGCCGTTCGCAGCGCCCTGCGCGCCGTCCGCACGCCGTACGTCTGGATCCACCAGCATGACTGGAGTCTCGTCCGCGACATTCCCGTCGCCGCCCTGCTCGGCGCCATGCAAGCCTCGGCCGCCTCGAGCGCCGATGCCCGCCCCATCAAGTACATTTGCCTGCCCTCCGGCCGCCGCTCCTCGTACGCCATATCGGAGCAGGTCATGCCGTACCCGGCGCTCCGCCAAGCCTCCCTGGCGCTCACCGGCGCCTACCCCGCGGGCCCCGACGTGCCGCCCGTGCCGCTGACGCCCATGTTCTTCTGGCACGACAAGCCGCACGTGGCCGCGACGGCGCACTACCTGGCGCGCGTCTTTCCGTCGCGGCTGGCCATGATGCGCGGCGCCTTCATCGAGGACACGGTCGGCCAGGACGCGCGCAACCAGATGAAGGACGGCCAGTGGCGGGCGTGGGCCACGTGGCTGTACCATCCCGATGAAGGGGCGACTTCGTGTTTGCGCCACCTGCACGGCCGGACGTGGAGAGGCGAGGAGGAGGAGGCCCGGCGCCGGACGCTGGCGGTGCGGCTGGGCATGGAGAGGAAGAAGAGGGGCAGGGGTAATGGCAGCGCATCTACGCTGTCGAGTAGTATGTGACCGGGGTCTCTTTTGAACCGATATAGATCTGTTGGGCACCCTTACTGGTTCTGTACGGACTGCGCAATCTCCGAAGCTTGGTTACCACATTGAAGTCGCTTGTAGGGAAAAATAGAACGCGGTAGAAGAGGTTGGCACGATAGACACGATAGAAATCGGGGAAAAACGTTACGACTCGACACCTCGTCCCCACGGCTGCCCGTAAAAATGGTTATCTTAATGTTAATACCAGCGCTGGCCGTGAAGATATTCCCTGGATCGCGGTACAGGGTAATACATCCTGCGCTCGCTAGTCTCGAAAGCATCGTACCCAAAGCTAAGTAGTCAAAGCCATTGCATTCTAAATCTATCCTAAATCAGTACCCTAAATCAGCATTCTAAATCAGCATTCTACATCAGTATCCTAAATCAACATTCTAAATCAGCATTTTTGCACACCGGACGCACTTGGAGCCGCGTATGGACGCCACGTATTGGATTGTCACACGATGTGTCACACAGAGAGGACTTGAAAAAAAGAAAAGAGACGGTGGCGCAACGCCATGATTCACCCGGATCTATGTACTATAGTATCAGGGGTTTCAATATTCTTACAATCTTTTCCAATAATGCAGTGCCCAATCTCTGCTTGTTGGGTCGAGTTTGTGCGCGGCGGGATCACTATAGGGCTTCATGCGCTAGCATTATCGGTACGAACTATAAAATTGGACAAGAGAAACCGGGAGAAGAAGAAAAATTCATCTGTCACACTTGAATGAAGATAAATAGTAACCCGTGGTCCGCAAAGATATTTGTGCTGCAGGATCACACGTGACGATTGACTGCAGTGGGCGGTGCAGAGCCCCCCCTTTTCTGAGACTGGGATGTATCTTTCTACGAGAGGGATCGATTGAAAATTCAATATCCGGGGGGAAAGTGTAGTTAGTATGAAAGGTAATCAATTACATAGGTACGGTATTGCAGCTTAGTGACACGACACCAGCCTGTAGCCGAGAGAATTGGTGCTTGGTGGAGCAAAGCTGCTATTTTCTGGGTCAAAAGGACTAACCTACGTAAATGAAAAGTATTTTGCGATTTATTATGGTTATGGGAAGTCTGAGACTTATACTTTTCTCGCGCCGGCTTGTTGTGCCGATAGTTGCTGCTGATCGATATTAGTTTGGGTCGATTCCTTCGCGTTGGCCTTTGACGGCGAGGGTTTTTGCCGATGAAACGTCGATGAGAGCAGATCAATGCGCGGTGGGAGATGCAAGCAGAGAGGCAGGAGAATATTTAATGATGTATTAATTAGCTACAAGAAAGCATGTTTATTCAGTTCTACCAGCATTGACGCCTTGCACGGGTTTCGGCGGCCCTCATGGACGTCACCCATCACTTTGTTGCCCAGGAGGGCTCATATCTGCTAAAGCAGCGCACCAGTTCTGAGCTTGTGGGTGGGGCGCTTTTGTACCTAGTACAAGGCAGTATTGGGTTTCCTAGATCGCGAGACCCCAATCGAGGGTTTGCGGCAAGCGGAATTACTGCAGCTCCGGACCAGTTACGGTGGGCGTACAGCGCGTGGAAGCCCCAAAAGAGCTTAGCGTAGAGGCGCGGCAGGGGGGGCTAGGCCCGTGATGGAGCACCGTTGCAGAGGAGAAATAGGACGCAGCAGAGGTATCTGCTACTTTGCCAAGGCGATGGAGAAAACGAAAGGCTGGGCTGTGTGTGTTGGTGTCGCTACTACTCTGTACTAGGTACCGCTATTACTAGGAGGTACGTACCGTACGACCTACACGGGTGATTGGACTAGTGGGCAAGCCTTTTTTTCCCTCTTTTGCAACACGCATCAAACACCAGCAACAGGAAACGGGTGAGTCTGCGTCGTCTGTCTGCATCGCAACCAGCGCGGCGTCATTGTCGAATCATACGTGGAAAGGTTGCGCCGCGTCTGAATTTTCTTTTGACGTGTGACTTGAGTGGTCTGCATTTGCGACGGTCGCGCAGCAAGACGCGCAAAACAGCGAGCGTCCGACCTACAGTTGCACCCAGGTCGCCGACGGACCTACAAAGCGCTGTAGCACAGCTGTGGTACAGTGCCTCTCACAGGCCGTTGTTTGAGCGCTGCAAAAGGTACGCTCTCTCCCGCGCTATCGCGCACCCGTCTCTTTGTACTCTTCGCTCTACACCCAAGTCCTCGCACCTGTTCCAAGGCTCACCACCAAAACCCCGATTCCCTTTGCCCTTTTTTCCCTCCTCTTACAACTACTTTTGCTCTTTGCTCTTACTCTCACCACATACATAGCATGCTCTCATCAGCAGCTTGCCCGCTGCCCACCGGTGTCGCCTTTTTTTCTTCCTCGCCACCCGGCAGCTTTGCCTTTCAGGTGCTTTGCCCCTTGTTTGCTTGTTGATTTGCAATTTTTCCAGCCCTGCATTGTTGTCGTTTTGGGCCGTGGGCGTTGATCGCGGCGCCCCTGGTCTTATCCTCTTTTTTTTTGCCCTCGTCCCTAGTCGGACTAGATGCAACAAGACGGATACGCACACAGGCAAACAACACAGCACAACCCACCCTGTCTCTCGATCGTCGTCTTCAGTCATCATCGTCTTGCCTGATGACCTCTGCTTGCATCCGCTAATACTGACTTTCCAAACGTAGGCGTCCCGACCCACTGCCCGTCCGAGCTCCGGGCTCTGGCTTACCTTTTTTAACCTCTGAGGCGGAACTGGGGTGGCCCTGGCTCCAGTCCAGACATCGCTCTTCTCCAGCCAGTAGGGAGCCGCGCTAAGAAAACAACGACAACTTAATACAACACATACAACACAAAACCACACTGCAAATCCTCAGGTCTTCAACTCACTCCGGCCTGCTTCCTTTGACCCATCCCATCTTTTTCCCATCCCCCTTCCTTTTCCTCTCTTCACCCCAATCCTCCTCATCCATACATGATCCTCTCTTCGTTTCGCCATGCCTGCTGAGAATGAGTCCCCCGCCCGCGAGCCAGCTACTCGCGGCCGCGGCAGGGGCGGGCGTGGCGGTCGCGGTGGGCGTGGCAGAGGCGGCGGCAGGCTCGCAGCTTCGGCTGCCGCCTCGACCGTCAAGTATTCCGTCTCCAAACCCGGCCGTGGCGGCTCGCGAAGGGGCCGCGCAAAGACCTTTGCCGATTCTCGTGTCCAGGGCGCCTATGAGCGCCAGCGCGATCTGAAGGCTCAGTACCAAGCCGTCGCCCTTACCCTCCGCTCCGCCCTTCAGGAGCTCGCCGAGCGCAGCATTGACGACATCTTGCAAAATCCAGACCGTTTCAAGACGGTCCCGGAGCATCAACCCATCGTCCGCCAGCTGCAACACTACTTGGACCATAGGGTCGCCGAGCACGGCCGCCGTCGCGACGTGGACCTCAAGCTCGCCAAGGATACACATGACGCTGAAGTCTATGTTGCCGAGCGCGAATTTCGGGTACGTTTCCAATTTGTATTTTTTTTCCCCTCCTTGTGATTGCCGCTTTCATTGTTTTGCTCGTACATCCCGCATGTCCCGTGCTTGGCCCTACTCCTTTCTTCTTATTCCCGCCTTAGCCTACCCGTCTCTGCTAACACGTCTGTCTCACCCAACCCACAGAATGCCGTCGATGATATTGTAGAGCAATTCTACGAAGGCCAAGAAAACAGAATTCGCATACTAAACACCATCAGCAGCCAGGGTCTTCCTGTCGATGTGAGTATCTGCCACGGTATTGGCACGCCGCGCTGCCTCGCCGTTTGCTTGCCCGCAACCAACGCAACTGACACTCTCAACTATAGGTCCGTGATGACCAGTATCAGTACAAGACTATCTCTGATGCCCATCTCGACCGCGAATTTGGCATCTATGAAAGCTACAAGAATGGCCACCTTGTCCCCTACCCCTCGCGTGTCCCCGGCACCGAAATGTGGAAACGAGGGCGTATTGCTGCCGACGCCGCTTCGGCCCCGGCCCCCTCCAACGCTACCGCCAAGGGAGGTCGTGGCCGCGCGCGTGGTGCTGCTATTAGCAAGCGCCGCGCACTGGAACAGCCGGATGGTCAGCCGACGCCCAAAAAGTCGACTCGCGGCTCGGACGATGCTGCACTTTTGCAGCAACACATGGCTCCTGCCCCAGCCAAGGGTCTCCTCGCCTCCGCCGCTGAGGCAGAGGCCCACCCTAACGGTGTTGCCGAGGAGGAGTCCGTGCCAGCATCACCAGAGCCGGCCGGCCTCACCAATGGCACATCGGCTGCCGCTAAAGATCCAAGCAAGCTGCATGCCCGTGAAAAGAGTCCGCCTCTGCCCAAGAATATTGGCGAACCCGACGAGTACGGTATTCGTTTATATAACCAAAGAGGACCACGTGAAAAGGCCATGACCAGCAGATTCATGGCACCTCCCATATTCACATTCAATGACTGGGAAATTGGCTTCCGAGATACGTCCAATGACTCCTCCAAGGGCCATACCAGGGCCAAGCGCGGCAAGTACCTTGACACGCCTAACAACACTGGCTGGCACTTTGACCATTGGTGCAATGGTTATGATTTCTCGAGTATGAAGCCGGGCGACCTCGACAAGGAGCTTGTGGAGAGACACGGCCTCCACCCCAAGTACGGCATCTTTCTACCCACAAGCACAAACGACTCCATCGAGAGTGGCCCCTGCAACATTCCTGGCAAGCCAGTAGTTTTCATTGCTACACCTTCCGGCCGCGTTTCGTATGCGTCGAGGTCGTTCATTCCCACCGTGAACCATCGACGCTCTGAGGAGGCACCTTTTCGCCTCAAATTTGGTGCTTCGCTGCGTCGTTTCTGCAAAGTGGCCGATCTTAAGGAGGGTGATATTTCCATTGCCGAGTATCTGCCATCTTTCAATGAGTGGAAGAGGAAGTCTCTTGGCACCGCTGTTAAGGAAATGAAGAAGAGGCCTATTGTGGAGATTGGCTCGGAAACAGACGAGGAGGTTGAGCCCGAAGAGACCAACGAACCTGTTGATACTGGCATCTCCGCAATGTCGGTCTTGACTTATGCGTCCGCCTATGTTGCCGCCCAAGAGACACCCAAGGCTGCACCGCCCCCTCCTCCTAAGCCAGCCCGTTACGACGCCATTCGTGACGTCTTCACCAACACACGCTCGCCACCGCCCACCACCGCGCCTCCAGAACCCGCCTCTCTCGGTCTTAACACGCTTGCAGAGCTCTGTAATTTGAACGCGCGGCTTCCTGGTGGTACTGTTGTGGCTGTTGAGCCGGAGTACAGGAACGTCCTTGAAAAGGAGGAGACGCCGCAGGCCAGCTCTTTCGGACACCTGCCACCCAGTCAGCGCGCCGAGCACCAATCGCCGTATAGCTACTCTTCGCGCGACCGAGCGTATCCTCAGCCGCCAGCCTCGGGCACCATCCCGGAAAGCAGCCCATATCCGCCACTCGATCGTGGTCCTCCGCCGCCGGCACCAATGGACTACAAGTCCCACTACCCTCCGCCGCCAGGTCCCATCTCACAGGAGCCTAGCTACTACTACCCTCCACATGACCTTCGCGACTCTATGGCACCGGGACGCTCCATGGATCATGGTTATGGTCACCGCCGACTTAGCGCTTACGGCAGCGAACCTCCGCCCCCCCCTCAGTCGTACTCGCGAGGCCCATACTGGCCTCAGCCGCATGCCCCGATTACGCAGCCGACACATTACGGCGCACCGCCTCCACCGCCCTCCCGACTATCCTACTCGCAGGCTAATGATCCTCTACCTCCTCTGCGGCCGCCACGCCGGCAGCATTCGCTGCCTGACGAACCCATGCACGACGGCCAGCGATCGAGCATCCACAGCGGCATCTATTATCCTCCCGGCCCAGCCCGGTCTTACCAGCGCAGCGGTTTCACGACAGAGCCTCTGGCACCGCTGCAGCTGCTCCAGAGTGAACGTCTGCTGCCTAACCCGCAGGCCCAGGGCTATATGGGATCGCCACCGCTGGGCTACGCGCACCAGGTGCTATCCCCGACATTCGGAAACCCTGGTTTGCCTGGCAACATTGGGCAGAGTCCTCCCGGCACACCTCAGGGACCGCATAGTGGTATCCACCGCCACCGCTCTACGCCATCGGGCTCGTCCGATGCTGGCTCTAATAAATACAGAAAGCTGCAGCCCGCGCCCGTTCCCCCGCACCGGAACTGGGCAAATAAGCCAGAGCTGAAGACGATCCCTTATGACCATAAGGAGACCGGTTCGTCTGCGGCACTTCCAAGCTCAGGCCCCACGCAGATCCGAGGCTGGAACGTGAACCAGCCGCGCAAGCGCAGCAAGGCAGAGAAGCAGGAACGCGCAGAGTCGAACAATGATCGAGACGATTCCAGATAGCGTCCGGAATTATCCAAATCATGCACCTCCGGCACTGGTGCTGTCGCGGTGGCAGCGACGGCGGCCAAAGGCAAGAGCAAAGGCAAGAACAAAGGCAAAAGCAAAGGCAAGAGGAAGGCCTCGCCGCCGCTGTCAGAAGCCAGGGTGCACTTTTGCGAGCCGTTGCTGGGTCTGCCACCTCTGTTCCCGCGCGACCAGCAACCACGCGAGTCAGTGAAGCAGCCGTCGATGTTATTTACGCCCACGTCTCTGGCGCCGGTTCCAGAGGTGCCGTTGGAAGAGGCCGCAGAAGCTGGCCAGAGCGAGCCGCCACCTAAGCGTATGCGACTCAGGACCAAGACTCAGCGGAAGACGCCGGCTGAATTGGCGAGGCCAGCACCGTCGAAGAGGAAGCGACAGCCGCGCGGGAAACCGAGGCGGGAGACGCCGGTTCCTGTGCCTATCCCAGGCGCCTCTTCCGGGCCGCCTGCTGCAACCTTGACACTTTCCACCGAGAAGCAGAGCGTGTCCAAGTTGTGACGATGTCTTGGCTGGGGGTCGTCCAAAGTGTGTCGTCTCATTTGTATTTGAATTTTGTTACTATTTTTACCACTTTTTTCGGTGTTTCCATTTTGCGGTTCTTTGGTCTAATCACCAGCATCAGCAATCATTGGCGTTTATCAGGAGTTCTTTTTTATTGTCTCGGAAATTTTTCGATTACCATTGTACTCTTACTCTCGTTGTTTTGTTCCTCTTATTAATTCTCCCACATTTGTCATGAGAAACGCTCAGCAGGATATACGGCGGTGCAGGGGGGGCACCAAAAAGGGCTACGGAGTGAGAAGAGAAAAACTTGGATTCTGGTCATGTTCCCCCCCCATGATGTTTTTGTTTTCGTTTGTCTGCGTGGCGGTGATTTGGGAGGGAGTTGCACTGACAGGAGCAGAAGAGCGTTTTTTTCGGGGGGGGGCTGTTTTTCTTTCCTATGCATTATATATAATCTTGATCATATATGGCGTTCCCTTTTCAACCGTTGACCTTGACAGTGACAGGTCTGTATTTTCCCTCCCAAGTAGCGAACAAGTCATTGCAAACCAGATTATAAAGGGTGCTGTTGAAGCTCACGCCGTGTTTAAAAATCACAGAGTACGAAGAGTAGCCAAATGGGAAATTGTTCATGTAGCAAGAGATGCCTAAAAATACACTTTTGTTTGATTTCTTTACCTTCCAAATCAAATATTCAACATGGCCTCATGGTGACAAAAAACCCTATCTTGCATGGCCGTATCTATACACCCAAAAGCAAAAACAAATGAACTCTGATTCTTTCTGCGTTTCTCATGTCTCGTGTACAACCAACCCCCCTTTATCCATGGGCCACTCGCGGCAAGCTCAGCTGGGTTGGCCAGGCTGGCCGGAGACGGCCGCGGCGGGATGCTGCGTGGGCTGCACGCCCTCCTGCGGCTGTTGCTGCAGCTGCTCGAGACCGGGGATACCCATACCGTTGTGCGCGAGACCGGCGCCGTTTACCGAGAAGCCGACCTGGCCCATCATGCCCAGACCATTCATATCCACCAGCGGCACACCGCCGGGCATCACCACGCCATTGACATCGGCGACCCCGGCGGCGCCGGCGGACAGCAACTCGGCGCCGAGCGCGCCTTCGGGGTGGAGCGCGTAGACGAGGCCCTCCATGGTGTTGCCGTCAAAGATGACGGTGTTCTGGATCGGCTGCTGCGTCTGCCCGAGGACGTTGATGACGTCTTGCGCGAGCTGGCCGCCGAGGATGGCGGCGACGGGCGCCACCTCGGCGCCGAGGTTCTGCAGAAACGCGCGGAGGAACTCGGGCCGCAGCGTCTCGGGCGGCAGGTGGAGCGCCTTGTGTTTCTGCGTGGCCAGCTGCGTGAAGAGCTTGAGGTCGTCGTGCGTGGCCGGCAGGCCGGCGCCGGCGGGCCGGCGCTGGACAAACTCCCAGAGCGCGCGCAGGCACGACAGCGCGGGCGTGACGGCGCGCAGGCGGCGCTTGGACGCGGTGTACTCTGCGGGGAGCGTGGCGATGTCGCTGGCGAGGAACCAGGTCGAGTAGAGCTCGCGCTTGGAGACGGACTCGACGGTGCGGCCGCCCTCGCTGCGCGTCTGCACGCTGAGGATGGAGCGCGTGCGCGTCTCCTGCTGCGGCGCCTGCGTGGGCACGTTGCCGGCCGCGCGCTCAATGACAAAGTCGTGCTCGATGAGGTCGCAGAACAGGAAGCCGTAGAGGCCGTGGGTGCCGGCCGCGTAAAAGGCCTTGCCGTGGAGGCGGGTCGCCGTGTTGATAAGGTTGAAAGCGTCCGGGTCCAGGTCGGTGGCGACGACGACGTCGAAGCGGGAAAAGTAGCTGGGGCCTTTGCTCTTGACGCCCTCGGCGTCGACGTGCACCTGCACGCGCGGGTTGAGCCGGCGCAGGGCGGGCGCCGCGGCCTCGGCGCGGTTGCGCCCGACGTGGCTCGCGCCGCCGCCGTCGCTTTGGAAGAATTGCGCGCCGAGGTCGGCGTCCGTGACGGTGGCGCTGTCGAGGATGGTGACGGAGCCGACGCCTGCGAGGACGAGGTTCTTGGCGACCTCGTTGGCGAGGGCGCGCATGGTGATGAGCAGGACGCTGGCGTTTTGGATCTTGGCCTGCGCGGCCATGCCCCAGAGACGGATCTGGCGGTCATAGAGGGCGATTTCGTCTGCGAGGAAGAATGGTGGTCAGCTTTTGTAGCGGTTTGGGCGAAAGGCAGTGGGGGGGGGACTGTGTACCAGCGGATATTGGCTTGGCTTGTGGCGGCTCGGGAGCAGGCACTTGGCCGTTGGGAAACATGGAGGGCAGGATGATGGACGGATCGCCCATGGGCAGGCCGGCCATGTTGGGGTCCGGCATGAAGCCGGGGTCGGGGAGCAGGCCGGTCATTGCATCTGGGTTCTCGGAGTCGAACTGCGTGGCGCCGTTGGCGTGAGCTGATGGAGGTTGGGGCTGCGCTTGCGCTTCAGCACTCGTTTGCTGCTGCTGCGAGTCCATCGCGGGGTACTTGTTTGGAGAAGGGTGGGATTATGCAATGAGTTGTGTAATATAGGAACGGAGGACAAAGAGCAAACGAAGTTTTCGGCGAGTGGTGAAAAGGGCAGCCAGAGGAGGTGAATGTGCGCGCGGCAAGGAGCCGCCGTAGGTATCGTCGCAGGAGCAAATGAGCGTGTGGTGAATCAATCGAGATACCAAGGTCCGCAGTAGTGAGAAACTCACAGGGTACACGATTTTCACGGGTCGGGGTTGATGAGATGCAAGGTGAGGCGTTGGTTGTTGGTGGTCCTCCGTGCGAGTCACTTGTGCAACGAATTGTCAGGCAAAATTGTTAGCACATGACCGGTGTGGTCTTGGTAGCGCCACACTGTGAGAGGTACCACTGCATCATGGCGTCGAAGTGGTCTCAACGAGTCAATATGGGACAGATAATGCAGGGTGATAGAAATAATGGGAGCCATAGTGACGGATTTTTCAGATGTATTTTATAATTCAAGTCCGGAATCCTGCTCGCCGTTGCCTAGACATAGCCGTTGGAAGATGAACCACGGCCGCAGGTTTACATGGCGACATAGAAAGCACAGCTAAGGAACTAGAAGAAAATCATGGCCAATTCAGCCGCTGTGACTGAACCGTGTCATGGTTTGTTCAAAATAGTGTCTCGGGGCTTCGTCGCTTTTGATCTATGCAAGATGGCCTGATGAGGTGAGGTGTGCATGTGCAGCCCTTTCCAAGGACAGATCGGATTTTCGGAGGTATATCCACGGCTCGGCAAATGCTAAGATGTAGAATCCGTACAATCAAATTATGAGATACCAAGGCGTTGGCCAAGGTTGTGTCGAGTATATGAAGTTGCACGAACGCTTTGACACGACAGACTGGGAGGGCTTACGGCTGATGCAGGTAGGGAAGTGCGTGGAAGGGCATGTTGAGCCCTGGAGGGGATGAATATGGCTTGGAGAAAGAAGCAGAAGAATGGTTTCATTCGGCAAACCGGTGACTCGCGAGCAAACAATGAGGGCATGTTAGTGATGGAGGCGCGAAGAGCACTGTAGAAGGCGCACCGTATGGCAGAATTCTTATTTCCTCAATTGACAGCTGACAGTGCGCTTGCTTGCCTCTCACAGACGCTAAATCCAGATGTTCAAGCCCCAGGTAGCCCCAGGAAGCCCCAGGCTACAGAGGACGCTAGGTACCTCAGTTGGGAGAGAAAAATGAGAGCACTGTAACTTAGTAGGTAGGACTGTAGGACTAGCCTAGGTGCGAATTACGGAGTAAATTTTAACCCTAACATTTCTTCACAGCCGGCCATGCCGCCGTGCTTACCTCGCTGTGGCTGCCTCCAAACGAGCCTCTCTCCCCACTGCAGCCTGGGCATGGCCACCTGGCGCCTGGCTGCCCTCTTCTGGTCACTCAAAGAAAGCCCACCATCCATCGCCGTTTGCCCACATGATGTGATTCAAACAGTCATCCATTAAGGCCAGTCCCCCCCCCCTAGCGTCAAACTTCAGAAAGACATCTTTCCTCGCCGGTTTTCTCCCGTCTGTTCTTCTCTATCTTGTGTCTTCTTCTTCTTGCCCTCGACGGCTCGCTTCCAGTCGACCCGACCATCTCACAGTAATACATCATCGCCATTTCCAATTCGCCCACCGCAACCACCACACCTGCAAACTTGCTGCGTCGTCGCCCAATCAATTCGCCAAAACTACACCGTGGCATCACAGTATCCGATCAGCAACGTCCCTCCTCATCTGTCCCGTCCCGGTTGCGGCGTGCTTGCGAAACCTCGTCTGCCGCGGCCGTCAGTCGACTGTGCCCTCATCCTGGCCTGACTCGGCACTCATTCGTCTCCCGTCGCCGCCCGTCGCCGACCTGCCCTTGTTCTCCCGTCATTACGCATTTGCGGGCTTCGAATAAGCTCGCCACGCCCGCCCAAAAACCTCCGAACGCTTGCTGAGCTCTTGGACGCTCGCCTTCCGTCTGCCATCATCATCCCGTCAGCAGCTCCAAGACACTTGCCATTCCGGTACCCCAGCTTCGCCCCGACGTTGCACGGCGCACATATTGCTGCACCGTCAACAGTAATCATATCTGGCATATCAACAATTTATTCGCGCTCGCCTGAATCACCAGTCCTACCTTTTCCGCTCGGCTCACAGCCACCCAACGGCCCAATCTCGCCCGCAAACGCGAGCGCCCTTTCACCTCACTCACGTCTACCACCAGGCTCCCTCACTCATCGGCCTATCGCCTGACTACCTGCCGAAATATTGGTCATAAACCGCCACCAACCTGGGCCGCGACCCTGCTCACACCCTTTTTGACCTGAACGCTTGTCGCCAAACCTTGACGCATGGCATGCATCCGTCGCTTACCACACATCTGAACAATGTCATGGCATAATTCCAATGATCCTTCGCGGCAGCCGCCAGACTCGCGCCGCACAGGTCCTCGGCCCAACGACGACACCGTGCACCCCTTGGGCCACATCCCGCCTCAATCCTTTTTTAACGCAGCCTCCAACGCCACGCCTCTACCCAGAATAATTGCCGCTGCGCGGGAACGGATGGCCAGCTCAAATCGCGAGAGGATCAACAACATCCTTGGCGATAGTCCATACACGACGCGGCGCTGGACGCCCGCACCCGGTGAAGCCGTCCGCCAGCACCCGCGCCAGAATCGCCTCAGCCCGCCGCCTTCTCGGTTTGATGTTGCACCTCAAATCAATGCCTCGCCACACTCATCAGTGTCACCCCCCGTTGGCGACTTCACCTCGCAGTCGCCCTACCCCAATCGCATAACCAGCCTGGAGCAGCTCGATCGCACCTTGGATGAGGCCAATGCTCACCTTCGCGCCCTATTGGACATGACCTCGGCCAACAGTGTCTCGCGCCAGCTCTTACCAACCAATCACTCCCCCAGCTACACTCCCTCCACACGCACACATGACTTCACCTATGACAACCAACGCAACAAACGCAGAAAGGTTGAGGATGAGAGGTACACCCATAGTGTACAGAGTTTCCGCTATGGCCACTATGGCCAAGTTGAACCCGGCGAATTGGAAATGGAAATCGCCAGCTGCGATGGCGGCATGTTTTCCAACGAGCTGTCTTATGCTGCTGAAAACATTCTCAAAAATGACAGCTCTGTCTACTGCACCTTAGGGAATCGGTGCAACATTGTCCTGCGCCATCGGGGTTCCACAACGTTCACGCTGTCCGAGCTGGTCATCAAGGCGCCAGGTTCCATGAACTATTCTCATCCGTACGTACAACGCATATTCCTCCACCCACCCCCCTTGCATCCCGCTAACAACGTCTTACAACAGCGTGCGCGAAGGCATGGTCTTTATCTCCATGGAACAGGATGACGTCCTGCTGCGGACCGCCCAATTCCAGATCCAGTACGGGCCTCCCACTGGTATCGCCGCCGGCACCACCGCCGGCACCACCACCGGCAACGCCGCCACGGCACGCGACCGTGTCACCTTTACCAGCATGGATCCCCGCGCCCGGCTCAGCCGCGAGGCGCAGCAGACCCTGTCCATCTCGCACAACCGTGACGGCACCTCGGCCACGCGCACGGGACGTTCCTTCCTCTACAGCTCCGGCGGCGATCACGACATGCGCACGCCGCAGATGCCGCGCGAGTTTAACGTCAGCCAGCCCAACTTTCAAATCAGCACCGAGTTTAGCGATGACGAGGACGACGCCGTTACCGCCAGCGTCGCCGCCCCCGTTTCCATTCTCCGGCGGCCTCCCCCTAACCGCATCGGCCCACTGCCATTTGAAAACGATGAGGTCGACTCCGACTCAGACCTGGATGACGGCCACGCCAGTACCACCTTCACCGACAACAACAGCCTGCGGCGCCTCCGGCGCGGCGACTCGTCCGGCGCTGCCCCCGCCCGTCATCCGACCAATATCAGCACCACGAACAACCTCCTCAACGTCAATTTTGGTCACTACGCGCCCCAAACCAGCAACAACAACCACGGCAGTAACAACACCGCGCTCGCCGATGCCTGGGACGCGCACGCCAGTGCCACGCAAGAAGCCATTCGCGCCGTCGGGGGCGGCAACCTGCTCGCCCCGCACGCCCGCTTTCATTTCGAAAAGAAGAAGAGCAAGTGCACGATTCGCTTCGATCCGCCAGTCTCGGGCCGCTTCATCCTGCTCAAGATGTGGAGCTCCCATCAGGACTTGAGCAGCAACATTGATATTCAGTCCGTCATTGCTCACGGCTTTGCGGGGCCGCGCTACTTTCCCGCCGTGGAGATGCGTTGATGCGGTCTGGGAAGAACGTTGTTGGAAATCTACCCGCTCGAGGGGTTAATACGGGATCATGTGCATGGTTGCGTGCTACACTGTATGGAATCATGTGCTTCAACGAGTGATGCGTGGCTATATTATGCCCTTGCACTTACATTCTTTATTGATACATTGCTCATGGAGTTTGCTTCTCGTTTATACTTGATTCGGCCAATTGGATGCATTTACACTGTATATAAATACTTTGCCAGCAAGTGTACATAAATGTCACATCTACTTTCCTCAAGCCGCTGCATATGGACAAACATTGAAGCCTCATTCTTGCGCAATAACGATGATCTATATCAGGCAAGAGCTGTGGTCGGAGTTGAAGCCTGCGCCTGCCCTCAAAATTGCCTGTTTGCTTCTCCGTCACTGCTTCTCCGTCTCTGCGTCTCGTCCCTCTTCTTCTTCGTCTTCCTCTTCTTCTTCCTCCTCCTCTTCTTCTTCTTCTTCTTCTTCTTCTTCTTCAACCATTTCCACAATCAAGTGCCACAAAGCCGCTCATCACTATCCTTCAGCATCCATCTACTTTCTACATTTACAAAATTCATACCATATTCATCACAATGTCCAACCCACCCGACTATGCACCAAGTCCCCTACACCGAGCGGGTCACATTTTTATCCTCTGCTTTCTTGCCCTTTACGCCGTCCGACAATTTCTCGTCGTCGTATCGCGGACCGTCCGAGATGGCGACGTCGCATGCCTCAGTATTTCCAGATTGGTATATGGCTTGATGACGGCGGTCGTGTTTTTTGAGCGCTTAGGACCGGTAGACCCCGTTTGGGTCGTTTTGGGCGTCTTCTGTACAATTTCTCTACTTGTGTGGAGAGGCTGCTGCGTCTGGGCCTCTCGGGACCAGCCGGACGTTTACCCCTGACCATCGTTGCGTCGTCCTCTATGGTTTGGATGCTGCCACTGACCTTTGTTGCGTCCTCTATGGTTCGGATGCTGCCGAGGACAGCGTATTGTTTATCATATTGTGCTGATGTGGCAAGGAAATGGACGGGATTTCTTAGAAGATTGTTTTACGAGGAGATTGTATCTCTTTAGCTGCGGGTGACAGAGAAAAAAAGATAGATACTGTCAGGGCATAGCGGGCGAGACGCCAGATGAGGTAGCGACAATTCTAGGATGCAGCGATAAGTGTTTCTCCAGTTAGCCGTATATTTGCCGTCGTGGTGACAGACAGGTGTAGACGCGAAAAGAAGCATTTCAGCGCGACATTACGTTTTGTTCGTCGTCGTCGTTTGTGACAGGGCGAGGGGAGTAGAGAGATGGGGCACACCAAGAATCAAGAATCACCTGCGTCTGTGCAATGGTGCCGCCGATATGATAGACGTCTCAGTGTTTCGAAGCTAGACAGTTTGGTGGGTGCTGCGAGTTCTGGTCTACGAAGCACCTCGCGAGTGCTAGCCTGGCACAAACAAATGTCGTGGTAATAAAGGCTTGCTCCTGTGACACTAGCCAATATTCCTGGAAGGGCTTTTTGGTGAGAAAGTCAAGAGCACGGATGCCACCATTAGATTTATGAGCGCGCAGGGTTCAGATTCGCCATCGACAGGTGCTGCCACAGGAAACAGGAGGTGGTTAGCAAGATTGTGTGTACGGCCAGTGAGAGCGCAGGATTGGATGGTAGTGCGCGCCTTGGACGTCTCGGATGCCGCTATAGTGACATTGCGGCTATAGCATGTGCATGAACTGGAGATGGCTGCGGCGAGTCGCGCATGAAACAAGTGCATGTTGGAGGATGAAGGGTTGAGGTACTGCTTGGAACTTGGAAATTAGTTGTCTGTTTGCAACGAGGGCTGCCAGCTGGCACAATCGGTAGGTAGGGATGGCAAGCAGCAAAACGGAGGAGCATCATCATCATCATGCACCGACAACCACTGTATGCCACCAAGACGGAGAAAAAAAGATACAGATCTAGAAACACGGTGCCACAAATCGAACATCACGTCCGACAAACGCGAAGAAGAAAAACCCGACATACCTCCAAAGAGGGGTACTGACGCAGCCGGACTCTACACGGAAGCATCGAGGTTAAAAATCGTCACCAATTCGAGACAACGGCTCCCTTGCTTTGAGGGTGCCCAATCGCATCCTGCTGTAGTCCACACTGAGACATTGTTCGAGGGGCCGTTCTGCCAGCAGGGCAAAAGCCGGGCGGTGGTTCCATTCCAGCGCCATCTTCCGGCCTGCCACTGGAATTCGAGGCTTCCTTCACCAGCTTCGACTAAGACTCCACGCCTCAAAGGTCTGGGTTTGTTGAAAATGTCTACCAGGGCCGCTGTCTGGCTATAATTTCTTTTTTCTATTCTTCCTTTTCTCTCTTTTCTCTACGACATTGTCCATCAACCATTGCCCTTCGTACCTTTTCTTTACTTCCTACGTGGCTTCTCTTTCACACAACGTCGGGCACCAACACCTTGAGCCCATCGAACCCCGTTGTCCTAGTGATATCGAACATCGCCACGCTGGCTGCCAAACCACACCACCAACCTCTGTCTGCCAAGTGACCGTCACGAGAAAGATTACAAACAGGGACACAGACCTTGAATATTTCGCAGAGACTGCAGACGGAAAATCAATCTTCATCGACGCCAACTGCTGAAGAATCCGAAGAATCCCCATACATATCCCCTTTCACCTTCATTAATACTGGCCCACTTGGAGCGTATTAATACTGGGCGCCGACGCCTCTTGGTGTGCAAGCGTGATAATAATGGCAGGCATCGCTGTCACTGCCTTTGCCCATGATGATACCCCAGTAATAAAGGGGCATGAACAACCGCGAAACGGGCGCATGACGGACCTGCAGCACACTCCTGCAGATTCATCCGGTCCTGTCCTTTCCTCTTCTTCACCATCACCCAGCACTGCCCAGTTGCAACCGAACGAGACTGCCTTCATCATCCACGAGCAGCGGCTGTGCACGCCGCATCGCCGCCAGACTTATACCCGCCGCCCAACTAATCTCACCGACTCATCGCCCAAGTCGCTGGTGGGCACACCGAGAGCAGCACCGCGAGCTAGACAAGGGTCGCACGACACTCTCGAGTCCACTCCCAATAACACCACTACTGCTGCCTGGTCCAGCCTTCGCACTCCTGAACCAACTTCGCCGTGGCAGGAATCAACTTGGTCACACTACGCCGGCCGTCTTCGCAACATCAGCCCGCTCCAGTCGTCGACCGTTTACACGACGCCTGCCCGGGCCCGCGCCACACGAGAGTCGTCTCCAGCGAACTCGTTTAGGCCGAGAACCCCTACAACACCGGGTGCCTCGACACTTTCCTTTCTCGCCGCCAAGATGGCCGCCCTCGCGGCGCTGGCCTCGCCCGCCACCCCCGGCAACGGCAACGGCTGCGGCGACGAGCTAATTGATCTGGACATTGAGGCCGCGCTCTTCCCGGACGGCGCCACACACGACGACGAAAACGGCGACGAGGCCGCGGCGTACAGAAGCCTGCAGGCCAACGCCGTTGGACTGCTGCAGCGCTTCCAGACCACCTATCAGAGTCAAACGATTGCGTTTCGGACGCTCCGGGCCGAAAAGGAAGCCCTCGAGGACGAAAAGAGCGAGGCAGAGACGAGGGCCCGCCACGCCAAGCTGCAGCTGGACGAGGTCGCCAGTAGGGCGGCCGAAAAGGGCGCCGCCATGCAGGCCTATATTGACGAGCTGCGGCGGGAAAACAAGGCGCTCTTGCAAGAAGTCAACGCGCCCTCGACGATATCAGAGGACCTGGGCGCCGAAGAGGATCAATCCAAGAAGAGATGGCGCCGTAGTGGTGACACCTTCAAGACGGAACCGGGCTCCGACACGGACGGAGAGAGTGTCGCTAATGTCAGCATCTTCTCCCGTTCCAGAAGCCCAACGATAGCGACTACGATATCCGAAATGGGCCCCTTTGAGACTGTCCCCCGCACCCGGTCCTCCATCACTACAACCGGCCCCTCTCACACAATAACCCCCCAGAAGCCACCACAACAAATGACGGCATTTCGCAAACTCATGAAGGGCATCTCCGGGGAGGACAGTGTGCGCACCGTCGCCGCATGTAGCAACTGCCAGGGTCAGGACGCGAGCGTCGCCTGGGACACGGCCGGTCTGATGCGCGACGAGAACCGAGGTCTCAAGATGCGAGTCACCGAGCTGGAATCGGCTCTCGAAGGCGCGCTGGATATTGTGAATGGCCTGGAACTATGAATTGGAAAGTCCACAATGATATGATATATGTGGCGTTGCGGGGAGCTCGGGTCTTTACCTTGATGTTTATTTAGATTGGGTTACAAAACTAATAGCCTACGGCCATGACCGTGCACGTTTATGACATGAACAAGTAGAATTTACTCTACAATACATATTTTACGATACAATGTAGATTGAACAATTGTGAACATTCAAGTGCACGACTTATGCCCTTTTGGTATTGCCCCTCGTTTCCTCCTGGTGCGTCTACAAGGTCTATGCTGTGCACCTCCTTGACGCAATTGCAGCTCCACCAGCATCCATGCATGCTGCCTTTACAATCGTATTCCCAACGTAGCCTGCGTACTGTCTACCTAGCTTGCTTGGCCCTACGAATAGGTTAGTATTGGGACACAATTGGTCTACCACAGAGTAATGCATGCCGCGGTCACCACATTGTAACCGACATGGTTGAAGTATTGTATTTGATTTGTTAAATTCCCCCGGAACCGTAGTTTACATGGGCCGACGCACATAAACAAACGAAACAAAAAGATGTATGATGTGATCCGGCCCCCCGAGATGCTCACTCTCCCACGAGTCCGCAGGCATGCAACTGCCTAGCACCTTCAATCTCCTTCGGAAGCCCCCCAAGACATTTGGGCCTTGTACCAGTTTTATACATTTCCGATGCCAATCGCCCATCGCTTCCCCGTTACCGCACACGATATCCCCCCTCGCTTGCTGCCTTCTTTAATGGTGCGCCGCCTCCTCGCCGTGGTGGTGCTCGTCGTGCATGAAAAAGTGCTCGTATGTGCAGTAGCCAGCGAACAGCACCGTCGCCGTGCCGAGACCCGGGAGGGTATTGCGGAAGCGGTTCCAGCGGGTAAAAGGGCCCTGGGTTCTCCAAGCATCGCTGTACATCAGGATCCAGCAGCTCATGTTAGCAGTCTGTTCTTCACGTTGTCGCAGCACTTTCATTCTGGGGTTCGTTTGGATGTTGAGGCTCATTCGGGAAAACGTACGCTCTCTCCCAAGGGTCGTAGCGGGCACTGCCGGCGGCCTCCTTGAAGGCGCGCATGCTGAAGCCGGTAATGTTGGCCTTGCCGCCCTGGGCTGCCCTCAGTACTCTGTGTCCATCAGGAAATGTGTTAGCCCTGGTTCTTCGATCTTCGGTCTTCGGTCGGACGGAACGGTGTGGTGCTCGGGGAAAAGCGGCGGGCTGTCTTGGACGCGCCAATTGGACGTGGTAGTATCGGAATCGCACCTTGTGGGAAGCATTGTGACGTATTGATGAGCTGAATGTTGAAACTGAACGAAGATGCAGACACACGGGTAAGCTGGGTTGAATGTCGCATGATTGGGCGGAATGTCGGATTAATATTGCTCCAGCGCTGTATCTGGCTTCCCTATGTTTTTTGGCCATAAACTAGTCCTGCTTCGGTAGCACCGCGCACGGGCCAGGCGGCACCGTCGCCTTTGCTAGCAACCTCTTGCTGTGAAGGGTTGTTCCCTCTCCTCGCATCAGCACATCGTTAATCCGTCCAAATTTCCAAAAAAGACCGTTGAATACCGTTTATTCTTCGCCGCCACTGGCGCAGCTTACCAGGACACTGACACGTGTCACTTCCCGGAACCACGTCTGCCGAGATACGACACGTCTTTCGTCGTTGCGACCACGACTCATTGAGCCCAGCGACCGCTTTCCTAACCTGTCTGCCCGCCTGTGACGCAGTATTGATAGCACAGTATCACTTAGTGCACAAACAATAAGAAAACGATCACCCGCTCTCGTGCTACGCTATCCAATTTTGTTCCTCCTCGACATTGGTTGGACAAGGAGCAGTGCGCGCGCGCCACCGCCCATACGCAGAGCTCGTGTTGTCCACACGACCCGATGCACCCTTACTACAGGCCACAACAACCTCCTCCTTTCCGCAGATCCCGTTCCTAGAACGCGCCCCGTCCTCCAGATCACCACTTTTCGCAAGCTACATCAGCAGGACCTCCCGCCGTCGGCAATCAACCACCGAGCCGGGTATCCTACTACAACCAAGCGAGGGGCTTTGTAAGAAACGAACCACAAGCCTTCAGAAACCAGGTTCCGCAATTCAGTCGACTGTCCCTGGGCCCGAATCCGATATACCAGAGCCAAGCGAACGTATACCAGGCGCCGCCCCAGATACGAGTTCCAGCTCGCCAGTTTCCCTCTGTCCAGCATTTTCATTCCGGAATGCCTCCGCAGATCCGCGCCTTCACGGCCGGCCCAGGCGTCGGCGCGCCGTTTCACCAGCCCAGATTCCCCTCGCACGGGCAACCACAGGGCGGCCCCATGGCCGGTAACCAATACCTGAATGCGAACAACCAGATGAACCCCTTTGGGGGCGCGAATGGCAACTTCAACGTTCCTGGGCTCAACGGCGGCGGTGGCTTTCCCGACTCTGGCTTTGGCGGCCAGGCTTCGAGAATGGGATTCACACACGGCCCGGCTGGCCTTCAACCGTCGCAGCATACTGGACAACTACACCACAATGCGCTGATGGAGCACCCGACGATGAGGCCTCAGCAGAACAGAGGGCGTATACGAGAGGTGTGGAAACATAACCTTAACGAGGAGATGGCGGTCCTACGAGACCTGATAGAAAAGTATCCTTATATTGCTATGGTGAGTATCGAGACTTGTCTGTTCGTCGAGAGTGTTTATTCACCAAACTAGGATACCGAATTCCCAGGTGTTGTATCAAGACCAATGGGAGGCTTCCGTGGCAAAAGCGATTACCATTACCAATGCCTGCGCACCAATGTCGATATGCTCAAGGTTATTCAAATCGGCCTCACACTATTCAACGAAGAAGGCGAGACGCCACCCGCCCGACCAGGACCAGAACTCGGCCTCGGCCCTGCTGCGCAAAGGAGCGCCAACCAAGGTCCCTTTCCATACGCGTGGCAGTTCAACTTCAAGTTTTCCCTGAAAGAGGACATGTACAACGAAAAGTCAATCGAGTCTCTTCAGCAAGCTGGGATCGATTTCAACGCTCTGGAGCGTGACGGCATTGACCCCAAGGACTTTGCTGCGCTCTTGATTCCGTCTGGCCTGGTCTGCTTTGACGAGGTCAAGTGGGTTTCATTCCATGGCGGCTACGACTTTGGCTATCTGACCAAGCTGCTGATCTGCACACCCCTGCCCAATGACGAGCTCGACTTTGACCACAAGATGAAGCTGTACTTTCCCTCGACGTACGATGTCAAGCATCTGATGAAGTATGCCATTCGCTTGCACAACTCGGGGATTCTGTCCCCCGCTGATCCCGGTAGCGCCGAGATCTTGCAAAAGTTTGAGCACAAGTCGGGGCTGGAAAACATTGCCGAGACGCTCAAGATTAAGCGCATTGGCACCGCTCACCAGGCCGGCTCCGACTCGCTGCTAACGGGCAAGGTATTCTTTCAGATGCGCGATCGCATCTTCAACGGGGACATCCCGGACGAGCACATCGGCAAGGTCTGGGGCCTGGGCATTCCCGATAGCGGCATGATGATGGCGTCAATGATGAACCGCGGCGATGACGGCGGCCTCAACGGCACACCGCGCACGCCCAATACGCACACTGCGCAGCTCGCGTCGTCGACGCCCGTCCACAACCAGGCGCCCGGGACCAACGGCATCGGCCATATGGGCCCCATGACACCGGGTGGCGGCGGAGGCATCTTTGGGAGCTTTGCTTTTAGTGGTGCTAGCAGGTAAAGCAGCTGCCGCCACTCATCATATGCTGTCTGCGGCGTTTAGAAACTATGGCGGAAAACCGAAAGAGAAAGGGCACTAACAAGGAGTGGCTCGTCGTGGGAAGTCGCATGTGGTTTTGGATTTGTTTTGGTTCCCTTGAAGACGCCACATGTCTTTCTTTCTTTTCTATTTCATTTGGCCGGTTTTTTTTTTCTATGCATAGTATGAGAAGAATGGGAGGGGGATAGGGATAGGCGTTGGTCCTCTTGGCGTTTTTTCTCTCGCCGTCCTAATCTGTATTAGAAACATTGTGCCGAGATGAGCGTTTACGGATTTCTTATTGTGCTTGTCGCAAAGCACGTAAAAGATGGCAAGAAAGATAGCGTGTCGGCAGAGCGGCTTGGCTTTTGGTTGGTTGTTTTTGTTTTTCTCATTTTTTCAAAATCAGTTCCATATCTGTACAACTATGATGCAAATTCTTTACACGTCATCGCGGCACATCCTCTGACAGTCAACGGACTCTTGTGATTTTGATTCCAAGTATGGTTATTATTCATCGATGACGTAACAAAATTCAACGCTTTACGGATATAAGAACAAAAACTCCATACGGTAATGCCTCCCAGAGGACCAAAGTAAATTTCCAAGCTCTGATTAATCTTCGCTTTTGCTTGCAGAAGAAAAATGCTACAACCCCCTCCCCCCCCGAGCGCAACGAGACGGAAACAGGCGACGTCGCGACACTATGTAATAAAGACCCTCCTGAGACTTTCGCCAGGATAGACCTCACCAGTGACGATGTCTTTGACGAGGGCCTGTGGCAGGCCGGCTTTTTTGGCTTGCTCGCTGAGGCGCTGGCGGCCATAGACGCGATTGTTGGGGAGCAGGACGAGGTCGTGCTCGACATGGCTCTTTGTGTGGTGGGCATAGGGCACGTTGCGGGCGAGGTCGTTGAGCTCGACGGAGCAGATGGGGCAGACGCCGTGGCCAATGGTGGACGGCGGGTGCTTGTTCTTGCCGCCGCCGCCGCCGGCGGCGGCGGACGAGTGGCACGCGGGCGTCTTGAGGGCGGAGAGGCCCGAGGAGAGCGCGAGGTGCAGCAGCGGCGCCGGCGGCAGGCCGAGGAGGCTGTAGTGGGCCGTGGTGAAGACGTCGGCGAGATGGGCCCAGCGCGCGGGGGCGTAGAGGTGGGCGTAGGCGCGGTGGCTGGCGCCGGGCGGGACGGCGAGCAGGCCGCCGGCCTGCTTGACCTCGGTCGGGTATGTGTGCCAGTAGGGGATGAGGTGCTTCTTGGCGTGGGCAATGGCCTCGAGGAGCTTGGGCTGGGACTGCGTGCGGATGAGCTCAATGTACTGCTGGAAGCGGAGGAGGAACTCGAGTTTGCTCTGCGTGCGTGTGTTGTGTTAGCTTGCTTGATTCTCGCAATGTTACTTGGTAGAGACGATGAGCAGAGGGGGGGCAGTAACGCACCTCCATCTTTCGGAGCTCCTTCTTATTCTCGGTGCACCACGCCAGCGCCTCAGCAATACTACCGCCTCGCAGGGCCTCGCGGATATGGCTCATGCTCTTGAACGTGTCAATGTCGACGAGGGCCTCGATGCCGCGCTCGCGCGCCAGCTGCTCGGCCGTGTCGTTGTAGCCGTGGCGCAGGAGGTAGTCGGCCAAGAGGCGGTCGAGGCGGCGACGGCTCCAGGCCTCGTAGCGGACGTCGTCGGCGCCGCGGACGGCGTAGAGCTGGTCGAGGTGGACGATGCGGGCGGCGGACTGGGCGTGCAGGCGCTCCTCGGTGTCGGCGTGGGCGGCCAGCTTGCGCTTGACGCCGCGCATGCGGCCGAGCATGGCGTCGAGGCTGCGCAGGGCATCCTGCTGCGTGGCGCCGCGGCCCGAGGCGGCGGCCGTCGCGGCGTCCTTGAGCAGCGTCTTGAGCGCGGCCGTGTCCTTTTCGATGGTGAAGTGGGCGGCGCGGAAGTTTTTGCGGAGGAGCTCGTTGGGGAGTCGGAGCAACCACTGGTCCTGCGCCGGGGGGGGAGGGGTTGGAACTTTGGTTAGCAAGGACGTGGCATCTTTCTCGAGGGGGGCAGTCGGGCAGTCGGGCAGTCGTGGAGATGGGGAGGGTCGAGAACGTACGAGGAGGAGGTGTTCACCGTGCTTAAGAGTGAATTGCTCGTGCTCGGCCATTGTGTGCGTGCCGGACCTGAGAAGGTCGGGCAGAAGAGGGGCGCGAAGAAGAAAATATGGTTCGTGGCGGGATGGAGTGACGATGGACGACGGACTTTTGAGGCGGGATGATGGTTGTACGTTGCGTTGCGGTCGGGCTTGAGGTGGGATTACGTGTTAGCGGTAGCTTCTCCAATGATAGGGCACGCGCACGCCTATCTCGATGTAGAGACGGGTCTCGGGACGCAATCGTCTCCTTTTCGTTATCGGGTTCTCTACGATAGGAAAACGAAAAATGATAGTCAAAATGATCTGTAGATTCCAAATTCCAAGCTAAAAGATCTTGCTATCATCTTTTTACTCCGTCATGTGGTATCGGTGCCTACAAACTTCTTACAGGGGACGTCGATGGGGAGCGGGACGGTCAGAAGGCAATCGATCAGACAGGTAGCGGGGCGGGGTTCGGGATGGACACGATGACGGCGAAACTAAGTAATAACTAATGTTGAAGAGCGGGATTCGCGCCTTTGAATGCTATTGCAAATCTTACAACAGGAAGCTACCTATCCAATATGCTGGAGCTTGTCGTGGATGCAGTATGTGTGCGCCTGCTCCGTCTCTGGCTAGGTACCTACCCCAAGGTACTTTGTGCTCGGTGGTGAGGTGCAGCCAGCAGCACGATACAGGCAGCCAGCAGCATCGATACAGGCAGCCTGCAGCATCGATACAGGCAGCCAGCAGCTTCGATACAGGCAGCCAGCAGCTTCGATACAGATCTGCATATCTGTTCTCACGAGTATGATTATTTTTAGGTCGAGCCGCAATAACTTTTGTGCCAGCCTGACACAGACGGGTACAACACCTCTTATCCATCCGTCGTCACATACGGATACTTGCCCATCATCACATCACCAAGCCTCCTCAACTACCGATTACTATACGCCAACTTGTTTGCTCCCATCAAACACACAAAGGGGCCCAAATGCAGATGGCACCCTCGACGAATGACACGCAATGATATCTTCAGCTGAAGACGGAACCGCCTTCCCTAGCCCCCATTGCTGTTTGCTCGAGTGACACAGGCGGTGGTGGAGGCGGCGCGCAGTCCGTCTCCCTCAGAGCTAGGTATGTATGTAGTTTGTACAACATAGCCTCACTGAGTCGCCGCCGCCCATGTCGCCACGCGCTGGCCGCCTCAACAGGATCGGCCTGGATAACCTGGATAGGAGACTAATCTATGACTCGGCTTGCAGGTGGCTCCCAGACATCCAGGCCTGCGAGGACGGATTACTCGGGTTGGTATCCGACAGCGGAGCGCGTGGGCGGGCGCGCACTGGTTTGGGGGCTTTGTTTGTGTTGCTGGTGGAATTATGTCCAGAGGACAGGCTCCCGGCCCCCAATATAACTACTCGATATGTTTTTTGGACTGCCCTGACTAATCTTTTTCTTTCTGTTTTTGGTGCTTGGAAAATTCTCATGGCTAGATAAACGGTTATAATAATGAGCACGAGGCGTCGGCTGTTGGATTATTATTAGTTATTATTAGCTTCCATGTTTGCGAGCGTGCTTCTGTCTGTGCTACGATTGGTGGCGCACGTCACACTACAAAAACTGGATGCCTCACATCCCAGGCCCAAACGTCTCCCACTCCAGCTCATATAATCTCCCAGGCTGCACGTGTTTTGGTCCTCCCTCCATCCTCGTGACTTGGACCCCCCAGCCCGCCCGTTTGCTGCACGCGCTTTTGGTACGTGCCTGCAGTCAAGACTGCCCTCGGAAACCAACAAAGACCGACCATTTTATTAAGAAATCCCGTCATTTTCATCGCAAAACCCCTCGCAACCAAATCAACTCGCCCCTCGGATTTTTTTCCTCTATTTTACCGCCCCAAAACGTCGCCAGCGACCCTGCTACCGCCCCTCTCTACACGCGCTTACTTACATCCTATCGCGACATCACGAGATTTGGAACCACGCAAAAACACGTGAGGCAAAACCCGTGATCTCCCCCGAGGCCCAGAAAACACCTGATCTGGCTGGTAAGTGCATCCTCCAGCACCAAGACGCCCGCTCCTTGATGATTTTGCCATCATCTCCTCGCGATTTTGATGCCGCAAGTGCGAGTGTCATCGCTGCCCTGCTCCCTGCTCCCTGCGAGCGTTCGCCACTTCTCTGCCCAACAAATTCCCCTCATTCCCCCCTATCCCATCCACGATGAGGCCGCCTCGGTCTTGCAGCTCGACGTGCACGTCGCCATGAGCTGCGTCTATCTCGTTGGCGCCCTGCACGTCCAATAGCCGCTGGGCTGCCTTCTGTCGCGTTGCACAGACGAAAAAACAGCGATTTTTTCGCCTCTGTTTCTTCACATCACATCGTTATCGCGACGCGCCTGCCATCGCACAAACTCAAAAGAGTACTGTATCCAGCAGCCCGCGATGGTCTGATACAGTGAATTTTTTTACCGCCCGTATTTCTTGCTGCACACGGCGGTTCGTCTCTCCCCTCACCAATCCCCTTTGTCTCCCCCCCCCTCCTCGCGTCGTCGTCCTTGGTACCCGTATTTAGCTCTCTCTAACCCTCATCAGTCGTAACCACATACACATCGTAAAGCTGGATTACCATCAGGAGGACACCATGTCCGACCCTCTTGCGGACCACCCAGATCTCACTGCCCTCACGGCATCTCCCGGCCAGAAGCGCAAGCGAGAACCTGAGAGTCCCTCGCAACGTCACAAGCGCATTGCACCTCCCGCCACCATGACGGCTGCCGAGACTGCCGCCTTTATCGAGAATGCCATCGAGGCCACCAATGCTGCTGCTGCAGCTAACGGTGTCAACGTAGCCGACTTTAATGCCCTGCAGCAGGCAACCCACGGTGACCACACAGACCACGCGAGCAGCGATGCCACCACAACAGCGCAGGCCGCCCTCGGCATGTATCCCACGCTCCATGTGCCCCCTTCCACCGAGGAGCAGTTTGCCGCCCAGGCTGCCGACAGTGGCGAACAGCAACATGACCCCAGTGACTTCAACACCGACATCACGCACGATTTGATGGACCAGGTCGCACCTGAGCCCCAAAATGGAGTGCAGCAGCCGCAGCAGCCGCAGCAGCCGCAGCAGCCGCAGCAGCAACAACGCCACTACTCGGCGTCGTCACAAGGGGGCACCGCCAAGCCGCCCGTGGGCTCCGACGAGTGGCACAAGCTGCGTAAGGACAATCATAAGGAGGTGGAGCGCCGGCGGCGCGAGACAATCAACGAGGGCATCAACGAACTGGCCAAGATTGTTCCCGGCTGCGAGAAGAACAAGGGATCTATCCTGCAGCGCGCTGTCAACTTCATCTCCCAGCTCAAAGAGAATGAGCAGCAAAACATTGAAAAATGGACGCTCGAGAAGCTCCTTACGGAGCAGGCCATTACCGAGCTCAGCCAGTCCAATGACAAGCTCAAGCAAGAGTGCGAGCGCCTCTACCGCGAACTCGAGACGTGGAAGCGCGTCGCGCAGAATGCCGGTCTCGAGCCGCCGCAGCCCAAGGAGGAACCCAGCGTGTCGGGCTAGGAAACCGCGTCCACGCTGTTGACTCACTTTGCAGAGCCCTTTACTTCCCAGGTGTCTTGCTGACTTTGCTACTCTACCCTCATGGCTTTGAAAGCAAAGAGGTGGAATGCAGTCGCGTGAAGGTGCTATGAGAATGAGGAGTCACTCTTCTCTTTTCTTTTTCTCGTCCCTAACAGAGCCACAACCCCCATAATGAGTGTATGCTCCCCAGAAAAGTGGCGTTGTGCGAACTTGTTTTGTTCTTGTATCGGTGATAGGAGTTTGGCGTTGGCACTTGGATGATTATTGTCTTTGATGTTTTTGGTTTTTTTTTCTCACAGTTGGGAATCATGGCCCGGGCCTGGACGGATGCCGAGTTATGACTTGGTCTCCCCCGTGCCGTCTATATATTTACCGGTTGTTTTGGTGTCTTCCGGTGACCTTTATACAGGACAATCCGCATATATTCTCCCTCTCACGCAGAAAAACTTGTACAAACTGCATGTGATACCTAGGTCCGCCACTTCCCTCCAACTGCTGCCTGGCCTTGTACCTCGCAGCAGGATTCCATGGACTGCTAGCAAGCCGGCAACATGAATGACCGTTCGCGGTGGCGTCCCTCCAGCACCACCGACTCTGTTTCAACTATCGTTCTCAGCCGCCTGGATGACCACGTCACCTGGCATCGTGACTTTCTAGTCTAGTTTTCTCACCAAGCAACGGGACCAATACAGAAACGGACAATGCAAAGATGAAATATGAACCCCAACAGTCAGTATACATCAGTGGCAGAAAGTAACGTTGCGTAGTTTGGCCAATAGTCTTCTTTCCTCCTTTTGTGTCCCTGAGTCAAGGCAAGTTCATCTCCAGCACACACAGAATTGCCAGCTCATGCACCCCCCTCCCTCCTCGGCGCCTCTGGGGTCAGTGTCTGAAGCTAATAGAAATGGGGGTTTTTGTTAGATGCATTCCCCGCTACCGAAATCAACGACGATGGGGAGGGGGGGTCAGTGAGAAAACAACCCTCTCTCCGGGGTCGAGGATCTCTGGAGAACTCGGGACGGCCAACAGGTGGATGGAGGAGGGGCGTATGTGGGAGGGGGGGAGGAAGCCCGCCAGTTTGGGAGGTGGACGCGAGACATTTCATTGGAATAGAGTTTTGGCTTGCATTACATCAATACCAGTACACCGTCTTCAGCCTTGGCCCGTTGCGGCTTCCTCTCAGGCGTGCGGTGGCCTAAACAGGGGCCGCAACCCAAGGGGACGGAGGGTTCACGTTTGTCTTGGGCACTGTCCATGGTTTGGTTTTTTTTTCTTGTCGGGCAGAAACTAGTTCTTTTCAGTGTCCTTGATTTTCTTGATTTTCTGCCAAAACGTCCCCAGTTCCTTGGGAATCAGACCATGTCTCGGCCGAGAGACGGCCAAGACGAAAATCCCCCCCCTCACCCTCCTCGCTTACACGCAAACTTCTATTCAGTCCTACCATTTCGTGGGGGAACAGACATGTGTCTGACAACTTTTTGTTATTCTGACATGTCAAAAGGCCCGGCAACATTTCGCCGGGCTCCGTTTTCCATCGACCGGTCCGCGCCAAAAGGGGGCCTTCCCCCTAACTAAAATACCGACTCGGAATAAACTTTGGCTCCGCATCATCGGAGCGTACGCCCACGCCCCCCCGGGCCCCGCTCCGGCCTTCTCTTTCTCGGGGACCTCTTCCTCTCGGGCTCCATTGTGCGCCCAAAAAAAAAAGGGAACTTGTTCTGGATTTTTTTTCCTCATCTACCGTTGGGTACCGAGGGAGAGATGGGCTGCCAGATTAACTTTTTTGAGTTGTTTTGCCTGGCAATCAAAAAAAAAAAGCCGTTGAAACCGGCCCGGGAACCCGGTGCATTTGCATAAGAAGACGCCCGGTAAGGTTTAATACAGGAGGACACCCGTGTGAGAGGATACTGGAATTCCGTTTATTTTCCGTCTTTCTTGTTTTGTGTATAGCTTTTGGTCTCTTGGCGCTTCTTGTTTCCGGCTAGTTCGTTCTTACGCCATTTGGGCACGGATCAGGCCCTTGTTGGTGCCGACGGGATAAGAAGATAAAATATGACAGATTGCCTGCTGGCCAGAATCTGACACTCCAATGCGCCGGGGAGATGGTGGGGGGGGGGATAAGATCAAGCAAGGATGAAATAGAATCCGTCATATTTTTGTTCCCTTTCGCATATGTTACTATTCGCACTTTGATATCAGATGTCGCATTTTTAGACGAGGCGTCTTGGTCACTAGTCTTGTCTTGTCTTGCCTTGTTGTCTCGCAGATCCAGATCCCGCCTGCAGGATCTCGCCAGGTTTTCCTAACACCATTCCAAGGTGGATCTTTTTTCTCGTGGCTCCTTGCCGGCGTGATGAACTAGTGATGCCTTGATTTTCTTCTTCTTCCCTTTCGTTAAATGACCATCTAGAACATATAGTCAGTCCTTGGCACGCAAGCTTGCCTCCTACTCGATGCCACCCCCCCCCCTCCCCTCCCCGCCTTGGTGGACCATCCATGTATGTACATCAAAAGGACCCTGCCACCAAATCCCCGCCATGCTAACTATCGATTGAAATGGCTCCTGTGCAAGCGCGTGAACATGTCTGGTGTTGAAAGTGGTTGCATGAGTTTCATGCGTTTGACTCGCGCGCGCAGTTATGAATGTCTTGGCTGGTTTCCCATCCCACGTGTCATGCTTGGGTGGCTGCTATGTAGCTGTTGTCGCCCATGGTATCCGTACAGGTATTGATGGTTGGCATGCTTTCAAAGGCACGGATTTGCCTAGATGTACGGGTCTGCCGAGGGGCACAAGGAAAAACGAGTATTTGCTAAACTTGAAACACAGTTCCTCTATGGGCACGTGTGCACACGCAGCACCCAACAGTCATGTTACTAGGGAACTATGCAGTGGAGTAACCAATAAGGTGCTCTTGGTCTAGAATTGAAACCATCTTGTTCGCCGACAGCTTTCAAATATGCCTCGAGAGAAAAGCGTCAGATGACAGGCCCATGCAAAATGAAGGCGCAGCAGCTCTGTGATACTCAATATCCGTACAGTGCGCAAAGGACACATGTGGCGTTGGTTGCACTGTAGCCTCATCAAGTCAGGAGGCTGTCTGTCGTGAATCGTTAGCTAGCGACTGCTATCAAGTTCTATACGTCCAGTCCTAGTTACACCGCCGACTGCCAGTCTAGACGTTCCTTGACAGCTACCAACGGCCCGCCTCGAAAAACCCCGTTTTATCGGGAACACGGCCCGGCGACAACAACCCGCGCCACTAGTATTCGGCCGGCCGTGGCGGCTCCACGCCCGGCACGCTCAGCTCCCTCATCGCTGCCCCGCCGGGGAAAAAAGAAAAAAAAAGAAAGAAGAACCACTGTGGGTGGAGGGATTGATTGATGCGACACGGTCCATTTCTTCCTCTCCAAATCATTCAGCACACATGTCTCGTCATATCAAATCCTTCTGCACGGCTGGAGCTTCTTCCAACGCAGCAGCAACAAATAATGCCCTACGCAAACATGACCCTGAATCACTTCTTTTCACCATTCTCACAAATCTCACAGAGGCATAGACACATACTGCATCAAGTAAGTCTCAAGCCAATCCATTGCTTCACCCATCCTATGTACAACCTCTATATTCCCTAGTCCACCCCAAATTGTGCGGCTCCCGGGTTTTATCGGTTCATAGAAACGGCACAAGCTTGGCACTTACCTGTGACCCGTCGACCGGCTTCTCTTCACCAGAAACAGGTAAAGCAACGACCGGTGGCTCGCAAAAGATAGTTCCATCCAAGTCGTTCATGGGCATAAAAAGCTTCGTCATGTGAGCGACAAAAAAACATAATGTCGACGGCTTTTCCCATATATTAGCCAAAAGATGACGCCCAACGGCTGGCCGCACCAAAAATCGCGTCGTCCCAATACACCGCCTAGCAACGCGCACCCCCGACGAGAGGAGATCTCGGGGGGAAAAAGCCCAAACAATGCTGAGCGAGGAGTCTTTTGTGGATTCCTCGACTGTTGCTCCATGAAGAATAAAATGTGGATAAAGATAAGAAAACGCCTCTGCAAAATGCTTTTGTCCAAGGAAGCCCTCTATATCTGGACAAGCAAGGCCTGACTGTTTCGTTCATAAATAACAAGAATATGCTTCGTAAAGATTGTCGACGCCGCAGTCTTGACCATTTGGTCAACGACCAGCCGTGTACAAGTCAGAAGGGCAGCCCCTCTCAATGCAGGGTCGCTCTGCTGCCATTCTCCACTACCTGGGACATCAAACCCCGTCCGTCGTTGGTCACATAGTTGTAACTGGTCGTCTGTGCGACGTTGCTTTGCGACATTTCGTCCTGTCGAAACATGCCTTGCTGGCTGGCGGTGTAGCCCGGTCGCGGCGCATCCTCAAACGACGTAGTCATAAACGACTGGCTTGGGTCCATGGGCACTCCAGGAGACACAAAGGGTCCGGCCTCGATATTCGGCGGCTGCGCTGCGTAGGCGTACATAGGCGACCCGTTCGTCCCGTTGGAGCTGGCCTGCCATTGTTGCGAGTACATGGTGCTGCCCGGGCTCGGAAAGTCGCTAAAGACAGACGGTCGGCGACTGACATCATGTGGGCTTGGCACAAGGTCAATGGTGAGGTTAGAAGTTGCAGAAACGCCAGCCTGGCCATGAACTTGCATGGGGCCGTTGTCAACATAATTGTGCTGCGGGGCTATCTCGTTCATCATTGGGGGCTGGAATTGAGAGCCGCGCATCGGCAGGTCGCCGATAAATGCATCTCCGGTTCCAGGTAGGCCAGACAAGGTAGTAGCGTCTGTGCGCACTGACGGACGCATTGCACCGCCCAGAGTCGTCGTCGGTTTCGCAGCGGGCTCGACATCTTCGTCCTCTTTGATATATGAGCCCGCATCGTCATTCTCGGAAACATAATTATCCGGAACCTTATCCTCGGACATGACATAGATCTCGGTCGATCCGTCAATTTCACCCAGTTTGTAGCGTTCTTCTTGTCGCGCCACTTTGAAAATCTCCGTCAGGAAAGGCTTCTTGCGCGCATTGGCATCGTTGTCCATGAAGAATGATGACAAGGCTTCCGCAGTGGTTTCCTCCAGCTTCGTCACGTTGAGGCCCAACTTTCGAATGTCGGGGTGCTGTTTACCATTCGGCTCTAAAACAATTCGAAGGATATGTGCCAGTAGATGAACACGTTCTCGCTTGTACAAGTGATCTGGTTCCTTGTGGCGAACCTTGTCGTCCTTTGTCGGGCCCCATGGCTTCGGCCACCAGTCTGGTGCCTTCTCATCACTCCCAGTATAAGGGTGAGTCGACTGCTTCTTGGGTTCGACAGCCTTAACCCAGGCTTTGGCGATGAGCTTGCACGCTGTTTGTTGGCAGTTTTTGAATCGTTGCTCATAGAATGCCCAAACAGCGTCAGAATCCCCGACTCTGATTCCACGCCTTGAAGACACAGTCATCTGCGTGTCTTCGTCGTCGTTGAGTGGGTTACGTGGTCTAGGTCGTTTACGGCCAGACCGAGCTGGACTCCCCCAGTCGGCCAAGGCCGAGCTTCTGCGACGGTCTCCCGGTCGGCTGCGGTTGAATATGTGTCGATTAAAGACGGGCTCATCTTGGTTGAATGAGTCGTCTAGCATGGGGTCGGCGCCTAGGAAGAGGTTAGTAGTCATCTTGGGGGCGCAACATATGAGTGGCTTGCCAGCTTCTAGTCTGCCCATCACTTGCTGAAACTTCCCAGCGTCGAAGAATTGGGCAATGACGTTTCCAGGCAGCTTATGGCCACCACTGACAAAGGTGGATGGCGTTCCGTCGTCCGCTGCAGCTGCAACAAAGTACCGCCGTACCGGTACTCCAAGCTGTCTCCGAAGCGCGTCATCAATATCCTATGAGACCTGTCAGCAGCGCAGGGAAAGAGATAACCCAAAGATGGTAGCTTACCATTTGAGGGTGTCGACGGGCAGGGTCGTTGACATCCCCGAAGCGGCTGTTCTGGTTGCTGCCTTGGTACCGATCCTGATGAAAGCCATTCTGTGCCTGCATGCCATGGCTGTAGCGATCAGCAGCAAAGGAAGTGTGTCGCTCGGTTTGTTGTTCTTGGGAGAAGCATGTGTGAGACAATGATTGGTGACGAGGGAACGAGTCCCGAGGCCAGTCTTGAACCATGGTGAATATTTACACTCGGCAACCAAGGGATGGTGTTGTGTCGGGAGTCGCGCGGGTTTTTTCGAAGGATAGATCGAGGTGATTATATCCGTTTGGTAAAGCTGTAGGAGAAGGCTACTGCATATCGAGGCTCACGCCCTGCACTTGTGTTGCCAATATATCCAATGAGTGGGTTGCTAGCGACTGGTTGTCAATTAAGATGCAGGCTCAATGGATACCTGCGTTGGTCGAGGCAGAATGAATATGGCAAGGAATCGCCGCAAAGGGATACGGGTTGTAAATGGCCAAGTACGACGACGACTTGCTTCTACTAGAGCCGGTATAGGAGTCAGCAGAGGGAAATGTGAGGGGTGCTATTGCCGGTGAAAGTATATGAAGGTGGTATCGGCAAGGGCAAGTCCGGTGTATATGAGAATGACAAAGGGAGGAGCGGCTGGTGGGAGAGGCAGAAGAGCCGTAGATATATAGTGTCGAGTTGGAATGGGGGGGATGGGAGAGGCAGGTTTGTGAAGGCGAGACAGCGCAAGTACTAGAGTGTCGAGGTCACACTTGTGCTAGTAGGCAAGGCAAGCAAGCAGCAAGAGACTGGTGCAGGCGCACAAGCAAAGCGACAGAGGTACTAGTAGGGAGAGTCACACAGTAGTGTGATGTGGTGGCACTTGTACGCCAGTCTTTGTACCAGCAGCGAGATGTCTCGCTTTGGTGCAGCGCCGCGCGGTAGAAGAGGAGGGCCTGACTGGTGAAGCAGGATGGTCCTACGGAGGGGGGTGGGTGAGGCAAGGGGCGTGTGGAAGATGCGAGGTAGTGATGGTGGGAGAAAGACTCAGTAGTGCCTACCTTTTTTCAAGACTGCGAAAATGGCGTCTTGGAAGACGAGAGTGAGATGCCACGAGAGCGGTAGAGACGCGAGGGGGGGTTGAGCCAAAATTTCGTCGTCGATAAGATGCGGCGGGGAGAGATTGTCGCAAAAGATAGGCTCGGGTGGACAACTAGGATATGGGCGATGTCGAGACAGACATGCGCCTGAGCCAAATATGGTGGTTGAGGAGAATTTACAGATCAAAAGGCGGAGATGGTGCAAATTGGAAAGGGACGGTTGGTGAGGGTCGCGGCGAAACAGTGTCAGAGCGGCCAGGAGAACAGTGACCTGGAGTGATCGGCAGCAGGCGGTTGGACGCGCTGTTGTTGGACGCCGAGGGCGAAGAAGAAGCAGAAGGATGGCGAGGTAGCGAGAAGGACGGGTGTCGAGAAACGAGGGAGACTGAGGGAAGGTAGAGGGCCGGATAGTGTCCGATCGGAGCAGCGTGCAGCGCGGAGCCAAACCGTGACGAGATGGACGTACGACGGTTGAATCAAGCAGTTGGTGTAACAATGATGGCAATGGTGGGAGCAGGCGCAGGCAAGGGAGGAAGCGCAGACGGAGCCGCAGCAGTAGTGGCCAGAATAGCAGGACAGTGAGAAGCAGTGTGGCAGGGCAGGGAATATGCACAAACGATGTGGTGGTCAGTCGTAAGCTGTGGACTGTGGACAGACAGACTGGAAAGCGGGCTGGGTGTTGGGGATGCTTGCTTCAGGACGCGAAGCAACGAGGCCGCCGGACGACAAGAGGGTGAGACCAGCCGGCTACAGTACAGAGTAGGGCCGGGTAGCGTGAGGGCGTCGCGCACGAGTCGTCGTCGAAAGAACAGAAGCAGCAGGTATGTCGGATCTTTGCGATCTTTCTAGCACTCGGCGGAGAGGGTAAAGAGGCAGACACGGCTGGCGGCGCGAACGGAACGGAGCACGATCGGGAGAATATGTACTGCCATCTCGTTAGCCAAAGAGCCAAGCAAAGACTAGCTTGGTGGTGAAAAGAAGCCAAGTGGGCGACGGGTACGGGACGGATGGGATAGCGGCCAATCGTTCAATCAACGCCTATTAGTGTGGGTGTTTTTTTTTCCCTTTATTCTTTCCAACAGACTGGGGAGGGGCAAGAGACAGGATACTACCAGGACTGGAGGAGACCTCAGACCTCAGACCAGACCTGAGGGGGGGCGTGGGGGTTGTAAGCTATAGTTACCCTGGGCCTGGGTACTAAGGTAGCGGTCGCACTTGTTTGGTGATGGGTGGTGGTAACTAGCAGTTCAGTATAGTCCCATGGCTCCACGCAGCGGCCTGTCTGGGACTCCACGACATGACAGAGGGCTGGCGACGGGTGAAGGCGCGAGCCAGCGAGATAGATTAGACCCAAGAGAGAAGGAAAACGAGCGAGCGCGGCGAGGCTCGCAGGGTTCACTCGACTAGCTACGACGAGGCGTCGAGGACGAAGCTAGGCGGTTTTGCGGCGTTGATAGGATACAGGGATTAGGCAACCCCGTCTCGAGCGCGTTTTCGGGGGGCGCATAGCATAGTTAGACAACTAGGTAGCTTGCTAGTATTTTGCGTCGGGGGAGGAGGAGGCCAAAGGGCACGGCACATCATGGTTGACTGACTGACTGAACTCGTTTCTGGTGCTGTTGTGTTGCTGGTGGTGTGCCAGACGTGGTGGTGTGTGGACGAGGGCGGACGGGACGGGGGGCGTGCGGCTAGGTGGGTGGATGGATGGATGGGTAGTCTGGCAGGTGGCACCCCAAGTCTCTTTTTCTTTGCGCTTTTGATGATTTCGTTTTTTTTTCTTCGGGGCGACGCTGGCGGGTTGGCCTTGTCTTGCGTCTTGCAGCTGGGGGAGTGTGCAAGATGAAAGACAAAAAAAAAGGTGTGGGTGGTGGCAGCTGGTGAGGCGTGCCGAACGTGCAGGAGGGCAAGCATCGACTGCGGAGAAGGAGGATATGGAGGTACTTCCGGTGTCACTCATTCGGGCACTGAATCATTGTACCACCTGTCTGTGCCTGTTCGGTTAGGTGGAGCGGGGAAAGGGAACAAGCAGACACTGTGACAGATACACGCGCGAGAGACGAGGGAAGACTTGACCGAATATTCGTAATGCTTATTGTTCTTGCGGCGCTCATGTTTTCGTATTGTTTGATGCGAGTCGCACCTGTTGTTTGCTGGGCTAGTTACGGCAAACTGTCATACTGGCAAGCTGAAGCTGCACGAGGATAGGTGCGAAACACCAAAGCACCTGGACAGCTATCCATACTATCTTATTGGGTACTAACTACCTCTAGGAAGGTACCTACCCTACCTACCTGGTAGTCCCGAGCCGCCCACTGTACTTACTTTGGGCACCCAGCCAATCACTGACGGCCGCTGTTGGCCGTGCCATCTCGCCTCCCTCCCGAGTATTATGTCCGTCATCATTCATTGACCTCCGTTATAACTCATTCCAACTGCAATAAATCGATAATCCGTCTACCATGTCCAGAGAATTCAGGCCATCACTTATTCCCAGTACAGGCATCTCGCGCCAAATGCTGCATCCCTGCACCTGCTTCAGCACTGATCGCCGCCACGGCATATCGAAATGAAGTCAGGAGCGTGCCTCTTTTTGACTAGTACATCCATCGTCTCTCAGCTCTCTCTTCGCCATGTACATTGGTAGATAAGCTGTGGACTGATCCGGATGGCTGTACCAGCGCCCCTAGATAGGATAAGTAACTACTGGTAGGCACAAAGTCCTCATGATCGACACCATTCATGTCTCTCCTGCAGTCCTAGCACAGTAATCTGTAGTGCGCCGTGGGCTGGCCTCGCAAGACTTTCCCTGTCTTATTTGGTCGACCAAAACTTATAGCCTAGATACCAATCATGCCCGCATTACTACGTGCTCCGTATAGCTTCGCAGCCATGCTTGCTCGCACGGGGTTGCTGTGATTTGGAATGATGCCATGAATCTTTACCAGTTGTAATACAGACAGAAGCATAAACGGTCAGTCTATCACGCCTGGTTGTCACGCTAATCACACATGTAACACATGTTACACTGCCTATGTACTCGTCCTAGACTCTGTCTCTTGAAGGTTCGTGAGGGCTTGCCGCCGTTGGCTCACGACGCTGTCATGACCAGATGGCATTTCACTAGGTGATGAGCTGCACCGGCCGTCAACACTGCTTTCCTTTCGCTGTACTGTGTAACTATGGTGTAATAATACAATAGCCACTGATGGTAGTTCGGCGACTAGTGCAAGAGGCACTGAGTCAAGCCTGCCAAGCCCCAGAGTCCTTACAACACGTTCCCCAACAGGTCCAACTTTGCCATTTCAGAGCACGGAAAGCTCCTCAGAGTACTGGAATAGGTAGTCCAGGCTGATTGACGTCTCCTCGGGACTTGACAAGTGCTTTTTGCCCCAACGTCGATCGCCCCAGTGACCAAAGTGTCCAGATAACTAACTAGACCGGCCATCGTGCCGATGTCAGGACAGGCAGGTGCAAGCCTCGTCTACTAGCACAATATAAGCTGAGACTTGGAGCGTAATGTCATCGTGGCGTTCTATTAGTAGAAACCCGCTAGAGCAGTGATATACTGATAGCTACCTAGGTAGGTTAGTAGGTACCTGTAGGTTGGTAGAGGTAGGTGTTTGGTGAGGTTATTAGTGCGCATTATTAGCGCAGTGCTGTCGTCAAGTTGCCATGCCAGAGCGCAGGCAGCAATTTGCGAGATTGGACACCTCAAAGAGCGAGGTAAAAAAATATATCATCATCTTCCACATTCATCTTATAAAGATATGACCTGCCAAAAGCTGCCCGCCGTATTATCGCCCAAGCTGCCTAGTTAGGTGCCCAGGTGAGAGTGCTCAGTAAGAGCCCTGTATCAGTGTACCCAATACTGTAGCAGCGCCTGGTAACGCCCCTGAACCGGCCGGAGGTGGTGACGTGGTCCACCGAGGCCAGTGCCGCGCCGGCCGGTCTTGTCCAAGCGTGCCGTAATTAACTACCTAGTTAGAATTTATTAATTTCAGGAGAATGAGCCGTCGGAGCTCGCCCGAGTCCCAAGACACTGTCCGCGATTAGCGCCCAAGGGTCACGGCCAACAAACAAGCAATGAGGTAGGTAGTCGTCCTGAGGGTGAATACCATAATTTCCAACCTTGGTACGACTACGACTCCTCGAGCCCTGATTTGCGCCTTACTACCAAATAAAACTCTCGAAGCTCATCTCGACTCTCGAGCCATCCCTTACTTATCAGGTACGTAGAGAGATGCCATACCCAAGTGCCGTTGTTGAGCTCAGCGTCATAATATGCAACCCTGGTAATACCTGCATGGGCACCTGGTACTTGCCTGGAACGCTGGGAAGCAAACAAAAATCTGCAGCAAAGTATCTCCCCGCAAAGTCTGACCGGCAGGTACTTGTCCACCGCATGCCGTCAAGCCTCCACTTCCACCACCATACCTGCACCTGCAAACACGCCTCACTTTTCTTTCCTTTACTTCCTCTACCTTTTTCTAATCCGTACCATCCCCATCATCGCCCCTCGCTCTTTCGAGCATGTCACTGACTCGACATATGCTTTAATCCTCATCGTCGTACTATTCCAACCACCAGCTGCCGCCGCCGCACTCTCCACCCTCACCAGATTGGTCCAAGACCTGTTCTGCTCGCGAGTTTCACTCATCACCAAGCTGCATTGCCGACCCTGTTTGGAGCAAGTCCCTCTCGTATCAATGATGCCCCTCGAATCCGCCTGCCCATCGGGCCCCCTGTTCTTCCTTGATACCCTCGGGCCCAGTCACCCCCTCAGCCGTTGCACTAATACATACGAAGTAATACGTTCTACCAGTATTAACCTACCACCCTGAAGACAGTAATACCTGTCCATTTGCGTCGCAATACCTTCTCTTGGCACATGGACACAAATATCGCGAGTACCTTTTGCTTACCGCCTTCCCACGTTCGCTAACTCTATATCCGTCCTCGGGCAACCTCAAGGCCGAGAAAGAAAATACTGCATTCTCATGCTGCGCCCTGATCATCGCCGGCCTTGTCCAGTATCCTGCCACATCAGTTCAGTCTCCTGAATTGGCAGCGCTAGATTGGCAGAGAGCAAGAACCGCCCAGGTTCAATAGTGGCTAAAACCATCGATCGTTGTGCGACCCTCCAATCACCCAAGACTATACGTATCCAGTTACTAGCAGTTGTAACTATGCACACAGAGCCCTTGCACGGTGAATCTCACCTACGGCGCGCAGGTGTCCGCGCCGACATCGATCACCTAGAAAGCCTTCGAATTGACCCAGCACGGCCTAGTTGCTCCGCCAGCCTGGTGCCACTTGGCCACCAAACAAGCGCTCCTCTCCTCCGCAGCCTAACTAACAGCACTCCAATATCACGATGCTACATAGGAGTCGTCGCTCGGCATCACAGAATCCGTTTTATCTCCTGGTCGGGCGGGGCAGCTACAGGCACATCTTTACCTTGTGAGACCGACCCTTCTGACGGGGTAGGCCCCGGGGGTGGCCCCTGGTTGTCAGCTCCAGCCGGTTGCTGCAGCCGCCTGCCAGCAAGCATTGATTGGCCCTTTGACCTCTCCTAGTCAGGCCCATTTTGCTTCTTCTGGCCCAGGCACACAAAGGCGTGTGTACCAGTACTTGTGTCCGTACTGTTGTGGGACACGGTACGGCTCGGAATCTTGAAGTCTTTCGCCATCTCTTTGGCATCCCCACCACATCGGCCCGCCCTTGCAACCAGCTCAAACCCTAACTCCCTACTTGGTCAAGCCGTCTCCAACTACAAATTATTACTGCCAGATTCAGGGTGGTGCAACGCTGCAAGAGCGGGATCGACAGTAACTTCAGCCAGACTCTGATGATTCTACGGATGGCGGAGTAAACGACAACCATTGGCTGGCCTTCGAATGATTCACCAAGATCATCTTTTCCAGCCCAACAGCTTCTTCTCTGTTGTCAGGCAAGCCCGCGGCTGTGCCGCAAGGGCATTCGAGTCCTAATTATGCTAGTGTTTCCTGCGTTTTCATTGCGTAATAGCCAGGCTTACACCTAGTTATGACAAGCCCCATGCGAGACCATGAAGCCACAAGGGCTACCGGAGAGAGGTGCCAGAACCCACCGAAAGCCACGCAACCCGGTCTTTTGGAATGGTTGCATGCCCTCAGTACGCTTCGACAGCCACAACAGCGGCCTTGCCGCCGCAAAAGCCCCCTCTTTTACAGCTCGGAGGCTACTAACTAGGCAGTCTCCAGTGACCAGTGACGAGCCAACTATCACGCAAGCCTGTTTCTTGGCCACCCAAACCACTCCTCTAGTTCAACAACCATCTTCAGCCACGAGTTCAACAACATCCCTGAACAAAATGGCATTGGACTATCCTCATAGCCCGTATCCATACGGAGTATCATTTGCAATCCGGCTGCGACGCTCGCTCGCTTTGAGAAAACTAGACTACTGCGGGGCTATGCCACCGCCCGACCTATCCAAGCTGCCCATCAACAAGCGAGCACCACGCCACAGCGCCATCGTTACCCTCTTTGCGATGTCTGCGAGCGACAACCCCAGATCTTGCTAGCAAACAAGCCCGTAATTCGTACATAGCGCCAAGTACAACGGGAAAAAGCAACAAGTGGCCGTTGATGTGGTGAAACAAAGCCCCCGAGAGCCACAAGACCTCGAGGCGGGTGATCACTCATCTGCGTGCTTGTCCTGCAAGGATCGTCCAACATCCAACACAGAGGCGTTACTAATTAATCTAGCATACCATACTGTACCAGTACCTTCACACTAGCATTGCACTAGAATGGAACCGCTGCAACTTTGGCTTTGCCTGAATCGGTCACATTTGCTTGCTAGTGTGGGCGATCTCGCATTTGCCCATCGCTTGAGCGAAACAGCTAACTATGAGTGAACGAATAACTAGTTAGGCACAAAGACACCTTTGAAGTAACGAAGTTTTGTCCGTAGAAGTCGCAAATGCGAAAAAAATGCGAAATATATCAGCCACCGTATAGAGTTGTACAGTTGGGAAATGGCCGCAAGTCAGATTCCACCGGCGGCCTTATATCACCACTACGAAAAGAAGGGACTATGGTATGTATGCAACGCCGGTCTTGACAGGAATACGAGCCCCGAGATGATATTTTATGTTGCTGCTTTCTCGTTGAAGAGCCGACGATTTGCTTGCAACCTCTCACAACTCAACTGGAAACTCGGTACCGCCTTGTTAGGAAAGTTGGTTTCTGCAACCCACCGGTCTGTCGCCGTTGACCGATTAACCGGCGAGCTTTTGCGAACGACCAGGTGCATTACCCGTCAAGACTAGAGCGGAGGGCAGGGGGCAGATTCTTACCATTCTGGGTAACTAGGTCGTACGATGTGTTGTTCAGCGACGGTGCTGCTTGCAAACG